TATCTAGAGACTTGGGAGGATGATACCTCCAACAAGAACGCCCAAGGCGTCTCTGAGTGCCGCAGTTAAGGTTGGTAAGGTTTTGCTAAGTCTGTGTAACCTGCTGATGCCCCAATGGACGTCTGCCAAGTCCGCGGAGCCCGCAGAAGGTGCTACAGGCTTCCACCAGCTCAATAAAACCCGATCTAGCTACTACAACCCGATCACAGCTCCATACGGGCACTACTGACCGCCATGAGCTCTAAGAACATCATGAAAGCGCAGTGCTGACGCCTGGATGTCAGGGAAATGGTCCAGACATCTTCAGAGCCTTCCAAGACGTGTCCTACGTGTTGCAGCGCCTTCTAAGTGCCGCACCTTGATGCTATCTCAATACAAGCTCCTAAGCAAGAAAAGCGAAACCGTTGATATCTGGGAGGATTACAAGGCTCTTATGGAGAAACAGACCGGGAAATCACTCAAAGTCCTCAGATCAGACAAAGGATTTGAATACAAATCCACCCAATTTGCCCTTGCCCTCAGAAGGGCTGGAATCCAACACCAGTGTTATGATCTCGACGACGGAGGCGAAAGCGAAGAAGAGAAGACAGAGCGAGAGTGATAGGCGACAAGAGGTTGTATTGGCGAAGCAAGAAACAAGGACTAGAACAGGAGATGAGAAGAACTGGTGTTGATCTGCTGGGGAGGAAGGGAATGGACGAAGAGGGGGCGGCTATTTATAGATAAACAACCCAGCAGATCAAAGACAACAACAAGAGGGGACTTGGTGAGCACCAGCTCTGCTCCCTAGCCTAGAGCGAGCGTAGCAGGCGTAGAGAGCAAGCTACAGCTGCTGGCTGTGGAGAAGTACTGGGGGGGTTGACAAATGGCTGGAGATTGGCTCACAGATGAGCGGGGTGGAGGAGGAGCGGCGAATGGGGGATTGGCGGACGAGAGGAGAGTGGGGGATTGGCGAAATGAGAGGGGAAGGCATTGACACTGACATTGACATTGACACTGACATTGACATTGGCGTTTGACATTGGCGGCTGTCAGTGTGCTGTCATGAGGTAAGCTTATGGTATGGGCGCGTCGTCCATAACAACCAGCGCGCTAGTACCAACACCCCAGAGCAGAACAGAGCAGCAGAACATATGAATCAAACTCTAGTCGAAATGGCATGATGCCTCCTCTCCCAGGCTGTTGGGGGTATCATCCTCCCGAGTCCCCGGTTAGGGTTCCCATAGTTTCTTTCCTCACGTGACTTCCCTCCCGCTTATGCCACGCTTTCGCGTACGGGACTTCACCCTCTTCTTCCCTTTCGGACCTCACGTCCTCTTTCTACTTTAGACAACATTGTATAACTTCTTATACAATTCAAGGGCTTTGTCTCCCCATTACATAGAGTTCACTCATAGTCCGCTCTCCTCTGCCAGCTACCGCTAAGTCAGGCTGGCCTTGGACACAAATACTGGGAGAAGCTCTGCTTGCAGCCATGCACATTCGAAACCGATGCCCCACAGCTGCCCTAGACAACTTCAAGATGCCATTTGAAGCATTCTTCGGTTGCAAGCCCATCATCCTCCTTCACCTCAGAGTGTTTGGGTGCATAGCCCATGTGATGGTTCTCAAGAAAAACCGAGGCAAGCTGGACAACAAAGCCAAGAAGTGCCCCTTCCTTGGCTACAGCTCCTCCAGCAAAGCCTGGAGCCTCCAAGCACTCAAACCCAACCACCAAGGTACCATTATCAAACCCAGAGATGTCCAGTTCATTGGGAACAAGTTCCACAAGAGTCTGGAAGATGATGATACGCATGAAGCCACGTCAGCTTGCTCCTACAAACGCTTAGCGAGCTTTGAATTCGATCCAGAACCAGACAACATTGCTTCACGCGCCCCAAAGCCCACAGACAACACCAAATTATGCTCGCACGCTGCAGAGGGGGATTCTGAGCTTCCTGACATGTCTCCCAACCCACAACCTGACACCAATCAATGGGCAGAGGCCCCAGAGGACCTAGACGACCAGGAAGACCAGGAGGAGGAAGACTTGGTGCATTACAGATGCGCCATTCCCAAAGCACTTAAGTGCGCCAAAGCAACTTTGCCTATGCTCTTGTTGGAGGTATCATCCTCCTTAGCCCCCAGTTAGGGTTTCCCATAGTTCATTTACTCATGTGACTCCACTCCCGCTTACGCCATGCTTCCGCGTACGTGACTTCTCCCTTTTCTTACTTCCCCAGACCTTGCGTCCTTCTCTCTGTCTTTAGACAAGACTTTATAACTTCATACAATATAGAGCTTTGTCTACCCTACACAGGGCTTTGTTCTCTATCTGTATTCCTTTGCCGGCTACCGCTAACCGCTCTGGCTACCGAAGTACTGCACACAGAGCCCAAAACCTTCAAGCAAGCTTTAAATTTGAATGAGTCTTGAATGCTATAAGGCCTGACTAGTTGCCCAAGGCTTTTCACAAGAAGAGGGAGTTGACTACACCGAAACCTTAGCCCCAGTAGCCAAGTTTGACACCATCAGACTACTTTTGTCCTGGGGAGCAGCCCAGGATCTCGAGACGGACCAAGTGGACGTATCCACGGCGTTCCTGAATCCAACACTCAGCGAAGAGATGGACATGAAACAGCCACCGGGCTACATCAAGCCCGGAGAAGAGCATCTTGTGCTTAAACTGAAGAAGATACCCTATGGTCTGGAACAAGCTCCGAGGGAATGGAACATTGAAAATCATGGCATCCTTGTCGAGAGAGGCGTCACACGTCTTGATTCAGACCATGGCATCTATATCAGATTCTTTGAGGGATGGCTACTTGTCCTGATCCTCCACGTCAACGATCTGATACTTATGAGCAACAAGAGACTGACCTCGACCACTTCAAAGCCAAGGAACTTCGGAAGGCATACAAAATGCGTGATCTTGGTACCATACACTACTTCCTGGGCCTGCTAGTCAAGAGAGACCGATCTGAACGACTCCTGACACTCACCCAAACCGGGTACATCGAACGATGCCTGGCAGTACTGGCTGTATAGCACGATAATCCAGTTGTGGTAGCTAGTGGGTGTTTGTAGTAGACTTATAGCGGCCTGGAAGAGTCCAGAACATGCTCTGGACTCTATTGGACGTGCAGAGGCTTCATTGGGGTTCGCAGGACAACCATGAGCCTACACGGGACTTGGCATGCATTCGGAATGGCGTAGTGGCACTCTCAGCACCTTGGCGTCTTGACGGGGTCTCAAGAGGTGTTAGAGGTGTTAGAGGCAGCAGCACTTAGCTGGAACTACTGGGAAACCGCCCGAAAGCCTCCAAAGGACAGGTCGGCTACCCATCCCGTCCCTTCACTTCATCCTCTTCAATACATATCATCGACGGTCCTACTCTCTACCTACAGTATTGTCTTCAACTTCGAACACTGCCCTTTGGGCATCAACGACCTCAAGTCATTGGCACGGGCCTTAGGGACTCTCAGATACATCTATCAGCTACGGTTCAGTCCATACAGCGTGTCTGTATGGCACCTTTCTGGTGTCTGAGTCTCGTGCTCCATCTGACGGGAGAGCAGAACGGGCCTTATGGTAACCCTTACAGTGGTTTTCCCGGACTTACCGCAGATGATATGCCGTTGGCACAACAGTAGAAAAACGAGATGAGTAACGAGCATCTCGTCGATTACCATGGTACACGTCTCAGAGGAAGTCTCCGCGTCCATTAGCGGCCCAACGCCCCGCCTGAACTTGGAGCCTCATTGTTGGCGGGAGGACATGAATGCACCAATATAATAAGGGAGAAGCTACGGCTTGATGCCCGCTCTGCTTCTCATTCCCGGGCACCTCACACAAATACTTGGAAAGTGTCGCCCTGCCGAGTCGTTGAACACACGTTACCGAGGTAACCAGTATTGTGCCCAACCCCCCCCCCCCCCCCCCCCACACCATCGGCTTCGAGCAGTCAATTGCGCAACGAAGTTCAAGAAGTAGCCCCTCACGTTCCCGAGATATCCCCGAGGACAATATTTCAGCTCAAATGTCCTAGCACCCACCAGTTCGTAATTGCGGACGGAACTGCGAAGGAATCACGGCGGTCTGTGAAGGTTCGCGCAGGTTCAATTGCCATTGCCGTGCCGAGCTCAGCAGCTACATACAGTACATAGCAACGGCGAATCCTGGCGACTGTCTGATAGCCAGCAATGGCGAACGCCGAACGGCCTGAAAAGTGTGGCATCCAGGGCATCACGGTCTCTTCATTTTAGAAGTAAGGTTTGGAGTATGTAGTTGGACGCCTAATAATTTCCGGAGTTGTGGTCGCTGAGAGACGGCAGGACGATTGACATGGATCCCGGCCCCCAGGTTGCATGACCTTGATGTCAATGACCTTGATGCAAGAGGGAAAGGTTGCATTGGGCAATCCCAGGGGCTAGCAGCACTGGCAAAATGCGAGCCTGCGACGGCATCCAGAAATGCGATCTGCAGATAGTGTAACTTATATGAGTTTTGATCATGAGGGACTCGGGAGTCGGATATGGACGCCGTCGTCTAATCCGTCATATCGGAGATATTGAGGTCACGCCGGAGCACCCGTAGCCCGCCAGGAGCGCGGGTGATGTCTGGCTGATCACGTTGCAGTGATAGTAGCTTTCTGCCGTCGTCGTGTCGCACAGGCCCCACGCCTGCCACTCGGCGAGCCGGCATGAACTGGCAGTCGTTATCGGATTCTTGAGGCGTTACCTAACTTACCTTCAAGTCATCGAAAAAGCCTTGAAGTGTACAGTACAGTATGTCAATGTAGGATGGTCATCCTGATCTATCGCTACAACCAGCAGACTCGGACGCCCACAAGCGGTATCCCAAGCGTAAAAGCTTAAAAACATGGCCGACGCACAAACGTCTAAAAGGTTACTTTTCATTAATAAGAGCACTTCAGATTACTTGCGTGGGGTATCTAAGAGCGGTTCCACACCGTCACCGGGAGGCTGGCATCCACCGGGATGCAACTACCGCCCTAATTCTCTGGGAATCCGGTGGTGTTTAAAAGGATCGGGCAGACCCAACTTCCCTCATCTCCCTCCACCCCATCCGTTCCGCTCATTTTCTTCCTCCCGCTTCGAAAATGCGCACCAAGCTCCTCCTCGCCTCTGCGGCGTTCGCCGCCGGTCTCACCACGGCCGCCCCAGCAGGCTCACTCACGGTGTCGGAGTGGCTCAAGTCTGTCAACGACCGTTTGGAGGTTGCTGACCCCATCATTGGCGAGGTCCAATGGGCTTACTCGACCAATGTCACCGATGAGACGGCCGCTGCTCAGGTGTGTACATAGAACCGCGTGAGTCGATATTGATGAAGGCTGACATGGCTTTGTTGACTCCCACCATCAGGACGCCGCATCGATCGAATACAGCAAGCTCCCCCTCGCCATCCTCTCCGAGCTCGCTGAAGGCGGCTACGAGGCGAAGGCGACCACCTTTGACGAGAAGCGTTTGATCTCTCTCCTCAAAGCCGGAAGCATCACGCCCAAGAGCAACGCGACCCAAGCCGTTCTCGCCAAGACTCTCTCTGATATGAGCAGCGTGTACGCGTCCGGCAAGTTCGAAGGCAAGGACCTGGACGAGCTGAGCGGGATCCTTGCCGAGAGCCGCGACTACGAAGAGCTGAAGAAGGTGTACCTCGGCTGGAGGGAAGTCGTTGGCCGCGCCGAGAAGCCGCTGTACGAAAAGTTCGTCAAGGCGACCAACGAAGGTGCGCGCGATAACGGGTACGCCGACACGGGTGCCGCGTGGCGCGACGGCTACGACATGACGCCCGAGGACTTCATGGCGATGATGAGCAAAGCTCTCGGCCAGGTGCAGCCCCTGTACGAGCAGCTCCACTGCTACGCCAAGGCCAAGCTCTCCGACCTCTACGGCAAGGAGAAGATCATGACCGCGGACGGTACGATCCCCGCCCACGTGTTCGGCAACATGTGGTCGCAGGACTGGGGCAACATCGAGTCGATCCTCCGTCCCTACCCCGACGTGCAGGCCGTCGACGTCACGGAGGAGCTCGTCAAGCAAGGCTATGATGCCGTCAAGATGCACCGCTTGTCCGAGGAGTTCTACACGTCGCTGGGCATGGAGCCCATGCCCGAGAGTTTCTGGACCAAGTCGATGCTGGTTAAGCCTGCCGACGGCCGCACCGTCGAGTGCCACGCCTCCGCGTGGGACTTTTACAACGGCGACGTCCGCATCAAGATGTGCACCCGCATCAACCACGAGGACCTCATGACGGTGCACCACGAGCAGGGCCACATCTACTACGACCTCCAGTACAAGGACCAGCCCGTGCCGTACCGCACCGGCGCGTCCGATTTCTTCCACGAGGCCATCGGCGACACGATGCAGCTGTCGGTTCTTGTTCCCAAGCACCTGAAGGAGGTCGGGCTCATCACCAAGGAGCTGACCGACGGCTTGGAGCAGACCATTAACTTCCAGATGGCGGTCGCGCTTGACAAGATTGTGTCGATGCCGTGGACTTACCTCCTCGACCAGTGGAGGTGGGATGTGTACTCGGGCAAGACGACTCCGGACATGTACCAGAAGGCTTACTGGGACCTCATTGAGAAGCACCAGGGTCTGAGCCGCCCTGCACCTTCGACCGCGGAAGACTTTGACGCTGGCGCCAAGTATCACGTCCCGGCCAACACCCCTTACATCCGCTACTTTGGTGCCAACATGCTCCAGTTCCAATTCCACGCCGCGCTCTGCAAGGCCGCCGGACACACCGGCCCGTTGCACGAATGCTCCATCTACAAGAACAAGGCCGCCGGCGCGCAGTTCAAGAAGATGCTCGCGATGGGCCGCAGCAAGACGTGGCAGGAGGCCATGTCGGTCGGCACCGGCGGCATGTACGATAGCGTTGACGGCACGGCGGTTGTGGACTACTTTGCGCCGTTGATGACGTTCTTGAAGGAGTTCAACGCCAAGAGCGGCGTCAAGTGCGGATGGACCCAGGCTGGAACCACCCCCACCGGACCCCCTACCACTACCACCTCTACCCCTGGCCCGACTCCGACCAAGTGCCACCGCAAGAAGGCTGCCAAGCAGCACTAGATCTAGACATCTCATAGATTCTTCACCGACGATTTCGAATAGTAGATGGACACCCGATGTGAGGAGAGGAGACGATTCTGTGTCATGGTAGAAACAGATTTGTACTAGAAGCTAATACCCATACAAATGCAATGCCCTGTTTGCAAATTGACGCAAACACTTCGACACTTATGGTACAGTATTATGTCACCCGACGTTGGTTCGAGCGTTTACAACATATATAGGTCAAAAGTCCGCGGTTCGTCATATTGCCCATGCCCCTGGCCTAGCCAACTCGAAGCAGGCGTCCAAACTCGCTGTTACTGTACATGTACAGTACGTACTACGTATGCAGACGTACTGTACATATGTATGCAGCAGCCTGCGATGACATCCTGCGTTCGTACTGTTTGTCTGACGTTGCGCGAGGCGAGTCCCCAGGGTCCTCTTTTCGTCTCTTCCCCTTGAGCGCACGGGGGAATGATGAGATTTGATGTGCGGGTTTCCATGTTTCCCATGGGCTGGGGAGGCGCAAGTGGCGCGTGGGGTGGCGCAGCTTCCGGAGTGGAGTGACGCCGAGAGACGGGGACCCGGTAACGTAGTTCCAGAGCCAGCTGTGGCTGATTATTATTATTATTGCGGCCTGGGGGCTTTCTTGCGCGGCGCTCGCACAGTCGGGTGAGAGAGAGAGAGCAGAGCGACAGAGAGAGAGAGAGAGAAGAGAGAGCAAAGTGGCTGCTGTGCTGAACTGTGACACTGTGCTGTGCTGTGACCCTTTCGCAGAGACAGACAACAACCCAACCCAGCTTTCGTCACTCGTCCCAAGTACAGTACTGCAGGACAGAGAAAGAGAAGGAAGGCGCGAGAGAGAGGCCAGCAACCAGAGTATCACAGTTACATAGCAGATATCGGTCGCCAACTTCCTCTTCGCTGATCTTCCTCCTGCCCGCAAGGAAGGCTCAACGACCGAGACTTACGCTCGCCAAGAGTGTGGAAGAACGCCTTTCCCCAATCACTGTCCTCGCCAGCAGGCACAGCTACTGACAACTCCTCATTTCTCTCTCTCACGACACACGGCACCACTCGACGACGTTAACAACAACGAAGCGAAACAAAAATGTCTTTTTGCGAGCGGGTGTGCATCCCCTCCCAGAAAGTTACAGTATCAAACCCATTTGCTGTTGTTGTCTACACCGGCAACTTCACTCCTGATACGGACGAATGGACCGTCAGCTTATTCCCCGGCGAGGTTACAACAGCTGCTGTTGCCGGACCATGTGTAGCGCCCGGAAACTCTCCTCCACTGCAAACTTGGTCGTCCTCAGCAGCAAACAGCTTGAACTGGGAACAACTGACGCCGACAAACGCTCAGACTCAGCTTACCATCAACCCCTCGGATAAATTGAATGCCGCGATTAAGAGTGCTGGTGGGCATTTCTTTTTTCAAATTAGGGCTGGTAATAACCAGAATTGTCAAGTGGGGCCTTGGAATTCGCCTGCGGGGGGCCCAGGGAACTTTTTTCAACTAGGTAAGCGATCGGAGGGAGCCCACTGTAATACCGAGCGTTAGCGAGCATTCGATCTTTTGCGAGCGCAAGCGAGCTGCGAATCGAAGGGAGCGATCCGATTTATATGGAGAGGACCTCGCTGCGCAAGTTCATGCATACGTTCATCAACGCATCGATGCTGACCTTCCTTCACTCTTTCAAATTTTAGCCGCACCGGCGACATCGACGAGCATTACACCCACCCCCACACTCACCCCGACACCAAGTGCATCGGTTGCATCTGCAGCGGCAGATGGGTCAACCACCGTCACGCCCACACCAACACCCGTCCCGCAACCACAGACACCACCCTCGTCCGGCATCGACCCGAATGGCCCCACAACGAACGACCCTTCCTCCGGCAAAGGCGCCCCAGTCGCCATGATCGCGGGTATCACCGCCGCCGCCATTGTCCTCCTCGCGATTGCCGGCCTCGTGTTTGCGCGCCGCCGCAACCGCAGCAGGACCGCATGGAACCGAAATCCAGACCATCGATCAAGTAAAGGCGTGTTATTGGCGAGTGGGACGGATCAGCCCTCGCTGAACCGCCCGGGTGGGAGCGATCGCGGTACGCTTACACCTGAACCTGTGACGGAGGAAATTCATGTTGGAAACGGTGCCCCCCACGCGGCCGCATCCATCGCTCCCGCCGCGACGGCTGGTGTCGCTACTGCAGCCGCCTTAGGAGCCTCCGAACCCCACTCCCGATCAATCCCACCGACCGCTTCACATGCACCATCCCAATCACCAACCGTGAATACAGCAGCACCAGCAGAAAACCCCTTCGCAGACCCATCACCCGGATCTACAACAGGAGTAGGAGCAAGCGCGGCAGCCGGAGCCGCCAGCTTAACAGCGGCAGCAGCAGCAATTCCCTCCCGCAACCGCCGCTCCATCCTGGCCTCTCTTCACGACAGCTACCGAACTCTCACCCGTGCCGATTCTGCCTCCACAATAACCTCCGACATTGAAAACCCCTTCGACCCGCACCACGCTGATCACACCTCCGCACAACCGACGACCACCGACCCTTCCTCATCCGTATCATCGTCCACATCTCAATTACCACCACCGTCCACGAACGCGCACCCATCTATAACCCCTGAAGTAGCACCAAACACCGATCGCCACACCATGGCCATGCTCGTCGCCAACGCTTTCCGTAAAGGTCTCTCCAGCGGCGACGAGTTTGGCAACTGGAGAGGTGGTGCTACGAACGAGGGAGCGGCCGAGAGCGGTGGGGAGAAAGTTGAGCAGATGCAGCAAGTGAAGCATGTGGAGGGGATGCGGCAGCTGGGTGGGGGCGATCTGCGGACTGCCGATAGGTGATGACCGCGATGTAGAGGTTTGAAGCCAGCGTCCACGGATCCGGCGAGGAGTGTTGGCCTTTGACAACCTCCTATCCGATGGGTTGATCAACTCCGTCAAGTTCGCGTAAGCATCACACCCGATGAATTCTGATCGACCTGCCTCCTTGTCATCGCACCGCCTTCGTTCTGACACCGGGACTGACTCAAGGCTACCGATCACCGACTGTACCACTGGTTCAGTTTTTTTTTTGACTTGTCGTTTCCATCCGAGCCCTCGATTTGTGCTCTGTACCTACTGTACCCTACTTGCACCCTACTCCACCCCATTTTCATTTTCCGTCTATGCACCGCACTCACGGCGTAATTCTGGGGGGTTATTGACCCCCCTTTTTACATGGCAGTTGTTCATAGTGGTTTGTTCTTTGTCGGCGGCGTAGAAAACCGACTTTGTTTTCCCTTGAGTCCCATGTATTTTGGTCCTTGCCACCTTTTTCCATACCCCTCCTCACCCTTGTCTTGTACTAGTTGCGTCTGTCAGCCCATGTTTCTTCTTTTTTTGCATTAAAGAATGAAATTGTACAGTTTCTCAATCCCTATGTGCACTGAAGTCCAGAGGACGATGGGACTAGAATTCATTTAATCCAAGTCACATCAACGATCTTCGCATGTTGCCATCACTTTCTCCCCCAAACAGGATATTTCTACAATCACATAACTAGTGTACACGAAAAAACCGTTACATACACATACACCTTCCTCATCTCCTTCCCCACCCCGTAGCCCAGAGCACATCCCACATCAGCGGTCAAAACCACTTTTTCCACTTTCCCAATATAACAGCCGTTTTCCTCCGATATCACAGGTTCGTGTGTTCCCCTTGGCCCCGTTCTCCGGCCAGCACCACAAATTCAGTCGTCGCGCACTTTCAGTGATTCGCCGGTTCGGGTGTTGGCTGTCGGTAACTGAAACCTTCCCACCCGCTGTTCGTTTCCTTTCGCCTTCTTCACCATGGGACCCTTTCGACCTTAATCGCATCATGTCGCACTTGAACCCGCACCCGCACCAACCCCCAGAAAGCTCATCATCTCCCCATTCTCTTCCAAATCCAGCACTTCCGGCCTGATCGGCAGCGCGACGCCGGGGAAGATATGCACTACGGCGGCATCGGTGAGGTCGTTTGGGTTTGATGAGGTTGGGGATGGTGTTTTCTGGATTGTGGGTTTTGTTGTTGCGTCGTCTTTGGTGTTTTTAGTGTTCTTGGCGGGGCTCGTGTTGATTTTTCCCGGAGACGTGATGGACCCTAAAGACCTGGCGGGACGGGTCGACTTGCCCTCGTCGCGGTCGTGGATGGAGGGGAGGGAGACTGATTTCCTGCGTTTGGAAGACGATTCCTGTGGTTGTGGCGGTGGGTCGGGATGATTGCCTTTTCGTGACGAGCGGCGGAGTGTGGTGGGTTCCGTCGTCGCTGTGTCCGTCGTAGGTTGCGGCGCAGTCGCCGTTGACTCATCATCCGCTCCCACAACCTCGTCCGCAACGGCCACAGACTTTCGCCTCCCCTGCCGCTTGCCCTGCGTTTCTTGCACCGTCTCCGTCTCCCCCTCTGCACCACCACCACCGTTAACATCCATCTTCTTCAACCGCTTCGAGACTCTCGCCGGCGTATTCTGGTCGACACTGGCAGCAACAGCAGCAGCAACATCAGCATCACCATCCGAGTCCCGTTTCCGTTTCAGCAACCTTGCGGCGCGGTCGGATTTCGGTACCTCCACAGGTGGGACTTTCGATGTCTTGGGCGCACTTTTGGCAGGACCCGCGTTGCTTAACCGGCCATTCTTGCGCCCCGTAGTAGGGGGAGCAACGTGGTCGACTGGCGGGATATTCTCCGATTTACCCTTTTTGGCGTTGCGCTTGGCAGCCGATGCTGCCGTCGCGGCGGCGGTGCGTTTAGAAGGCGTGGTCGATTCTGCTCGCACCGGAAAAGGAACCAGAGTGAGTGAGTATCACCTAGTCACAGCACCCCAACCACACATGGGAAGACCCCGCCATCACCGCTTACCTCGCGCCTCGGCCTCCAGTTTCAAGGCCGCCCTGGTCCTCGTCGTCGGTGCATTTGCACTCATCAGATTCCCCGGAGTCCTCAACCCCTTTTCCTCCCTTCTCTTCGCCTTGGCCGCCGCAGCCGCTGCAGCCGCCGCCGCAGCAGCCATGGCAACCTCCTTCTCCTTCGCCGCCGACCGTGCCCTCGTGTTCCTCAATCTTCTTCCACCTACTTCCTCATCCCCATAATCATCCCCACCATCATTCCCTACATCGTCATCCACCAGCGGAGCCTTCGGGAAAATCTCCCTCTCCCCACCGCCATACTCCCAAAGCCATTCATAAAACTCCTTGGGTACGATATCAAGCACGCCGGTTTTGCCATCAATGGGCAGCGCCGCCATACGTTTGGCAAGCTCCTGGAGGAGTGGTTTGGCGCGTTTTTGGTGCCGGTGGGCGGCTTTGAAATAGTCGGTTTCGGCGGAATTGTAGAGCATGCTGTTGGTCCAGATCAGGTCGAGGTCGGTCTGCAAATGCAAATCCATACCCACATATGCGTAAGTGGTCAGGAACCCCTTCGGTCGGAGAGACTGAACCAGCACAAACCTCGAACCCCTTCACGTCCCGATACTCGTGCGCTTCAAGCTTCGACTGCATCGTGCTGAAATCCATGGGTTGCTTGACATACGCATGATAATCCGGCGCGACGTCGGGCGAAACCGGGTCCGCAAAATACCCTTGTTTATCCCACCTAAAACAACGGGTGTCAATATGCTTCCTTTGACCTCGAATCGAGACTTATCTCAGGGGACCTGCGTTCCCAGATACATACTCTCTGATAGTCTCCAACAGCCCCCTCAACTCCCTCGTGACCGGGAAAACCAGCAGCTCGCAGAATTCGACGCCGGCGCGGTACTGCTTCAGCTTTTTGATTTCGCGGCTGCGGATCAGGTCCACAAGGCAGCGCACCCGTTCGAGGCCTTTGCGAACTTCAACGAGACCCTATATCAATGATTACCGCTCTGTTTAGTCTTCTGCACGGAATATTCCTCCTTCATCATGTTTTCTTAGCGTACCTTGTTACGAGTAGCCCTTGCCTCCTCATCCTGCTTGAAGACAGAAGCCGACGCAGTCCATGGCTAGATAAAAGAGGCAGTAAGGAATCCCAACAGCTTAACCCCCTCAACACTATTGCATCACAAGGAAAGCCCACCTCCAAATGCAATCTCTTCAGCAGCGGCGCGCCCCGCCTCGCTTCCCTCTTGAACGCCCAATATCTGCACACAGCAACCACAAACGCCCTCATCTTCTTATCAAAGTCGCCCTTCATCTTGCGTTCCTTAAAGTCGTCTCTCAAATTCGCGAGCACGCGTTGCAGGATGTAGTGTGGGATGATGACGGGGGCGTTGAACTGGAGGTGTGGCGGGAACTGCGCGAGAAGTTGTTGGTCGGTTGTTGTTCTCGCAGAATCGATGGGCGTAGTCGCTCGCACCCTCCCCCGCTTCCGTTCTCCCTCCGCCTCTCCATCGCCCTCCTCGTCCTCCTCGTCCTCCTCCTCATCGCTCCTAACAACACTCTTCCGCTTCCTGCCCCGTTTCCTGGTCAGCTGCTCCTCGTCCCCGCTCGTGGTAGGGGGCAGAAAATCGTCGTCGTCGTCCGACGCTGCGAGTGCGGTTATTTTCTTCCTGATGAGGGATGTGCGCGTTTTGAGCTGCTCTTGCATGAAGGTGCGGATGGATTGTTCGATATCGACTTGGTCGCGGTACTCGGGCTAAAGAAAAGATACCTCATTAAAAGCTGTTCGTGTGTGGAAGTGATTACGGTTTTTTTCGCTCACTTACCGGTGTATGCCGATCGCAAAACGCGCGGAAGGTATTGTTATTACTCCCATACTGCGAGCGCATCTTCATGAACAGGCCCGCTTTGCGAGCGCAGGTCGGGTGGAAGGAGGTGTAGCAGTTGCGGTTGGAGCATTGGATTGGGGCGCCGACGTGTTGGTGGCATAAGAAACATTGCTAAAAGATGACGGTCAATCAGTCGGTCATCAGTCAAAACACCAAACTAAACGCCTTGTGAAATGATAACACTCACCAAACGCCACCGACTCCTCGGAATCCTCTCCACGTCCACCACCGGCTCCATGACCGTCAAATTCTGGATACTGCATTCTGGCACCCACATCGCGCACAGAAGGTGGGCCCAGCCCTGGCCGCTGGTTTGTTTGAAAGCGCCGTCGGTATGTGGGCAAAGGATGCAGCTCTGTGGGGTGGTATGGACCGTGTGAGTAAAGCCATACTGGGATTTGCGCAGGGATGGGAGCCTGACGTACTACGGGTTTGTGGGGACTGAGCATGCACCGCCGACAGAGCCATTGGCCTTCGGGTACAAAGGGGATTCCGTAGCAGTCTGTGAAAAACACACCGTAAGTATAAGGGAAACAAGCTGTGACTAAGCGCGCACCCGTGGTCTCCTCCTTCGTCCACATACCCTGATGCACAGGAATGTCACACCCATCGCAAAAAACGATCGCATTCGAGTTCTCGCATTCCCCGTCATCGCAGACCGCACAGACGGGATCTCCTTCCTCGTCGCGGGTAGAAGGAATATCCTTCGTCTGAGAAGAACCTCGGGAGATAAGTTGCTGATTTCGAACCGGGGCACCAGAACGCGACTTCACGGCACTTACCAAATCGAACCACTCCTTCTCCAAACAATCCATAACCTGCTCAAAATAATCCTCCTGCACAGCCGCGAGCCCCGTCTTTTTCCTCTGCTCATTCACCATATTCAGCCAACACAGATCATGCTCGTCCATGTCGTACTCCACGCGCGCAGCCAGCTCATGCTCGTTCGGCTCGGCGTGGTGGATGTATGCCGCGGTTAAGCGAAAGCGTTTGGCGGTGCGGTAGCCAAGCTCGTCGGTGTCCGTTAGGAGGCGGAAGGAAGGGGTGGGTAGATTAGTTGGGGCGGGTGGGAGGGTGGGAAGGGTGTCGAGGGTTGAGAGGAGGTGATCAAGGCCGTCGTAGGGCGTTGGGGCACGGCGGGTGTCGGAGCCTTCGTCGCTGCTTGGTATGTTGACGGACGCGGGGGTGGCGGAGTCGTCGGTGAGGGAGTCAGCGGTAGGTTGGAGGGAGACGACGTCTTCTTCGGGGAATAGGGCCGTTGCGAGGTCAATTTCGGTGGTTTGTTGTTGGACAGTGTAGTCCAAGTCAACGGATGATGGCTCAGCGTTTGTTTGATCGGGTATATGCACATCTACATTATCGACACTCGCAATTTCGGGTTCACCTTCTGCAACTTCCGGTTTTCCGGTGAAGAGTTTTGTTGAGATCTGCTGAGCTGCTGCTATGGCTGCGTTCGCTAGAGCGCTTAGAGTACCGTTGGGTTCGGGCCGAGGCTCGGAGGCGTCCGCTCGCTCTGGAGAGTTTGTTAATGGAAGTTCTGGCGATGTCAAAGATTCCTGATCCAACTCCATGGTCGTCGTTTCTATTTGTGCATCGAGCACTACATGAGTGGAGATCCCATTTATAGCGTCACCCGCAGGATATCTCCTTGCGTTCATTATCGCCTCTCCGTTCGCGATCTGCTGTCCATATATGGTACCACCAGCAGGAGAGCTCGCTTCGTTCATGGTCGCCTCTCCGTTCGCGACGTCCTCTCCGTTTGCAATCGCCTCTCCATTGACATTCGCCTGTACATTCACATTCACAATCGCCTCTCCACCGGCTATTGAGTCTTCGCTAGCGATCAACTCTCCGTTCGGTATCCCTTCTCCACCAAAAAGCGCCTTTTCATTCGCAGCCGGCTCTTCATCCGCTCTCTGCTTCGCTACCACCTCCTCCACCTCTGGCCTTGGAACAATCAACACCGGCAACTCCACCGTAGTCTCCAAATCCGGAAACAAGACTCTATACGACCCTTCTTCGGGCGGGGCATTATTTGCGTGGTCATGGTCATCCTGTCGCTGCTGTTGCTGCTGCTGGTCAGGAAACGGCGACGGCGATCCTGCATCATACAGATAAGCGTTTTCCTGCACACGCCGAGGCCTGCCTCGGGTGGGCGCTACGTTGAGTTTGAGCGCTGTGCTGGTGAGTGTTATTGAGAGAGGTGGGTCTGCAGGTGCGATGGTTGGAGAAGACGTTCCCGTGAGAGGGGTGATGGAGATGCCCGTGTTTCGCCTTGTAGCCCTCCCCGGTGGCATTTGCGCGGGTGTTGGTGGTGGTGGTAGAGGGTCTTCCTGGGGCATGTTCTCTCTCCCTCTCCCTCCACGATGGCAAGAAGGGTTGACTTTCTGTTTTCCGCCGGAATTCCCCTCCCGTTGCGGCTAACACGGCATTCGTTTTTGAATTCTCAGTGGGTGATATTCTTCTCAGGAAGCTCTTTCGGGTTGTCGTAGACTGTTGTAGGTGAATTGAAGTCTAAGCAGAGCGAGATCAGTTGCTGTGGGGAGTAACTGTCAGGGTTTTGTGGTTGGTATTGTTCCCACTGTGAGGACTTCGGACTCCTTCAAAAGAACCAACGCGGGAGTGCAATAGACGGTCGAAAGTGGAAGCGAGTCGAGAAGAATACAACAGGGCTGGCAGGAGTGGGTCTTCGGTCTTGTGGATGAGCTGCTGCTTGTGTGGGTCTGTGGTTCCAATGTTGGTCCCTTGCAGCCCTTTCTCTCCCGCTGTCCGGCAAACCAACGCGTCTCTCTCAGTTGCGCACCGTTTGTCTTGTCCAGAGGGGAAGGCAACCAACCACACACACAGCGACAAACCGTTGCAAGCTACATACGTACAGCAGACGGTGCTGAGCGTGGGGCCAGGGCAATCTGGGGACTGTGCCTGAGAGAGTCTCAACCGTTGCGAGCAAGGGATAGAAGTGGGCTCCATCCTCTCCATCCTCGCGCTTCGCGTCTTGATAGTAACTCTTCCGACCATGGAGCGAAGGGAAGCTCAGAAGAGCGGAGCGCGGGTAGCCGTATTGAACGAACCACGGCAGCAGCGAATCTACGGCTCAATCAAGCACTGGATAAGGAATATTGGGAAGGAAAATAGAAGAAGGCGTACCCTTGAACTGCCGGGCACACTCTGATCTCCTCTCACATAAGCGCCGGCGGACAGGAAGGATACAGCTCCGCCGATGAGCGTGAGGACGGCTACGACTGCTGCAGCAGAGGCCGTTCAGAAGGATCAGCTCTGCCTAACAGGTGTCCGAGAGCGGCAGGGCCGCGTTTTTTGGATACAGCTCGGGCCAGCATATCGAATGGCGAGAGAGTTTCAGTAGCGTGGGCTACGAAGGCTGCAAATATATACAGCGGATGAGACGACAAGAGACCGCAAGGGAGACACAGGGAGCGAGGAGAACCAGGACGGGAAGCGTTGCCCACCGCCAGGAAACGACAGATGAAGGACCAGTGCCGGTGGGGATACCTTTTCGACTCCAAGCGGCAGCTTGAAGAGATATGCCCGAGGCGAATGAACCCCGGTGGCCATACAATACTCATCAAGCGCAAAGATGGGAGGACCGGACCAGAAGGGAGAGGTGGGCGAATTTGTCACAGCCTGGATTGATAGAGTAGTTTAGGCTTTCGCCCGTTGGATGAGCAGCGAGGCCGAACACGGCACTACCAGAAACACACGCACCACCTCGCCCCGCTCCCAATCCATTTGACAAGCTAGTAAAACACGGCATGAACACACGCGCCTCAATTGACAAAATACAGATAGATCTTCACTTACCTTCATTCTGTGTGATGGTAACTCCTTCCATCGGAAGTTTGCCTCTCTGCTTCTGCTCCCCTATCTGTTGCATAGATCCATTGCTCCCCGGGTATATGGAGAATCCAATGGACTGGTTCTCTTGTTACCCGCACGAGGTTGAGAACGCTCGCGGTTGGGAGGCGTAGAGGGAGAAGGCTTGACGGAGATTAGGGAGGATGTTGCGTATGTGCGTGAGGGGATGCGTGAGGATGCCAGCCCAGAGCTGGGCGGATTTTTGTGAAGAGATCAGAAGGTGGCAGGGTTTTGTAATGTAGAGCGGGCAATCATTATTGGTATTTACAGCTAGTAGCCAAAAAAAAGTCATTATAGGGGATTACAGTGTCTTTACACGAACTACTCTAGTGAGAAGAAGGCCGACTGAAAATGTGCAGACACATCCCAAATGTCGAAGTAAGTGTTTATCAGGCCGATAGCTGCGGCGGCGCCTTCCGTGCCTGGCGCAACTTCCACATCCCCACGCCACCTCCCACCAGCGACACGATCCCACAGGCGAGAAACACCGCCGCGCCGCCGCCCAACGCCTTGATAATCGTGCTACAATCCGTCACACACTCGAATTGCAGCGTCGGGGCCGTGTGGTCATAGTACCCATACCCGACCTCACACGCGCTCTTCCCCGTCGTCCGCGTACGGTCCAAACAATCGTTATGTATCACGATCCCCGCAATCAGCGTGACTACACTTTGGAGGAGGAGGACGCTGCCCATGGAGAGGAGGACGGGCGCGCGGGTGTACCGGTTGTACCAGAAGCAGAGGAGGAGGTAGGCGAAGGGGCCGATGAAGACGGTGGTGAAGGCCGCGATGATGGCGGCGAGGTGCGGGTGTCGCGGGGCGAGCACGTAGGCGGCGTCGGACTTTGTGTGCTCGTAGTGGTGGGGTTCAGGGCTGTGTACTAGGGGTTTCTCGGAGGCGAGGTGCGGTTGGGGAGTGGGTGTTATGGTGGACATCGTGATGAGTGTTCTGTTGGTGTTTACTCGGGAACTTGTTGAGTGATATGGCAGTCAGGGTAGATGAGGGCTTTGGCAAGTGTAAGTAAGTGAAGACAGTAGCTGCGACTGGATCGTTATTTCTTGGCTGCGAGTGATGATGGAAAGAAAGGACGTTCCCAAAGCAAGCAGCAGCGAGCTTAAATACTCTGAAGAAACGTCAGGGTCTATGTCATGCAGTTGCCTTCACAACGTGAAAATGGAGTAAATTCCGGCCCCAGACCGATAAAGCGTGCATGTTCGGCACTCTTCGGGAGGAGGAAGGCTGAGAAGAGCTGACAACCTTGAGGGTACTCCTGGAAGATCGGAGACACTGGCACCGGATCGCACGCATGCATGTCTCCGCGATAATCTCATGGGCCATGATGTCTTTGCTCGCCAAGAGCAGGGGCAAAACGGGGTGGCACGACGTTGCGCGAGCATGCTGTCGGAAGTTACGTATCTGCTGTGACGAGATCATTAGATGGATAGATGGGAAGCCGGCTGGCATGTGCAAGCGATGAGCGTCTGCCGACTCCAGCGACTCTGTTTGACGGTCAAAATGCGCGCAAACGCTGCAAAAAGCAGGTTCCGGACGGAGCCGGCAGTTCCATGTCGTTTTTCGCGCGTTGCCTTTTTCGCGTGCGGAGTTTTGAACCCGCGTGTGGGGGTGATCAGTGATCAGTGATGATCAGCAAGAGGAGCAAGAGAGGAGGACGGGCACGCGCTTGTGTGACGGCGCGACTCACCCAATGGCATGTGAAAACTGGGTCGCGGGCGCTGCGCCACCTGTTGGCCACCCCCGTAATCAGAGCTTTTTACGCGTGCTGGACGACGCGTTTGAACCAACTCCGCAATGTGCTGGAAGCCTGGAACACTCCATGAAAGTGTGCAGAAAAGGCCGAAGGACGTTCAACGATTGCTCATCATACTTCACATGTGGATCGAGCAGGAAAACGTGCAGAGTGACAGGTCTTCTATTTACAAAGTGCTTTGGGTATAAGTAAAGCAGCACGTAGTAGTAGTATACATGATATAGGGTCCCAAAAAGTGTCTTCGAAAATAATCTCAGGTCAGTGATGCAAGGGCTGCCGTCCCTCGTTTGATGAAAAAGTCCTGGTCATGCTGCCCAGTCTTCAATTCGACTGCGATGATGAACGATGGTCTTTCCCTGTAAATCATGGTCGGAACGTTTAGTGGATCAGCACTGATGAAATTCGCTTCTGACAACTTATCGCTTTACCTCGTGCCAGAGCGCACTGGGTAGTAGTACAGCGGGCATGCGTAGGCGCCCTTTGTCATTTTCTTTTTGCTATCGACAGGCTTGAAATGGATTGGCGGAAGCGCTGTTAGGAGCTCCATTGGTTTTGGCTCAGAGAGGCAGTTGTTTTTCCTATCCCAGCTGTGATAATCGAATGTTAAAGTAGCTGCCGCGCAAGATGTAACAAGGGATCTTATGGGTACCTTGCGCCTTCCAGATAAAGGTTGTTTATGTAAACGCCTTCTTTGGGTGCCTGCTGTACGTGAGCTTCGTCCTCAAGCTGCAGCACGGAGAACTCCCATGATAAAGCGTCGATGGCGATGCTGTTTCTTCGTGCGGCAGTTTGCAGCACTGCAGTCAGGAATCCGGTCGGGAATGTGAAGGCTCCTAGCCAGAACATCTTTGGCTCGTTTCTGTGGAGGAAGTTGTCAGCATGTGAACCTCCATGCATAAATGCTATCGCAAACCTACCCTTTGGCCCACTCGGCAAAGAACTCCACGCGTTGTGTCAAATCTCGCGTCCATGCCGCCAGTAGCTTTTGGGAGCCATACGCTTTGCTCCACTGCGGCGGTACTTTCCCTTCCGAGATGAACTTGAAGGTTTCCTCGAGTTCCGGTGACATGACTACGATTCCCCTGATCCCATCCTGCACATCCGTCAACGACTTTCTCATTCTATCCAGCAATTGATTGTATCGCTCGATTTCTTGCAGCAATACGACATTTGTGGGTGACAGATCATGCTGGATCAACTTGTATGTAGTGGTGTAGTCGATATTCTCCGGCAGCTTCCGCAGAATATCGGCCGCGAGGGCCAGAACCTTGTCCTCAATCGAAGCACCGCCCGTCGAGCTGACCTGCGGCTGGAGGGAAAGGAGACTCTGGAGCATGTTTGCCGACTCCTTGATCTGACTAGCGATATCGGCGTTGGAGTGCTGCCCAAACACTTCAGGCTTGTCAGCGCCAGGAAGCGAGTTGATGTAGTCGCGCGTGGCGGGTAGCTCGAACGTGTCGGGGATGTAGTAGTTTGGCAGGCTCGACACCTTGAACTGCGGCGTCGTCACTGCTTCCTCGCTGAAGAGAGTGTTCACGTAACTCCGCAACACACGACGATCCCAGTCATCCGTTATCCGGCCTCCGTAATTGGCTTCCGCGATGAGATACCTCAACGCATCCCACGGCGTCTGTGCGTACTCATCCAACAGCACCGTCATGATGTTCTCGCAAATGTCAAAGTCCGAATCGTTGAAATCCGCCGTCACGTTCCACCCAAGCGTCAAGAACTTCTTCCGTTCCAGCAGAATACTATGGAAAAAGCAGAGCGAGAAGAGCAGCTTCTTGTACACTTCGGGCTTCGTACACCGCTCGTAGTTCTCTTCCAGGAAGCCAGCGTACAAGCGAGCCAGATTCGCCTTGACACCCTTGGGAGGCTCGGTGGTCATTTTGATCCCACTTTGCAAGATAGAGATGGGGAAGTCGGGGTGCGGGCTACTGGACAGCCAAATGCGGAAATCGGGGTGGATCCGTTCGCTCGCTAAACTCTCCAGCAGTTTATCCAAACTCGGCATCCAGCTGATCGACAGATGACAGTTCGCGAGGAACACCCAGTTGCCGTCCCGGATCCCGTCGGTGATCAGCTTGGTCGCTTTCGGGGCTTGGCCCTGACCGAGAGACAAGTAGTTGAACCGGTCAGTCATGCCTTGCTTCTCCGCCAGACTCATCAGGTTGCTCGTGGGGTCCATCCCGGGTGACAGCACGAAAATCAACGGCGTGCGCGGGGATGAGTCTGAATAAATATCCATGATATCCAGTATGGGCGGTTCGACGAACTTCTGCCCAAGGTTCGCAACGACAAACTTGCTGGCGCAGAATATCAGCCGGTCGGGGCGTAGCGACCGAACGATGAGCATGCGTTGGAGGTCGTTAAGCTTGTTGTCCCAGTCGCCAGGGAAGGCGGTTTCTTCGGGGTCGCTGGTCATGAACCAGCTCTTCCATTCTCGTTCGCTTTGCTCGAGGGAGCTTACGAGGCCGGCGAAGGTTGCTAGTGCGTCCAGTTCGGTAATGTCATCCCATGCCGTTTCGGTGATCCTGTTGCGATTGTTTGTTAGCGACATGAGAAATCATGCGGCATTCCGCTTCGATCCCAACTTACCATTCTGAATAGGGATTCGGTAGTTGCCGCTCCCTATCAATGACCTGACCACCTCGAAGCAAGAAGTCATATTCATCCTTCGCCAGTTTTCCTGCCGCTGCCATGATCTTGATCGTCATCTGGAAGGCGAAGAGAAGCTTGTGGGCTTCAAATAGACCCCGACATGTGTTCTTGTACACTGCATAGGTATGATAATCGTTGAGATTGAGGATACGCTCTGCCAAATCATCCGACCGTTTGCTTTTCGCAATCGACTTGTCGAACAATTCCGTGTACGCATCCAACGAGAACTGGTACATCGGATCGACAGTCGAGAGGTCATTCAACACGAAATACAGAACGGAGGCCCGTTGAGCACAAGGCCGGTAGCATTCACGCGCCGCATCGATTCGCTTCTCGGTGTCCTCGCTGACGATCAGTTGCTGGGTCACCTGCTCGGCAGTGGTTTTGGAAGACTGGAGCGTGAGGACCAGCTTCTCGTCATCCAGCAGCGATCCCTGGGCGGTACTCAGTAGTTGCAGAATCTCATCTTCTAGATCCGCTAATTTGGTCTTGGCCGCTGCGACGTTGACTACCAACGTGCTCTTCTGGGCCTCGAGCTCTGGTTTCTCCCGCCTGACGACGATCCCAAGCAGTTGATCCTCCAACCCCTTCTCCTTGACAGCAAAGTTGACGACAGTGGCTTTGGCGAAGATCTCAGGCGCATAGTGAGGATTCGCAAGCTTTGTTGTGATGTAGAACCGGAAGTTCGGGTTGTATTCGATCTCCTTGTCACCCAACTTGATTGTCAGCTGAGCCCCCTTTTTCACAACGGATTTGTTCAAGATGGGGTCAAGCATCGGGTCGATCGTGTCGAGAACGCCTTGCAGAATCACGGGCTTTCCGTACTGGATCGCATTCTCGAGAGTTTTCATAAAGTCCGATTGCTTCAAATCAATGATCTTCAGGTCCTTCCCGGAGCCCTCCATGTTCTTGATCCACTTGTTGGCCTGGTTCTGCGGGTCGACCATGATGGACCACCGTCGCCCGCGCGTGACGATGATACCATTCTCAGCCGAAAATGCATCGCTAGGAAGCCCTTGGATGTTCCACTCCCGTATATCTGTCGGTCTGCCAATGAAGTTGTCAAAGGTGAAGTTGGTGGAAAACGGGATCTCCAGCGCTTTGATCTGCCCAAGCCAGAGATTTCCGACAAGCTGTTGGCGGTAGTTGCTCGGGAACGGACCCGCGTACGACAAGAACGCTGCCGCGAGCAGACAGTCACCGGGTAAGTAGTTCATCGCGTTTTCGTAGTTTCCGATGCTCCGCTCCCACCGATCCCGCTCGCCCGCCAATCCGGATACGAGCTGTTCGGCTCTCAGCAGCTTCAGCTCCGTAAGCTCGGAGTCCTGGCGGAGTTTCTCTTTCAGCCCGACTTTGTCGTCGTACTGGTTTTTGAGTTCGATCAACTTGTCTTGAATCTCCTGGAGTTTGGCTTTTGCTTCACGCATGGACTTTTGTTTCTTGTCCAGTGTTTCCTGGGCAGCGCGGAGTTTTTCGCGCTTCGGGGCTACCTGCCGGAATATTGTCCCGTACGTCTCCATGGCACGCACCCACATACAGAGGGATTTGGCTGCACCCGATACTCTACCAACGACATCTGGCTGGAATGTTTCGTCGGCACAATATTGCGAAACCCTCTTTAAGATCTTGTCCGAGATGTTGTCCTTGTCGAATCCGACTAGCTGTTTGATGAAGTACGGATTTCCTAGCTGCTTCTTGGCCTCCTCCCAAGTTGGCTCGGATTTCCGCAGTACCATCACCGCTTCCATGACCTTTTCGACAAGCGGGGGAGGTTTGCCGTACGAGCGAATCTCGTTCAAGTCCTTCTTGTTCAGCCCTTCCAGAGCTTTCATAGCAGCATTCAGTGCTGGCAAAGCTTGATCCAAATCTGCTTGCGCTGCGTCTGCTACAGCTCTAACCTCTTCTTCTTCGACTTCCAGCTTCTCGGCTTTTGTTGCCACACTTTTCGCTTGCTCGTCTGCCTCCCGTTTCTGCTGCACGATAACGACCAGATAATCCTCACATTGCTTTTGAAACTGCGCGACCTGCTTCTTTGCCTCCTCGAGCTCGACCGAGATCTTCTCCACATTCTGCCGGGTATCATCAAGCTTGCTGAGACCATTTCGTAGCTTCGACGCCGCTTTGCCGATTTCCACCCGCTTCTCCTTCAGGAGCTGGATGTACCCGCTCACAAGTTCAAGATAGTTGATAGGAGTGACATAGTTGTATCGTTTGAGCTCGGCCCGCATCTTCGCTGAAGTTTCCACCACCGACATATGCACACTCACGAAAACCTGCGAAACCGCCCGCCGCATCGCATCGCTTCCCACATCAACGGTCTCCATGTACTTTACACCGACCTCGAGCAACGCGTCCTCCGGCCACTCCGAGAACCAATCGATGGTCGTGCAGTTGACCAACGCTGGGAACATCCGCAGGCGGTTTCGGAAGGGTTCCCCGACGGGGCTCATACATATGATCATGTGCAGGTTGGTTCGCGCTCGCTCGAGGAACCAGGTGTACGCCCCATCCGGCGTTTCTAGGAGCTTTTCACCTTTGCCTACCGTTTGAAGGGTTTGCTTGATTTCTGTTAACTCTTCTGCGGTGAAGAGATTTGGTACCTGATTCAATTGGGCAAGGTCAGCCTTCAAGGTTTATCCAAGCCCAATAACAAGCAGCAAAGTTTGCGAATAATGGAAACTCACCTCTCCGCTGCTCAAGATGTTGCTGATATCCTCAAGAAACGTATCTGAAACAATCTGCTGGTCTGTGATCAGGAATGCCACCGCCTTTCCATCCACGCCAGCCTTTCGGAATACAGTCTTCAAGTCTTCCCGGAAGTCCGTGTGACGGTAATGCTTCGATATCTTGATCTGGAAGACGTCCGTTTCGACAATATAGGCAGCCAAGCGGGTAAGCGATTGACGACCGCTGCCCCCAACACCGATCAGAAGCACGTTGCCCGCTGGCTGGCGCAAGATCCGAGTAATTCTGCAGATATGTTCCATGGCGTCGCGGAACAGAACCAAATCTGCTTGGACATAGCCAGGCTCCGAATTGTAGTCCTTGAGCTTGTCGTCCATGAACTTCTTCAACGTGGCGACTTGCGGGACCTCTTCGTAAACTAGCTCGGCGCTTCCTTCGCGTAAGAAGTCGACGAAGATGGGGATCCGCTTGTCTGGGCCACATAGCTGCTTCAGGCTCGTCGAGAAATGCGTACCAAGCTTGTCATCGACGAGTTTGTGGAAATAGTCTCGGTCCTCTTTGTCCACGAGACGGTCATGAAACACTCTGTAGATCTCATGGACGTAGAGCTTCTGGAAGGACTCTTTGGAGTCGTAAAAGTCTCGATTTGCACGTAGCAAGCCTTGGAAGACCCTGGAGATATCGCGAAGATTGAAGAGGTAATGGATTTTCGCCGGGGTTGGGAGTAGGTGGGAGGCAATCGAGTGGTATATCTCCACCGTCGCCTGGGTGATGAGATCTCCGAGCTGTTTGACATCTTCGTCAAAGTCCTGCAGCTTTTGGTTGATGATCGTGCCGAACATGCGCTTGACCGAAGTCTCCGTAGGGAATGTCATATTCACTACGTGGAATCGTGATTGTACTCGGGGGCTCAGTCGACTCCTGCCTCCTCCTGGAGGGCCCATAGCCGCGACTGCTAGCACATCATTCATGTACTTCTGCGTCTGCTTCTGGCGATCGTAGCAGAACCCGTAATCCATCCACTGTCGCAGGAACTCCAATGGTGGTTGGGATCCGAAGGTGTCTTTCGCAGGCATATTGAGGTCGTCAACAAACATTATGAGATGCTTGCCTCCGATCGGGACGAACATGTTCTTGGTGCGTTTCTCTAGCTTAGATTCTAGAATAGACTGCAGCCCGTTCGAGGATGTTCGCGCCGACATGTTGACCATGAGAACGTTGCTAGTATCCTGATTCAATATGATCTGATGAACCAGGGAAGTTTTTCCCGTGCCAACGTCTCCAACTGCCAGTACAGGACTTTTACGACTGATCAAAGATTTGATCACAAACTCATTCCGGATGCTATCGATGGTTGGCACAAATATCTTGTAGAACGGCGTTCCGGGTGAGTAGCGCCATCCGGAGGGTAGCTTGTCTTCCCACGGCCCCCAGGACTTGTTTTGCTTATCGACGTAGTACTCGTACACCGTGTCCTTGCTTGGAAATTGACCTTCAATCTCGCGGAGGAACATGTCAAAGCTCTTGCGGCTTTCGTCCGTGAGCGACCCTCCAAGCGTCCATATGATCGAGAACAAGAACCAAAGCTCGATCATGCGCGAGTACGAGTCTTGATCTGCGGGATCAACACCATTCTCCCTTGTCGCAACGGCATCAAACAACGTGCAGAATGAAATCACGGCAGATATCTCTGGAACGGGAACAAGTTCCTTGCAGGACTTGCGGAATTCCAAAGTTCTTGGAAGATACTTGTCGACCAAGCGACCCAACATCTCTGCAGAGCCCTTGTCATCGCGGCATTGCATCCAAGATGTGAGGTATGGTCGCCATCCCAAATCCTCGTAGTCCATGTATATCATGCCCACGCGGCTGACCGTCGCAGGCGAAGCTGTGGACATGTCGTCGACCTCAAATAGCAGAGATACCTGCTCCACCAATGCAATACGCTCTCCATTGATCAGAGTGAGAACTTTGTTATCATCTAGCAATGTGTTCATGGATTCAATCCAAAGTGTGTCGACGGGACCATCGAGAATCAGCCATTTCTGGTCTGGCTTTTCGTCGGCGCAAGCAGCACGCATCAAGTTTGACAGGACGCCATCAGTCCACTCGTTGGTGCTGATATTGTTTTCTCCATAAAGTTCCCCAAGACTGAGAGCTTTGGGGTTCAATGGGTACGTCTTCACTGCACGATATATGTCTGGATTGGTTTTGGCCAGTCGGCCGCAGGTGCTTTGCAGAAGCTTCCAGACAGTGGACTTTCCAGATCCCGTCGCCCCGACAATCATGACTCCATGGCGAGTGAGTTTGGTTTCATATAACTGAATGACCTTGGTAATGATTCCCTCCAGTGGCTGCAAGTTGCGTTCCTTCATCTCTTCCAAAAGCGCGGTCCGGAAACTTGTGTAATCCACGGTCGGAGCTTCCACTCCCGGGAAAAGATCAGAGAGCATCCCCATGAACAGCGGGACATCCCAAGCGGTCAATTTCGGGATGTTGTTATCTCGCATCGATAGGTATACGACGATGTCGTCCGGGACAGTGATATCATCTCGTTTGCGTGCGCCCGCGCTGCGGAGAGCTGAGGTCATTGCACGAAGACCGAAATCATAATGATCCTGTTTCGACAATTGCTGAATCGACAGCTTGTACAATGTGTCCACCTTCTTCGACAAAATGCGCGTATTCGAGAACCCTTCGGCGAAAAGCATAATCTCGGCAATCAGCGCGCTGTCAGGAACCATCATGGCCACCGGTCGGAAGAGGGCTTTCAAGTTGTCGGGCAGCTCAGTTCTGCCTGCGTATCCTGGATTCATGGTGATGAAGATCGCGCAGGAAGTATTGAGGCGGATTTCCTGGCCTTCGAAGACGAATACCTTCGCAATACGGGCTATCGCCGAGAGGATGGACGAAATTTGTAAGGCTACGACACTCAGAACTTCAATGTTGATGCGGTTGAACTCGTCGAAGCATCCCCAGGCACCGGTTTGCGCCAATCCGGAGAACATCCTGCCTATGGACTTGTAGTCCATGTCTTCGGAGCAGTTCTGCACGATCACATATTTCCCCAAACTCTTTCCAAGATCCTTAACCGTCTCTGTTTTGCCCGTCCCAGCTGGTCCTTGTGGACTACCTCCACGATGTAGGTGAAGAGCGGTCGTAAGTGTCATATAGCACCGGTCCGTCAACGGGGTGATCACCAGTCGTCCACTGTTGCCCAGGTACTCGTAACCGTAACGGAACTGGGTGTTGATCTGTCGTATGAAGCAATCTTCATCGTCTTTGGCCTCCTTCTCCCAATAGAATCTAAGCTGACAGAGCCAATCAAAAGCGTTGACATCCGACACATTCGTTTTGATCAGGCGATCAATGACATCCCGCGAGTGGACTTCGATTGTGATCAATGAGATTAGCTTTTTGCGTTCGGTCTTATTCAAAGGAGATCTGACGAGATCAGCAAGTTTCTTCAGGCGTATCACTTGCTTCTTCTTTTGATCGCGCATAGCGTGTTTTTCGCCGTTCTGAATGTCCTGTAATGCTTTGGTGCAGTCCATTGTCCATGTCATCAGCCCTGCGGTGATGAGAAGTTGGCCGGGCCAATCCTTCAGCCATCTGTCCATTTTGACTTTTTTCATGCTCATCAATGTTCCCATCAGCAAGCGTCGCAAAGTTACGCGCATGGCGGTCTCGACGTCAGTCAGCCAACTTTCCACCGGACCTATGATTGCATGATTCAGCCTCGCTAACGAAATAATAGTGTTGTGCAGGTATCACTCACCTTCGAGCAAAACAGGGCTATTGAATGGCACGTATTCACCATCAACTGAATGCATTCCGACGGCTTCTGTGTGACGCCGACTATCTGTACCTGCGATGGCTAGTTCAAGTTTGTTGATACCATCGAAGCATTTCTTCAGATGCGATTGGACGGCCTGCGGATCCTTTGCTTGACCCAGAATTTCCAGCAGGTCATCGTTGGATATGAAGTAGAAACGTGGGAAGGCTTGACGCTTAGTTTCCAAGTACATGTCGAGCGATTTTTGAATCTTCTCAAGCTTTTGATTCATGTCATTCAGCTTCTCAAGCAGTTCGGCTTGGTGGGTCGCTCGCAAGACGTTTTTCAGCTCCAACATTCTGTTCATAATTGCTTTCCATCCATTGTTCACACCGTCGAATAAAGCTGACTCCTTGGGAAGCTGTTTCCTGATGTCTTCGGCACCAACAAAGATGTTCTCCAAATACATCCATTGACGTTGCACTTGAAGTAGCAGCTCAATTACTTCCATAATTCTGGAGAGAGTACGCTCCCAATGATCCACTTGACTCTCGAAAGCGAGGAAGAACTTCGATGCCTTCATTGAGGACAGCGTCACTTGATTGTCCTCCAAAAGCTCGAAGATCGAGTCGGTGCTGCGGAGCTTGGAGTACCCCCTCTCCTCTTTGTAGGCAACAATGTCAAGTTCTAACTCATCCCACGAAGCTTTAATCGTTTGCAAGCCCTGTTCAATGGAAAGCTCCTTCGTCGCGGCCGACGAGATGCCCGCTATTGACTCCGCATGCTGATCCAAACCAATATCCAGGATCTTATCCAAAGTGAAATCTTTGCCTTTGGGGTCGAACGACTTGCCGACCTCATCAATGAGTTCGGACCAGTGTCGATCTCTGAGAGCCGGGTTCCTTAGATCCTGCAGTAAAGGGATAGTGCGCTTCGTATGTTGGACCCGATCGCGCAAGGATTGGAAAACGTCCCACTCCCGCATTTCACGTCCGGTCTTGTTCAATCGTTTTAAGAATCCTTGGACCGATTCGTCTACTTCGCCTGCGTCGAGAGTGAGGAATGGACGTAGGCGCCATGTCTCATACATATTATTCCATTCTTCGAATAAGGTCCAGATTTGGCTAAGAAGCTCCAAGGTATTGGTCATGAATTCCACATCTTTAGAAGGAGGCTGCTCCAGCTGGAAGACCGCAAGCCCTTTTTTTAGCTGATCCTCGCTGTTAACCGCGTTGTTCAAGGCGACCCGATACTCTTGAATGCATTTCAGCGCCTTTTCTACCCCGAAGCCAGCGTTGAAGGGGCCCTTTCCAAGGAACTCCTCTCGCAGAGACGACGTAGTCCTCGAAAAGTCGTCGATTGCAGTGAGCAGGTCCGCCTTGAACTTGGATTTGTATTCTTGCAACGTCTTCCCGGAATCAGCAATGGTTTGCTGGAACGCCTGCCATTTCACAGGTAACGTCTCGAGCAAGGCCTTTTCGTCATCCTTGATTTGCACTTCATACTTTTCCAGGATTTCGTATTGTTCGCGAATCGGCCGGAATTGCCCCTCGATGGATTGCAATGAAGTCTGCAGCTTCTGGAGAACGCCAAGACTATCCCCCAACTGGTCCAGATCCCGTGGAACAGTTCGGAGCTTCTCTGCCTTCTCGACGAACATCTTGTGCAGACTAATCAAGTCGGTACTAGCGTTGTTATTGAGAAGGGTCGTAAGCTTGTTCTGCCACGAATTGCAATGGCTGACCAGCGCATGCTTCAACAAAGAGCAGTCAAGGCGAATGAAGTTGATATTTGTGAGGGTTTCCTCCTTCTGCGTATTGTTCGCTACTTCGTTGTAACGATTGATGTCGGCGTCGAAGGTCGACAAGGCAGGCTTCAATTTTGCATAACGGCGTATAAAAGCGTCCTTGTTGATTTCCCAGATTTCTCTGTAGGTGTCCCAAGTGCGAAGATACTGCTGGCATTTCACTGCGTTGCTCGACATTCCATTCTGGATCGTCACGAAGATCTTGAGGATATCCTCCTCGTTTGCTATAATATCATAGAAACGTGGCTTTCGTTCGACCGTGTCTGATCCAAGGATTTGACTGAGGCGCGGTATCACTTCGATAGTCGATATCATCTCGCGGGCAACAGTATTGATGGTTCTCTCCAGATCTGTCAGACTTGGATTGAAATCCACTCGTTGGCTTTCCAGAACAACGTTCACTTTGAAAAGCGGTTGGACTTCCGCGCCCCCATCGCGCGTTTTCCCTTCGCCATTGATGGCCTTATTTATCTCCTGCAAGGACCGACGTACAGAGGTTCGAAGCGCTTCCTCCACAGCCGCATCGATCTTTTCCACATACTGAATCCATTGGCTATACACCTCTCGACCATCATTTCGGAACACCTCGTATGTCGTATGCAGCGTATTGCGAATGTTCTCATGCAGCGCAGCGAGCTTCTCCTGGATGATGCTGCGATACCTTTCCTGGGATTTGCCAAAATCCTCGAGCTCGTATATGCGTTTGCTTTCGACGTTCCACAGCAGTGAGTCTGCTATCAGCTTGCAGTTCCTCCGTATACGCGCATTCGACTCGATGTAGTCTGACACGGTTTTCTGCACATCTTGAGAGTAGCGGCGACATTCCTTGACGAAGTAGTCGGTTATGCCCTTGGATGCCCATGTCAAGCTCACGAGGCCGGGGTTGATCTTCCGATCGAGAAAACGAATTCGCTCACGGAACAGCAGATGCTCTTCGGGTGACAAGGTTTCCATGATACTGTTGTGATCTCGCACCACGAGAAGGATATTCTCGCGTAAGACACGGAGCTCCTCCCGTTTGCTGTAAATCTCCTGAATATGGAACGGGACGTCCATTTTCAACTTCTGCCAGTACGTTATCTCCGCAAAAACTCGCAGCAAGGTTCTGTCAAACTTGACTTCCAGCATGCCTTGCCCTCTGCGTGCCATCAGAGCGTTGTCCAATCGGGTGCTCAGCTCCGCCGGAAGCTCCGCTATCCATTCCGAATGCACGCGAGACAGGTAGTCATCTAGTGCACCCACCAGAAGTTCGTACTGGACCTTGGCATCATCCGCCAGAAGAGTTTTAGGAAGGTAATACGCATTTTTTAACGCGTTCATCGAGTAGCTAATGCGCCGGAGCAACGAGCGCGCCCAGTATGCAGAGCCGGATTCGTCAGGTTGAGACCGAAGGATCTCCGGACTCTTCCTGTGGGCTTCGAATTCGAGCTTCACGGCGTTCAGCTCCTGGAGAAACAGGTTATACGCGTCGGCCGTCTTCTTTTCCACCGTCCTTTTGATCGCTTCTCGTTTGGCCAAATGATGGAATATTTCCAAGAGTTCAACGCACGCCTCCACCGTCGTGGCACCGTCAAAGGCTGATGAGATGGTGTTCTGCATCATGACCTCCAAATCTTTGACACCCTGTTTAAAGGTGTTATAGTCGTCGTGCCATCGTGTGATTTTGACATCGAGGATATATTTGCGAATGTCCCATAAACCGGAAAGCAGCTTTCCGAAGGCTATCTCGATATCTTCTAGACTAGAACGCGAACATTGGTGACGATCAGAGGCTCTTGACGGAAATCAACCACACATACCTTTTGCTGATCTCCGGACCTTTTGATCCGCCAAAGAATGGCAGCGGTGCTTTCTCCCCGCCTTGAAGCTTCCGCGCAAATTGAACCTGCCCTTCACAGACCTCCAGTAAGTCCCGGCAGCGTTGCACAAAAGCATCGATTTGAGCAAATATGCTACTCTCATCGAAATCCCAACGACGTTTGGTGAACTTTGCGATATGCGCGCAATGCTTCTTGTAGATCAGCTTCCATGACTCCCCACAGCTGATGCTCTCCTGTAGACTGAGCATACTTGCGCGGACATCTCCATGGAAAATCTCATCCAATGATATCTTGGCGCAGCAACGGTGTATTATCTCATTGCTGACTTTCCGCAAAAGGCTCGTCAAGCGCTCTTTGGTGTTGTAGTATTTCGAATTCGCCCAGATGATGCGAATGCAATCTAGAAGTTTAGGAAGTACCCCAGGTATCGACTTGGGCTCCGTTGTCGCAAGCACTTGACAGGGCTCCGCAAGCGTCGAGAGGAATTTCAGATTATCCTGCGCTTGAGTCGTTCCCTCCTGGATGAGATGAACCAAGCGCATGAACTGCTCCAAGTACGAAGATCGCGCGAGATCAAGAATGTGCAGGATCTGACGCACATCAGCGCGGTCCAGCTGAGCACTTATCCCCGACAAATCATCACATCTGCTCCGCCAGAATTGGATCTCTTCCGTCGGTCCAGAGTTTTCAATCGTTTCCGAAGCGTGTTGATTGTTGACGACTTCCTTGATCTGCCGGGTCCAGTGCATGAGAAGCGATTCCAGTCGCTGGATCACGTCTTTTCGCTTCGCGCACGATTCGGCATCCGTGAGCTCTTCCCTGGGTACGTAGAGCACGGTGTGCCCTTTCATCTGAAACGCCGCATCGGTTAACAGCGCCATGAATTTGTGCAGCTGGTTGTTGAAATCTTTTCGAGCGCTCTCCGGCCAGCGTTGATTGTTCGATACGATTGGAGTGAATACTCCATCCATCAGCCGTAAAAGATTCGGCATCGCTCCTCCCGTAATTGTCCCATATTGAACCATACGCTCGAAGTTGGCATCGCTGATTTGTTCGTGTTCCGACGCTTTGTCTCGAAGAAAGTACATAAGGTCGGGGTTCGACTGGTCTTGCAGTGTATCGGTGAGGTGAAGCTGCGGACTCCCATTGCGGTTGTCGACAAAGGCAAATAGTTTTGCAGCGGTTTTTGCTTCGAGGAAGTTCGCTACGGTCTTTTGATGTTCCTCGGTCCAGATGTCCTTGGTGAACGACGGCAACGTTAGAAGGGTACAGAAACGATCCACCAGTTGCCCAACTCCATGGCCTTCCGGCGGCACGCTGGAGGTCAGCATGGTTCCCTCTGCGCTCGGTCGCAGGAGAGTGCTCAGTAACTCAAAAGAGGGAGGCAGACGTCTTGTACAGCTTCTCGGGTTTGTCACCTTCAACGTCCGATTCTCAGATTTCAAGCAAAGCCCCTTTCTGACGCGTTCTTGCTTACCTGATGGTGAACGCGTGCGCTCGTCACGACCATCTTTCGAAAGAGTCCCAGAGAGGACCACTCTCATCACCCGGCAACAAGCTTCTGGGCAAACCCAACTAAATCGGCCAAGCAAACACAGGTAGGCCCTTAACGACCTCGTACATAGTTCGGCAAGGCTGTGCAAACCAACACTCGCTACCATCCCCCTCTGCCTTCTCCCTCTCCCGATCACCCCCGGTTGGGACATCGTTATGGGCCTTCGTTCACGCACGCACATCAGGAGGTGCAAAAGTAGATCGTCTCAACGCATCATCGCAACCCACTCCGTAGCTTCGGATCGAGCTTTCCGATGATTGAAAGCGCCTCCGGAGTTTTTTTTTCATATCTCCCTATTCGTTTGACCCGTTTTTCGCGGATGCTGACGTCTGGCACGTTCCCTGGGCTTATAGTTTTATGAGCGAGATTGGGGCCAGCAGGGATGCCAATACAGGGGTGGCATGGACGCTTTATCTTCTTGGGCCCCCTCACGTCCACTTGTTACCAATGCTGTCCGCCCTCCGCAACTCAGGAGCAGCCGCGTATGGAACAGCGAATAAGAAAACGAGCATCGGAAGCATGGAATTTCGAGGATGCGCCACCGCTCTGTCCAACGTTTTGCCCCAGTCATCGGTGGGCCGATAATGGGAGACTGCTGTGATCGAAACAAGGACAGGTGTTCTGGACTTACGACTTGGGACACTGGACCTTCCATCCAACTCTCGAGCGACGCGGAGCGATTTGGCCTATTGCATTCGACCACCCAGACTGCCTGGGATTGACGACTTTCGGGAAGAATTTCGGACAAAACCGCGGTCGCTGCGATGCAGCTTTCGATAGTCTATCCGCCAAATCGGTCGGTCACAAGTGGGAATGAACGCTATCGTGGCTTCAACGAACTGCTGCGAGTGGGACGGAGTTTGTGGATTGTGGACAGAGTCTTGCTGTAGTACGGGCGTTTTGCTTTCTTTGGAGGTTGGACGTTGTATGTATCCACTCGCTGCACAGAACATTGCGTTGGTCACCCTTCCATAAACCGATGCCCTTTCAATACTTGATACGCAGTCCCACACTTGCGAGCTTGTCCACTTGCAATCAGAGCTTCCGCAACGGCCATGTCCCCCACAAGCACAACTTCCCTCCCTGTGGCTTCAACCTCTTCCCTCCCTGTAGCTTCAACCTCTCCGGGCGAGGATGCAGCACATCTTCCCGGCGATGCTCCATTGTTCTCTTCCGCAGCACGAGGCGGAAGACTTCCACATCAACCTCCTTCAGATCTTCACCCACACATATGCGCATGCAGACCAAGCACAATACCAGTGCCCGCGCATACCCGTGTCAACAGACAGTGACGAGCAAACTCGACAGGAAGGCTAGGTTTTTCACTGTATATTCCAACCCCATGTACAAAATCCAGACATATCCATCATCGCCAGGCACAAGACAAGAGAAGATATACCCTTAAGCCTTGGGGGCAACGGGCTTCTTGTCCTTCTGGAAACCACGGAAACGCTGGGGAGGGGTACGGTCACGACGACCTTCGACGGAGCGAACACGGACGATCTTTGAGTGGATGGCGCAGGAGACGCAGTAATGCATCTTGATGTACAGCTTGGGGAGAGCGTACTCTACAAAATTCCAAAGGGGAAGGTTAATCGCTATTCCTGTGTTCTCCAAAAACAAAGCTGAAAGTCTTACCTTCGAAGACGGAGGCCTCAGACAAATCGCGAATGGCAGCTTGCTCAACCATGTTGCGAATCAAGAACCTCTTGATGGCCTTGTCCTTGGGGACGCATCGCGCGCAGTTGGAGCAGCGGACGGGCTTAACGTGGCCGCGTCCGTGCTTGGAGCGTCCGTTGTTCCTCCTCTTCTGAGTCTGCGAGGGAATGCCGAGAAATGGCGTGTTAACCCTCCATTTGACAAGCACTGCGTTTGTGTGTTCCGTTCTCCCATGTTCTTCATGGCCCTCTCAATGCTCGAAATGTCGCCGTTCCTCTGGGGAGTTCGCTGGTACCCATGCCACATCTCAGCCCCACGTCAGAATAACATCCTCACACATGAGCGAGCTGATACCACGGTTCCCCGGAGTTGCCACACCCATTGCCAGCGAACCCGTCGAATATCGTATTCCAGTGCCACCCCCTTCCCTCTCGGCGCCGTTGTCCACAAGCCCTCTCTCCACAATCGCAATTCGAGAATTCAATGTGGGCCAATTCGGTTCCACTCGTTCGTCCGTCCGTCCATCCATCCGTCCATCCATCCATCCGTCGCTCGGAACCCCTCCCTCCACTCGCATTCGTCCATCCTTCCTCGGCGGTCGTCGCTGCTGCTCCTTGGTGGTGTTCGGTGCTTACCATGATGAGATTGTGGTTCCCACTTAGACTTCGCCGGAAATTGAGAGGGCTGTTCAACTAATGCCTGCGAGCGCTCAGTGACCCAAGCACTCGGCCCGCAACCCGCGTCGATAACTAACTGTGAGGAAAATAAGTAACAGGTCACGTGTCGTGTTTTAGGTTGTTCAATTAGCCCATTCAGCATCTGTTTCTCTGTTTCCTGGGCGAAGTAACTATTGTGGAGGAGGATGGATTCGAAGGGGACCTCAGGCTACTACAGACGCTCACTCTGTGACGTTCCGTTCTGCTGTAAGGAGCTACGTTCACCTGGGTGGAAGCAAGAGCGGGTGACAAGGCGTCCAAAGGTGAAGCCGGCCGCCACTCTCGGCATTCCACAGCGCAGGCCGCCGCGTGCTTCTCCCGACGAACATCGGAGAGCAGTCCCACTGCATGATGCATTCAGCGGAATGTGTTGGAGGATGCCGAACTCGGTGTGGACATCCCCAATTCCAGTGTCCAAAACGGTCGGAGCACTCCCGCAGTCCAGAGACATGTCCGAAAACGCGTGTGACATGAACTTGAACCTGAGCGATCCCCTTTTTGCCCTCACAAATCCCCCTTTCGGCATCGTCCCTTGCTTTTTTCATTGCTGCCGTCGGCCGTTGGACAGAAAGGGACAAGGAGAGGGATCTGCCGTGTGGGCTTTTCTATCATGTTACGCTTTTTCGTCCCGGGTCAGACTGTCGAGCTGTTCGTGCCAGACCTGAGAGGTGTGGGAAAGAAGGCTGTCAAGCATCTTGCACAGCGTTCCAGTTTCTTCCCGCAACTGACAACTATCAGCTGAAGACAGCATACTCTCGCCGCTAGTTTCTGAGCTCTCCTGCAAGTCTCGCTTCCCGTTCTCCATTCCTCAAGATCGTTGCCCGTCCCGTGAGGCACCCCCGGTGTTGTCTGACAACAGTTCCTGACCATCTTACCATCTCCGAGAAGCACTTCGCAATACAGCTGCGGACTGACACATACACTCCCAATACCGTTCTGTTACGGACTCACATTGAGAGAGGACACCGCGCTAGCTGCGAGACGTTTCTTTGGGCACAAGTCGACGGAAGCTCACCAGGCATTGCGGCCATCTCGGGAAAACCAGCTGCGCACGACTACGCACGCGTTCTCCCCCAGAGTCATCTCAAAGTCCGACAACCCCCCCACAAACCCCGCCGCCCTCGAACCCCCCAACCATGGTCAGCTTCTACCTCCTCCACCGGGGCCTAACCTACTTCACCACCTCGGGCGCCAATTTCCTGCCCCTCCTCAAACACGCCATGGACCTCTACTTCGCCAAACGTTACGCCAGCGTCCCGTGCGCGCAGCCCTGGTTCCGTTATACCTGCTTTGACGACTTCAGTACCGACTGGTCCTTCCGCACGGAGCTCGGCTGCGTCTCCATCATCGCGCTGCTCACGGTTCTCATCCTCGGCTTCCACACCTTACTCGCCACGTACCATTTCATGTGCTGCTGGACCGCACGGAAGGGCGATTTCCTTGCCGGCACAGAGTTTGGATGCTGCGGCGCCGCAGCGGTCGTGATCGGCCTCGCGGCGGATGACGAGGAAGTCAGCCGCGTTGTCCCGACCAAAGTGAAGCATCGCCGGATGACGAGGGTGGTGACCGCCGTGTTGGAGGTGCCGTTGATTGCGGCGGCGTGTGTGGCGATTAATATTGATACGTCGGATACGGTGACCGATAGTCATCGGAGCAGTTTGTGGTTGCTTTTGGTGGTGTTGATGTTGAATTTGTCGAGCTTTATTGATAATATATATGAGGGGTTGATGATGTTTGTTATGGTTTGACGACATACCCCCCCGGCGTAGTATCTAGTCTTTCCCCCCCGAGATGGGAGTTCCCCTAACGGACATAATCGTGGCGTATTGCTGTTAGTCTTATACTTTGTCTGAATTTTCCTGTCATCAGAATACGTGTTAGAGGCAGCGAGGACGTTGATTCTGAAGCCAAGAAACGTGTGGTGGTGGTATTTGATCGAAATGTACATATCTACAATGAGGTTGCGGGGGTGTGTATGCTACATGCTATTTACAAAAGTCAAGAGTGTCCCTCAATCCAAGCGTCCGTAATAGGATCTAACCTAATCCTCTAAGTATCTCTACGCCTACACCGCACAAGCAACCACGCCGTTCGCGACCAACCTCGCCCTCAACGTCTGTCTAATCCTCGCCTCGACCCGTCCCCGCTGGCCCATCCCCCACTTCCCCAGCCGCGTTTGCCGCAGCATCCTCTGCCCGCTCTCCACCCTCCGAATCTGGAACCCGGCAAAGTCCCTCAGCCACGCCACCCACCTCCCAAACACCTCGCTCGGGACGACCAGCTGCCACTGTAAACCCTCACAGATGGCCTTTTTCATCGCGACCAGCAGCGCGGTCGACAGCCCGCTGACGTAGGAGTAGTGCGAGATGGAGTGCGGGATATCGTTCAGGAACGAGTCGGCGGTGGAGATCGCGGCCGTGAGGAGCACCAGCGGCGCCAGCGGGGTGGAGGCCATGACGTGGGTGACGGCGTGCGTGTGTCGTGGGTTTGCGTGCGCGAGGCCGGCGAGGTATTGGAGGGCGAGGAAGACGGTGGTGGGTTTGATGAGGGTGCGGGAGAGGATGGTGTGCAGGGAGTGGGTGAGGCGGGGGAGGTTGGTGGTTTTGGCGGTTGCGGGGAAGAGGTGGATGAGGACGTGGACGGCGAGTTTGGCGAGGGAGGCGGTGTGCGAGGAGTGGGTGCCCCGGTGGTGCGGGGTGGGTGCGGATGGCGGGGAGGTGTCGTCCATTGCTGTGCCTTTGCGGAGATGTGATATGCGGCGGTTGATTGTGTGCGGTGTTGGTGGGCGAGGGATATAAGAGACCCGAGGACTATGACCGACTAACAGGCGGGCGCACCGCTGACATCGACACTGATATAACTTGCCAAAAAAGCTTGTTCTTGCTCCTTCCTTCACTTCTTTCCGCCGATGCCGTGGTAATTCCCGTCTATATGATGAATGTCCCGGAGCCGCACGGAAAGGGGTTCGCCGCGGCTGTTGAAGCGACTCGAACGAGTATGAGAATGTGAAGAATGGGTGATTGATGAGCGGGGAGCGGGAGTGTGAGTGTCTGTGGATGGGATAAAGTGGCGAGCGGGTATTGAGGCCTGAAGGAAAAGACGAACGGCCAAGTGTCAGAACGACGAACCCCCACGGCCAGCGCGCGTTGCGGTCTGGGCTTACGTGATTTCCCGACGGCGAACCATGCGGCCGTGTTGGTTGGCGCTCAATCAAACGCGTCCCGTCTTGCTATTTTTGAGCAAACCAGTGGTTTCACTTCAAATTCAGAGGGAGGGGGCCAAAGCGCCGCCGGGGTGCTGCCAATCGTAACAAACCTACTAGTAGGCCTCAAACGGTTCGACTCCCCAAAAGCTATATCCCAACGCCCAGTTTCACTTCTCAATCACTCCCATCGCCCATAACTCCTCAAAGTAATGCTTCCCCCTCTCATGTTTTGATCGTTCGATGGAAGGTGTGGTTGGGTACGTAACGTAAAAACCCACACGGAGATGGACAAAGCCGGTTCCTGTTTGCTTGGTCGAGTCTTTGCCCAATCATGCAGCCTTACAAATGCGTATACCGTACGTACGGAACTGCCCAGTTTCGGGGCGTGCCGGAGCTTACTTTTCGTTGGAATACCTGTGATCGGAGGTCTCTGAAAAAAGGGTTCCCAACACATCGTTGCGAACCAATGTTGCCGGGATCCCCGACCAGAAACATTCAGATGCAGCTGCATTTGCCTCGTTGAGCACGGAACGGTGACATGACAATCACGGCGCTCGAAGCATTCAGGGGTGTGCCGTTTTGGAGCGTTATGTGGATCCGGCCGGAGCACATCCCATTTTGGAGGACCCCATGCTGGAAGCCCGCTACGAACGGGCCTGCTCCCGAGCATTGAGTCGTAACCCCTTTCGGGACGGACAACAACGGCTTCAATGCAACTTTTTGTCGAAACATATGTTGTTGTGTGATGGGAGATCCCCCACACAACGTTGCAGACCAACGGGTGCTCTCTTAGATTCGACACGGGATCCGCAAAGAACAATACAATACACGCTGACGGTATTGACAATTCCCCTATTGCGGATTGAAAGCTATCTGCCGGAGCGCATCCCGTCTCGTAGCGGAGTTTACCGGGGTATCGCATTGTCAAAGCAACAGGCCATGATATAAATGGGAAAGCGTCCGCTGGTGTCAGGTGACGTCCCCAAGTTTCTAAGTTCCATGGTTGCCAAATGACGAGCGGGAGGTACGAGCTCCGAGGACATTTGGGAGTGAGGGCGGGAGCACAAATGAGTTCCTTTACGTATACAGTAAATAAGGCGCATTATTACGTAGCGGGCAGAACGGGGATTTCCGCCCATTACCGCCGGGTGGGGGCCTATTACCCTCCCCAACACTGGAGCTCGCTTGGTACTGTATACATCTATAGATCGTAGCTTAAAAGTGCTTGATGAGACGATGAGATGATGCTGTCTGTCTGTCGCGTCCGCCCATGTCCAAATCTGTGTCCAAATAACCGGCCAAAAAACCATACGCTTTCTGAACAAGGCCGCAACGGACCGCTGACTGACGGACTTTAACAAAAGACCCTCATCCACAAGGACACCCCCCCAACTGCTCTTACCAAGCTCAGCCTCACGAGTACATATACCCAGAGTGCCAGCTTATACACTGAGAAACCCGCTCTGCGAAACAGTCGGCCTGAGAAGAGCTTCGAATTCGGGGCATTTGAACACCTTACTTACGACTGCTGGACCAGTCGTAACTCCTCCCAACAACAATGGAATTCCATCCAGCAGAACAACCACCAGCAACAGTCACTGCAATCCCAATGTCCGTGCCAACGACCACCACCGCCACCCCCGCCCCCATCACCCCTGCACCGCTCACAACCACCACCAGCACAGTCCCCGACGCAACAGCCAACACCCACCTCACAATAAACTTTGGCACCCAGGAGAACTACGAGGCCTTTCGAAAGCATGTTAGGGAGGATCCCACCTTTTTGAAATTGAGATCCCAGGAACTGACAGACTGGTGGTTGGTCAAATTCTTTGATGGGGCGAGAGGGAATACGGAGTTGGCATTGAAGATGTTGGAGAGGACTCTTGTAAGTTGAAGGGACGCGAGCGATAGGGGGCGGTTGCTCGAGGTTCCGAGCGATAGCCGAGCGATAGCGAGAAGAGTGACTGAGGTTCGCGAGCGAAGCGAGGTGCAGGGATGCTTCGGTCTGGGAGACCCATAGGTCGACCATAGCGAATGCCTTCTGGTTTGCGATGTGAGCGCGAGCAATAGCGAACCGCGAGCATTGCAAACGGCTTCGCGAACGACAGCGAAGCGCGAGCGGCGCACTTGCGCCAAAGGCGCAAGACTCCCGTCACCGCATTACTTAGCGAGCTTCGCACATTCGCGGCCCGACCTCCTCGTAATTCGCGAGCGGAGCGAGCAGGGTATCGATCATCCATATAACCATCCATCAACCATCCAATCGCATCGCAACTGACATTCATTTTCCCTCATTTTTTTATTTTCATTTTAGCAATGGAGGATAGACTATAAGTATTCTTCGCTCCGCACGGAGGACTTTTCCGCGGACCACGCGACCGGCAAACTGTACTTCCATCACTTCACAAAAGACTCGACCCCCGTGCTGATCTGGCGCATCTGCCGCCACAAAGCCGACCCCAAGAACGTCGAACACACCGTTCGCTTCATCGTCTCGTTTCTCGAAAAGGGCACGCGGGAAGGGATCATCACCTCCCGCCTCACCCTGCTGATCGACCGCGTCGGCAGCGTGAACGAGAACGTGGAGGGGATCGCGTTTTTCCGGAGCTTGACGCACGTGTTGCAGACGCATTTCCCCGAGATGCTGCAGCGGTTGGTGATCTTCCCCACCAACTGGCTGCTGTGGACGGTCTGGAAGGTCGTCAAACCCTTCCTGGACGCCTCGGTCGTCGAGCGGTTATCCCTCCTTGGCCCGAAGGAGTATAAACAGGTGTTGCAGGACCTGATCAGCGCGGAGCATCTGTCGCCGCGGTATGGCGGGACGAGCGTGGATTGGACCGAGGCCGTTGGCGGCGGCGGCGGCCATGTCGAGGAGTCCGATGACGACGACCCTCACATTGAGAACGGTAAACAAGCCCCCGGCCGCGACTCCGGTGTATCCGTCTCGGCCGTCTCGCTCGACGGCCTGCATATCTCGAAGAAGGCGGACCACTCCTCGTCCTCGCACAGTCGGTTTGGGAAGGCGGCGGGGGGGTGGGGTGTTGGGAGCAAGATGAGGAGGATGTTCAAGGACGCGAAGGAGGGGAAGGAGGGGGGACAACAGCATTCTTAAGCACGATTTGGGAACGGTGTAGTGTAGTCGTAGATGGGATTAGAACGTTTTAAACCCAAGAAACGAACGAACAGAGACTCTCCACCCCACTTTCATCCCCCGGACCGCCCCCCCGCCTTCCACTTCCGCCTTCCCCCTCTTCGCCAACATGTGACGGCGACATACATCGAACCAGTTTAATCGTTCAGGACATAAAGGCCTGATCAGAAGAACTCATATATATATATGTACGCCTCGCTTCCCACATATCATCGACGCCCCGTTTGTAAATATATTATCCTTCCTGTAACGACCGATCTCTGCTTCCGATGGTGAGCTTTGCGTCCTACCCGCAGGTTGTCCTTTCATATGCGGCAGCGCGCGTTTCATGGAGGCCTTCTCGCCTCCCCATCGCAGATCTACCTGCCCAACTCGTCTATCTGTCTATCTACCCTGCACTCCGTGTACCGCCATTTGCGCCCGAGACTCGGGCGCGGATGGCCCGACGTGCATGCCGTGACGGCCATCCGACGACGATCGGGGTGCCTGAGCCTGAAATCTCCCTTCGCGCATGGTGCGGTGTGACCCTATACGACCCGGCGGGGAGGTTTTCCGCTCTATCCAAACGGGGGCGATGCTCTCCTCCGTCCGGCGTCTCGATGACAGATATCCGCCGGCGGGGGCAGCCAGTCGTTTCCCTCGACTCCAGCCATGTCCCAAAAACCCTGGAAGACAGGGTGGAATCCAGGGGGTCCCTCTCACTCCGCTGGCTTCACCGCCTCCCCAGGGTTACCACCCCGCAAAGGCTTCCGGAACTTCCCCTGCAACCACACCCTGTACATCTTCAACTCCCGCTTCCGATTCACAATCAACCTGCGATCAACCGCGTTCTGCTCCACAACGAAGTCCTTGAACATCCCTGCAACCTCATCTACAATGAAAATAGTCATAGGGGTTAGATACGCGAAGAGAGCTGTGGTCTTTCTCGGGAGGGGGTTTCCTTACCCTGCGTGAAGAAGTAGACACGAGTGCCGTCACCGCGGATGTAAAAGTTGTCTTCGAGCATGCGGCCGCCTTTTAGGCGGAGTTGGGCGAGGTCGTAGCGGCCGTAGTCGCGGAAGAGGAGGAGGCCGCCGGGTTTGAGGACGCGGTGGATGTTGGATACTGCTGTTTTCCATGAGCTGGACAAACAGGATAGGGGAATCGGGGTCAGTGAAAGTGCTCCTGTACGCAAAACAAGACCCTGACTTTGCATACCTGGGATGTATTGCGGAGAGGACAAAGATGCAGGTGCAGATGTCGACGGATTCGGGGGCGATGTTGGGTGGTTCTTCCGAGGTGATATCTGTGCATACGGATATCGGTTTAGGACCATGCCTCTGTTTTCGCGGTTCCCATCTCGCAGGGTATACTTACCGTAAACAAACGCTCGACATTTGCTCTCGTCGTATTCCGGGTTACTCTGATTCATGAATGCATAAGAATCCGCCAAACCCTCATCAATACCCAATCCACGCCAAGAGCATCGTCAAAACCCTCCCCTCGACCAGCCAGCCCACCCACCTTAACAACATCCACAGCAACCGCCGAATAATCACTCGCCCACACAAACAATTCCTTCCCCTCGGCGGCCCCAATCAACGGAAACACCGTGTTCCCGGCCCCACACCCAATCTCCCACACGGTGAACCTCCCCTCCCCGTCCTCCCCTTCCTTCCGCTCGGGCAACCCCGCGAAGATCTCCGGAAACTCGATCCGCAGCCAGTTCCGGTCCTTGAAGAATCGATTCGTGTTCTTGGCGTAGAATGCGTCCCACATGCGCGAGGCCTCCGTGTCGTATTTCTGCACGAGGTCCGCGGGGACCGGGTTGGCAGCCTGTTTGGCGATCAATTCCAGAGCGGTGGATTCTTGCTCCGCGTCCCATTCTACATTGTCCCTGGAGGGTCCCACGGGAGGTTGACCAAGTGGTAATGGGCATGGACGAACACGGACGAGTTGGTTACGTACCAGGCGTTGAAATTATACACATCCTCCTCGCTGTCCAGGAACCGGGTGCCAAAGTCGCTTACGCTGGAGACCTGCTTTTTGACATGCTCCTCTGGTCGGTTTGGGGGAGGTAGGGTCGGCTCGGTGGTGGTCGCTGGGGGCGAGGCGTCGGTGTCGGCCATGGTTGAGGCTGCACTAGGTCGACGGCGGGGACGATAACGGGACGTTGCTTTCAGGTGGAGTCGGGGAGATATTGAGCTTCCAGTTCCTTGGCGAATGTCAGAGTTGGCAGGGATGCGATGAAGAATGTGCTGCTCGAAAAGTTCACAGCAAACCTCGCGCGTTTTGCCCACACAGACGAGCCAGGAAAACATCGGCCCATATACACAAACGCTAGGTAATGAGGAGGGGCGCCGTCGGCAGCAGCTCAAGTTTCCTGCCATCTCTGGGTTTCAGCAAGACAGGCATTTGTCTGTCCAAGCACAATTGGTGTGGGGTGAAGTGTGATTCAGAAGGTATATGACATTGATGACCGTCAGTAGACAGAAGCATCATGCAGACTAAAGTATATACATAGATAGCAGAGAGACAGTCGTATATGGTAAGTAAGGGTAAGCTACAGATAGTATATAGTCTAGAATGATCTCGACAGTTACTCGACAACCACTAAATGTACAACAAAGTGCCCAGGCTTTTGAGAAAAAGCTGCCGACGGGTAGACATTTGTCCGACTCGAACGTTGAGGCGACCAGCGCCTTTAGTAGTTGAACGTGGTGGGGCAGTTGTCGCTGGCGCCCTTGAGGGGCGCGCCGGCCTTGGCGCCGTTGGGGGTAGCGTAGAGAGCGATGTAGATCTCGGAGATATATCCGCCGACGCAGATGAGCTGGAGTTTGAGACCGGGGTAGGCCGCCGTGAGGGCATTGCGGAACTGGGTCTTGGTGTACGAGCCGCCCGGTGTGATGTTTGCGTTCTCGAGGGCGGCGCCGATGGGGAACTGGTTGCGCAGGCCGAGAACATAGCTAAAGTACTTGTCGAGATCTTGTCCATCTTCAAAGCCGGGGAAGCATTTCTTCGCGGCGGGTGTGAAGCATCGCCCGTGCTTCTCCCACTCATGTGCCCAGAACACGTTGTTGTCGCCGGTGTAGCTGACCCAGTGCTGGTTCATCTGGTCAACGAGGTCCGAGTCGACCGCCGACAACGTGTTCGTGATGTCGTCGTAGGTCGGGCCGGCGCACCCGTTGGTCTGGCCTCCCGCGCAGGTGTTGGGCCAGCCGCCGTGCACGGTCCAGTCTTGGGGCACGTTGTCGATCTGGCAGCTCTTGGTCGCGCAGTAGCCTTGCAGCCATTGTTGGGCGAAGACGATGATGTTGTTAGCGAGGCAGCAGGTATTGGTGGTGCCGGAGCCGGAGCAGGAGGTGGCGGTGGGCGAGCAGACGGCGCCGGATGCGCGGGGGTTGAAGGGGAGCGTGCTGGCTTGGATGCTGGATGTGAGCAGGGCCGCGGACAGGATGGTGGTGAATGTGGCGTGCATCGTTGATTTGATGTGTGCTCTCGCGATGTGGATGGGCAAAAGAGAGGAGAAGGTTGCGAAGAGCAGGAGGAGGAGGAGCTCGGAGTCGATGCGGATGCGGATGAAGGAGGACACACCACCAACCCTCCTTCGTTTTATAAGCCGGCGGATATCCTACAGCAGAGTCGAATCCTATGGCGGAAAACGTGCCCTGCGTCTGTGCCCGGTCGCTTCGATCACGTTGTGACGGGTGCGAACAATCCCCCCACAATCACGAGAGAACCAACGTTTTCCAATGCATATGCCGTCTCCTCCGTGTGCAGCAGATGCATCCCCTCCCAGATCCCCCAGATCCGATCTACAGCATGTACGACGAAACCCCCTAATTTGAGATCCCATAACGGTGCGCGAAAAGATGCGGCGGTATGCCAACGGTCAACCGGTCATGACTGGCGGGGGCCGCGGGGTGCATGATAGGGAAGGATACCCATGCCCTTCCGCAAATACTACGCTTCACAGTACCGGCTAGGGTGGCGAAAGAAAGACACCCTGTCAGCAGTGTCGAGTGAGATCCGCGCAGATTCCTGCCCCAAATCTTTCGCGGTGTGACGCGCGCGCTGCCATGTTCGAAAAGAAAGATCAACTGCCCCCTTTGGGATCAGACATTCTAAGGATCCACCTGGTGCCGAGTGGGAAACATGCACGTGCAGACCCGTTCGTCATCGTTTACTCATGCATGCTGCCTGCCAGCAAGGATTCGTGATGTGCTGTACATGAATCAGGTCTGATGCTCTTCGCAAAGGCCTGGGGTAGTATCTTTCACGCCTATCACAATTTGGCGAGTATGGATCCGGATCGCTTGTGTGTGTTACTGCGACGGTTCAACGGATGGGGTTTCAGTCAAGAATCAAAAAGGTGACAAGGTTCCCTGACCTTCGCCGTATCAAACGCCCGCTTATCGGCATACCAGCAGGGTATTTCGAACGGCACCGTAACATTTCAAAGGTTCCATATTCCTCGTCCCATATTCGAAAAAGAATATGTGTTCCCGTGCCAATGTCACTCGCGCTGATCCGACGTCCCGTTTGTATCATGAGCGTTAACTTCTCTTAGCAACGCCTAAGTGTGACGGTGTGGTCAGGCTATGGATGGGATCTCGTTGTGGATCAAAGATTGCGGTCAACAGTCAGAAAACGGCGATCACCAAAAATTGTGAAATCTGTAGTTTTTCTGAAGGGCCTTTTGGGGCAAAATTCTCCCGATGATGTAATGTCTCAAAACGTGACCTCGGGGCTCGAGCCTCGGTGACGGTCGCCCAGGTGACGGTCGCCCACAACAATCGGAGCAGAAATGCCTCCCGCTTCGACGGAAACGTTTTCCAGAAGAGACGGAACGTGATTCTGTGAGCTGTGCACAACTGCAGATTACAAGAGCTCAGACGCTAGCCGTACTGTACGCAAGAACGTTGACTGCGACCTATAAAGATCAAAAACGTGGTGGAGCATTCCAGAGCGGCGTTTCACCGCAGGTTACCAAACGCCTGATGAGTGCAATTTACATATATAAAGCGTAGTGGTCCGGAACATGGCGTTCGACGACGAGTGCAGACTTGAGCAGGTCCACCATGTGCATGTGCATGTAAGTTTGGAGGTCACCGCAGGTGCTTCCTTAGACCGTCAAAACACCTTGGCGAGCTCAGGTGACGCGGATGGCGGGGTGCATCCATAGCAGTCTACATGTTATTTGAGCTTGCTTCATCGTTCCCGGTTGAGTTGAGCCCTCAGCTTACACCCACCGTCGCGGGATACTCTTCGACGCAAAGACATTGAGTAGGTTGTATCGGAGTCGGGATCGTCCGCCATCACCGGGCGTTTTGTAGGTCTAGCCGATTTGTACTCGAGGCGAACCCGACGATCTATTGATCTACCCGCCGACTTCGCAGTAACTGCAGCCGTGATGACGAGAGAGGAATCCAAAAAAAAATGTAAATATATCCATCTTGTAAAAGGCTACAGTAGTTCTCAACCTCATCTCCCGGAACTCACTCTCTCAACATCGGGAAGATTTGCAAGAGCCCAAGATGGTGGATGGGGGCCGGGGCCCGCTGGATGCTGGATGACAGGAAAACGAAGGACAGTATCATATTCTCGATCAAAAAGGTGACGTGTCAGTAGGTGTTCAGCAAACAGATGAGCATTCCAAGCGACCTTCTGCTTTCCCCATGAGTTATATTCATAAATGTAGACATATATGTGGGTGTCGCTAACATGATTGCAGCGTTAAGATCATGCACGAATCGAACCCTACATAGTATACCTCCTTCTCGGAGGTCGAATCTGAGTTTCAAATTTTCCATACGGACACCCATACGAAACCGACGTCATCTACCGGGATATTCCTTCAGTGTTTGCACGGTAGAATCAAGCGCCACGCAGTATACATACATTGATTCTGGTCCTGTTCATCTTTTGCGTTCGGGACGACGATAGCCATTTGAAGGGCAGAGACACATCTGGCATAACCTACAACTGTCAGCGCTCCAAGATCAAAAGCATGAATAGCCTGACGCGAAACCAATTCCCTCACCGTGAGGACAACATCGCCGAATAGACATACTTCATGGGAAAGGTGCTGTTCAGCATTGGTAGCAGTTTCTCTTTCGTGCATTTCGGCGCCTTCGCGAATTACCAGGATCCTCAGATAGTAGAGAAAAATTTCAGGGTCGGTCTGAAGGCAAGAAGAACTACCAGTGACTAACCTGTGCGAAGGGTACCCGGTAACGTGTGTGTATCTTGTCTCAGAAGGGTTGCCTCGGCATAAGAAGAGATATGGGGTGAAATGAAAATGTCAGTACCCAATCTGTTTGTGGATCTGACACATGAATCGAGAACACGTCTGTTCCAGCGATACGTATTGCATCCCTATGCACAAGTGTGGGTCTCTAGGGTTTAACGCCATGAACCACCTTGCGAGGAAAGCTAAGCGTCCTCCTACCCGGAATGCGAAGCAAGTTCACGTTACGAACAGAACATGCCAGGGCTGGGGCGTGACAAGGATGGCAGAGTCTGACAGAGCAATCTGCTCAAGCTATGCACATCTACGCCGCCTTCCGGTTTGAAATGTTAGAGACGAAGCCGCCCCCCGATGCTCAGTATCTTTGATCGCAAGGACATCCAAGAGCTGGTTAACGAAACAGCTTTGGCTGGGCAGGAGCAACCTCCGAGTCCACTGTTGCCAGTTGCCAGAGTCGTGGATCGGGCCCAGGAAGCGATTACTCATCATCCTGTCCTTGACAACCCCCAGAAAGATACTGTGGCCTGACACCAATGCTCACCTTTAGAAGAGTATTCTGGGTCGAGTGTACGTGCGTGGGATTTTTTGAGGGTATTGCGAACTTATGATTGCGAAGATATCCAACCCAGTAAGATTTGTGAGATGTTACGTAAGCCAAACTCCGCTGTGGTTAACCGGTCCTGTCAAAATTCTTTGATCTCGGGCCTGTTTCGGGCCACGTCTCGCAAAGAGCAACCATAATATGATCTCGAATTTCAGGAATAAGGTAGCGCCTGTTGTCGCTGTGACTATACGTCGTGCTCAATTTCGCTCGCCACTGGAAGTCATGAGCCGCTCCAGTAGCCCAACCACTTCTTCGACGACGTCGGAATGCAGTTCGCTCAGCCAGCCCGGGTTGGCAAGCCCAGCAAGGCTCATTTTGCGGGTATCAATAGCCAGTTACATCGCCGCCGAAAACATCAGCGACTACTCCGAAGCCGCATGGAGGCGGTATGTGAAACATAACAAGAGAGGGAGTTTTCGGTGCATGCCCGTGCGGCTGGCTGGGAACAGCCGAAGATCGACATGTTCAAAACAAAGTTCGGACTTCTACGCAAATCGTTGGTATGTACTCTTTTCCTTCACGAATCTCTCTCTCTTGAGTCTTCTTCCATGAGGGACCTCGTTTCAAGGACTCCGGAGACCATGCAGGGTGATCCCCTGCAGGTCGACACACTCATCAGGCGAACTCTACGAAGACAATCCTTCTCCGAACCAACGATCTCCCGCCGATAACCTATGCTTCGCCACGCCGCCGCGAGGTCTGACGGCCCTCGTGCAACTTTTTTTCAAAGGGGGGTGGCTTGCGAGGCCGGTTCAATAGGGGTGGCATCTACGGTCGCCGTCCTTGACGACGGGTGGATGGCGAGCCAAGCCGGGAACGGGGAGAGGGCTGGTGTGGGGGGTGGTTGAGCTCCTTGGGTATGCGGGCAGGATCCGGGCTTCGTTTTGTGTGGAGGGCATGGCATGTTCTGCACCGCGTAGTCGTAGAAGGCCACCCTTTGCACTGGCCACCTTTGACGCCTGCTGCGTTCATCGGGGGGGTCGACCGGGGTTCCGTCCCAGGAGCGTGGTCTTTGCTCTGGGACGCTTCAAGGCCCGATTGGGGTGCATGTTGGTCCTTGGAGTCCTCCGGTCCTTCGCGCCCGAAACACCTCCTCCTCCTCCTCCAGCACCACCACCACCACGTCCACCACCACCCTCCGACCCCATCGCCCTCAACCACAGACCAACTAAACACTGCCCCTTCATCGTGTACTCACTCCCATCCCCGTGTATGCGCCCCTCACGACCCAAAAACATATGTATACACCAAAATCTACATACATCACGACGCGGATTGGGGGGTCGGGTGCATATACAGCGACCCCGTGATGCGCTATGCGGAGGGGTATGACGGCGGATATGTGTTGGGTGGCCGGCCCTTCACACCCCCTCGTCCACCTCGCCCTCTCCTTCCTCCTCCGTAATCCACCCCTGCCGTCTGCCCGCCCCGTCGTTCCTAACTTCGCCGAGAGTGAACGCGCGGCCCTCCCATCTCCGTCTGCCCCGTGCTGCCGACGGTGCGCGGCCTGTCCCGGCCGGGGTGTTGAGTTTGCTCGTTATGGGGCCGGGAGCGATATCTGGGGTTGACAAGGGCGTGTCGGCGTCACTGGCCTCGTCGTCCTCGAGATCGGGTTGCAGCGCTGCCGGTGCGGCCGACGGGGATGGGGACCCCCGCATGGCATTCATCAACATCCCGCGGCGGCCGGATTCCAATGTCGCTGAAGAGGGTGACACCGCCGGCGCCTGTGAACTCCCTGGGTGGTGAGATCCGGCGGCACCGGTGCTCCTCCCCCCACGCGACGCGGGTGGATTCAAACCCCCCGGCGACGACGAGACGGGGATCCCCGTTTTTCGTCTTGCGAGCGCGAGATAGTCGCCCGACGCCATCTCCCGTTTTGGCGGGGCCGGCGGTGGTGGGTCGGTGGGGGTGCTCCCACCGTTGGTCCCCTTTCCTCCAGTGGTGGAGACGGCGAGGTCGGCGAGCGCGAACGGGGATCTCGTATGCAGCGGTGACGACGCCAGCACCGAGTCCGGGGACGGCGACGGTGGCGCGACTCCCACTGACCCCGCGTGTTGTTTTCGTTGTTGCTGTTTGGCTAGCGAGAAATACCACATCGCACAGCTCTGATCACACCTATTCGCCTTCACCGACTGCATCATCGCCGCCGTATCCACCCCCGCCGTCTCCAACGCTCTCAACAGCTCCAGTTCCGCCGGGGTGGAGAAATCACCCTCCGTCTGCTCCCCGATCGCCGCCGTGTCCCCACCAAACCACCCGTCCCCCAAAATCCCCTTCAGCGTAACCCTTTCCCTCCCCTCGAGTTTCAACATCGCCCTGATGAGCGCACACGTGTCCGGGGCGAGGAAGGCGGGAAGGTCATAGTCGAGGGCGAGGATTTTGCGTTTCATTGTGGATTCGTTGTCGTCGTCAAACGGGAGGTAGCCGCAGACCAAAGTGTAGAAGATGACGCCTGTGGTTGAGAAGGTTAGTCGGGGATATGGGGAATAAGGAGATGAGAGATGTTACCTAGGGACCAGACGTCGACTTGGGAGCCGTCGTATTGTTTTCCGATGATCATCTCTGCAAAAGGGGGGCAGGAAACTGGGGTTAGGGCACACGTATCCCACCGTCCCTCGTTCCATGCGCTCAAAAACCCCGTCATATTCGCGCGCAAACATACCTGGCGCAGCATACCCAATCGACCCACAATAAGTGTCAAGCAGGTTCCGCGGGTTGATTTCCCGGGTGAACCCGAAATCGATCAGTTTGACGTTGAGGGAGTAGTCAAGGAGGACGTTTTCGAGTTTCAGATCTCTTTGTGATTGGGGGGGAGTGGGGGAAAAAGCCCCAGTTGGTCAGTAAGATTTCCCCCGTGGAAAGACTCCCGTCCAAGCCCAAGAATCCCCACCCACCCCTTCTGCTCAGTTTTGACCCTTCCCCCTCACCTATGCACAAACCGCCTGTCATGACAATACCCCACGGCCTCCACCAACTGCCTAAACACCCTCCTCACATCCGGGCCCGTGTCATCAAACCGCCCATGCGCACACACATAGTCGAACGCCTCGCCGCCCTCACAAAACTCGGTCACCATGTAGATCCTCGTCTCGCTGGTCATGACCTCGTACAGGCGCGCGATGTTCGGGTGGTGCATGTGTCGCCATGTGGAGATTTCGCGGACGACGGCGGGGGCGTGGATCTTGTCGACGATCTTGATGGCGACGAGGGTGTTTGTGAGGCGGTGGCGGGCGAGCTTGACTTTGCCGAAGGTGCCTTCGCCGAGGGTGCGGGTGAGGGTGTATCCGCCGATGGAGGAGAGGGTTGTGGCGCTTAGTTCTTTCAGGAGGTCCGCGGGGGTGCTGGTGGTGAGGCTGCTGTTGTAGGCGGCGGTGGCGGCAGGGGTGAGTTTCAAGCCTGTCATGTGATGTGGAGAGCTGTCAAACGGACGGCTTGGGGAAACGGAACAGGAAGAAGCGTTACCGGCTAAGCGAGAGTTTACCTCCAAGCGGCGGCGCCATTTTTGCTGTTTGTGTATGAGAGCGGTGTGTATGAGTAGGGAGCGAATGGATGGAAACGGAAGGGCGAACCGCGTGTCCTAAAGTGTCGATCCCAGTAACTTGTGGGCCCAAGCGGACATACAGTAGTCGTTACAGCCATGCAGCTCGCGATGGGGGGGCTCCCACTGCACGAACTCATATGGTAGCAGTCCTGTAGGCAAACACGTTCCAAACACGTGCGCGCGGAGACCCCCCGGGGGGGCGAGGGGATTCACACAACAACTGGCAGACGTGCGGCCTTCTTCTTTCTCGCTCACCCCCGCAACAACCTCACATATACAGTAAGTCACTCCGCTCTATTCTTCTTCTTCTTCTTCTTCTTCAAGTCGTCCCCTACTCCCTCCAAGTTGCCCCACCGCCCCCCCCAGCGACAATGCTCGCCAAACAGACCCTCCACACCCTCCTCCTCGCCCTCCTCTCCCTCTCCGTCCACGCATCCCACTACGCCGACGACGCCGACGACGACCTCGACTCCGACCCCATCTCCCATACCCCTCCCCAACCGCGCCCCGCCACCGACGACGACTGGACAGCCCACCTCTTCCTCGACGCCGGCGACTTTGCAACCTCCAACATATACTGGATCCTCCCCACCTTTGGAACGTTACTGTTCTTGAATGTGTTGTATTTTATGTATGCGGCGGGACGGTTGATGCGCGAGGAGATTGTGAGTGTTCGGGCTGTGGAGTTGGGGGTTGCCGTTGGGGAAGCGTGGACGACGGTTACGACGTGGGCCGAGTTTGGGAAGTGGAGGGGTGATATCGCAATGACGAGAGCGTACTCGACGGCAGAGGAGGAGGGTCCATCAAGATCGACATCGTCAAAGGCACAGTCAAAGTGGGAGGAAATCACGCCAACCCACGGCACCTACCTCTGCCACACCACCGAGGTTTCCCCCACCGAACACGTTTTCGTACATACCCGCACACCACACACACCCGCGTCCGGCTCCCTCTGGTCCAACTTCCTCTGGCGCACATTCGCACAACATGCTTCAACCACCTGGACCATCGAGGTTCGGCCATCATCACCCGGAGTGAACAAAGGGAGCATCGTCTACATAACAGAACAACTCCGGATCGCGTCCCCATTCTTCCGCTTCGCTACGGTCATGTTCAAGGGAACCGGTGGGGACGTGACGAGGTTTTTGAAGGATTTGGCTGCGGAGAGCGGGGATACGCAGGCGGTTGTTGTTAGGCCTGTGCAGGGGAGGTTGGAGGTTGGGAAGGGGCCGGTGGAGGATAAGAAGGATTTGTAGGGCGCGGCGCCCCCGATTTGGCATAGGCCTTTGCCCTGTATATATATGTACTGTATACTGCGTGGTGGTTGATCTACACTGATGATGAAAGGATATCCCAGTAGATTTCGTATGGGTGTCCCGTACGGAAAATTTGCAACTCAGATTCGACCTCCGAGAAGGCATACTAGTATGTAGGGTTCGATTCGTCACAATTGCCAGTAGCACCACTACTTCCTCGACGACGGGCTTGCGCGGAAAACTCTCTCTCCATACCGCCTCCCACGCGGCTTCGGAGTGGTCGCTGATGTGTTCGGCGGGCGATGTAACCCGGCTATTGATACCCGCAAAAATGAGGCTTGCTGTTCCACGCGTCGCCGTTCACCCCGGCAGTTTGAAGCGAACAATACAGTTCCCTCCCGGTCTCCTGCAGGAGTTCGCTTTCGTATCGATTGTTCCTGCAGCGTACCGAAAGCCGGCGCAGGCCCCATTTCTCAAACGGGATCGGGGGTGGACCCGTGGGCAGGCTTTTCCAAACCTCCTCGCAGCTTCCACGTACATTCCGCCCCCGCACGATGACAACACTAATCCCAAGCGTAATTTCCACAGGAACATCCATTCCGCCCAAAAAAAACCCTGTAGCGTGTCTATGATCTACATGTACATACATATAGCGTTCAAAAAAGGGGTTATCTATGCATAATCCTACAGGGGGGTCTATGTACACGCATCAAACCCCCATCCGCAACCATCGCCTCCACCCCCCAATTACTCGCACCTCGCCAGCAACACCCCTACCCCGAGAACACGGCCTCGTCCACGCGGATCCCCAACCGCTCCAACCCCTCCCTGACCCCGCCGTCCAGCACGTCCTCAAACCCGCCGCCCGCGACGCCCGTCAACACGTATCTCAGTTTCTGGACGGCGCGCGAGAGGTGGAAGGCGAGGGTGCTGAGGAGGAGGGTGAGGCGGAAGGTGTAGTAGTTGAGGCGGGCGGCGAGCGGGGTCAGGAGGGTGGTTGGGGATGCGGGGGGGGAGGTTGGGGAGGACCAGATGGACCAGTCTGGGCCGAGGGATTTGACGGCGGAGTGGGCCATGATGTTGATGCGGTTGACGGGGGAGCCGAGGTATTTATTGTTTGCCCTTTCCAAAAAAAAAAAAAAAACACGGGAAAGTGAGAATGAACAATTCACCGTGCTACGTGCCTCTCGATGTGACCATTCCGCCCGGGGTACAGCCACAGCATACATACCGGATGATATTCAAGTTCCGGCCAATGAGTATAACCTCCTTCGGCAACAGCTCCGCATCATCCAGAAACCCCCGGATCGTCTCCTTCATCCTGACCTGCCTCTCAAACAGGTCCCCCAGATTCACCGACCGGTCCACATGCACCGCTTTCCCCGGCGTCCACGGTCTCTGGATCGTCGCGCTCGCAAACATGCGCACGTCCTTGATGCCCCATTGCGAGGCGATGGAGGTGAGGGTCGTGATGTCGCCGGTAAAGATGGATTTCCAGAAGAGGGCGTAGTCGTGCGTGAAGGTCGGCGTGCAGTGGACGTAGAGGCCGTGGTCGAGGAGGACGATTTGAGCGGAGGCGGGGTGAGAGGGGTGTGGGCGGATGATGATGTTGCCTGAAAGGTATGAGGAGGGGTTGGTTTTGGGAAGCATTGGAGTCGTGTGTTCATCGCCGTGTGCGGTGCTTACCTGGGTGCGGGTCGGCGTGGACGAAGCCGGATCGGAAGATTTGCTAAGGGACACAAAGGAGGTTAAGACGGCAAATCCTTTGCACGTGTTCACGCCTCCAACCTATACACACATCAGCAGAAACCTCCACAACAGTCCTCATAACCCCCTTCGGGCTCCACCCCCTCCTCATCATCTCCTCCGCACTGCTCGTAAACCTCAACCCCTCAATCCACTCCGTCGTCAACACCCTCTTGGAGCTTTCATCCCAGTACACTTTGGGTATATGCACGCGCTCGTTGAGATTGTCGGGCGCAGAGGCGAGGTTGTGCGCGGCGAGCTCGGCGTTGCGGCCCTCGTTGATGAAGTCGGTTTCGAGTTGTAGGTGGCTTGCGATGTAGTTTGCTTGCCATGTTCTAGGGAGAGAGTGCATGGATTAGATAATGTGATGACAATGACAATGGGCGATATGGGAATAAACTCACAAAGGCAAATCAAAAAAGAACTCCAAGGCCCGACACAGAAACTTATACGTCATCAAATCAAACCCAATCTGTCTCCTGATCTCCGGTTTCTGCACCTTCACCGCAACCGGCGTCCCATCCCTCAACGTCGCGCGATGAACCTGCGCAATCGACGCAGCAGCAATCGGTTCCTCATCAAAAGACGCAAAGATCTCTTCGGGCTCTTTACCAAAATCGGCGTGGATGATCTTCCGGACGGCGGAGTAGGGGACGGCCGGCGCGTCGTCGAAGAGGGTGCGGAAACGGAGGTAGGCGGGCGGGAGGACGGGGACGGCGGCGATTTGTTGCCCGAATTTTATATACAGCCCGCCTGCAGATGACATGGGAGGAATGGAGGTCAGTTGATTGCGATGAGGATCGATGAGGTCGATGGAAGACGCGAAGCGATGGATGTTGGGAGCGATGGATGAATCGATACCCCGCTCGCTCCGCTCGCGACGAGGATGTTGGGCTGGCCTGTGATCCGCGATCCTGGACCTCCTCGGCCTCGCCGCACTCGCTGAACGCCATCGCATGCCGCCATTGCACGCTCGCCCATACCATTAGTTTTACAAACATCGAGTATCCTCTCCGCGGTCCTCTCATGCAGTTTCTCAATATTCTCCGCGTTCCCCGGCACAAAGTTCCATTTATAGTCTGCGGTAACAATCGCACCGGCGACCAGCGTCCTTATATTCCTCTGCAACGTCCTGTCGTAAGCATAGGTATCTAGCGCGGCGACTCCGAGCAGGGCGGATGTTGTTAGTAGGCCTAGCCGGCGTAACCGTGAGGGTTGGTGTGGGAGGAAGGATGGGCGGAACATGTGTGGGGGTCGGGGCGAGGTGGACTGTTTGTGGAGAAGGCGGACGAGACTGGAGGGTGCTGTTTGTAGGTTATGTATATGGCCAGTCTCTCTGTTTGAGAGAGCTTTGGTGTGAACGTTCGACGACGAGCGACAGGCGGAAGTTCAACAAGTTCATGCCGTCAGTGCCTCGCCCAATGCCCTTGGATGACTCGCGTGCGGATCGGGCTTTCCTTGTTGTATTCCACTCACGTGACCCCAGACTTTCGTGACGCGATCCCATGAGATTACTGAACTCCTCGCCGTCCGTCGCGTTATGCGAGGAGACATTTCCGTACATGCCGTTTCCCAAAGCAACAAAGGGTTTCGTTGAAGAAGCCCAGGAAAGAGAAGATAATCCAAGGGTTTATTCACAGCAGCGGGTGAATGTATGTGTACGACGAGACTTGACGCGAATTCGACGAAAAGATTTGATTTGGATTACTCAACGAATTCGTTCGTCATCAATCACCCAGGGGAGGCAAGCGGGAAGGAACAGACCACATTTGTTGATAGAATCATTCTCTGCAGCTTATGTCAACATGAATGGTGAAGGACAGCATTTGAAAATATGCAAGAGAGGTGGGACTCTATAACGAGAGGCTTTATGCAAGAACGATGCAGCTCTACCGATCTGCTTTTCGATGTAGGTTTGTCGCTATGAAAGATCCGGAACTACGCAATACTGATCTCCTCTGCTTCTTCACCGTAACGTCCCAATCCCCCTGCCGCGATTGCGACCCTGGTCGAAAATTGCATACAACACCTGTGTGGAAACTTGGGGAGAACGTGAACACTGAATAGTCAGATGAATTCGCAGACAACGCGTCCAGCACGCGCGCCCACATCCGCTTACATACATGACTGAGCATTGCTGACTAATGGTGGCACAGTCACGTAGTTCGCTGGAGTGTCGCCCATTCTCGCCCATTCATTCAACCCATGAAGAGCGGACGATCTGGTTTGAAAAGCTCGCTCATCACCACGAACATAAAAGCCCAAACAACCCGCGCCTGACGTTGAACGAACCGTTTCACTCCTGCTGGACACGCCCCAGTCCTTGAGTTTCCCTTGGTTTGCTCCTGCAACAGCCTCCGCCAAAGTCCTTCTCGGTGGTTGCAACAGACTGGACAAACGACACAAACCCGCTTGCAATCGTGCCCACAATGACGGCAACTCTCGCCGTCGAAGCCCCACCGGCGGCCTCAGCATCTATGAAAAGTGCCGCCACACCGCACCCATTCACGACGTTCATCACCCTCCCTCCCGACATCATCTTCGATTTCGAACCCTTCTTAAAATCCGACCTCAACCTCGACATCTCCCGCCCGACAACCTCAACCTCCTCCGACGTCTGCAAATTCTTCACGAAAGGCTACTGCCACAAAGGCGCGAGCTGCCAATTCCGCCACGCGCGAAACGAGAAACGGGTCGTGTGCAAGCATTGGCTGCGCGGGTTGTGCAAGAAGGGCGACTTGTGCGAGTACCTACATGAGTATAATCTGAAGAAGATGGATGAGTGTAGATTCTATGCTCAGTATGGGGAGTGCTCGAATCCCGAGTGTGTGTATTTGCATGTCGATCCCGAGACGAAGGTGAAGGATTGTCCGTTTTATCAGTCGGGGTTCTGTAAATTGGGTATGTACCTTGAGCGAGGCATGACCGAGCGTAGAATGGGTTTGGTTCGGTCTGGGAGACCGAGTGTAGCGTTGCGGAGCGAGTCCAATGTAATACGAACGAAGCGAGCCACATTGCGCCAAAGGCGCAATACTCTTTTCACCACGTTTCTTAGCGAGCCTCAGCTAGCGTTAGATCTTTTGCGAGCGAAGCGAGCACCACATTGCGCCAAAGGCGCCATGCTCCCTTCACCCACGTGGTTGGTTGATTAGCGGTTGATGGTTGACGTTCGATGATTGATGGTCGATGGTCGATGGTTGATAATTGAGGGGTTGACCGTCACTGCTTTTCACATGGAATCCCTTGCTAACAACTAATTCTTCCCAGGTCCATCATGCAAAGGGAAACATACCCGCAAAGCCATCTGCCAAAACTACCTAACAGGCTTCTGTCCCAAAGGGCCCGAATGTAACCTTGGCCATCCAAAATTTGACCCGCCAAACTACAACACAGCAGACGACGGGCGAGCACAAAACGCAGATCCGGCTCAACAGACGAACGGCGGTACGGCTGGTGATGGGAATCGTCCGTATAGGCCGCTGGATCAGGTTACTTGCTTCAAGGTAGGTGTTGCATATCGGGTGTATTTCGGAAATGATCGGCACCCTGACTTTTTACTCCTTATAGTGTGGCGACAAAGGGCATTACGCCAACCATTGCCCCAAACGACGAAAGTTCGAACATGAGGACGGGCAACCGATACCGACCGTGTCTTGAGCGCACCCCTTTGTCCATGCTTCCGAACCCACTCAACATCCATTATTCGCGTGGAAACTCCTCCTTCTTGGGAGCTCCCATGTAATGTACGAAGGGCGTACAGCTCGCATTTTTGGGTCCCTTCATAGCACCTCATCGTATTTATGCTCCTCGAATATATGCTTAGCTTCGCGAACTCGATAGTGCTGAGATCATTGTATATAACACTTAAATAACAATCGCTTCCATGCTTTTCATGGAGTAGAACGTCACAGAAATCATACAAATGTCTTTCATATGACTATTTTCAAAACTTGTTCGCCGTTTTGCATGGCGAATGATGAACTTGTAAAAGGTACGGGCCACTGACACACATACAAACGCAGAGGCCGCCCTCCAAATACCCGACTTTCCCAAAAAGCGATGACGGGGCTGGGTATCCAATCTCAGACCCCCCAAAAACAAGCAATCAAAAAGCACGGGAAGGAAAACCTCACTCCCTCCCTATCCAGCAAACCCATAAACCAACCCCAACACAACCCCCACCCCTACCCCCCACCCCCTCACCACCTTCCCCCTACTTCCCGCACTCGGGCTTGCCGAATCCACCGGAATCACCGGCGCCGGGCCCTGCCCATTATAGTTCCTCGTCACCGGCGTGCCCACCCCTCCGACCTCACCCACCATACTCCCGTCCCAGCACCAATCCCTCAAGCACTGCACGCACACGGCCGGTGTCGGGATGCTCCCGTTGCGGTATAGTGGCGCGGTCAGGATGCAGGCGACGCAGGTCCTGGCATCCGTCGCATTAGCCTCCTTCACCCACCCGCCGTTGCTCCGATCCGCCATGGCCGCGGCCCCGTTCGCGAAATACCCGCGGACCTCCTCAAACGTATACTCCATCTTGAACGTCGAGTCGTTCGTCGGGGCCGTCGCGAACCTGTTCGGGATGTACACGACCATCGGGCCGTTGTACCCCGCGGGGCCGCCGCCGGTGTTGCGGGCGAGGCCGGCGCACCCGAACGCGGTGACTTTCTGGTGGATGCGCTGCGCGACGACGGCCTCGGGGGTGAAGGGCACGGGCGGGAAGCGGTGCGCGAGGCCCTTCCAGGCGGCGTACTGCGCGGCGATGACCAGCGACGTGCCGTTGGGGTACCCCGCGACGTCGTTGCTGGAGTCCACGGCGAGGATCACGTCGTTTGCTCGTGACGCCTGGAGGAGCGGCCAGAGGGGCACGTTCTGACCTGCTTCGCCGCCGTCGACGAGTTCCACCGTGTACGGATCCGCGATCGAGGCGTTGACGGTGGTGAGGTTGTGGAAGGGGTTGGGGATCAGGGCGGTGTCGCGGCCGGTGGTGGCGATGAGGGTGGCGAGCGGGGAGAGGAGGGAGTGGGAGGTGATGAGGGAGTCGATGGCGAGGTTGAAGAGGGAGGAGGAGGTGCCGATGATGTAGGAGGTTTGGTCGAAGTTGAGGACGCAGGGTTGGGTGCTTGGGCTGGGTGAGGGGGGGAGACAAGCGGGGTTAGGGAACGTAGTTTAGTCGCGGACCCGGATGGAGTATTCAGAGCTCAAAACTGGTTGGCCCGCATACCTTCTCGCACCGCCGTGGGGAGGAGGAGGCTGCGTAGCGACGCCACTGTCGAGGAACGTCCCCAAGTAGCGAGTCTTGATGTACGAGTTCACAGGGACATTGGACGATCCCGTCTCGAACGGTGTACTCTCCCACTGAAAAAGGACAAACTGTCAACATTGCGCCGTCCCATTCGTTTTCAAAACCACCAATCAAACCGTTCTTCCCAACTCACAACATTCGCCATAACAGTAACCCTCTCCTCGCCCTCGGTCCTCTGCACAGTCGCCACAATCGGCAACGGCACACTCGCATTCATCAATGCCGGAATCCTCGCCACCTGGCTCCACCGTGGGGTATACCCTTTCTTCCCGCCCGAACTCGCCCCCACATTCGGCGGCAGATACTCCGCCAACAGCCTCGCCCACAGATCCGTGATGCTGACTTCAAACCCCGCATCGCGCTTCATCTTCACATCCTCCACATAGTCCGCCCACGCGTCCACATTGCCCGGGACGTTGCTGATGCCCTGGCCCGCGGGTTCGAGGGGGGACGCGGAGGGGTTCCAATTGGCGTAGAAGGTGGGGAGGGTGAGGGGTGGGAAGCCGTTTGTGTAGAGCGTGCCGAGGAGCCAGGAGCCGCCAGAGAGGCCGGAGATGTAGGTCGCGAGCTGGAGGATGCCGCCGTGTGGGGTGGAGGGGACGCGGGCGTCGAAGGTGGCGAGGATGGAGGCGCCGCTCATCATCGCTCTGTAGGACACCGCCGCGTGTTAGCTACCCCAGCATCCTGTTGCTGTAACGGTGCACGAAACACCCCTCTTGGTGCTATTCTCCTCTGTGGTCGAGGCTCACCTGTAACCGCCCCCACTGGCAGCAATGGCGACTCTCGGCCACCTCCCGCCAGCAGGCAGCGTCATCTTGTCCAACCCGGCACTTTCCAAATACGCCTCCCACGCGCTGGGCACAACCCGATCCCTCCCCGCAACCCAATCCGCCTCCTCCGGCGCCAGCCCGCCCACATCAGCTCCCGTTCTAATAAGCGCCGCGGACCCATTCGCGGGGCACGGGCCCAAGATCGGGACGTAGGACGATGGGAACGACAGATTCGCGACCTCGGGTGGTGTCGGCGGAGGCAGCTGCTGCTGGTCCTGCCGGGACGCGAGCGTGCTGGGTCGGGCAGCGGCTTTGAGTTCGTGGAGGATTTCGCGGAGGATGCGGTGGTGAGGGTTGTGGCAGATGGAGAGGGTGTGAGCGGGGCAGATGGCGATTAACGGGGATGATGGGGGGGATGTGAAAAGAGATGACTTGCCAGTACCTGGCAATATGAGCAGGGCCAGGATGGCTAGGGTGGTTGGGGAGGGCATCATGTTGCGTAATGCGGGTGATGCTACTGCTCGTAGACACCCACACGCTGGATATATGCAGTACGAGCCAGAAACGAAAGGAACAAAACTTGATTGGGAGGGCTCTGGATTTGCAGAAATCGAAAAAAAAAAGGTTCAGGAAAGGAAAGAACGGCGCGCAGTATCAGTGTTTTTGCGTGGGATGGACGGAGAACGGTCTCGACGCGTAACGCGGGAACCAGTTCTGCGCAAAGAATCCCCCTCACACACAACTGCGCCCACGTGCACAGTAGGGAAACGGCGTGGAAAGCGCAAACCCAGAGCAGTGCAGATGCGCTACTTGGTACTCACCACCAGCGAGCCAACACTTGTGATTTGCTATAAGCAGCGCAGTAGCCAATTCTCGATCGATATGAGGTTTTCAAGTCCAAAAAAAAGCGTCTGTGGTCAAGGAAGCTGGGCGGGCTCGCCCAGTCGTGCCACCCTATATATACTCAGTTGTCGAGAGGAGGCAAGATCGAGGGGTGCTGAACAGAGACATGCATGTACTGTAGCTCAGCTGAGCATTTCGAGGAGGCAGGCAGTAATAATCTTTTGTGAGAACTGCGCGTCTTTTCCCCCCCGGTCTCCTTTTGACCTCCGATTTTCGGTCACAAGCACGGGGAGATGCGACGAGTTGCGGGATTTGCACAACAAGTTGGGAGAGTGATTTGTGTGGTGGAAGGCTCGGAAGCTGCTGTGGATCATATCATTTCGCCACACACCGTACGTACGCGGTCGAAAGCCTCATTGTAACGACGTCCAAGGGTCTTGCTGTTCCGTCGCGCGTCACCCGGTCGGTGCATAATGCTGTGTGGGACGGTTTGTCACACGTCCCCCAGAGAGGCGTTATTGAAGACCTCTTTCATTACGGGCGGGGAGACCGGGACCATGATTTCGTCGGGAATTTTAAAAGCTGCTTTCGCGATTGACATCATTGCTGAACCTGATGCCTGTGCGAATCGATCGGGTTAGCTTTATGTGTTTCGAGAAAGATGGAGTTAGCTTATACTTGTCCTTTCCTTCAATCATGGGTCAAATGAAAGCTGGACTGAACGGGGCTTGTGTTGTGTGCAGACAATCAGGGGCAAGGAGTAGGCGATTGTACCCTATATTTAGGAGGTTGGCGGGGAACTTAAGGAGGAAAAGCACAAAATGAGGTCACTCACACTGTCAATCTAGACTTTCCCACTGTCGAAATAGGGACGCGCCTCCTTATGTCATCTTCCGCGCGCCCCAAACGCGTCGCACCAGCTTCCGAACTCCCCCGGGCATCTCCTGCAGGACGTTCGAAGGGGAACGATATGTCTGAAAATATTTCTGCAGGAGACTGAACGGGGACCGGCTCCCTGGGATGGAAGATTGAATTGTTATTGAATCTAGCTGTGAACAAAGAAAACCGATAGATCTCTGCAATTTACCAAAGGTTAAGAATCAAGGCAATATCAGGGTGTCCGTCACTGCCTTGTAACCGAAAGGCTCTCAAGGGTTGTCCCATAAACGCTCCTGCAAAACCAGGAGAGAACCCCATGCTCAACCAGAACGGCTGAAAGATCCGAGGTAAATCACGATGTCTGGTCCCCCATGCGTCTCCCTGATCCTAATTCGAACTTCATCGTCGCCCTTTCCCAGCTTCCATTCCGGCCCTCGGTCTTTGTGCGATGGCGTAGTAAGTCTACTACGTCTCATGCACGCGATTGAAAGGGAAATAGGTGTACATCTGCTGCAGGAGATCAAAGGAGCATCGTACCATGCTTGAGATGACATCGGAGGGGCAAGGCAGTGCCTACAGGCAGGAAATCCCACGCTTTGGGATCACAGGAAGGGACGTGAGGTGGGGGCGGAACATTTCTGTGACCTCAAAAGGTACTAACGGGGACTCCCATAATGTGGAATAACAGAGTTCAGTGCACACAGAATCTCTCCTAAAATCAGATTGTTGCGGGCTGCGTTGGGTAACTCTCGAATCAATGCTGACATAAGCCGCGTGCTGGACGCGTTGGGGGAAATGCAGCAGTTTGTACCGTGCACTTGAGAAAAAGACGGTGGGCGGAAGGACCTTTCGGCAGGTGTACATTAACAGTGAAATTGCATTTTAAAGTATGTACATGTACACATACTCGCAGAATCTACAGATTCTTTTCTATTCCACACGACATCACCCAACCCCAGACCAAAAACGTCTCGTCCCAAAAGTCCCCTCACCACATCACATCCTCTCAGCGGTCACACATCATCCTCCTCCCCCCCTCCCACAATCCCTACCGCAACCGGGCCCCAAAGCCTCCTCCACCCCTCCACAATCCTCCCCACCCTCCCCTCCGCCGCCCTCCTCCCCTCCTTCTCCCCCCGCAACTCCCTCTCCATACTCTCAATCCTCCCCATCTGCCCATCCGCAACCCCCTGCAACGCCTCAATCCGCTCCCTATCGCCCGCCACCCGCGCCTCTAACCCCTGTATCCGATCGCTGCTGTCGTGTAGTTTGGATTGAAGCGTGCGCAGGTGTTGCGTTGTGGATGTCAGGGCGCTGAATGCCGTTGTGTACGTCGTGAGGAAGGGGTACGGGTGGTCGTGTGCCTGTTTTGTAGGTGACCCCGGCCGAATCATATCGCCGGGAATATCCAACACGTTCCCGACGGCACACACACCCTCCCACTGTTTCTCGTAATCGACCAACAGGGACTCGAGCTCGGCGTGCTCGGTCTGGAGGATGGTCAGATGTGATTGGAGATGTGTGAGTTTGGTGGTCCAGGCGTTTTCGTGGGATGTGAGGCGTTGCTGGGTCTTGTGGAGGGTTGATTTTAGCGCGGCGTTTTCGGCGTGGGTTTGTTGGAGGGCCTTTATATGTTCTACATCAATCACAGAACAAATCGATATCAGCGTCATGTCATCCATATCAACAACACCAGAGAAGTGTATGTTTGGTTCAGCCTACCTTCAACAACCCCCGTCAATCCCCCAACCAACTTCCCCATCTCCCTCCCCTCCCTCACAACCTCCTCCAATCCCACCTCCTCCCTCCCCGCCCACGTCTCCAACACGCCCATCTGCGCCCTCACCATGCCCTCCACCTGCGCAACCAACTCGCTCGCCTCGCCAAACACCGCTTCTTTCGCCTCGGTGCGCAATCGCTCCATCTCGGCTGTAAGCGCGCTGATCCGCTCTGTGTGGGTTTGGTGCGTGTGGGAGAGGGTCGTTTCGAGCGCGTGGATCTGGGCACGGAGTTGTATGCGGTCATGGTCGGCGTCCGCGTCGTGGGTCCTCACACTCCGATTCGCACGATCCAACGCTTCGCTCAGGTCCGCTTTCTCGCGTCTAGACCCTTCGACGGTCTGTTCTAGACTCCTGGTGTGGGATTCCAGCGTATGTATCTGAGCGGCGAGTTCCGCTTTTTCGCGTGTATACCCTTCAAGGGTGTGTTCCAGACTCCTGGTGTGGGATTCCAGCGTATGTGTCTGAGCGGCGTGTGCGGCGGTGCTGGCGGCGAGGGTTGTGCGGAGGTGGGTGAGTTCCTGGCTTAGGGTGGCGATGAGTCTGGCGGAGTCGGAGGTGATGTCGTGGGGCGCGAAACGCGGGATCGGGGACGACACAGTCTGCCTCTGTCCATAGTCCCGTAACTCTTCCACCTCTTTTTTCAATCCTTCCACTTTACGCTTCAACCCCTCATTCTCCCTCTTCACATCCTCTACCCGCTCCCTCAACCCACCATTCTCCCTTCTCACCGCCTCCACATCCCTCTCATACCTCCCCTCCCACTCCCCCACCCTTTGTTCCATCTCCACCACGTCCGCCCTCCCCGCCTCCCCCTCCTCAAACCCCGCAAAGTACATCTCCCCAGCAATCGCAAGCATCTGCACCACCTCCCTACACGCACCGATCAACTCCCCCGCGTCGGACTGGGACGCGATGGTGATGGAGATGTCGCGTAGGATGGTTAGCAGGCGGTGGATGCGGTCGGCTATTGTTAGAGGGGTTGTAAGATGGGTTGGTTTTGGGGAGGCGGCGCGGTACGTGGCTACGCAATGACGGAAATGGGTGGATTGGATGTCGATCAAGGCCAAGAGGTCTTTGAGCATTTCCCCACTTCTGGCGTTCTGCAACGGGGTGGAAGGCGGTGGCAGGTCGTTTTCCTTATCGGGATACATGGGGCGGGACTCCGTCTTATCGCGACGGTGCTGGTCCCTCAAGAACGCGTTCTGCTCCAACAACGATCGGAGTTCGAGCTGGGTACGTGATTCCTGCATTCGGAGACGGTGGATGTCTTGCTGTAAAGTCGTGCAGTGTGTGCATGGTTGTTGATGATGTTGTTCCGCTAGTGCCCTCGCCGGAACATCGTCTGTAGTAACCGGTGCGTGTTTGGCGTTTACCGACCCGACGACCCGATTTTCATCAACCAACCTCCGATTCTCCGCCTCAAGCCGCCCAATTTGTCTGCTGAGGTACGCGACGGCGTTATTGTCGATCTCTCCCAGTTGGTGTGATTGGAGTTGTTGCATGAGATGAATTTGGTGTTTTGTTTCGGCGAGGTCGCGTTGTAGATTTGTGGTGGAGGTTTGCGGATCTGGAAGAGGAATGGCGTGCGCGGGAAGGGCGGGCGGTTTTTGTTGTTCTGGTATCGGCGTTCGGTGTTGCGGTAAGGGTTGCGATTGAGATAGGGAGACCGCTTGGGATGTGTCAATGGATTGTGGTTGGAGAGCCGGAAGGGGGTCGTTCCGCGGATCTTTCACGGAATTGGATGGGGGCGCCTCGACCATTGGTAATGCAGCCTCGATCGGTTCATCCGCCGCATCCTTTCCATGCTTATCCTCTACTGCATCCGCACCGCTTGCACCAACCCCTCTTGGCCTGGTCATCATATCCTTCCGAGGACCGCCCGCCTCTTCAGCAGGCCGCAAATCAAAATCAAACACCGAATGCCCCGGCTGATCACGCACGAAGATCGACGAGATGTTGCGTACATGCGGTGTCGGGTTGCCGGAGGGTAGACCCGCCGGTCTGGTTGTTTCTGATGTCCGAGGAGCCTCTTTTGTCTCGCCTTCATGGGCAGCGTCTATGATATCGCTGCTTCGAATCTGAGATTCTATGGATGTCGTGTCTACCGGCACCGGAGCTCCCGCTCCCGAGTCCGACGCCACCGGCCCCACCACCGCCCCCGCAGCACCATCCCTCCCCCCCTCTCCCAACTCCAACCTCTCCAGCTCCCTCGAAATAGTCGTAACAGTCTGCATCAGATCGCGCGTCCTGTGCGCCAGCGCGTCTTCTTTCGCGATGGACGGTTTGTTGCGCGTTGATGTCGATGTTTGGGTGGGTAAGCGACCTCGAGATGCCGGTTGTTGTTTCTGAGTGGACGGCTTGGGTAAAGGTGGCTCGGCGTCTATCTTCTTCTTTCTACGGGGGACGGGTGCGTTGGTGGTGGATGGTTGTTGGAGAGGCATCTTGAGGCATGTGATGAGAGGAGTGTAAAGTCTATCGATGGGATAGGATCGTGCGTCCTAGTGGGACAGAGCAGTCCCTTTCCGGATGTACATGTAGCAACTAATGATTGAGGTTTTAGGCGGCAGCACTGGTTTGCGAGAAAAAACGAGCGGTGGATCTGGAAACGCCCATAACACTTCCCAAACGCGTCAGGTCTTTCCCCGAAGTCAACGCGTCTAGATCGATCCAACACTTCCATGTCATCCAGGACTTTCGGGGAATCTTCCACCACCAGACGCATATCTGAGGCCAGGCCTGCAGTGACACAGTTCTGATAACTCCTTATGATAACGATCGCTGGCAGTGTTCACCAAAGGGAAGGCGGGTGTATCTATGTAATGGTCACGTAAGCGCAGTTAGTAAAATCGAACGGGCGGCGGGCGCAGCGGCGGAGATGACGTTGTTGTCGTTCGTGGGTGGACAGAACATCCTACTAGTACTGTAGGCCTATATGATATCGATATCTGGACGGACATCGGTATTCGACTAGGACCGTACATAACGAGACAGAGAGTCTTCCGGCCTCCTGCTACATACATATACGTTGTTCCCGTCCTGTACGCTGTAATCCGGCTCAGACCACCAAGTGCTTTAGGCTCTCCATCGCGGCAACAACCTCAACTCCGACACTCACTCAGTAAATCGTCCAGCAATCGGTCGCTTCGCCAGTCACTGTTCCACGATATACACCCTATCTTTTATCGTAGTGGTTGGAGGTAAATAGAACCCCGCAAACACAAGCGAAGAGACGAACATCAATATTGAAGATCGGACCAGAATAAGGATCTCGTTGCCACATCCTCCCTCAAATCACCCCAAAAATCATGGCAGCAGCCGGCGCCATAGCCGGGGCGCGTATGCGAGCCGAGATCGAGAAGAAACTCTACCCACCCGTGGCATGTCTCGTTTTCTCCGAAACCTCCTCCGTGTCACACATCCTCGCTCTCCTCCGCGCCATCGCCACCAACCCCAAACTTCCCAAGGACGTTATGATCCTGGGTCTGGACGACGACGGCGCAAAGGTGCTGAGGGAGAACATCACCGAGGCTTGTTGGGGCCTGGGCTTGCAAGCCCGTTTTGTCGCGGCCACTCCGGCTGATAAATCCGCCGTCTCGTCCTTTGAGGCCCTCCCCCCTTTCAACCACAAGAAGAGTAGCGGGGTTCGACATTATATTTTCGGGTTTGGCTTGCGACCGCAGCCGGAGCCCGTGCCGGCCCCGATCAACGATTTGGTGTATGTGCTCCCGCAGGATTCTAAGGGACCGGGGGAACCCATGCCGCATGCATACAACGCTGCTATTTCGCTTGCTTTGGAGAAGGGATATAAGATAGCTAGTGTGGACTCTCTCTTCAAAGCTTAGTGCGGCTATCTGAGCATCCCACCGGGCGTAGTATCTTTGTAAACTTGAGATCAGACGTTCATGTATATAGGAGGCTGGCCGCAACGCCAATGGTACTTGAAATGCGAGAATGACTGGCACTTTGTACACCAGTACAGGTGTAGGGGCGACTTGGGGGCCGAATGCAGCCGTAGTGATGACCAAGTACTTCTGTCAGTCTTCGGATGGCGCGTGAGGCGGAGGGCATAAGCAGAGGCTCTCGCATACCAGTGTATAAGAGACTCCCGACACCTCTCGCCCATCCGTTGCAAGGACGGTGGTGGTAGAATAACAGGGCGGCAATGCACTGTTTCTGGCTTTACAACGGCCCTCTAGATATTGATCTGACCCTCGTGAATTTGAGGATCTTCAGCAGGCAGAACTATCCTGAAAAGGGAGTCAGCCTTTAGCTGAGGAGATTCATACGGACATCCAGCGATGCATACGAACGTCCTTGCCCTGATGGGAATGTACCGTATGCACTGGAAGCTGGGCAAAACTGTCGAAATCCTCACCCAAACTGTCAATGGACGCCGCGAGGGAAAGGGGCATCGTTCTTCACCACTGTATTTTCGAACGATACCAGTACACAGACGATCAGTGCAGCATGTAGGGCGCCACCTATTCTCTAGAGGTTCTCCAGGGCTATGGAAAGGCCCGATGGACGGTCTGTGGATGATCTCGTTGCCCCTTCGACTCCGCTGAACATGTTCAGGACCCTCATCGCGATTGGGATCGCTGTTGCCACCACCGCTTTGGCAGCTGAACCGTATTCACAGCAACACAGATTCTCTATATCAGAAACGACATCGGGCTGGCGAATCCCCCTGGACAAACGAAGCCGTGGACGTCTGCCCGGTTTTCCGCGGTTGAGAGGACGTTCAACGGCACGGCGCTGGAGAGCGCTGTGACCTACCCTCGGTTCCTAGCAACGCAGTCTGGTGGATTTCAACTCTTCTACAGATCGGGCATCTCCGGTAACGGCCAAGGCCGCATCGCCGAGTACGCCAAAAGCACATTGAAGACTCTAGGCGCCTTCAGATCGGCCCTAGGCACCTACGTAGCGCCCAACAAAAACACCTCCATCACCCGCAAACTGGATCTGACTTCTTTCGTCTCAACGGGCCATAAGAGTGCATCCATTCGAGACGTGTAACCCACCGGTTCTTGGAAGAAGTGACGATGCTGCTTCACATAAGTGTAGGTGGTTGGCTGGAAGTGTGCGCATATACTGTACGTCGCTTGTTTGCAGTGGTCGCAAGCCTCCCGCTCCCTCCTAAGTCCTGGATGTCCAAAGTCCACGCGTACTGTACAATATCCTCGTCGGTTGCAAAAGCGTTCGCGAAGAGACCCCTGGGCAACATCGCTTCCCCAGACCTATTCCCCAGCCCAACATCTCGGGGCATACACATCCCAGCTATACTATAGAGACACATAGATGCTGTCGTGCAGAAGACTAGTCCACACAAGAGGCCTCCTGCCAAAAATGCCCCTCGACACCCCCGCAGCCCAAGACTCCGCTAAGGCTCATATCCATGCCCTGTGCGTCAGCGAACGGACCGCTGTGCTTTCGCTTGGTTGCAGATATGCTGTACTGGTTTGTATTCGCCGCTTGTTTGCTTCTACTGGGGAATGTACCCAGACTCACGAGTTTTGTAATTTCCAGTGCGCAAGTCTGTCTAGTGCGAATATTCCCACCGCATTTGCACCAGCTCTCGACGCGTTGGCGGAGATTGCGGTGGACGAGAAGGAACGTGCGGTGTGTTTGAGGAAGGGGAGGGAGGCGGTTTACAAGGTGGGTGGGAAGGAAGAAAATTCCTGATCTGCGGTAGATAGTCGCTTTACACGTTTCACGTTTGCAGAGTTACACCGTTGCTGGGATGCCCAAGGTACAGCCAGCCGCCTAGCTAGGGGAATAGGCGCCCCAGAAAAGGACGGACTACCCTGCTCACAGTCAATGCGCACAGACCATCAACGGCCTCTCCGAACTCCGCTCCGGCGCCATCGCCCGCTGGCCTTCCTCAGCCGCCACGTTCGACGAACCCCTCCCCGAAGACCAAACCGGGTCCACAGAGCAGCAACGGGCGGAAAGGGGCCAGGTGCTGTTCAATGAGGTGTATGGGCGGACGGCGCAGCGGTTGACAGATATACTGGGGTCGCTGCATCCGCGGCTGCTGTCGGTGATTGTGACGGATGCGTATGGGAAGATTTTGGCGGATACGGGCGTGTTGGGGTTGGAGGAGACGGAGTTGGTTATGGTTGGGGCTTTGAAGGTATGGCCGGATCCTTTACATTGCGCCGTACTCTTCAAGCTCTGGTATCTGGGATTCGCTGAACATGCTGATATTTGTCTACTCTAGGTACAAGGCGGCCCAGTCGCAAAGCAGGTAGAAAGTCATCGGAGAGGCGCCGTGCGCATGGGTGCTTCGCAGAGTCATGTCGAGGCCGCCGAGTACATTGCCGATGAAGTCGTGCGGCTGAAAGAGATGGCCTAAGGCGAATACGTAATGGATAGAGAAGCATTGATACCCACTCGGCGTATGCCACACGGACTTGCCCCTGCAGGGACAGCACCTGACCAACGAAAGCGACCACTTCCTAAGCATGTGGCACACTTCATACATTTTCATAGTAAATACACACAAATGCACAGATGAGAAGACGCACCAAACTACATGTCCACAATCCCAAAAAAAGTCCCGAACACTTCAAATCCCATGGAGACAACTATCCCTCCAACTCTGCATCTCCTCCAACGGCCCACGCAAGTAAATCACGCTTTCCCGATCATGCACCCTAACAACCGCCTCCCGCTTTCCCTTCTCCTTCTCCTTCCCACCCTCCTCACCGCCACCATCCAACTCAACAAGCTCAACGCACTCCTCATCCCCCGGCGTGATCCCAATCCCCAGCACCAAATCATGCTCCCCCTCACTCCCCGCCTTAGGCCGACACCAACACAACACATCCGTAAACAAGAAAAACGAAAACGTCTTCCCGCCCACCCCATTCAACCGTAGCCTCCCCAACGCATCACTCCCACCAGCCGTCTCCTCTCCGTCTTTAACTCCAAAACGCGTCTCGATCAAATGCCCCGCAACCCCCTGCCTAAACCGCTCCTTCTTCCCCCCACAAGCCTGCAACGCGTCCACGCGCATATGACCCGTCGCCGCCCCGACAAACTCCACGCTCTTCAACACCCTGACCATCCCCTGCCGCACGAACCGTCGCCCGGGGCGAACGTGGGCGAAGGCGTCCACACCCGCGGACCACGGGCGGACACGGACGCGGGAGAGGACGTTGAGGCCCTGTTCGCGGGCCTCCCATTCGCGTTTTTTGTCGTTGCATTCGGCGACTCGGAGGCGGATCTCTTCCCGCGCGCGTTTGAGCGAGGCGTAATCGGTATGTGTGGGGGGTGTGCATTCGAACAGTTCGTCGATCAGGAGTTTGTACCGCGGTAACCGCTGCACGGGCAAAATCAGGAACGATTGGAGGCTGTTCTGGGTGTGGCGGGGGTTCTGTTTGGCTTCTTGCACGAACTCTTTGAGGCGTTTGTTGAGCGCTTTCTTTGTGGATTTGCTGCTGCCGTCGGTTGTGGGGAGGGCGGTGGTGGAGTTGGAGGAGGGTGGTGGGGCTGCGGAGGTGGAGGCGGAGGAGGGGGAGTCGATTTGGGAGACGAGGCGGTTGGCGGAGTCGAAGTTGTTGTAGTACGTCTGGGAAGCACCGGGAAAATGGATCAGAACCATTGATGGCAGGTGGGGGCATTGCGAAAAAAGTGGAATCATCCCCCTTGGGTCCAGATCTACTTACCGAGTACATGCGCAAAAACGGCGCACTCGGCAGAAACACCGACCCCAGCGGCTGGTCCTCCGCGCTGCACGCCCGTTCCAAATCCGGCAGCAGATGACTACAAACAAACATCAGCAAAACTGCCCATAACCCCGCCACCAAAAACCCCCTTCCCCTTATACTCACTCGCGATGGAAAAGCAACAAACTCCCCAAATTCGCAAAAATCCCATTCATCTCCTGCGCACTCAACACCCCCCCTTCCTCCATCGGCACAATATACACCTCCCTCAGGGCCTCCAACTGGCTCACATACGTGCGTTCCGTGGTCAGGACCTCCATCGCGACTTTGCGGCGGCGTTCGGGGGTCTGTTTCTTCGATAAGTGTTTAGGGTCCGATTCCGTGTCCGGGAGAGAGGCGGAGGGGGAGGGGGAGAGCAGGGAGGCGGCGGCGGCGGAGGTGCGGGGGTCGAGGGTGTGTGCGTCGCGGAGGTGGTTGAGGAGTTGGAGGAGAGCATTTCGGTATTGCGTTGCGGTGTCCGGGGATGTTTTCGTCGGCGGGGATTGCTTTGGCGATGAGAAGAGGTTGGAGAAGCGGCGGGTGCGGGTGGTGCTGCTGCTTGTGGGGCGGGAGGAGGGTCGCGGGTCGTCGAGGGCGGATGAGGGGTCGAGGGAGGAGCGGCGGGGGCCGTAGTCGGGGGATTTGGAGGGGGTTGTTGGGAGGTCTGGGGTGGAGAAGGATAGGCTTCCGGGCGGGGCTGTTCCAAACCATATCATATTCGATGTTCAACGGAATGATGAGCAACACAACCACAGCATCTGCAAAAGAGAAAACCAAACCTACCAGATTTCCTAACCAACACCGACTTCCGCTTCCCAATCCCAAACAACCTCCCCTTCCCCGCCGCCGCATCCGCCACCGCCAACTTCTCCCCACCCCCATCCACAACCGACGGCGGCCGATCCATAGCCCCCACCGAACTCCTCCTCTCCTGCTGCACCACCCCACTCCCACTGGCCGCATCCCCATTCCCACCCCCAAACAACCCCACAATTCCCCTCCGACGACTACTCTCACTATTCCTACTCCGGAAACTGCTATTCGGCGTCGGGTTGGATATCACAGATTCGGCAGTAGGCGCCCACGGGAACGCGTCCCCCGCGATCGAATGCCGCGCAGAGGTCCGGGACTGAACGCTCCGGACGCTGCCGAGGGGCGTGTCGTTGTTGTAGATGGGGGAGGTGGTGGTGCCGCCGATCATCTTCTCGAGTTTGAGGAGGTGATCGGAGCGCCAGCCGTCTGAGGGGAGGGATTGGATGCGGCGTTTTGGGTGGCTTGCGGTGGATGATGTGGGAGTTGGGGGTGGGTCGTCAACGGGCGGTAAGTCGTCGGGAAGTGGACTGTCGTCGAGATGAATCGAGCTGGCCACACTCGGCGGGGTGCTAACCCCCACACCCGCGTTTGAAACCGGATGAACCTCCCCACTGGCCTGCGTGACGGCCAGCAGCGGGGCAACGATCTGCGCAAAGGAGGTGTCGAAGGGGTTTCCTTGCACGTAGAGGGTGTGTAGGGAGGAGCGGAGGACGCCGATGGAAGAAGGGAGGATGCGGAGGCAGTTGTGGGAGAGGTCGAGGGTTGTTAGGTGGGGCATGTGGGCGAAGAGTTCGGGTGCTGTGGGGGGGAATCAAGGAATGTTAGCGTCAGTTTCCCCCGTCTTCCCTTGTAATGAATGAAGAGGGTAGCAAACATTACCAATGTCAGTAATCCGATTCCTCCCAAAATCACAAACCCTCAATCTCCCGGCATCCGCCAGTTCCACGGGCAAACCAACCAATCTATTCTCCCTCACATAAACCTCCCTCAGCTCCCTCAGCCCTCCAATCTCCGCCGGCAACTGCGCCAACAAATTCTGACTCAGATCCAGCACCTGCAGCCGCTCCAACCGGCCCAGAATACTCCCGGGGATCGCCGTGATCCAATTATTCACCAAATGCAACTCCACCAATCCATTGAATTGCGCCGGTAAAGCTGGAAAATGGGATAAATTGCGGGACGAGATATCGAGGTGTGGGGAGAGTGGGTCGAAATGCAGTTTAGCGATTTCGAAAGGCACCAAGTTTTTGCCCGAGTCGCTTTCGTCCGAGTCGCCGGCGAGTGCGTCGATGTCGAGGGGGGTGTTGTCGGCGACCGCGTTGGTGTGGCTGATGGAGCGGCGTTGGGAGTAGACGTGGGAGCGGCGGCGGACGCGGGGGAGGCCGAGGTCGGGGTAGTCTGAAGGGTGCGGGGTGGGATGGGTGCTGGTGGTGGGGGTGGTGGGCTCGGAGGGCGGGATGTCTTCGATGACATTGGAGGGGATGGCGTCGCCATTGATTTGTACGGATGGGGTAGTAGGGCGTTCTGTTTTTTTGGGACGGGGTTTGAGAAATTTGCGGAATTGCTGTCGCTTTGCACCTGTTGTCGGGGTCGATAAGGACAGTGACGACGGTTCGTCTGCGATTGGCGGCGGCGGGGACGCCACGGGCAGTTCCGCGCGCGACGTCTCCGCCGCAGTCGCGAATGAGTCCGAAAACAGGTCCTTTCCTCTAGGTGCAGTCGTGTGTGCGCGCGGGGTATCTTGCAATGAGGTTGTCTCGTCGACGTCGTCAATATTTGCAGCAGTCCGACTTATGACGATTCTGATAGGCGGCTTCCGTAGCGGCGCACGTTTGCCTGATCCGGTGGCCATGGATGGTGGCAGCTGCTCGCTCATTAGTTTCGCTTTTGTCACCGATAGCTCGGGGATTGAGTGCGTAATTCCATTCGTGGCCGCTGAGTTTTGGGCGACGTGATGGTCAAGTCCACTCGTTTCCCCATGTCCAACAGCACCCTCCGCCTTCATCTGAAAGAAATCGGTGATATCAATCGAACTCCCACCCATGGATTCCACCCCATTCACAGACGACAGCGTCGTATCTGCCGTCGACGCGCTCTGGTTCCTCCTATGACCTTTCACTACATATATTTGAGGCGGCGGGAGTAACGGCCCATCCGCGTGATCGCTTAGTGATGTACGATCAGAGGACGGATCGGTCTCACCGGGTTTGGGCAGCGTGCTGAGCAGCTCATCCAGCATTGCGGCCATATCGTCGAGCTTGCTGTCGCGTTTCGGGTGCGGCGGTGGGGAGTTTTGTGGTTTCTCTACGGTATTCGTATGGTATTCGCAGACGACGGGAGCGGCGGCGGCGGGTTCTACGTTGGGCTGCTTGTCGATGAACATCGGATCCTTCCCTAAAAACGTTGCTCTTGATTCCGGATATCCTCGTAGTTCGTCGTCCTTCGTTGTCACAAGTTCAGGTTTACCTGTTGATCTGTTTAGAAGGATTTGATCTGGCTTGTGTATTTGAGTGTTCCAGCCCAGGCGCGCCAGCCCTGCGTGCGTGCGTGCGTGCGTGCGTGTGTGTGTGTACCAAAGCAAGGGGTTGTTAGACAAGTTTGAACGGATCTTTCGCTTATCGATTGCGGTGTCCTTAACGTTGGGCCTTGTTTCCGAAGGGCGGGCAGAACATACTTTTTGACAGGCCCCGCAGTTGGGCGAAGCGATTGACGGCCGCTTACGTGCTGGCGTTCCTCACGTGACTCGATCACAGAACATCATTGAATTCGGGCTCCATCACGTGACCTTCACTCTTTTGTATTGAGAGTTGAAACCCGTTCGCCCGGGCCCTTTAGACAGACGATCCAGAAGAGCCAAGCAGAAGGATCCGCAAAGGCATGGAAAACACAATCTTTCCCAATGTGACCTGCACAATCGATGTCTCCTTCTTATCTGCCTCGTAAAGCCGGCCGCTCCGGTTGATCCCAACTTGCTTCCCGGGTCTGGGATGGGGCCTTCAAGCCACGTGTGCTATATGAGAATCGGCCGATTTGCAGTGTGACTGTGTGACATTTGCGGCGACAAGCCATTCCCCGCCGGTTTACCTTCAATTTCGAGAAAATGTAATCGCCAGCCAGTCGGCCACCGGTAATCCTCCACCGGTATAATGGAAAATCCTCCACCGGTATAATGGAAAGCAGTATGAGTTATCGGGGTCCCATTGGAATCCGGCATTTTAATACCTATTCTTAATGCGGCCATACCCGGATTCCTTGAAATCCTACGTATACCGTTCACGCGAACAATGACCATTTTTCGACGGCCGATATCACTCCCTTTCCTGCGGTCTTTACGTGCAAAATTTGCTATGCGATAAGGCGCTCGTTGCATATGTATTGGCCAGCCATTGATCCGCTGTCTCTTTCTTCCTCCTCCAAAGTCACAAAGCAGACTTGCATGGCTCCTGGAAGTATCTTCCGGAGCATCCTGCTACCGTCTCGTCAGATATCCTGTACGAAGCGCTTCTGAAGTTGAACTGTCCCAGGGTCTGTTGGTGTCGGAAGCTTTCCGAGTTTCGAGAAAGTGAACTTTTTGGGGTTGTTTCGTATAGGCACAAAACTTTGTCGTTGTATCGGGACCCGAAAGGTTACAACGTCCGGCCGTTCCCAACTTCCAGCATTCGTCTCACGGCCGTTAAACGGGGAATCCGCACATAAACGGGCGCCCAAGTGATACAGCACCTACGCCGGCCTTCGAGTTACTCCCCTCATTGGTGATATTTTGCCCCATCCTCGCACAGGCGTCTCTCGAGTCTCCAACCCTTCATTTCGAGGTTCCTGTTGTATACGTCCAAGTAGGAGCTTGGACTCCCCATCGCTAGTATCGACGCTCATCACTCTCACCCCAGAAGGAATCAATCGGAAGGTTCGTACACACAGCACAGCCGCCGCTTTAGCCTTTTCGGACAATTTCGCCTCGTTTCCCTTCCCTTTGTAGTAACCGTACATTCACTCCTGCAGCAGAACCCCCGGTTGCCGCTGATCGCTACTACTCGTTTGTCTGTCCCTGCCGTCGTAGTTATCCTTGCGGCCGCGCACAGTCTGTTATTAGTGCGCGAAACAAAGAAACGCCGTTGTAGCCCGCCGCCCCTTATTCCGAAGTGCGCTCAAAGAACAACTCTCGCTGAATACGGCAAACCCTCATTCACGCACTACCGGACACTCCCACCCGCATTTGGCCACCCACTGCGACTCTTACGGACACTCCCGTCGCCGCCAACGAGCCGTTCTCGTTCTCTCCCGTCGCAGTAGTAGGTGAGTATTTTCGTCAAATCGCGAGTGTTTCTTGAATGAGGGGCAGCGATCCTCAGGACTTGGTCTCGGACAAACAATGCTCAACATATCACCTCCCTTCTTTCCCACCGCTGGAATAGAAGTGTTGCAAACGAGAAACATGGCGCTCATCACTGAACTCGGTGTTTCGGACTCGAATCAGCCTGGACCGTCGGTTGGCGGCTCATACCGACCGAGCCTAATGTCGAGCAGCAACGGGACGCTCGCAGAAGGTGGGCCATCTTACCGCTCGAGCCCCATTTCCAGCGGCCAGCCTTACATGGGGGACACGGCATCGTACAGCAGCAAGCCCAGTCCGCTCCCGCTGACGCCACTGGACATTCAGCACCGTCAGTTTCCGCAATTCCACAGCAACGAGAGCTCGCCGGTGTCCTCACCTCGACTGGGAAAGCAGAATGGGTTTCCTCACTCTATCACGACAAGTCACACTGAGCACCCGCCTATGAGCCGCCCATACCCTTACCAACCGCAGCACCCCTCGCAATTCAGGTCCGTCTATCAGCCCGCGTCGCCAATGGCGTTGCAACAGCACCACCACCTGTACGACGTCAACAGAAGTCACTCGCCGTCTCCTTCGCCGCTGGTGCAGAGTTTCCCGCGTTTACCTTCATCTCCACGGGCAGGAACCGTTGGTGGGTACTCGCAGCAGCAGCAGCCACAGCAACAGCACAATAGCAGCCCGAATTCAGCCTCGTCTAGCGCGAACGGGAAGGTGTCGATCAATCAGTTGACGATGATGAATTTGAACGGATATTCAGCCAACAGTCCAGCAACACCGACAGGATCGGTTGGTGATGATCTTGGAAGCAACGGCATGACGCTCTACTCCCAGCATCAGCCACAGCAGCATCAACATCAGCCGCAGCAGGGCTTGCAGTATGGACATCAGCAGCAACATATGATGGGATATTCGTCGAATGGACCAATGCCATACTCCCCTACACTGCCGGCACCACGATCTGAAGGGATGTTGCCTTTTGGAAACAGGAATCATCCACCACCTGCGAACCAAAATGTTGTGCAACTTCCTCCCTTTGCGCACTTTGATGGCGCTTCTTCCCCCTATCCTGGTATGTAGCATTTCTTTTCCTTGTTTGATTTCCGCAATTGGCAGCTCACTCACTCCTTGTTCTTCTCCATTCCGATAGCCTCCCCACTCCCTCAAGCGCCTCTATCATCGTCGTCCTCCCATCGCTCTCAAGATCCCCCTACACCGCAATCACAACACCAGCAGCACTTCCCATACGGTTCGTCTTTGAAGTCTGAGTACATGCCTGGACCTGGAAGTGCCGGCCACCTCCACGAACCTCTCCCATATGCATCGGATGATTACCCTCATAGCAGCCCATCACTGCACAACGGGCCTCCCTCCGCTCCCTACAAGATGGAACCTCAATCAGGGCACCCCGAAGGCAACATCGTGTACGACTATCCGGGCCACTACGCCATCGGCGCTCAACCGCAACCCCACTACCGCTTTAGCCCCTACGGCAACCCTTATGACGAAGGCTCCAGCTACCGCGCCAGCCCCCACAACCCCAACTCCCCCGTCGTCCGTTCCCACCAAGGCCTCCTACAACCCTCCCCACCACCCCGCGACCTCTCCCCCCTCCCCGACGGCATCCTGCGCTACGAGCCGGCGATCTTCAAACGCGCCATGATTCACCACATGTGGAGCCTGAAGGAGACCGCGATCGAGTTCATCAAAGAGGAAGCGTTGAAGTACGGGTTCAGCGTGCTGGTGCGCACGAGCAAGCCGGACTATGTGGTTGTGATTTGCAACTGTGGACGGCGGTTGAAGAGGCTTAAGGGCGAGCGGAAACGCAATCGGAGGTTCAAGACGGCCATGACGGGCTGTGAGTGGCGCGTGGTGCTGTTTAGGAGCCCGAATGGGGAATGGGAGTTTAGGGCGACGACCAAGATGGATCATAACCACGGGTTGCCAGTCATCGATAGGTGAGCACTCCTACTTCTCGTCTGCTCCTAACTTTGTTGCAAATTGGACTCGAGAACTGACATTTTCCTCTCTTTCCTCCGCAGCGATGACTAAGCGATTCCCATAAATTTATTGCGACAAAGAGAAAGGAGAGCCGGTCTCTCCCCACCTCCCCACCCCTAACACGGCGTTAACAAACATAAACGGCGTTGACATTGTTCCTCAACTTCCCCGGATTTCGGCATACATCCCAAATCCTGCGTATTACATACACGCACAGCATATTAGTCGCATGCAACACATACATACATTGTATCATTTTCATCCCGCAATCGAGTCATGGCCTCAACATCATCCCTCAACAATATAGACAGACTTCAAGCGTGTAGCTGCCGGCGTACATACAAGCTACCCACGAACTCCCCCCACATAGACATTTCATAACCTTTTCTTTTCACCCTCTCCTTGTTTTTGAGTTTTGTACTTTGTGTTTTTGATAAATGGCTGGGATTGATATACTGTTCTTTGATGGGCGTGGGGATCTGGGAAGGGGTTTGGAGCAGACCTAAACTCAAAGGGCAGGATTTCGACCGCTCGGACGCGTTTCGCCGGAGCCGTCGGAGCCGTCTATTGATGTCCAACTTCGTCTTGACTCCACATCCCGCAGTTGTCAAGACAAACAGGACCAAAGCATTAGCAGTCACCGTCAGTATCTGCCTAGCTGTCTCAGCACTACGTCGTTGCTCCAGCAGTAACCCCCCACCCCGACATGCCCGCTCCAGTCACGGAGTTTCACGCAGGCGAGCGTGCCATGCACTCCCTCCTCCACGTTCCCCGCCAACGCAACCCCACCTCCTCCGGCCTGCCCCCACAGTACGCCGCCCGCGCAACCCACTTCCCACTCGTCGCTGTCGGCACCGTCGACGCAGCAGGTCGTCCATGGACAACCCTCTGGGGCGGTGACCGCGGGTGCACACGACCCATCGCTCGCGGCGTTTTGGCATTTGTCAGCGCTGTCGATGTGGACAATGATCCGGTGGTGGAGGCGCTGTGGGACGGTGCTGAGGTTGTGGATGGGGAGATCTTGAGGCCTGGGACGTCGGATGCTGGGAGGCTCATGTCGGCGCTTGCTATCGATCTGGAGACGAGGGATCGTGTGAAATTCGCCGGACGCATGGTCGCTGGGACGGTGGACTCTCGCGGCACTTGCGGCGCTGGATGGGACGTGCAGCTTGCTATGCAAGTAAGTGAGAGCTTGGGGAACTGTCCAAAGTATCTGAATTGCAAGGACATCGTTCCCGCAGGCGAGGTGATGAAGCCAGTGCTCGTGTCGGCCGCCCTTCCGCTTCCCAAGGAAGCGATCGGCCTGATCGCAACAGCAGACATGCTCTTCCTATCGACCACAAGCGGCGAAGCCATGGATACGAACCATCGCGGAGGCAACCCGGGATTTGTAAGGGTTTTGCGCAACACTGCAGACGTCGTGCAATTGGTCTACCCGGAATGTGAGTTCGGTTCGGGTGGAGAATCTTCCTGCACTCTCTGACCATGGGTCCACCAGTCTCGGGTAACAGACTCTACCAGAGCCTAGGAAATCTCAAACTCAATCCGATGGTCGGCATCGTAATACCGGGCTTTGAATCAGGAGACGTGCTGTATCTCACGGGCGCCGCGTCCATCCTCGTTGGCCACGAGGCGTCATCTTTGATGCCTAAAACGCAGCTTGCCGTTAAGATCTCGGTGACCGCCGCAAAGTTTATCAAATCCGGTCTGCCGTTCCGAGGCACCTCTCTCGAACGCTCGCCTTACAACCCACCCATCCGCCACCTCCTCGCCGAGCACGACGCTCATATTGCAAGCTCCGCCGCCGCAGAACGTGACACAGTTGCAACGCTCGTCCGCCGCGAAACCCTCACCCCTACCATCAACCGCTTCACATTCCACCTGTCCTCGCGCACCGCCGCCGTCGTGCCAACATGGCATGCAGGGCAGTACGCCACGCTTGATTTCGACGAGCTGCTCAGTGCAGGGTACTCGCACATGCGTGATGAGGACCCGCAGAGCCTGAACGACGATCACGTCCGGACGTTCACCGTGTCCAGCCCGCCGGCCTCGACCGAGATGCAAATCACCGTCCGGCTGCATGGGCCGGTGACCCACTTCCTTTGGGCGCAGCAGCCCGACGGGACTGCCGACGCCGATGCCCAACACGCACCGGTACGTGTCCCCGTTCTCGGCTTTGGCGGCGCCGAATCATATCGCATCCCGACAGACCCGTCCACTGCGTCCGCCCCCGTCTTCATCGCGGCAGGCGTCGGCATCACCCCGCTGCTCGCGCAAGCACCCGCCCTGTTAGCCGCCGGACGGCCCCTGCAGGTGCTGTGGACGCTCCGCGCCGAGGATCTGGCCCTCGCCGTCGATGCGTTTGCGGTTGAGCCGCGCCTTGCTGTCTGCACGACGCTGTTTGTGACGGGAGGCGCGGATGGAGAGGACATGGGTGCGCTAGCTGGCGGGGCAGCGGTTGTGCGGCCGCGGAGGCTTCAGGCGGAGGATGTGCATGCGTTGAAGGGCAAGGGGAGCAGGTTTTTTCTGTGCACGGGGCCCGCCCTGCTCGCCGCGCTTGTGGGCTGGCTGCAGGGTGAGCATGTTGTGTGGGAGGATTTTGGGTACTAATATGGCCTTTTCGCATTCGGGAACCCCTCCTATCCATCGAGTGGCCCGAGAAAATACGTACTGTACATCACAACATTTGTATTCGCGCATGGGTGATTTGTAGAGGCATGCTGGCTTGGGTAACAGGTCGGGCATGGCTTCAAGATTTTGGATACATGTATATATTGCCGGATTCATGGCGGATTCGTTTTGCCTCTCATTAATTCAGAAAGTCGTGTTTGTTAAACGGGACCCTATTTAAGCTATGAATACCAAAAAGGCAAGCATTTCCTAGTCAAGCTTCACGCCGAGATCCAACTCGAGCGCTCTAATCAAGTACCACGTAAATTGTGGGCCTGAAATGGGATTGCATCCAAATAGCAGGCTCTGGTCACACGCGCATGTAGTTCGCCTCATCGTGGTCGTTATCCTCCTCCTCTTCCTGCCGCTCGTCGGGGAACGTCAACGACTGATTCGCTTGAGACGGAGGCCGCACCAACCGGCTTTCGAGCATACCGCTCATTTGCCCGGTACTTGGCCCAAACATCCGCCAAAGCGCCACGGGGACTTATATCGTTGGAAGCCATAGCAAGCCACCGGATCCACCGGAGAACCTCGGCCAGCGACTCGTCCGATCCAAAGGCGACGATAAGCGGCAGTCCCGAGGCGTAGACCCAAACCCCCGGCAGCCCGCAGAGCCCGCTTCGGAATGCCTGGACCAATCGCGTCCGAGTTGCTCCAACAAAGACAGGCTTCCCCCGGGGACTTTGACAGTGAGCGCACCTTTTGCAACCACCATCCAACTTGCCACCTAACCACGCAGGTCCCCTTTCGCAGCGCAAATTTGAAATCTCATACATAGGAGCCCATCCGACAATGGAATTTCTAGCAATGGATATGGATTTCTAGCAATTGTCTGGTCCGCAATGGATACACGGGGCCACCTTCGCGATCGATGGAAGCCAGCAGCAGGAGACATGCTGTGGAAACTTCGGTTCCCAACCTGTGCATTCACCTATCCCCTGCCGCTCTGAGCGACTCTGAGTGAGCGACTCTGGGTGAGAGGGAAGTGGCACGCACTCCGAGTGAGAGAACGCGTCTCACTCCCCCGAAAAAATCGAGAGAAGGTGGGACTTCTGTTATACAAGACGTGTATAGAGTTTTAGGGCGTGAAGTGTAAGAACCGATGCCTGTATGGCTAAGTGGCAAGGCGTCTGTCTTGTAAACAGAAGATCCCAGGTTCAATCCCTGGTGCAGGCACGATATTATCATTTTTGGTTTTCTCAGCTTTTTTGGTCCAAAAAAAAGATGGGCGCGAACGATATGGAAAAGATTCCCAAAGACATGGAACCAGCGACAACAGCAAACCGTCATCGTGAGAAAAAACGCAGCAACCCCCAGCCCAGTTTTTACGAACTCAGCTGCAACATCCCAGAAGCCAACAGCTGCCGCCGACGGTCGACCCACAAGCAGCACACCGACTCTTCGTACAGCGCTCTTCCAGAACGCCATCCCACCTTGCACTACTCACGCGTTGTGTACAGCATTACCTGTGGTATGTGATTTCCTGGCAGTGTACTTTTATCAGGGGTTGCCAGCCTAGGGCTTCGCGCAGGACCGGCCGACCCAGGGCGGATACGGCGAGCTGCCATCCTGCGCACAACGCCCAGTCTACTTGCGGCGCTGAGTGGCCACGTATTCATTAGCATTAACTCTTGGGCTCCCATTCCTAACAGAAGCATCTGATTTCGCTGACGACCTCTATCCCGAGACGTAACCACCTGGAAAGAGATACAGGAGAATCCGAAAGATGTCCGTAACAGGGGGAGCAAAGGTGTCTGTAGCGCCGATACCGGGCTTGTATCCGGTCACGGGCAAGCCACGGCAGTTGGGTGCTTTCGAGCACTTTGCAATGTCCGCTTTGGCCCCTGCTGGTGAGTTTCGGGAGTCTATAGAGGTCATAAGATAGGGAGTGCACTGGGTTGAAAGTCTGAGGGTGTGCGGAGGAAGAGGTCGTTGCGAAAGTCATGGCATGGGAGCATACCAGAATGTCAGTCTGGGAGGATTGAAAAGCTGGGGCCACGGGCCTCTTGATCTAATTGTATACGATTCGCCGCAGGTCGCTGCCATTGACCATACCACGTTTATGCTGACAGACCGTTGTTCTTATTCCTTTGCAGGGGCTGTCATCTTCACAAATCCCTTCGACACTGCAAAGTAAGTCAACGCCATAATATGGGACCCTTCCACCGGACAGCCCTTCTCACCCTCGTTTTCTAACGCACCACAGAGTCCGCCTACAACTACAAGGCGAAAAATTACGACAAGCGAAAACCGGCGCAACCGCAGCAGCCAGCGCGCAATCGCAAACGGTGTACAAAAACAGTTTCGACACCATCTATAAAATCTACATAAATGAGGGCATCAAGGGTCTGCAAAAGGGTCTGACGCCTGCGATCCTGAGGGAAGGGTCGAAGAACTTGTTTCGCATTGTGAGTGTGGTGGTGGAAGAATTCCAGACTCAAATAGCGAACGCCTGTGGGAAGGCATTCGAATTCAGTGGCGAGTCTGTCCCAGAGGGGCGCATCACTAACATCTTTGCTTTGCTTCTAGGGCATGTTCGACCCCATTTTGGCTACCATACACGACAATTCGAAAGGCAAGCCACCAGCCTGGAAGCGGATGGTGGCTGGATCGATGTGCGGTGTCATGGGCGCCATCAGCTGCAATCCCTTTGAGCTTGTGAAAACACGGTATGGAATGGAAACACAGCGTTTGAGAAAGACGGAAAGTTAGTAGCGATCACGGCCGTTCTGATCCCCTCTGGACGATTCGCATCCATCAGATTACAATCCGCGTCGAAAAGCAATATCGCCGTTGGAACGCAACATGGGTAGGCATGACTCCAGTGCTATCATAGGATCAAAGAGAGCCCATCACTCAAACCTTCAAATCGCAATCACAGCTACACCGGAACATGGAACGCCCTTTCGAGCATCTACAAAGCCGACGGCGTACGCGGCCTCTACCGCGGCTCCATCCTCAGCATGTTCCGCTCCATCTTTGGCTCCGGGTCGAATCTCGCCGCCTACTCCATAATGAAGGACTACCTGATAACGGAACGGCAGTGGAACGATAACGCGTGGCTGGATATGGTCTGTGGGCTCGCTTCTGGGATCGTTAGTTGGTATGACGCCCGGGGAGATGCCGGATGTTTGTTGGTTATTTGGGAAGCATACTGATTTGATACGGTGTGATTGTTAGCATCTGTATGAACCCCATCGACGTGACCCGTACGCGATATTATAACCAGCAATACGTTGACGGAAAAGGCGTGATGTACTCGAATGGGATCGACGCCATAAGGAAGATCGCCAAGAACGAGGGTCTGACGGCGTTCTATAAAGGGTTGACGACGCATTTCTTGAGGATAGGGCCTCACTTTTGCCGTGAGTTATTTACTCTCAACATCACCTTCAGTGGAGGATTGTCCGTCTAACCGAAATGTCTTTTAGTGACATTCGTGTTCCTGGGCATACTACGCCGCGGCTGCACGGATTTCTACAGCTACCTCGACATGCGCGACTCGTTCTCGGCCTTCGACAAGGACGGGAACGGCATGCTGGACCAGGCTGAGTTGCGCGACGCGTTGCAGAAAGTCGTTATGAGCCGTGGAGAGTTGGGGTACGATGCCATGGTTAGTGCAAAATTCCTACTCTGGGACTGTCTTTACGCAGTTGTCTCGTAATGAAGATCGTGATGACGCTAATCTCGATTATGACGTTTTTCCGCAGATCACGTCGTATGCAGACCGCATCCTAGAACAAGCCGACGTGGACCACGACAACATGATCAACCCGAAAGAATATCCCGCGATGGTCAAGGAAGTCACTGCGATCGTCGGCGAGCGGAATCGCAAGCAATAATCCCAGCCCAATAATCCCCCCCACTATTTTATGAGAGACTTCGGATCTTAAACTCTACTCTAAACCCCCCCAACCCGCATTGAATGGACACACTCGCATACGCATACGTTTAGTGCTCTCTCTCCCCCAGACCCGGAACCTTAAAGGACTTTGTGAAGTTTTCCGGCAATGGATTGGGTTGAGATCACACGAGAAGGACATACATGATGGTGGATAGCGGTGGATCATGCACCGCTCGTTGTACCGGCCCTTAGTTCCAACTTTTGCTCAGCCGTTTGTTGAGTTGCATGTCAAGACGCGTCTCCCCCTTCTCCCCCAATTCCGCCTCCAATCCCTCCATTGACGCGTGTCAAGTCGACCCCTTTTCTCACCCTTGGGGCTCCCAAACCGCAGCGGCACAGTCGGTTCATCCCATAGTAGTTATTGGAGGCATGGCGACATGGGGGAGGGAAGTGAGATCGGTAGGGAGGGGACTGGGGAAGGGATGCGAGGATCTTATGTCCGGCTGCGCAGCTCGATCGTTCTAGCTGTGCAGCTCGATCGTACCAGCATTGCCGATGGGGGCAAAAGCTGACGTACGGGAATCTGAAAAGATCCCCTGTACCCCCGCAATAACGTCACGGATCCTACTAATGCTGGTCACGAAGGCCTCGCCGACGTCAACCGACCGCACAGCCAAAGGGCCTTTACAGTAATTGCTGCGTGAAACTTGGAAACCTTTTTGCCGTCGCTGAGCGTGAGGGCGGTGGCCACCAGGGGTAGATATAGAAGGAGAAGGAGAAAGAAGGCACAGCCTTTCACACCTCGTTCAAGACCGCTGCTCCTTGCATCCTGCTAGAACTTTAGATCTGCGGTTTTCTTGCCCGCCCTTCAGACACTGCACTGCGCTGGACGCTACTGCACATACGGACGTCGGATGTCACATTTTCACTTGGTGAAGGACTCACTCAAAGGCACAGCCGTTAGATTTTTCACACCTACCTGCGCAGACGAGGCTTCTCGTAGCGACGTCTTTGTTTTTTCTCCTGCTTTGGGAAGTGGATCTCGTTCCCGCGCGCGCTAGAGCGCTTTCCATCGCATAGCCCACATTTCCTCATCTCAAGCTCCTTCGGGCGAAGCAAGCCAGCAACACACATCCATTGTACATACAATCTAAGCCATGGCCCTCCTCCACCCACCCACCCTCCGCGACTCCCACCACCGCACCACCCTCCTCGACGACACCCACCCACTCCTTTACCACCACCTCCCCGTCACACACTCCAACATCTGGCACGACCCGCACACCCGCTGGTACGACTCCGACCATGCCGTCGACCCGCGGTGGTCGAGCGATACCGCCCTGCACATCAAGTCGGAGATGATCATGAAAGACCGCACGATCCCGCCGAGGAGCAAGTCGCTGCCGCTTACGCAGATACTCAATATACCTGCTGACGCGTATGTGCCGATGAAGGGGATCGACCCGGACGCGAGGACGATTGATGATGAGGAGGGGCGGGGGCGGTATGCTAGCGACAACGACAGCGATGACGATGATGACGAGATCTTCTTACTTGCTGATGAAGGCCCGGTGGCGTGCGTGTCGTCTGTTGATGGGGAGAGTGGCGGCGCGGAGGTGGATGAAATGGCGGATTTGATGGATTTGTATGGGGGGTTGCATGTGTTTGGGGATACGACTGTCTCCACACCGGCATTGACATTGAACGACGCGTCAAACATTCGCAAGAGGGATACCGACGCGAACCCGAGCAACGTCGACGCGTGTGAATATGAGGGCCCGCTCTATTTTCGGACGGATAGTAAGGGAGAGTGGGTGCGGAGGTGGGGCGTGTTGGGTAGCAAGAGTGTGGTCGTATGCGAGTCGCGTGAGGTATGTACTACTTCCCTTTGCACCAACAACCTCCCCCACCGTCAGATACCTAACCACCATTATACGTCCTCAATAGAACCGCCAAATACTCGCCCAAGTCCACCTCTCACCCCACCTCGTCATCCTCCAAGAACAAAGACCGGGCACCGAGGAGCATCGCCAAACTCAACCCTCAAAAGGATCGAAACCCACCCACATCAAACCCAAAAGCTGCCGCAGCCTTCCTTCCCCAACAGCCTGGTTCGCTCAACACACCTCCCCACACACATCCTCCTCCTTACCTGCATCCCACACCACATCAACACACCACCCACCAGGAACATTCGCCTTCAAACTCACATCCCCGCCCTCCACCTCACTAGACAGCCAACAACAAAACCCAACCCAACTTCATCTCGCATCCCCAACCCTTCTCGAAATGCTCCTATGGATGGCACGCATCATCTCCGCGACCGAGCGCGGGGGGGAGAGGAAAGTTGTGAGGACTCTGGTGCCTATTCGGCGGCCTCATCAGAATCATACCAGCAACCATAGTACTCATACCAAAGCGTTGCCGCTACTCAAGAGGGGTTTAGAGAAAGGTGCACGCACGGTTGACGTGTTTCCCCTCACCGCCGACTCGGACGTCGACACGGACACCATAATATCATCCCGAAAATGCACATGGCCCTCCTCCTCCGCCACCAACCTGCTCGGCGGCGCCGACATCCCCACCACTCCTACGGGAACAAAAAGGAGAGAGGGCAGACGGTTCACGTTCCCGACGCCGGGACGAGGCTTTGGGAAGCGGTGGATGAGGGTGAGCCAGGGTGGGGTTGTGCGGTGATGTACTGGGGTACTGGGTTAGATGGGGTTGGAATGTTGCATTGTTTTCGTTTTTCAACACGTCATTTGTATATCTTTGTTTTTTTTTTAGGCTGCTGTGAGGGATTTGATTAGCGAGAACATTCGTACATCATGTCGCTGGTGCAGTTCGTGAAATGTGTACAAACAAAGCATTCTAAGATGTCGTCCCGGACTGGACGTGGGGACGCACAGAATTCTGTTCCGTGGTGACGGGATCCTCCAAACGAAGGAGTCCGCGTAGATTCCGCAGATGTCGAGGATCGCCACCGCGGCCGTCGCGGGGAATGTGCATGCTCTGTGTTGATGCAGAGAGTCGCGGGAAGGAAAGCATAACAAATGACGTAGAAGTGCCCGTCGTACATCCCCTCATAAGAAGCCTGACAGGTATTCATTAGCCCTTCATGGGAACCAGTATCAGGTCGAGGTCGCGCACCAGGGTCCACATCATCCAGATAGCGGGAAACGAGGCTCAAGTCTCATTTGGAGTCGTTAGAATGAAGCCACGGTGGGGCATGGCCGTACGGTATGACTGACGTGATGTTTTGGCGATGAGGAAGGGCTCCTAGTTTGGATCAAAAGGGTCGCACCATGGTCCGCCTCGGGTTTGAACAGATCGATGGAGAAAAGACGATAGAATCGAGCGAGGCACACCGAGTGTATGTACCACCCTTACAAGCGATAAATAAGTAAAAGTGAGCATCGACAAGAGCTACCCGCAATGACGGGAGGGTGACAAAAGTTTCTAGCCGCTTCCATTTTGATCCATCGAGCGACGCATTTAAAACATCCCCACCGCCCAACCTCCTAACCAACCTGTCCCCAATTTTTCACCATGGGTACCCACACCACTGAGGCCCAACGACACGCTGTTCTTGCCCACCGAAGTGCAGGAATGCCCATACGTGCGATAGCTGAAACTGAAGACATCCCTTTTTCAACTGTCAAGTTGATCCTTGCCCGCTTCCAAAAACCGGCACTGTTCAAGACCAACCACGCTCCGGCAGGCCTCAGAAGCTATCGGAAAACGACTCCCGTCATTTGGTCAGGCTCACAACTCGCACAGTCAATAAAAGGCGCACGTCTTTAGCTGAGATCACCCAAGAGCTCAACGCTGGGCGCACAGATCCTGTATCCAAGCGAACCATACAGCGCCGCCTACATGACCTGGGCCTCCGACGGCAACTGGCAGTCAAGAAACCTCGACTACTGCCTCACAAGGCTGCTCGCCGCAAGTTTGCTGCTGCTACTGTACGTAACGACCCAGGCTTTTTGTTCACAACACCATACGGGTTTCTAAAAACGGAATTTTCCTTTGACGGTCAACTCAGGCCCCTCGAAACGCCGCGCAACACCTACGCCCGCCGCAGCCACAAGCAATCGAAGGAGTCGGTGGAAGACATGCCACCGGGCCGGGGCCCACACTAGACATAGAGGGTCCTGGTGGAGAGAAACTTCATGCGACGGCGGGCAATGTGCCTGGAGGGCGTTAAGCGAGACGAGGCGCTGGAATAATCCTGATCACCGCGCTAGGACTGTATTGTTATTAGGCTTATGTTGATGCATATGCTCGACGCCCGCTTTGGGGCTTTTTCTTGTGATCTACCGTCTCATTGAAACTGGGTCGGAAAAACGGTACGGGTTCGTGCTACCGGATGCATTGGGGAACACTGCTCGAACCTCTCTGCCGCTGTGTTATACATCGAAGTTTGCTGGCCAGGTTCAGAAACTCTTGTGTCATCGCCATAGACGGCTTGATCTGTGACTTTTTTTTTGTATGAGGTTTCCAATTAGTAGAGCCTTTGTGTTGGGTTGCGAAAAAGTGTTTCTGTGCGAGACGCATCGTGCTCCCCTGTCCATTCGTAAACCTGTCGAAATAAGCACAAATAACATGGAAATATGGTCTTTTGAACCGAAAATCAGTCAGACGCCATCTAGATCCAGGTTGGGCGAGGAAGAGATTTTAGCGAGGGCCATAATCTCTCGTCGGATCGCTTGAACTGGATGGCCTCGATCTACTGATTCTTTGGCGTGATCCGTTTCAAGCTACTTGAGAAACCATAGGCTTCAAAAAGCGGTATTGGCAATGCAAGAACACACATTGGGTATCATGTTGCTAAAGCAAGCACGTCGGCTAACTAAAGGGACAGACGTGTTTGTGTATAAAGACGGAGCGTTGTCTCTTCCCACCGACATAACATCATCCACCTTTCAATTAGCTGGTTGGCTTCAAGCATTCGATGCCACTGTCAACTGCTGTCAATAACCTGTCAACTTCGGACTGTTTGGTGACCTCTCGTGTGGAGACGGTTTCAGATGTTTGGAGGAGAGAAAAAGACGGGTCGTACTATTCCCCAAGAACAGAACAACGCAGGATCAAAATATAGTCAAGATTGATACACATCAGACAAAAAGAAAGGTCTCCTCTGCGCCTCCACTTACGCTTCGCCCCAATCCCCTCCCGGACGCCACCCGACATGCCCATTCTTCCCCTCCTGCTCACATCAACCCTGCTCACTCTGCTTACCTAAGACCCGCTCTCCTTGGACGCCGACGCCCACAAAGCCTTGCTTGCGGAGTGCATGCGGAAAGTCGGTTGCGTATGGGTACTTGCCTGCCGCCAAATCAGAAGCAACGATAACGACGACCATGAGGATGATGATACGCTTTTGGAGGTTGAGACATGTCTTGACGAGTGCGATGCGCTGCTGGGGGTGGATATCGTCGAGGTGGAGCATGCGGGGATGGGGAAGGATGATTCGGGGGGGAACGAGGATATGGTGCTGAGTGCATGTGAGCGGGTGGCGGAAGCGGCAAAGAAAGTCCTTGGAGTTGCGGAGAAGCGAATCGCGAGGGAGAAGAGAGGCCTGGCCTTGATGGATGCCAAAATCAAACTTGGCAGACGTATGAGCGTAAAGGAACATCAGGCGATGATTTGGATCGGCAACCTCAATTGCGACTTCCGATACGGGGACGAGGAGGACGTTAGTGGCGAGTGGCCCAATGTCTCGACCGTGTGGACGCCGGACCCTAGATCGGAACCCAAGTCAACCCGTGAACCAAGTTCCGCATCAACACCCGGACCAAGGACCGGACCTGTCGATTGGAAAGTACATCCCGTGACATTCGTTCCGCTTGATGACCTGCTAGATGACTTCGAACGCGAACCCAAGCCCAAATGCACAAAGCTTTCCAACGCACCTACTCTCATCACCATCGATTTGAAAAACCAACACACCGGATGGGTGCCTCACAGCTATTACCAACCTCCCGATCAGAGTGCCCGGTTGCCCGGCGGGCTTCTCAGCGACCTCCAACGCAAGGAGGGACATAGTAAGCGCATCTCTATCGTCGGTTCTCAAAGCAATGACAAAGACGAGGAATGGGGCGCATGCCTGGAAACAGATCAAGTTGCAGAGGCGAGTTGGCGGCGAATGGCGGCAAATATCAACTACATGCGCAAAGAGACGAAGGGGAGTGGTCGGCACATCTCCTTGCCACATGGCGATTACCGTCATCGCGGACGCGAGGGGGTGATCCCTGCCGCAATCCTCCGCAACCTCGAACACAAAAACCGATCCCACACGGGCACCTCTTTCAGTAACACTCCCACACAAAACAAGAACAAGAACGAGGGACGGGGTCATAGCGCCAATGTCTGGATGGAAACGGGTAAAGCTGCAGAGGCGAGATGGCGAAGGGTGGTCTTGGATGTCGATCATGTGGGTCGGGAGATGGAGTCGAGTGGAGGCGCGGCCAAGAGTGGGTGGACGACAGTCGCAGCACGTAGATGTGAGATATTTGGGGTGATCGAGAGGGCGATTGTGCCGTATGTGCCAAGGCAGTTGTCGTGGACATCCCACCAGAAACCCGATTCCGTGGTCTCGAGCACTCATCAAACGGAAAACCCTGTCAGTACCCGAACTCCGGACGAACACGCCTCTGTTCTCGGCAAGGAGGACTCGGCGACCGGAGAAAAGATCGTGCCTTACAGACCGAGAGTAACGTTCGGCACCTTCTCCGCTGCGTTCGGGTCTCCGCCGCGCATCCCCTATATCGATAATGCGGACAAAAAAAAGCGTCGTACACAGGCCCAGAGTGTTGCGGCGCAGGGACGTGAAACCTATGTTGCCCCAAGAGCAATCGTGCCGTATGTGCCAATGCAGATGTGGTCGGATACCACCGCCGTCCGACCCGCTTTCGAACACAAAACCAGCGAATTTGGATCAGACTCTCACCCGGATTGCAGGGATATCGTCGGAACAAAGGCAACTGTGCAACACCTGGCGAAAGAGGTGTTGGCCACCTTCGACACTCCGCGCAAAGCGGATATTATCCACGCTGACGGTGTACTCTCCAAGACAATCGCGCAATATAGGCCGAGAGAGATGTTCACTGCCTTTCAGCTTCCACGCAGGCCGGATATCAATGCTTCAAATTCTTTTCATGATCCCCAACCCGCCCCCGAACAGGAACAGGTTCCTGCATCGGAACCTCACCTGGCCAGCATGGACGTCGCGGTTTCGAGAGCAATCGTGCCATACGTGCCTAGAGAGCTGCTGTTCGCAGTTCAATCTCCCCGCACTCCCAAAATCACATCTGGAGATGCTTTCGTTGCTGACCAACCCATCGGCGAACAAGCTGACTCTCATCGGAGCCGGATGGACACGGCAGACAAAGCAATCGTTCCATATGTGCCTACAAATTTGTTTCTCAGCTTTCGACCTCTCCGCAATTCGGAGTCCGCACATCGTGAAGATCCCGAACCTTTCTGCGCTCCTACTGGAATGGGCGCTACGCCGACCAGCGTCATACGAGAGCATTCATCCCCAAGCGCCGTCCATCCTGTCGCGGCGTTGTCGCATCACTTATTCATGCAGCACGCGCTCGTCATCATCCCTTACGCTCATCCCTACATCTCCGACCTTCCGCTACGAGCTCCATCGGCATAACCTTAGCGCACATTCGATCAACTTCCGGCCATCGACATGGACACATCGGCTCGGCGAGTCCTCGACTTCATATACGGGCACGAACTCCGACGCATCTGAAATGATTTTGTCCATTGGTGTCACGTGACAGCCGCGTGACGTGATGCCAACCATTTAACTCCGGTTTCTTGCGCAGAGACGCCGACAGATCCTCTACCCGCACTACACCCCACCGCCATCAAGCCGCAAACATGGGCACTACCAAGCGGACGTCGAAGCGGAAGGAGAAACGAGCAAAGCCATTCAAGTGGTTCACCATTCCAGAACCTTACCTCTCCGCACCCGGGTCACGACGGGATATGCGTCTCTTAATTCAGCGTGGTCCTAGAATAAAATGGACTTACCACTTGCTTTCGGCAATAGGGCTGTGCTGCACATCTTGAATATCCTCAGGGACGAACCGAAACTCCACAAGCGACTATCCGTGCCCAAATCGCACTACGGCGTCATATCAAAGCACTATGGGGAGCTGGTAGGCGTTAATCTAGATCTGAATCGCATGCGATATTCTTACCCACCGGCCCTTCCCCGCGCGATGCGAATGTGTGCACGCCATCAGCGCTTGGCTGTTTTGCCCATACTTGTGACGGGTGTAGAGGCCCACCATTGTGTCGTCCTCGTCGTCGATTTTGTTGCCCGTACCGCCGAGGTTTGGGACCCCGCGGTGCTTCCGGGACAAGTGGGATTCGGGGCTGAAGGCGTCATTGTGCGAGATCTACTTATCGCGCTCGGGCTCGGCGACTTCAACTATGTACCCCCCACGGAAGCGGCCCCATCTGGGAAAGGGCCTCAAGCGTTCACGAATATCGCATATGGATCGGACTCTCTCTGCGTCGACTGGTGTGCCTTGCTCATACATTTGCGGCTGCTCAACCCGAAATATAGCCTTCACGACATCACGCAAGAGCTTTACGCAAACTTTGGTGGCCCGCAGGAGTTGGGAAGGTTGATCATCTCCTACTCGAAATGGGTGCACTCGACAGTAACCCAAGATGATTACGATGACTTCACCAAGATCTCCCCTCCATTGCCAGACTGCATTGTTCATGGCGTCTTGCCACAAGTCACTCGTTATCTCGGATCGGTCGAGCACGAGGACAGCCCACACCCTCTGGAAGAGAATGTGAAAAGAGAATGGCGGCTCAGGGAGGAAAACCGAGCCAAGTATGGAATGTATGAAAAGTTTCCTCAACGCGAGAGAGTGGGAAAAGAGAATGGCGGCTCAGGGAGGAATACCGAGCCAAGCATGGAATTTATGAAGAGTTTCCTCGACGCGAGAGAATGTGAAAAAGAGAATGGCGGCTCAGGGAGGAATTCTCAGGGAGGAATAGCGAGCCGAGCATGGAAGGTATGAAGAGTGTCCTCGACGCGAGAGAGCGAGTGAGTGATAATATTCAAATAGGATCATAGCATAGTCAATGAAACATACCTATTGCTCACATTATGTAGGAAGTTTACCGTTGGCATTAATATACATTCCTCTACACTTCGAAGGTTTCCATCGTGAATGTCGATTCCTGTGGCTTATCGTACTTGAGACATACCTGCCCAATGGAGACGCCCAACGTGGAGCAGGTCAAACTTGGGCGGCGATGCCAATATCGACAAAAACAGGAAGTGTTGCGCGTAACACTTCTCGCCTACGGGAGTTCACATACAGCGGCGGCAAAAAGCCCTTTCATCTGCGGTTTCTTGGTGTAGTTGGTTATCAAATCTGTCCACTCTTTTTGATGGTTCCAGATCGGGAATGTTTTGTTGGCGTCGATGAGGGATGACTCGATCGAGCTGGCGACGACGTCCGAGCTTCGACCCTGATGCGAACTCGGCACGTCGAGTTTGAGTCGAAACCCAGCCTGCAGTTGTTAGTAGGGCTTTCGATGTGCGCGAGGTGAACTCAGACGCCGCTCGATTTCCTATAAGCGCACGGATCCTCGAACGAAGGACGGGGTTCGGAGAAAATCAAATGTGAGGAAGACACCTTCCTGTGAAGGGAGGCGCTCCAACTTTTCAGCGCACGAGGGGTTGGAGCGGATCTCAAGAGACGTCCGAGAAGGCGCCAATGCTTGCCGGCCAATGTTGCAACTCCGGCTGGAGCACAAGAGACGCGAATGGAGCTTGAGGAGAATGAGCGGAATGTGGTGGAGAATAAAGCCTAAGGTGTTGACATCTAGTAGAATAGTGGACAGGCCAGGGGTGGAGCTGGAAGGTGTTTCCTTGGCTATATCGCACCGCCGGCGTAATACATAGTAGGTACCACACCCCGGCCGTCTCTAGCATCTGTGAAGACTAAAATATGCGTTTCCGATGATGTGCTTCCCAAAGCAACCTCCTCCCTCACGGCCGGACCGAGGGCATGACCGACGTACTTCACTCATATAGAATCACCTTCCATTCACTATTGACACAAATGAAGTGAAAACAGAAAACAATCAAAAACAAATGTAATGCCAAATAACGTGCGGGAAGTCCAAAAGCCCTTCCGTCCGCCTGTCCCTCCGTCCACATGCTTGATGCCATAGATAGAAGGGCTTCGCGAAGATCTGGTGGAAGGAAGGGCAGTTGGTTTGTCAGAACCATCCAGGCACAACGAGAACGCTCGGCGAGGGCGGGGAGGACGATAAAGGAAAGCGGAGCTGGTGCTTCTACCCACAACGCCGAGAAAGTGACGGCACTTCTACAATCCTACTCACCAAACAATCAGCGAGTCCAAAAACGCCGCAAACCCCTGCTCAGATGCCTTGTCCTCCGCCGCACTCTTCGCCGGCGCTCCCTTCCCCCCTTTCGCCAACCCGCTCTCATCCGCAACCAACAACCGATCAAACAACCCCTTGAAGTCCCTCCTCCCACTACTCTTCCTCTCCCTCTGAATAACCTCCCCACCCTCCGCCACCGCCAAAACCGACACTCCGAACAAATCCGCCAAACTCGCATGCGACGTCCACCCCTTCGCGCGCTCAGCGTTGTAAGCCGACACCGATCCCGCAACGTCAGTGAGGTACGTCGCGTGGTCGTGCGCATCGCACAGGTCGGGGTCGTGGTCGACCCACGGCCCGAGGGAGGTGCCGAAGGCTTTGCTGAGACGGGAGGGACCCGTGTTGCGTTTGGCTTTGTCGCGGGGTTTGAGGAGGGGATAGGATTGGGTGCGGGTGAAGACGAGGGCGGAGGAGGAGGTCCAGGTTTTGGTGCTGTTGGTTAGGAACGGTGGGTTGGGGACGTGGGAGTTGGTTGCGGAGGTTGGGGAGGGGGTGGAGAGGCCGGCCGAGGGGGGTGCGTTGACAGACGCGGCGTCCCGTTCGGCGATCTCCAAGGCGGGGGTAAGTGAGACCCGACGCATGCGGTGGCGACGTTTCTGTTTGTCGTCGAAGAGGCTCGCCTGGGACGGCGCGGGCGAGGCTAGGAATCCCAAGGCGGCCGTTGAGGGCGTCGAGCCCAATGGAGGGTGTGCAGCTGCCCCCGGCGCGGCAGAAGCGCGGTGCAACGATCGTCGCGCGACTTTACTCAACGCAAATGTGAACCCCTTCGTTCCGATGCCTTTGAACACATCCACCCCGTCCTCTTCCATATCTTCCGGAATCGCGGCCAGATTCTCGCTTACATCCGTCCCCGCCGATGACATGCACATTTTGGTCGGGTGGTTGGGCGCCGTGGGACGCTCCATCCCGCCTGCCTGGCTCTGGCTCTGCAGGACGGGCGACCCGGCGCGGCTGTAAAAGTACCATACGACCAGCTCGCGCATCAGTTGGCTGCGTTGCTCTGCGGTTCGCGGCGTCACGTCGACCACATTTTGAGGCGTCACTGACAATTGCATGGGACGGTCCTGGGCTGACCAACCACCGCTCGCTTTCAAAGCCGGCTTTGGGCTATCATCTGTGTCCTCAGCAGTGCGAAGTCTGGGGAAATCGGTGTCGAGCTTGTGGTACGTTTTGTGAATCTGAAGAAGAATATGAAACGTTATTACTGGGATTACTGGAAGAGTTACGGAAGGTCCCCACAAAAGACAGGGCCCCACCCACCTCATCCTCGGCAGGGCCATCGTAATCCTTCAATTTTTCTGGGGAAATAAAATCACATGAGCCTGAAGACAAACAAACTCACACAAAAGTACACCTACCAACACCCAACGCATTCGGCACAGGTTTTGCGACCTTCCCATGCGACACACGACGCGACCCAGCATGCTGATCAGCCCCGATCAATCCAGCCGAGTCCCGTCTGTCCTGCACAACGCTGGAGCGTCTCCTCGCTTCAGCCGCCGTCGTCACAGGCACATTTTCCTCCTTTTGATCACTCTGAGCGCCGGCGGCGTGTTCCTCAGATTTGGTACTCCCCGTGAGAGCAGCCATGGCAGCGGCTGCGGACTGGGCGAAGTTGGGGGTGTGGCGTTTGGCGGCGTGCAGACGCTGCTTTATGCTGAGACGGAAGCTTCTGCCGCGGGAACGACGGGCTGGGAGGTCTGAGACGAGGCTTACTGAGTGCTGTAATACAAATCCGAGATGGAAGATGTGATAGGGCTGTGTCAGCTCTTCGTTGTATTTTGAATATTCCCTGTTTGGCTCATGCATCTTTCGCCTCTAGTGGCAAAATGCATGCAGCAAACTGCTATGTCACACATACATCCAGATGCACAGCACGTCGGGGGCTCTTTCCAATAGGTGACGGCGCCGCGTGGCTTTTGCGGAAGCGAGTGCGACCCACAGATCGACGGATTGGCTTCTCGTTCAGCGAAGAAGATGAGGTCGATACGTTCGACTGCGGATAAATCCGATGAGATTTCTCCCCGTAACTTCTCATGGGATTGCGCCTCGATGCTGAAATAGAAAGAAACGCACCTTGTCAATGTCCGAGGCGTACTTGACCTGACCTAGGTATGCAGATGCATCGGGAAAAGAACCCGGTGAGTTCGACAAAACTTGCATGTTTTGACTGTTTCCCAAAATCCCAAACGCATGCGAGGGGAAAAAAATACCCCGGCTTCCTCCTTCCTCTGCGGTAGTCCGGCCACTTACAAGCGCGTTCGAATATTGCCTCTGCGACGTCTGCAGCAGAAGACGTCCCTGACATGGTCCAACAGTAGTTTCACTGTTTAATCGGTGAGGCGAGGGAAGTCAGGTTAGATCAATGCACTGGTCATCAGGCCTCCCGATGTGATGCGAGCGAAGCACATCAGTTAACCTTATCCCTCTGAAAATCTTCCAGCATCAAGTGGGGCGCTCCCACGTGAAGGGTGCAAGTTACGATTCGTGGTTGTTCGATAGTCGAGAGTTACGAATTTGCACCAAATGCACTCAACCACTTTTCATTGGTGTACAAAGCGCACGCTTGCTTGCCCTTCCACCGTCTTTTATATTGCGGAGCCTATGCATGCATACGTCGAGTATTGATCGACTCCGAGTCAGATGGCCTAGGGACTTGTTTACGACTGCATATAAGGCGGGACGGGAAGCATGACGCAACGATGAAAACGAAGCGAGGCTGATCCCTGCAGGAGCGTGGCAGGGGGGATTAGGTAGGCGCAAGGCGCTTGCATTGTTTAAGCTTGAGTTGTTAGGGACCAGGGAGTAGAAGGGCGGAGTTGCAGCTTATGTAAGGACGCGCTCGCGCTGTCAATTGCGTCCCTCCACAATCTTCCCCATCAGTGCGACAACAATGGAGTGAAACCGCTTTGTGCATAGAGAGCGAGAAAAGAGACACCGTTCTCCATCCTCGTCGGCAGACTACTGTAAGTCCTGCTCTGCCTGGAGAGCACCTCGACGTCAAACGACTTAGTGAAGAACAACACCAAGCACGCCCGCCTCGTTCTTCGCTTATGAGTTGGGCAAAGTAGTCTAGTCCCGCCGAAATACACTCATTGACGGAAGAGACTCGAGAGACCGCCAATGCCAGAGGTGATTGGCGGTACTAGTTTTCAGATTTGGCATGCTATGAGGTTTACGGGGGAATCACGAGCTACGACTGACACCTCACTCATCAAGGAAGCAAACGACCGCGATCGCAATATGGATTCCGAGGGCGAGGGATACAGCAAAAGAGGCGTCTCCCAGTGGCGGCAGTTGAGACGACGGAACACCTCTAGACTGACTAGGCCTGCAAACCATTTCTCAGCAAGATAAGACCGGCAAGACAACAAATGTCCTTGTTCTTCTGCAGTAGCAGTGGTGATGACGCTGCTGCTGAGGAGTTGTGCTGTCTGTCTGTCTGTGGCTGAGACGGACGACGTCGCCGTGCGGAGGAGCGTTTTCCCTCCGATGTCCATACTTCTTTTCCCATCCCAATTCCGTATGGCTCATGTGCTGTACATCGACATGTCCTTCGGACCTTCTCATGTCTCAACCCCGCGCTATCTCCGAAGACATCTCCGCATCCGACTTGGTTCAACCAACCACCGATCATGTAATTCACCTCATCAGCACAAACAAAAGCATATATACTGTATATACAGAGAACAGAGAAAAAATGTACAAGCAGGTCCAAAACAACTATCTACCAAGTTATCCAGTATACTACGCCGTTTTCACAACCAGTCCAAAAAAAAACCACAGAAAAATCGCAAATACCACAACCCCACCTCCCACAAAACAATCCGCTCCCAAAAGTCCAAACTCGCCATCTTAAGACACACACTACCACGGCCAACACCCCCACCTCGCCGCCATCTTCTGCCTCGCAACGTTCTCCTGGTACTCATCCTCCTCTTCATCATCATCGCTGTCTGATTCATTCCCATAACCCCCGACTCCACCAACCTCTCTTCCACTGCCGGTGACTTTCGGCCTCCCCCGTCGATCGATTCGTCTGAGATATGCTTCGCGTCGTAGGGCCCGTTTCACGGTGCCCGGTAAAGGCGGGACGAGGAAGGTTAGGAGGGCTTTGATGAGGAGGATTGTGTGCTATGGATTCAAGAGGGAGGAGCGATGTTAGAGCGGATGGATTTGCGAGCGAACAGCGACCCCTAGTCGTGTTTGTCCGCTTGCACATATTGCCCAACATCCTTGTCGCGAGCGTAGTATCGGCCAATCCCGCGTCAACCATCATTATCACACATCCGCCAACCCGTCATCCCTCAGTCAACCATCCATCGCTCCGCTCGGATACATACCTCAAAAACAATGACAAACCCCAACTTAATCGCAAACGTATTGCCACCCGGCGCCCAATGCTCCGCATACGTCGCAAACGTCGAGCTGCTGAAGGCGATGATCAGGGCGTTCGCGGGGGCCCCGATTGTTGAGATTACGGTTAGGATTGATGTCCAGAGGCCGATTGATTGGGCTGGGTAGCGGAGGGAGAGAGGAGGGTGGTGGATGGGTGAGGGAGGGTGAGGGGAGGACGAGGGAGAGGGAGAGGAGGAAAGAGCTGCGCAAAGGGATCGACTCTTGTTTACCTCTCTGGGCCCATGGGCGACGGTATTCGAATAGCATCTTCCACGAATCTATACGCGACAAAATTAAACCACTTAGTACCCTCGCATGTATACACACGCACTCTTTTATGGCGCACCACTTTTCCACTGTCCTTACCGATGTGCAGCACAACGACGTTATTAGCAATCGCAAAGATCGGCGCCAGCGGAAACGCGCACGAGAAGAGCGCAATGTAGCCAAACTGTACCACTGCAAAGCCAGTCGGAAGATGCAGACATCCAAAGACAATCAGTAAAGAGAAGGGCGCACCGCATACAAAGACCGTCACCCACCAGCCATCCCATAATCCTGACAAAGCGTCCAATCATCATACGCAAACAACGCCTCATCCATCGCATACTGCGGGACTCTCCCACCTCCTCTCCCCACACCCCCCGCCGACGCTCGTCTGATAGCCTTCCTCCCACTCGACGCGGGGGTAGGTCGCCATGATGTTGACGACGGCGAGGATGTGTGGGCGGCGACGACGGGTGAGACGGGGGTGAGGGGTGATGGGAGGGTGAAGTGGTGGGATTTGAAGGTTGCGCGGAGGTGCTGGACTATCCAACTATGGAAAAAAGATTCACATATGAGACATCAACGGAAAAAAATATGCCGGGGAACGAGTCAGATGAATTGACGACTTACGGCCAAGCAACCTTCTCCCCCGCCCTCACAAACTGCAACCCGACAAAGATGATCGCCATCTGCAGCATGATCTCCTGCATGCACGACGAATCGATATCGGTCGTTGCGCCCGCGGGTGACAGGTCGCCTGTTGTTGTGGTCGTGGAGGTGGCGCCGCCGAAGGAGATGGCTTCGCAGCGTTCGGCGTATTTGCCTACGGGATTGTGGGAGGGTGAGATTGGTGGTGGGGTTGGGGAAGGGAATGGGGGAGACATGTACCGAAGACGTAGTGTAAGCCCAGCATGGCTTTAACGACGCCGGTGTAGAAGAAGGCGGAGTAGTTGTTGATGAAGCTGAAGAGGAAGGTTTTGAATATGAGGCCGTCTGGTGTTCAGACAAGGCGGCGAGGTGAGTGTGAGATTGAAGGTCGCCGTGAATAGGGGCAAGAGGCGCGGGTGTCTGGTCTACCTTCAAACTGACTGTCGTACTTGTAGTTATCGCCGTTATTGATCTTTATCGCGATACGGTTATAGAGCTGTGATTTGCGAATGACCCAGTGCGTGAGTTTGAGAAAAAAACCAACCACAAGAGAGACACGATATCACAACTCACATTCTGCACAACAAGCACCTGCACAATTTCAATCACGCCCCCAACCCCACTCAAAAGCACCCACTTCACAACCCGACTCTCCGTAAACGTCGCCTTCACAAACGCCTTATACGCAATAACCCCCGTCACAATCCCCAACAACACCATCGCACACACGCCCAGGACCAGATTCGTCCACGTGCGTCTGAGGATCCTGTTCGGGTACGGGTCATGTTTCTCGATCCGTCTCGTCAACGGGTTGCGCGTGACCATGGTAGGTCTCCACTGCGGTCTTATCAGCTCCTCGCGGCGATACTCACTCACATCCCACACGTACGCGAGGAACTTTTGTCGGCGTTTCCAGGACTCGATGAAGACGGTGGCCCAGATGGACATGCCGAGGGTGAACGCGATTGTTGCGCCGTTGTCGAAGGCGGAGCCGAGGCGGTACATGGAGTCGGTCATGGAGGGAGTGCGCGTGGTCGGGTCGATGTGGAGGGTGAGGGCGTGGAAGAGGCCGTAGGTGAAGACGAGGAGGCCGAAGAGGGCGGCGGGGAGCATCCAGAAGGTGTAGAATGCTGTCCGGAAATGCGCTTAGTAACCCTACACTAAATGGGCATTGATGGACTGTTTTCCTCGTTCATACCTAACCAATCAAAATAGAACGCAACCTGCTCCCCCGCATACTCCCTCACTAGATCCGCATTATCCCTCGTAATCCACCCCTTCAGCCGTACCCAAAACGGGCTCTGCACCCACTCCACAAACAAAATCTCCCGCAATCTCTTTCGCTTCCCCATCGCTTGTTCCGCAAGCGACGGCCTGCGTGGACCACACTGCTTTTTATCACCGAATCGCGGCGCGGTCACGTCGCAGTCGTGCACGGGGTACCAGTCGGTGTACACGTCGTCTTCGAGGAGGTCCCGGATTGTTGTGCGTTTGGAGATGGGGGAGCCGGGGGCGGGGTCGAGTGTGCGATGCAACATGATCGAAAACGTCAACTCAATCCGCCGTGCGCTGCGGAAGAAGTTGTAATACACCCCCTCGATGCCCACCCCCGGCTCGTTAGGGTCGCCGCCGACGAAGGAGGTCAGAGCGGCGCGCCGGAAACTGGCGGTGCGGTGGTCTTTGGGGCATTGCTGGATGGTGAACATGTAGCGGGCGAGGCGGATGAAGACTTTGGCGATAGGCCAGGGTTGTTTGCATTTGGGGAGGGGTGGGCGGAGTGAGGGGTCCGGTGTGGTGGTGGGGGTGGCGATTTCGACGACGATAGTGCTGGGGTCTGCTTTGCCTTTTTCGGAGGCGGTTCCGGTTGGGCTGTATGCGTTTCCGGTTGAGATGCCTTTGCTTGGAGGGCTCATGGGCGGCCGTGACGGTCCAGATGACGGGGATTTCAAAGGCTGCATAGAGATGACGCATTGAGCCCAAACCTGCTTTCCGTACCTCCTACTACCACTCATCTCAATCACTCACCCCTACCTTCAAACTCTTCCTTAACTTAACCCGCTCTGCTTCTAAAGTCAACGCATCAAAGGGCGCCATCACCTTCACATACCGCTCACACCCGCCCTCGCTCTCGGCATCCACCTCGATTTCCACAAACAGGTTCGCGAGCAGCAGTTGCCGCGTGTACAGTCCGCGCACGATGGCGCTGCTTTCGGAGGACGGCTCCACACTGTATTTGAGGATGGCGTCCCATTCGGTTGACTGGGGGCCAAAGATGATCCGGGTTAGGGCGTCGACGTGGGGTCGGTCGGCTATACAACCAAAGATACGGCGTCAGCGCATGTACTCAAAACAGACATACACCTCTGTTCTTCTCCACCATACCAAAGAACTTCAACGCATCCTCCGCCTCGACCCCCCCTCTCCCCTCCCTCCATCCCACAATCTCATCAAAGAGCTCCACATCCTCCAAATACATCAACAGCACGACGCGGCCATCCACAACTCTCGCAACAACATCCTCATACCCGCCGCCGTTCACTTCCGCTATGATCGGGAGGGCACGGTTATGCATGTGCGGGCAGTATTCACCAGGGGATTCTTGGGCTTTCTGGTAATATGAGCCGGCGCCGGCGCGGAGGGCGTAGTAGGAGAGGAAATCGGCGGGCGGGGAGCCGGGAAGGGATGCTTTTTCGAGGTCGTCAGAGGAGTTTCCATCCATCGCTGATGCTCTGGAAGTATCGCCCGATTTTGTGGACCCTATCCCCTCCGACTTCCGACGCGGTGGTGGTTGCGTCGTCACAATCCCACTCTCACCCATACGCCCACTACCCCCATACGACATCTCCGGCCGTCGGATCTCCCGCAGCGGTCTGCTCCCCCGTCTGCCATCCCCGACCGCTTGCGCCGGCCCCGTAATACCCGCATTCTCGCCGCTACTCGCCGTATGACTCGAAGATTGTCGCGTTGGTGCGGGAGGGGGCGGATACTCCCCGCGCGCAGACTGGGCGTAGCGGGTAGCGGCTGCGAAGAAGCTGCGGTCTAGTTCGTCGTCGGGGGTGGGGATTTGGTGGGTATCATCTTGGGTGGGGGTGTCGAGTGGGAGGGAATGCCGGGGACGGCGGCGGTTGAGGGACGAGGTGGCGGTTGCGGCGGTGGTCATACAAGTCAGAGGGTTGGTTGCCGTGGGAAGAGAGTTGGAAGCGAGACTGTTGCGAAGCGAGAATATGAGGTCCTTTGCTGGGAAAGAAATTACTGTACCTTCGGGAAAAAGAGAGGCCGGATCGACTGACAGGGTGACACCAGCGGATTTTGTGCGCCGTCAATGGTGTCATTTGTGCTCCACGGACGGCTTCCCGTTTCGCACCCTTTTGCGTCTCTCGGTGGAACACCCCTCCGAATTTCCAACACGGCAAACACAGGGTTCTCCATGAAGGATACCCCTTCGCACTGCATATAGGGCGTCCGTAAAGATGATTCCTCTGCGTCTGCGAGGTGGTATATCAATGGTACTGTACATAGAGTAACAGCCACGTACAACATTATCAACATTTACATAATTCAAAAGAAAAAAAGTCCACGCCGTCTCCATCTCATATCCTCTCCGAAACGCTACACCGTCTTTTCCAACCAAATCTCAGTCCGGGTAATCAACGTCCAATCTCAGCATCGAACGGGCTTAGCGTCATTACCCTCATCCGTGTCCACCTTCTCCACATTCGCCGCCGCTAGTGCCGATCCCGCCCCATCCTTGACCTCAACCTCGGCAACCGCAGATGCATCCAATTTCGGTGATGCAACCACATCCGCGTCATCACCGCCAGAAACCACGGTAGTCTCGTCCTCATCCTTTATCGTTTCGTCTGTCACAGGAGCACCGTCTTTCGCGACCGCAGCGGTTTCTTTATGAGCATCGACTTTGGCAGACGTTGCGGAGTCTGCCTTATCAGTCGGTTCTGCGGCGATGGGGCTGACCAAGGCAGTTTCGGTGTTCGCAGGGAGCTGTGAAATCACAGGTTCAATGAGACACATAAATCACGTCATCCTCAACACGAGAGAGATGAACTCACCGCATCCATCCCAGCATCCTCAAACTCGCGACTATCACCCGAACAATCCTCCACAGCATCCGTAGGGACAAGACCAATCTGTCCGTTAAGCTCGCCGACCCACGTGTCGTCTGACGTCTTTTTGCGGATCAAAATCAGGTCGTTTTGCTTGAAGACCAGCTGGCCCGCGTTGGTGTTGGGTCGAGTGTCGCTGTCGTGTTTGGCGCGGTAGAAGCTGGGGATATCTAAGCGCTCGTTTTCGAGGGTCTGTTATGGGAGACGGGAATCAGATATGGAATTGAGCTTCTGTTTTGTCATTCCATAATTCTCCTGTGCACAGTAGCTTACGCAGTTACTCTGATTGTCGTCATCCTTCTGATGACGTCGGAACTCAGACATATCAGACAAGCCCGACAGCCTGCGGTCGGAATCAATACAAAAGCCCTCAAAAGGGTTCTGGCCCGTACATTCTTCCGCAAAGTCCTCGTCGAGCCAGTTGCCAACCTTCCGATTCTCGCCACCGTTGTCGGTGTTACCCTTGTCACCTTTCCTAAACCGCTCAATCTCATTCTGAAGCGCGCGGGTCTTTGCCTGCCACTTGGCGCGCTCGGCCTGCAAAGCGGCGGTCTGTTGCCGGTCGGCGGTGTTACCAGCAGGGGCGCCGTTCCGCAGGGAAGAGATCTGGGCTTGGAGCTGCTTTTTCTCGATGAAGGCTTTGTGTTGAACGTCACGGAGTTTGGCGTTGAAGTGGCGCTTTTCTTTTTCGAGTTTGGCGACTTCGTCCCGGAGAGCGGAGACATCTGGTCCTTTGGCCGTTGCTGCGATGTTCTCGCTCACCTTCCGCGGGGTGGCGGGGCTTTTGGCGTTTAGGGCTGATGGGGCGCGTTTGTGAATCTCCATGTCCTTTTTGCTAATCTCTTCTTTGCGCTCAATCTGAGACCGACCTTTTAGTCTCGCTTTTCAAATTAACGGAATCCTCTCAAGTATTAGTGTTAGTATATACCTCTGAATGCATACGATCCTTCGCTTTTTCCAATTCCTTCACTTGTTGCAAGAGCTGCGCCGCATGAGCCAGCATGCCGGTCTCCTTTTGCTTCTCCGCCTTGAGACGATCTTCAAGCGACGCCACCTTCGAGAGGAGGGCGGCATTATCGATGCTCAAGATCCTGATGCGCTCCTACCATAGCGATGCAGGTTGCGTGAGAAATCCGCATTCCTCCCTTTTGAGAACGAGTGGACATTTCGTCACAACGCCTGTATCCTACCTCACGGTGCTTCAAATGCAGCTGGAGAAGGTCCACTTGCTTTGTCTGCGCATGGACTTGATGCTCGAGTTCCAGCTTCTGCCTTTGCACGTCACGCAGCTGCGGGATAATTCCAAATGTTACTCATCCTATTCATAGACGAGTTCTCGATATTACGGCGCCCACCTTCTTATCCACCGAGTCCCGATCCGGCTGAACGGTCTGCGGGGCGGGAGAAGGCGGGGCAATGTTCTCCTTATCCTCGAGATCGGGGGTGGTTGGGCGCAAGTCGATGGTACGGGCTGTGAGTGTAGAAACCGTCTTCTTTAAGCAATTTATTGGCAGAAAGTCATCAGAAGCACTGACTGACAAACCTTTCTGAGGAGTGCGGAACCTTGGAGCCCCGGCCCTCTTCGATACGGGGCTAATGGGGCTCGCCCCGGGGTCTGAGGTTATAGAAGAGAGGTAGATATGAGGGAGAGTGGATGGCACGGATCCTGAGCAAGATGAGGAATGGAAACGTACCGTTGAAACGCGAGGCGCGTGGGAACATTACGAGAGTAAGAGGAGGAAGTGGGGAGACTCTGATGAAGGTAGTGAGGCTCGTGAGAAAGTGGGAACAGTAGTTGGATGACGATGCTCTCTGTCGGTCTGCAAGCGGTGGACGAGCGAGAAAGCACGGAAAGGGGAACGACGCGCACGAGAGAGAGAGAGCGGAGAGAGAGAGCGCATTCCGGACACGATTGACTCACACTGACTCACTGACAGCAGAACTGACAGCACTCCGCTCTCTCGTTCTCGCGCCGGATGCTTTCCTGCCCCTGCCCCTCACAGCACACAGAACGAGTGCATCAGCACAGTCCCTCTCAAACGCACCAGGCAGTATCTCCAAAAAATTGCGTAGCAAACAGATAACCCCAATGTCCTCCAAAGGCGATTCATCCAAGGTAAGGGGAGCCTAGGCGCAATCCACCCGGAGATTTGATCGAGGGCTTCTCTTGATTCTCGTCCGTCCCTCGCTCTGCCCTGCCATCTCTGCATGCGAACGCATGCGTCAGACGGTCTCCAACTGAACGTACATCTCTTTCTTTGCCATTATAGAAGTCGAGGGCGTGCGTAGGCGTCTACCGGTAAGCACGAAATAGGATCCCGCTCGTTCCAATGCATTCCCTCATCCTTTTCTCACAATACCAGCGGCCACGAAGGCACAGTTTACACCCTCGACATCCAAGGCCCACAAACCTTAACCAACCGGGCACATTCTCGCGCACATAAAACCGGAGCAAAGAAGAACCGGGTTGCGCCTGATCCACAGGGCTCGATGGATACAGATGATTTGAATGCCGCGCCGGGGATTGTGCTGGTTTCTGGTGGGTAGGGTGCCGGATGTTTGGGGAGATTACTGATTGAGAGATGTTGGGAGCGATGGGATGGGATGTTGAATGACAAAGTCGGATGAGTAGGATCCCATGATCATACGGTGATATCGTGGACGGTGCGCACTGGGGCTCCGCATGGTGGGAACCTGTCTACGCAGGTATGCACTTCATTTCAAGCAGAAACCGAGCCCAAAGACACATATCACCTTACTCTCTCCCCTAAACCAACAGCTAATCACAAATGAAACCTACACCGGCCACACCGCCGCCGTGTACGCCCTCGAGCTCCTCCCCGGCGGCGCGCAGGCCCTTTCCGCTGGTGACAACTCGTTGCGGTTGTGGGACTTGCAGGTACCCCATATCCCTCCCCCTTCCCCATCCTCATCCATGTCTCTGATGAATATTTTATTAGACAGGAGAATGCATCCGCACATTCACCGGCCACGACAACCACGTCTCCTCCCTCCGAATCCGGGGCAAGCGCGCGTTCAGTGGGTCGTGGGATACGACTATTCGGAGTTGGAATGTTGAGGTGAGGGAAGAGACAGTCCTAGCCGTGTGTGTGGGTGTGCGAGGGGGGGAGCGTTGAAAATTGACAACTTTGATTTTTTTTTAGACGGGAAAACCGATGCATATCTTTAGGGGCCATCGGAATATTGTGAATGCGGTGGATGTGACGGATACGGATGTTTTTAGTGGGAGTTGGTATGTGGAAGCTTTCCATCCCTCGGAGTGTTGCGGGGGGCACTCATGTTCACCCCTTTTGGTTCGCATGTAGGGACACGACCGTCATACAATGGAGTCGGTCGGTAAGTCTTCAGCGTTATACCACAACAGCCTCCATCCCAACTTCCTCCAACTGACAGCACACCCCTCATATCCAGACAGGCGAAGCCCTCAACGTCTACCGCGGCCACACAGACGGCGTGCAGTGCGTGCAGGTCGTGGGGGAGAATATGCTTGTCAGCGGGTACCGTATTGTGGATACACGGTGTAATTGCAATCTTTATTAGTTGTGAGGACTAATCTTTGGTGCAGGTCAATGGATAAGACAGTCCGTGTATGGTCGCAGAAGGTAAAACCCCCGTCATCCTTTCATTCCGAAAATGACTACCGGACCGCTAACATCTTCTCTACTCTGAATCTAACCTACTCTAAACTGCCCTATGCTACTCATCATCCACAGACAGCAAAACCCCTCCGCATCCTCACGGGCCACACCGGCGGGATCGAATGCCTGCACGCGACGGGCGGGGTCGTGTTTTCGGGGTCATATGATAAATCAGTGCGGTGAGTTTCTTCGCGTGGGTCGCAGGAAGGAGGGGCGGCGAATGTGGCGTGCTACAGCAGTGCTGATGAGTGTGTTTTCTGTCGTCTCCGCTCCCAGGTGTTTTGACATCCATGTACGTCCGGGCCACGAAGCTCTGGAAACGGTTTTCGAATCAAGAACTGACATCTCCCTCTCTCCTTCGTTTGCCATGGCCTGTCGAACGTAATATAGACCGGGCATTGCCTAGCGGTATTCGAGGGGCATACAGATGGCGGTACGTCCCTCGACTGGTATTCACGGGCGCATCATCGTGCAAGCCAGGAGGTGCCCATTAACGCCCCTTTTTTTCCTCTCGCATCACCCCACACCAGTCTACAGCGTCCGCTACTTCGACGGCGTGCTCTACAGCGGATCAGGTGACAAGACGATCCGGACGTGGGATGCAAGGGTACGTACATCCCCTCTATCCTTCGTCGCACAGGCCATCTTTCTCACTGACATGTGTGATAGGGCCTTGTCCGCACGGGCGCGGTGCCGTGGTATCGGAGGGTTCTTGGGTGTTGTGCGTAGCGTAGAGGCAAGGATCCGAGTGGAGAGATGGTGAGGGACGAGGGGTGGGGAGACTGGACGGTGGATATGTAGTGAAGGTGTCCCGTAGTGATGCGTAATGCGGTAGTTGGACCTGTAGATTTCATTTTCGGGGGGACGTGGATGCCAGTGCTCGAATGACCTTGAGGTAGCGGACACGACTGCTTCCTTTACGTGCCGCGGGTATAGCATAGCGTAATGTAAGAGAGTTCGAAAAACTCTCCTGATTAAGTAATTCGAAGTTCACCGCTTCCCACCCCGGCGTCCTCTAAACGCCCCCGACCCCCGCTGTTGTTTCCCATGCGATCCCGTCCCGCCGCCGCCGCCTCGGACTTTGTCTACCCCACCACGCGAGACTCCCAGCTGTTTCCCACCGCGTTCCTTCTTATGATTCCCTCCTTTGTGCGTTTTCGTCGGTGTGCGCTTCGGGCTGGCGTCCTCTGTAGCCGTTTTTGACCTAGATGATTTGGGGCGGGAGAAGCCGCCGGATGAGGGGGCGGCGGGTGCAGACATGACTATGCGTTCGACGGATTTTGTCTTTCTCGTCATTGTACGGTCTTTTGGGGATGCTCGCGCCACTCTTTTCTGGATGCCGCCGGCGGGAGATGGGTGGGGCGGGGGTGCGCTGGCTTTTGGCTTCTTCTCATTACCGGCTTTTCGCGGGAGACCACCGCTTTCTCTGCTTTTGCGCTTCTGGCTTCCGTTTCTCGAAGGCACATCGACGGCCTTTGCGGACCGTTTCCCACTCTCCTTTGGCGCATCGTCCACTTCGTCTTCCGATTCCGCCCCGTCCGCACCAACACCAGGACTAAACACATGCACAAACGCATTCTCCATTGACGGCGCCTCCCTTACCGCCGGATTCGTCCGCTGCGGCGTATACCCCAACCCCGCAAACTTCTTCGCATCAAAGGGATCCCTGCTCAGCATTTCCAGCCCCTGTGCAGCCGCAAGTGCCTCCACATCCCACTTGCGGTAGAACGGCGTATCACGCAACGTCACGTGGATCTCACCACCGCCCTCAGGAGCCAACAGCTCCACCGTTTCCGCGAAAAACGAGTCCAGGAGATCTTTGTTGGCCTGCACGTCGTCGTCGCTGGATCCGCCGATATGGGGGAACTGGAACACGATCCGATGGAACGCACCTCTGTCCTCTATCTCCTTCTTCAAAGCTTTGTTAGATGACAAGCGGGTGGCGTCGACGTTGTGGAGAACGCGAGCACGGGCGTCGGCGAGCTCTTTGAGTGTGTGCGGGAGGTGGGAATATTTCTCGGTCGCGACGCGGAGTGAGTCGAAGGAGGTCGCGACGATGTTGGCGGAGGAGCCGAGTGCAGCGCCGAGGGCGCGGGCGAAGGTGAAGTCGCCCTCGCCGATGAGGAGGATGCGGTGGTGTTTTGTGTAGTGCTGGAGGGTGTTGCGGGAGGACGGCTTGGAGGAGGTCGTCATTGTGAGGGCGAGGAGGTCGGTCATGCTCATGCCGGTGAAGTTGCTGAATGCGCCGGGGCGGCTGGGCACGGGAGCATCGATATCGGCGTTGGCAACGGCCTTCGCCCTGCTTTTGCTGCCGCCGCCTGTAGCCTTCTTGGGGCCCTTCTTGCCCATTGCGTGATGGCCGATGTGTCGGTGGTGGGATATGCTGTGCAGAAAAGAGATATGCTGTGCTTCTCTTATGCGGTTAGTTTATCGCATCACATGCACGCTTGGCGGGTTTAATTGCGCCCGTTTGTTTTCGATGTTCACGTCAGCATCCACGCGTTAATTCAGGTTCGCGCCGGCTTCTCGTACCCCTTCCTCCCTCCTGGCAGTCTTTCTTTCCTGTGGATTGTAGTAGAGCTCTCATGACCGTATCTCCTCCTCTTCCTCCTTTCGCTTGGTGCCATGTGGGGTTCATCCCATCCTCTCTCCTTCGGTTTTCTTCTGAAGATCCCGTCATGTTTCAATTTCGAGCGCCGAATTCCGTCCCCGTCCGTTTCCCTTCGAAGGCCTTCTCCTCGCCGTTCGCCTGTGCCTGATCTTCGAGCCTGTTTACACTGGCTTTCAAGGGTGGGACGGGCAGGGACCGTTTTTCAGGTCCTCTCAGGCGGTCCTGTGGATGTGCTTCCGTTTACGCGCTGGCAGTCGACGATGCCAGCAAACCACTACGCTGCATCTGCGCTCACTCCCCTAGACGGAAACCCCAACACAATCCAGTATACGGAATTCACGGAGCGACCTGCTTTCGCTTGCTGCGAGGGAACGAAGACCTTCATGTCCGCCGATGTCATGGTCGCATGCCGCTGATTTGCGTTCTTCCCCATACAACAAACGTTGGGTACCTTGTCGATGTCTATCCGATGGGGATGCACATCTAATTATTTTTTTCTGATCCGGTGTCAAAGCTGACAGGGTCTCCCTGTTGTTTGCTGGAAACGTAACTCGTTTTGGGTAGTTTTCCGGCTCTCTTGGCAGGATGTCCCGGGGGGGTATGATCGTTGAACTCAAGGCGATAAGCATTTTGGCGGGGCACGTTACCGTGAAAAAGGATATGTGACGTGTAGGAAACACATTCCATGAATCCGATATGGTTCTTTATGCATTTGATACTTTTTTTTTTCGGCCCTGTCAAACTCGCACCGAAACTGGAGGTTTCAGGGAGTGTCGTCTCCACAGCCAGCCCACTTACGCTAAAGCGCATGCTCCCCACACTTCAAGATGTCCGGGGGACCACCGTCACCATCCCACCCGAAGCGATATCTAGAACATGGGGTCGAAACCATTTTGGAGAATGTTTCTGAGGTACCTTGAACGAAATCCCCTCCGTCTTTGGCTGGCCGGTGTCGTTCCAGTAACCCATAATTAGCAAAACGCGGACGCAAACAGATCACGGAGTTCGAAGAAGACATTCTGCTGTGCTTCATGTTTACACACCAAGCTCGGGACTTGCTGTGCACCACCAGTGACGATGCGCTGGCTTCCGTCGGCTTAGCGAATTTTCTGCAGTTGCGCGGCATCGAAAGCGTCATCAAGACCACGGCTTCTGCACAGCTGATGTTAATCGGGTTCCAACATAGGCCAGAAGTCTCAAAAAAGCATATGCTAACCCTCTTCAAGCAAATGATGATCTTTGCTGTGAACGAGCGAGATTCGACTCGAACCAATATTGGTTGCCATAATGAAGAATGTCTGGCTCGTTGCGAGCTGATTGTGTTTCAGAATGCTTTCCTGATGGCTGGCTACCGGACCATCCAAAGCCCCGGATGATTCAAGCTTGGCAGAATCTGAACCCTGTACACAAGCGAAAAACGCTGTTTTTCTACTTGCGTCTCTTGGCAAAAGCGCAAGTGTCGGGCACGTGTCGACAGTCGAAATGACTGGCGGCAGTCGCCATCTGAGGACAGGCGGTGGTACTTTTTCACATAAGGGAAATTCAACCTGAAATTCCTGCATCTCGATAGCTTGCTTGAAAGGAGACGCGTAAGCCTTTGCAAGGCGGGTACGGTTCCCAAGCGAGGGCCAGTTTCTTCATCCTTTTGTTCGGTTTCAGAAATACCGATTTCAGAACAAGGGTGGGCTCCAGCAAAGCTGTCACTGCCGGCGATTCTATGCAGCATCTCAGGTGCACATCAACAAAGCAAGGAACAAAACGAAATGCGTTCGCAGCTCTCTCTTTCTGTCTTTGCAGCTGTAACGGTGCCGCTGCCTGGGCGGCTCTTTATGTCTTTCGTGTTGAGATCTCTGCCAGCCAGGAAGAGACCCGTTCGTGACGCGTAGTTCCGTTCGTTCACTTAAATTGACCCATCCTCACCTCGGCATGATACCATGTCATCCCTTTATACATACATACATAGAGTAGCCTCGAGCGCTGGCTCTAAACCTCCTCTGCTCAAAGCTTACCTGGTAAAGCTGAAATGGTGGCAGTCCTATATACATGTGAAGAACCGGGTGGTGCGCTGGATGCGCCGGATGGGCCCGCGTACGTCGTAAACATTTTGTGCTCCCCAGCAGCGGGACTCATAAAAAGGGTGTTATGTCCCCAGGAGCTATAGGTCACTTCTTGATTCCAGCCTAACCTTTGCTGGCTAATCCTTTTGAGGCTCGTGAGTAGAAAATAGATGTTTGGCAATACGCCCATCTCCATCTTCAACATTGAGAAACCATCTGATATACAACCAAACGCTATGGGGACATAGGAGAAGCCGTTGTTTGACACAGCCAAACCTTGACTCCATGTTACGAATCATACCAAGGCTCATTTGTACAGACAATTAGCGCAGTTGTCATGTTGTCACTATTAGCAATCATGTGTCGCTGCTCGTCCCAGTTTTGGTGATCGATTGCCTTTCTTGTTCCTACGCGTTTTCGGCGAGGAGACGCGTTGATAACGCGTAAATGACATCGCATATTAACGCTGAGGGCGCTCACGTGACCCGCGCATTTTACGCGTGACATTTATTTGCCCTGAGGCGGTTTCTCGCCTCTCCGTCCGTCTTCGCAAACAGTCGCAGGACTTCAGAGGATACCCCACAACCACCCAGCCCAGGCAGCGCCCTTCTGAAGACTCTGCAGAGAAGGAATACCCACGTCGTCGTCGTCGCCGCCCGCTTCGCTTCCAGTCGCTTGGAAACTCTTCTGCTTGTGCTGCCCGCCAGTCTCCGTCGAGACACAAGTGCGGAGCTGTCGAAAAACCGCTGTCAGTTCGCGCTCCTTAGAACACTCCCAAACCGTCTGAAACCAGAAGCGTCGCTGAACTTTCCACGCCAGATATCCGTCCTAGGGGTCTCAGCAACATGCTCTCAACCAACGGAGTATCCTATGTCGTCGAGTGCCCAGTCTGCGCAAAGCAGTTTCAAGGCATGCACTCAGTCTACCAACACGTCTGGGACGTGCACTATATCTGCCGTCTGCAACCCGAATGTCTCGCCGTCTTTGTCACCGGGCTCGGCCGTGAGGAACACGAGAAGCACGATCATGCCTTTTGCGAGGCCTGCGAACTACCGTTTCACTCCGAGGAGGACCTGTACGAGCATCACAATTCGAGCCATTGCGACCACCCATGCCCGGAATGCCCGCGTGTGTATGCGCTTGAGAAGGACCTCAGGTGGCATCGCGCCAACGAGCACTGCTATCGGTGTGAGCACTGTGGACGAGGGTTCCGGATGGGAATTGATTTAGCGAATCATATTGCGTCGAAAGTGCATCAACGGAGGAAGATGTTGTACCCAAACGGGATAGGTTCCACCCATCTGAGTAAAGATAGAGATCTCACGGCGGCGGAGCGTGCGCTAAGGAGAAAGAGGACGAGCTCAAAGTCGAGTCAATGCGTCATCTGCTCGATAACGTACACCACAACATACACGGCCGCCGACCATCTCAAAGCCGGCGAATGTTCCGAAAAGATCGCAGCGCTAGCCAAAGCCCGCGCCGAGTACCTCCAGCGCAAAGGATTCACAACCCTTCCCCACCAGCCCCACCTGACCTCATTAGACGATGACGAAACCCGACCGATAATATCAGACGACAACCCATCCCACCCCCTCCTCACCCACAACATCTTCGACAACCTCACCCCGGCCACCGAAGCCAGCTGGAACAACTACGCCTACGAGTGCCCCATCTGCACCTGCGAGTACCTCTCCCTGTCTCGGCTCAACTTCCATCTCGTCACACACCACCCGCTGCCTGAAGAGTACGTGTGCGCGACCTGCCACACGCAGTTTGACCGTCTCGCGCCGTTCGTGAAGCATTACGAGGATCGCACGTGTGCGGCGTCGTCGAGCACGGAGGATCCGTTGACCGGGTCAAACCATTCCTCGACGGCGATGGATGTGGACGACGCTGAGCTTATCGTTTACGAAAGTGATACGGCGTCCGTCGCGCGTTCGTCGACAGTAGTCGTCCCCGACCCCGCGGAAGTGGCCGGACAGGTCGAGGTGGAGTTCATACCCCCGGTCACCACCGACGCCTACGGCACGACACCCAAACCGACGACCCCGCCACCCCGCTCACCCACCCTCTTCGTCGACGAAGCGCGGTTCGAGGAGCTCTATGACGCCGACGAGATGGCGATTTTGTACGGCGCGGATTACTATGACGGCCAGGACCCGTTTGCGGCTATGGATCGGATTGATTAGGGGGATTCAGGGGTCGCGGATAACTCAGGGAGCCGCATATCGCATACGCCTGCGATTTCACTTCAGCACATTGCTTGGCAAACTCCCGCGGCGTATCATGCACCCGCACGCCCAGCCCATGCGCAAACACACGTAGCAAAAAGAAACACACACACAACTAGTACGATGATAGAGGCCAAAAAGAATGTAGCTTCTCCGTTCGCACAGATCGTAAACATAGGTAGCCCCATTCGGCGTAGGGAAAAGGGCGAGACAAGTCCGATAACTATCTCGCGGTGTCCGTATTCACGATTTGCACATATGCATCAATTTGAAGAATAACTTTTTTGTCTTTTTTCGCAAGGGGTGTCTTTGTTACATACTTCAATCGGGGGGCAGAGATGTTGAATACAAACACTCGCCCCGTTGCCATACTTCCGTCTTGCTTCTCCCTTTGCCATCCGTCCCGGTCTCTCTCATCCCCGCAAAATTATCCTCCCACTCCCCGACCGTTGTGGCCGAGTCCGTCCACGTCAACATCAACCCACGTCTTCCCACCCAAAAAAAATCCCCATACGCACGTTCACACATCCCATCGACATTCAATAATACCGCCCAGTACTCCCCCCAACCCTCTCATCAGCATAAACCCCCGTATCCGCGACGCCTCCCCTGACTCCAACCCGGGGGATAGTCCTCGCATACCGGTCCGCGTAATCCCTCCCCACGGGGGTGCCCACATCACGAGGGTATTCCCCACCCCTCTCACTCGAATAATCACGGGCATCCCCAATCACAGTCGCGTTCGCCGACCCGGCAGATATCCCACCACCCCGTTTCGACGGCATTCCCGCAGCGACCACCTCGCCCACCGGCGCGGTCCAGTCTACGAACTGTCGGTCGTATTCGGTTTGATACGCTGATGCTCGCGTCGGATCCCCTCCTCCGTATGACTTATACGACGCCGGGCGGGTGTAGTCCTTCAACGTAAGCGTGCTGTGCGTGTGCGGGTCATATGTCGTTGCTGTAGGGTAGGTGTGGAGGGGCCGGTAGGCGTATGGAGGGGCTGAGTAGGGAGGGAACGCGGTTGTTGCCGTTGTGGCCGTATGTGGCGTGTTCGGCGGTGATGGTAGCGTAGAAATGCCGAGTAGGTGAGTTGTGGGCGGGGTAGGCGACGTCCCCGCTGTGCGCACTTTCTCCGGTTCGAAGTGCACGGCGGGACGGGTGGGGGAGGTTGCTCTGCTGATGTTGGTGGATGTGGGGTGGGTGGACGGTTGGGGTGGGTTTGTCGATGTCCATGCCGTGGAGGTGCGGGCGGGGGAGATGGGTCTACTGTTGCCTGTGCTGGTCGTGGCACGGACGGGTGAGGATGCACGACTTCGTCGCGGGGAACTGTTGTTCGATTCTCGGATGGTGGATTGTGCCGGCGTGTTTACGTAGCTTCTCGCCGGCGATCCGTTATCACGAAAGCCATACCGCACTCCAGCAGCCTCCCTATCCACCCCCTGATCATACCTCCCCACGACCTTCTCACCCCTTCCCACCATCCCCCCTTTCCTCAAATGATAATCCCTCCCCTCCTCATCCCCATCCACCGGCACAAGATCCGTCACCACCCTTCTATAATCATGCATCGTTCCCGGTCCATACCCATACACCGGCGAAAACACGCGGGAGGGCGGGAGGGTTGTCGGTGTGTTGAAGATGATTTGGTCCCGCGCGGGTAAGGTGGCGCCGGAGGGGAGGCCGGCGGGGCGGACGTAGGATTGGAGGGTGCGGGCAGGGGAGGTGTGGGGGGGTGGGGCGGTGTAGAGGGGGGCGGGTGGGGGTGGTGCTGAATAAGTGGGTACTGGGGCGATGGATGTGCTGTTGGGGTCGTACCGATAATCATATCCGTGGGGTGGTGCGGTGTACGATGCGGGTGCTGGTACCGCAGTCGTGGCAGGATACGTCGTCGCAGTTGTCGCAGGGGCAGTCAATGCACAATACTCCCCACCCCTCTCCCTCTCCACCGCCGTCGCCGTCGTCGCAACGGGAGCAGCAGCTGCACGATACTCCCTCTCCCTCTCCCTCGCAGTCACAGAAGAGGCAGGACTCTCTCCCCCAAACCGATGCCCCGCAATCGTAATCCCAGGATACCTCTCCCCCGCCTCCACAGCCGCCGCATTACTGGACCTCGACACCGTCCGCGTCCGATTCCTCGAAACCTCATCCGCCACAATCCTTTCCCGCTCCAGCTCTCGAAGTCGGTCACTCGCCCTGCTTTCCGCTCTCGATTGCACTGGCATCGTCATCGTCTTCGGGGGTGATACCGTGGTCGTTGTGGTTGTCGCCGCAGCAGTTCCTCTCAGATCATCACCGCGCTGCACACCATCCAAATACGCATCCCGACCATCGCCTGCTATCCCAGGCCCGTTGGAGCTCGTCACGCGGTAATGATCGGAAATGGGCAGTGGCACCGACGTGGGATCGGCGATGTCGTCAGGGACCTGCACTGCGTCGTCGTGTGATGTTGGGATGTTGGGTTTCCACGCGAATTGGCGCTTAGAGTTTATAATCCAAAATCAACAACGAGTATGAGTGATTGAACATTTAACCCACGAACAGACGGCCGCGAGAGGAAAATATCTGATTTCACACGATTCTGGGAAGCACGGTGACATGTAGGGAGTGTTTCGGACACGTTACCTGGTACTCAGAGCGCCAGATGGGCGAGATGGAGGGTGGCGCGACGAGGTGCTTGAAGCGGCGTTGTTGGAGGTGGTAGGACATGACACTGTGATATGGGTCGTGCGGGGTCACCTCTTCGCTCGGTGGTTTGCTGCCGGTATTCTGTGTGATCGTCGGATGCGTGGAGGGGTGATGGGCGGGTTGCGGAGAAGGGTTCCTACTGCGACGAACGCGTCACTTCCTTTTCGTCTCCCTGCGCAGGACGTGTTTTCGCCTTTTCGCAGGTGTTCCCAACGGCAGGAGGGGTTGCGGCAGATATACTGCGTCCCAACACCAGAAGGAAGTCGCAGATAAGAGCAGCGCTATGTTGTATGTAAACACTTTGTGCATTTCGCAATTTTGAAAAGCCACCTGGATATATACAAGTTGCCATCATCGGCGACGCCTCAGGCAGAGGTACAATGATGTGGATGGCAGATAACCACCACGGAAAATGGGATGGGGTGAAATCTAGACTACCGGTTACGGGAGAATGCGTCTGGTCTGCGGCCATTGCCAAACACCACCGAGCGCACAATCGAGAGGAAATTCTTGGTGCTTAGGACGTCCCGATTGTGCACTTTCATCCGTAGTCGTAGTGGTCGTCTTCCAGGAATTTCAAATGGCGTCCAGTCTTGGTTGATACATTCGGCGTTGGGGCAACCCAGCAATCCATGGACGAATTCCATTCTTCCCTTTCTAGCTTGCCATGGCCGAGATGACAGCCGGCATCGGTTGTTTTTCTTCACACGGCCGTGGCAGTCTGGGCACACGGAGGACGTTCGATACTCATCTAGCAAGTAGCATGGAATGCTGTTTCTTGCAAAGAGTGTGCGAAATCTGATTTCCATGATGAGTTAGCATATTATAATACATAAAAAACAATGATGGTCACTCACCCTTTGGTCTTTGACGGCTCCTGAAAGCGCATGGTCTTTCCAGCGTCACTCCAATCACCCAAGATGACCGCAAAATGCTTTCCATACAGGCGTCGCATGTTCTTGATGAGCTTGCTCTCAGACTTTTGCCGCAGTGAGAACGCCTTGAATCTGCAAGCTACGTGAATCTCATCCTGGTAAAACTCGTCCAGGGCGGGATCTGGGATATGGATGGATGTCAGCCCATGTATTACCAAATTTGAAAATCAAAGTTGAAGTAGAACATCATACCCGCATGTACGTGATCCACGATGAACGCTGAGAACGCCTCGATGTTCATGCTCGTGTGCGACAGAATATGTGATTCCATCTCAGCGACGCCGGCATTGATCTTTCGCTCCGTCATGTCTCTTCGAAAGTACCGAGACTTTGTCTCTACCGCCCGTTGATTGGACGTGTATCTGGTATGGGGTGGTGCATTGTGAGAACGCGGCAACGGAATGTCGAACAAAGGGGATGGTGGGAATGGTGACGGGGGGGGATGGAGTGGGGACGGGGACGGGGACAGGGTTGAGGAGGGCGTTGATGGGGATAGCGGCGACAGCGGCGACAGCGGGGACAGCGGGGACAGCGGCGACAGCGGGGACAGCAGGGACAGCGGCGACAGCGGGGACAGCGGGGACAGCGGCGACAGCGGGGACAGCGGCGACAGCGGCGACAGCGGGGATAGCGGGGACAGCGGGGACAGCGGGGATAGCGGGGACAGCGGCGACAGCGGGGCAGTAGTAATCAACTGAAACGTACCGAAATGGCCGCTCCTTCTTGATGTCTCGACAGAACAAGAGGTCACGCTTGCCCGGATCAATGCTGACGATGTTTGGAGCCTCCCTTAGTTCGGCGATGTGGTGCTCAAAATACAGCTGCTTGACTTCTTCCCGCATTTCGGCTTTGCTGCGCTTCCGGGCCTGATGCCCATACTTGAGCCCTGGCTTCTTGAAGTGGATGGTAACGGAATACCCGTTTGTGCTGATTGACCCATCAAATTTGAGACCAAGCTTCTTTTGATGCTTGAAGACCTTGTCCTGCAATCCGTCATTCACCCAGGTGATTGAAATAAGCGCAAAAGGATACAGACTTAACTTACATTCACATTGAGAAACTGCCCCCACAGCTCCCGCTTGCGTTCATCGGTGAGTTTCCCCATGCGACGTCGGCCGAAATCCAGGATATGAGTACCTAGGATCAGGGTGTCGATCCGAACAGATGACTGGATTCGAGATTTGCGCAGCGGGATAGCCGAAAACAGCCGCATTCCACGGCGCTCATAGAGGCGTGAGAGCTCACAGTAGGCACCTGTGACGAGGCAGGTGCAGACCATGGTTAGACAAAAGCGGAACCCGCGGGGGGGGGGGGGGGGGGGGGGGGGGGGTAAATATACAGGACATAACTCACCTAAATATGGCATTGCGTCCACCGCAAGGCTGTACGCAAGCGGTTCATCCTGGGGAGGAAACAGAGCCCATAACTCGTCGAGCACGGTCCGCTCAAGTCGTGTGAGGCGGCCAACTCCTCTTTGGTTGGAAACTCTTCAAACATCGCGTACTTTGTAAATTGACGGACCCGCTGATAATACTGTCTCCGCTGCGCTCGGCTGACTCCGGCTCTACGGAGATGCAGTACGACTTGCTTCAAACCAAGCCTTTCATTGACGTAGCGCAGAAACATTTGCATAAAATGCTCTTGTACGTTAACTTTGAGGTTGGTGAAGATGCTCTGAGCCGTGTACGCTGCGGTCTGTTGGCAATTTCGCATGCGTATGGGGGCGAATCCGTGAACATCACAGTACTCTTGAACCCATGGACGCAACTCTTGCGCGATGACTGGATTGCCATTGTAGCCTGGGTTGTTGAGCAGCTCAAACATCACACTGATGTGCTTGTCGGTGATGTCCGGGAAATCGTGTAGAGGATGGTCAGCTGTGGTGGGCATTGCGGTCAGGGCATTGTTTCATGGGAAATTTACAGTGCAGTGTGCCCCAAACTCACCAAGGTAGTACTTGAGAAAGAAGGTGGTGTGGCGCGCAAGGATGTGAACATTGCCGATGAATGTTGTTAGGCGCTCCCTTTGAGCTTGATTTTGATTATGGATGATTCGGTGAAGCGAAACCTTGATGCTGGCATGTGTCTGCGGGCGGGGTCGTTGAACTGGTGGTGGTGGCGGGGGTGGTGGTGGTTCATAAACCAGGGATCCACCCGGTGTGCTGGGAAAAAGGAAAGGGATGGGAGCGGGGAGGTTCAACGGACGCTGCAGGCCCCTGTCCGCGGGTGAAAGCCCTCGCTGCTGCTGCTGCTGCTCGTCTTCATCGCCGGAGCTCTCGCCAACCATGTCTGCAATTGCTTGGGGCAAGTGGCGATGGACAGAAGGTGGGAACTCGAATCGTGGGGGTTGCAATGGTGTCTGCACAGCGGCTGGCAGACGTATGGGCAGCCGCGGGGTAACCGGAGTAACCTTCCTCCTCTTCCGCCGTGGTGTGGTAACTCCGGTAAAGAAGCCAGACCACAGGTGCCCCTGGAGCGCCTGGTGTGATGACATGATGGCTGTGCTGTGCTGTGCTGTGCAGGCAAGTGGTGAGATCAAGGGGACCGAGCAAGGGGACCGAGCAAGGGGACCGAGCAACACATCCTGCTTACCTGCGATGTGTTGAAGGCTTTTAGAGATTGGTTGGGGGTTTGCCTTGATGTGCGAGGCTGTAAGGCTGTAAGGCCGAGGGTGAAGGCATTAGGTCCGACCGCGATGGCAATGGCGGTGGCAATGGCGGTGGCAAAGGCGATGGCAACGGTGAAGGCTCTCGAGGTGAGGTTAGAGTGATCCGTTTTCGGTAGTGTGAGGGATTGCCGCGGGGTGAGGGATTGCTGCTGTTACCTGGAGGTGGTCGGCGGGATGTGTACTGTATATGTACAGAGGCGCTCGCAATTGCGTTGGGAAGGAAGAGGGTTGGGAAGCAAGTTGGGAAGGAAGGAAGGGCCTACGTCCTCCCCACTCGTCCGAGATCCATTTTTGGAGGTAAGAAGCGCGATATATTCGACGGCACTGATACCACCAGATATGTACAAAAGTCTAGGGAGGTGGAGGAGGTGGGTGGGTAAAAAGCGTACGATGTATCTCGGTCGTCGTGGGAAAAAAGGATAAAGGAAAGGAAAGAGGACAATAGAGCACAGTAGACGGAAGGATTTGTAGGCTCAGCGCTCCACGGTTTTTTTTTACGACTGGGAGAGGTTTTTACCGAGGCATCCACGACTACGACGGCGAAGCGATGGCGAAAGTTGATGGCGTAACCAATCGCGAGACCGGCTCCTATTCCAAGCTGGCCTCGAGCGATCGTGACTTGAAGAGTGAATCGCGAGACCGGCCCCTACTCCAAGCTGGCCTCAAGCGATCGTGACGTGAAGAGTGAATAGCGAGACCTGCCCCTACTCCAAGCTGGCCTCAAGCGATCGTGACGTGAAGAGTGAATCGCGAGACCTGCCCCTACTCCAAGCTGGCCTCAAGCGATCGCGGAAGTTGAGAGCGGAACGTTCCATGGGATCAGAATGCAGAGCGACTGCGACGGCGACTGAATTCGATCTGCAGTCTGAGAGGGAGTGTTATAAACAACCAGTTTCAGCCACAGCTTCCTTTTTATAGTTACCGTACCCCCCCTTTTCTTCTCTGCAGATAGAGAGCTGGTTGTGTGTGTGTGCAGACCGTCCGATCGAATCTATAAAACGAGTGGTGTGTGTGAAGGGGAATAAAGTAACGAGTTCCACAACAATCTTGTAGATTACCCCGTCGTCGGTGATGAGGTCCGCTAAGGTACGTTGTTCCTTGCGTTCTGTCCGACATGGAGAATGACCTTGGTGCGCTTCCGGGCCAAGTGATCATAGACCATGTCTTTTGCTGCCGACACAGCAGAGGCGATGGGCGTACTGTCGTTGGCGCTGTCATCCGGCGTCGAAGCAGGCGAGGTTTGAGCTAGCTGCTCACGACGACGTGCGAGTAGGATTACGTTGCGACGACGAGCATTGTCAGTCGCGAGACGCTCTGTCTGTAAGGCGAGGACATCCACCTCTTCTCGAGAGAGGCGGATGCGCTCTTGTTCTTCAGCAGCGACGTCTGCCAGCTGCGCGGCAATTGCCTGAACGAATTCTGGGTTGGTGGACGGCTCCGACGAGCTTTGAGCTTCCGATATTGTGTTGAGAATTGGGCTGAGAATGACGCTGAGGTTGTTAGGCTCAACGTCGTTTCTCACGAAGTGACTAGTGCACTTTGGGTGAAAACCCTTTCAAACGCCGTTTGCGGCGCTGCCCGTACCGTGTGTACTGTATGTGTATGGGATTCTGTGCATGAAGGCAGAATTGTTCGTGAGTACAGGCTAATTGTGAAAGGATTGAGAGCAAATGCTTATTCTGGAGTGTAGGACGTTGTGCGTCCGGTGATCCTTAGGTGTATTTGCTCGAGCGAAAAAAGAGATGGACGGGAAGGAGGGGGGATAAGGATGGGGATGTATTTATACTGCATATCGCTCGAGTGAAAGAAAAGAAGCTTAGTAAGCACAACCTTGAACGGAATCCATTATCGTTGTGGTCCATATGATCGGTGGACATCGACAGAGGAAGCCACCCTCATAGACTGGAGGACGAGGCTGGAAGACAGGCGTTGGAGGATAAATGGCTGAGGGATAAGGAAAATGACGCATCACGCTTCAGATGCGTTTGATGAGGGGGATAACAGCGACTAGCTCCTTGCTCTTTTCCTTACTTTCCTTACTCTTTACTCCTACATTTCGACATCTATACATCTTTTTCTTACATACATCTTTTTACTACATCTACGGCGGTTGAGGTGTCATGTTCTCGCCTTGATAAACGGGCGAGTTGAAGCCTGGGATGAGGCCATAGCTCCCGAAGATGTCGCTGAAGTCCTTGTGTCTAGCTAGGACGCTCATTCGCCCGCCGAGTGCGCATTCATCTCCTCGTAGATAGAAAAGGACACGGGGAGTGGGATCAGTCAGATGGAGGTGTGGTGAGGCTTCGCGAGTTGATGTGGATCGAGCTGCTCTGTAGCGCTCCAATGCATCCTGCGTGCGATCGAACGACATAGATATCATTAGAAAACACACCAGAGAGCAATTCTCCATGAGCTTCTTTTGCCATTTCTTGCGCGGGTCAAGAGGCACGAATACAAGCGCTTCGTCGACATGTCCAGCTTGAAGCTCGAGAACCAGCTTGTCGACGAAGGGAGGGATGAGGAATGTCTTTCCCTGTTGTTCTGAGAGTCGCAACGCAGGAGGGTTGAGGTAGACAGAGTGCGCTTTGCCCGTCCATTCGCTGGGATGTCGAGAAACCTCGTTGTCGGAGGCTGGGACGTGCCATGTGTATCTACAAAGCCGTGGGTTGTGGTGCGTCCGTATTGGCCTTTCGCATTGATCAACGACTCGGGATTAGAGCAAGGATCAAGGTCAAGGTTGGGGAAGAAGCGCGCGATGTCAGATGCGACGAATTGCGAGGTGTTGTACTCGTTTTCAGGCACATCAGTGGGCCGCGCGGCGTGTCGAAAGCGATCGCTGCGTACGAATGCCTGTTGAGGGGTTGCAGCGTCGGAAGCGCTGGGTTGGGTACCGGAAGCAGCGCTGGGTTGCGAGGCTGGGATTGGTTGACTAGCAAAGAAAAGGTAAAACGGTAAGGAGCGCGAAGAGTAAGGTAAGGAAAGAGTAAAGAGTAAGGATCCCCACGTTGGCTGATCGAGCGCCATGTCGCTTGATGACTGGGAGCTATCGCCGTCGACGTATGCAGACAGCACCCGCTGAATGCCGTTGGAACTGACGTCGTCACGCTGGCCATAGTCGTCGACACCACGGTCGTGCCCAGCAAGACCATCTCAACAAGAGTTCAAAGCCACGGGACAAAGCCGACCGGGAATAGACCCGATCCCCACCCCGTCTACCAAACGATGTGCATGTGCAAACTGAGCATTCTGTGCGTGTTTGATGGTTGAAAATTTACTGGATATATATGTACACTGGAGTGGAGAGGGAGTGATGCTATATACAGGGATTTGTGCGGAAGGGGAAAGGATGTTGCGCAACAAATACGCTTTTTCCGTCTCCGGATATGGTGAGCAGAAGCAGGTCTCAGATGGGGATGTGTACAAGGAAGAGGGGAGCGGAGGAAACTTCCAGATCTCTCAGCGGGCGTATCTAGAACGTGAAGTGCGTCACAAGAAGAGTAGAGAGCAGGGCAGCCCACACGCCGACCGACGTCGTCACTGTTGTGCTGGCACCACTGATAGGACCCTCGGCAGTGATGGGGGCGGCTTCTCCGGGGGGCTTGGACTCGGCGGCCGCGGTGGCTTCCGTCTTGGCGCCTTCGGCGGACGGGGTGGCGCCTTCAACCTTTGCGCCTTCGGCGGCTGGCGTGGCTTCCGTCTTGGTGCCTTCGACCTTCTTTTCACCTTCAGCGGCGGGGCTTCCTTCGACCTTCTTTTCACCTTCAGCGGCCGGCTTGGCTTCTGTCTTTGCACCTTCGGCGGCGGGGGTGGCTTCGGTCTTTGCACCTTCGGCGGCAGGTGTGGCTTCTGTCTTTGCGCCTTCGGCGGGGGCGCCTTCGACCTTTGCGACTTCGACGGCGGGGCTTCCTTCGACTTTCTTTTCACCTTCAGCGGCCGGCTTGGCTTCTGTCTTTGCACCTTCAGCGGTAGGCGTGACTTCTGTCTTTGCACCTTCAGCGGCCGGCTTGGCTTCGGGTTTGGCACCTTCAGCGGGAGGTGTGTGTTCGGTCTTTGCGCCCTCAGCGGCCGGCTTGGCTTCGGGTTTGGCACCTTCAGCGGGAGGCGTGTGCTCAGTCTTTGCTCCCTCAGCAGCCGGCTTCGCTTCTGTCTTTGCACCTTCGGCGGCAGGCGCGCCCTCGGTCTTGACTTCGGTTTTAGCACCTTCAGCGGTCGGTGTCTCGACCTTCACGACCTCAACGGCAGCCTTCGCTCCTTCGGCGGTGGCTTCGGTCTTGACTTCGGTTTTGGCGCCTTCGGCGGTGGTCGTCTCCGTCTTGGTCTCGGCCTTGCCTTCGGCGGCGGCTCCGGTCTTGACTTCCGTCTTGGCCCCCTCAGCCTTCGCCGGCTCACCACCCTCCAACTTCTTCCCCGACGGCGCACCGGGCTGCCCGACATTTTCATTGCCAACAATCAACCTCGAGTTGAACTTGATGATACTGTTGAACGCCAAAAACTCATCCGAGGTGATCTTCATCGTGTCGTCCAAGATGTTGAAGATGACGCCCTCCGAGCACGGCGGCGTCGTCAGGGATCCGCTGTACACCCACTCCTTCGACTTTGCGATCATGGGCGCCAGTGCCGCGAAGTTGAAGTTCTTGAGCTGGGTCGTGGTTCCCGTGGTCTTGATGGCCGAGAGGCCGGCGAGGATGGGGGTGAGGAAAGCGCGGGACGTGTCGGCGGCGACGGTAGCGGCATCGGCGAACTCGAACATGACGGCGACGACGGCGATCTCCCCCGCGGCAGAGGTGTGGACCATGTGCATTTCCATGGGCAGCATTTGGCCGAATTTGCGGTGTTCCGAGGGGGTGTGGAAGTGGAATTGTTTGAGCTCGAAGAAGGTGCCGTTGGGGGTGCTGTAGCCTTGTTTGCCGGCGGATGCGGCGCCTTCTGCTCCGGCTGCGGGTGCGGGTGCGGCGCCTTTTTCTCCGGCTGCGGGTGCGGCGGCGGCGGCGCCTTCGGTTAAGGCGGCGGGGGCGGCGGGGATGTCGACTTGAATGGTCGTTCCGATGTTCTTGAAGGTGGCGTCAAAGTTGGTGGTGGTGTAGGTCGGCTTGACGATGTTTGATCCTGCTTCCTTGAGCAAAGATGCCGGGTCCGTCAGATCGATGGGGGATTGAAACTTGCCCGTCTGGCAGGTCGTGGGCCAGGTCATGGGTCCGTCCGCGGCGCCGTAGCCGAACTTTATCTCGCCTTCGCGGCGGCCAAGACGCTGCTGCTGCTGCGGGGTGGCGAGCATCACATCGGCGAAGCAGTTTAGGTGGGGCTGGGAGTTGGAGATGGACCGTGGGCGGTAGCCTTGTGGGTGGGCCGAGGATGTTGCGAAGTTGCTCAGCAGGACCGCTAAGGCGCCGATGGTCGACGATGTTGTGAAGTGCATCGTGTGGGATGGGTGTCTCGCGAGAACGTAAGAAGCTCAGGAAATGTCGGACCGATGTGCGGGATGTCTGAAAGTGTTGGCTGGAGTACTGTATGTAGGCGACACCTGCTGGCTGATGAGAGGAAACGCAGGGGAGGGAGGCATTTGCTGTGGGCCCCTTTAAATACCTTCAAGCAACAACGGGAGCCTGCCCCCTTTCCTTCTTCTTTCCCACCGCCCAAATGCCGGTCCCCCCCGACGGGCGCACCACTCGGTGACACTCGGTGACAACTGTAAAAGCTACCCGCGCGCGCAGTTGTGCTGGATCCAGTTATTATTGCCCGCGACAAACCCGCCGGAGCGGGGGAACCTCAAACGGCAGGCAGCCCCCAGGAGCGGCGGGGGAACTCAATAACCTTGCGGGTCCGTATCACAACATGCACAGTAAGTAAGATCGAGACACCGAAAAGTCATGCTGGGGCGCACAGTGCGACCCCTGTGCAGAACAAACAGTAAAGGTGCGACGTGCAACCCGCCTTTTTGCGACTTTTCGCCCTGTTGCCATCAGACGGTGGATGAGGTCCCGCCTCCAGTAAGTCAGGTGCGCCGTTGTGGGTCAACCCTCTCCAGCGCACCCCCGCTCCTTTCCTCCTTTTCTCTCTTCAAACCGAGAGCTTGACCTGACGCGTTGGTACTGTACAGTCACCTCGCAAAACTCTGTACCCCCCCCTGAAATAAATCAGCGACTGCCGCGACGCCAAATTCACGTGAGTGACCAATTTGATTTCAATTAGAGGGGGGGTACAGAGTTTTGCGAGGTGACTGTACGTCGGAGAGGCCCGACTGCGGACCTATTATTGCAATGCAGGATCTGAAACTGTGCCGAAGGTTTGAAACTTAAAGCGCCCCGCTTCTCCGCGCCAAAGCCCACGACCTTGGTAGCCAATGACCACACAGCAACGCCAGAAAGTTTAATTTCTTATTCAGCTACCGTGTTTCCGGATCTCTCCACATTCGACTGCGCAGACACACAAGGGGAGCTCACAGCGTCTCACCTCCCAAACTCCGCTCCAGGATGTTCTGCAATCAACAATCAGCCTGGAACCTAGATGAAGCACTGGGATTGAGAGTGCCAAGAGTGGCACGTTCCATCGCCGCAGGAAACACCTACTTAAACCCCCCCGACCCTGACTGCACCTCCCTCGCACAATGCCGAACGAACAATCGCCGGCCCTGTGTCTTTCCGTCGTTGATAAGGACAAGAGATCCAGTCATCCACCCACTATGCACGCAAAATAAACGCAGTACGTATCTCGCCTCATTACCTCCGCAGCCGCTGCAATAAGCGTTTGACGTATGCGAAACTGCATGTACCGGCGCAACAGCAGGAGTTTCCACTCTCCGGCGTTCTCGACGGCGAATTTCGGACAACAGCCAAATGTGGTGGGGTGAAATGTTTCATTTTGCGATTCACAGAAGACAGTACGATATGATTTGAGATTAACCAAGTGGTACGATGAGGTACAAGATGACATCGAAGAAATTTGTACGCTACGCCATGGTCAGGGTTTGGAGAGTCGTGAGGGAAGAAGACCACTAAAATGCTACGCCGTGATGATCACATTCCAAAAGTGGAGTGCATCCAAAAAGAAGAACGAAGGGGAAGGGTGGAGCGGGGGGGGTATGGGAAAATGTACTTAAGAGTCCTCAAAAGTGCTTTACACACGGGCAGTCCAATCCCGGAAAGCCAGGGCCCACATCGCCACAAAGACAGGGATGATGACCAAAAGCCACGCATCCGCGAACCGTCCAAACCTGCTCGATCCCCTCCCGACAGCCCACATGAACCCGACAATAACCTGCACCCACATCAGCGCCATGAACCCCTTCGAGATCCCATTCACGAGATGGTTGACGGTGGTCACGACGAACGCGGACAGGAACTGGACCTGCAATGCATTGGTGGTGGTGTAAGTGTGCCTCTCCAAGCGCGCGCGGCGGGTTCCCGTGGTCCCCAGCGCCGATGACGTGTGGGCGGGAAGGATGTTACCGTCGGAGCCGGGGTGGTTGGTGGTGAGGGTGGTGGTACCGTTGTTGTGGGAGAGGTTGTCGTGAAGGGGGCGGAAGAGGCCGGTGAGGAGGTTGTGGATGAGGAGGGAGACCCACCAGAGGAGGAAGAGGACGAAGACGCCGGCCCAGGCGCGTTGGGCGGGTTCGGTGGGGAAGGTGTTGGGTTGAATGGTGTCGAAGGAGCCCATTTTTTCTGTGTTTTTGGATTTGTGGGTTGGTTTGGAGTGTCGGTTGGGAGGGGATGCACTTGAGAAGGTGGTAACCCTGAAGCTGCTGTTGTTTTGGAACTTGGCTGATGATATCGAGTTGGGGAGAAAGTTGAATACCACCCTCTTTTATAGGCGTTTCACTGCAGCCCTTTTGCCCGGCGGAAGAGCTTCCACACGCTGGGGTTTGCGGATATTTGGGCCAGCCTGCATCATGGAAACGTCGTTTCCCCTTGCTTAGTGATCAAATGGTCGTTGCGGATATTGGGCACCCGACCGTCATCAGCAAAACGTTGCCAATTTCTGTTCTAAATGATCGAGTTATTGGGAAAGCTTCCATATGCCAATGACACATTACTGTATGTGTGGATCTTGCACAAGCTCATCGCCGAAGGAACGTGTCGTGAGCCGCGAGACCTTCGGGTCATGCAGTACCTTCGAATGTGACGGTAGACCCTTCATCACCATCACGTCGTGTGGCTGACCATACCATACATGTCGTCCATGCGGATGTTTTGTTCGCATGCCGACCTCAAGATCGACACCAATCGGTCGTCTTGGAGCGAGATTCAAATCCACATCCCTTCATGCGGATATTGTTGTCGACTGTCTTTGTCGTCAGCGAACCGGCGCAAGAAAAAGGACCCCTTTCCGGTTTGTTCCAGTTACAAACGAGGCTTGTCGCCGGAAATGACGTTGGACTTACGCGTAACTTTGCGCTTGATTTCCATTGGCAACGGAAAGCGCTCGAATTCGACAGCGCGACGGCACGTGACTCATTTTATTGCTCTTTTCCTCGGTTTCTGTCACGACTATCCCGAAGATTGCAGAATCAGAATCCGCAATCTACAGTATACCTACGGGCAGGCAGCTGAACAGCGTAAGCCGACAGACTGTCCGCCTGTACTCAGCTGCACTCCCGTCCACCGCGACTGCTTTCCGGATGCCATAAAAACGGTTTCGTAATTGCCCGGAGAAAAAGAGATGCTGAAATCGCACGTTGCTTAGTTGACCGACTGGAATCACGTTCTCGGTCGCTACACTAAAACCACATCGCATCCCCCCAAATGTCATGCCCATCGCACCCCCGCCGCCCGCGGAGTCCACCGCCTCCCATGAATCCTTCGACGTCATCGACGGCGCCGACTCATCCGGGGCCCGCGATAACTCCCATCAGAATGACCGGGACCCATGGATACCACAAACCTACCACCCCGCGCCCCTGCACGCGCTCCTCGTCCTCTTATCGATCGTCGGTGTGCTGATACGCGTCGGGTTGTTGCGGTTGCATGATTATGCTGGTATGTCTGTTCAAGCGACGGGGGGGAACGCAGAAAGAGGGCTTATGATGTGTTGTTTTTGCAGGTGCGCCGGTATCGAATGTGGTGTATCCCCAGATTGTCGGGTGTGTTGTTATGGGCTGGTTGGCGGGGAATAAGAGGGCTATTATGGAATGGTATGCCTCTGAAACGGGTTTCGCGTTATTGAGGGTGTGGGTGAATGACGTTGGGTGTGACCCCGTGTACGTAGGTATTACCCGGCGTATGTCGGCCTCGCAACAGGGTTATGCGGTACGTTCCCCTCCATCGCAATCCACCTTGGCCCCAATCGAGAGCAACATCTTGAAAGATGTGGACCCCCCACCAGGTTCCATAACAACATTCTCAACCTGGAGTCTGGCAACCTTCACCGAGCTCGCGAACCTACAAACAAAGCCCAGGACAGTCGGGCAGGATGTACGTACATACGTCCCCACCTTCATCCCATCCCATGCGCATCACCCCCGCCACCCCGCTCACACCCATCTTGGAAACATGACAGATCCTCGCGGCCCTTGCAATCACCCTCCTCTTGACATGCCTCGCCCTCTCCAGCATCGCTTTCGGCGAACACCTCGCAACCCTCCCCGCCCTCTCCCTCCCCATCCCCTCCCCTTCCCGGCGGGACATCAAGTTCGTCCCAACACGCTGGGGGGATACGAAATCCCTCCACGCGCGAGATCTATGCGTCCTCGCCTGCGGGGCCGTCGTCTGGCTCGCGGTGGCCGTGGCGTGTGCGAAGGATACGGGGGGGCGGGTGAACGGGTTCGCGGCGTTGGTTGGGCCCTTCGGTACGTTTTCGTTTTCTCAGCCCCCACCCGGCATACGGAATTCCGCTCCCCCTCTGACAGGGTTCGTTCCGCGCAGGCACGTTGCTGCGGTTCCACTTGACCCCTCTGAATGCCCGCACACCGGTCCCGCTAGGGACGTTTGTCGCGAATGTGGCGGGGACGGCGCTGATCGGGGGGTCCTACGTGGTGTCGCATCTGACAAGGTCGGTATCGCCCACATGTTGCGCGTTTGTGGTCGGCGGGTTGATGACGGGCTTTTGCGGGTGTTTGACGACGGTGTCGACTTGGGCGGTTGAAGTGAGGGGCTTGGTGGCGGTGGGTGAGGGCGGGAAGGCGTATGGGTATGTTGGGGCGAGTGTTGTGGGCGGGCTCGGGGTGTTGGGGGTGCTGGTGGGGAGCGTGTGGTGGGCTGGGGGGGTGGTGGAAGTTGGGCAGTGTGCAGTTACATGAGGCAGGGGTGAGGTGCGCCATGAGGGATGTACTGTATGCACATAGGATTGAAAAGCTGTTTATTCTTGTTCAGGTGGGGACTGCTGAGAAGCACCTGGCCCCTATGATACACTATGTACAGTACAGTGATACAGTGATACACTGTACGCCGCCTCACGAAATCTTGTTCCCGATCTCCTCCCTATTCCTAAACCCCTTCGCATGCACCATCCACGCCACCACAATCACCAGCCCGATGCAATAGGACATTACATAGTACTGCACCACATACCGCCGTCCCCACCTAAACATGCCCCTGAAGCCTTCCCGTCGGTACAGGAACGTCGCGAGGATGCCGAACCCGTACCCCAAAATGAGAATGAGGGCTACGAGCGAGCCCATAGGGAACTCGATCGCGACGGAACCGATGATGAGGCCATAGATCACCGCCGCAGCCGCCCACACCGTCCTCTGCACCACTCCGAACCCGTCGTGCGCATTCACATCGCGATACACATACGCAACTACAAAGGACATGCACATCCCGCCCGCGGCATACATGTAATGGCTCACGTTGTGTTCCCATGTGGTGCGGATCCAGAGGAGGAGGTCGGTGAGGAAAGGGTAGGCGACGACGAGGTCCGCGTGGGTGAGGATAAAGTCGGCGAGGGGGTGTTTGAACATGGCGGCGGCGGAGTGGAAGGCGGCGCCGGTTGTGTAGAGGGTTGCTGCGAGCATAAACAGGGTTGATATCGTATATTGCGCTGTGGTGGGAGGGGTCAGCATACATTTCATGTCTTATCTGAATTAGATATGTTTGATGCCCGAGCACGTACCTCTCCTGGAGCCCGTTGCGAACACTCCCGACTCCAAAACCAACGCAAACATCAACGGCACCGCCACAAACGGCTCCACCAACCGCACCACATCATCCCCCACATACCACTGCGGCCCTTTCAGCGCCGGGAAATCCAACAACACAGGCACAATCGTAAAAAGCAGCGTGCAGATGTTGCTGGCGAGGAGGAGCCATAGCACGCTTGTTGGTGAGGAGGTTACAGGGGCCTTGTCGGAGTAAGAGTCGGAGGGGCGGGGTTGGAGGGGGATGGAGGAGGCATAGGTGTCGGTTTCGCCTAGGTGGTGTGCTGGCTGGTGTGAGGAGTGGGAGGAGAGGGGGTGGGAGCCTGGGTCGACGGATATGGAGGTGTAGTTTGGGCTTGCGCTTCTTGGGGAGCCCATTTTCGGTGGAAGGTGTCTGGTGAGTCGATGGCGGACGTTGGTGGGCGGGTATGGAGAGTGAGACGACAGAGAGCTTTCTTCCGCCTCGGCCCCGAGTCGGCTGGAGTGTGTATATGCAGGAGTGTTGTCTGTCTACGTCGCAGGTTGCGAACGGGAAACTGCGTTGGGGTAGTGGACGGGATGGAAGCTGAGCCTTTCCCGTTGAGAGCAAACCGCCAAGGAGGGGAAGACCCTAGACTATACTGTAGAGCTTCCCATTGCAGAAATTGGAGATCCCCCACAACAATGCCCCCACCCAGGCTAGCTTTCACCCTCTTCACAAAACAGTACTGCGGCCTCTGCGAGCACGCAAAGGAGGCCCTCGAGCTCATCCAGCTCAAGAAACTCTCAAAGGTCCAGTATATGTCCTTCGCGTTATGCCCCCACTCCGCCTCCAAACCCTTCTCCTCTGCAATCTCACACGTCTTCCCCTCCCCACAGACCCCATTCACGGTAACAGAAATCGACATCGAAAAGCCCGAACACAAACCCTGGCTGCGGAAATACATGTACCACGTGCCGGTGCTGCATCTGGGGGATCAGATGGTCGCGCGGCATCGGATAGAGGAGGGTGATATACTGAGGATATTGAGGGAGGTTGAGGGGGGTGAGCGGGGTGATAGAGGGGAGTGATGGGGCGATGGGTGTGCTGTGAGATTGGACGTTTGAAGTTATTGCGGACCGGGGCAGTTTGGAAGTCGAGAGAGAGAGGGATGCAGCATCGTTCAAGTTGATGATGTGGACCTTGAGGAATACAGGACGACGGTCTCGGACTATGGCAAGACGGTCAGGAGCCTGGACACGATGGCGAACGGGAGCTCGGGTACCTTGCTATGCGTGCGTTGCTTATCTGGATGGGGTCCCGTCGACCAACACCACAATTGCCGGGACGCCCGAGGGGAAGGAGAAAGGTGGTTTGCAGGGTGTTATGCGTTGCGTTTCGGCAAATCATACCAGAAGCCGCTGAAGAGCATGATGGCCCATCACCGCAGTTGAGCTTGAAACTGCAGGAGCTGAGCACCATTCCAGTGAACCTTGGAGAGAGTCCTTGGGAAAGTGGAGGTTCCGTAGCGGTGGGGTGCAGCTGCCTCTGATCTGGCAGCCGGGAAGTTTCCAAAGAAGAAACCGCCGACCCTCGTCATTTCTGGAGCTAATAAACCCTTTCTGCGACCACTTTGGATGGCTGCTGAATCATCGGAGTTGAGTTTGGCATGTTGAAGGAGGGGAAAGAAGGATGCTATGTTTATGTATGTGGAGGCAATAGCCATCGGTGTATTCTTCCCAGCATAAGAGTGTTCAGCTTAAATCCTCATGTGTGGTAATCCACTCGTCTTCGCCCATAGAGTAATAGAGTAAAGAAACTGCTAAGGACGGTAATACCCATGCCTCTCTCGTTCTGCTTTCCTTGCGTTGGTCCTGGTGTCTGCGGGACCTTTGCAAGATTTGGTTGCCATAGTTTTGGGATTGGGCACTTCGGATGTCGCACATATGTCAGGGTGTTGATCCTACCAGCCCGAGAAAAACAGCGACACAGCCTTGAGGGAGTGGGGATGAAGGCTTCACAAGGGCAGGATATGACGGGGCAAGCCACGTTTGCAAATTGGGAGCATGTCAGAGATCGAATTCGGAAAGGATAGGTCGAACGGGTCCACGATATCACAATAGGCCGACTGCCCCGCTCGGGCTGCACAATCGATTGGTTGGATGAGGGCAGGCTGCCAGAGTGAACTCGGTGGGTGTAAGCGGTCGCATGGCCTCGTCGCCGCGACAAGGAAGGAGACTCGAGGACTCGTTTGGCGGATGTCCTTGTTCGACCGCCCTCTCTCTCGTTCTCTCTTTCGCGGCGGCTTGCGACTGGAAACCAATTGGAAGGCTGGGCTGGAATTCACAACAGAAAGAACTCATGCAAAGGTAAACCAGCGGTGTCGCTTCACTTGCTTCTGTTCCCACTCCTCAACCCTCCTCACCCACCACACAGACCCCGTATTTAAACCTGACGCACACACAAAACGATGAATTTTGGAGACGATGATCCCTTCGGGTCAAATGCTTGGGCGGACGAGGCATCTACTTTCAGTCCCTCATTAGCCACCCCTCTCGCCATACCGTCTTTGCCGGTCGCTCAGTCGGAAGACGAGGAGCACCCATCATCACCATCACCACCGCGAGCAGTCGATCCTCCCTTCCATCAGCACCGGGAACAAACCCCGGAACCTGTCACGAACGGCTTTGCGCTGGACGTAAACGCTACCGATTCTCCATTTCAAGATGACGCCTTCGTTACGGATGTGCCTTCCACTCACTCTTTACCACCACCACTACCACCGCCGCCCAAACCTGTCCTGTTCGAGCCACCACCCCCTCTCGCTCCCAAAAGACCCATCTCTCCACAACTCCCCACTTTCGCAGATCCGCTGAATTTGAACGATTTCCCATCCTTCGCAGACCCCGTCTCCGCAGACCTCTTCTCCTCCCCTCCGCCACTACACAGCCCCCCAGCCCCCGTCATCTTCACACCCCCATCCATAATAGAAGATACCGCCTTCCCACAACCCGACGCCTTCGCCGAACCCCTCACGCTGAAAACCGGCATCCACCAGCTCTTCGCAGACGACGCATCAATGAAACCCTTCCCGCCCTCCATCAAGTCCGAAGCGAGCGACGACGAGAGCGTCCAACCGCTGGCCTCGATCAAAGTCAACCCGCAGCCGAAATCGAAGACCGCGGGGGTGAGGATCATCTTTGACCCGTTGACGAGCTCGTTGGTTGGATCTTCCGCGCAGGACGACGAGGATGCGGGCGGACGCGTTCGGGATCTAAAAGGCCGGATTGGGCGGTTGAGTATCCGGGACAAGATCGTCACTCCAGACGACGACGACGACGACAACTCCCCTCTCGCCGAAACCTTCCTCCAACTGGCACCAAAGTACACATTCGAATGCCACGTCACCGACCCCTTAAAAGTCTCTCAAGCAATGGGCGCCTACGTGCTCTACCGCGTGAACACACACACAACGCACCCCCGATTTCGCAACCCTTCGATGGCCGTCAACCGCCGCTTCAGCGACTTCCTGTGGCTGTTCAACCAGCTCGTCGCCCAGCACCCGGGGGTCATCATCCCGCCCGTGCCCGAGAAACAGACGCTCGGCCGGTTTCAGGAGGAGTTTGTCGAGAACAGACGTGTCGGGCTAGAACAGTTCCTCCGTAAAGTCGTGCGACACCCGTACCTCCAAGAAAACCCCGACCTGCAATCTTTCTTGGAATCTGAAACATTCCTCGCGGACCGGAAGAAACCGGAACAGAAAAGCTTTATATCCACCGTGTTCAACGCCGGGACCAGACAACCGGACACGGACGCCTCCCTCTCCCACCGCCGCGCGCGCATCGAGACCTTCGAGCCGCAACTCCGCCTCATCCTCCGCGCCCTAGACGACTGGGCGCGCATGCAGGCCCAGCTCTCCTCCGCCTCGCACGAGTTCGCCGCGACGTTCCAGCAACTCGCCAATTTGGACGTCACCAAACCCATCTCGAAAAATCTGACACAGGTGGCAGAGATCCATAAACGCATCACAGACCTGCAGGAGCGGCAGGCGCGCGTGGACGTGGCGACGTTGGGTGCGAATGCGGAGTATTATGTGCGGGTTGTCGCGAGTGTCGGGCTGGCGTTCGAGACGAGGAGGAGGGTGTGGGAGGCGTGGCAGAATGGGCTGGCGGCGGTGGGGAGGAAGAGGAGGGAGGTGGAGAAGGCGACGGTGCAGGCAAGGAAGGACGCGGGTGCGGGGAGGGTTGCGGGGCTTGTTAGGGAGTTGGAGCAGGTATGGGGCTGGATGGGGTTTTCACTCTTTTGTGTGGGAGCCGGGACGGGACCCTAACCGGTGGGCTTTTCATCAGATGGAACAAGAGGCCCTGAAAAACGAAAAAGAGTACCGCGACGTGACCCTCCGCCTGCGGTTGGAGCTCGACCGGTTCCATGCCGAGATGAGCGGCGATTTCGTGGCTGCCATGAAGGAGTTTTTGACTCTGTTTGTGGAGTCGCAGCAGGAGGTGCGTGTTTCTGATTTTTGGTTGCTTGGGTTGTGGAGGTTGATGCCTTACGCTGGATTTGTAGATATTGGATATGTGGGAGTCGTATAGCCCCATACGACTGTACTGAGCGGATTTCAGCCGCCTTTACGCCTCATCAACGGACACCTCATCATTCCCTGGCCCGGAAGATAGAGTCTACTCGGATATTCTCCTGTAGACAGGTCCACGAAGAGCCGCCGCAGGTGCTACAAGGTGCCGATGACTCCGCCAACCGCATATATTCGCACCCGAAACGTCTCTATCTTCTTCCGACAATCGTCCGATGCGAACTACATATCGTCTCAAAGTCCCTCGGATACGAATCATCCACACACACTCCCACCCACGCACAACCTCGTTGCAGCCAAATCGTCCGCTCGCCGTACTGTCTTTCACGCTTTGGGTTTACGGTACCGGTCTATATCTCCCTGGCAGTCCGTCGATCCGCAGCAGCACTGGACAGAAAATCAACCGGGGGTTTTAGATCTTGTGCCTTTCCTCATATCCAAACACTCGTCTCGCATGGCCACAACGGGAACAACACGACCCGCTTTTCCCCCTTCGCCTCCCTTTTCCCGTCGCCTCGCCCTCACCTTGAAGTTCCACGCCGGATCCCAATAATCCGTATCATCCCCCGGGTTATACAAAAACGTAATCTCCTCATCCTTCTTCACGGGTCGCGTGAGGATGATTTGGAGGTTGGTCAGTTTCGCGTTTGGGTCGCAAGAGTCTGAGATTCAAGGAGGTGTGTGAGTTGGGGATGGGTTGTGTTGGGAGTCCATAGGGCAAAAAGCGAACTTACGGTTTGCGAATCGTGCGTCGGAGGTGGGAAGAAGCCTTTTCGTGGATCGATTGCGAATAAGCGATGGGCTTTCCCTACTCCCCGCGTTCATCTGATCTGATACCAAATACACATACCATTTCCATTCCGTCTCGCCCGGCGGCAGAAAGTTGAGCACGTACGTCTTGTCCTTTTCTGAGACTTGGTCGTATTCTACGACTGTGCGTGGGAGGGAGGAGAACGATGAGTATGAGGCATTCGTGATGTTCCCCACGCGTATTGTACCGGATGGAGGGAGATTCAAGCAACGAATGGGATGAGTGGGATGAGTTTTTACCTTCACCCTCAAACCGCTCCACCACCGTTCCAGCCTGTCGAATAGTATGGCGTTAGTCTATTAGTGTATCAAGCGGGACAGTGGGGGAAGATGGTGGCTTACGGGGAGATCAGCGTCGGCGAACAAAGCCTTCCCATACGAGACTGCACGGACATGGGACGGGTAAGTTTTGCGTGGAGGTGGAAGGGAAGGGGGAGTCGCAAGCGGCGTGGTTGCGGTTGCTGCCATTGTGGATGGGCGGGGGGATGGGCTTATGGTTGGTTGGTTGGGGGACGACGAGCGCAAGTTGGGAGAAGGAACGGAAGGAGTTCCGACGCGTCCATGTGTTCGGATATTGCTGTTGCAGGTAAACTCAGAGGTACCTACCTACAGTATATACAGTACTGTACGTACTCTTGCCTGTATGGAACCGAACGAGAATGGGTGGATTGCTTCAACAAACTCTCGAAACGGTGCCTGCTTTGCCCACCCTCCTCTCCTCTTGAAGAAGCATCAAAGCATCGCGTTCTCGGACTAATGATCGAGCCGTTGGGAGGCGGAGTTGGTGACAAGCTTCAAACGTGTGCGGGCGGACAAGCGAGTCGGGAGCGCAACGTGGCACATATCTGTGCAGTATAAGTAGACTGGAAGATCCGTTTATAGATGCCCGTGCATAAGTATAGGCTTACCAGTGACAATGAGTGTGTATGTACATACACGCCGTGAGAGAGGCAATGCCGCAGGCAACCTTATTGCGAGCACATCCGCGATGACGCCCCCATTGAACTTGGCAAACATCCCGCATAAACCAAAGACGACCACCCTTTCATCCTTTGCGTCCTGCTGCTGCTCTGCGTGCGTTGTCCACAATGTCGCCACATGGATGTTTAACTGGAAAGGGGGGTTTGGAACTTAGCGCGGAGGGGTAACTTAGCGCGCTTGCTAACGGTTAGGAACAACCCCCCTATTCACCGACTCGACTTGAATCCATAAGCCTTCTCAGCCGGCCCCATCGCGGGTGAGAAACTTGCCCCAAAGCCAATCCCGCCACGGAACCCCTCCCCACAGAGCATCCGCTCATAATATTTATAGGCAGTTGCCGCTCAAGTTGTGTTGCGTTGAGAAACAACAACCGTCGCGTTAGAGTCATCCTCAGAGTCATCAGTGCCTTGTGAGAACTCCCACCGAAACCCAGAGTCCTTTCGCTCACAATCTCCTAGTTCAGATACAGAATGGAACCGCAGCCCCCACTCCGAGAAGACTCCGCCGGGGATTCCAAACGACCCATTTCGCTGCCGACCGGGGACCGACCCGTCACTTCTGTAGCCGACAGGCCAGCCTCGTCCATGGGCGACCGTCCCGTGACGCGAGTGAACTCCTTACGAAAGACAGGCCACGCAAAGTCGACCACATCTTCAGACAGTTTTGACAGCGATGTGGAACAGGCGGAGTCGGGTCGACGCTCGCCTAGCTCGGCCGCCCCAGCAAAGAAGAAGCCGTTGTCAAAGCAGGTGGACGAGCCCGCTCGTGGTAGCTCCGCTGCCACACAGGTGTTTGTGCTTCCAGAAGGCTGGCCACGCGGAACGTACGAAACCCGCGTCATGCCGCTTTTGCCGAAACGACCGAAGCTTCTGGGAGGGACGCGAAAGCGGTTTACGGAGATGTATTCGAAGAAGATCGATATGATGAAAGAGAGTAAGTTGGGGCCAGCTGGATATCTGTGTGATTTGATCGGGAATTCGATGAAGGGGAAAGCTCTTGTGTCGGCATCAGCTCCCAAAAATCACAAGCGACCCTCCGCTAATGAAACTCCTTCCGTCTTGTCAGCCATGTTAAAGATTCAGGACCCAATAACAGGAGTAGAGATGAAGGACCGGAAAAAAATGTTTAAAACATATCAGAACTCTTTTGTTGGTGAGTCGCAGATGTTTGACGCTCTCATCCGTTTCCTCGCAAATACTGATGATGGTTTATGAATCGGAACATAGGCAATGATCTTTTAAATTGGGCAATTGCGAAATGTGATTTCATGTCGAAAGAGGAGGCACTCCGTTACTGCAATGCAATGTTTGATGCCGGATACATCATATCGGTCGACTTGCATGACAAGTTCGCCACAGGAGACATTTACATATGCCAGGTACATTGCGGATGGACCATCTTCCCTCGAAACTGGGTTACTAACTGTCAATGTTTTCATTTCGCTCATCCTGGGAATAGATACCCTACTTCTGGCCCTCGGGAAAATGGGTGGCATCAGATTTTGGTATGGAGAACGTCGAGTCTTCTCACTTGTGCGCCGTAAATGCTGACTTTTTCTCCGGCCGCAGATTATACCGTCTATCTATTTAAGCGAAATATCAACGCCAGCACAAAGTATCTCCTTCCAGAATGGGAAGAAGAGCGCCTCTTCCGCTTACAGGAGGTGTATTACGACCAATGGGACCTGGTGGAGAACACCGTGGAGGATCATTTAAGGTTCATCCGCGCGATGCATTGTTCGTTTTTCACATGGAGTTTCCGTCCTTACCCTGCCCAACCCGCACAGCCATATGAAAACAGCGCTGAGCAAAGGCGAGAGGCGGACATGGAACTTACAGGAGTACGGTTTTTGGAGAGTGAATCGGCCACCGTCGCTTGTAAGTGGGGCCTTTCGAGAGCGTGCTCGCCTAAGGGGGATGACGACTAAAGCCGAAAGGACCCATTTTGACGCGATCGTAGAGCGGGCCCCAGATGTCTATGTTTGCTGGCGAAGAGGAGAGGCTTAAGGAGTTTTATTCGAAGCGGCGCTCGAATGAAGCTTATGAAGTACGTGTGGTTCAGACCACTTTCACCTCATAAGTCTGGTCTCTGACCCAAACCCACAAACCTCAGAAAAAAATGACAGAACAAGAACTATTACAATGGCTGGAAAAGAAGGTTGAATATCACAACGTCAGTCTGTCGTTCAACCGGATGAAGGTGTCACAAGCAGCAAAAAGGTAAGATTTTCGAAGTCCGGACACAATCGATGATGACACTCCTCTAACTACCAAAACCAAAGCTTATTGCAACGATGCGAAATGTGGCACCCCCTCGACCCCATGCTCGCGACCCAGCCAACCGTGGGCAATCCCTGGCTGACCGACGAGCCGTCGATGCTCGGGATACTGTCCAGCAACAGCAATGCGTTTGCGCCGAGGAAGTTCCCGACGGTTGCGGAGATCAAGCTGTGGACGACCTCGTTTGCGGATCTGATGAGGGACCCGTTGGGCGTGCAGCTGTTTCATGATTTTGTTGAGAAGGAGTTTTCTCAGGTCGGTAAACCTGCTCTAACCTGCGGTTTCAGTGTGTTTGGAGTGAAATGCTAAAGACTCCCACATATATAGGAAAACCTGGAATTCGTCCTGAAATGCCAAGCGCTAGACTCCATCTCTCAACGCGACGAATACATCTTCGAAGCGACCAAAATCTACGATGAATTCGTCAAAAAGGGCGCACCACGCGAACTGAACATCAACTCATCCGACCGCAACGCCATCATCTCCCAGTTCGAGGCCCTGGAGAAACACCCACACAAGGATCTCAGCCACTATGTGTTCGCCGACGCCTTGAAGCATATCATGGGCCTGATGGCGAAGGATTCGTATGTCAGGTTTTGTAACAGTGATGTCATAAGCAAGGCCTTGTCGAAGGCGGTGGAACGGGAGGCGGGGGCGTCGGATGATTCGTCCGCTAAAGGTACGTTTTCTTGCCCTGCACATTTTACTACACAAACTTCTGCGCGAGAGGCTAGGAATGCTAATCCGCGCTATGTTATTTGACACAGCGTCGTCACGGGCACGGCCATCGTGAGCCTTCGAACTGATCTCCAGGAATCAACTGTAAAGAAGCATTCCATCGGTTTCCCAATGGGGGTATGAGGGCAGTCGGTGGTAGTGAGCCACATGTCTTCCTTGCCACGGAGAATCGCCCGCACTACAGGATTATCTCTATCACTCGTCTTCCGGGGATCGACTGCGTTCTCGGAACCGTGGATTCTGGAAAGGCACAGACGGGAAAGCAGAAGAAAACATGGATTGGTGGAAAATTTTGTTTTGTCATTCCTCCACTCCCTTCCCCTTTTTCTCCTACTCCCCTTCACGACTTTGGACCCTTTTTGTTTTCCTCCCTCTCTCCTTCCGAATGCTTGCAAGATAGATTTATTTAATGTTTTACTTACATGTCGCGCTTCTTTGATCTTTCGTGGGGCTGGCTCACCGTCTTCGTTGTCGCGGGATCGCTTTTTCCGGTCTGGAGTGGAAGAGTTTTGGGAGGTCAGATTCCATGCGTTTCGAATCCTCGGAGGGCGGGGTGCTGCAAAAGTGGCCCGCCATCGAAGCTACGGCGCAGATGTCTCGTTGCACTCACCAAATGTATCCCGCGAGTAGTACGATGACGACGCTCCCTCCGGCACCAAAGAAAAGTTCTCGTACGTCTCCCTCTGCTGCTTCTCGCGCATCTCCTCTTCCCGCATCCGCGCTCCATATCCACCGCGGCCTTCATCGTAATCTTCCCGGTACTCATCTCGGACCTGTTGGATTGATGCCCCCCGGGGTTACTTTTGCTGGGGTTCTCTCCTTTTGAAAAGGGTTGCGACCCAGATTTCGGAACTCACTTGGCCACCACTCTTCCCCCGCCCTAAGTTCCTGCCATCTTTGTACCCAGGGTCCAGATCTGTTCGGATGATCCGCTCGTCAAGCTTTGTGCCGTTGACGTATTTCATGCAGTCTAGGGCGTCGTCTCGTCGGTAGTATCTGACACACGCGCAAACGTTCTGATGTGAGCTTTTCCTCATCATTTGAAGACCATGTCGTTGTTCACTCAGACTTGGGTGTATGCGACAGCCACGACCGATCACGTAGACAACCCCACCTCCGTCCGGCAACACGTACTCAACAAAACAGAATCCACAAGGCGTCTTCTTAAACCTATCCAGCCCCATAATAATCCGCTTAATCTCCCCTGTCTTTGAGAATAGCTCATATATTTGCTCTTCGGTGGTGAAGAAGGACAGGTTGCCGATGTAGAGGGTTGCGGTTTGGGATATGTCTTGTTGGAAGTCTTCGTTGGAGCCCTGGAAAGTGTCATGGTGGGTGTCATTTAGAGGTAGGGAAACGACGAAGGGAAGGGAGCAGGGAGCAGTTACCCTGTAGGAGCGGTCCTTGTAGACGGAGGGCGCCCCGAGGGAGGGGACTAGTGAGGCCATTGGGTTGGTTGTTGCGCAAGATGTGTGTGGATCTTCCTTCCAGGAACTAGTTGTTCCAAACCGTCCCAGCGAAAGAGGCGAGTTGCGAACAGGCATAACGGCGGGTCACGTGACTGGTGAGTTCCGGACGCAAGGGTCTCGCTCCTCCTCCAGCTGGAAATTCAACCGGGTAACCCACCCAATTTCCAAGGGCCTTAGAACACACGGGTTAGCGTAAGGAGGAAGACTACACTCGCTTCAACGTCGGCAAATTGTGGAAAAACGAAACGGAACAATGGTGGAATCCCCTCGAAAATCCCGCTCGCCCGCCCGCGGCCGCGCCCGCACCCGTTCAGCCTCAAGATCAATCAGCAGATCGTCACGATCCGGTAGTCGCTCCTCCTACAGCTCATACACGTCCCGCTCACGGTCCCGCTCATACTCCTCGTCCCGATCGTCGAGGAGCTCCAGGTCCTACTCGCGCTCGCTGAGCAGGAGCCGGAGCCGGAGCCGGAGCTATAGTAGGAGCAGGAGCAGAAGCCCAAGGCGAATTCCGAAATATGAGACGGAGGGTAGGAATAAGCCTAGTGGGGCTGCTGATCCCTATAACAAAAAGTACGTTCCCCGCAAGCTCTCAATCGTAGTTGCATACGTTTGTCGGCATCTGAACTTACCACCCATGACCCATAAAAAGATTGTTCATAACGCCGATTTCAGCATCCGTGGAGGCGGACCACCTGAAAGAGATCTTCGCCAACTACGGCACCGTAACCGACGTCATCGTCCCCACAAGGGCCCCAACCCAGCGCTCACTCACCGGCAAATCCCTCAACACCGGAATCGCCTTCGTCACCCTCTCCACCCGCGACGAAGCCGACGCAGCGCTCAAATGCATGAACGACGGATGGCTTGACGGCCACCAGATTCACGTCACCTTCTACGACGCATCGAAGGTCCGTCGCGGGTCAAGGGTGGGGAAGACCATCGATTCTGGATTGTTTGGGAAACGCGAACATAGCGAGATGAGTAGGAGTCCGAGCCCTAATCGGCGCTCATACGATAGGAGGGATGATAGGAGGGATGGCAGGGGGTTTGACGGAAGGGATGAAAGGGTGGGCGATAGGCGGGATGAGAGACGGTATGGAGATGAAAGGCGATATGATAGGCGTGATGACAGGCGTGATGAGAGGCGAGGCAGTAGGTACGACGAGCCGGGGTACGATGGGAGACGGTCGAAAGTTGATAGCCGGGATTATGAGCGCCAACGGGGAAGGGAAAGAGATTTTAGGAGGAGCCGCTCGCCGAGTGTTGGCCGTGATAGGCGATATCGGTAGGCTGCACAACGCGTTAGATAGGGGGTTCTTTCTTGTGACTGGAAGTGGCGCGAGCTCGCCGAACCGAGCCTTAGGCGTATCTTCCATGGATATGTATATATAGTGTGTATGAAACGATATGAGGTGAAAGAAGAGAACATGGGACCGATGTGTTGGATGATATTGATGATACGTTTCTGCCTAACATGCAAGCCACGGCAAGCTCACGCCTGCGTCATAAAAATGCCCGTAACCTCATCCCCAAGCACCACCTTCCCCTCCCCCCTCACCCTCCTAATCTTCCCGCCCTCACTCCGCACCGCAACTAATCCTACCGGCGCTAGTTGAAATCTACCCTTCCACCTCGCCTCCCCGTCCCCAAACGTCAACTGCCTGACCGGTATCGGTATCGGGCTACCCGCCTTCTTGTTATCGCTTCGGGCGAGCTGGCCGGCGCGATTGCCGCCCCATAGCAGGAGGTCGTGGCCGTACCGAGCGGGGGTGGTGGTGGCGGGTGACGACCATGGTAGCCACCACAAGCCGCTTCTAGTCGGCTCGTCAACGACGTTATCCAGCACAGCCGCACAATGGGTCCCGGTGGGCGAGACGGCAATCTCGCGGACCCGGATCGGTTTCACCTGCTTGGTCGCCTCGTCGTACTCCCGCAGCCCGCTGACGTTCTTGACGCGCACGGGGCCGCCGGTGACGTGGGTGTAGGACCCGTTCCCGAGCTGGCCGTTCAGTCCGGACCCGCAAGCGAGGACGTCGGTGGAGTCTGGGGCGTCGAGGACGAAGAGGGTGGTGTTGCCGCCTGCGGCGATTTGGGTGCAGGTGGCGGGGTGGGATTGCGCGGAGGGGAGACGGAGGGTGGTGATTTCGGTGGGGTGGGGGAAGGTGGGGTTTGTTGGGTCTAGGCCGAGTTGCTGGAAGGGGAAAGGATGTTAGTATTGCGAGACGAGATTAGATGTAAGGTATCGTATTATAGACGCCTACCCCAAAGATGTTGGCGCCAAAGCCAAACACACGACCGCTCGTCGTGCGGATCAGGGTGTGACTGTCCCCGCACGCGGCCTCTGCCGCGGTGTCTGTTCCTAGGTCCTTGACCAACCTCCACGTCCCGACCTCGGTGCGCTCCTCGGCGACGCCCGTCCCCAACTGCCCTGCACTGTTTGCCGTTTCGGTCAACGGCATGGTGAAAACACGTCCCTTTGTGGTAACCGCTACGACGTGTTGAGCTCCAGCCGCTATGGACGCGACGCTTTCGAATCGCCACAATGCCGGTGCTTTCACACGGACGTCCGTGTGCGCCTTCACGGTAGCACCATCATTTCCTTTATCTGCGGCAGGCTTCTGCAGGGAGTACAGACTCCCATTGCGAGCCACCGCGACCACCCTATCGCCCGTACAAGCCACCTGCACCAGATCCTTCCCACTCAGCGTGACAACAGGCGCAGACACTTTACTCCTCCCCGGTCTGCTCAGACTCGCCTTTCCCGATCCTTCAACATGCCATTGCAGCAGATTCCCCTTCTCATCAACAGCCGCCCCCTGCTCGCGTCCCAGCGCGACAGCCCTCAACACCTTGCCCCGGAAGAACCTCGTAGCAGCAGTCTCCTCCACGCCGCCCAACCCCCACACAAACAACCCCGGATCGGACCTGGCTGCCTCAATCAGGGATCCGCGGTGCAGAACCTCCTCTCTAGTCTCCTCATATTCGCGAGTCATATCGGTGTCCGCTGTCTCGTCGGCGTCGTTGTACAGCGCGAGCGCGAAGGTGAGACCGCCGACGACTGCTCCGGCTGCGAAGGTGAGGAGACGCCATTTGACGCTGTAGCCTGACATGTGCGGGTGCTGGGATGACGGGGCTGTGGACGGTGTTACCGTGCTGCCGTAGGGAAGAGGGCGGTGCGGTGGGGCTTGTGGTTTTGTGGAGGACGACGGCATCGGTTGGGTTGTGAGCTGTCGTGCGTGACATGGCCGTATCCTTCGGAGAGACGTGGTGCATGGTCGAAACATGATGGGCGTCTCGGTGAACAATAAGGAACGCTACGTAGCAGACTGGTCCTCGAGAGTGCGAGGGGAGAGTATATATGTAGGAAAAACACCCAGTGTAAGTGCGAGATCACCCGCTGTTCGCAGGTCCCAATGCTTGCCGTGCGAGAGAGAAAGAAGTGACGCGTCGGAATTTGCGCTTCTTCCTTCTTCCCATTTCGCTCAAGCTGGTCTCTACTCCCCACCCACCCAGACGCACGCTCAGATCACCCGTCCGCCCTCCCGCCTCCTACAAACGCTCACCCACCCCGCCGTCATGCCAACCTGCGACCATTTCTACAAAGACCTCCTGAAATGCCTCCTCGCCTCCCCCTGCGTCCAACAACACGGCCACTCTCCGCGGGAATGTCTCTCGCCCGTCCACGACGAGGAGAGCGTCAGTGCCGCATGTAGGCTGGCGCAGAGGGCTTATGTGGAGTGTAAGGTGGATATTGTAAGTGTGGATTGCTTTCCCGAGTCTTGATACTCTTGGGAAAGTCGTTTACATATGTGCTTTTTTGTTTCAGATGAACCCGAGGAAGAGATTTAGGGGACCGTATGGGGGACGACCACCGAAGGAGGCTGAGGATGAGGAGGATGCGTAAATGGGGAAGGGGTGGGGTGGAGACGGGATATTGTGGAGGGAGTTTTGAGCTTGCAACCGCACGACGCCGGGGAGCATCGTTTTAAGACACAGTCAGCAACTGCAACTCCGGCGGTTATATACGGCGGACCAGTTTGTTTGCGATGCATCCCAAAGGCAGACAGGGGTTCTGCTGCAGGAGAGGCACAAAGTCAGCAGCGCTTTCACGCAACCGACGTAGGAGGCTACCGGTTTGCGACATCAACGTATTGATGCGGCACATCAAGCGGTCACAGTGGTAAAGCCGCACTCCACATCACAGCGGATAAGATTTCATGTATGTATATAGGATTCGACTAGTCTGTCTACGCTACTGAGAGGCCGCCTGCTGGGTGGAGAGAGCCTATTTCCCCGTTCAATGCCATGGGAGCGGGCAAAATACTTTTGTAAACCGCCCATATGGTGGAATATCATGAAAAAATCTACCTACGCCAGACCCCCGAAAAAAAACCCAGATGGTGATGGAAAAACCGTGATGGCAGGCCTCATCAAAGGTCCCTAAAACACCGATCAGCAACCCTCACCACATCCGCCATCTCCTCCACATCATGCACTCTTAACACATTCGCGCCCCTCGCAATCGCCGCCGAACACGCCGCGGCCGTCGCATAGATCCGCTGTTTCGCCTGCTCCTTCTTACTCGTCGCATCCAATGCCTGCGACCCCGTAACAGCTCCCTGGGACAGGAACCCCTTCCGCGACGGCCCCACAAGCACCGGAAACCCCGCCAACGCATTCCGTGCCGCCGGCGCCTGTTGTTGTCCCTCCGAATCCAACGTCGCGGTCGCAGGTGCCGCCTCCCCGACAAGCACGGGCAGTTTCTGCAGAATTTCATAGTTCTGCGCGCCGGTCTTTACGAACCCGATGCCAGGGTCCAGGATTATATTCCACCGCCTGACTCCCTTGTTCATGGCTTGTTGGACGGTCGAGGTCAGCGAGGCCGCGATGGTGGGTACGACTTGGCCGGCGGGGTAGTCGGTCAATTGCTGCATGGTCTTGGGCGTTCCGCGCATGTGCATGAGGCACACAGGAACCTGGGTCTCAGCCATGGCTGTGATCATGTCCGGGTCAAGGGATCCGCCCGACACGTCGTTGATGAAATTCGCGCCGGCTTTGATGGCCGCGCGGGCGACGGGGGCGCGGTAGGTGTCGATTGAGATGGGGATGTTTGCGTCGAGTTTGCGGATAGCTTCAATCACCGGCACGACGCGTCCAATCTCGATTTCCACCGGGGGTTCATCAGCTCCGGGTCGGGTGGACATGCCCCCAACGTCGATGATATGTGCCCCGGCTGCTGCCATTTTGATCGCCTGCTGGGCGGCTGCGTCCGGTGACTGGGTGTGCGCGTCGCCGCCGTCGCTGAAACTGTCCGGGGTGACGTTGAGGATTCCCATGATGTAGGTTTGGGTGGACCAGGACCAGAGGCCGGCGGTGGTTTTGAGGGGGATGACTTTGCGGATCTTGTCGGAGGGGGTTGGGGCGGATTCGTGGGAGAGGAGGGCTAGGAGTTGCGAGACGGTGCGGAAGAGGCCGGGGATCTCCATGTCTGGTGCAATGCTGTAACGAAATGAAGAGTTAACGATTGCCTTTCGTTGCACTGCGCAGAGGCGAAGGGAGACTTACTCAGCAAACGGTCTAAGAACAAACTCCCGTTCTTTAATCCGTGGATGGGGAATGATCAGCCTCTCAGTAGACATCTCCACGCGATCGTAAACAAGGATGTCCAAGTCAATAGGCCGCGGCCCGAACCGCTGGCCGTTGAAGTTGCGGCCCATCTCAGCTTCTATACCCTTCAAAAAGTCAAGCAGGTCGTTCGGTGATAGACTTGTTCGTATCTTTTTTTGGGAATGGTCAATGAACAAAAACGGTCGTGAAGGAGGGGTGCAGAGAATAACAAGGGTAACATACCGCACAACAAGCGTTGATGAAATTGGGCTGATCTGTCACATACATCGCCTTGGTTTCGTACAAGAAGGACGTGTCAATCACTTTGATGGCGGCGGATCCGGCTAGACTCGTGACGGCGTCATTGATGTTCTTTGCGCTGTCTCCGAGGTTGGACCCTAAAGCCAGGTACACGACATGCGGCAGCCGGCCCCGTGTTTCCTCGTCCACATCGTCACTGTGCGCACTGGCATCCAGGCTGGTCGCAGGCGTCGGGTCGCTCGCTCTTGCTTTCTCGCCAAAATAGGCCCTGTCCCTCGTGATCTCGACCCCAGCTGCGGCGGCAAAGACGATAGCGGAGGGCTTTTCCACTCGCACGGTCACTTTCGGGACGTGGCATTGCTTGATCAGCAGCCTCGCTATGGAGGTTGCTAGCGCTTCAACGGTCTTGTAGTTTGTGCTCTCGACGTATTTGGACACGGTCCGAGTGATCGTGCGATAGTTATGAACTTTCGGTACATGGTCGCTCAACAAAACTTGCGGGTCCAGCGCAAGGTGGATAATGAGTGTAATAACCACCCGCTGCCTTTCCTCCCGCTCCCAAGGGTTTACCCCAATAATCGTGCTAAGCGTCAAATCCTTGATAAAGATCTGGTCCTCGCCCTCCCTATCCTCCGCCTGATCCTGGTACGCCTCACCCAGTCCATCCGACCCCATCGCCCCAATCTCCTCCTTCGTCCGCGTGATCTGCACACCCGCACAAGCAGCATGCAAGAGCGCGCGGGGCTTCTCTACGCGCACGGTTACGCGCGGGGCACCGCATTTTTCGACGCAGACTCGTGCGATCCCGGCTGCGAGGGCTTCGACGGATCGGTAGGATGTCTTTTCGGAGAACTCTTGCACGGTTTTGGAGACGGTGCCGTAGCTGATGGTCTGCGAGAGGAGATCGGTGTCGCCGGATGCATCGACCTGTTGGTGGACTGTGAGATCGATTGTCAGTGGTTGGCGCTTGGAGCGCTCCCAGGAGTCTACGCCGATGATGTTGTGGACTGTGAGTTGGCGGACCATGATCTTGTCGCCGGCCACCAGGCTGCTGTCCGTCTTCGCGAGGGCAGCCATAGTGATGTAGTTCCGGACTAGCCCCCCTCGAGTTCTTTACGGTGGATATGCGGTTCTACCAAGATATGCGGTTCGGAGCGATATGGTCCTCCCCTACAGTGAAGTGAGTTAGCGGGTGTGCTCAATGAGAAAGACCAGTATGAAGTGCTGGAGCTGCTGGGAACCTTTCCCACTTTCGTGCAAGTCCTACAGTGTACGTAGTGCGTCCACCTGTTGCTCGCAGTCTGGCTCGCAGTCAGGCTCGCAGTTGGGAGAGTTGGGGGGGCCAACGCGTCTTGGGGCGCCCCAAAAAGTCCCCTCCCCTTCTTGTTGGATGCAGTGCGTTTACCGGAAAGCACGTCTTCTCACACATGGACTACTTGCCCCGACCCACAAATCTCAGTGTGCTGTTCTTACATCACATGCTTGCGGCGGGAAAAAGAAGTAACCGAGCTACGCTTTTTTTTTTCTATTTTCTTCTTTTCGTTGACGTCTCCAAGGTCGAGTTAGATAATTGGTTAACCCGATTAATAGAGGCCGAGGCCGAGTGAGATAGGTCCGTGCAGATACTGTAGATACACTTCTGCTTTGCTTTCAGCGTTGCATCCAATCCGTTTTGCCTCAGTCAAGCCTCCGTTCTCAACACATCAGGTCGAGGCTCGCCTGAAGTAAACGGATTGAGTGAACGTTCAAAAGAGTCTATGCTGTACTCTATTCCCGTTGCAGGCTTCAAATTCAGTCGAACGCGTGGGAAGCCACTGGAAAACACGTCCAATGTCCATGTCCAGAGCTGCGCGCGGAAGATCCTTTCGGACGTCCCTCCGACGGTGGTTCAACACTTGCAAGTGGAGGGTGACAGTTTCAAAGGCAAACATCCCCACTTCACACTGCACTTGGAAGCAGTGTTGCGCCTTGTTGGTATCGAAAGGATAGCAGCTGCTCACCACGTCAGTAACTCGAACGCAGTATTGCTCCTTTTCGGAAGTACGGAGTCAAGAACCGGCATTCACGAACTGCAGCTTGAGGCATTATGATAGGAGCCAACAAGCGCTCTGGCGCCTGGGACGACGATCAGAACTCACCCCAGCCCGTCCTCAAAAAGTCTCGCGCCGACCCGGAAGCTCAAGCTCGAAAGGTTGGTGTTAAATGCTTGGTTAAGAATCAGGCGTCATATAAATACGTGTTATGTCCTACAATAGGAAGCCAGAAGCCTGGAAAAAAAGCATGCAAAGGACTCCACCGTCGAATCCCGCGTCAGGCGCCATATCTGGTTATGGGAACTGAAGGGTCTCTTTGAGCCCTTGCTTCCAGAAAAGAACTACTTCACGAAGACTGAAGCCCCGTCCGGAGGGAAAGCCGTGCCTTATGAACAGCTGGGACAGCCGACAGAAGTAAAGGCCACAATGAAGCCCTATCAACTCACGGGGCTGAGCTTTTTGGTGAATCTTTACCGAAACGGAATGAACGGCATTTTGGGAGACGAGATGGGACTGGGCAAAACTCTGCAAACGCTTTCGCTCTTCAGTCACGTTAAGGCGTCGGGCGATACGGGGCCTTTCCTCGTTGTATGTCCCCTCTCCGTCTTGAACAGCTGGCTGTCGGTAAGTGCACTAAAATTCACACTTACACGCGGGAAAGGATGGCCAACAGTCTCGCCCATTAGGAAACACATCGGTGGACTCCTCATCTTACTGCTATAACTTTCCATGGATCTGCGCACGAACGAATTCGATTGAAATCAGAATATCTCCACAAGCAGTTTGACATATGCATCACCACTTACGAGATGTTTGTGTCGGAAAGCCATTGGTTCAAATATATGAGCTGGAAGTACTGTGTACTGGACGAAGGTAACAAAGAGGATGGTCCTTTACTTCATTGATACTCGGATGCTGATGAAACGCTGCTTCTGCAGGTCATAAAATCAAAAACGAAACATCGCAGGTTTCCCAAACCCTCCAAGGAATCAAATCGGAATTTCGACTCCTTCTCACTGGCACCCCAGTCCAGAACAATCTTCACGAACGTACGTTTTGTCTGGTAGTGTTTTGACACAGTTGGCAGCCGATTCTCAATTCTTGTTCCTGTTCCAATCCAGTGTGGGTCCTGTTTCGGTGGCTTCTCCCTGAAGGTAAGGATAAGATTTGTCACCTTCGCACAGCATTGTTGACGCATTCTAACGGAAGACCCACAGTTTTCACGGATCAGACGGCGGATCTGTTCAGCAGGAGCTTCGATCTGGGGAAAGGAACGTATGATATAGAGTTTCTCGGGAATGCTCGCAGCTTATTGGAGCGTATCATGCTTCGGCGTATGAAAGCCCAGGTTGACTTCCAGATTCCGGCTCGGGAGGAGATTACGCGTATGTCCATATCCCCGCAACCGCACCTTAGTTTTGTGCTTTGGTATTCACTGACTTGCCATTATAGTCTATGTCCCGATAACCAAGATGCAACGCTTCTGGTACAAGCGCCTTCTAACGCGGCTTGACACGATGACATTGAAAGAGATCTTTGACCACACTGCCAAAGCGGAGGGCGGTAGCGGAGAGGCCGATGATGATCTCACGAACAACCTGAAGTATTCCTTGGCCGGCGGTAGTGGGAAAGGGGACTGGAAGAAGATGATGAACCTTTTGATGCAATTGAGAAAGTGTTGCAACCAGTAAGTACCGTGTCTTTCATCAGCCAAGCTATCACGAAGAGAGTTCACATCTCACAAAAACTGCATCTTGTCCCAGTCCATACATGCTACCAGACTCGGAACCGGAGCCCTTTGTCACAGGCGAACATCTCGTTTTAGCTTCAGCAAAGATGATTCTACTGGACAAGCTCCTAGCCCATTTGCGCGAGTGTGCACACAAATCCTTGATCTTCAGTGGCTTTACCGGCATGCTGGATATCCTCGAAGACTATATGATCTTCCGAAACATCCGTTATGCGCGGTTGGATGGAACCACGCCTCGCGCCCGGCGGAATCTGTTGATCAAGTTGTTCCAGCATAAGGACTCCCCGTATGATGTCTTTCTGGTTTCGACGAAGGCGGGCGGGCTTGGCATCAATTTGACTGCAGCGGACACCGTCATTTTCATGGACAACGATTGGAACCCGCAGACGGATCTCCAAGCTCTAGCGCGGGCGCATCGTATCGGTCAGACGAAGAAAGTGACCGTCTATCGACTTGTGTGCCAGGACACGGTCGAAGAGCAGATGTTGACGCGGCTCCAAAAGAAGTTGTTCCTCTCGCTGAAAGTCACAGAAGATATGAGGGACCCCAACGGCGAGGGCGTAGAAGCGAACCTCTCAACAGGGCAGTTGATGTCTATGCTCCGACGTGGTGCTCGGGCCCTGACGCGCGTTTTCGAGACCGCGGAAGATTTTGCGAAATCCGACATAAAACACATCATTGAGAAAAGTAAAGAGTATCAGAATCTTGTCGACGCGGAGGCGGACAAGGAGGAAGATTTCGAGCTGGAGGGGATGGAGCAGGTGCAGAGTCGCTTGTTTGAGGGGGCGGTGGTTCCGAAGGACGAGAAGTCGATTGCGGAAGGTACGTCTTCTATGCCGCCGTTCGTTTTCGCCCCTTCCCTTTTGACCTGACTTTTTTACCCATATTCAGAATGGAAGGACCTTAAGAAGCGTGAGAGGCAAGAGCGGGTAGTAATGGTTGGCACCCACGCGGTTCTCAAAGAGACCGTCGGATGTGACCAGTGGGAGGCTCGCTCTACGTTCAGCAAAGGGATGGTCATTACGAAGAAAAAGAAAATTAAGAAGTACATTCATCAGGAGGTGAGTACGCCGTGCAACAGCCAAAAGGGCATACTTTCCGGTATTGCAAAAGGATTACGGGTCTGACGCGTTGTATCCCATTGCCAGATGTGCCATGTCTGTGGGAAAGACTCCAAGGAAGAGTTCCTGGAATGCTCGGGATGCCCACGCTCGTACCATCCGGAGTGTACTGAAACACAGAAAACCCAATTTGGATGGTATTGTCCGCAGCACTTTTGCGCCGGATGTGGGAAGAACACGGGCGATGCGGGTGGTATGCTCTATAGGTGTCAGACTTGTCCGCGTGCATTTTGGTATGGTCCTCCGGCCCTTCCGTGTCAGATTTGGGGTTGATTTACTTACAAGATGTGTTGAATCGCAGTGAGGACGAGGGCTGCACGAACTGGGACGAAATCACACCAATCGGTTTCATCCTTCCGGAGCTTCTCCTCTGTGGATTAGGAGAAATCACACAGGCTTATTATATCCGCTGTGCCGATTGCACGCGCTCCTGTGTAGAGGACCCAGCGTTCCAGCAGGAGATCGAGGCTCAGATGGAGGCGGATTGGAAGCGAGTGGAGGAGGGTGAGGATGAGAGCATTGTTCAGGTAGAGGAAACTAAGGGGAAGAACGGTGTGGGCAAGGCAAAGAAGGGAGTGAAGAAACCGAAAGCGGCGAAAACAGCTGTGAAGAAGGGAGCAAGGAACGGGAAGGCGTAAAATCGTTGAGATATATGTAGCGTAGCGTTTATGAGGCAGGGACTAATGGTGATAATTTGTTTGCCAAGTACTTTTGACGGCTAATCGATTTCTTTGACATTGTCTTCGTGCGTATGATTTTGAGACAGCGATGTGGAATGGGATACGAGGCAGAAAGGTGCCTCAGCTCCTTAGCCCCGATGCAACCCGTCATCTACAAGCGCTGTACACGAATGAAACGGCGTGAGATTCCAGCATTCGGGAACATGCCCGAGCAATTTCTTAATAATCTCGGATTCGAACGACTAAATTACATCCGCATCTAAAAATCCTTGAACTTCTCTCTATATGGATCAGGGCAAACGATGCCATAAGGCTCGTGGTCTTCCGGGTACGCATCAAAGTTGCTCGTATCTCCGTCGCCCTTAAGCGGCGGGATATAAGGCGACTGGATCTGGAGCGCCTTGAGCTTATCCCAGTCGACGCCCGCGAACCACTTGTGCTTCTTGATATCGTTCACACCACCCTTGAGGTTCCCGTAGCGCTTTGTTAGATCTGCGGATAGGAGCCGTTTGACGAGATCCTTGGCGGCGGGATCGAAATGGGTGGGGAACTTGGGACGGCAGGCGAGGATCTTTTCGTAGAGTTTGAAGTGGTCTTCGTCGTAGAAGGGGGGGTGGCCCGCGAGCATCTGCAAAAAAAACAGAAAATGGAAACATTGAGTTTGGAAACGATTCATGGCTGTTCTGGAGCGTCCCACGTCTTCCGCGCCGTCGCTTCGTCTGTACCTCGTAAATAAGGATTCCAAGCGCCCACCAGTCCACCGCACGTCCATAACCTCGCGACTGAATAATCTCCGGGGCTAAATAGTCGGGCGTCCCACAGAGGGTCCATGTAACGTCGGGCACATGTTTCGCGAACCCGAAATCGGTGATCTTGATATTGCCCTTGGCGTCGATGAGGAGATTCTCAGGCTTCAGATCCCGGTAAATGATATCTTTTGAGTGCAGATGCTCGAAGGCCATCACTACTTCGGCGGCGTAGAAGCGGGCGACGTGGTTTGGGAAACGCTGTGATATATCAAGGGTCCTTTAGCTATGAATACGAAAATGCGGGGACAGAGGAATAATCGATACTCACACCGCATCTCCTCAAGTAAGAGAACAGTTCTCCTCCCTGCACGTATTCCATCACAAAGTACAGATTCGCATAGTCTTGGAACGTCCCCAGCATGCTGACCAAGAACGGAAAGTCCAGCAATTCAAGGATATGTTTCTCATTCACGGTGTGTTCGATCTGCTTCATCTTCACAATCTCTGTTTTTTTCAACACCTTCATCGCGTAGTACTTGCCCGTCGAACGAAGGCGAACGAGGTGGACGCGTCCGAAGGAGCCCGTGCCCAGCGTGCGATCGAGGTGGAAATCGGCCAAGGAGAACTTTTGGCGCGTGCCTTTGGAGGACTGGCCGGAGGCGCCTGCGACGGGCGGCAGTGTTTGGGAGGGTTGGTTGGTTGAGGCGACTGGACGGGCGGCGGAGGCGGTGACGGGCCCGGAAAATTCCTGCCATGAGCTTATACGTCAGACGGGAACAATATTTGTCGAAGCATATCAATCATCACATCTTTCTTGCCCTCACCTTTGATTTCCCAGCATCACCATCCGGCCCCGACGTCCCGCTATGATATGTCGCCGTAACCGGACCGTTGCCCGATAGCGATATGGCCGACGTCTGCTTGCTGAGCGCCCCAGTGACATCCAACTTCATGGAACTCGGCTCCTTCGACAGCGTCGCATCGTTGTGAGGCGAGCCAGTTGGACTAACTGCGTTGTTCTTACTGAACGCTGTTGGCGACTTTCCGGCGGACCCGGTGATTTTCTTCATGAACGACATGGCTCAAAAGACTTTGGACGGCAGCGACAGAGGACGGGGCAAGCGCAGCGCAGCCCTGATCAGAATTGGTAGTGCTCCCCCGACTATCACCGCAATAGGTCCTGGATACTCAGACGTAGGAAAACACGAAATGATACAAAGGTTCGATTTACGCGCTATCCTTGCGCTGTGATTCTTGAATGCTGTTTGGGCATGCTCTTCCGTCAGCGGCTGGCCATTGTGCCTGCTTTCGGTATGAGTGAGTCACGCATACGGTGAACTTGCGATCCACCGTTTCTGGAATCTGTGGACGTTGGGAACAGTCGCTTACGTACGAACTCCGACTGGATAAGCGACGCGTCTCCAATTCAATAACGCTCACAAATGCGCCTGCTGTGCGATTCGGTACACACATCTTGTATATTCTCATGAGAAAGAAATCATATACATGTACCTATCGGGTCAGTGACGCCAGTAACGCGTTCACGTTACTGAGAACTAGACCAGTAACGCGAGTCACGTGACCCCCCTATGTATCTTGGGAAATGACTATGTACGGCACTAATAGAAAACGGAAATGCCCTCAATGGGGCATTTCTGCCATACATGGGTACAATGGAAATGATTAGTTATGCGTGTGACCATAGGCCGGGGGACGGCATTCGTTCGTACAGCTGAGGGTTATTGCGTTTTCGGGCGAGAAGTCCAAAGCGATGTTGAAAATTGGCATAATTCTCAGCTTAGACACACTGGACGGCAACGACATGGCTGCAGCAACCACAGAGGCCGCCGCTGCAGCTGGTCTGGACGATGGTGACGCCCCGAGGGATGACGATAGCATAGTGGAGGACTTGGAAGACGTGCAGGATGCGGAAGTTCACCAAAGCACCATTAAACAAATGAAAAAGAACCAACGAGCGAGGCCGGTTGAGACTAACAACGCATATGGCCACCGTGCGAGGTCGTATCTGGCATGGTGCGACACCAACAGGCGCTCGCAAAAGGTCACGCCGGGCAAAGTCCTTCTGTGGCTCAACGAATATGTCAATCCCCGGGGGGCATTGAACAATAGAGGACAGCCCTACGTTCCTCCAAAGCCCATGTCACGGGCTACGTTGGACCAGTACGTCAAGGCCGTGACGGACTTGTTCCATTCCCAGCAGGCATTGGGCAAGAACATCAAACCCAATTATTCTCAAACGACCACAATAAAGGAGATGCTGAAAACTCAGAGTAGGGATCGGTATAACAACGAATATAAAGCGTTGAAAGATCGAGGGATCGGGAGTACACGTGATTCTTACGACAACAAGGACAAGTTGAATCTAGCGAAGCATTGGTGGACGCAGGTTAGTGAATGGTTGATCGTTGGGAAGCTGAGGATTAGTGCATTTTTTGACGTCTCCGGCGTACGCGCGTCAAAAAACCGCATAAACCTCAGCTTCGCCTCTTCTAATTCAGGATTCCTATTTTGCAGCAAAGTCCAGAGTCCGGGCTCCGGAACTACACGTCCTTTTTGATCCAACACGCCACCCTTCAGCGAGGCCAAATCATACGTGGTTTACAACTCTCCCGTTTCGCCTTTCTGCCGTTGGACGGTAATGAAGGACCCACGCCAGCATGGGGCGTCGAGCTCACATCGCGGCATGGGTAAACAAATCAATTTGGGCGATTGGAAACTGTCGGTTTCATGCGGGCAAAGAACGTTATATTCTGCGCCATAGCGCATGTTGCAGTGTATCTCTTCTACCGATGGCATATAAGCAAGGTAAGGAACATGTTGCATGTTGCTTGTCGACCTTTCTCTTGAGGTGGACAAGCTGAGGATTAGTGCTTTTTTGGACGTGCCCCGTTATGGGACGCCCGAAACCGAGGTTCTCCTCAGCTTGTTTCTAATTCTGGAAACTCTTAGGAAACTCCACCGGATCTGTTTGACAAGGCATCGTGGTAAAACACGTACTTTATGAAAAAGGATATCACCAAAACTGGAAGGAAACGAACTCGCGAGGTTCTCTTGTCGGACGATGAAGATGGGGGCCTGCAAAATGATCCCAATCGCTTTACATACCAAGCGCACAACAAGATGTTCAAAGCAGCCTTTGCGGCAGTCGGGATTCACGCTTCCAAGGTCACCCACTTAACCCGCAGTACCGGTAGTAAGGAAGCCAGAGGCAACGGAGCAGACGTGAACGCGATCACCAATATGGGAGGTTGGAATCGTAGTGCATTTCGGCTCGGGTATGACACGGATGTCCCCAAAGAACTGATGCGGGCCATCGGCAAGTGGCCTGCAAATGGAGGCGGGTATTTTCTGGCCAGGGAAGTCGAACCGCCACAGGAACTAGTTGAACAGATCTTCCCGTGGGCTAAAGAAGCACTCGATGCCCACGATCAAAAGGAACGCACACTGCCTTGCATTGCCAGCAAGAACGTGGCAACCCTGCTAGTCAAGTTACACAAAAGCCTACTACAAGATGCCGCATTACTTCAATTGCATTTTCCAGCAAACCCAATCTGGCTCCATCCGGTCTTCGCCAATCCTGTCTTTCTCGAATACCAAGTGAAAGTCAAGGCCGCACAGGAAACGTCACCAGATCCAACAATCGCATCTATCGAGCATGTGCTGCCAAATGTCGCCGTCGCGATCAAAGCAACTAACTATTCCATACTGACAAAGGTGGCAACGGTTGAAGAAGGTATACAGCACCACATGGCGGCGCTCACAAAATGAGTCATGGAGTGAGAGGACCGAGTAACTGCAAGTAAGTCCGTGCATTGCCTTCGTTGGTGACAAGCTGAGGATGATCGCCTTTTTGAGCAAGAACCCGATGGGGACGTCGAAAAACAGCTTAAACCTCAGCTTGTCTGTCTTAACAATCGCCGATGTCTCTGACATCCATATGTTTGCAGATATCGATACATGCGGGCGCAAGGGCATCTCTATGACTATCAAAGCTTCGCAGCTTGTGTCGGGTTACATCAACGGCGTCGGTAGCGAAGTCGCTTTGCATAGTCAGCGCATTGATCATGTGGAAGACTTCATGGGATCTATAGAAGGCATGATGACCGACTTGCAAACGTCGCCATCCTGGAGGAAGGCTCAAAATGCATTGGAACATCTGCGGTCAACGGAACGGCCACAGCCAGCCTTGCTCTCCCGCCTGTTGGCCTCACAAGACGCCACGTCTGTGCCTTCCCAAGCCCTCGCCAAAGAGCATTTGCCTACTCCTCCGCCAACACCCTCAGCGACATCAGCGGCTGGTGACATCCCAAAGTACATCATGAGTCGGCGGCTTGGTACGGTCATCCAAGTCTGGGAGGAGTACGATAAGGGCTTGGTAGATGAGAACGGGGCGAGGCAGCCGTCTGTAAGGGCATTGGATGCGGGGTGGCAGTCCAGCTGGCGGGCGGCCACAACTGAGCGGACTCATTATACACGGCGAAAGAGGATATATGATGCTGTACAGGCCAAGTTGCCAACTGACGGCGACCACAGGCGAGGAGGTTGCTTGTGCAATGGAGGTAGAGCGATGCCAGAAACAGCTTACGCTAGCGCAATACCAAGATTTCCTGAATGAAAATAAAAAACAACGGTGCTCATAACTTGCATTGTACGCTCTTTGTGCATTCTGGTAGAACTTATAAGATAAGGAACCCAACATGAGGGTAGAGCATATCAAGGGAAACGTGAAAAAGGAGAGATTATGTATTGCGTGCGTGCGTGCAAAAGAATGTTCTCTATGCGAGGTGTACAAGATTCGATGGTGGAAGCTGAGGATTAATGCGTTTTTGAGTGAGAACTCGATGGGGAAGTCGAAAAACAGCATAAACCTCAGCTTACCCTCTCTCATTCTGTCACGTATGGAAAAGGAGCGCCACCACCGCTGCCGTCCCCCTTCCCTCCTTTCCCGAGAGCATTCATCCCCTTCTCGTACTCCCCAGGGTCCGGCGTGTCTTCTCGTCCGCCAAGTTCACCCTCCTCCTAGAAAGTCAGTATTGGTACATGCGATATGAGAAACTTTCTCTTGGCCACTGACCTCGTCCGACAGTTCATCGTCGGTATCGATCTCCCTGCCCTTCTCCTTCCCCCCTTTGGCAGCCTCCCTCTTTTCCTCAGCCCTCTTATGCGCCCATTCCCTCTTTGCCTTCACGGCTTTGTCCTCAGCAAGCGTAAGGTCTATGGCCTTCAGCGGCTTCGACGTTGACGCTGAGGCTTTTGGCTTTGGCTTTGGCCACGACGACAACGACCACAACCTCGTCCACGCCTGTTGGATCCTCTTCAATTCCATCCGATGTTGACTTTTACGGTATTTGGTCCGCTCCGAAGCACTCAGCAGCTTCCGGAAGTACCGGACCATGCGAAACTATTTGTCAAGAAGAGAATCAATCAGTGTGGAACACAAGCCAAGCTGAAGATTAACGGCTTTTTGAACGTCCCCCTCCCCGGAGACGTCAAAAACGGCGTTATCTTCAGCTTGGGTAACTGGAATGCGTTGAATGACAAACAAGTACTCACCTCGTCCTTGTTCAGAGTCAGACGCTTTGCATGCCGTTGTTGCATGATGGAGTCTGAGAAGAGGGCGCTGATGTATGTTTCAGCGGTCTCCTGGAGGGCATCAACTGCCTCTTGGTACCAGCGATGCCTTTCAGAGAACGGCGTTGCCCCCGGGGTTGTCGCGATGCTCTGATTGTGAGCCCAGGACACTTCATAGTCGATCTCCTCTATCAACTTCCTGAAGGGCGACTTCAGGATCACCGACCCATATGTATGGGCATAGTGTTTGATCTCGGCCTCTGCCAACTCGCCCGACCGATATCCGCCCCTTCTTCGTTGCAGAGTCAGCGCCTTCGGGAACGTGGACTTTGGTGGATAACCAATCTGACGTACCATGCTGAAGGTTAGTGCCATTTTGAACCCTCTCCAGACCGGGGACGGCGAAAATCAAGGTTCTCTCAGCTTGTTCAAAACCCACCTTCCAAGTTCCTGTGACATTATCAATTCTAGATTGGGGAATTAATGCAGGGCAATTTGGGTGATTTTGAAGACGGCGTGGAGCATCCAAGGCCAGTTTCCTGGCAGAACCGGGCGGGGCAGGGGGTCGTGGGTTGACCATATTCTGATGTTAATTGAGAAAAGGAAAGAAGAGGCCAATGATCAGAATATATTCAAAAATGGTATGATATGGAACATATTATTCATCGGCTTCAGCATCCTTGGTCCTCTTCCGGCTATAGTATTCGGCCATTTGCTTCCGCCATTCCTTCATCTGCTCCGTATTTTCGAAGATGTCCTCAGCCTCATCGATAACTCAGACAAAGGGTTACGCATTCCCTCAACAACCGTGTCCTGGAAGGACAACCATGGCTGGGAGTAGTCGCCTGGGGACGGGGCGGTGGCTGCGGCGGTTGCGGTTGGGCCGATTGGCGGTGGCGGAAAGATGGGAGCATCCCATGTCTGATGGATGCTGTGTGCGACGGAGGCGCCTTTGCAGAGATGGCCAAGGGGGCATAGTGCAGTGTCGTCCCATGCTGGCAACATCCAATCCCTCAGCCTCGCTGCGTCCAATGGGTGGATCCTCAAGCAATCTGAAAGAAGAACACGGTTATTGTTATTGCCCTTCAACGCAGCAACAAAACAAAGACAAGCTGAGGTTTATGCGTCTTTTTGACACGCGCACGCCGGGGACGTCGAAAAACGCATTAATCCTCAGCTTGTCGAGAAGATACGTACCCCAGACCCAATCCTTCCTCAGCATCACCCCGTTGACCTGCTTCCCCTTGTGGTAGATGTGCGCCTCTGAATCCACTCAACAGAGGCCGAAGGCCGCCACCGAGCGGGCACGCCTCTGCAGCGTCCTGATGTGCCTCGATTGGTCGAGTGACCACCAGTAAAACTCGACCTGGTGGCCGTCGACCATGCGGGTAACGATCACTGGGTCGTAGAGGATCCAGAGGTAACGGAAGACAGCGATCGTCGTCTCCGTCTCCTCCTGCCCCATCTGACAGGTCGTACATGGCCATCCCCATATCCCCCTCCCCGTTGTCATTGCCCCGTCCCGTTGAGGTAGGCAGGGATATATAGATGTATTATGGGTAAAGAAGAAAAGAGAAAGCCGGCGCAGTCGCGCGCGAATATGTACAAGTAGAAAAATCCAACAACAAGTCATGTGATCGAGGGATATAAACTAGCTACTGGGTTAGGGTTACCGCGTTACCGCAGGGAGCTAGGGTTGCGGGAATATGACTCGGCTCCCCACCACACCACACCGTTGCCGAAGAAGAAGAAGCCATATTCACTTATGATGAGGGCAGGGTGTGTTGGTATACCTAAACTTTTGAACAAACGTCAGTCACGTCAGTCAAGCTGTCGAAACTCCGACAAGCTGAGAATAACGCCTTTTTTTGACGCTTTCCAGCCCTTTTGGTTCAAAAACACAATAATCCTCAGCTTACTTACAGTGCGTGGCGTTGCAAGGAGAGAAGAGAGACGGTGTGATGTGTGTGTGATGTGTTGAAGATGGCGTAAAAGTGCTGTGGAAAGCATAGGGAAAACGTGAGGGGGAGCGTCTGCAGGCTGTCTTATATATGACATCCTTTAATTGGGGGAGTGTGTGGAAGCTAATCATGAGGCTAATCTGTTGCCATAAAAAATGAAAAATCGATTCCCCTAATCAATTGTTAAGTGTTATCATCAAAATCGAATTCTCTGTTAAATTGCGCGCATTGACGCGTCCATTCATATGGGATCATATGTGGTGTACTATGGGAAGCGTGTACTGTGAAGGCCAGTAACGCAAGACCAGTAACGCTTATAGTAACGCAGTGTGACTCACACACATCGCGCTCACGCGCATTTCATTGTACCTACTATGTACAGTGTAGCAAATAACAAGCCAATGAATGAGAGTGATGATCACAGCGTCAGAATGAAAAGCTGTCGGGGATTGAACCGCGGACGTCGTGGTCCAAGTAAATCTACGCACGGCGGTGGGGTAGCAGAGCAAGGGAATGGCATATGCAAGCAATGTGCCTCGACAGGGAAGCGTTGTCAAGGGATCTGGCAACGACGCCCGGGATGCACGCTGATGAGACAGGACGCAGCAGGCTATCGATCACCTTGCGTCGCGGCGGTGCACAGTGTCGCAGTCCCGTGGGATGATTGACATGGGTGCAGCGCCGAAGGATTAGCGAGTTGGCGAATCGTATTTTCACGGTGACAGAAGTCTTGAGGAACGAGGGGTGCACCCTGTCATGGGCATTGCGGCGGTGCAGGTGCTTGGGCGGCCGCCTAACTATCCGAATCGCCGTAGAAAGCATACAGCTCCTGTCCAGTTCGCAATCGGTTGGCGACCCGCGCCTTGCGACATGATAGGTTAAAACGGCCGCGGACAAGCACCAGGTCCAGCGATCGAGAACCGCGCGAGGTCATCCTGCATCGGAATCATCGTCCGTCTCGTCACCCTCGCTTTCGTTAGCGATCTCCTCCGCAACACCGTTACACAGAATCAACAGCTCCCGATCATCAAGGCTCAACCATTCCGCATTCGCCATGACGGCTGGCACGGCGCCTTCGAAAGTTCGGAGGAACTGGTGCATTACGCCGGTATCTGCGGTATACAGCCAATACAGCAGAGTCGGGAAGGCGTCGGGACATGGCGGCCGTATTGAGATTGCGAAGGCTGACGAGTTTCCTGGGACTGGTGCGCCGGGTGCCATGCTGTTACTGGGTCCCTGTCGACCCTGCTGTGCTTCTTCGATGAGTTTGCGAAACGTTGGAGAGAGGTTGCTGAGGTACACTGAGTGCGCGGGTATGATGGTGACTGCAGACGGTATCGAGGCCGTGTTTGTAGGGAGCCGTGGGTCAGTCGGAGGCCTTTTCGATGAAGCGTCTCCGTTTGCAGATCCACCGACGGATGTGCTCTTTCCTGACCCAGCTCCTGCGTTCGATGCGCCGCCACCCGCCGGACTCCCGTCTGTTGCACTATCTGCTCCTGCCGGCGGGTGCACATATAGCCAACAATCGCTCGTGTCCGTATCACCCCAATACGTCCGCCCCATACTCCGCAGCTTCTCGGTGATATAAACCGCCGGCACGCCTTCCAAGCCAACCGGCGCTGCGGCTTGCAGTCCCGCCAGCTGCTGATAGAACTGCGATGGCTGCTGCCCCCTTAAAAGTTCTGGCGGGAGCGTCAGCAGCACCGGTTGCTGCTGTGGCTGCATCGCCCACTGTGGTTGGGTAGAGAGGCCATTTGAGATGTACCCTGGCTGGGCGTATCCGTTGTATGGCACCGACGGGTATGGAGGAGGCGGGAGCCAGATGGCTTGCTGTGGTTGTGGCTGTGGATACTGTCCGAGAACTGACATGCTGACTTGCCCGTGTCTATATGTGTAGTAGTCAATGTGGTCGACTTGTTCCTATCGTTCGCGTACTGTACTTCTTTGTTCAAGGATAGACTGCCGGCTCTCAAGCGGTGATTCCCCCAGGTGCTCCTCGGCCCCAGCCTGCTATTTTATATTCAAACGGCGCCTTCAGAACGCCGCCACATGCCTCCGCGGAGCCTTGGGGCTCGCGTCAAGCATGGAGACACTTTCTGGGCAAAAGGGTACGTAGGCCTTGGGGAAAGGAAAACGCCGTGTCGACTGACGTGTTCGCCCTCATTCACACAGGCCCACAATCAACAGCCTTCAAAGCGCCCTTCAACCGCCGTCCGTAAGCCTGGAAACTCGCCAAACTCAATAGAGGGCTACGGTCTATGAGCCACTAAGCCCATAATATCAATTCCGGTGGCTCTTTGTTTTGTTTGTGATGCACACGATCTCAAAGGGAGCGCCTTTGGCCCTTTGTTGTGTGAAGCCTTTCATACGCGTCTACGGAGGTAAGAAACGCGATATATTCGGTAGCACTATACAACAATATACAGCAGGGAGGTGGGTGGGTTAAAGACGTACTATGATCCTCGGTCGTCGTGGGAAAAAAGGAAGGAACGCAAGAAGGGGAAAGAAGTAGGGGTTCGTAGTAGCCTTGCATTTAACCACACCCTTTCTTGCTGGACCTCCGAGCTCGTCTGCCGTCAATTCGAAGTGTTCCCTCGAAAGTCGGGTGGAAAAAAATTTTGACCCCCCAAGGACAGATCAAGTAGTATTCAACAAAACTTTACATATGGACGCCATTAACCACACAAAATGCACCGCAACAGTACTCTCCCAAAATCGTGCACCTCGAGCAACATCCCAAGCAACCCAATGATCCCTTCCCTTCACCTTCCCACTCATTCGCAGAGGAAGAACGATCAAATTTTCAACCTCGTTCCCAGACTCCGCCCCCGCTTCCTCGTTCCCTCCCTGGGTCTAACCTCCTCATCCGAATTATCCTCCTCATCCTCATTCTCATCATCCGCAAACCCCGTCAACCCTCTCGCAACCTCCAAAATCGCGTCAAAATCACCCACGAACGCCTGAGTGCCCAACACAGAATCGATACCCGCCGCCTCGTTGGCCGCTTCTTCGAGCTCCAGGGTCCATCCGCAATCGGGCACGTCTGCGAGTGGTCGGAGGAAGGAGAAGAACGGGTGGTCGGACCTGTTATGTCCGCGGCGGAGGCGGCGGGCGGGAGGTTTCTTGGGAGGGGCGCCTGCGGTGGGCGTTGGAGAGTCGTTTTCGGTGGAGTCTTCGTTGGCGAAGATCGTTTCTCCGAATAAAATGTATTTCGGGGGTACGGGGGATGTGAGACTCTCGGAGACGGCTTTGGCCACTAAGGCTTCGTGGTCTTCTTTGATTCGGCAGATGATGGCGTAGAGCGGTGATAAGATCCTTTTCGACGCACGAACCATCATGTTGACGTGGATCAACCCGTTGCTCACTTCCCAATCAATGTTGCACGCTCCCAGAGTGCGCGGGAGATTTTTCCACGTTTTCGTCGCCGGATTCTCGACAGCCTTTCGCCAAACAAGTCGTGGATCCTCTCCCGCGTTTCCGGCCCGATCCCCTTTCTTCTCCTCATCGGTCCAGATCATGCCGAGGTACGAACGGGTCAGACAGGGATCTCCTCGATGAAGAGTTGTAAAAGGCGCTCGGCTCTTGAAGCCCTCGCCTTTCAGCTCCTGCTGAGCATGCACGATGAACTTCTGGCTCGCCGCGTGCAGCAAGTCCCAACTCTCGAGCGCCTTATTGTACTCCATAAATTTCGGCCTCCCCAGCGACGCAAACGTAAACCAAGTGATGAATATCTCGAGACTCTTCCAAATCGCCGCGATCGGTACGGGTTCTGCTTCCAGGAGCTCCGCGTGACCCACAGGGCATGGGAACTGAGGATGGGGCATGACCCAGACCCCTGAAGACATTGCCGTCCCGGAGTATCTGGTGTGCGGAAGTGTGCAGGTGGCGCGATTGCCCGCAAAGAGTTGGGCTGGCCTCCACTTTCCGGTTAGGTATGCGCCTCCGCCACCGCAATTTGAGCAGCGCATGTATTTGTGTCGGCAACCTGCACAGAGGAGCTCCACACCCCATTCTGGTAATCGAGATTGTGGCGGATCACTTTGTTTTTCGCTTGTTGATTCAGTGGGTTCTGCAGACGCGATCGGCACCGTGAACGCGCCAGCAGCGACTAACTTCTTGCATACAACGCATGCAACAGGTATACTACTGGGTTCAAAGTTCGTTTTCCGCTTTCTTTGCAACTGTCCCTTCCGCAAGCGCTTGTTGGTCCACACAAGCTTCTCTGCGCATGGTGCACAAGCATAGTCCGCTTTGGCCTGCTCAAAGTTCGCAAGCTGGTCCTCCGTCCCATGTATCAGGCAATCTCCGATCACTTCGGAGCAGTTCCTGCAGTTGATCGAGGCTTTGACGTGCCGCTTCACTCGACGTGCCGTCCCCGGGTAGCCTGTCCGTCCTCGCGGGATGGCGACGGGATAGGCAGGTTTGCGTGATATTGGTTCGATCGGGCTGAAGGTAACGTGTTTGACGGCGTTGGTGATTGAGATTAGTGTTTGAGGCGTTTGTGATGTTTCGGTCAAGGGAGAGGATGTGAGAGCCGGTTCTTGCATGGTAATGTGTGACACTGGCAGAGGTCCGGCATGAGACACTGGTAGGTGCTCTTCGACATGAGACGCTGGCAGTTGCTCGCCGACGCCCACCGGCAACTGAACTTCGGAATGTGATGCCAGCGGTTCCTCGTCAGGTAAGGCGAGATAGTGATCTGGGTTGTGATCAAGTAGATCGGCACCTACGGCTTCTTGAAAGGTCTGATGGGACGGCCAGTCGGCGCTATCCAGGAGCCTCCGCATTGGCGAAGATGGACTGTATAAGCCAAAATCGTCCTGTGTCGCCGTATGGTCTCCTGTCCACTGGTCGCTCCCATGGTGTGCGGGTCTCGAAGAAGCTACGCCTTCCGAGCGATCGACTCCGTTAGCAGGGGCCTCTGAGAGTCCGTGGTTGAGATGTCCGTAATGAGCATCCAAAAGAGTATGGGAACCCGCATTGATATTCACAGCGGTAGATCCGAAAGCAGATTGCATAGCGGCCTCATGCCTCTGCCCCAACAGGCTATGCTGTGCGTCTGAAAACTGACTCGACAAGAACGAATGCGTTGGTGGTGGTAGTCGCGGGGATTGTTCCTGTTGCTTCTTCAATAACAATATTTGCAGTTCGAGCTCTTTCAGGCGAACATCCTCCTTCTTCGCCAACAATTCAAGCTCTTTCGCCTTCGTTTGTTCTTGCAGGAGGGCTAGAAGACTTGCCTCTCGCCCGGCATGCGAAGGACCCGCTGAGCTTCGTGGGTTGAACTCATTGTCTGTGGAGACAGGGTGGAAGGCTCCTTGGTTCGAAAGCACTGCTTGGTTTGGCGCCGTGGACAGCGACTCGAGCATAAGCCGTAGCCATTCCGTTCCTTCTGTGTTTTCCATTGCTATTCTCTATAAACCCATAAGAGATCAACAAAACTGCGTGAAAACCATGCGCATCTGCGTCTGCGCTGTTCCAACGTAGGTGTGTGGTATATATGAGAGTGTGAGTCGTCCGCCTACGATTTGGCAGCCTGCGTTTTGGGTCGTTTGTTCAGGGTAATTCGATGGGAATCTCCCACGCCGTGGAAGTGTTTCGCGAAAGCCCTGCGAACTCGTGCGCATGGGCCGTTTGATGGGGCACAGCACTTGCGGTCAGTTCCTAACGAGCCGTAACGTGGCGCCCACCCAAAAACTGGCCGCGTTGGCCCACGGACATGTTCAACTTCCCTCGCATTGGCCACGGAGTCCTCCTGGCAACGGGACTGGCACAGGTACAGCGTACTGCGTAGGTTAGAGGACCTATGAGGTGCGAAAGAGTCGGAAGTCATGCCTTTGAGGAATAGGTACCTCATTATTTTGACAGAGTTACGGAATGCGGCAACCTTTGCGGCAACCTTTCCGACGACGGACGATAATGGGCTGCCCTTACAGGCGAACCTCTGGACACTCGGGAGTAATGAAAGATGGACACGATGGACACGACTTTATTGACGAATGTCAGAAGTAGAGTGATATTATCGAGAGTTCAGCAAGGAAAGCGTTTTTATGTACATAGTACGACGGGTTTGTAGGGGGTATCATCACGTAGGGATATTATTTCCAAAAAATAAAAAAGGGGAGGGGGAAGGATATGTTCGGACAATGAGTTCAAAACAGCAGCATGTTCTTCAGACTCATGCAGTCCCTTGCGGTATTTGTTGTTGACGACGAGGCTGGAGAATACCGAGAGGGTGTAGTCAAGGAGCAACCTGGGGACAGTTCATAGTAGCGACGGTCACCGCCTTCGTATGGGTGAGGTGCTTGTGGTGGTGACTGGTGATGGTCGGACACGGACGCTTGGTCTGATGGTACGTGCTCTTGTTCAGGCACCCATCGAGAGGAGTTTTGCTCGGTCTTCGTTGCTCGAGAAGAGCGAGAATCCGAATCGTTCTCGTGCTCTTGCTCATCGATTATCTCAAGACTGAGGGTCCGTCGCTTTTGGTTGGAACCCGAGTCCTGCTGACTCTTTTGTTCCTGTTGCAATTGTTGCTTTTCGCGTTTGGCTGATTGACCAGGAAGTTGCGATTCAAGATAGCTGATGTAGTCGATCGCTCCTTGCAGGATGGTCAGCTTGTGTGCTGGCTCTTGCCCCGCCGGGCAAGAGGGAAGTAGCGCCCGCAGATGAACGAGTTTGTCGTTGATACGTTCCCGTCGACGCCTTTCGACGGCGGAGTGCGACAACCTTCGGCGGTGATCGCGGCGGAGCTTCTCAGCGGCAAGCGATTCTTCGCGAGCACACATGGCCATCGTTGCGGCGGTTATTGCCGGATCTTCGTTTGGGGATGGTCGTGCGTAGGGAATGTGCATGTGCGGGCGTTGTTGACGCTGCGGCTGGCGAGGGACGTTGGGGCCTGGATATATTGGCGCCGGTGGTGCGTAGTATTCTTGCTTGATTGGACGCATTGCGTAGTGGGCTATTGGAGACTTCATGGTTGCGACGATTGTTGCGACGATGGATGCGAGATGTGTTACGAGTCTTCGGTAAGAATTGCAATATATCTGTGCACTCCGGTAATGGCTCAAGCAAAGGTGTGTATGCAGGCAATGCTGTTCTGGCAAGACGGGACCTGGACGCAAGACCGTTTCCTTTATATACTGGCCACCCCAGGGATCCCATCCTTTTTCTGGGCTGTCAAATGTCCCTATCACGTCTGATCTTTTCGGAGGGAGCATACGTAGTAATCTGCCCCCCGACGTGATGATGCAAGCTCGTGAGTCGTGTGTGCGTATTCTCCGGGGCGTATAAAAAAAAAACGTTCGGATCTGAGAGTGTCTTGCCCAACAGTCGGACCTTGACCCCCTTTGCTATCGGCCTTTGAAGAGGTGTGTGAGATCTAGTCAGTAGGCGGATTGTGCCATCATCGTTGGTTATCGCGACGCGCCCCGTCCGAAAGCGCGGCTCCAACCAGATCTAAAAGCACGCGATAGTCACGCTATGGCCCGGAGTTCAAGGTTTTGTTCTACCGCCGTGCACGCACCCACAGGGCAAACGCATCCGGCTTCACATGCCAGCAGATCTGACATGAGGAGCCAGGGGTCTGTCTGCCTTAGGAGGTTGTTGCCCACGTGGTCCAGTTACAAGCGGAATGGTCAGTCACCGATTTATGAAAACGATCGATGCTTGGACCCTTGGATTCGCGGAGGTTGGCTCCCTTTGTTTCCGAGTCCTAATCTGCACGTGCTGCGGACCAAATGCCCCTCGTTCGTCCCTGCTTGCGTGCGTTTTGCTTGTTGACCTGCACGCAAATGCCACTTCTGGAACGTGATGCTGAATTTGAAGATAAAACTATCCTGGCGCAAACACCCCTTGTGCAAGACCCCGCGCAAGATTAAAAGCGCGTTCAAGAGGCCGAATACCGTTCGACCGTGAACAGATCTTGGAACAGTCCTGGCGACTCAGCGAGAGACACAAGCGCATGATATGGTGCTACGCTCGAACCTTCGAGTCTCGGGCTCCGGCCACCAAAACGTGGCCGAAGCTGGCATGGAACTGGATCTGGATGGGGATGTGGAGGGAGCGCGTCAGACCAACGGCAACAGCAACGTACCATTTGGCAGGCGGCATGTGTCGGAGATGCTGGTTACCATGGCTATTGGCGGTTGTGTGTCTCCCATTACAACTCCAGTCTGGGTGGTGGCTGCGAGCACTCCAAGCATTCAAGTCGATGCATCTGGACTTTGGACTGCGATGTGTCTAGACTCTACAGTATGAGATCTACGTACATACATGCATGCGCACATCAGAGTCCCGAGCAACTCCTATGTATATAAGCCCCACACCTTCTGGCTGTCCCCCTGTCAGCGCAGGCGTCTTCACATGAAGATACACCGCGCCGAAATAGCTCAGACATCTTTGTTCTTCCAACTGTACATCGCCGTGTCGCGTTCTGAATATTCAGTTTCGAAAGTTTGAAGTCGAATGTTGCTCAGCTGCTCCATCGCAAGGGAACGGCGACCCAGATTCATACGTAAGCTCCGGCGATAATCCTCTCGACGTAGACGTGTGCGAGTGCGAGGTCAGGCCATGCCAATGGATAGCGCCTCCCGCAAATCTTGCCCTTTTCACCGCAGATATTAGATACCGGCATACGGCTGCTAGGGTACTGTATTGTGTATTTCGCGCGGGAAACGATGTATCAAGAGATATGGCGAGCGCCGAGCGGCACGAGGCAGGGCGGGCAGCGATGAACTGCTCCTTGGCATGTGGTTGTGGGATAGGCAGACAATTTCGTGAAAACTCCCTGATGAACTGAACTCCATCGAGTGAAAGCGAGGGATGTCGGCTAGGCTCGCTAGGCTCCAACGGCAACTTATGTTTGGCAAGTGCTTTGCGATCTCAGCAAGCACGGCGATTAATCTCGTCTTGACCGTTCTTGTTCGCGTCGCCGTTCTCCCATCCTTATCTCCTTGTTCACGTACAGCATTCGACTTTCTCGTTGGAATCGGGTTCAGAGGAAAAGGCACGAGTAAGGGAGGGGCCTAGGTTTATGCAGTGGATTCTGCGGGGCGGGCAAGGGAGCGAGAGTAGTGGTTGTCCGGCATTCTGATAAGCTGCGTCTAGCTGCGTGTTGAAGGGATAGAGTGTGCGATGTGCGGCGGATGGGAAGTAGGATTGGAGAGATTGCGAAGGGGCGGGAGCAAGGCATACGAACCCGTAAATAAGAATTCTTCAATTCCGACTCAATCTGTCCATCTCCTCATGGAGGTCGGAGGCGGGTTGCCTTTGCGTCCAAGAAAGGTCCACTGAATATGACACATTCATCTTCCGCTCCGTCACACGGCCTACTAGTACAGTACAAGTTTTTCCCATCCTACCCATGCCCTCTACGATATCGCGAGGATCACTCACTCCAAGTGAGTACCTCGGAATCACGCTTGGGTGTATAGAGAGGCACGGGTATCGTTTTTGAGCCCATCCGCATCTACTCAATCCACAAGGTTTGGTGATTGGATCGTGAGAGTTTCAGAGGGGAGGCCACTTCGCGAGACTTTCTTCGGGTAGGCTTTTGTCGACATTGAGAGAAGCTGCTGAAAAACGAATGAGACAGATCGAAAGAGCAGCTTTTGGAGCACATTACTGTATGTCCTATGGCTGTTAGGGTCTACCGTCTACTGTCCTTTTCCGCTGAGATTGTGGTGTTCTAACCAGCAGGGTGCTGGATTAAGGAGTTCGACACGGCCTAGCCAATCTTGACGCCACATCTGGGTGCAGATGTGCTTCAATCAGTAGCTCACTCCTTTCCGTATATATGCTTCGGGCGGTGCACAATATTTGTCTGTCCCTTCAAACTTCACCTCCTCTAACTTCTACATATTGCGTATGTCATCTCAGCGTGCGGAGTAAACGCGATCGAAATGACACTTTTCGCGGAGGCAAGGCGCAGCAGAATGACAGTTCCCGATCCGATTTCGACAACACCACGAGGGCTGATGTCATACCTGGTTTTTTGCCGCCGGACAGATAATTCGATCCCTTCCGTGCAGAATGAAAAGGGCTCTCTGGAGTCTCGAAAGTCAGATCGCTTGCGACGCCGGACCTCCGAGATACGTAGGACGTACGTGGCCCTCCGTGGTTTTCAACGGTGGATCAGCCGCATGTCGCATACCCCGCACACTCCATGATTTATGGTCGCCTGTCGAACTGCCTGTCGATCCGATCGAGCCCGATGAAAACATGCATTCCCCATCTTCCTGCTCCTTTTTGCGGAAGTCCGACTGCGATGGAGCCAACCTGGAAAGTGGAGATGTGTATGTAATGTTGGTGATGGGAAGCACGTACCGTATATAAGCAAGGTGGCAGCCAGAGCCATGTCCGCGATAGCTTGACGTCCAGATCCACACCCATATACCGCATCCACAGCGCAGCATTTTGAGAAGAGGACCGCAACAATGCACGAGATGATTGCCGTGCAACACGACGAGGAGCACGCTCCCGACAGACCCCAACGGCAAGAAAGCCTCATCTCCAACAGTAGCGTGACCATCGACATCCCATCGGTAGAGCAGCCCAAGACAGGAGATGAACGCCCTCCATCCGGTCGGACCGTTTCGGAGGACAGGGACGCTGAAGATGATAGCCACCTGAAAGGAGGGATGGAAATCTATTGGGAAGATATCCGATATGGCGTGTCTGTTGGAAGCGGAAAGACGAAAGGGACGAAGGAAATTCTAAAGGGGGATACGGGCCGCGCGAAGCCTGGAGAGGTTCGTAAACTAGAAAGTGAAGGTCATCACAAATCTCCGTGGCTCAACTCTTGCCCCGCATCCAGCTCATTGCAATCATGGGCGGATCTGGAGGGGGCAAAACAACTTTGCTCAACATGCTGGCAGGCCGTGTCCCTGTCGGTAAACCGACGGGCATCATCTTGGCGAATGGAAAGATCCGCGAGAAACGCAAATGGAAGCGGACGGTCGGTTACGTTGAGCAAGAGGATCTGATGTACGAGAACCTGGTACGTCAACGGCTTGCCATGCTCGATCAATGTTGCCGACACTTGCTGACGATAGGTATGGATGCGTAGACGGTGCGAGAGACATTAATGGTCGCCGCGATGCTCCGACTGTCGTCCCGAAAATACAAAAAGGAGGAGAAAATCCAACGCGTGGAGAAGATCATGGAAGATTTGGGCATTTCGCATATCGCGGACTCCCGGATTGGGAACTCAACTAGGGGAGGGATCTCGGGTGGGGAGAAGAAGCGTGTATCCATCGGGATCGAGCTCGTGACAGATCCGGCCGTTCTTTTCTGCGGTGAGGAACAGCATTCCGGTGTTCGGCTCAATGAAGTGAGATAAATGGCTAAGACTGTTTTCCCACTAGACGAGCCGACAACGGGTCTGGACGCGGCAACGGCGAACCACATCTGCGATATGCTCAAACGCCTGGCCAGGAAGACTGCCAAGACCATCAGTATGTGTCGCCATCCTTCTGTGCTCAGCGTTCGCCGACCTCTGTACGCGCTCTTGACTGACTTGAACCATAGTTATCACGATCCACATGCCTCGCGAGACGATTTTGGACATGATCGACAAGGTCGCGCTGATGTCTAAAGGACGGATGGTGTGGTTTGGACCCGCATCAGATGCCTTGGAGCACTTCGAGTCGCTCGGCCATAAATGCCCAGAAAGGACGAACCCTGCTGATTGTGAGTAACCTGCGTGATTCACCGGGAACGCAGTCAGCGCTGACGAGTGTTCCCTCAGTCTTCCTCGACCTCATCCAAGTCGATCAGCGCGACGAGGAGTCGAAAAAGACGGTTGAGAAGCTGGTTGAGGAGTGGAAGAAAGTGGAGAAGAAACACATCCCCCCCATCAAGGACAATGAGCGGGACAAGGCTGAAGATCAGCAGAACGCTCAAAAGAGCAAACAAGGGCGCCAAGAGTTGTCCAAGAAATGGGACGATGGAGAAGATCAATTCGGAGCGAGTTGGTTCACTGAATTTACGGTGCTTCTGGAACGGAATTTCAAGGTAGGAAAGCAATTTCCCTCTTTGCAATCAAAAGAACAAGAACTGAGATCATGTATTCTTGCCAGCAAATCCTGCGAGACAAGACGATTCTCGTTTCCAGCCTGGCGCAACAAATCCTCATCTTGCTGATGATCGGATTGGTCTTCCTGCGGTTGAAGAAAGACCAAGCCGGGGTCCAGAATCGCATCGGTGTTTTGTTCTTCATCTGTATCAATCAAGTGAGTTCCGTCCGCAACCCTGGGTTGATACAATCCGTGAAATGATAACTAAGGCCGGTTGTATCAGACATTCTCCTTCTTGATGCCCATCATCACGTAAGTGCCGTTGATTCTCTCAAGGGTTGATGTGTTCGACTCCCAGTATTGCTCATCTGACCTGAACTTGCACCTGTTGCGTGCTATAGTGTTTGGCCGCTTGAGCGACGCATCATTCTTCGCGAGCGAGCGAGTGGAACGTACAGGACTACCTCTGTGTATCTCGCCAAGGCCGTCTCCCAAATGCCCACCGCGTTCGTGTTTTCGCTGGTCTTTGCAATCCCTGTGTATTGGATCGTGGGGCTGCATGCAAATGGAATCCGATATGTTCTTTTCCTGGTCATCACTGGTTAGTTTCATTGATAATATTGAATGCTCAGCCTATTCGACTAAACGTTTATTATACACCAGAGTGCCTCGTGTTCGCTGCCCAATCGCTTGGAATGCTCATCGGATCATCTGTACCCAACGTGCAAATGGCCCAAATCTTTGGACCGTTGGTCGTGGTCACGTTCGTGGTTTTCGGAGGAAACTTCGCAAATCAGGACTCTATCACGCCCGTCTTGCGCTGGATCCAATGGTTAGAAGGCTACGCAGAGGGAGTCTCTTCTCGGACATGCACTAACCGCGGTCGTCCTTAGGATATCTCCCATTCGTTATGCATATGGAGCCTTCATGCAAAACGAGTTCAACGGACTCCAGTTCGAGTGCGGAAGCTCTTCAGGTGGAGCAGGAGGGGGCCGCTCATGCTCCCCGGAAGGGGAGAGTGCCGTCAGTGGCATAGGATTGGTAAGTGAACAGTGTTCTCGCTGATTTACTCGGAATCTCGCTAATGCCATCGCATGATAACAGGACAAACCAGGAGTTGGCATTTGCATTTTGCTTGTGATTTGCCTTGGGGTTGTCTTCCAACTCGCCGCATCACTTATGCTGCGTCGCACCACGGCTCTCAGGACCATCATCATTTAAGTTTACACATATGCACCATAGCATGCTCAATTTTGTTTCAGGACCTTTTTTTGTGACAATTTTTGTGACAATTTGTAAGCCATGTAGCTATTCTACAGCGATCTGTACGGTGTAGGGGAATAGAAAGTACTAAGCCATCCCAGACTCTCGATCTACGTTGCCCTTCTTCCCAATCGGATAGAGATCCGGCATGGCTTCCAAAGAAGCACCCGTTTGTGTGCCCGCCGTTGCTTGATTTTCAGGATCGGTCATTTGCTTCTTGAGCCAGTCGGAGATAGACTGTTTCACGCCCGTGTAGAACGTGTCCCAGTATGCGTCGCGATAGAGTAAAATCAACTGAATGCATCGCATCGTTGCCCAAATGATGCCTAGCGCAAACAGTCCAGAGCGAGGGCTGATGCGATCTGCTCTGGCCTCCTCAGCGATGACATCTCCCACCGTCGCTTGACAAACACCCTCCTTGCGCAGGATGCATTCGCCTGTATCGGCCGCATTGGTGCGCACCAGAGCTGAGAGAGCCCAGTATGTTGGGTTGAGGTACTGCGCCCACGCGATACCATCATAGATGGCCGCGTCCCCCTTCTTGATCCAAATGCCACTGACGATGGCCAAAACTGCCTGACTGAAGAAGGCGACGCTTCGCGCTTCCGGCCTTGCGAGCCGGGTGCAATACACGAGGGTGAAGAGCGTGGTTGTGCAGTTGTAATAGACGACGAATAGGATCATGGCCGTGCCGATGCGAATGGGGTCAGGGTTGCAGCCGAGAATGAAGTAGGCGGAGATGACGGCGATGAAGCCTTCCATTGTCGCATTGGCGGTCTCGTACACGAGGCGGTGGACGAAGAATGTTATTGCGGCAACGGTACCATTTTGCGAATCGAAGTTGTATATGTCGCGATCATCGTAGTAATCGAACGAGATGTGGATGTTCTTCAGGGCGGGCAAACCGATGCATGCTAAGAAAGAAACAGCACATGAGTGCATGCTTCAATCGAGAGATTCCAGGGGGACCACACACACATACCCAATGCCAATCCCTTCGTTTGAAGGACCAATGAGAGCACATCTGTGCCAGGACGGCGTTGCAAAAGCGACAGAATCAGCACTCCACAGGCGGAAACAATCATCATATTGAATTTCCGAAGAATCGGCCGTGTCGCCCACCATCTGCCCGTGACGATGAGAACCTGGAGTGCTACAGACGGCCGGGGAGGTGCCACCTTCTTGATGGCTTTCGCGTCCTTGTTATAACTGAGGAGATCAAGAGACTGCGACGTACTTGTGGACGGTTCGATCACACTCCGTTCTCCATCCGCACTGGGTGAGTTAGCGTCCATCGCGAAAGATCGCATGGTAGTGCCTATCTCTAGGCGGTCCTGCCAATCTGGCTTCAAAATGAAAACTCCGTTGGCCCCGGACGTCGCACGGAGCAAGGGCTCCGAGGCTCGTCGAGTGGCGCCTTGCAGGGGAACAAACACCCTGCCGCCCTCCACAACCGTCCATTTCTTTGCAACCTCCAGCGTTTCATTGAAGATATCGGTGTTCCGTGTGGTCGAAACACGGCCATTTGCCGGCTGCGGCGATCGGGATGTCATATCCTCCACTGATCCGACATCGATGGCCGTTGGTTGCACTGGCGGTCTCCCTTCCGACACCTTGGCGGCAGTATTTGCTTCTTCCTCATCAATCACGTCAAGAGGAAACCATTGCCGTGCAGCCCAAGCGGAATCAATCGGTTTGATTGTACTCGCGACGTCCAACACCAGATCGGCAGGATTGGCGCGGTCAGCGCCCTCGCCATCTTCTCTTGAGACAATGTCGCTCCCCACAACGGAAGTTCCTTGGCGATGAACGGCGGCGTCTTCGATGACATTGTCGGTTCCAGCTTCCCGAGCCTCGAGCCGTGTGCGCAACTTCTTGAAATGCTCCACCGACTCATCTGGTGGCCCGGAAAAGAGCAGCCGACCATGCACCAAAACAGTCACTTGATCGAAAAGCGCAAACATCTCCGGTCGCGGCTGATGAATAGAGCAGATGACAGTGTAACCTTGAGAACCCAATTCGCTCATGGCCTTGGCAACATCAAGGGAGGATTTGGCGTCTGCCGAAAACAAGTCAAAGCGCTGGCCAGTCGGCTTATGCAGAACGTCTGCTCTTACCTAGGCCCGACGTAGGCTCATCGAGGAAGATCACGCTAGGTCTTTTCAGCATGGCCACTGCGATGGATAACCTCCTCATTTGACCACCAGATATTCCACCTTTGTTTGCCTCCGGCCGTTGAATTACAACATCTGCGCATGGAAGCAGATTCAGCAATCGCAGCAGGCGATGAACTCGGCGAACTTTTTCGATATTGGGGATCGTTGGAGGGAGCTGTCACGTTAAACTCGATCAGCGCTACAACGCATATGGCTGACATTCGCAGGTTTGCTCTACCTCAAGCATTGCGTTGAACATCATGACTTCGCGCACGGTCAACCCATAGTATGGCGCATCGTGTTGCGCAACAAAGCCGGTCATTGCGCGGAACTTCTGGGCAGTAATATGTGACAAAGGTCTACGGCGATACAGAATGCGCTCTTCAACACCTGCGCCTGCCTTGAGCCTTCGTGTCAACTGCAATCGACCCACATCAGCACATTGTCAATGGAAGGAGATACACAGGGTACACATCACTTACGAGACTCAATAGGGTAGTCTTGCCAGCCCCACTCGGTCCCATGATCGCAGTTACGGATCCAGGTCTACAGGCGATAGTCACATCATCTAACAATCTTTTCCCATGGACAGAGTCCCCTGCTCTGTAAGTCACACTACGACATTCCACTAATACAGGATCTGGTCGCTCTTCCTCATATATACTCTGCTTCCTCTTGGAAACAGCACTAGCCAGCTTGCTCACCAATCCCACTTGAGTCTCGTCCGCGGCCCCAGATTTCATGAGCATACTCTGATTCTTCTTCAGAGTTTTCACCGCGCTGGACATTTCCGCTTCATCGAACTCGACCGCACGGTGGATCCGCTGCAAGCGTTGCCGAAGTAGTAAGCTTCCAACTATCAAGCATGCTTCAATGATCACAATGGTGACCAGTAAAGCCATGGTTACGACGACCACCGTTTTGGTGAGGCCGGCGGAGTCTCGCTTCCGCGCGGCTACAGTCGCGGCATCGTCAACGGGCGCATACTGATATCCCACGTTATCCCATTTACGACATCGTGTCAATGATGGGTGTCTTGATTCCATTACTGGTTGATACACTGCCTCACTGGCTTTTGGTGCGGGGAACCGGAGAATCGGAAGCATGGCAGCATTGGCGCCCACAGATGTCCAGGCGGGCATGTTTGTAGATGGTGCGAGTGGGTCTCGACCGCCCATGAAATCCGACAAGTAAGACCGGAAGGATGAAGTGACACTCTGGGACAATGCTGGTAAAATATCTTGTTAGCTAGAACAAGCCGGGAATGTGTTCTACCACATCAACCCTTACAATCACCCGGTGTCCTGAAGAGATAGCTTAAGTCCGTTGTGTGACAAGCATTTCCATCGCAAATGTTTCCAATCGCTTCGTCACTTCCCCCAAGCCATGGTGCTTCCAAAATGTACGCCCACACGCGAGCGGTAGACGACGTCGCTTGTAACACTTTCCGCTGTGGGCAAAGGAATATCCAGTCGGACGTCATCTGCGTGAGGACCGGCTTCCGCGACGCTAGGTACCCCGGGCTGTCAGCATCGTAGACATTGCGGAGGACCTCGTCATGCGGGGTGTATATTGCTTCCCTTTATGAAGAACATCACGATTTAGTCAGGATTATATGACCTTGAGTCCGAGATATGCGCACGTACATGATCACATTGAAAAGCGGGGTGCTAAGATTCCCTGGATTCGCTTTGTCAATCATCAGCCAAGTTTCATTCGAGACACCTCCAATCTGAGCGCCATCAAGGATTGGAATTGACTTAGCATCGATGAAAATCATCTCATCACAAAGGTTCTGACACTATCGGCTTACCACTATCCGGAGGCCGCCAAGCAGATCATCTCGACCGAGAACATCATACGGGTTCATCGTGATATCGACCCCGTCCACGATGGGTGTCATGTCTCCTAAAGAAACGCCTGACAACGTCCTGTAGTCCGAGTCTGAGGCATCCGCATTTGCAGTCAATATGTCTCGCATGGAGTGAAGATTCAGACAAGATCTTGAAGAGCAACCGAGCTTCTTAGCAACGGCAGCTGCTTGTGCGCGACCCCGTTGGGAGGTGCGAAGGCTTAGAGCAGGGGGAGACATGAGAATTATGTTCTTGATAGTCGAGCGAACTGACGGCTGCAGTAGTTGCAGTAAAATAGATTGCGCCCCTGCTGACTGTCCTAGCAACGTAACGTCTGCGGCATTGCCGCCGAAGGAGGCAATGTTGGTTTGCACCCATGTCAAAGCCGCCCGTTGGTCCAGAATCCCAAAATTCACTGCTGAGGGGGCAGTATCGCTGGGATCAACACCGGCGAAATCAAAGAAGCCAAAAACCGACAGGCGGTAGTTAAATGTCACCACTACAACCCCCAGCGCAGCGGCCAATTCCGCACCGTCATAAGCAGTCATCCCAGCACCACCGATGTCGAAAGAGCCCCCATGAAAGAAAACGAGAACCGGAGTTTGTGGATTGCTAAGCGGTGTCGACGTGGTCTGGATTTTTGATGAGTCGGCTGCAGGCGTCCACACATTTAAGAACAAGCAGTCTTCGCCAATACTGTCCGGACACAGAACATCCTGGCATATCTGCGGACAGCTTTGCTTGAACTCGAATGCTTCGAGAGGAGATATCCATGGGGTCACCACTGAGGGTGCCTCCCATCTCCCAGCTTCTGCAAATGGGATTCCAAGGAAGGCGAAATTTCCCTTTGTGCTAGTTCGTCCGGTCACAGGACCTGTAGGCGCCAAGACGGTGACGGCGTGAGTATGGACGCTGAAGACAGCGCTGGAGATCAGCAGAATATAAAGTTTGGATAGCATCCTGGCGCTGTAACGTCTACAGATGGATGTTCCAGTGATTGGGATGTCGTAGGCGTTTGCGCATCATCTCTTATATACGACATTCGCCTCGAGTTGCCCGTTGACGCAAGCATATGACCATCGTGCGACGCTCTCATTATAACGAACGTGCGTTTGAAGGGTTAGTTGTGCAATTTATATTTGCGTTACTTGCGTTGTTTGCGTTGACGGACCACCTCGAAAGTCGAATACATCTGTGAGTGATTGACGGAGAAACCTGGGCAAAAGAGGATAATATCAATTTGGCGGAGACTGAAGGCTTTGACTGACGAGAAAATTCGACAGCGCGTTCTCCGAGCCGTCATTCCGAGCCCCTCTTTGGACTGCTCACGAAGAACGAGTGAATCCTTAAAATGCTTATATTCAGAACACAAGGCTACTATGTACATAAGCTACATGCGCTAAAGAGGAGGAATAAGACACAGGAGCTTTAAACCGTACACGTACACATAAACGGTACCATGGCAAGTGCTTTGCCTAATTTCATAGGAACGGCCTAGCAAAGCCCAAAATTGAGCCAGATGGCGGAGGCGACTCGGTCTCGCCCATTGTGGCTCATACAACATACGACAACCAAACCTATTTCTTTAAAACGTTACGCCAGTAATTACGAAGCTGCACTGCCGTCCGGCCTTGAGAAGCGTTGAATTCTTGCTCGATGGTACTCCAGTTCCCAGTTTCCCCATATTTGTGCACAAGCTCTCGTAGAAGGGTTTTGGTATTGTCAGTCCAACCAAACTTCTTAGCCTGATGATATGAAGCTTGGAATTCAGAAGTCCGAAACCGAAGCAGTCAGCGGGTTGAAAAGTACCTTTTCCTTGTCTCCATCTTTGTCGCTTGTATTGCCTTCCATTTTGGGGAGTGGCTTGCCTTTCTTTTTGCCAGCAGTCATCTATGGAGAACAGAGTATCGACCGGTAAATTGATACAACATCGTTATATATAGGAGGAAGATCCAGCTGCGTGCCATACCTCCTTAGCATTATCAGGATCTGCGCGACGTTTCTTTGAGGGACTACTGGTCAGTTGTAGTTTATGCTGTTCCAGCTCTCCATCGGATTCAAGTTTGACCTTGGCCATGGGAAGGGTCAAAATAGTTCTTATCAATTCACTCGATTGGTGGGGTCTGCTAGGTAGGTAGTGAAGCTTGTGAGAGAGAGTTCCGAAGGCAGACGGGAAGGTTCTGCCAGTTCCCGCTTGAAACAGTTGCGTGTCCTGGAAAAAGTGCACACTTCAGAAGTTGTCAGAAACGCACTGTCGACAGTCATTTCAGGAGGGCCTTACAGAATCTTATTAAATCCATTATAATGATAAATACAAGTTGCCCCCACGCCATCACTGTACATAGCCGGCAATCCCACCGTCTCTAATCAGTCTGGCATAGCAGACAAACCCCCCCTAATGTCCACTTTTGAGGCCTTTCCTTGGTTTTCAAATTGAATGTCCAGATGAAGGTTGGACCTCTTTGCCGCGTTCGGTACACAGGGCATTCATAAACGCCCTTCGTATCTTTCTTGTCGATTGGTATGGCTTTGATATAGATGACGGGCATTGCGGGCGTGAGCTCTTTGAGCAAACTCTCCTGAATGAGACCCGTGTTGGTGTCCCACCGGGCTCCCTCCATGAACATGCCATGGATGTACGCGCCTTCACGAGGCGCTCCGGAGAACTCCTCCTTGGCTTTCTTTGTGATATCGACGGAAAGTACCATACGGTCGAGTGGCCATTCGTTTTTCCTCGCAGTCGTTTGCATGATGGCCGTAAGGAAAGATTGCGGGTTGAACAGGCCAGGCAGCCAAACAACAGCCGGCAGCTGGAACTCTGACACCCAGCCTTCCAGCTCTTTGATTCGTTGAAGAAGATCTGCGTACCACAAGGCAAGCCCTTGTAGCGATGCGTATGCGAGCTTTTCCCAAGAAATGGGTACCGTATTCAAGTAGATAGAGTTCATCAACGCCTCCATGTTTTCAGTAATTGTCAAGTCACCCTTGAGACCGAGTTGTAGCTCTCGTAACGAACGACGAATCTCGTTGGTTAGCGTCGACATTCGATCGCATTCTTGCAATGCAACGGATATGTAAGGTGTTCGTTCCTCGACCTTGGCCATCAATTCCGGCACGTTGAATGGATCAGGGAGCGACCCGAGAATCTCTTCAATGACTTGGCCAACCTTCTCCTCCTTGCTGGTTGCCAAACCACCACCAGTGTCCTTCGGTTGCATTTCCAAAATCGTTCGGAATAGAGTATCAGCACTCTTCGTCAGCACACCAATTTCCGCATTCGGATGTAAGCCGTAAAGGTAGGGTGATTCTGGTGGAAGGTTTTCGTCGATGTACTTGTGGTAGTCTTTGAGATCGGAAGTAGGGGGCATCGTGAATCCAGGTGCAAGCTCGAAGCTTCCTTCAAACATGTCTGGCTGAATATATGTGTCCAAGTAGGACGAGCAGAGCAGACGGTCCCAATCGTCTGAGATATGTCCTCCATACATGATGTCTCCGAACATGTATCGCAGATCTGTCCATGGAACCTTCGCGAAGGTCTCAAGGTAGTTGTAAAGGACATCGGCAGAAATCGTTAAGTCACCAGTGCTGAAGGGATACGCCCTATTCCACCCCTGTGTTCCGAATTTCCTCCGTTCCAAAATGGCCGCATGGAAGTAGCAGAGGACGAAGAGAATTCCTCTGAACTCCGCATCTTTCGAGCATCGTTCTAACGACTCTTGCGTGAAGTTGTCAAGTGCCCTGTGGACGTTGGCTTGCATACCCGTAGGTGGCTCGTTGGTGATCTTGACTGACGCCTGCAGAATGGATGTCGGAATAATGTGGTACGCAGGATCGCCGGCGGGCTCGGCTGAAAGGAAGACTCGGAAGTCTGGGTGCGAGCCGGTGGACAAAGCTTCAAGTTTCTTCTCGAGGACAGGTAACCACTTTGCAACCAGATGGATGTTCTCCAACATGACCCATCCGCCTTGTTTGTAAGCGAGTTCGAGCTTTTGCTCGGCAATAACCTCCTGTCCTTGCCCTAAGGACACGTAGTGGTAGTTTCCGTTGTCTTCACCTACTCCGAGGGTTCGTCCGTGAGCTTCGACTTCCTTGACTGGATCTACACCAGGAGAAAGGATAAAGAAGATCGGTGTCGCAGGGCCTGATTCCTCGTATGACTTCGTTAACGGAACCCGAGATGTGTTGATGTATTTCGGGCCCATTTTCGCGGCGATGAAGTTCGATATCGCATATGTCATACGATCCGGACGGAGACATCTCAGGATGCAAAGTTTCTCCAAGGCTGTTTTGTTCTTCCACTCTTGAGGCAATTTCTCACTTTCAGGAACTTCCAATTCGCAATACTTCTTCCACTGCTTGGAACCTCCCTCGATATCCGAGGAGAGTGACCGGAATACCTCCATGTTTGACAAAGCTTTGACCAGCCCCCACGAAGAGTCCGAGAGCCAGTCAAACGGGCTTTTGACATTCACTACCCGAGGTCCCCGCAAGAGGAAGTCGAGCTCGGGCAAGTCCATGTCTCCCTGGCTGATGAGGATTTGGAAGGTCATCTGAGCCAGGAAAATTAGCTTGTCTCTCTCAAAGAGACCTCTCGTGGTATATATGAACACCATGTGGGTGATAGAGTCGATCAACGCGGTAACTCGTTCCTTGATGTCCTCACTTTTGTCCGCTCGAGAGATGGCATTTTGGAACACAACTTTGTAAGCATTGAGAGAGTACTGATACATCGGGTGAATTTGCCACAAGTCGTTTAACAAGAAGTAGAGGAGTGACGACCGAGCTGCCACAGGGCGATAGAGCTCACGAGTTTCGTTGATCTTCTTTTCCGTTTTCTTGGCCTCCTCCACTTTTTGTTCGATGTCCGTTGCGGTACTCTTCGTGATTTCGAGGTTTTCGACGAGTGCGGTGTCGCCCAAGAAGTTACCTTGAGCAGCAGAAAGACGTGACAACAACGCATCCTCAAGTTCCGTCAACTTGATTTTGAACTCGTTCTGCTGTTTCGTCAATTCGGCTTTCGTACGCTCGAGATCAGGTCGCTCAACGTTCACGACGTCAGCGAGAAGCTGGTCCTCCAAACCAGCCAGTGTAACGGTGAAGTTGATTAGCGTGGTTTGCGCCTGAATTTCTGGCGGGTAGTGCGGGTTCGGGAGCCTCGTTTGCAGAATGAGTTTGAACTTCGGATCATACTCGACTTCCTTGTCACCCATTTTGATGTACTTCCCTTTCTTGATTGTCTCGCGACCAAGTAAAGGATTCAGCACAGCGTCGATGCTTTCTTGAATATCCTCAATGAGGACGGTGTCTCCGCTGGAGACCGCCTTTTCAATCGCATCCAAGTAACCCTTGTGACCAAGACGAACGATCTTTAGACCAGCTCCTTCCCGGTTCTTGATCCAGACCACTCCTTGCAACTGAGGATCAATAATCAGTGGCCAACGCTTACAGCTGGTTACCATGGTTGCATTTTCGAGAGACACACGATCGCTTGGAAGGCCTTCGTTGTTCCACTTGGCAATCTCGGCGCTCGACGTCAAAATGTCCAGTGGATCTAATCCTTCAGAGAGAGGTACTTTGTGCGGGTTGCTCGGATCGGTCAGGTATTTCAGCCAGTAATCTTGGAGCAGCTCCTCTCGGTAGCGCTTGCTGAAACATCCAACGTAGGAAACGAAAGCCGCAGACATCAGCACATCACCAGCGAGGGTCTTCTCCTGTTCCTTAAACTTGGCGACTGCTTCATTCCAACGAACGTTTTCGGATGCCAGACCTCCTACGAGACGATTCGCAAGAACGATAGTCTCTTGCGTTGCCCTAGCCTCCTCCTCACAAGCAAGCTTGTCAGCAGTTGCCTTTTCGAACTGCGCCGTCAGCTCCGCCAAATTCCTGTCGAGCTCGGCAATCTTGCCTTGGATTTCGGCCAAACGGGCTTGAGATTCCCGCAGGGTCTCATTCGCCGCCTCCAACATCTTGCGTTTGGGCTCCACTTCCCGGTAGGTATGGTAGTAGTTGACAATGTTCACTACCCATGAACAAAGACCAGCAGCAGCGATGGATTTTGACTTCATAAATTCCTCGTTAAAATTAGGATTGGACAAATACGGCGCTAGTGCGTCCAGATTGGAACTGTCGATGTTTTCTTTGTCGAAATTGATCAGACTTTCCAAGAAAGCGTCCACCTTCGCCATCATATTCTTCGAAGCTTTCCACGACCTATCCTTCGCAATTTTTCCAGCGGGACTCAGCAAAATCATGACTGCCGCTGCGGTATCAACGACTTCTTGGGATGGCGAACCGAAGGATTTCAGTTCCGTCAAATTGGCCTTGTTGAGCGTGTTCAAGGCGTTAGCTGCGGCTGCCAATGCAGGTTCAGCAGCTGCTAAATCCTTTTCGGCGTCAGCCTGCTTTTCCTGAACTTCCTTGGTGATAGCATCGACCTTTTTCTCTTCCTCTGCGGCAATGGCCTTCTCTTTGTTCACTTTCTCAGTGTCGACACCAACGCGCTCGATAAGACGCTCGGCTTCCTCATTCTTGCTCTTCAACTCGACTTCCTGCGAGGCGAGTTTCGCTTTCAGATCGGCTACTTGAGACGCGGTACTTTGCAGTTTTGTCAGGCCGTTCTCCAGACGCTCCATGCTCTTTGTAAGAGCCCTAGATTTCTGCTCCAGCATCTCCTTGTAAAGTGAGATCAAAGCCAAGAACGATTTTGGCGTGGTGTAATTGTACCGCTTCTCATTCACATGGTACTTCTTTGAGACGGTGTTAACACTCTGATGTGCGAACGCCATGAAGCGAGTGACTGGCAGCTTCAGGTCCTCGGGTACGAGTTCACTTGTAGCGATGAATCTCGTTGCCACGGACTGAAGAGCTTCTTCGGGCCATTCGTGGAACCAGTCAATCATAGTGCAATTGACAATTGCAGGGAATTTGCGGCATCGAGAGCGAAGCGCGTTCCCGACCGGAGAGAAGCAGAGTACGACTTTCAGATTCTTGCGGACGGCTCTGATGAACAGATCCCAGCACACTTCACGAGTATCCACTAGGCCTTGTGACTTTGCTTCATTTCGCATGCCGTTGATGATCGTTTCCACTTCATCATCTGGGAATAGACCGGGAATGTTTCCACTAGCTAACATGTCGTTAATCAGAACCAAGAACTTTTCATCCGCAATCTGGGAGTCCGTCAAGAGGAACATAATTTGAACCTTCTTCAAACCGGTTTTCTGGTACAGAACCGCAAGGTCCGCCTTTAGATCGTTCACGGAATAGCCCTTCTTCAGAGTGATTTGGAATACCTCCATCTGGCTGATAAATGCAGCCAGACGAGCCAACGATTGTTTTCCGCTTCCTCCCACACCAACTAACAGCGCATTTCCGCGTGGAGATTCCAGGATACGGTTGATGCGACAGACGTGAGCCATGGCGTCTTCGAAAAGCACCAGGTTCATGGCGGCATTGACTTCATCATACTGCATCTGCGCCTCGTCAAGGAGCTTTTTCAAAGCCGGCCAATCCTTCAGTTGACCGTATTTCGATTCCCCGATACCAGAAGCAAAGTGGGTGAAAAGGATCGGTTCTGCATTGATGGCGGCTTGATCCATGTCCTCGAAAGTCTTCTTCACCACTTCCTGTTGGAACTTCTGCAGCTGTTGTTGATCTGCATCATCCATCTTGTCACCGTACGTACGCGATGTCTCGTGAAGGAATAGCCGAACCAAGTCGATGGGCTCCTTCAGCGTATCTTTGTTCGAAAATAAGAGACCTTGGAAAATATTCGACAAGTCTCGCAGATTGAAAATGTAGTGGAACTTGACCGCTGAAGGCAAGAACGTAGCGGCAACCTTCTTGTGCAAAAGCAACGATCCGGCGACAAGCTTCTCCGCCAGTCTCTGGATGTTGTTGGGGAACTGTTTCAAGTGGCCAGAAAGGATCTGGAAATAGATACTCTGCAGCGAGTCAACACCTGGGAAATTGACCGCAAATGTTGCAAAGTGCCTTTGTAACCGCCCCGAAATGGTGAAACTTCCGGCGGTGGGGTTCATACACGCCACATACTGGCAGTTGTGGATTTCCTTCAAAGTAAGCTTGGCTCGATCGTACCAATGCTTGTAGTCCAAATATTGCCTCAACAACGTATGTGGTGATGCGGTTCCGTATTTGTCCACTTCAGGCATGTTCAAGTCATCCAGGAAGTAGATGAGCTTTTTCGATCCAGGCGGGCCGTAGTTCCTACCAGCTTTCTTCTCAAGCGGCTTTTCCAGAATAGATTGGAGGGACCAAGCCGTCGTGTAGAAGTTGAAGGCTACATTGACGATCTGGCGATCCTCCCCGTACGAGTATAGCTTGTCTTGCATGAGAACTGTTTTACCGCATCCTGCGTTCCCCACAAGCAAGACGGGCTTTCCGTTGTCCGCTAAGACATCAAGCATATATCGCATGCGCGTTGTTTCAGGAGTATGAACGAGCACTGCGTTCAAAGGCATGTCCGCATCATACACATAGGGGGGGACCTTGTCCGTCCACGGCGCAAACCGCTTTGTCTCCGCATCGACATAGTAGTCAAAGACCGTTCCTTGAGCAGGGAACTTCACGGTCTTGAACTCCCCGTTCCACCATTTACTGAACTCCACACGATAATCCACCATCTGGTCCTGGAAGACACATCCGCCAAACGCCCAGACTGCGGCAAAGACGAAGTAAACCTCGAACCACTCCTTGTCGCATCCTTTAGGAGTGTTCTCTGGCGTCAAAAGACCTTCAAGGATATTACAGAGCGTAACAATCATGGAGAACTCCTCCACATTGGCTTGCTTGAATCTACCCGACCGGCAGGCGTCCAAGCATACATTGACGTACCGGTCGAACAAGACGCTCAAGTTCGACTTCTCGCTAGCGTCCTCGCGTTTGTCCAACCAAGATTGAACATACGGATTCCATCCCAGATCGGTCGTATTCAAATAAAGAATACCGGCTCGTGAGACCGTGGCAGGTGTTGCATATTTGAGATCCCCAATCTCGAAAATCAGACGCATGTTCGGTTTCAATGGAATACGCTCGTTACTGGCCAAAGTCAACATTTTGTTGTCATCCATGACCGTGTTGAGGGACTCAATCCAGTTCGGGTCAATGTCGCCGTCCAAAATCATCCAGCGAGGATCCGTTCCGGGCATCCCGGCAAGCTCACGCATGATGGAAGAGAATAGTCCGTCCTTCCACTCCCGAGTCGATGGGTTAATGCAACCAAATAGATCGTCCGTCGTGACGGCTTTCGGGTTGAGATCAGAGAAGACGCACTTCTTCCCGCTGTTGATGTAGGTTTTGGCCAACATCTTCCAGATCTGAGATTTGCCGGTACCTCCATTACCGATGATGAAGACACAGTGACGAACAGCCAGCAATTCTTCCAGTTGAACGACTTTGAGGACGAAGACTTCCTCAGCTTGAAGACCACTCTCGAGGGTGGCCTTGCGAATGTCCTGTTCGAGCTTTTCGTCACGTTTACGAGCGACTTCGACTTTGGGGAACAGATCGCCAATAAGACCGTGGAACACTTGCAAATCATCGGAGACAATTTTGGGCAAGTTGAAATCACGTAGTGCTCGCATGAGCACTTGATCTTCCGGAACGTTACGGTCCGCACGCTTCAAAGCACCGGCGACCACCAACACAGATTTGATCGCACGAAGACCCCAATCGTAATGATCTTGCTTCGACAGCAGCTCCTTGTTCAATTTGTAAAGGGTATTGAACTTTCTGGCCAACCCACTGGCCTCCACAAATCCTTCCGCCATCAGCATGATTTCCATGATGAGCTCCAGATTGGGCACACACATAGAACATGGCCGGAAAAGCGCTTTGATGTTCTCAGGAAGCTCGGCACGACCAGCGTAACCAGGGTTCATGGTGATGAAAGCTCCGACGGTTGGAGTGAGACTGATCTCCTCTCCCTGGAAAATGAAGCGCTTTTTCTTCGCCTTCAATGCATCCTGAATCGACTTGACCTGTGTGGCAATGACGGAAAGTACTTCCACAACAATACGGTTGAACTCATCGAAACACCCCCATGTTCCGGATTGCGCGAGTCCTTTGAAAATGTTTCCGACGGAACGGTAGTCCATTTGCTCGGAGCAGTTGAACACGTAAACCATGATTCCCAAGGCTTTGCCCAAATCCTTGGTCGTCTCAGTTTTGCCGGTACCAGCAGGACCGGCGGGCGCACCTCCCATGATCAAGTGCAAGGATTGTGTCAGTGTAATGTAGCAACGATCCGTCAGCGATGTCACGACTAAACGAGGAGTATTGCCGAGATACTCGTAGCTGTAGCGGAACGAAGCATCGCAAATGTTGATGATACAATCGGATTGATCTTCGTCCCATCGAAGACGAAGTTGCGATTGCCATGAGAACACTTGTGCGGAATCGGCTTTCTCCGCAATGAGCTTCGCAACAATGTCACGAGCGTGCACATCGAGGGTACAAACCGTCATAATCATTTGACGGTGCAGCTTGGTCAGGTCTCCCTGAATTAGCGTAATCAGAGCAGTGAGCTGGTTAACCTGCTTCTTGTAGTAGTCCTTCATGGAGTTTTCGTATCCCTCCTCCAATCGTGCGAATGTTGAATTCACTTCTGTGGTCCACCAAATTTGCGTTCCCGCAAGAGTAATCTGCGCGGGGTAGTCGAAGATCCACTGATCGCGCGGCTTCTCCTCGTAGGCGGTAACGGAGTCTCCGAGCGCAGTTCGCAGGGTCTTTCGCATCATATCCACCAATCGGTTGAGCCACACCTCAACTGGACCTGTACACTCGCAAGGTTCGATGAACTGTACGTATTCGTCTTCCCTCGAATACATTCCGACGGCGGTTTTCGTCACTTCGCCGTTGGGTCCCTTGTAGAACTCCAAAGATGCCAAACTATCGAAGAGTTTGCCCAAATGCACAGCAACCGCTTGTGGCATGTTTCCTTTCGCCAGGATATCCAACAGATCGGAGGCAGAAACGAAATAGAAACGGGGGAAAGCCAAACGCTTGGTTTCCAGGTACTCGGCGAGAGACTTCTCACAAAGGGCCAATTGCCCTTGGAGCTTTTCGAGCCGGTCGAATAAACCCTCCTTCGTGCACGCCTCGACACAATTTGGCGTCTTAGAAGCTTCCTTCATGAGCTCCTTATATGCTGCATCGATACTATCGAAACGCTTCGAGTCTTCTGGAAGCTGGGCACGAATGTCCTCCGACCCCATGAAAATGTTCTCCAAATGGGACCAAGTTTGTTGGACTTCCAACCACAACGTGATCACGGAATCCACAGTGGACAAAACATTTTGCCATTTGGTGATTTGCTCCTCGAAGTGCGCAACATATTTGGAAGTCATCATGGTTTGCAGCATGACCTGGTTGTCCTCCAATGTCTCGATAAGCTCTTCTGAACTCTTGAGTAGCGGTGTTTTCGTGCTCTCGTGTATTTCGTAAGTGAATTCCATAACACTCCATGTCTTCGAGAGGTCGTTGAGGACCTTCTCCATGGACAACTCTTTCGTCGCACGATCGACGATAACCTTCACATCGTCCTCAAACTTGTGTAACTGAAGACTGAGCAAGTCTTGGAACTTCATGTCGGCCGTCATAACGAAGGTAACGCCGGTCGTCTTCATCAGCTGCTTCCAGTGACGATCGCGAATGGCATTGCTCCTAAGCTCCCCAACAGCTCGAAGCGATGTCACCATGTCCTTCACGGCTTGATCAAGTCCCGAATAGACATCCCATCCCTTGATTTCTTTGTCCATTCGCCGCAGTTCTTTGCTCAAGTCTCGACAGTGAGTCTCCATAGCATCGGTGTCGATCGCAGTCCAAAGGGTTGTTCGCCATTGCTCGAACATGAGAGTGACTAGAGACACAACGTCCCAGACTGACTTGAGCATCCCGATGTCGCGTCGACAGTCAGCAAGCTGTCGGTAGTTGGGCACGTTCAGCTCGAAAAGTTCGCAGGACGTTCGAAGAGCCTTTGCCTCGTTCTCCATCGCCAGAACGTCGACGTGCACAGTGTCGATGGATTGATATGCCTTTTCGGACCCTATCTCGAATTTGAAAGGCGCCTTCTTGCGGAACTCTTCCCGGAAGTTGTGATTGCGCGTTTCGAACTTGTTGCACTTTTGCTGCAAGACGTCGACTTCACGCGCTTGAAGCGGTGCAGCTTGGTCCTTTACAGCCATCGAGAGCTTCTTGACCTCCGACCATTGTTCGGGCAAGTCGTTGAGAAGTTTATGCGTCTCATCTGGCATTTCCACACCGAATTGGCGCAAGAAATTGATGGTTTTCCGCAACGGCTCAAACATCCCGTCAATGCTTCCCGTTCGTTGCTTGATCGCATGAAGAAGACCCATCGATGATACGAGAGCATCGTAATCACCCTCCCTGATCTCACGTTGGAGGCCTTTCTTATTATGCTTGACAAAGTCGTTGAGCTCATTCAAGCTTACAATAGCATCGTCCTGCAAATGCTTTGTCAAGGTGTAGCTCCATTTCTTGACCACGACATTCAAAGCCTGTTTCAAAGGCTTGGCGTCGATGCGGAACCAGCCTTGGAAGATGACCTCCGGCTCGATGCTCATGATTTGCTTGTGCAGTGCCTCGAACTTTCGGATCTCGTTCTCGAACCTCTCCAGTTTGCTGACGTTTTCCGTCTGCGTGACCGGCGCCTCCTCCGTGGGAGCAGCACCTTCCTCGTCTTTGGGCTTGTCAGAAATTTCGAGGAACTGCTTCATGTAGTCCTGGCGATTCTCGGTCCACAACCATGTGTACTGGTCGTATCCATCTTTGTACAAGACGGACTCGGTCATGATCTGACGAACACGCTCCAGAATCGTAGCCCGCAATTTGCCGAGTGTCTGATCGCGACGCATTTCACCTAGGTAGGTTTCGTTTTCCATGTTGATTTGTGCCAGTTGTTTGGCGCGCAAGTCCTCTTGGTCAGCGTCGGATTCGCCATCAGCTTCGTCGGTTTGATCGTCGCTGAGCGTTTCCCCGGCGTCTGCGGCCTCCCCTGCCGCGCCGCCACCGGTAGCACCGGCTGCACCAGCTTCGCCGGATACTGGCACCATGCCCGCCCCATTCTGTAGCGGAACTCCGGGTTGTTGCGCAGGTGCCACCCGTCCCATCAAAGAGGCACAATCGTAGATGTCTTCAAGAACATCGTTGATGATATAGGCGATGCTATTCTCAGAGTCTGAAGGACGATGGAACGGCTGGAAAGTTAGAAAGGGATAATATTTGATCTCGAAAGTTGAGTAGTAACATACCTTCATCCATCGTAGGGGTGAAGACGAGAATCTCCCCGTGAAGCTCCAGCTTAGCCTCAAGAAGAGCACCAACATCAGCCAAACGCTCTGACTCCATGTTTTGAGCGATGTACTCCAAACTAGTCTTCAGAGTTTGCCAGAACCCTTCCCGAACAACCTCGTCAATGAAGGCTTGGTAGCGTTTCCACTCTTCCGACTCTTCCTTCGCCTGCACAACCTCACGTGTTTGCGTAATGAGCTGGTGAATCGACTGTCCATCACGTTTGATGATATCGTAGGCTGTAGAAAGCTTGGTATCCTTCTCCTCCAGATTGAGAAGCTTCTTAGAGTCCTTCCGCTCAACCAATGGCGTCGCCGACCACGCCTTCATGATCTTGCGAATCTGGTTCAAGTTGCTCTTCATCAACTGCAGGACGGACGACAAGTCGCCAACGGACGCACTGATTTCGGCAATGTAGGAAACGATGTTGTCGGATGTCCAGTTGAGATCCGTCAGCGCGTACTTGATCTGGGCGTCGATCTGGCTGATCCGATCCTCGATCAGCGGGCGTTCTACGTTGTTCACACCAGTGCGAATGCCATTGTACGACTTTGTAATGTGGTCCAGTTGGAAAATGTACTTTCGGAACACATCCGACTTGGAGTAGATCGCTGCGGCGGCTGGAGGCGGAGTGACCGTGAGTGCCTCAAAGTAGCGGACCTCACGAAGCAAGGCGACGACTTTGGGGTCGAAGTTAACGCGGAGCAAGTCATCTTCGCGGATGAGGAGCGGCTTGTTAAGGTTGGCTTCGGTCTCATCGATGATGGTATCGCTCCATTTGGTGAAGATGGAGCGCTCGTAGGTCTCGAGTGTCTCATAGAGGTTGTTATACTTTTGCGTTACGAGACCTGCTTCCTCTGAGTTCATGGCACTGTGGTTGAACTGTACGAAGGGAAGAACTTTGAGCACGAAGTCAGGTGACAATGTGCATGGAAGCTGCATCAACTTACACTTTTCAGCTTGTCCATAGCCTTGGCAATCCGATCCTTCAGTTCATGCACCCAGGCGACCGCTCCAGTCACGGGCGCCATGTTATAGTGAATCGGAGGATGCGCCTTGAACTTTGCAAAGATGTGGGCGACCTCATCCAAGTCGGCCGAGTACATCTTCAGAAGCGCAAAATACTTCTTCTCAAAATCATGCTGGATGATCGGACGGTTGAGCAGTCCAGCGAATGACTCGAGGAGACGGAAGCAAGAGTTGAGACCCGAGCAGTCATCAAAGCTCTGGCTCAAGATGGTCCCGATGCGCCGGTCGAGATCAGCGATCTTGGCGTGGAAGGCGCCCAGGTCGACGTCAAACTCGCTAAGGTTGAGGTCAAGAATGTCATACTTGAGCTTCGAAAAGCTGCCCAGGGCGGCTTGAAATTCGGAGAAGATTTGCGCCACCTGTGAGCTCAGAATCTTGCCCTTCGTGCCGCCGATCTCAATTTTCTCGAGCCGGTTGAACTCGATGATTGTGTCAAAGAGTTCGACGATGTTCTGCACACGGCCCAAAAACTTGTCGAGCCTCGCGAAGAGGACCTTGGTGTCAAAGTTCCAAGGCCGCTTCGTCTCGGCCATCTGCGCTTTGGCCTCGTAGAACGTCTCCTTGAAGGCGTTGCAAACGCGGATGACGACCTTCAAGCGCTCTGCAGCCTCTTCAGGCTCGGAGGCGAAAATCTCTGAAGGATTGATGAAGGCGCGAGCTTGCTCGATGATGTCGTTGCATATTTCTTGCAGGACGATCGTCATGCGCTGTGGGGTGTTGTAGTATTTGGAGTGCTTCCAAATGAGCACGAGAGTGTGCATCACGCTGGGGAAGATTTGCGTCAACTCGATGAAGTCGTTGACGGAGTTGAGCCTCTCTACGGAAGGACGAAGAGCGCGGAGGTATGTTGTGATGTCGTTGGCTTCGTCCAAAGCTGCGAACATGAGAGACAAGAGGTGATTTCAGTCTTCTAGGAGTTTTCGAGCAATTGAAGTGAGCATCACGAACCTGCAACGACTTCATCGAAAATCATCCTAAAAGCAGGATAGTAAGTGCTTTTGCTGACTTCCAAGAGTTTGGAAATCTTCTGGATCTTTTCGTCCGTAAGTTGCTGGTGGATCGACTTCAGGTTGGCCGCTTTGGCCGCCCAGAAGTCGATCTCCACCATGGGACCGGGGTTCAGCCGCTCCTCGAGCGGAGCGGCTGAGGAGCTCTTGATGACCTCCTTGATTTGGTGGGTCCAGTCGATGACTGCGGATTCCACAGTGTGTAGGACACTGCGGTCGGCCTCGGTGGTGAGTTTGGCACCGTGGGGAAGTGGTAGCATAGTCTTGCCCTAGAGTAACGATGAATAAATACATTGCGATGATGAGGACCAAAGTTCAAGCCGATGGGCAAGATGAAATTGATGTTTGGATGTGATAATTTACCTTAGACTTGCCAGAAATAACATATACAGCGCCATTGAGTTGATGAAAATGGCGCAGAACATCACTCGCGACGACCTCAGGCCACGATTCGAGATTCTTGGGATTGGTGAGGAGCGGCAAATACACTTCTTCCAGCAGATTGGAGAGGAATTCCAGTGGGTTGGGGGATAGATCCCCCAGGACAAGCTCGGTGTCGAGCTTTTCGGTGACGGGGCTGCCCGTTTTGCGTTTCAGGAAATATACAGATTTCTTCTTGAGTGAAGAAGGGAAGGCGATTGCCGGAAGGAGATCCTCCTTGGGGGTGAGGAAGAAGAGGATGGTGCTGTAGTCCTTGTCCAGGAAGTCTACTATTGTTTGCCTATTGGTAGGGAAGTTGTGAAGATCAGACGGACCGAACTATCATGCCATGCCAAGATTCTATCGATTTCCATGCAAACAACTTACAAGTTCTCTTGCGACATCGTCAACTTCTTCCACTTATCATTCTTGATTTTCAGCGCATTGCAGACTTTGTCTTCAAACCAGCCGACACGGGCGTCGACGTGGATGGGTGCCGCGGTGTCATCTCCATCGCCGTCCTTCTTTTTCGCGCCCGGAGTGACCGGCTTGGTTGCCGCCTCCTCCGAAGGCATGATGGTGGGCCTTGTGTAAGCGCGACCTGAGCTCCAGAGTGTGTGGTGGGTTCAGAGCGAAGAGGCGTGTGGATTTATTCCTAGGAGATGAACCAGCATCTGCCGAAGGAGATTTGATAGCAGAATCAAGAGAATGTGAGTGCAGAAAGTGGGTTTTCAGGCTCAGCGTGGGAGCGTTCGGTGTTTGTCCGCTGCCTCTTTGGCTGACATAATCTCCGCTCCTTCTACTTTTTACGCGTTGCCTTGTGAGTAATGGCTTCAATAATCAAACACGCACAGAATGCTCAGTTTGCACATGCACATCGTTTGGTAGACGGGGTGGGGATCGGGTCTATTCCCGGTCGGCTTTGTCCCGTGGCTTTGAACTCTTGTTGAGATGGTCTTGCTGGGCACGACCGTGGTGTCGATGCCGATGCTCATGATCACGCTTTGGTCCCAGCGTACTGTACTCGAGTTGCAGCACAGCGACTCAGGTGTACTTTGATTGAGCAAACTGCAGAAGACAGCACTATGTATTCATAAAGGCCCTACAGTAGTCGGAAAAGCATCACAGATATTATACAAGCCAAATTCTAAAGTTCAAGGTTCGAAGATGTTAAACAAATCACGGCCAGCGCTAGAAGTCTAACTCGCCGGTATACTGTACTGTGTAATAGTGAGAGTCCCAATGCTTTCAGTTCAGTGAGTCAAAGTGTGCGAGCTCTCTTGGGGCAAGTCGTGGTGGTTGGCCGCAGGCAAGTTCGCCAAGAACTCCTCCCATTCAGCGTCTTCCTCAGCCTTGGTGTACACGACCGGCTTGAGACCGAACAGGCGGCAGAACCGTCCATTGGGGAGACGGAACCGCGCCGTCTCGCCGTGTTTCTTGGGAAGGCGGCGATCGCGCAGGTTGGTGGGGACCGCGAGAGAGATCAACACGCCCAGACATGTAAACGCGAGAATCCACCGGAAGTTCAGATCGTAGACGTGGATCAAATCCGGTGTGAGTCTGGCAACCTCGTTCTTGTAGACCTGGTTGAAGACCAGACCACCACCGACACCAGCGAGAGCCCAGGCCGTGAGGATGACACCGTGAGTGGCACCCACGTTCTTGCTTCCGAACTGGTCCGCCAAGAAAGCGGGGATAAGTCCGAACCCTCCGCCGTAGAAGAAGGCAATGATGAAGGCGCATGTCAATGTGAGCCCGTAGTTGCCGTCTCCGATTGCGGTGGGGAGGAGGGCAAGGAACAGCGTTTGCATGGTGAGGGAGAGCACGAAGAAGGGCTTGCGCTGTCCAACGTAGTCGGAGAGCGTAGGGAGAACGAGACGTCCAAGTAAGTTGCATCCGCCGAGGGCCGAGTTGATATTCGTAGCTGTCTGCAGGTCTTTCTTAAGTTGGTTCTGCAAAAGAGAGTCGATTAGCAAGAGGTATAATATTGAATTTTGGGAGAGGAATGCTGAACGAACCTGTACAATAGATTGAATCTTGGCAATGATCAAAAGACCAGTGATTTCCGCGCAGAAGAACATGATGTACATCAAGATGTACTCCTTGCTTTTCAACGCTTGCGCAAGATTGACAGCGAAGGCAGAGGTTCGGTTTGCTGGCTGCACTGTAATGGCAACGCTATCTGCCTCCTTGGAAGACTCGGCGGCTTTGCCGTTGTCCCTAGGTTCGTGAAGTTCGGCGCCCTTTACAGTGTCGATGTTGATGCCGTTAAGCTGGTACCCACTAATGAAAGAATGGGTGTCAGGGATGCGTGATGGGTCGCAACGCGCAGATGAGCTACTTACGGTGGCGGCATACGCAAGACCAGCGACGCGGCTGACATGATCACAAAGTAGCAGCTGGCGAGGATGATAAATGTCTTGGGGACACCAAGATTTTCCTCGCCGGTGTTGGCGTAGGTGGGTCCGATAAGAGCTTTCTGGGTGTAAGGGCTGAAGATAGAACCAGCACCGAAGCCACAAACTATTGCATGGACACCAGAGTCAGATGGTCGCCCAACAAACGAAATTGGATGACCAAGTTCCCTGGCAAACTATTTACCTGCAAGCCCGGAAGCCAGACCGCGCAAATCCGGGAACCATTTTTGGAGCGGAGACACGGGAGAGATGTAAGAGATACCAAGACCGGCTCCACCGACGAAACCGTATCCGAAGAAGACGAGAGGAAGGCTTTGAACGTGAACACCAAGAGCTGCGAGAAGTTGACCAACGAAGAACAGAGTTGATCCGAGAAGCGCGCCCTTCAAAGGTCCGTTGCGTTCCAACCAAGGCCCCAGTAGCGCAGATGTCACACCGAAAACGGCGACGGCAACGAAGAAGACGTTACTAGCTTGACCACGGTCTACAGCTACGCCCTTTGCTGAGAGCGAAGGCCTGGATCAAGGGCGATGTCAGTCGGGAGTCAGCTGCGTCAGCACCAGTGGTGGGGCAAGACGAGGGAGAATGCTTACCCGTAGATCGCGCGCTCGATAGGCAGATTATAACCGGACCAGGCGTACAGACTACCACAGCAAACCTGCCAAACGAGGAGATTAGGTCAGATCGACGTGCCGTGGGACAATCAGCGTGTGGGGAAAAATCCAAGCGTTGGAAAATGGTATTGGACAGATTACACCAAAAGCCGACGATTCGCGATGTCTACCTGAATGAGGACCGCAGCGGGCATAAGGAAGATCCTTCGGAAGCGAAGGACGCCCGGAATGAGCCATTCCTCCCGTTTGATCTGCTTGTCGGTTCGATGGTACTCGGTCGACGAGTAGTGGTACTTGACCGCACGCACTAACGCGGACATCTTGAGAGCGGTGCAGAGATGCGGGGTTGGGAAACCTTTACTCTTCTTCGTCTGCTTTATAGGGGTTTGGGTTTTGATAAAGCAAACTTGGGAATGGAAAAGGAAGTCGAGCGGCGCTTGCACACCGGCCCTTTTTATATCATTTGGCAGGCTTCGATTTTGAAGCTTCATCAAATTGGAAGGGACTTGAACCAATGACCTTTGGAACGGGTCTCCTTATAGTGAGGCCTGGTCTCGTACGCGTCCTTACTCCTTACATCCACATCCACCAGTGTGAACTTGAAGGCCAATAACTATGAGGGCATCGCTCACTTTCAGGTTCCACGATGAAGCCTCTCCAGGGCCCTCAATACGATCAGCCCATGGGAGGGCCCCGGCAGCCGCAAGCCGCAGCCTTTGGTCTTCCAAAAGGGAACGAGCCGCCATGACTTGACGGCCTTGGATTGTGGATTGTGGAGATGGCACCATGTGAGGGCAAATCTCCCACGGCCTGAACGGGCACGAGACACGCCGCACGGGGGGGGGGGGGGAGGGCCTGGAAACACCATTTCGAACTTTGAAATTCAATCATCAAACAGCCGATTATTTGATTAGCGGATCGACCGACATACAGTACCATGTGCCTGGGTTCCGGTAGCCCCGAATCGGAGGTCGCCAGAAAAACTGACAGGGCGATCGCCACAAATTGAACGTGGACATATTGGGCATTTTCGCTTGACCGACTTTGGACGGCTTCCCTGTCGTCGAGTGGACAACGAACCCGAGTGGACAAGGAGCGCAAATTACTACGTGTACCCATCGACTTGCTGACGATCGATACTGCGCGAGCTATGCACTCACGGAATTCATAGCTGTGTTGATGCCGCTGCTTGGGATTTTTCGATGAAGCCACACTTGGCGAAGCCTCTATTCAATCACTGAAGACATGAATGCGCTCGGGACAGAGAGACAGCGCATACGAACTTGAGCACGGGCTGGGAGTGATACACTGGATAGAAGCCGAGAAACTCTGGAGATCTAGCATGAATCGAGTACGCATCCCTCGGATGTCCAGGTACGATTTGAAGACAGATGCTTGATACTCGTATTGGCTTAAGAAAGGAAGTATAAATTTTATGGCATTGTAAGCGCTTATAGTTTTATTTAGTCTGTCTGTTCTTTGGCTGTCCTAGCTGCTAGATATAGGAGAGAACTACATCTCGACTCGCAAAGACAACTCATCCTAGTGTACCGAAGTGTTGCCTGTGCAACCAGAAATAGATCAGTATAGAATTGGAGAATCAAAGCACATCAATTGTTCTCACTTTCAAGCATGCACGGGCGTTGCTGATCGCTCACCGTTGAGCGATTTTTTACTTTGCGTCCGGCTAGGAGTTCTGAGAGGCTGCGTCGTTTGCGATTGAGAAGTCAGAGACTGACGGCTTCCGGAACGGCTCAGAGGCCGAGACCCCGCACTGCTACCAGCTATATATGTCGGAACTGGCGCGGTATAAGTGTCAGCCGCCCGTTTGAGATTCTGCTCCGCCTTTTCCGTGATTGGAAATTTGGGAGTCTCGACGTTCGAGCCGTATTCTTGCCCACCCGTCACGAGCTGATCCCGCAACGAAAGATTGTACGTCGATGCTGGCAACGGTTGGGATGCTGCCAAATCTACGCTGCGCGAGCGTTCAGGCTGAGAGCCTTGTAAGTTTTGAGCACTACGCAGGCTCTTCCTCGAACCCGATTTCGTTAGGTCCTGACGGTTGCCGTTCTTCTGCTGACCCGCGTCACTCACATTGGCGACACTGGCTGCGTTGGACTGCGGAAGTCCGATGGCGGCGGCTATGTCGACACTCTTCGCAGTGCGCGGGTTGACAATGTCCGCCGTGCTGGAATGTTTGTCGGCATGTCCCCGCACGTCCACAGGTGGCGGAGGAACATCCGGGGGTCCATCAGAGTCCACGCGTCGATGACTTTTGTCGGCCGATGCGTGATCGTTGAGCATGGGGGTGCTCCGGCCGAGTTTTCCGGAAGCGCCGTCCAGGTTTCGCGCGCTACCTGCACGAGAACTCGGCTTGGCGAGGTTCGACTGGCTCTTGGACTTTTGCTGGTGCTGGCGGAGATCATGTTTGCTTCCCGCGACACTCTGAGCATTGGACGCAGGAAGTGGGACATTGGCAGCGAGATCCGTGCTCCTCGCTTTGCTTAGGCTTTGAGTACTGTGTGATGGCACTTCTGACACATTGTGGTCTGATTTGACAATATATGCTCCAGGTAGGGTCGTCGTATCGGTCAAAGCCTGGGTGCTGCCTGCGACTCTGTTGGTGCTACCACTGGCAGTATCGCTCCGACGCACATCGGCTCTACTCGAAGAGTTGATGTTTGCGGTGCTCTGAGCAACTGACGGGGGGAGCGGGACATCCTTCGCCAAGTCCACGCTGCGCGACTTGTTGGCCAGGTTCTGTCCACTGGACTTTTTATCGTTCCCGTCGTTCAGATTGGCCGTGCTCTGCGTTGCTGCGGCATGAACGTCCTGACTCTTCGCGCCTCGCAGGTTGGATGTGCTTGCGCGTCCTTCCGACCTCAAATTGGCGTTACTATGCGCCGGAGACCTTGTGTTCTCCGCAAACGTAGTGCTCTTTGTCCTAGATGCATCCGTCAAATGGTCCCTAGCGTTTCGATTCTCGTTGGCAATGCTGTAAGCGCTCGCGGCGAGAGAATCAGGCAAAGGCTGCCCCGCCGCCAAGTCGATGCTTCCCGCGTGAGGCGCGTTAAACACTCCCGCGATGCGCGGCTCGCTTCCGGACTTCGTGGTGCTGTGCGCGAGCGACTCGGGGGTTGCGTCGGCAAAGGCCACATCAACAGTCTGAGCTGCGAGATTATCGACATTCTGGGAATCGCCCGCAATGTTTGCTCGACTGGCCGCGACGGACTGCGGGAGTGCTTTAGCTGCAGCAAAATCGATGCTTTTGGCTTGCTGGCCACTCTGCGCAAGGTTCTGGCGGCTACCGCCTACCGATCGCTCGCGCTCTCGGTCGGAGCGGCCTCCGGTGGATTGCTCCGCTTCGAGAATGTTAGTTTTATTCGCAGCGACAGACTCAGGAAGAGCTTGGGCAGCGGCAAGGTCTACACTTTTAGCTTGTTGACCACTCTGCGCAAGGTTCTGACGGCTGCCGCCGACTGATCGCTCTCGTTCTCGGTCGGAGCGGCTTCCAGAGGAGTGGTCCCTAATGTTAGCCCTGCTCGCGGCAACAGACTCTGGAAGTGCCTGAGCCGCAGCAAGGTCCACACTCTTGGTCTTCTGTTGGGCCAAATTCTCTTTGCTTCCTGCAGTCGAACGCTCGGGTTGATCTCTGATATTAGCCCTGCTCGCGGCAACAGACTCTGGCAACGCCTGAGCCGCAGCAAGATCGACGCTCTTCGTCTTCTGCGCCAAGTTCTTCCTACTCCCAGCATTAGCTGAGCGTTCTGATTGACTGATATTGGCCCTACTAGCCGCTACAGACTCCGGGAGCGCTTGAGCAGCTGCCAAATCGACACTCTTCGTTTTCTGTGCCAAGTTATCGCGGCTTCCGGTTGACCGTTCCGGCTGGTCTCTGATGTTAGCTCTGCTAGCAGCCACAGATTCCGGGAGCGCCTGAGCAGCTGCTAGATCGACGCTCTTGGTCTTCTGCGCCAAGTTGTTGCGGCTTCCAATCGAGCGCTCTGGTTGGTCTCTGATGTTCGCCCTGCTAGCAGCCACAGATTCCGGGAGCGCCTGAGCAGCTGCTAGATCGACGCTCTTGGTTTTCTGCGCCAAGTTGTCGTGGCTTCCAGTCGAGCGCTCTGGTTGGTCTCTGATGTTAGTCCTGCTAGCAGCCACAGATTCCGGGAGCGCCTGAGCAGCTGCTAGATCGACGCTCTTGGTTTTCTGCGCCAAGTTGTCGTGGCTTCCAGTCGAGCGCCCTGGTTGGTCTCTGATGTTAGCCCTGCTAGCAGCCACAGATTCCGGGAGCGCCTGAGCAGCTGCTAGATCGACGCTCTTGGTTTTCTGCGCCAAGTTGTCGTGGCTTCCAGTCGAGCGCTCTGGTTGGTCTCTGATGTTAGCCCTGCTAGCAGCCACAGATTCCGGGAGCGCCTGAGCAGCTGCTAGATCGACGCTCTTGGTTTTCTGCGCCAAGTTGTCGTGGCTTCCAGTCGAGCGCTCTGGTTGGTCTCTGATGTTAGCCCTGCTAGCAGCCACAGATTCCGGGAGCGCCTGAGCAGCTGCTAGATCTACGCTCTTGGTTTTCTGCGCCAAGTTGTCGCGGCTGCCAGTTGAGCGCTCTGCACGTATGTTTGCCGAACTTGCGGCGACGGATTCCGGAAGAGCATGAGCAGCGGCAAAGTCAACGCTTTGAGCTCCTGCAAGGCCATTATCACCGACAGAACTCTCCGCTGTGCCTCGGATGTTTGCCCTGCTAGCCGCGACGGAGTCAGGAAGCGCTCGGGCGGCAGCCAAGTCAACGCTCTTTGCGCCCGCTAGGGTGTGTGGTCCGACGGATGGTTCTGGCGTGCCTCGGATGTTGGCCCTGCTAGCCGCGACGGAGTCAGGAAGCGCTCGGGCGGCAGCCAAGTCAACGCTCTTTGCGCCCGCTAGGGTGTGTGGTCCGACGGATGGTTCTGGCGTGCCTCGGATGTTTGCCCTGCTGGCCGCCACGGACTCGGGCAGAGCTCTGGCGGCTGCAAAGTCCACGCTGCCCGTGTTTTGACCGAGATCTGCAGCAGATGTCTCACTTTCCGAGTCTTCTCCAAGATGAGCTCGGCTCTGCCCTGTCGATTCAGGAAGGACTCTGGCAGCGGCGAAGTCGACACTCTTCGCCTTGCTAGTCAGATTATCCCGGCTTCCGGTGCTACGCTCCGGAGCATCTCCCGTAGCAGAGCGCTCTGGTTCATTCCTAAGATTGGCTCGACTTCCAGCCACGGATTCAGGAAGAGCTTTAGAAGCAGCTAGGTCGATGCTCCGAGTCTTCTGTGCGAGCTCCGCGGTGCTCCCACGCTGAGTAACCTCACGAAGATTAGCCCTGCTGGGTGCAACAGACTCAGGAAGTGCCTGAGCGGCCGCAAGGTCCACGCTGCGAGCCTGCTGCTTGGTGTTTGCCAAATCTCTCTGGCTTCCATCCGATTGTCGGATGTTGGCAGTGCTTTGCGCTGCAGACTCAGGTAGCGCGGTCGCTGATGCGATGTCGATGCTCTTTGTGTTCTGCGCGAGGTTAGCTTTGCTTTCCCGGTCACGATCTCCGCGCCTGATGTCCGCCTCGCTTTGAGCGGTCGAGCGAGGAAGCGGATGGAAAGCAGCAATGTCTACGCTCTTGGCTGCACCGAGGTTACGAGACCCGCGCACATCCGCATTGCTCTTTGTGCTCGGTGCAAAAGTCACAGTCGAACCTTTTGAAGTCTTGGCGACGTTCTGCTGGCTACGGCCTTGGTCGTCTGCAGTGCGAGGGCCAGTCGTCTCGCCCTGGCTCTTCGTCTTTGCCTCCCCGCGAACGTTGTGCAAGCTTTGCGCGGCGTTCTTGGACAACGACGATGGTTTAGTAACGGAGGCGCCGAAAACGCGAGTGCTGCCGTATTGACGAGCTTTCCGGATGCTGTCCAATTCTGTCGTGTGACGCACGTTCGCTTGGCTCTGTGCTGCGGAGAGAGGTAGAGCGACGGTAGCCGCCACATCGGTTTGCGATTCTCCGCGGATGTTTGGTGTGCTCTTGATGATCCCGCGTGAACCCATCTGTGAACCGGCCTGCTGCTGAAGGTTTTGTGCGCTTCTACCACGTTGTGCACGCGCAACGTTGCTGGATGAGCCGCTTCGGCTGGAGCCACCAGTATCCATATTCTGCTGACTGCCAGCTCTGCTAGGGTCACGCCGAATGCTCGCCTGACTGGCAGCTGCGGACGGTGGGAGGGGCACATTCGCCGCCGTATCCATGCTGTCAACTCTCATCGGCCCTCCTCGCATGTTCGGGGTGCTTTGTGCCGCTTTCCTCTGAAGGCCACGCTCATGGTCGGCATCCACGTCCGTAGCGCTATGCGCACTCTTAACCCTTTCGGAACCTTTGTCGTGCGCGAGCTGAGACCGTGATCCAGATTGGCCACGCACATCTGTCTGGCTAGCAAGCTTTGGGTTGCTGCGACGCACATCGACTCGGCTTGTAGCTTTGATGCTTTGACGACTCCCACTAACATCTGCGCGACTGGCCGGGACCGATTCTGGAAGGGACTGCTCTGCAGCAAAGTTCAAGCTGTCCTGTCGCGGAATCTCATCGCCAAAGTCCATCATACTATGATCAGCTGTACGTGGATGGCTTTGCTTGGCTACCTTGATAAGATGGTCCACCGAACGGACGTCATAACCTTGCAGACGCAGTTCCCATTGACTTTTCGTCAACTTGGAGTCCGAACCGGTCGTTGGTTGTTTGCGTTGAAGAGTTCCAGACGCACTTCCTTGACGGGAGAGGCCACTACGCAACGAGTTCTGGCTGCCTTGGCGAGATGAAGCCAGGCGACTCTGAGATTGGCGCAGGTGATCTTGACTTCCTTGACGAGATGAAGGGCGTAAACTCTGCTTGCTAGCCTGACGAGATGCCGCTCGTGAAAGTTTTGCTGCGTAAGACGCTTGCTGATTAGAATCGATTTCGAAAAGGGACACGTAAGAGGCCTAAGATCTAAAACTCACCGACGGGCGTCTGAGACACATCGTTATTGCTCTCGAAGTCCGAGGCATACTCCTTTTCATCGAGTGATGCCGCGAGCTCTTCTAGCTCTTTGCGAGTGTGGAAGCCCCTAAACAAGGCCTGCACTTTCACTGCGGACGCACGGCGTCGCTTATCATGAGCATCCCCTTCATCGCGCTGCTCGGTCTGAGTGATCTCATGTCCTCGGTCAGCTTCGCTTTCATTATCGGCCTGAGCATCAGTTTCTTCCTGCTCACGCTGACGAGCGGCCTGATCTTCTTCACGCTGTTGAGCAGCCTGCTCCTCCTCCTCATGCTGGCGGGCGGCCCTCTTCTCATCCTCCTGTTGATGCGCCGCTTTCTCCTCAGGCGTCTCCTGGACCTGGCTCTGCTCAATGACCTCCCTAGCCACAGCTTCATTCTCTTCAACAATGGGCTCAGCGCTAGCCACTCTAGCTAAGGCGTGCACATCATCCAAGTCATCCGACAAGAACACCTCTCCTTCCTCAGAGTCATAGCCTCCCTCACTCCCGCCTTCGAAATCGCTAAAGTCTGATGCGATCGGGAAATGAGACTCGCGGGTCGGACGAGCGGACTTAGGGCGGAAAGAGCGATGACGCGGGGTCGAAGGGGTGGAGCGTCCCGAAGCACGAAGGTTTTTAACGGCGGTCTTCTGAGGACTACCTTCCTTAAATGCTTTGGCGGATTCGGTATCGGAAAGGTTCTCGGAAGAGCCCTTGCTCAAGTTCGACCCGCTGCCGGTGGTCAAGGCTCGTTCCTTTCCACCAACTTTCTGCCAGATGGCTTTGACATGAGCCTTGACATCGCGGAGTTTTCCACTTCTGTACTCTTGCTTAGCAGTCTCGAAGAGATTGGTGATGCTATCCTGATCCTTCTGGTGATCAGCCAAGGAAGGAGGAACAACCGGTCCGTGACTAGTGACTTCATGTCCGTCGACGCCTTCCCACTCGTCTCCGCTCAAATCATCGTGCACGACTTTGCTGTTCTTCGACTGTCGTGAAGCAGGTCGTTCACGATCACCAATCTCAGATGATTCTTCATCTGCCTCGCCATTCGCGCGGTCGGCGTGGTCGGACCTCTTGCGCGAATGTTGCTTGACGTACAACCGGCGGCCGGGAGGCTGTCGAGAGCCCGCAGGACCACCGAGCCACAAGTTCTTCCGATCGTATTTGGCAGCCATGCGGGCGTGCATCTCCTTCTGTGCTAGCTGCTCGGGACTCAATCCCAGCGCTTTTAGGCGTCTGGGGCTTTGCTGCTTGAGCTTTGCTACAAGCATCTCCTCGGCTTTGGTGAGCGAGGCCGGCTTCTCGGCGTAGAGCAGAGCCGTGTGCGTCATAGTCGGCGGATACTGGCTGAGAAAGTCTGCATAAGGCAGGCTGTTGTGCGAGTGTTGCTGTAGTTGTGATTGAATCGTCATTCGAGAGTGATCACAAAGGAAGTTCATAAAGAATAGCACGTACCACAGTGCGTCGCAACTTCTGGGAACGAGGGCTTTTGTCCTCCTCGATTTGCTTTCGAATAGCCACCTGGATCATAGACAACCACGTCCGAAGTCATGAGAAGTCCTTTGATGCAGGGAGCAAACATATGAGCACGCACCTCTATCTGTCTATCAAACTCTAGCTCTTCCATCTTCTTCAAGATCCTATGACGGTACTCTTCCCTATCGAGCCGAACCTGCTTATTCTTGAATTCCTTGTTGTCAGTGATATTTCCTTCCCGATCGACCTGAAGTTAGAATGAAAACACAAGGGTTTGTTACTGAGTCCCCAAAGGGAAAGGCATGCGGTCATTGAATCCCTACCAATCCGAGCTTCTGCAAATGTTTCCTAATCCCGGGACTGTTGAAGTAGTCCGACAAGTACTCGTCCAAAAGCGGTTCGTAGGTGGGCATGTGCGTCGTCACCAAATTGACATCGTAAATGCGCTCGCGGCCGCGCATCGAGAAATGAGCGCTAGAAATGAACCGATTCACCTTGAGTTACACCGTCAATAAGAAACGGAAAAATCTTTCATGCCCAACCTATTATTATCGGGATAAACACCATCCTCCCCTTCCGTCCTATCAATCAAGTCCTCATAACCATTTCTGTCGTCCATATCCAAGTCCAAATGGAACTCCCGCCCCTCATGATCATCGGTGTATCCGAGCGCCGTCTCAGGCCGCTCAGGCAAGCCGCTTCGAGTGGAGCCGAATGCCGCCTCGTAAGAAGTCTGGCTGGTGCTCTGTTCCATGCGTGCGTTGTCTTCGGATTGAATGTTTCCGTCGGGCGAAAGTCGAGGGAGAGCACCAGACCCGTCCGACCGGACGCCCGCGGCGGATTGGCGACCACTGTCCATGTGCTGGAGTGTGGCGAAGTTTTGGTGACGACTAGATTAAATTACACAAGACAGCGCTCTCTAGACCGCTAATCTCGGTACTCGAACTGGCTTTCTACTTGCTACGGTCTCGCTGTAGCTACTCGCTAAGATGTATGAGTTCTTTGCCAAGGTCAAAATACCTCGCAGGGTAAAGAAAGCGAATGCACAATCATTATGAGGCGCTCGGAAGGACCAAGGGTCAGGGGCGTAATGCACTTTCGCATACGTTTAAGGTTCGCCGCCACCCTCCTTGCCAGAATATTAATGTTCCGGGTTTCTAAAGTATCGGAGAATTGGGGGGGTCATGAAGCATGTTTGTTTCCACGTCTTCTTTTCGAAGCCTCACTTGGATTTTTCAGCACCACGGTCGTATGGTACTGGATCTGGACATGGATTCCTCACGACAAGAAGGTTAAATTTGTGTACGCTGTTTGCCGTAGTGTATTGACAGCACACGCGCTGTCACAATCTCCACCAGACTCCGCCACTCTGGCTCGCCTCCAAATTGCACTTCAAGCTTCAAACCTATGCGTACGTGAGAAGCTGCTTCACGACATGCGCACAAGACGTACAGTCCATGTGCAAATCGCTGTCTCCTACATATGGCAATGCTACGACTACCCTCATGAATGATGCTATATACAGATAGACCTTCCAGTCTTTGAACTTCCGTGTCACACACGGGCTACTAAAGAGACATGCCCTTCCATCGTTTCCAGAAAACCGGAACTACTCCTACGCCAGCTTCAACGGCCCACCCGCCATTTCCTCAAGACCCCTATCAATCCACCCAATTCCACTCCGGATCATCAAAGACATCCGCACTCTCCTCATTCGAAACCGTGCGGCTGCGCATCTCACCTGGCGACGGTGGCCGGGTTCCAGCCCTCGGTCCCGGATCATCCCCACAGACGGCCGTATTGTCCCGACAAAAGTTGATCAGCGCGGCCCAGTTGGGATCGTCCTGCAACACAACCGGGTTTCCGATGATAATAAGCAACGCTTTGGCGCGGGTAATCGCCACATTGAAACGTTTCGGGTTCCGCAAGAACCCGAGATTGAATTTCGTGTCGTGGTCGACGAAATCCAGTGTGGAGCGGACGGTGGAGATGATGATGATGCGGCGTTCTTGGCCTTGAAATTCTTCCACTGCCACTGTTTTGACGCCGATGTGGCCTTTGCCTTTCAGGAGCGCGCGGATGCGCTGGACTTGCTTCCTGTACGGCGCGATAACGCCGATTTGGGAGGTGTCGATGCCGAGTCCGCCGCGTGCGTCGCGCAATTTGGAGATGTATTTCGCGACTATAGCTGCTTCGTCTCGGTTGAACCTGTACGGGCGGAAATTTCATATGGCATTTGCAAGAAAAGTATCTTTCACCTCGCGGAAAGGCACTTACCATGACGGGCTATCTCCCTCTCTCTCATCCTTTCCTTGCACAGCATGGAACATGATCGGGAACCCTTTGGTTGGAAGGCCCTCCCACTTGCAGAGCGATTCGCGCTCCAACACATCTGCAGACGCTTCCAGAATGCCGTTGTAGAAGCGTTTTGACGGCAGGTCAATAATGGCGGGATGGGACCGATAGTTCCGCGTAAGCATAGTGACCACGTGCGGGTTATATCCCGAGGGTGTGGCATTCCGCTCCTTATCCGATTGATACAGCGGGCATTCCGTCAACCGCTCCAAGAAGGACTTTGCAAGCCCCAGTTGAATGGCGTCTCGGGATCGCAGGATGGGTCCCAACTGCTTGGGGTCTCCCGCAATGCAGAGCTGGGACGTCGGATTCTTTGTGTCGATGAGACCCGATAGGCCGATCCAGAACTCGGGTTCGGTGGCCTGGCCTGCCTCGTCGACAAACCATTTGGTGAAATGCCCCCTAGGGATGCCTAGAGCCACTAGATAACCGGCGGAAATCAGGGTACACACAACAACGCGCTTGGCTTCTATGAATTTGGGTTCCGGAAGCTCGAATACGCCGTCCTTTTCGTTGTAGGTGCTGTACTCCATGGCAACGGCGCTGACATCCTCTTTCGATCGCTTGTACGCATTGAGACGGTACATCTCGCTCGGGCGGAAGATCTTGTCTAGTCTCTCGACGATCTGGTCAGCCGCCGAATTGCTTGGTGCCATGGCGAGGATGCGTGCACGAGGGTTCAATCTCGCGGTCTGAATGATGGCCTCTACCAAGACAGAGGTCTTGCCAGTTCCCGGTGGGCCCCAGATCAAGTAAGGCACGCCCTGGTTTGCCTGATCGTAATGCAAATGTTGGTAAAGATTTGGAAAGAGGTAATATGCTTCGCAGCAGTGACATAACCCCCTCATGACCTGCTAATCATCCCCTCGCTCCACATCCAAGACCCAAACCACAACAAAAAGAGAGACATCTTACATGATTCGCCACATATTTAACAGCCTGCATCTGCTCAGCATTAAGCCTAGTGTTGACCTGACTGATAGCCTTCAGAGTCAACGGGGCCGAAGGCGCAACCTCCGGGAACCGCAGCTCAGGAGACACATCATTCAGTTTGCTGATAGCCAGATGTTGGCGTCGCAAGGGCGTGCGGCAGAAGGTGAATCGGACGTCGAGAAGCATTCCGGCTATCCAGATGTTGTTTACGAATGTGGGGCTGAACTTGAGGTAGACCTGCATTCCCGGAGTAGAACATGGTAAGTATATTGTTCGCGTTTTTGCAAGGTTCAAAGGACGTCGGACGTACCTCCTCCTTTTGCACTCGCCACACATATCCCTCGTATTCGCGAGCGACTGATTGCCCGGCAAGCCGAACATATATCTTGTCGCCGTATAGCACAGAAGGACGCTTCTCAGCGAGCCCAGGAACTGAAGACAACCGCGTCAGAACGGACGACCCACATTCGTATCGGACTTCTTGTCTTGACTTACCTTCGAGAGTCAAATAACTGCCAACCTGCTGCAGTTGAGCGTTCTTCATATCATATTGTCGGATATCTGACCACATCTGAATCTCCTCAAGATGCAAAAGCAGGCTGAACGTGTTCTGGTGGTTGTCAGGCATCAAGGTCACATTTTGGTTGCGACACGCATTAGTCTCCGCCATATCTAACACGGCTTGTGGGATGTTGTACTGCGGGAGCTTGACAGGGAAGCGTCCAGGGTCGAACTTGCGGGGTGCGACTCCTCGCACAATGTTTGTTCTCACGGACATTAGTTCGCTGATGCGCTTCCTGGGTTTCTTCACGTATGGAGCGACGGGCTTCATTTCCGCAACGTCTTTCGCGATTTCCGCGTCTTCGAATTTGAGCGAGATGTATCTACGGCCGGAAGATTAGGGTTTCCATTGGAGAGAACCGCGTGGCCGACACCGTAGCTTACCTGCAAATGACAAAGTCTTCTCTGAAAAAGAAGATCACATATAGTCGAACGTATCCATGATGTTTCGGGTTCACCATAAGCTCGTAGAACTGCGCGTTGTCTGGTTCCAGCTCAACCTCGGTCCGACTGGATTCGCCTCGCCTTCCAATTATTGAGACCGCCGGGTTCCCTGCTCCCAAGTACGGAGGCCGGGCAAGATGCCATGTCTCATTTCCGTGATTGTTTACGTAGAACTGCACTCTGGTTTTGGTTTTTGACACTGGGATTCTGATGAACCCGTCCTCGTCCATATTGAAGTCGGGATTGGCATTCAAGATGCGACGTTGGAGGTCGTCGACAATAATGCCTTTTTTGTTGCGCGCTAAGTACTCCCTGTTTCCGGCGAGGATCAGAGCAGAGGCCATGCCCCGAGGCCTTCCGGTATGGGCTGTTCCTCGAAACTCTTCGAGCCGGGTAGTGAAGATGACATGATTCCCTGCCACTCGATGCATGATGTCCTCGCGGTGCATCCATGCCGAGGCGCTTGCGGGAGCGAGACCGACGGGCGCACTTACATCGGACGCGCGAAACAGGCTGTATAACTCTCTGAATTCGTCCCATGTCTTCGGAAGGTCCGTCTGATCGGCGACATATCGCACAAAGTCGAGGAGAAAGTTACGGCGTTGAGCGCCATACGTCAGTGAGTTATCCCCGTTGCGCGTTGTTTGCTCTCGGCGAGGGTGAAAGCGGCGGGGCTGTAAACGTTCGGCTCCCACATCATTGGTGGATGGTCGCTCCCGACGGCTAGATCGTCCAGCGTCCGTAGTATCGTTCGTGTTGCGCCTATTCGGCGGGGCCTCCGCTTTAGCGTACCCGGTGAACGCAAGGGTCAACGGCGCGTGGTAACTGCGTTCAACTTCTCGGTCCAGACTATATGCGACCATCTTTATCGTCTGCTTCTATACGCGGGAACCGCGCTTCTGTACGAAGGCAACTAATCTGTCCTAAGCTACTCTAACACTCAAATGACGGCCACCAGAAAAGGATGAGGGTTGGCTGAGCGAGACCCTACCGCGAAGGTGTGCAGTTGGCGGCCGACAACCAACTCCTTGCGCAACACCAAAACGTCCACCAGCAGAACCTCCCAGTCCTGTCCTGTGTGTATGTTGTGTACCGTACAGTCCGGGTGTGTTCTTGCCTGGGTTGGGAAGAAGTTCGAATGGGACCTGGGGGAATGTCCCACGGGCCACAAGCCACCCCTTGAATTTGACTCTGAGAATTTGACTTGTGGAAGTTTTGGGCATTCTGGCACCCGAAACACACACGGCAAGCAGAGCAGCACTACTTTGCCAATGGCACGCAGCAGCCCCACAGACCCCTCTCCGACTCCCACCGGCAACTCCTCCTCCTCCTCCTCCTCGGCCTCAAACTCCTCCAGTGACCCACCAGCCTCCCCACGCGGAACCTTTATTGTCTTCGAGGGCATCGACCGGAGCGGGAAATCCTCCCAAACTGCAGCACTATGCTCCCGCCTCACCACCGCAGGCGTGCCCGTCGTCCTTAAACGGTTTCCGGATAGGACCACATCCACCGGGAAGATGATCAGCGCCTATCTGGAGAACACCGCGCAAACCAAAGCGGAACGGATCCGGAATGGGGCGGCATCTGACGCGGCTGCCGACGCCACGGCGGAGGAGACGGAGTTATCCGATCAGGCTATCCACGTTCTGTTCTCGACGAACAGGTGGGAGGCGCAGACGGCTATCAAGCGGCTGCTGAGGCAGGGGACGACGGTGATTGCGGATCGGTACGCGTATTCTGGGGTCGCTTACACCGCGGCCAAATTCACCACATCCGCAACGAACCCGACCACCAGCACGGAGGATAGCCAACCACCACCAACAGCTACCAACTTCTACAACACCCTCTCATGGTGTAAAAATGCCGACAGGGGCCTGCTAACTCCCGACGTCGTCGTCTTCATGGACATTGACCCAGCCGTCGCCGCCGCACGCGCAGAGTACGGGAACGAGCGCTACGAGAAAATCGAGTTCCAGCGCGGCGTTGCGAGTATATTTGAGGTGTTGGGAGAGGAGGAGGGTGTGGGCAGATGGAAGAAGGTGGATGCGGCACGGAGCGCGGAGGAGGTGAAGGAAGGTGTGTGGGGCGTTGTGGAGCCTGTCATGCAGCGTGTGGCGGCGGAAAGGAGGGGTTGTAGAGAGGACTTGTGGTTGGATTGATGCCTTAATGCGGCCGTGGATGCAGTGCGATCGAATGTATTGAACGACCTGTGCATCGCGATACCCATTCCCCACGCCTCTACCGACCCTTCTGTAGCATGTCAGCAGCCTTATCTTCCCTTCCAGAGAAAGCGAGCGTATCGGTTGTCTACTAGCTGTGTATTTGTACATACTTGTCGGAAATGTAAATATGGGAAGTGTAATCGACGGGGTCAGCCAGCCGTATTGAACCATTGCTGCGACCGGGACTTTTCCATGGATGGATCGTGGATATCTACAAAGCATTCGCGATGCGGGAAATCTGTTCCGGCACCGCTGCAAACACGCTCGACGTTGAAACCTCGGCTGCTTGTCCAAGAGGTCTCAAATTACCCGAATACGCCGCACGTCGCATCCTCCTCACAGCAGCCCATGTTGCCGAAACAGCCGAAAGAACTGATAAGCCTCATGCGCCCTCCCAAACGTCTCCTTCGGCAACCGAACCGCCGCATACTCATGCCAATCCGGATCGAATTCCCGACCATCCACATCATTCGCCTGTTTACCACTTATTCCAAACACGACATATATCAATACCAACGCGAGACGGAAAGAGGTGTGAGGTGGGACATACCTTGCGATCCCCATCCGATTCTGACCTTTTGATACCGCCCGCTCATGCAGCGCCATGCTCAATTCCATGTCGTTGACCCCCGGGAGACCGCGCAGGACTTGCCGGAGGAGCATGCGGAGGGCCAGGAAGGCTTCGGCGCGGGGTGTATTTGGGTTTGTGTCTTCGGCCTGGGTAGAGGCTCATGCCTGAGCCAATAGTTTCTGATGGAGGAGGGACAGAGAGAAGACGCACCTGGATGAACATCCCACGACCCGCGTAAGACTTCATGCTCCCGACCCTGATTACATAGTTTCCGCGCTCGTACTTGATTCCCTGCATGTCCCACCTTTAAGCAAACCCCCAACCCATCACAGTCGGATCCCCACACTCCCCAACGCACCTCAATAGCAATCTCCTGCCTCCTCACCCACAACCCCTTCAACTTTCCCAAAATCATCTCATACCCCTCATCCATCTCGATCACAATCCCGCTCTCCTTCCACTGCTCACCACCCGTGATATCCATCACCGGCACCGCCGCACGACCGCCGACCGTCGCAATCATCGCAAACACGCCCTCCACATGCGCTTGGGTGAGGACATACTGCACTTTCGGTGTATAAGATGATGTCGCGGGGTTGGTGAATGAGGTGGTGGAGGCGGAACGCAGCCGCGCGTCGACTTGGTCACGGTAGGAGCGGCATGTGAGGGACCAGGTTTCGTCGGTTTCGGTGAAGTCGAAGGTGTCGGTGAGGCGATTGTTGAGCGGGTTGACGAGGGAGAGGGGGGCAGAGGGGAGGAAGACCAGACTTTGGTGGGGGGAAGTTCAGGGTGTATTAGCGATTTGTTGGACCGGCCAGAAATGGGAACCTGGCGCCAACTCACCTCGTCACCCCCATTTCCGTGCCTTCCTGTGCTTAGCCGTCCTGCCAGCCAAACAAGGGTTCCCGAGCTTGTCTCTTATGTTTAACGCCTACAGGTTCTTGTCATTGCGAACGGGAGGCGACGGGAGGGCAATGTCGGAAGGACTCGTTGAGCGAACTTCCAGACGCGTTTGTCGATTTTACCCACTGGGACACCTGTGGGACACTGACTGGGACATGGAAACTCCAATGATGCACATACACACCCAGGACGTTCATGAACGACGACAATGGTCGCAAGTAACCTTTTTCATGCAGTGGGGTGACAAGACAAAGTAGTGCAAGGCTATCATGCAGAAATTAGAAGTCTGATGGGGATACGCCGGTATAACAATCTCGATGAGAAGCGACAAGCTCGGTGAGAACTATGAACAGGGCTTTGCCAATCCGCCAGACCATACTAAAACTGGCGGTACGACATTTCTTCATCCATTGGCACAAATAGCAACGCACCGGTGCATTGGGGGAAGATGGTAAACATCTGAAGCTCATCAGTTTGCGACCTTGACAACGATCTTTCCCCTAGCATGTTTGCTGAGCATGAGATCATATGCCTGCAAATCAATTTGGAAAGAAACGAAAGATGGTTAGTGCAACCGGGGCCTCCTACATATACACCCCCACAAACACCGAGCCATACCTTCAACACATCCCCCATCCCAAACACATCCCCAACCACAACCTTCACCCTCCCCTCCCCCACCAACCCCCCCAACCTCTCCAAAGTTTCCAACGTCGACACCGCCGCAACCTGCACATGCTTCCTGCCCACTCCCCCAAGAACCCTCGGCCGCATATTGTTCCCCAACATCTTGCCCAGGGCGGATAACATCGGGAGGTAGGCGTAGGAGGTTGGTGCGATCCCGACGGAGACGAAGGGGCCGTCGGGGTGGAGGTAGGAGCGGGAGTGGGTGAAGAGGGGTTGGGAGCCGCGGGCGTCGATTAGGAGGGTGGAGAGGTGGATGGGGAGGGAGGGGTGGGCGGTGTAGTCGATTACCTGTTGGAAAGAAAGTATTGCGGTTCAATCGTGTGGTCATTGAACGGCGAATTCGGGGACGATAACGTTACCTCATCAGCACCCAACCCCTTCACGAAATCCGCATTCCTTCCCGAACAAACCGCCACAACCTTCCCACTCTCCCCAACCGCATTCTTCGCCAGCTGCACGGCCAGATGCCCACATCCGCCACTCGCACCATTCACCAGCACCCGATCGCCAACCTTCAACCCCGCCGCATCCACCAAACACAACGCAGTAGCGCCCGCCACGCCCAGCCCCGCCGCTTCCTCAAAACCAATAGTAGCCGGTTTGGGAAAAACGGAAGTGTGTTCAACAGCAACAAACTCCGCCAACGCGCCGACCCCTTTCCCAACATGCTGACCGACGGGTATAGACCCAAACACCTCCACACCCTCCTTCAACCCCCGCTCAGCAGGCACACCCTCGCCAACCCTCACAACTGTGCCCGAGAAATCCAGTTCGGGGATACACGGTTTCTTGCGGAAGACAGCGGGGTAGAGAGCCATCAAGATGGAGCCACCTGGGTTGAGGGACGCGTGGGAGATGGCGATGAGGAGGGAGGTTGGGGTGAGTAGGGTGGGGACGGGGAGGGTGGGGGCGAGGGTGAGGACCGTGGAGGGGGCGCCGGGGTTGATGTGGGTCCAGGCGCGCATTGTTGGGGGGAGGGTGAACATTTTCGGTGCGTAAAAAGGTTATCTGGAGAGGAACTTCGCTTGTGGTAGATAGAGGAGGTGGTGGTGCTGCTTTGAGATGATGGGAGAGGGAGTCTGCTACCTGTCTTGCTTCTTATATATAAGTACACCGGAGAGGAAGCACGTCTGAGGCGACCACCATCGACCCCCGACCGACCAACCCTCCAGGTTCCAAAACCAGTCATTTCGATCAGGAAGGGTGAGGCCGCAAGCGTGGGACGGTGGGAGAGCCGTGGGGTGTTCAGGGTGTCGAACACGTTTACGTCCCGGTGGTTCATTTGACGCGTGGCTTTCTTTAAGGTTCATCGACGCCCCGTGGATTCTGGCTAAGCCCGCCCTCCGAGCCTCCGGAGCAACACAACGAAGACACCGAAACGGCGAAAAGTACAGTACAACAATTCGCAAATATCGAATGGTGGCAACGGCTCGGGATATTCGTAACGCACAAGTTTGAGACACTCCCGCTGTCTATCATCATCATGTCCACCCAATCCGACTCCCGAAAATATCCTTTATCGTCTATAACATGCATGCAAAGTTAAGAAAACAAACATTCGACCCAATTACGCTCATCCCCATCCCCCCCCCCCCACCCCCCAACCACCAGTCTCATACAGAAACCAACTCAAAAGTCCTGCCACTCATCCTCACTCGGCTTCGGCTTCTGCCGACTACTAACCGACGTCGCAGTCCCATATGTGGGCTGGCTCTGCGGTGACGGTGTCACTGACGAAGCAGCAGCAGCAGCAGCAGCAGGCGTTGTCCACTCATCTCGCTGCACATCCTTCGCAGGCTGGTCCCAATCTCCCCACAGATCCTCACTCGCCGGGGGCGGGTTCGCATCATGAGACGATCCGTGATTGTCTTCCCACCCGCCACCACCGTAGTGTGGATTGTTGTTGTGGTTGTTACCTCCCGGCTGGGAGTACCCACTGGCCTGATTGACGAAGCTGGAGACTTGGTTGAAGCCCTTTTGTCCGACTTCGGTGACTTTGGAGCCGAAGGAGGTAACAGAGCGGGAGAGGTTGTCTTTGAAGTTGGGATCGCGGACGGCGGTTGCTGTGGGTTGGATCACGTTTTCGGCGACCTGTGTGTGGAAGGGGGGCGAGGGTGAGGCGGGAGAAGCTCGGGAACGATGTTGGGGGGAAGTTTTAATCCACAGGGCCGAGGGTCTAGCACGCACCTTCTGTCCGACCATCTCAGCTCCCGAAACGGCGATCTTGGCACCCTCCATGACAGTGTTTCCGACCAACCCAGCAACCGACGTGAGAGTGGGCGCGAGGAATCCCCAGCCCTTTGACAGAGCCTTCAATGGATCTTCAAGGATGTTCGCTGGTCCGCTATTGCTGAATGAAGGGGTGACTGTGTGCAATAGGGTCCCTCAGTACGGTTATGCAACCGTACCCTGCCACTTCAGAGATATGCATAAACTCACAGTCGCTGTTGCCGAACCCTGCGTATTTGCCACCCTGATTCGGCGGGAGGTTGGCGGACCGGGTGGCGTTCTCAAATCCCTTTTTCTGCAACGATACTTGGCTTCAATAACCCATCCACCATGAGTGAGGGGCCCTCACGTTTCCAAAATTCCCACGTACAGCAAAAAAGTCCTCATTCCTCGACTTTTGATCTGGGAATCCACCGTCGCCGCCTTGGTATCCCGACTGCCCAGACGATACTCCGCTATACGCGCCGCCGCCGCTTGGTAGGTTCCTTCCCCCTAGGGCCGGCGAACCGCTGGGACGTGGGGACCCCGTGGTGCGTGGGGAGTTTGTTCCCAGTGTCCGGGCGGGGGCTGTCCAGGTCTTTCCTTCACATTCGGCACTCAGCTGTTTGAGAAATGGTTAGAAGCGCTTTTGGCTCCTCGCTTCGGATCGCTCCTCGACTTGAACACACCTTCTCCCGGTATTGCTTAGCAAACTCACTGGGGACGACCAAATCAGTATGGTCCCTCACGCGAGAAAATGCTTGCGACGAGGCTACCGACTCACCTGCCATACTTTTCCTGATGCCCGCAAAGATGAAAGCCCGCAAATCAGAGATGGCTCGCAGCAGTCGCGCAGAAAATCTTGCCTGTCCATTACCTGGATCGTCATGGTATTCGAGTACTCTTCAGGAAAGCGAAAGTCAGCCCTCATGACGTAAGGTCGCTGAGTCCATATGCCACACAACCAACCTGGGAAGGTTTCGAAGAATTGCAGCATCTTCCTGTTCCCTCCAAGCGTCATGCGCTTGACCTGGTCTTCACTCCACTTGTCCATAGTCACCGACCGAACGAAGCTAAGATGGACGCCCTATGTTTACGCTATGAGCTTGCAATGGATATCGGAACAACCCTCGTCCTGAAGGGGGACCCATACCAGACTCCTATGGACACCCGAGCATTCGAGGCAAAAGAAGATGCCGTAGGTGACACTGGCCCATTGTGGATTATGTGCCCCTGGCGGAGTGTAAATATCAAGAGTGAGTGAGAATGTGGGAGTGCTGCTACGATGGGTGTGAGTGCGGCTTACCGCAATCGACACAGCTCTTGTTGTCCTCGCGGCGCTGGAGCTCCAGCAGCGTCTGCTTCAAGGGGTCCATGATAGTCAAGCTCGTAGTTCAAGTGGTTATCCTGAAGGGGTCGTCTTCAGCCGTCCGCAACCAACAACAACTGCTTTAGAGGAGGCCTCGAGACTCCTCCAGAGGACAGCGGCAAAAGTCAACGGACGCGTCTTCCCAGGTCTCCCAGGTCTTCCTCCTTCGCAACGTCTGCTTTATGCAGCTGCTGGCAACCGCACAAGATATCACTCGGGCAGTGTCCTTCATCGTATCTGAGTACTGAGGTGGTGGAGGCATATCCGAACAAGGGGACCCACAGTCACTTGCTGTATTGAAAGAGTCGGATTCGTATCCCGACCTTCGTCATGGCCACCAGCAAACCCGATACGGCTGAGCCACTCGCGATCAATTCAGGCCACGCGGAACTTGAGCAGACCGGCCACCAAAGCGAAAGGCCTAATGGGAGCGTCAGAAAAGAAAATGGCACGGATGGAGAAAAGTCCTCCGGAGAGGAGTTGCTGCCGATAAGGAGGAGGCCGAAAGCTATAGACCTGATAGCGGCCCCAGTGAAGAACGAGCTAGGGGCGGAAATGGGGAGGGGTTTGGAGAAGGGGCTGGAGAAAGACGTAGAAGCGGAAAAGACGGAAAATGACGCACCTCTGCTAGAGGATGGCGAGGTGCACGAGGACGGCGAAGCACCAGAAATGAACGGGTTCATCCCTATGGAGGATCCCCGTTTCTACTTTCACCCGGCGACAAACTACGTGTACGACACAATCACAGGCGCTTACAGCTTATGGGATGTCGCGAGCCAATCATACCGGGCGATTCCCCCCGCAGTCCCCACCATCGCAAACAACGTCACGAACATGGGCTTACAGGTCATTGAACATGCTCCGGAAAGCGATGCAACCCTGACATTGGTGGTGATTCGGTCGAAATTGCTGCAGCCTGGATCCATCGTGCTTGTGGATGGAAAGGGGCTGACGATTGGGAGAGAATCCTCGGAGTTCGATCGCCGTCTGGTTCTCAATGAGCTTAGTGTCAGCAGAGTGCATTGTTCTCTGTTTGTCGATCGGGTCCTGGAGACGGTCCCGGAAACGATGGGTACCCACGAACGCCGGAGCGGTCGTGAAAGGTCGTCATCAAGAGATCGATCAGGAATGAAAAATCGACGAATAGAGGAGGCACATCCGGAGCAGGTACGATGGCTCTCAGACCGAAGGGACCGGAACATAACATTCTGATCGATAAGTTCCTAAAGGCGGCAAAGGGACACGACCGTGTACAAGACATGGCATCAAAACTCACTGCCGAAATCGGAGCGCGAGGTAGCAATCGATTCGGTCTTGAAAATGCCTTCCACCATCGCCGTGGCATCTTGCTAGCGGCCTGTTCATGAGCCCCATCCATCTCTCTCCACTCCCACGATTTTCACTTTGATTAACCATCGTCATCGCCGATATCTCCCTAGACAAACATCGGAACCATCGGGATGATTCACCAGTACGGTCGGGCAAACGACGACGTGATGAAGAGAAGGATGGATACCACCACCACCACCGTCACCACCACCAACGCTCAGGTCGTCGAGGGTCTCGTTCATGGTCTCGTTCCGGGTCTCGTTCTCGGACGCGTTCGCGATCTCGTTTCAGGTCTCGTTCCAGGTCGTATGACTCGTACGACTCTTATGATTCCGACCGCAGCTATGGGCGTCGGAGAGAGAAACGGGCTAGGCGGACTCGCCGCGAACCTACCCCACCGCCGAAACAACGCCTTGCGGACTACTTCTTCGTTACGGATGTTGGATCCACGCATGGAACCACGCTCAACAACGTGCGGCTGAGCGAAGCTAAGGTATGCCGCTGTACTCTCCTCGATCATCCCAACATCAAACTGACGGTCTTATTCAATAATACAGAAAGCTAGCCAACCGCAAATGCTCAAACACGGCGACGTCCTCGCCATCGGCTCCACCGTCCTCAAAGCCCACATCCACCCCGAATGGCCCTGCACCGACTGCCGCGTCACCTCCAACAACGTCGTCAGCACCGAGCCGCGCCCCAAAAAAGCCACCGCTTCCGTCAAAACCGATCCGCCACCCTCACAGGACTCGACCAACAATTCAGGCAACGCAACCGATAAAACCGCCTTAGAGAAAACCCGACGCGCGGAACTTAGAAGACTCAAACGTGAAGCCCTAGGCGGGGACGCGAGCGCGGATAAACCAAAGTATATTGACCGCGCGGCCCTACGGAGACAGATGCACGGTCTTTCGGCTGAACCCCCGGCCGCCGAAATCGGTTACGACACAGGTATTGGGGGCAACTCCCCGGCCCCATCGCGTGCACATCAATCATCCTATAACACACCACGACGCGCCTACGACGACCCAACACCGTATGAGGACCCACCGGTCATGGGCGTCGGGGGCAGGATGTTGCAGAAGATGGGATGGACGGCGGGGCAGGGGCTTGGTGCGGCGGGGGACGGGCGGGTTGAGCCTGTTGCTGTTACGATGCGGCAGAATCGGGTTGGTCTGGGGATGGATCACGGGGCGAGTGAGACCATGAAGGGGGGAGATCGGCATCAGCATGGGAAGGAAACGCTGAAGCAGGCGACGATGCGGAAGGCTAGGGAGAGGTTTTTGGCTATGAATGATGAATAAGGACGGGGGTGCCGCGCATGAACGATGAGTGGGAAACGGCGGTTTCGACCCCATGCTATGCATGAACGATCGGATACCTCGTCCCGATTTGCCGTATAGGTCGCCACCCTACGTATTCGGCAAACGGCGTCCTTCCTTGATTTTTTTTTTCACCGATCCCATATATACTTCCCCAAACTGGCCCTCGAACATGGCACATGCAAATGAGGCATTTATGGCGGCTCAGAACACTATGTATATGTACAACAGGAAAGAACATTCACAGATTCTGGTACGCTACCGCAACGGGGCTACATGTACTGTATAATCATCTACGCCAGATAATAAACCCAAACCGCTGCACGTAATCATCTCCCCGTCTCATAGTGCAACGCATCCTCGCCCGCATCACCCCTCGTCGTCTCCCCAGCCGCGATCCCATTCGCCATCATCGGCGGCGCCCTCTGCCCGCCATTCGATATCCACGCCCCGTTCTGCGACAGAGTATCACTCTCATCGACATCCATCCCGTTCTCCGCCTCATCCTCAAGCCCCACCGTCGACGAAACCGACGAATCCGGTTGCGGCGGCGGGCGAGCGAACCGCGGAAGTTGATGATGATGCGTCGCCAGACCGTTCCGCGGCGGCCGCGGCTGCTCATCCGTATCCCTGTCCTCGTCGGTGAAGGAAGAGGTGGCGGGGCTGTCGATGGTGAACAGGCGCGCAACGGTGGGGTTGACGGGCCGCGCGCGCGGGTTGATGGAGACGAGGTGGCTGGAGCGGCGGCCGTAGTCGCGGTGGTTGCGGCGGTTGTCGCCTTCGTCTTCGGAGTCGGAGAGTTCGGTGGAGGGGATGCGGTGCATGTCGCTCATTGATTCTGTGTATTTTACATGGGGATTTTTGGATGGATGGGTCAGCTTTGGGTGCGGGTGCATGTGCGTGTAGTGAGGATGTGCAAACTTACGTGTTATGCGTTCCTCTGGGTCTTCTTCCTCGTCCGATTCGAACAGGTTGCGGTCCAAGTCGGATGGGATTGCTGTGGAGAGTTCGCGTTAACACACCGTCGTTTTGCCATTCACAGTGTTGTAATGTTCCCTACCGTGCATCTGGACACTCGGAGCCGCGGGCATATTACGGAGGTTCTCCACTATCTTCATGCTACAGATGAAGTGATGAGGCCCATTTCGATGAGTTATCTGCGGCGAATCGATGGCCTTACTGCATCCGCTCCAAGTATTCCCGACTGTTCCGATTGTCCATGTTGTTGTTGGGGATATCCAGCCGATAATTTGGGCCAAAGTACTGATAATAATCGTTGTAAGGCAGTTCTAGAAGGGGAGCCGCTTTTAGTCCCCCATTCCAATAAATCCACCATCACAGATACCTGGACCTACCGTCGTCCAGCTCTTCGCCCACCGCTAACCCAGTCTCATAGCACCAGGCCCGAGACACGTTTCGTATTGTGTAGCCCCCGCCGCCCAGCATCATAATGGGGATGTTGAACGTCTTCATGAACTCCACGGCCATCCCGTGCCCTGTATCGAACATCAGATTCCACGTCGGGCAAGATGCATAAAGCGACAGAATGCGCCCACCTTGTAATGACAAGTTGAAACACCCCAGTCGATCTCCCGCGAGTGAATCGGCACCGCATTGCAGAACGATGACTTCTGGCTGGTAAAATGCCATCACATGGCGCATCACCTGTACACGGAGGTTAAGAACATGTAGCCAAATGTAACAGCGCTTACTGAACTTACCGGCTGAAAGATCCGCTTATATGTGCTATCATCGATTCCATCTTTCAGCGGGAAGTTGACCGCATAATGCTTTCCGTCCCCGTGTCCAACATCCTGCATTCGCATCGGTTTCGACGCGATCGTCAGCAAAGCTGTTGCTCTTCCCAGTAATGGCAAGTCTCGACCTTACATTTATATCTCCGGTTCCCGGAAAATACTCGCCGTACTTGTGGAATGAAACCGTCATGACGCGGTCGGTGGAGTAGAATGCTTCCTCGACACCGTCTCCGTGATGCACATCGATATCCACGTACAGGACTCGCTGATAGTTCCTGAAAAGTGATTGTCTCGACATGAGGATTTGTGTGCTCTACCTGTTCTCCATATGAGACTTAACGTACTTGAGGAGCTCCAGGATCCCTAATACGATGTCGTTTACATAGCAGAAGCCTGATGCTTCGCACTTTTTGGCGTGATGCATGCCTCCTCCCCAGTTAATGGCAATGTCCGACTTGTCGTTGATGAGGTTCTGCGCAGCAGCTTAATGATCCACAAGGGTTCAGTTGCAAGTGACATGAACGGTCCATCACTCCAGCAAGTTCAACCCACAGATAGAGCCTCCCGCCGACAATGTCGAGAAATCGTACATTCCTTCAAATACCGGACAATCCTCTCCAACGTTGACTGCAGAGATCCAGAGGTTACACTTCGACGCTTCGCATGAAGTAGCAGTGGAACGAGAGAGGGCCTTACACTTCTGTTGCGATCTCGTCAACTCTTCAAAGTTGTCAGGAGTAACACGTTGCAGGAACTCCATGTAATCGTCAGAGTGGAACTTTGTCAGCTCGGCGAAAGTTGCTCGTGATGGTCGCTGAGCGAGCAAAAGGCGACCCCATCAGCCATCCGCTCACACATCGGGCATAGATCATGGCTGTCCGCTACGTACGTAGATTTCCATTTTCTTATACAGCCCGTAGTTCATCACCAAATTATGCGTCATTCGTATCCTATGTGGCTATAAAGGTAGAGACTGCGGCATCAGATGAAGTGTCTAAACACTAGACATACTTCGAAGCGCACATACCTTCATTGGGTGTTGAGGGCCATAGTGAAAGTTTCCGACGTCCTCTAACACGGTAAGTCAGAAAGGTCGAACATACTCCCCAGTTGGACCATTTCTGAGAAAATGATGTACCATGATAGTAGTATGATACTCGGTGCTTCTGCGCCGGTCCTGTCGCCATGTTGTGCTCGCTGCAGCCGTACTATGCGGCAACCCAGAAAACTTTCTGCGAAACCGGCTTCGGAGTCAGTCGCAGCGCCATATCATGCCAAAGCTATGATACACTCGAAGCACATACCTGCTTGCACTATTTATTAGAAAGGGTGCTGCACTTCCAATACTCCATCTACCACCTGGTGTGCGTCTTCGAGTCTCGTCTGTGAGGGTCGGTTTTCACGGCGATGCTGTCCACGCCCCAACCTTCAGAACAGCGCGCCGGTCTTTTCAGGTCACCGTCATTCCCACGACCTTTTAGAACATCCTGTTCCCTCGACAGTAACCCCAGTGCTACCGACATAGAAGTAGTACCACCGTTGCCCTCCCTCCGCCGACCTCCACTTGTCTACTGTGTCAAATAGTTCGGCCGGCGCTCCCGCAATGAACCGTTACAGTTAGGGTGGCTATGGGTGATCTCTGGTCCTTGCTAACACGGCGCTCTAGCGCTTCAGGTGAGTCCGAAGGATATCCTACTGTGGGAGCGAGAGAGAGCGTCCTCACCAACTGTTCCCTGTTTCCAGGTCGTCTGTTCAAGAGGCTCGATAGCATTTCTTCGAGGCTTTTTTATCGACATGGCTTATTTTGTGCCTCTCACCCATACCTGACGCTGTTCTTCTCGTTCGTTCTCATGTTCTTCCTGTCGTCCCCTGTTATCCTGCAACTATACGGGCACCTTACACAGCCACCACAGCCAGTACCTACGCTTCTATGGGAGACGTCGGCCTCTCACTTCTCGTCCGGTCTGTCCCACGTGAAGGAGAAGTTTGGGACAGAGCCATACTTGCGTCTGGAGCAGATAGTCGTCAACGTGACGGGCCTGCCGTCAGACGGAGGAAGCGATAGGGGGGTTTTGAGTGATAGCATACTCGCTTATGCCATGTCACTGCACGAAGCGATCTCACGGACTGTAGTGGACGGCTCCTCCGGCGGCCTGGGCAACCAGAAAAAGTTCTCGCTAGCCGACATCTGCTATATGCCACCGGGTATCGAAAGATGCCTCGTGCACTCCCCACTGGAATATTGGGGATCCGAAAGTGAACGCTTCGCGAAGGATGTGGATCATCTGGCGACGGTATCCGACAGCAGCATACTATCCTCGTTAGGGATACCGATCCCTTTAGAATCAGTCTTTAGTGGGCTGCGGTTTGATGCCGCATCCCGCAAAGTCATTGGAGCAGAGTCATTACTTTTCACATATTTCCTTTCGAGCAAACCTCCGGAAGAACAATTGCAAGCCAGAATTCCGGATGTTTGGGATAGACTATGGACCGAAGCGTTCAAAAGCACTCGGCATTTCACCACCAGCATCGGCGCGAGCGAAGCACTGAAGCCAACCGAATGGCGCTCAGACGGTGCGCCGCGTCTTCTTTACTACGAGGTACGGAAACGGCGTCACACCCCTTTCAAGCTCGGCTGTGTCATAACACTTTTCGTTGCAGTTCGGCTCATCAACGTCCATTTTCACTGGCGAATCACTTGTACTCGGCGTGATGTACATCATTGTATTTCTGTACATTTCGCTTGTACTGGGAAAAGTGGACTTGGTGAAATCCAAGTTTGCGCTAGGCTTCGGTGCCGTTATCACGGTGTTCACCGGACTTGTTATGTCCGTCGGGCTCTGCTCATTTCTTGGGGTCCAGACTTCGCTGGTGCCATGGTAAGGAGATCACGTTGTTCTAAAGCAGAGATCGTCTCAGCTGACTCGTTCACTGTTCCAGGGAGGCATTACCGTTTCTTCTCATCGTGGTGGGCATGGAGAACATCTTTGTCCTCACAAACTCGGTCGTCATGACTTCGCTCGACTTACCTGTGAAAGAACGTGTCGGCATTGGACTGAGCAAAGTCGGCGCCTCTATGACCGCGTCCCTCGGCGGCGAAATGTGCCTTCTGCTTCTCGCGTCTCTGACGAGCATTCCTACGCTGCAGGTAGGAGCTGGAGTAATGCAGTCCTTCCGTCAAACAACGTTTTGATCATCCGGGCGCCTTTCAGGAATTCTGCCTTTTTGGGGCCGTGTCCCTGGTCATGGATTACTTCATGCAGATCACTTTTTTCGTCACAATTTTGTCGATTGATATTCGGCGGTTAGAGGTTTGTTCACGCATGGAGTCGGTATCGGGTCAAGATCGCCTTCTCACGCTGTCTTAGCTGTCAGATTTGCACAACGTCCGAAGTGTAGGTGGTAATCTGACGGGACGCAGGGCATCGACCGCTACGACCGGCGCCGTGGACTCTGAATCAACAGCAGAGGACTCCACCGAGAGTGAACAATCCCCAAGTCAGAGACCTCATTGGGGAAGCTATTTAATTGTAAGTTGACTTCTCGTCCCGAAACTTGGATCAATCATGCTTACCGCTCGGTATTCGTAGATATTAGCTTTGGTGTCGGTTCTTGGACTTGGCCTATCGGGATCTTCCACATCCTCCCTGTGGGCAGAGAACAGCATCAGCGCCACAGTCTTGGGCAAGAAGGGCCTTTTGTCCGATACATCCTGTGAGAACTCCGTCTGTTCCACTGCGAATGCCTTTTGGCACATCATCGACCCTGACAGATCGGCGAAGTACGTTGAAATTGGATCGCCGCAGTATGTTTCCTTTGAGACATCGAGCGATAGGTCGTTCGCCAAGCCGGACGTTGCATATCAACCGTCGCCGTCCTCGTCATCGTTACCATTCCCTTCGAGCGGATACGCATCTCCGACAAGCGGTTCACTAGCAAGTTCACTCCAGTGGGTGCAACACGCGCATCCTGTCTTTTTCATGATCGTGGTTGTGTTGTCTCTGCTCCTCTTTGTCGTCGTTTGTTTGTTCATCAGCAGCCTTGCACAATGGGCTTCGGCAGCTGCCTCAGGGCAGTCTCTCCGACGAGACAGCGTTGCGTCGGAAGCAAGCCAGGCATCATCGTCACCACCTGAATCGCAATCAATAGATGGGTCCGCGATTGATACAGTCCCCGCCGGCGGCTGCGAGGACGTGGAATATTTGATTTCCACGTCTGACTTTGTCGTTTGGATTCAAGGAGGAGGGCAGCGCGTTCGCTATATGAACAAAGCGGACCCACAGCAAACCTTTGCCGTCGGAAGAGTTCGAAATCGCAGTCGTATTACGACAATCGCGGTTCATAAGGTGTCAGAAAAAGCAATCTGGATCGCATCGGGGACAGATTCGGGATCCGTCGAAGTTTGGGATGCGAGCGCAAAAGTTTTTCTATTGGAAGACGGCTCGCTACCAAAAGGGCGGATAACGACTCTGGCGTTTGGACCTGGAGGCGCAGACGCGTTGTTATTTGCGGGGACAGCCGATGGATCTCTCAAAGTGATTTTCCCCGCTCCACCAGGGATGTCGATAGGGCCACCCAAGCGTCTGCCGACCTACGTTTGTCGAAAGCACAGTGGTGCCATACTTACTCTTCACGTGGATTCGTACGGCACGCTTTACAGCGCCTCTGAAGATTCCACGATAAAGTGTTGGTCAGCACGCCGAAATGGATACGGAAGTCCGGAATGGATCCCCTTCCATACCTTCTTTGGTCATCAAGGCCATGTGACCGCTTTAGCATCCGATCAACAAGGTCGTATCTTGGCGAGCGGGGCCTCGACGGGCGAACTAATCATCTGGGATGTCGAGCGTCGGAGCTTGCTGGTCAAGATCGTTCCAGGTGATACTCTTGGAAGCGAGGCGCCGTCCGGGCATAACGGGCCGGTAACACAGGTTTATTTGACTCAAACAAGCGAAACGTTGACCTCCACCACTCACATGATATGCAGCGCCGCCAAGGATGAGGAAGCGATAGTATGGGAGTACACATCCGCGCGACGGGACGAGACGGGGCAGAGCGCGAACCGAAACCGTAGCACGAGTGCCCCTCCACCAATGGGCACGCGTGCAGCTTTGACGCGGAGAGACTCCTTTGCATCTCGAGACCCTGTCGTTTTGTCGAAGCAGCAGATAACCGATCTCATGGTCGACGAGAGCCAAAACGCTCTCCCACCGGCGAGCCTTCGTCAAGTCGGTCGCATACGGCAGACAGGGGCAGTCAACGTAGCTATGGCGGGCACAGTTTTGTTTGGGGTGTGCACGCGTGCTCCAGCAGAGAAGGGGGAGTCGAGGACGCAGGATTTTGGGAACTATTTAAAGTGCATCCTCGGTCTCCCCAACTCGCAACCGCCAAGCAAGACTGACGACCGTCGCGACAGCAAAGGCTGGGTATGGACGGTGTGGATGGTAGATGTCCGGACATGGAAAGGGGATCTGTCCGAGCTACAGACCGTGGTGATTGGGGAAGACAAGCTCAAAGGGTTGGGGTCTGACCCTCTTCTAGGGGTCTTATTACCGAGTCCAAGCGCGTCAAAACCGCCAGCGGAAAGCGGTGTGAGACGGCGACGTGTGATCAAAGCCACACGAGAACCGTCGTCAGACAACGAATCCTATGCGGTTCGGAAACCTCCGCGGGCACCGCCACCCTCGAATCAGTGTCGGTCGAGTAATCAACGGCGCCCTGACTCACTGGGGCCCACGTCTGCTCCGGCTGCCATGGGCCGACCACGCCACGTACGGGCTGGCTCGAACGATCATGCCGATGTTTTGAGAACATCGGACCATGAGGCAGGCTGGACGGGTTCCAGAGACCAATCTGTTCCGCGCTCGGCTACTATAGGAAAGCCTTCCGCGCCAACGCCGAACCTGGGCAGAGACCTGCTCACATCTCCGATGCCCGCGTCTTCTGGTCCCCAAGACCAGACTTGGGAAGATCAGCAGCGCAGAGACGCCAAAATCTCATCCTCAGATTCCGGATCTGGCCATACCGAATCGAGCGACCTATCATCGGCCTCCACCGTAACCAACTCATCTGACGACTCCTCAAGCTCAGAAAACGATTCTGATATCGATGATCCATGTAAGGTAGGCTGGGAAGCCGACGAAGCGCCGGCGCCTGTGCTGCAAGTGCGGTCCCTCTCGGCTTCCGACTCGGGAGTCGCAGTAGCATTTGGGAACTGCATCAAACTCATATCGATGACTGATCGGGCAGGCAGTGCTGGAGAACGCAGGAGCAGCCTCGGCTCTTGGAGGAAGTCAGGAGGGGACACTTGGAAGTGCGGCTGACAGGCTGCCATCCTCTGAGATGAACCGGCTGGGTGGCTCTAACATTCACTTGTACATATTAGACTTTGGCACGTGTGAAAATAGAAGGATTTTTGATTTGGCGTGGATTCTGATCCATAGCACCTGCTACCATCATTTTTGTCCCAATGCCACTTTTCCATAAGCTCAAACGTGTGATGATGAATGTCCGCCGTGAACCGGCTATGCAATGTGCGTGCTCAACAGTGCTCTACATAGTAGGTATGAATCACAGAATACGATTCAGGATCAGTTTGCTCCCTTCTACACCGCCGAAGAAGGCGGCACTCGCGGGAAACGCCCTGATGAGAGTCGGCCGAAGTCCGCGGAAGAGCGCTTGCGGTCCACCTTCGGCCAAGATTTGTCGGAAGCATTGCGCTAGCGATCCTGAGGATCCAGCACTAGATTGGAAGCGGGACTTCACCGTATCTGGCGTGATGATGTTAGGATAAGAGGCCTGAGACGAAGCCGGGATGCATTTGAAAAGGTCATAGTAATACCTATTGGGATGGCCACTGCAACGGAAAAGGATGAACCATATCTCGATCAGTAACGCATCCTACACAGTTAGGATAAACCATAATCTCGATCATCCCCCACAGGGGTTTTGTCGTCGAGTGCTGTCCTTACCTGTCCAATTGACCATTCCAGCGAGACCTGCCAAGTTTCCCATTCACATCAGTACAGGGCTACGGGAGCCTATAGCTTACCATTCACTTACCCCCCGACAAGAGCACAGTAGCCGGATTCAACTGAGCATCGATCCCCGTCGTCAGCCCTCTCTTAATAGCCTCATACGTCGCAAAGTAAAAGAAGCTCCCCGGCACATCCCGCATCAACGTCAACCCTGTGCCTCTAAACAAGCCCCGCACCCCCGACTGGTTCACGATATCCCCCATGACCGCAAAAGCACCCTTCGAGGCTCCCGCCTTCGCCAGCTGCAGCCGGATTTTCACTTGCTCGGCAGGTCCAAGGATGAGCGATGTAGGCACAGCTGAGAAGGCGCCTGCTAACCCGACTTGGCCCAAGCTGAGGGTATCGATCAGCTCCGCTGATGGATTCGGGTGCGCGGGGCCGCCCGTGAAGTCGCGGACCAGGACCTGCCCCATGTAGTAAGCCCACAGACACGTTGCTAGGACTGGCTATAACGAGCCGCGTTGAAATTCATCGCAGAAAAGAAAATTGCAGACACGGCCAACCGTCAGTTGTGGTGGGTGAGAAACACAAGGACCACGGAAAGAATGGCACTTCGATGACCCTTCATGAACGTACGGGAGCAGCGCCGAATACGGGAACAGCACCCTTGTAGAGTCCTCTTATTCCGTTCTCGGCAAAGATCGTCCGCATCACTTGGAAGGTGGACTTGCTGTGCATGTTTTCTCCCGACGTTTGCATCAAGACTTTCGTCAAATCGAATGGATGGGATGCCCCAACCTACAAAGAGATAGAAAATCAGCCGAAATTCCGGCGTTGGCCTTCGCAGGTACATTCGGGTCTCCCTGCCCACATCCTCGTCCATATGCTCACCATCGCGAAGCCACCACAGCCCCCCGCCAGAAACGACTTGAGCGCGGCATTCTTCTGCGTTGCCACTAATGGCTCCTTGGTTCCCATGGTGCTTCTGTCCTGTGCGCTGTCAGAACGCTTGTGCCGTCCTTGCGAGTTGCGTGGTCGGAATTTGAAAAGCCACGTTCCAGCTTTTTCAACCTTTTCGAACGCGTCGTTTACCGAAAACGACAGACGGGCATACTGCTTGAAAGGGAAGCGGAAATTGCGAGAGATCTCAAAGGTGCATATGGGGAAAAGAAACTAGAGACCGGAAAAGGAGCGGGCATACTCGGGCTGTGTGCGCGGCTTGGAGGTCGGAAAACGTCCAGCGTATGGAAAAGCGTAGGATAGGGATCAAATAAGTAGTCGGATTTTCAAATCGCAATGGAAAAGCTTCTCCACAGAGTTCTATTACTTTCAATCAGCAGAGCATTCAATGGCCGCAATACGATGTATTCGTTTATGCTCTATCTACATGCCAGACTCTGTTTACATTCTATGACTGGTGTCCAGATTGTCTTTCTATATATTTACTGGGCATCTCAAAAGGTATATACACTTTCTACATCCTCGGTACGTATACGCCTTTCAGATTTAGATGTGCTCAATCTTTGCCGAGGCGAGGGAGCCGCAGGCGCGCTTGGCAGCGGGGCTCGCCGGGTCAAGCTTGCCGGGCTCGTCGCCGCTATCGTTGCCCTCGAACGGGGTGCAGAGACTCTTCACGTCGGAGACGGCGATCGTCTGGATGGTAGCGACATCACCAAAGTTGGCATTGACACCAGCGAGAACCTTTCCGCCGATGGCGACGACGTTGTTCATCGAGATGGTACGCTTGCCCTGCTTCTTGCAGTTTCCGCAAGAGCGGTATAGCTTTCCGAAGTTCTCCGCGGCGAACCCTTCGACGTGGATGTTGCCGATTCCGTTGTGTTGCATCACTTTGTCCGCGGCGTCGCGCGCGCCTCCTCCAATAACTTGAGCGTCGCCGTCACCCTTGAACGTCAAGGCATCCTCGCAGACGGCCTCCCAGTAGACGTTGATGATCTTGCATGATCCCATGCAGTGAACACCTTCGATCTGATCCGCTCCGATCAACACGTTTTGCAGAGTGGCGCCGTCCTCTACCTGGAAAACGGCATCCTTGTTGCCGCCTTCCGCTTGGCCAGTGCATTTGACACCGCGGCCGAAACGCTTGTATCCTCCGTCAAAGACAGTGCCGGCGGGGACGATGTGGGGCGCGTTGAAGGTGACGGAGCCCTTGGCCTCGGGGAAGACGACGCCGGTGTTCAGAGGACCGCCGGAGGGAGGGTTGGTGGGGGCAGAGGTGGGCTGCGGGGGCGCAACGGTCGTGGTCGGCTTGGGCGCAGCGGTCTTGGGGGGCTTGGGGCTGCCGCCACTAGGCTTGCTGAGTTCCAACTGGATGCTTCCCTGGTTGTGAACTCCCCTGATGTCAGAGCCACCTTCGCCGGTGACGATACCGGACTGGCCGGCTCCACATTTGTTGATGACGCTCTTCAAGAGCTTCTCGATGCGTCCCTTGGAGATAGCGATGGATTCACCGCCACCTACGGCGGTAACGGTTACCTTGCATTTGCCGGAGGTCGAAGAAAGGGTCTTGCCGGCGGAGGTGAGTAGCTGGTTGACTTTGCCAGTAAGAGTACGGCCGTTATCGGACTTTAGCGTCAGCAAAGCGACGTTGCACTACATTTGAAAGGATCGACGAGAACGTGAGCAATGTGATGTAAAGACAGTCTATGGAACAACAGGAATAGCACTCACGTCGTGGAAATCCAAGGCGCGCTTCGTGCACTTGGGCGCAATGTTGATGAGCTCGCGGCTCTCGATAGCGGCAGCGCTAACGACTGCAGCGGAAGCCACCAAGGCGAGGGAGAGAAGCTTAATTTGCATATCGAGAAGGTCGTGTCGTTGAAGGTAACTTGTATGAGGAAGCCTTGAAGGGAAAGTTCCGTCAACACCGGCTCCTGCCTTTTATACATTTTGTTTCTTGTACAACAGATTGATCTCGTCATTTTCAAAAACGTTTGCAAAACAATTATTTCCAACCCCCATGGGTCACCGCTTATAGAAACACCGCTCTTGTGTCGTTCCGGTTTACAAGCCTTTTCCACCGGCAAAGAAGTGGTACCGACCGTATCATATTCCTCATATCGTTACTACCCTTGGCATCCCAAGTTGGTCTCCTGTGATGATTTATCCCATCCCACTGCCTTTCCAGGTCGGTGGAAAGGCTGTCGAGACTGTCGAAAAGCAACAATGGGTTACAACAGAATGCGTTAAATTTTGACATGATCCAGATGAATTTTGCAGCGGTCGGGACAGCAAGGAACGGCGTTGATTGGTTGCCAGCTCTTCCGCCGTAACCGGCCGCAAGTCTGAATCGTATGTGCAGCTTGCAAACGCCAGCACGAGTCGCCGGGATCCTCTCTTGGCCAATGCCAATGGGTCGGCTCTGGATTCACCACGGACCGAGATTAAGCTCCAGGGTGTTATTGGTGCACATTCAAATTAGTCTGGCCGCTCCGAAAGAACGTTCTGGTTAAACTTTTATTCCTAAAGGTTGTTTCAAGTTTTGGGGTTCAACAAAAGCGGGGCCCGCCAAGATCGCCAAAAATGTTTTAAAACGGTCATGTGGCATTCCGGTCCCAGATGATGATTGGTGGACGTGGTGCTGACGTTGAACTTCCGTCCCTACGTTCGACCCCATCACCATCTTCAAATTCCACATAACGCTTATACTGTAGAAATGTCGGAAGCAGCGTCGCGGAGTTTCAGAGCTCGGGCTCCCTTCCGAGACCGGTAAGGCCACCGCAGGAAGGGATGCCCGGGCGACATACAGCTCACCTTTTCCTCGAAGAGTCGACGCCGGAAACCAACTTGCAGCCGACCCTCGATTGGGAACTCTCGCAGGTCGAGATGATACCATCATTTTGGCCCTGCCGCGTGGAGGGGTGCCTGTGGCTTTCCAGTACGTCTTCGGAACTGAAGACCCTCGTAAACTTTTACGGAATCGCGCGACGTGAGAAGATTGAGTACTCAAATATGAGATGAATTTCTCGCACGATAGGATCGCACAACGCTTGAACCTCCCGCTGGATCTGATGCTGGTGCGAAAAATCGGCCTTCCGTTCCACGAGGAGACGGCGATGGGGGCCATGTAAGCCACACCTCTCTCGAGAGCACTTTACAATTATGCGGGACTACCCTACTTTTGTTGTGGGCACTAGCGCTATGGGCGACGTGACATACCTCAACCCAGCGATGATCGCAGCTATGCGCGTGACGGATGCACAAGTGCAGGCTGTCCTGAAGAAGGAGGTTTGAATACCATTCCGAGAACTAGGGATCCTTGACCGGCGAGAAGCCTGATTGGTTCATTTTCCCCCGGACCGAAGACGGCAGAGCTCCATCGACGGAACATGCACTATCGGCAAGGCAAACCCTATCCCGACTTGAAAGATAAGAACGTCATTATCGTTGACGGTAGGCTGTCGCAACGAAAAGACCCCAGGCCTTCTTCAACTATATTCACAGGACCGGGATCATCCACACTAGACGGCATCGCAACAGGATCCACCCTTCGCGCCGCCATCCTGTCCGTTCGCGAACACGGACCAACACGTGTGGTCGCTGCTGCACCCGTCGGGCCACCCGACTCGGTAGCTGAGTTGGCGAAAATCGCGGACGAGGTCGTGTGTCTGCAGGTGAAGGAGCCTTTTAATGCCGTGGGGATGTGGTGAGTGTGCCACGAGCATCTAGTCCTTCACTGCTCGAAATCATGCATTTACGATCTTCATGATTCCTCGTTACTCGTCATCGCGCCATGCCCCTATTCTTCCAAACAGGTATCAACTTTTCCCCCAAACAGAAGACGAGGAAGTCCTAGAGCTCCTGCACAGGGCAGAAAGCTTTGGGCGAAAGAAAGAGGAATGAAAAAGACGGCGTAAAATCCCTCCTAACGTACCCATAGGCGTGAGCAGTCTGAACTCGTTCGTTTCGGACTGAGGTGCCTGTCATGGGAGGTGTCGGTGCTCACCCTTCATGGAGGCGTTGATGTGCTACGGGAAGGGAGTGGTTTTGCGCGATCTGGTTGCGTGCGCATCGTATTGATAGGCGCCTGGTTCGGAAGTTCTTTGGCGCTGTCGCATGGCGGTGGGCGAATCGAATCTGGGAGTGGTTTGCATGTTATGTTCAGGCGGGGCCGTCTGTATTTGAACGGCCTCTCGCTTTTTGTTGTCAGCTATGCTGGCACCTATGCAACTAAAATGTCGTTGACTCTGGAAAAGAGAGTTCAATGTGAATTGTACACACCCTAGGGCGATGCGAACATGAGAAAATATACAAGAAGGAACCGCCCACACCACTAATCCTGCCGTCCACTCTCATGAACTGTCGGCGCCTCCCTCCGCTATCCGATCCACAATCTTCAAGACCACCAAATACACCAACACCGCCATAAGCAGTATCCGCCACACATTGCTTCGCACGTTCTGCCACACCGTCCCCACCACCCCAACCGCACCGGCTCTCCTTGCCATAGCACCCTCACGCGGCTGTTGGGTTTCCGACGTTTTTTTTTTCGTGTTGGGTGTTGTTGCGATTGGTGTGGCTGATGTTGCGGATGCTGGGGATGTAGCAGGTGTGTTGCGCTGGTGGAGACCACCGGTTGATGGGGAAGGGACCGGGGTCGATGGAGCAGCTGGTGTTGTGGGCGTCGTTGTCGGTGGTGCATTTGGTAAGGGAGCGAGTTCGGGTGTGCATAGTTCCGGGAATACCTCTGGAAAATTTGGTTGGAGGTCAATAATGGTCCGCAAAACGAGTTTCCCACATGGCTTTGCTATTTATGCGAGCGGATGAACCACCGCTTACCTCGGAAGCGGGGATTGCGTAGATTTATCGCATGCGACCTAACTGCGTGCAGCTTTTTCTCCTCCAATGTTGTCTTGATGCTTCCGGTTGTTGATGCGTCCTCCACCTACGTAACGGGGATCCTGGGAATGAGTCCCTATCAAGATTTCCGAACGATGTGATCCAAGGACATTACCATGAAGCTCAGCAACCCGGTCAAGATCGTCGCTACACTCCATGCCGGATTCCATGTGTTGCCTAATGAAATGGTATACACAAATCAGATCGAGTCGCTTTTGACGCAAACACAGGTTACCCCAGATCGTCGAAATCAAAGAATTTCGTCAACTCACGGTGGTAGGTAGTCATACTAAGGCAAAGCTTATAATCCGTTTGAAACCGTCCGTTTGGCGTGAGCATCTTGATATCCGGCGGGCTGAATGGGTAATCTGCGGGGAAAAGCACTTTGCCATGATATTCACCGCCAGCGTAGGGGGAGCCCGGAGGGCCGCGGATAACGTAGTGCCTGGAATTGAAATTGATTCAGGAACGTACAGTAGGCTCTTCGAATATCGACCGAATGGCAATGTCCATGGAGACTTACCACTCTAGAATGTTGTTCTCCAAAGGCTTTGCCACAATGTAAGGGACTGGATCCTTCTGTAGCACCGCATACTCCTTCGTCAAACGCTTGAGGGCTGCCTTCGAAGCCATAATTGTATTCTGTCGCTGTGTTTTCCCACTCGGAAGGTTGGGTGGCTCCGTTGTCAATCTTCTGGGAAAGCACGAAGGCGGAGCGTCTTCCAAACAGAAGCTATGCCAGAATTTCCGACGATAGAGAAGTAGGCCAACAGAGGTACGGGTTGCGTAGACCAGGTAGTGTTGCGAAAGGTCTGGCTGGTGGGGAAAGCCTGTGAAGTCTGTGAAGTCGAAGTTTGATGAACTGACATCGCAGCCAAGCCGCGTCTGCCGCGTGTTGCGCAAGGTTATATGCCTCTGAAAACCACCTGATAAACAGCCAAGCTTTCCAATCGAGAAGGCGGTGAACTGAGCTGGCCAAAGGGAAACCTTCCTCCTTCCGATATATCTGGTCGTTCCAATCGAACGTCTCGTTACTTTTTCCTACATAATCTCTGCTAGCAGGCACAAGGATCGTCCTCTCATATAGAAACTATGTAGTTCTGTCATGATGGAACAACGTACGCCGTTTGCACTTATTGGCTCAACCTACAGTCACTCATAACACTCCTATCTAAGCTACAGGATAGGTGTAGTCAGGTATCTCCGCTTCGTCATCTGAACTCCTGTGAATCATGAGGACCTTCCGATCCTAGCATCGACTGCGAAGGAAAAGTGGCGTTCTCCTTACAGCTTCGATCCTGCGTCCGTCTTCCACAGTGACATGACATAACCAACATCCGGTGCCGTCCTACCATTTACCATCGTCTTCCACAGCTTCTCCACGCTCGCCGGCCCATGGCCATTGGACAACTTGACCCAATTGTCCACCCGATCCATAGCCTCCTTCCAAGCTTTGGCCTGCAACCTCGGGAGTTGATCGCGCAACTCATCTTGACGCTTTTTGATCCACGTGGGGGCAAAGAAGATCTCCGTCTCGCCTGGGAAGGTTCCCTTGGCCTCTTGTGCGTTGGACATTCCAACGCTGACGGAGCGGCGAATGTTCGATGCGCCGATATGGTTGAATACATCGGTGGCAAGGGCCTTGCTACCCGAGACATCGACGTACAGGACGGTGCTATCCTTCGGGATGGAGGAGATCTGGTCGTAAGTGTAGATCGAGTCGTAGTACCCGAGAGACTTTACGAAGGGTACGCTGGACGGGCTCGTGAGACCGATGGTACGGATGCCGCTCGCTTGGGCAAGAAAAGCGAAGCAAAACGCCGTCTTGCTGCTCGCACTGGAAATGATAACCGTCTTGGCGCCGTAGTACTTGTTCTCCTTGAGGTAATCCGCCAAGAAGAAACTGGTCCAAAACAGGGGTCGGAAGAGCAGCATCTCTCCTTCATGGCGAGGGTCGTAGAACGGGTCGGCTGATGCGCGGAAGTATTGGTTGTAAACTTTGCGGTCCTCCGGGAGATGCTCGCGGGGGACGTAGAACCAGCCTTCCTTGCTGCCGTTCGCTGCCGCTTTTACTTTCAGGACATGGTGTTGGGCAATAGGGAAGTATCCGTACACGCGCTCGCCGACCTTGACGGCAGAGCTGTTGGAATCTGTGACGGTGGCCATACCCCAGATGGGGACATTCGCATACTTTGCGTCGGAGGTTGGGAAGAAGTCAAAGTATCTATTGCGTTTCCCCAATATGCCATGGATAAGTAGTGCCTTTGCGGTGAGAAGTTGAACAGACGGATTCGCAGGCGAGTCAGACGGACACATACCGGTATGACTGGCCGAGAACAGCGTACGTGACGTTGTTGGCAGAGAGGCCGAACGAGTCGATACGGCATAGGACCTCATCTTCTTTGATGGGACCCAACTTGACGGTGGCCAGCTTGGTCTGGTCGATGTTGTCGCGCGCAACCCAGAGTTCCTGCGTGGTTGTTGACATGGTGATCTATATTGGGTATGTACTCTTTTCGAAGTGTAGTGCCTGCCTGAATATGTTTAGCCTGCTCAAGGCCAGCGATGAGAGTCGCATGTTGAAGGTGTATCCGATGCTCCAGACGTAAAACGCAGGCGGGCTAGGTGGGCGTCCGTCAGTGATGATTCATGAAGTGTGACGACGGCGCTCAACGCCCGGTGTGTTTTGACCGCTTCCACTCGCAGGAGAAAACAAAAAAGAATCATACTCGGACCCAGGATCGAACTGGGGACCTCTGCCGTGTGAAGGCAGCGTTATGACCACTAAACTATCCGAGCTTGTGTAAAAAGTCACACAAAGTAGCACGTCCAATCATATAGTTGGAAGTTCAAGCCTGCCCAGGAGCGACTTTTTTTTTCCGTGCTTTCATGGTAACATTAATATATATGAAATCTGGGTGGTTTCTCGACCGCTGGAAGCGGTATAACCACGAACCTATTCGAGCTTGCTTGGAATACTCCCAAAATGTCCCTTCAAGCCTACAGTGTTCATTATACGCCAATCCATACCAGCGTGGTCACCACCACACATCACTGGGCGGACCTGTGACAGCGGTATGAACACTAAACCATCGGAGGTTGGGTAACATTGATCGTATATGAACTCTGGATGGCTTCGGATGGGCAGTCAGATGTATGTACAGTACACTCCAGGTCGATCCATTTTTTTCCGGTCGAATGGTTGATGTTGCGTGTCGGTGCAGATAAACCAAGCGTTCGGCCGAAGTGTGCTGTCAAAGCCCCCTTTATCGCGCTGTCGATTTTTTTTCGAACGACAGCATATGCCGTGGGGTAACAGTGCATATTCAATTTTCGCATGACTGCAGGCAACCACTTCGTCTCCATGGTTTTCATGCGTCATGGTGACTATGGTGAGCGGAGGAAAAGGGGGAAAGCCTGTTATCACCATGACGTTGGATGCGGTGCTTATGAGGGTGAGCTTGTTCCTGGCACTGCGTGGAGAGCGTTCAGGATAAGAAGGCAAGACCTTTCCCCTCCCCTGCTCTCGCAAGTCTGCTTCTTCGAGGAATTCTGACTTTAAAAGCAGAACCACCCACTCCCTGCAATCACTAAGCAAAAGAACCACCCACTGTACTCAGAAGCAAAGCATCTCTTCATTCCAATCAACACCACATTTCCACCATGCGCTGCACCCTCCTCGCAACCTGCGCCCTCGGAGCGCTCACCACCGTCCCATCCACCACCGCCTTCTGGCTCATCCCTGGCTCCAGCCACTCCCACCACGACGTCACGCCCTCCCAAGACACCCGCGGCGGCGGCGGCTTCCTCCGCAAACTGATGGGCGGCCGCACCAGCCAAGACCGCACGAACATAATGTCCGAAGGCGTCAAACACCCGAGCATGTCGTCCGAAACCGGCGTCCCGTCCGCGATGAAGGACACCTCCATGACCGCCGAAGATGAGGGCGTCATGGCCGATCTGTTGAAAGCCCTCAGCGAAATGTACACCGACCTCGGCTACACCACCACGCTCGCGAAGGAGCAGCTCTCGCGCGGGATCTACCTCCGCCAGACCGACGACGTGTACATGCTCGCCATGGACGTGCCCGGCCTGCACACCAACGAAGTCACTGTCAGCGCCGACAAGGGCATATTGAAGATCAAAGGCGAGCATAAATGCGCCGATTGGCCGCTCAAGGGCGTCATGGACGACTCCGGCAAGCCGAAGACGGACCCGCTGTGCATTGGCCGATATTACGATGCGTCGTTCACGTTCCCCAGCGATGCGGAGGAGGAGAAGGCGGAGGCGAACCTGGATGCGGGGGTGGTTAAAGTTGTTGTGCCGAAACTGAAGGGGGAGAAGCGTGGGATCCATAGGGTGTTGAAGCTGGGTGGGGACGCGGCGGGGTGGGTCTATGAAGGTACCGGCGCCAAGGCTGTTGCGGAAGCTACGACCGATACGGCTCGCAATGCGTACGATGCCGCGGCCCAAGGCGCACAACGGGTCGTTGATACCGTCATGGGCGCTGGCCGTGACACCGCGGACGGCGCCCGCAACGTCGCTGATCAAGCTACTGCTTCCGCCATGTCTGCTGCGAACGCTGCTACGAACATGGGCGCCCAGGCTACCGACTCGGCGGCTACTGCGGTGCCCAGCATGATGCCCGGTGAAGACAACAAAGGCTTCGTCGAACGTATCCATGAGCAGTACGTCAAGCCGATCAAGGATCGTATTATCGCGCCGGGCCAGGGTGGAAGCGAGGGCGCCGTTCCTGTCGTCAACAAGGAGGAGTTGTAAGATCGGCATCGCAAATCATCCACCCTATCAACCGAGTAACAATCGCTTGCGTCGGAAATGCAGTGCTATTACTGTTCATGATTCCGTTCTTTCCTCATTGTGATTGTAATTCTGTAGGTCGCCCAGTTTTGATAGCTCTCCTCGTCTTATTGTTGGTGTGCTGTTTCGGTGTTGTGTTCCAAGTTTTCGTTTCGCATACCCTCCGCTCAGAATAGTTCTTGAAATCAAAAGTCGCTCATAGTCTGCTCCAATGTCTCTCATGCATTAGTTGTGCCGTTTATGATGAGATTCATGTAAATATATTCGAAAACCAAAATTGTTTGTTGAAAGGCGATGTAGCAGGATGAATGAAGTCTATATACACCTCTGAACCCAGTGACCGAGCGACAATATCACTCGGACGGGTCAAGTCTACGTCAAATCATGTTGTATGCGCCGGTGTGCAGGAATAAAGGAGAGAGATGCAACATTGTCGAGGTTTGCAAGTGTACTTGAATCGCAAGCATCGAAAGGTGACCAATGAAGGCACGATCGAGATGGAAAAAAGTGCGGGGGATGTGGACGCCGCCTATTCGTCGACGAACAAGTGCTCCCGACAAGCCGCGTACTGACGGAACCTCTCACAAGCGTATCCCACATAATCAAAATCGATCTCCGTCTCCGCCGCCTGCATCAGACCCCACAATCCCCAGAGCAAGTTCGACGCGAGAGCGTAATGGTCGACCTCGTTCATCAGAGCCTCCACCTGCGCGTTCCGCGACGCAGTCTCGGTCGCGCCTTCCGTGAACCCTTCGTCGGCGGCGTCGAGGTAGGCGTTTAAGAAAAGCGTCTGCTGCTCGCGGGTGGGGTAATTAGAGAAATTCATTTTGTGGGGCGTTGCGCAGTGGTAGTCGGCGGCCCATTCGCAGAAGTGGTTGGCAATGTCGTAGCCGCGGTAGTTGATACCGGCGTACTCATAGTCGACGATGATGATGGAGTTGTCTTTGTGCTTCCGTAGGATGTTACCGTATTGGGCCTTAAAAGGAGGAAGCGAGGCAAATGTCAATGAAAAGGTCGAGAGTGATAGGAAACGAACAAGCACAGACAAACTCACATCGTTATGAGCAAACACCAACGGGCTGTTGACTTTGGCCAATCGCTCCTCAAGCAGTGCGATCTCATCCTTTAACTGCCTAATGTCCACAACATCCCGAATCAATCGATACCGCTCAGGTTGGTCGCGCTTCAGATCAATGGCCGTCTTAGCAGCGAGTTTCTGCCACCTTCTCAGTTTGGCCCACAGCTCGGACGTCTGTGGATTTGGTGTGCTCGGCGACTTGGGTTCCGTAGGGATGTGTTCCGGATCGCCTTCGACTTGAGTAAGGTCATCCGGGGTGCAGGAGTTGATGAGTTGATGAAGTTTGTACAGCTGTTGTGCGATTTGAATGGAGGTCTGTGGGTCTCGCATTTCTTCCTTCGTAAGCGTAGAACTTTCAACTGAAATGACAAGAATTACACCATGTTACTACAATCGTTCGTCTGAGGGGAATGCGTTCTGACCGACCATAAACCATTCGGACACTTACGGAATTGCTCGAAACGCCCATTGGCAAACACCCCGAGAAGCTTTGGGGCAACTCCAATGTCGCTCATCTTACATAACCAGAACATTTCTTTGTCACGGCTGATGAATGAACCGGCTGCCGTTCCGTACACACGAAGCAGCACCTTCGGAGGTTTGACATCACTTCCATCCTCCGCTCGTTGTGCTGGCCCAGTGACAAAATAGACACAGTTGGTCATTGCGCCGCTCACTCTGTCGATCTTTAGATCGGATGGGCTGCTGAAGTATGACCACCGGTCTGGAATGAGTTCAATCAGGCTGTCCAGGACGTCCTTTCGAAACTGCTCCTGGCTCTTCGACCCCTCCTTTCCGTGAGTACTCAATCGAACAGTCCTTTTCGACACTGGAACATTATGCTTCCGCAGAGTAGCTAGCAGGTGTGATCCGTCGCCTTCGAGATCGGAGACATCAGAAACCACCGAGTGTGTGTCGTCATCGTCTTCGGCGGTGAAGTGGCCTGCATGTGAAGGCATTGAGGGTTCAGCAGCAGAAGCGACCCCGTCCTCTCCCAACTGAAGAACTTTGACCACACGGATGTTGGCGTCGGAGGGAGAAGTTGCAGGCACGGGAGTGGAATTCTGTTGCGGCTTCTGACCAGCGATGTCGGCGCGGTCAAGAGTCGTGTCTGGCATGCTTGAGGACGAGTGTCGTTGCTGTAGTGGAAGACGAAGCGGTTGAGGCCTTGGTCTGGAGCGACTCTGTTGCAAGTTCCGTAAGGTGTACCCTGGTGGTTGCGTTCTGGACAAAAGGGGACGCAATGTGCGATTCGTACAAAATCGCAGTCGCTGAACTACTTCGGAAGTGGAGGAGCTGCAACCGGTGAGGGGTGGAAGCGCTGTGACCGGCGGCCTTGTTGAGCGGGGCAAGTGGAGGAAGCAGTGAAGATGGTGGATCTGGAGGGGACGTTGTTGGATAGTAGGCATGCCAAGAGCAAGAGCGGACGGGATGTTGCCGGGTGGGTGTTTATGTTGTTGGGCGCTTGGACCGCAACAAATGGGGCAAACGAGCGCAAGCGACAGCAGGAGAAAGGCAAGTGATAGGGGCTGCTAGGACTCCTCTTAGGGAGTGATGCAATCATGCATTCGATCGCAACTTGGGTCTCGGCGTTGCACGTGATTCTCGCGGTAGTTGTAGGTCGTAATCTTGTTTTATTAGCATCGAATCGGACGTCCCTAACGCTCGGACCAAGGTATTTTGGGATTCAGCTTACCCAGGTATCGTTCTCTGGATGTTCAGCCTGTCAATAAACAGTCAAACCTTCACGTCTCTGTTTCCTTTCCGGCATTTTGACCTAAAGCTCCGATACGCGGATCTGCACCACATACAGGCGCCATACTCAGTCAATGTGGGCCATGCGTCTGCACTTTCGGTATTTTTTTGCCTTCGTCGGAATGGCCGTGCTCGTGTCCTCAAAGGTCAGCGCTATGTGTGCGGGAACTATTCCCACTATGCTCGAAAGAGCCCTTGGGGTTGCGACCACATCTAATGCTTGAATCGCTCGTTTCTGAAAAATGCAGTTCGAGCCTGGTATGATGTTCTTTGACCTTTGCAAGCACCGTCTGGTGGCTCTCAGGGGCGCCAGACGAAGCAGAAGGTTGGGGTGACCGCTGTGATGTGCCGATAAAGCTAGTATGGAAGGCGAGCTCAAACGGCGAGCATTTCCGCCCAACTAGCGTTATCAGCACACGTACATACAGTAGGTGGCCAGATAACTGGGTACGACGGGTTCGCCAAGCCTCCGTGTGCAACCCAAAAGTCAACGACAAGGTGCCGTCAATTTGCGTACTTCTTCAGATGGGCAGGCAGGCCGGCGACTTTTGCTGGTGGCTATGGTCGGGATGATGTGTCCTTGTCGTGTCGTACCCAGATATCTGGCCACCTACTGTACATATGTACAGCAGGTAAGCTTCGGCAGATTCGCAACCAACACCGGACCACAGGGCATGTCACATGACCTGAATTGCAATCGGATGTATGTATGTAAGGGTCGTCCGATGACTTGATGGTTGCCAAGCACGGAGATCTGTGGCAATGTGTCCTGCGGCGGTTGTCAGTGCGCGTAGGTACACTGGTGTACAACGCTGCTCGGAGTATGTGCAAAAGCAGCTCGGCCTCGGCGCACAGATTCAAATTCAAACGCCAAGTGCATCTTGCGACGGCGATAAAACGGGCTTATGTGCATGATGAATGATTGGCATAGTCCTTAGAAACATTTACATCCTAGGCACCCTGATGACGCCTGGTTTTGGATGCCAAGGCACTCCTCGGCGTCCTCGCCGTCGACAGCGCAATACGTGGATAACTTTGGAGTTGCTGCCGATTGAAGGCGGTAGATGGGATGCCACCTACCGTTGCATGCAGTGTACTGTACACCAGACGCGTACATAGTCATATCTTAGGTTTCGATTTTCGAGATCCATTTTCGGCGCAAAGGACGTGAATCCTGATCTCATACACCATGACACCGCCGCGGGCTGCAGTCAGCGGACCTACCCTCCTTCTGCATGCCGATCCGCCGCGCGCTGCTCTGTCGCATGTTGCAACGCCTCCTTCTTCGGTCTACTTCTTTATTTTCGTATGCTCTGCCTTCTCTTCCAAAAGAAAAGCCACTTTTCTCTTTCGTTGGCTGCTCTATGTAGGACACATAAAATTCGGGCCGCACTCACCGCACTCGTTGGCGACATCGAAAGTTGGCCTTTGACGCATCAGCCTAAAAACTCCGTACCTGTTTCCTGGTGATGGGTAGCATCTGGTGGAAACAGTCCCAGTTTCCAGGTGCTCGCTAGACATCTTATCCAGCGGAACCCAGCACCGGCAACCGATAAGATTTCAAGGGTCTTCATCATGGCATCGTGAAATGAAAGCGGAAATTACGTTTCCGGAGAATGGATCATGAAACTGGTTGTACGGCGCCCAATTTGAGCGTCCCGAGCCTGGCATTGTGATGAGCGGTAAGCGCGTTTTGACCTGAAATTTCCCTCGACCGGAGGCTCATCTGACAGAAGGTGATGGCGCAAAACCCACGCAGCCATGCTGTTGTGGGGTAACTTCTGTGGAAGGGTGGTTATCGACCGGCTAGGATCGCCGCCGCGAGTTTGAAGCGCCTCATCACCCACCGCTGCACCACCACCTCTATCTCGAGAGCGACTCGGATGTGGGAGACGACGGAGTGACCAAAGAAAGGGCTCGGACCCCTCCCGCCCCTGAAGCCATGCCTCATGGAAGCCATGGCAAACGCAAACGTGAAGCTGAGAGAGACTGCGCTGCGCGTACGTGCATGTCACAGATCCCATCCAACCCAAATTTTTCCAATTTGGCCCAAAAAGTCAATTCCATTATCCATTAACCGCTCGGGCACACCTGCGTACAATCCGGCCGCTTCCTTTTTTTTTGCTGCTCGTGGGCTTCTGTCACAATGTATATAAGGCCGTGAGCCTCGCTCTGGCGCTTTTGTTCACGTAAGTATCACTATACGACGACAAGCCAAGATGCAGAAGGAATTAACAGGAATCGAACTGGAACGGGATGCCAGCGCTAACCGCACTTCCGCTGTCGAGCGGACGAGTACTGACGAGGACCGGCCTAGGGGCCCCGTCTCCAAGGCATGGAGACTCCTTCGATCACTCAACATGGTAAGCGAAGTTGCTAATTTAGACGTTTCCGTCGGTGTGCCCGGACCTGAACTGACTGTTGGCTCTGTCCATAGTTGTGGTGGATCTTCTTTTGCAGCGTGTTAGGTATCATATTCGGTCTCACCGCCAAGGACTTTTCCAAGGACTATTTGGGTCTCTTGTCGACGGCCATCTTCCTGCCTATGCTGAAGACCCTCATTGTACCTCTGATTTTCTCGTACGTTACGATTCTCGCGAAACTTGACCCACCGGCGGTTTGATCCATTTTTTGACCCAAACTTCCCCTTTGCTTGCAGCCTACTTGTCGTCGGTATCGCTGGTCACACCGATGACATTGGAAGAGTTGGCCGTCTGGGAGCACGAGCCCTCAGTTACTTCATCGGGATGACTGTCCTAGCGCTTTTCGTCGGCTTGATCTTCAGCAACGTCGTGAAGCCGGGAGAAGGCACGGACCTCAAATTGGGCGCCAAGCCCAACAACACCGAGGCTCCGTTGTCTCTTCAGAAAGAGTTGAACCAGATCATCACCTGTGAGTCTGTCAATCAATCAGCATCTGCTTGCAATCTATCGTTTCCTTTACTGACCAAGAGCACGCAGCAAACTTCGTTGACTCGGCTCTAAACAACAGGTCCCTTCAAGTCGTTTTCTGCGCTATCATCTTTGCGTGGGCGACCATGTTGGTGGAGAACAAGGAGTACAAGAAGAACATTGTCGGATTCTTCCATGGACTTGCTGCCGTTATGTTGCAAGTAGTAAACCTTGTTATGCGGTTCACACCACTGGTATGTTGAAATTGAGCTTGTTGGACAGCATATTCCGTCCGGCTACCCGCAATACACTGAAACCTAGCTGATTCGCTGATGTTCCTCTTCCTTTAGGCAATTGGAGGTTCATTGGCAAAGACCGTCGCATCGAACGGCATCGGCGTTCTCGGTGTCCTCGGCAAGCTGATCGGGACGGTCTACGCAGGGCTTTTCACTTTTATTCTTTTGGTCTTCCTGCCCGTGATGCTTGTTGCTCGTGTTCCCATCAGGCCTTTCCTCAAGTCCGTCCGCGAACCCCTCATCATCGCCTTTACCACCGCGTCCTCGGATGCTGCCCTCGGTATCGCCTTGAAGAACATGATTCGCCTTGGAGTTCCAACTGAAGTTGTTTCATTCGTGCTTCCTCTCGGCTACGCCTTCAACCTGGACGGAACTACCCTGTACCTGGGAGCTGCGCTCATGTTCATCGCGCAAGTTGACGGCCGGTCATGGGGTGCTGGGGAACAGATCGTGAAAATGCTCCAGATCCTGCTCATGAGCAAGGGTATTGCCGGAGTTCCGCGTGCGTCACTCGTGATCTTGCTGTCTGCCTGCGAGAGTTTCGGCTTGCGTAGCGAAATCATCCCCGTCATTCTCGGTGTCGATGAAATTTGCGACATGGCCCGTACAGGTGTCAATCTTCGTAAGTACTTGTGCGCTCTTTGACGTCCTTGCTCGTTACTTCAACATCTTGTCTAACCTCCGCTTCGGGTATCGCCCTTACCCATTTCTCCTTCCAGTCGGAAACTGCCTTGCTTGTGTCGTAATGGCTCGGTGGGAAGGTACCTTCGAGCTTTACCACGACGATAGTAACGATAAGGACGCTGACGAGAGCCTGGACACGCTTGACCGCCCTCGTGAGACCCTGGTGATTCACGATGTGGAAAAGACCGCATAATCGGTTTCCGCGAAACATCAAGAGAGTTTTTGTTTGCATAAGTACCTGACCCGTCCAAAGCAACGGCTAGACCGGAATGGAACTCTCTTCGTCGACACGTTGGGACGGGACCCGGCTTTCCACGGTGTTTAGTTTACACACCGCGGGGTTTGAAGGCTGCTGGCCAGTCGTATGAAACATAGTATAGATTAGGAAGACTTTCTTTTGTCCATTCCTTAATGAGATGCGGCGTATTGATCCATATCTAAAGCTAGCATCACTACTCTGCACTACATCTGCCGAAATCTACCATCGCTTCTCAGGAACTAGGATTCCCATGCGTAAGGTTCTGCGCGATAGCTCTCATTATGCTCCTCTCACTACTAAACGGGGCATCGCCGGACGACTCCCAAATGAGCAACCCTCCCAGATTCCGCTCGAACACGAAGCGGCATTTCTCTATGACTGTTTGCGGGTTATCATACGAGTTCAGCACCCGCCTCGCCGGATCGTATGAGTATGCTGCACACGCAACGGGGTCGAACATCTCACTGGCCCCTGGTACGGGCAGGGCTTTGTAGTCGACGACGCCGTTCTCCCATGATTTGTCGGGGCTTCCGCCGCTGCAAGGCTTTCCCAACCCGTCCGTGTTTGCGAATCCCCTGCTGTATAACGCAGCCCCGATGAAGATCTTGTACGGCGGCACCCCACGGCTGAGGTACAAGTCGACCGCCTCCTCTACAGAGTTTGCACCATGCAATGATCTCCTCAGATTCGTCTGATGGCCGGAAACAGATTCGCCCCATGCGCCGTCATGGAAATCGTACGTCATGACATGGATTTCTTCGAGGAACGGATGAATGCGCTCTAGCGGGATCTTCAATTTCTCTGGCGCGGCTGGCGCACAGAAGCCGATACTGAACCCCGGGCCCAGCGCACTCCGCAGCAGTTTGAGCAACTCGATGAAGTTGTCTGCGTCCTCTTTCCGGGCAACATTGCCCTCGTTTCCGTAATTCCGGCCGTCATCCGATAAGTATTCCCAATCCAAGCTTACGCCGTTAAACAAGCCAGGCCACTCCTCAAACAAGGTTACGATCGACCTGACCATCGTCTGCCTCCGTGCGGGCGTCAGCACCGCATCAGAGAAGTTCTTACTCCACGTCCACCCCCCAATCGCTAAACTAAAATTGAACCTCTTCCCCTGTTTCCTCAGCTTGTTGAACTGCCCGAGGTTCCCCAAACACTCTTTGGGACTGTCCCACGCGTTCTGCGGCTCGACGCCGTTGCCCGTGAACGGGTTCTGCACATCCGCCCACAGGTCCCCCGAACACACCCGGCCGTCGGACTCGACGTTGAAGAAGGCGTAGGAGATGTCGGTTATGTAGTCGATGGGGAGGTCTTTGACGAAGAATCGACGGCCGTAGTTGGCCCAGGTTGTGTGGTAGTAGATGGCGCGTTTGCCGGAGGCGGGCACGTAGCGTTCGGCTGGAATGAGCATCGTGACAGCCGGCACAATGCGGTTGACGTGTCTTATTGACGGGGGAGAGGGGTTGGGGGGGAAAGCCTGGAAGCGTATTGGAAAAACGGATGGGATGCTTGGAAGTGTTCAGTGCTGGGAGGTGCTGGGCAGAGTGCTGGGGAGCGCCAAGACATTCCAGGCGGGAAGACCAATGGATGCTTTCCTCGTTCGCTTTTTTTCGAGCAACGCGTTCCCCCCAGCTAGATCCCATCTATATATATAGATCCCCCATTCTAACACGTTCCACTATTCTTCCGTTGCCTCCAGATGCGTTCTTCGCTCTCCCTACCTGCATATGTAGGACATATCGCAGCAGCCACAATTCAAACACTAATCTGTTTGAGATTGTGATGACTGCCGAAGATTAGCTCTCGAGAGGTAGGCATCAATCGGGCTTTATCCAGTTGTCGTCCAGATCATCGTCCTCATCGTCTGTCTTTCCTTTTGCAATAGATGCTACTTCTTCATGCCCTGAAGCAGGATACCAAGACGTCAAGATGATCGCACGTCCGTTGTGAAGCAACACGGGGAGCGTTACGGACGGCCCCGGGACCGCTCATGGTATATGAAGGCACGACCTACGCATTTTGAGCATCACGCCTGAGTTGGGAACTATTAGTGATCTTCTCTTTAAAGCGTGGTGTAAGATTTGTGCCTGGCTCGCTGAATAATGCCATGGGAAGAACGGGTGCTCTATCGTGCGTCAGCAACCTGTTGTGGATCACCGGTCGCATCTTCGGCACCTACTATTCTTAGGAACGTGCTGGGATGCTTTGTGTTTGACTCGAGACTGACAGGTCATGGGCTCAGCGGGTTGGAGCGCCCACTCCTTCTCTATTCGTCGTCGTGGTCGTCCTCATGTCAATTCAACCCGGATTTCTTTTGTAACATGTACATATCGTTGTTTGTCGTTTCTCTCCTGTATTTGGCCCTTGTCAAGCGTGAAGTACTTAGTCTGGATGCGTGTCAATGGTTCGTTGCCAGAACTTATGAACTCTATGATCTAGATCCAAAATGTTGAGACTACAATTTTGCTCTCCTTTTAACTGCAGAGCATGTTCCGTCTATCGGCGCCGCTCAACTTTGAAGCAAAATTCGCATGCCCACTCATATGTGGGAAGAACACGAACAGAGGGAACATTCACGGCGCTGTTGTCGGGCGTCACAAATCCACCATAATACTTGTATTATGCACCTCCTCCACACTGTGAGATGAGCACAGCATGTCGCTGGGGATATGGTCAGTGTAGAGAGTTCGTCAAGAACCATCACGTCACGACATGAAAGCACAACAAGACATGCCTTGGATTTCAACTTTCAAGACAAAAGAGTAAGAGCGACAATTTACATACATTTCAAAAACAGGAAAATTTACATGTAGCGGACAGCGCACGGCGGTTTCACCAACGGGCCCTGTTGCCGCATAGCAAAAAAATTGGAACTCAGCCCTCCTGGGCTTCAAGAGCGAAGTTGGGGTGTCAAAACCTGCGGTGCTCCAGTTGCCTGTCATGAAGTGCCCTTTCCACGTTCGGCAATGAACATGAAATCAATCGCTGTGCTTCGGAACTTCGGGATACCTCCTCTGACTCTCGACAAGCTTCTGCCTCTCCCCACCGGGCCCAGTGTGGCCAGTCACTCTGTCCCTCAAGTCATCAAGCACCTTGAGCACACGATGCATCGGCTTCTGAATCGAGGTTATGGGCGGGAGATAGGGGTGCGACCGGGCGGGCACTAAACGACCGCAGAAATATAGGGTTCTTGAGCAGGGATGATAAACATGCGCAGGTAAAGTCAGATTGTTCTTACCAGCAGGATAGGTCTTGTTGAGTTTCTCGCCCAGCATGTCAAGGTCCGTAGCAGAGACCGAGTCTTGCATCACGGGGAACGGATTCGATTCCTCCCATTTTGACTCATGTCGCATATACTGCTCAAAGAACCTCCCATCAAATCGTCCGTTCGGAACGAGATCAGTTGACTCACCTCCAAATAAGATCAAAAGCAACTCACCGCAATCATGCTTCGGACCTCTTCGTCGAATTTGGCCTGCATTGGTCGTGAGAGCGGGTTCTCTGAGTATCTAGGAAACAGGCAACTTACGTCGGTCTCAGACATCTTTCCGATTCTTTTCATGATGTCCTTCACCTTGTCATGCTGGCCGACCCATTGCATCAACACCTTCCTACCTATTGGGCGGATGTCATTGATACCGCGGGTCCCCGGAGAAAAACATATACACACAGGAAATGTCAGAGAGGTCGGCACGCACAAGTTTCACCAACATCGTGTCTCGGCAGCAGCTTCGTCCGGATGAACGGGTGCACGACCTCCTCCTCGGCGTACTGATGCTCCAGCACACTGCGTCGGATCTCGTCAACCAAGTCTCTGCCATTCTGGAAATCCCTGCGCTCGTAGCGTGTGTACAGAGATGTGTGCCTTTCTGGTGTCATTCTGATGCCAGACGGAATGACGCGCTGTCGATTTTCGTTCTCGAAGACCGACAGTGGCCAGCCGGCAGACAGTCTACTGCTAATCTACCTAATCTAGCGATTCTCTACATTATTACCTTGATTTAAGAGCAACATACGTAGAGGGCCCAATTTTTGAGGACTGCGTCATCCCAGAGTCGGTGGCGGTTGTTCTGCATATATGAATCGTTCGGGAATTCGGAATCCGCAGCCTCAAACACCGACACTCACTCCTACAGCTCGTATCACTTTCACAGTCTGATTCGACGTACCTACGGCACCGACGTCTTGATCATCAATTACATCGTTCCGTTGCCATGTCAGTGCTACTTACCCACAATTCGCTTGGTGAAGTCCTGGTCGAGTTTCCGTATGTCGAACTTCATTCCCGAAGGATGTTACGGTTCAGGCTCAAGGCAGGATATCCGCAATTAGGCAAGATTGACTACGCACTTTCCGAGGAACAAAACGGCGCAGTGATGAAGTATAACTTTGCACCGTACATTCGGGCAGCCTTCTGCTGTTGCATATCCGCAAAGCTGTCGGCATTGGATCCAAAGCAAAAGTGGCCCATGGAATGCTGCCGGCAAATCGCTCACATTCGCAAACACCTCCAGTCCCTTCGGGATGGTGCTCCGCCACTTGGTTTACTGACAACTCCCGAGAAGAGTACCAGGCTGAATTGAGGGCAATGTGTGCGCGTAGGGACCAGGCTTGTGTGCTCACTGGGAAAGTCAGCAATGCTCAGTTGAGATGTACGCATATCTTAACGCCAGAGCCCGCCGGCCATTGGGTAAGTGCGGTAAATTCCATGTTCTTTGCACAGAGGCAGTTCTGACGCAAAATCCACTACTCAGTTCTTCGGGCGCAAAGGCAAGAGGCGACCGTGCTCGCCCGTGTACCAGATTTTGGTGGGGCCCCTTCCGATGGGATGGACGTCCGCATGACCATCATGATGGAAAGTGGCCTGAATGACGGATTCAACGCATTGGAATTCTCGATCTATCCTGATGGTTCAGATGTGGTATGTACACTTTGCCGACTTCAAGATGATACATAACCTGTTTACTCACCTTCGTTCGTTCCCTATGGTGCTAGTTCCGGGTCCATCTCTTCCATCCCGTTGAGGACTTGTTCCACCAGGGGCACGTATACATTCCCCAAGCCAACTCGCGGTTCGGACGACCAAACGAATACCGCGACCTATTTTCCTCATGCCGAAGTTTTCCAAGAGAAGTTCATTCAGGCCATACGGTACAACATGTTGCGGCGACAGATCAAAACCCCAGCTGCGATTGCTGCATAGGGTAACCCAGATAGAATTGAGGGGAAAGCCAAGATTTCGTGTGGCAAGCGTCCGCTGACACTCAAATTTCAGAAAGGAGTCGATGAACGTCTGCTTTGTCAAATTAGAACCAGACGTGCTCTTGATATCACCGACCGTAGTCAAGTTTGGGAAACGCCATATAATGTGAATATAATGATTATGATACACATTCCAGCGAGAATTTACTCAATGCTCTCCTCCAACTTCCTTCTCAGAAGTGCGAGACCTGTTCAACTTGGGTGGGAGTGACATTTATGGGATGTCTGTGAGAGGCGGCTGGGTGGGGGTGAACACAGTGATGACATCAGCAGTCACTTTGGCCGGAGTTTTCGACGCCCCTTTGCTGCTTCCCTCCCGCCCACCGACCGCCATCACCGAGTCACAAGTAGAACCCCTCTGCGAGAATCGGTTTGGCAGCGCATAGAGAGACCGTTGCAATACACGGTGGGCTGAACGTTACATCGTAGTTCCTGGTTTCACTCTTCCGGTTGCGTCGATGGCCACTTTATTCCAGGTCGGCGCAATGGTCCTTCCTCAGACCTGGGACAGAATCAGTGCTAACTCTCTCCCCCATGCGCTTTCTTGACCGTCACTTAGCTGGGTTCGAAGCCGGACCATCTGCCCATGCTCCCCGGCCTCCCAGCTCAACACCATCGGGCTCACGCGGGTCGGCGAGCCCATCACCATGGTCAACGCTCCGACTACCTGATAGCGGCCCGCCGTCGCGCAGAGCAGAATCGGGAGCAGATGCAGCACCAAATACAATACTATGACCGAACACAACAGCAGAGTCGGTTTGAGGAATACACTGAGGATTCTATGCGACGGAGTAGAGTTTCAGAGCGGTTCAAGCAGCTGAAGGTGGAAGAAGATGGGAAACTGGAGGAGAGGAGAGAGAGGTTCGTTCCGTTTCAATCTGTGGGAGAGCTTCGTAACGGATGAATTTTACGGGTCTCTAAGTGCCGAAAACATAAGATAGGCTGATGAGATCTGGCGTAGGTTACGCCAGCGTATCGCACAGGATGAGGACCGATATCAGGCCGAGTTGGTTGCTTCCAGGCCAACCAAAGAGTCTCGCGTGTATGCAATGAGGGCGCGGGTGAGCGAGCTCAAAGCAAAGAGAGAGGCGGAGCGGCAAGCCGTAGTGGGCGATAAATTACTCCAACGATGGAGGTGGGAAACTTTGACATGCCGCTATTTCCATTTCTCACCTGTCTGACTGGTCTTGGATCATGCAAACATCAGGAATGAATGTGACGAGCTGCGTGTCGTGGAATCCAAAATCCTTGAGACCGAAGTCACGAATGCTCGTGCGTCACAGTTGATCGAACATGAACAGAAGAGGGCCCTCGCAGTACAAGGTATTTCAAAGATTTCAGGAACGGAAAAGAATGGCTGAATGGCGGTTGACCCCATTATGCCAGAGAAACAATACTACGATCAACTCTGGGAGCAGGACCGCTTGAAGAAGATCGAGCGCGAGGAGAAGGATAACCAGATTCGCAGGGAGAGGGATTTGGCAACAAAGCTGGCTCTGGAGGAGCAGCTCAAACTTTTGAGGCTGAACGCTGAGAATGAGGAACGGTTGAAGCAGGAACAAGGCGTTTTGATGGTATTACATTCTCAAGGGTGGTCGTGCCAACAATCTCGCAGAGGCTTATCTGTCACGTACCCATAGGCCCAAGAAATCGAATTGCAACGTCTTGCGGAAGAGCGAGCGCATGAGCAGAAACTGCAATCACAACGTCTCATCCGCCTCGACTTGGATACATTCAACAAGAACAGGATTCTGGCGCGACAAAAAGAAGTCCAGGAAGCGCTCGAGCTGGATTTGAAGATTGTCAACGCGTTCTTCCGTATGGATGAGCAAGAACGGGAAAAACAGAGTCGCCGTAAGGAGGAGCTTAAACGGGAGATGAAGATGTACATGGACTATCTTCGGGAGCAGCGGCGCGTCGAGGCGGAGAGGGAAAGGGAGATTGAGGAGCTGTATGCTCAGGAGAATGCCAAGGTATAGCAGGGAGGACAGGAGTTGGTCTTGTTTCCTGCGGAAGCCTAACAGAATCTACGGGATGCTTCATCAGCTCTGGCAAACACGAACAGAGAAATGGCAAAGGGAGCAAGCTGCGCGCGATCGTTTGATGCAGGAAGTGATCGCAGGACGGAAAGAGCAGCTGCAACATTCCTGTGAGTGGAACTTGCAGCTATTTATCGAATGGGCGCATCCTTTCGTTGCCAGGCTTGCAAGAAGCGGCTTGATAATACTTCCGCTCTCCCAGTGAACCTAAATAAAGCACGATTACACGAGGCCGAAATCGAGAAACAGGTCCTAGAGGCCCAAGTAGCTTCGATGCAGGCAGGTGAAGAAGAGGCTCGCGAGCGCCAGTACCACGTGGGTCAGGAGTATCGCAAGGCGCTGTTGGAGCAAGTGCGGGTGGGGCACGAGCGGAAGGAGAAGGAGCACCAACGCGACTGGGAGCTAGCGGAAGCGGCGAGACTACAGGAGGAACGATACGCTGAGCTCTTGAAGAGGGAGGTGGCGAACGCACATAACTTGCCGAGGTATGGGTCACGATTTTCTTCACGTGAGCGAGTTCATTCTCATCCAATTATTTTCGTAGGGTTCGGGCCTTCAGAGGCTCTACTAGGGACCCAATCACAATGTCTACAATACCACAATATGCAACGATAATCGGATCTGGCGGCGGGAGGCCACCACTTTCCTAATGAAGTAGATGCAATTATATTTCTCGTATTACCGCTTTATGGGAGCGTAGACACCCGCTCGGCGCTTACACCGACGCACAATGCGGGTGGATAGCCCATGAGGACGTCAGTATACACAAAAAGAAACTTTTTGGGATGAGATCCCAGCGTCTTGATAATTTACATTTGGTCCACCCCACATACTTCTAATGTACTGTTATTTCACTCTTGCACTAGATCTGGCACCGTCTCTGGGATGGCAGCTTCTTGCGGGGGTAGCCCTCCACCTACCACCATGATTTCATTGCTTTCCGGCGCTTCCAAATCAGGCGGGACAACCAGGTTCCCCTCAGCAATCCCCGGTGGTTCATCCCCAAGCTCTCCCTCAATAGGCGGGGCAACCGTACCCTCATCAGCCGTGCCCAACCTAGAACTCTGCCCAGAGTCAATCTCCTCGTCCTCCTCCTCTCCTTCGTCTTCTTCCTCCGGGGCGCCTTCCTCGGGCTGATCCGCAGCGAGGCGGCCCGCACTTTTGCGTCGTCGGAGGGCTTGGTCTCGTAGATCTACAGAGACGACGAGCCAGTCTGACATGGATTGGGCTGGGATCGACCCGCGCTTCTTGACGTCGCCCTTGGGGATCGCTGATGGGTGGCAGATTGGCCGGAATCAGTGAAGTGTTGTGCGATTCTGATGTGAAGTGGTGAGAGGATGGCTTACATTTGAGCACTCTCTTTACGCGAACAAAGCGAATCTTCTTCTGAACCGCTGTTGGGTCGTACTCGATCATGCTTTTCAAGAGATCCATGTTGATGAACTGTGGGAAGTAAGTGTCAGATCAGACTGACACTTCTTCGTCCGCAAAAGATTTGGCTATGATCTGCCTTACCCGACAGCAGTCACTCCATTTCTTCACTGCAAGGAAATAACAACAGGACATTCAGACTCGATGAGCATTTGTGCACGTCCGCTCCTGGTACCAACCTTCTTTTGGAGTCTTCCCAAACAGATAGAGCACCCCTTTAACAACCTTATGAATGGTGTCTGGGGGCTTGCGATAGCTCCGAAGTTCAGACAACGTCTTATTGTCCAGCTTCGCAAGCGCCGCGCGAACATTCATTAGCAATAATTTGGGGAAGAGCAGATGTTGGCGAGCGTTCTCGTCGATGTTTTCCGCATCTGATAGGAGCTATACTGGTTACCAACAACGCTTGATGTTCTTAGGAGATGAGGGACATCGGTACAATACCAAGCGTAGTAGCATCCATGATTCCACTAGGCAATCCAAAGCCCTCTCTCTTGACATCCTGCATAGCCAATCCCAAAATGCGAGCTGTCTTCCGCACTTCGTCCATATCATCTTCACTGATGTCTAGGGCGGGTTTGACCGCTTTCACTTTCATGACCGCCACCGTTTTCCCGGACGGGTCGGCGACGGGCACGAAAGCGGTCGTTCGGCCTTCATGGTCTTTGACTTCTGATGCCTCCGTGCTGTCGCGCGCTTTCCGTAGGAGTTCACTATTGGGATGGACGAATGAGCAAGCAATTTCATGATATTTTACCATGCGTACAAGTACGTACGACTCGGAATCCCCGGGGCCGACTTCCACCATCCGCGACGTTCGTGGTCGCATGTAAGGCGACCCGGGGACGATGGAATCGTCTTCGAGCTTCCCAACACCGAAATCTTCCAGTCGGAAGAGCAACGGTTCGTCGTTGATGGCGATAGGTGATTCGGGAATGAAGATTTCAATTTCCAATCCGCTCTGCTGTGACGCCCATAGCTTTGCGGCGTTTGCGAGAATCATCGCCTTTTCGCGGAGGTTGATTCTCTCCATGACTGCCATCATGGATTTTGATGCATTCTGGAAGGGTTTGAAGTTTATAAACATTACGGTAGTAATCTGCAAGTCCTTCACTGCAATCTTTACCTCGACGAACCGCAGATCCGCTTTATCAAAGTCATCCGCCTGCCCTTGCAAGTTCAAACTCATCACGCCGACGAGTCTTCCGTCACTCGAGCTGATGGGCAGACCGAGATATCGATTGACAGCCATGTTCTCGAGAGTCGCAGAAAAGGCATCCGGATCTCCCTCAAACTCATACGTCGGCAGATCCGGAAGAGCAAGATTTCGCTTGTCTTGGAGGATTTGGGCCTCGACTCCCTTACCGCTCGGCACGGTTTTACCGAGGAGCGCCTCACGCACGTCACTTGTAGTGGCGACGTGACGAAGGAAAGTCTCGATGGTAACGGCTGCGTCGGGTGTCGCACCAGCTTTTGATGACTGCTCAAGCAGCGAAATCCGCCCGCGGATGGCATGCTCGGCGTGAATCTTCTGGAAAGCGCCAGTCAACATTTGAAGTGCTTCCGTGCATGCGCCCGCGACGTTGAGGTCATAGCCCTTCGCCAAAGCGTCAATGGAAGCGATGGTAGCTTTTTCTAGCTCGGCTCTCTCCGTTGCACTGAGCTTTGCTGCCCGGGTAACAGCTGGCGAAAGGTCTGTTTCCTGGTCTGCTCTGGCTTCCTCCACAGGAGCAGCCTCAGCGGGTTGGACCTTCGCAGTGGCTGCCATCAGAGAGTCCATCATGGAGTTGAACTCTTGATCCTTCATGTTACGACATTGCGTCTCGATCAATTTGATGAAGTCTGGTTTCTTCAGATTTTGCTTGGGGTCGCCAAACTGTGATACGGCTGCTTTCTGAAGCGCCTCAAGCACTGAGTAGACCTTGCTGTCCTTCGCATCTCTTAGGCTTTCCAGTGCACTCGTTAGCAGGGTCTGAACTTCTTCAGGAGCGATGAGTCCCCGTCCTTGTTCGAGAGCATCAAAAACAGCCTCAGCTCTTTGCCTATGCAGTTCGGACGACAAGGAGCGTTTTGGTGCCTCTTCCTCCTTCGCTTTAGCCTGTGCCAGTGCTTCCTGCGCAACTTTGGCCGCCTTTTCTGCTGCTATCCGTTTTTCTTCCTCGCCCACCGTATCCGAGAGATATTGCATGAACGCTCGGCACGAATCCAGGCCGAGCTCAGCTGCCAAGTGCTTGGTAAAGAGTCCATATGCCTTTTCTGTGCCAAATGACGTGGGCTGCTCAATGCTTGTATCCGCTGACTCGGAAATTGCCTTGGTTTCGCCCGCAGTGGCTTCATCCGCCGGAGGAGGGCTGGGGTATTGCCCTAAGGTTTCAGCGAAATCTTGCAGCTCCTGATCCATCATCCCATTACAGAATCGCTCGTATTCGACTCTGAGCCTTCCAACGTCAATTTCCGCATCTGTGGCAAAGCCTTCCAGCGCGGTGCCGAGCTTTGCCAGCCATTCCTCTTTCCTTGCGTGCTCAGGCAGGTCAGAGAATTGCGGCATGTAATACGCTTTCTCGTAGTCCTGTTGAATCTGATCTCCCATGGTATCGATGTATCCCGACAGCTCCTTCAGGAAGATGCTCAGACCTTCAATCGCCCATGAGTCCATTAACTCCATGTGCGATTCGACGAAGTCATCGAGATACCACTTGGATTTGAGGGTTCTGGTAGTGGATAATGGCTGGCTTCCATGTGCAGCAACCGAACTGTCATCGTTTTCAACGGCGGCTAATTGGTCCGAGCTCGACGCTGGTTTCACTGACGCAGGTGTGAATGCGGTTATCATCTCGTTCAGTTTCATCATGAGCTCAGGGTTCGTTTGGAGCTCGTCTCTTCGAAACACTGCTCTATACGCATCTAGCTAGCATATGAGTCAGTAAGGAGTGCTTTTGGCCATAAGTTGGCCATAAGTTTGCCAAGACCGAACTGTTTCTTCTCAATCCTACTCACCAGCTCCGAATGAAACACGAACGCCATCTGTGGCCTCCAAAGCTTCTCTGTCCACTTTCTAAAGATCGTCGTCAGAAGCTCCCGGAAGCTCCGACGCCGCTCATTGATCTGGGCAGATCGTATCCTCGCAAGTCTCTCCTCTTCCTGGCTCCGCTGCAGCTCCTCCGCCCGAGCCTTCGCTAGCCGCATGTTTTCCAGCTCGAACAAACGATCCTTCAAAGCAGCGGTGGTCTTCGCCATGCTCCTGGTGTAGGCAGACGAGTTCAAGCTCGAGAAGTTAGAGAACCGTGGGTTGTTGCGATATAGAAACTGGGCTGTGCCAAGTTAGTCGTGCTTCAGTGGGAGACGAACGCTCATCGCGAAAACGCAAGTGCGCATGTACCTAGCCAATTGATCGAATCAAACTGATCTCTAGGTTTGTCCACCTCAACATTGGTCTCTTCCGCCGCCTCCGCCGCTGCATTGGGGTCGTCTCCCTGCCCATCTTTCCCAGCAGAGGCGTAAGACCGAACTTCATGTAGGCTCTTCGGCCCAGATCCACCAATCTCCCATCTACTTGGCTTCGATGACGGCTGAGGGTCCTCATTTCCAACCAGATCCCGTCGTTCAACCTCCTTCAGAAGCTTCTCCAATCCTATTATGAGCGTTGGAAGGGTCGTTTCTACTATATATGCTCTGAGCTCGAGGTCTATTTCCGGGACGTTGAGGAAGTCATTCGCGAGGGCTTTGATCGCTGTGTCTCGAATTTGCGAATCGAGGAGAGATGGAGGCCGAGCGTTCCGGATGCGCTCGATTGCCTCAAGATATTCCTTTGCGTCTGTTGTATCGCTATCACCTCCGACACCTGAGGCAGGAGCCGCTGTGACACTCATGATGTGCGGTTGTGGGGTGGATTCAAAGGAATGCGAGCAAGAAGTCGGACATAGGTGCTCCGATGATGACATAATCTTCGGACATGTCGCGTTTCGTTCTTGACAACTTGCGAAACGTTCGACATTCGTGCAGGTCAAGAAAGTAAAATGGACTCCGTTCGGAGGTTGCTCAGTAAGCTTCTCTATTTTTCTTCTCGAGTGAATAAATAACAGATAACCCTAGCTTCCCTTTCCTTTATCTCTTTTGAGCTATCAAGTGCTATGACTGAAAGCTACGGTGGGAGGGAGGGATGTTTCGATGAAGAAGAACTAACTATCGGGAGCGCAGAGCGCATTTAGCACCTAATGTCCAGGGAAACCCGTAAACCCATAAATCGTCGTTGATCGTGCCGGAAGGCGCGACGTTGATGAATAAAGCGATGCAAATGCGGCGTCGGAAGGAGGTGCTTAGTGCGGTGGGTAGTGAGGTCGGATACTAAGCAACCTCCTCCTCGTCCATACACTCTAGAGGACTACGGTCCTCGTCCAGAGCAGATTTTATCATTATTATATCCTGCCCAGCTTCGGCCGGCCATATAGACAATGAAAAGTGTTTGTGGTTAAAAGGACGGATGCATATATTATGTATCTCGCTGCTCGCCAGTGGTTGTCGTTGAAATCACATTTCCACCAAGGACAACTATTAGAGCAAACTTCTTTAGGCGTCCTGATTTGGATCATGGTTTTTTGGTCTCTCCTCTCCTTCAAGGAGGTAAATTTCCGATGGTCCTCAGTGAGCCCCTTAGGGAGATGTACTGTAAGCCCTGACAAGGATAAATAGCGAGGTTAGGAGCTGGCTAGAGGGTAAGGCTCATAAATATTCGTTGGGCAACCGCCCCCGGCTTGAAGCGCGTTCTTGGGCACAAGTATCCCTCAACAGGGCCCTCAAAACGATCAGCTGGCTATATCCCCTGGATTCTACGTTCACATTTGAGAATCACACGAGGGGTATCGGCGAAAGGCATCAGCTGGGTGGTTCCCCTTAATTTTGAGGTCACTGGGTCTCAAAAGCCAGTCAGCTTGGGTTTCCCAAGGATAATAATGTAGTTTAAATCGTTCCCCCTTTATCAACATCAAGGAAGAAGTTGGGCTTATCTCACCGTAAAAAATGGGTAACACGTAAGCTTGACCTCCAAAGTTACGCGTGTTGGGCTGCAACGCATAGGCAGAAATCGTGGGCCCTAGATCCTTCCCGGGTGCGGGTAGAACAGGACATCGTGCCCACATCCCCCTCTGAATCGTTTCTCGTCCGTCCTTGCCCTTCTCACTTCTATCGATCAATCGTATGGTACGTTTTTCCGTGCGTCATCACACAACATAACCGACGCTCTTGTTCTCTGAAAGTTCATAGGGGACCACCATCTCGCCGCCATCTCCCATCGCTTTCCGACCTGGTTCATAAGGTGACATTTCCCCACGATAGTGCATCTTCCCAGCGAAGGCGTCAGTAAGTGTTGGATTTTTGCATGACGTCCCTCCTTTTCAACGTCGCCGCCGCTTCTCCGTCGTCCGCCGCCATCTCCCACCACTCAACGCGCCTGCCGATGGTTGGACAACATCCTTCCACTAAGCAGCTTCCTGTAAGTGTCTCGCTATATGAATTGGACCTCACCATAACAGACGCGTTCCTTTCCTTTTTGACGCGCAACGGCCGTGTCATTCAGGCAAGCACAATTCCCAATCTGCGGTGACCCCGAGCACGAATTCCAGCCGCACACTGAACACTCCCACTCTAGCGAAGTTGTAAGTTCGCGTGGCTCCTACGCCACGCGCCCGCGGGCAGTGGAAGGTCGAGGGTCCATCTTAGCCCCAGCTCCAGGGGCCCTAGGACGGCTGATTAGACGCAGTGGCGTGGCGGTACAGAACTGGAAGTGCGGAAGGGGCCTGTGTGCTGGAGAGGGTGGTCGGTTCTGGGGCCCGTCGTCCGCTCCCGCCGCCCTAAGTAACGTGCGGTACAATATTCATGCGCCTTAGGACATACCAACTTCCAGGGGCCAATTGTGAAAACATGGTATTCTCTTATACTGTATCTACGAGGTACATACAGTGAACTGTATTCAATGGAAGCGACAGATTCCGGAACATCCGTCAATCATGACGACGGATAGGTGGAAAATCATATCTGGCGTATGAGGGTGATGTGATGAGCACTGATGGGGGAATCATTAGCAGCATGGATGGGGGGAGGAGGTTGAGGGTTGTTTGTTGGGTTTAGGGTAAGGATTGGTTGCAAACCATGTACATACAAGCCTTCTCTGTGTTGTGTATTCACGCCCCCACCCGACGTCCATGGCTTGCCAAACAATCTTCGAACCCATTTTCAAGTTCATATGCGATTTCTTTCAAAGGGGTGAACGGGGAGAGTGGTCCCACGACAAACAGAAATGGTTTAAGGCTATCATCCTTCTCCTCCGGGACGTCGGGATGGGTGAGTGCATACTGAACCCGTTCCGCCCATGCTTTCCTGCTCTGTGAGCTGCTGCCAGCGCCGCTTCCACCGCCGCTTCCACCAGCATTTCCACAATCTCCTCGCCCAGCACCACCGCCACGTTGGTCAGCATTAACACCACCTCCGGCAACAGCATCCGCTTCACCTCCGTCAGGCTCACTATCTTTCGAGTCTTCTTCTTGGTTGTCATCGTATCTAACATTCCTCCAGTATCGCCAATGATATCTCAATAGTTTCTTCTTTTCATCTGGGGCGATGGTGACAAAAATTTGACCTTGATCATCCTTCGGGTGGACAACCAGTGCTCGACCTGCGTTGTCACGAGACTGGCCTTTTTCAATTTTGACACTCTCAAAAACGACTTGGCACTTGACGGGGTGGGAGAAGTTGAGATATGACCTCTGACCCTCAAACAAACCGTCCGGCACGAGATGAATGCCTTCTGGGGGCTGATTCCTCAGACATGGTGCGTCCGCAACGGGGACGAACCGGTGGGCATAGACCAGGTGGGAGGATGCCACAAATACAGTCGCCACCTCATCCTCGGGATCGTATCGGTGTACCAAAATCGGGTGATACTTGGGGTCACGGAGACGGCGGTAGGGCGGGTTGGTCGGGTCGCCAGCTGAGAATGTTCGTTGAACTTCAGGAGATGTTGGACTTTGGATACATGGAAGGTTTGTGGGAAACGACGATTCTGCTGGTGTCGCTTGGTTGATTTCGGCCGGAAAGACTATGTAGCCCAGATAGAACTGGTTCCGGTTCAAAGTGGTCCCCCGTCTTGTCGCCGCGCTCGCGGCATAGGTGGAGGCAGCCATGACGCAGTTACTGTGTATGCGCTTTCCCGCAATCGTAATCAAGGCGAGGTTACCGTTCCCGCTCGAAGGTTCAGCGCTCACATACGTCTTCGGCAAGCGCGTCGCTCTCTCTCACTTTTTGCCTTCCGCGCGAAACCCTTTTTCACACAGACATCTCTTCTTGCAACCCCACGGCCTCTGCCGACAGGCCAACGGCCACCCAAGTATTGTAGTAGGATATGTGCACCAGAGGCCACTCTTCAAAACTGTTTCATTACATTTTTTTTATCTTCTTTTAAAAACAGAGAAATGCCTACTTTAACTTGCTTCATCAACGTCAAAGACAGAAGGCTCCTCGTCGCTTTCCTCTCCCGCAACGCCAGCCAGAGTCCGCTCTTGCACCTTGCTGTTGCGCCATTCCCAAAAGGAATGCAGTAAAAAGGAAGGCGGAGAAGGAACCAGAAACAGAGACGCTGCAATCGACGCGCGGGCGTATGTGAGCGCTGAGCTCGAAGGTCCTGAAGCCTTTGCTCCGTCTAGGCAGTCGAGTATACAAGTTGCCATCATCGGCGACGCCTCAGGCAGAGGTACAATGATGTGGATGGCAGATAACCACCACGGAAAATGGGATGGGGTGAAATCTAGACTACCTACGGTTACGGGAGAATGCGTCTGGTCTGCGGCCATTGCCAAACACCACCGAACGCACAATCGAGAGGAAATTCTTGGTGCTCAGGACGTCCCGATTGTGCACTCTCATCCGTAGTCGTAGTGGTCGTCGTCTTCCAGGAATCTCAAATGGCGTCCAGTCTTGGTTGATACATTCAGGGTTGGGGCAACCCACCAATCCATGGACGAATTCCATTCTCCCCTTTCTAGCTTGCCATGGCCGAGATGACAGCCGCTGTCGGATGTTTTTCTTCACACGGCCGTGGCAGTCGGGGCACACGGACGACTTTCGATACTCATCCAGCAAGTAGCATGGAATGCTGTTTCTCGCAAAGAGTGTGCGGAATCTGTTCCATGATGAGTTAGCATATTATAGTACATAAAAAACCATGATGGTCACTCACCCTTTGGTCTTTGATGACTCCTGAAAGCGCATCGTTTTCCCAGCATCGCTCCAATCACCCAAGATGACCGAAAAATGCTTTCCATACCGGCGTCGCATGTTCTTAATGAGCTTGCTCTCAGACCTTTGCCGCAGTGAGAACGCCTTGAATCTGCGAGCGACATGAATCTCATCCCGGTAAAACTCATCCAGGGCGGGATCTGGGATATAGATGGATGTCAGCCCATGGATTACTAAATTTGAAAATCACAATTGAAGTAGAACATCATACCCGCATGTACGTGATCCACAATGAACGCTGAGAACGCCTCGATGTTCATGCTCTTGTGCGATGGAATCTGTGATTCCATCTCAGCAACGCCGGCATTGATCTTCCGCTCTGTCATGTCTCTCCGAAAGTACCGCGACTTTGTCTCGACCGCCCGTTGATTGGATGTATATCTGATGAGGGGCGGTGTTTTGTGAGAATGTGACAACGGATGGTGGGGACAGTGAAGGGGGGGGGGGGATGGTGGGGATGGGGACGAGGACAGGGTTGGCCTCGACACCGTCATGCAGGTCATCAACATGGGCCACGCGACGAGCGATATGACGCGCGACGGCGACAAGCAAACCAACCGCGGCCGCTCCCTCATTGGTCGCTCCCTCCGCGGCCGCTTCCCATCGACAGCTCCGTGCTCGTCCAACTCTATCAACGAACTCCTCGCCCAGATCCGCGACGGTGGCAAAATGGCTGTGGAAGCCGCCAACGCCGTCTGGACCGACTTCGTTGCCCGTGTCCGCAAACAGGGGAACCACCCCTTCCAAGTCAACGTCCGCAAACACCTCCGCACCATCTTCCGCAAAGTCGAGGGTTGGGGGGGGGGGGGGGGATGGTGGGGACAGCAGGGCAGTAGTAATCTGAAACTTACCGAAATGGCCGCTCCTTCTTGTTGTCTCGACAGAATAGGAGGTCACGCTTGCCCGGATCAATGCAGACGATGTTTGGAGCCTCCCTTAAGTCGTCAATGTGGTGCTCAAAATACAGCTGCTTGACTTCTTCCCGCATTTGGGCCTTGCTGCGCTTCCGGGCCCGATACCCATACTTGAGCCCTGGCTTCTTGAAGTGGATGGTAACGGAATACCCGTCGGTGCTAATTGACCCATCGAACTTGAGACCAAGCTTCTTTCGATGTTTGAAGACCTTGTCCTACAATCCGTCATTCAGCGACGTAATCTGATTGAATCAAGCACAGAAGGGTACAGACTTAACTTACATTCACGTTGATAAACTGCCCCCACAGCTCCCGCTTGCGTTCATCAGTGGGTTTCCCCATGCGACGGCGGCTCAAGCCCAAGATATGAGTGGCTAGGATCTTCGTGTCGATCCGAACAGACGACTGGATTCGAGATTTGCGCAGCGGGATAGCGGAAAACAGCCGCATTCCACGGCGCTCATAGAGGCGTGAGAGCTCACAATAGGCACCTGGTGAGGCAGGTGTGGACCATGATTAGACAAAAGAGGAAGCCGAGGGGGGGGGGGGCAAAGGGGGCGAGTGGTTACGTCGACGCTGTGGCGGTGGGCAAGAGCATCGGCCGTGCCCCGGGCCCGCTGTGCGCGCACTGGGGGCGTCGTCGAGGCGGGGGAGGAGGGGGCGAGAAGGGGGGGGGGGGTCGGGGGCCCGCAGGAGCCAAGCGTGCGGGCGCCCAGCGGCGACAGCGCAACGCGAACCACGTTGGCCGGGGTCCCGGCAGGCAGCCACTCGACCAGGTCGACATACCAAGGGAGGCACTGTCGGTCGCCTAGCAAGGACCCGCGCAAACGCCGCGCGAACTCCCAGTGCTGCTGTATGCCCACCGCCGCGAGATGTGGGCTTGAGCGTGTATGTTCGGCGCGCCATCGGCGATGGCAACAGCGCATCGCGAATCACGTCGGCCGGGGTCCCGGCTCGCTGCGCAGCACGCACGAGCTGGAGGGGGGGGGGGGGGGGAGAGTGGATAAATGTACAGGATGCAACTCACCTAAATATGGCATTGCGTCCACATCAAGACTGTATGCAAGCGGTTCATCCTGGGGAGGAAACAGAGCCCATAAGTCGTCGAGGAGAGTCCGCTCAAGTCGTGTGAGGCCGGCAAACTCCTCTTCGGTTGGGTACTCTTCAAATGTCGCGTACTTTCTGAATTGACGGACACGCCAATAATACTGTTGGCGCTGCGCTCGGCTGACTCCGGCTCTCCGAAGATGCAGTACGACTTGCTTCAAACCAAGCCTTTCATTGACGTAGCGCAGAAACATTTGCATGAAATGCTCTTGTACGTTAACTTTGAGGTTTGTGAAGATGCTCGTAGCCGTGTACGCCGCGGTCTGTTGGCTATTTCGCATGCGGATGGGGGCAAATCCGTGAACATTACGGTACTCTTGAACCCGTGGACGCAACTCTTGCGCTATGACCGGATTGCCGTTATAGCCCGGATTGTTTAGTAGCTCAAATATCACACTACTGTGCTTGTCGGTGATGTCCGGGAAATCGTGTAGAGGATGATCAGCTGTGGTGGGGTGGGCAGATGTAGCAGTCAGGACATTGTTATGGGAAATATTATGGGAAATATACAGTGTACCTCAAAAACTCACCAAGGTAGTACTTGAGGAAGAACGTGGTGTGGCGCGCAAGGACCTGAACATCGGCGATGAACGTTGTCAGGCGCTCCCTTTGGACTTGATTGTGATTTTGGATGATTCGGTGAAGCGAAACCTTAGTGCTGGCATGTGTTTGCGGGCGGGGTCGTTGAGCTGGTGGTGGTGGCGGGGGTTCATACACCAGGGATCCCGGTGTGCTGGGAAAAGGGAAAGGGATGGGAGCTGGGAGGTTCAACGGACGCTGCAGACCCCTGTCCGCGGGTGAGAGCCCTCGCTGCTGTTGCTGTTGCCCGTCTTCATCGCCGGAGCTCTCGCTAACCATGTCTGCAATTGCTTGGGGCAAGTGGCGCTGGACAGAAGGTGGGAAATCGAATCGCGGGGGTTGCATTGGTGTCTGCACAGCGGTTGGCGGATTTATGGGCAGCCGCGGGGTAACCGGAGTAACCTTCCTCCTCTTCCGCCGTGGTGTGGTTGCTCCCGTAAAGAAGCCACCCCACCGGTGCCCCTGGAGCGCCTGGTGTGATGACATGATGGCCGTGCTGTGCCTTAAGTTCAGCCGAGACAGGTGTTGCAGGTGATCGCCTTGATAGCTGTGTGTCAAAGAACTCAGTGTTGTGGTAATGAAGCTGAGAACGGTGAGGAATTGCGGTTGTTACCTGGTGGTGGTCGGCGAGTACACATCTGCTCGCAATTGCGCTGGGTTCCGGTAAGGCCGAGCGTGAAGGCTGTAAGCAGTGTACAGTAAGGAGCGTGAGGAGCGCGAAGAGTAGAGTGGGGATCCCCACGTTCTTTTACACGCGTGTAAAGGATGTGGGTGTTGTGGAACTCGTTACTTTATTCCCCTTTCACACACACCACTCGTTTTATAGACATTCGATCGGACGGTCTGCCCACACACACAACCAGCTCTCTATCTGCAGAGAAGAAAAAGGGGGGGTACGGTAGCTATAAAAAGGAAGCTGTGGCTGAAACTGGCTGTTTACAACACTCCCTCTCAGACTGCAGATCGAATTCAGTCCGCAGTCGCCGTCGCAGTCGCTCTGCATGATCCCATAGAACGTTCCGCTCTCAACTTCCGCAATCGCTTGAGTCCAGATCGGAGTAGGAGCCGGACTCGCGATTCGCTCTTCAAGTCACGATCGCTTGAGTCCAGATCGGAGTAGGAGCCGGGCTCGCGATTCGTTACGCCCTGAACTTTACGCCATCAACTTCCGCCATCGCTTCCGCCATCGCTGATCTCGACGCTTCCAGTGCTGAGCACGACCGCCGCTTGCGGGAGGTCGACCGGCATGGGATGTGTTGTCGCTTCGCCGTCGTAGTCGTGAATGCCTCGGTAAAAACCTCTCCCAGTCGCAAAAACCTCCGTGAGGAAAAATAGATCCTGGGAGTAGGAAAAGAGCGCATCGCTGTATCAGGCAACATCGGCCTTTCGGCGCAACCCTAGAGCGTGAACAAACTTCCAGTGTTTGTTTTCATCTAGGGATTTGGTAAATATATCCGCAACGTTGTCGTGCGTATTGATCTGAGTGATTTCTAGGGCAGCGGCGGCGGCGGCGGCGGCTTCTCTGGCGTTTGGCGTAGTAGCTGCGTTAACTGTGTTGGCTCTCGCTCAATGTGGACTTCCCAACGGCGCTAGTCCCGTCAACCATCCACACACCATCAACATTGATGGCAATCTCCACTACACCCACGGCGGCGACAACAACAACAACAATAAACACGGTTCCGTCAACTGCACAACCATTGAACCATTCAACGGCGGGGCCAGAAGAGGAGAACCCACCGGTCCATCACATGAGCAGGGGAATTCACACGGTGCAAGACTTATGGCGGGAATGGACATACGGACTCGGAGGTGGGCCACCAATTGAGGTGTTGGAGAGGAAGTGGGGTGCACGCTGGCGGAAAGGGAACGAGCAGAGGTTTTTCAACCGGCGGAAGGTCATTATTGACTTTGTGAAGAGATGTGCTGATAAACGGGAAGGAGGTATATGTCCGGGCAACATTGACGTAGTGGTGGGCCAGCTAGAAGAGCTCAGGGTGAGGCAGGAACGGTCCTTAGATTGGATCTCAAAGAACATCAGAACAATAACATTGTAAATTGGTGAGAGCGGAAACGATTTCTGTATCATAGACCTATTGCTATTGCTATGGTGTCCGGCGGCGAAGCAACTATGACAGCGAAGCGATTGGGAAGTTGAGAGAGCGTACCGCGAGACTGCCCCTATTCCGGGCTGCCCCAAGCGATTGCGGGAGTCGAGAGCGTACTGCGAGACTGCCCCTATTCCAGGCTGCCCCAAGCGATTGCGGAAGTCGAGAGCGAGTATATATCCCGCCAGATGGTAGCAAATCAGGTAGCAAATCCCCGGGGAACCTTATGAAGTTGACGCGTGCACATCAATCTACGCGGCCCACGGTGAACCAACGCTCTTCCATCCATCCATCCATCCGTCCATTCGCAAAGCAAGCACAGCTATATATATAGGCATCCATCCATTCATCCATCCATCCGTTATCGAAATCGAAATAGCAAATATGTCTGAAGAACACCTGGTGCGTTTTCTCCAACTCCGTGTTAATATTTTCGGCAGGGGGCATAGAGACGCGATGATGCGGGATGGCATTGCGCGATGATGAGACTAGCGTGCGAGCAACGAGTGGAACGTAAAACAAGCAGGCTTGGAGGATGGGACCCATCTACCCTAGCTCGGGGTGTCATAGGACCGTGGGAATTTCGAGCCTGGGAACGCGTTAAAGACAGATGGTCCAACAGCGAGATTGGAAGCAATCACAGCCTATAAAGTGACTCCCGGCAGCGACGTGGACTTCGGGGACGCTGTGGAAGACAGAAAACAAAGGAGGGAGTTGCGGGACTAGTGAACAGCGTCTGCTATGGGGACGAAATCTTGACTAGTGGGAACAAGGAATTCATTTTTAACGATCGCCCGTATGTCGAATTCATAGGAAGGAAATACCGGTGCCGAGGAGGAGGTTGCCCCCTCCGTGGACGTGCATTTTGAGCCCGTCATGAAGCTGGAGCAGCTCGATGAGATTAAGACTGGGGAGGAAGATGATGAGGCGCTCTTCAAGATGTGAGTTTGGACATCCCCTCGTCAGACTGATGAGTTGCAGGACGGTTGGAAGTTGGGAAATGCAAACGAAGCAGAATTGGCAGCGGCGGTATTGGAGTTATGCGAGACGAGGGCTTCACCGTCGGGTTTGCATCGGGGCATCGCCTATCCAGAATGTGACATAGGATGCTTGCCCAATACGTGAGCACGAAGGGACTGGGAGTGAATGGGACCGGGGGAGAGACCTCGCAGCAATGGGACAGAGCACATGCAAAAGTCAACTCGATAAGAGCACGATATTGATGGACAATGAATTCGCAAAATCTAGGCGCTCGAAACTCTTCCGATTCGACAAGGGCCTGAACGAGTGGAAGGAGCGTGGAACCGGTGACGTGAAGTTGCTGAAGCACAAGGAGAGCCAGAAGATCCGCATCCTGATGCGTCGTGAGAAGACCCACAAGATCTGTGCCAACCACTACAGTGAGTTTTAACAGTCTGATCATCTCGCTTTGAATTCATCAGAACTGATCTGTCTCTTTTAGTAACATCCGAGATGGAGCTGAAGCCCAACGTCGGCTCCGACAGGTCCTGGGTGTGGAGCACCCTGGCGGATGTTTCGGAGGGAGACGCCACTCACGAGCTCCTTGCCATCCGTTTTGCGAACTCTGAGAGTGAGTTGTGGGAATGATTCTTGAAAGATTGAGGGACTGTCCCTTAACCAATCGAATTTTCCGAAAAGATGCGAACAAGTTCAAGGAGGCTTTCGAGGATGCGCAGAAACACAACGCCGGCGTGGGTTCGAAGAGTGCTCCTGCCCACGAGGAGCTCAAGCATGAGGAGCCCAAGCATGAGGAGCCTGCGCCCGCTAAGCACGAGGAGCCCAAGCATGAGGAGCCTGCGCCCGCTAAGCACGAGGAGCCCGTGAAACACGAGGCACCAGTTGAGGAGCCCAAGCCCGCGCACGAGGAACCGAAGGAGCCTTCTGCACCTGCTACAGCGGAGCCAGCAGCGCACGAGCCGCACAAGGAAATCGTTGCTGAGGGTGCTCACACTGAGACACCGAAGGCGGAGGGTGCTACGGAGGAGCACACAAAGGCGGAATAGCCGATCTCTGCGTCCCACCCCTTTCAATGTTCCCGTTCTCACCCTTTCTTCAACCTCACCCCTTCCCTTCCCATTCCCTATTCCCCTCTACATCGGATGTCTATCTTTTGAGTCCTCTCTCATCTGCCTCCCCCCTCTGATTGTTACTTTTGGCTTGAACTCATACACCGTGGGTAATACTATGCGCCCGGAATATCTCTCCCCTCTTTCATTCACCCTTTTGGACACATTGACAAATTCTTCGGCCGCACTCATGTACAGTACCTAAGACTGCCTTACCCGCACATTCGTCCTGACTTGAGTACCGACTCGTCTGCTCCTGCCTCCTTACCCTGCATATTCGCGGGGCGTCGGAGATGGCGCGTTATTGTGGAGCTTACGTGACCTCCCCTGAACTTTGTACGCCAACCGCCGAAAGCCCCGTTTTGACAGCCACGCGTAACTCGTCTCCCAACCTTGTTCATCAGGTGCCTGACCAGTCGATTTCCAAACTCTTCACACGTCCGTTCACCTGCAACAACTCGACCGAAAGAAAACCATCCACTATCTCATATCAAAACTCGTACACCCCAACCATGCCCTTCCCCGAGCCCGTGAGACTAGAGGACGAGACCGAGGAGGAGAGGCGTTTACGGCAGGTGAGACGACAGAGGAGCAGTCCTGTCAGCTGTGTGACAGGGGTTTGTTTACGTGTTTTTTTTCCTTTGATTAGGAAAACCGAGAGCGGGTGACTCGTTTGGAGACTGAGGCGGTGAGGACGGCGAATGAGGAGATTACTGCAGCTGAGGCTCAGGTATGGATTGATCAACGCAACGTTGGGGTTGGGGAGGCGCCCTCTTTGCTGTGTTGCACCTATACACTGGCTAGCCTTCGCGCAAAGGGCCTGATGATTGACCCTGATTGCAAAACTCCACAGGTAGACGCCTCGCGCAAATTGGCTGCCAAGGAAGCCGACCGTCAGATGGAAGCCGAGCGACAGAGACGGATTGTGGAGGCTGAGAAGGGTAGTATCCAGGAAGAGCTGTTGAAGAAGCAGAATATTGAGAAGGCTATTGCGGTGAGTAACGAAAAGATGGGGTATTTGTGGGAAAGTGTCCGTGTGAGGAGATGGGAGTGAGGACGAAATCTTCTGGGGAACGAATGGAGAGTTAGCTGATGCTCCAGTCGCTGATCCAATGAATCTCCCCTTATTTGGCGCACGCGTGCACAGTTGGAAGAGCAAGAACAACGCCGCCGAGTCTTGGAAACCAACCAGTCCGAGGAAATCGGCCTGGCGATACGCCGAACGTGCGGAAAGGCCGTTGATGAGTGGGCAGATCAAGAGAAGTGCGTACAAATCGCTTCAAGTACCACAATCCCGCTGTGAACACCACCTAACCACCCTATAATCTCCCTCGTACAGAGCACGCCGTAGCATTGAAGATCTCTCATCCCTCCCCGCCGCCACACGGACCCAAAAAGAGCAAATAGGGCAGGAAGTCGTGCGGGAGGTGCAGCGACGCCGGTCTTCGGCTTCTGAGCGTGCTAATCCACAGCAGCAGCAGCAGCAGCAGCAAGGATCTGCGTATACGTATGGAGCTGGAGCGGGCAATGAGAGCCAGATCCCGCGATCGGCTGGGGCTGCTTCGGCGGAGCAGCAGCAGCAGCAGCAGGCGAGGAATGCGCAGGCTGAGGTTAAGGTTGGAGGGAAGTGAGGAGGATGAAATGGATTTGTGGACATGCCTTTCCGTCATGAGCATTGCACAGTTGCAGAGAGTATTTGGGGGTGAATGTGGAGTGCATCGTTTGCGTGCCATATGTTTTTGGATATAAGGTTGAATCTGAAGTTTAAGAGCCCATCGGGAATTGGTGGGTTGGGACTGCGGGGGAGCGAGCGGGATGTTCGAGGTGGTTGTGTTGTCATCAGTTTGGCGTGAGTCACTTTGAGCGGTGACGTGTGGCGACTGGAGTTGGCCGCCGCCCACTTGCAGGTTGCAACAACTGGAGCTGCCAAGTCTCACCGGCCCATCCCGACTGAACCCCAACGTCTCTTGTCCGCACCATCTGCGTCTGTGCATAGCCGATAGACGTTCGCCGTATTCTACGACAGCCAGCTGAGTCGGTCGGCAAGCCAGCCGTTTTTCTCCCGATCCACACCTTCAAGCCTCGTTCTTCGACTCCCCGCGTACACCTGGCACAAGTCATTCCAGCGTCACCCAGCAATGGAAGAAGTCTATATGAGCGAAGAGTACAGCGAGGTCCCCTGGGACACCCCCTCAAATCCCCTAGAAACCCATGTACAACACAGTATCATCACGCACTCTGAAAAGGCTCGGTACTCATCCTCATCCCCTTTACAGGCAACGAGCGCTCTGACACCCGACGACGACCCACAAATTGGGCCATCATCTTCGACCTCCCCCACCCGCCAAACACTCACCACTTTCGGACTCACGGCGAATAACGCCTTGAAGGTTACTGTCACCGATGCACAAAAGCATGGAGAGGGATCGAGCGCGTTTGTCACCTATGCTATCGACACAAAGGTTGGGCCAGAGATCGTTTTGCTGCTATGTCTGTCGTACTTTTACTGAACTATCGGTTTCGGTACCTGCAGTCTACACTACCAAGCTTCGCTCGGTCAAATCTTTCAACACGAAGACGGTTCCAGGACTTTGCATGGCTGCATGGAACTCTGAGCGAGGAATACCCAGCATGCATAATACCACCATTACCGGGAAAGCACCGCATGGGTACGGATAGCGGAGAATTGTCCGAGTAGTAGATGACGTTTACGGATGAGCGAAGGACTGACGCCGATTGACGGTAGAATACATAACGGGCGACCGCTTCAGCACTGAGTTCATAGAGAAGCGAAGATACTCCCTCCAGACCTACATCAACCGGGTGACTCGGCATCCAACACTGCAGAACAGTGCCGCCATCAAGAAGTTCTTGCAACCCGGGGACCTGGTATGCACATACAGTAGCATGAGGAGCGATCACCGACGAAAAGCGAAGGCGAAAGCGTTAACATTTCGACTACTTGCAGCAGGGAGCCGATGCAGTAGCAAAGAGGCGGGACAGCCACGTTTTCGAATCCATCAGCGATGCGATCCTCAACGTCGTGTCGAAAGTCCGGGAACCGGACCCGAAGTTTTTGGAGTACAAGGAGAGCGTGGAGAAGTTTGAGGAGAACCTGAAGACTGTGGAGCGCCTCAATATCAAACTGCTGAAGGAGCAATCAGGTTAGATCACTGGATGCAGTTTGACGAGGACACTTCGCTGTCTATTTGAGATCCTGACCATATCATGTGATGTTGCGAACTAGACTTGGAGACGGATACGGCGGATTTACATCGCAGCATCACGACAATGGCATCTATGGAGACGCAAATATCGGAGCCATTGTCCGAGTTTGGGTCCACGTTACGGGAGATTGCCAAGTTATTGCACGAGAAGGTATGGCTTACCTTTGTGAAAGAGAATTTTCAGTAGCTGCAAGATATGGAAGCTCACCGAAGCCATTTCGGTACCTCTACGCAGACCTTACGAGAGGATACAGATCTCGTCGGCGAAATCCGCGAATACATCGCATACAGCCATTCCGTCAAAGTAAGAACAATCATGTCTTTCCATTCCCTCCTCTCCTGTCGCATTTCATCATTGACACTCCCCAACTCTTCATTTTCCCCAGGAAGTCCTTAAAATCCGCGACCAAAAGCAGATCGACCACGAAGAGCTCGAGCGATACCTCGGCAACCACATCATCGACCGCGAGCGCACGGCACAGGGAAAAGGCGACGGAGGCATTCTGGGACTGATCAAGGACAAGTACAACGATTTCAGGAACGTCAATCATGAGCAGGCGAGGAAAGCCAAGCTGGAGAGATTGGAGGTCAAGATCAAGGAGGTAAGGGTTGAAATAGGGATCGCGAGCCTGTAATGGAAGTGGGAAAGATCTGATTTTTCATGGTCGGGGTTATAGCTGAAAGAAGCGGTCGAACAAAGCACCACGATATCGTCCGCTTTCTCGAACGAGGTCATCAAAGAAATGGATCTGTTCAATGCGGTTAAGATCGACGATTTCAAGGATATTCTGAGGGATTACACCGAGAGCCAGATGGAGTACTACGAGAAGGTAACGAATGGATGTGTTTGAGGCGGGGGGCCTGGGACACGTACCTGATTTCGTTTTGGTAGGGAGGAAAACTGTGGGACGCCATCATCCCGATGATAGAAAACATTCAACTTGATAGTGTGGACGGCGTGCGGAAAGGGGAGCATGCGAGCTGAAGGGCTGGATAGAAATCCTCATGTGTTGTGTCGTTGGCGGGCAAAGCTCTGTAGGGAGACGGCTATTCAACTGGATAGGCTATACACCCGTTCACTGTACATTACTCCCTCATCTCCTTGTTTCGGAGACTCTTCTGTAACATTGTAAATGAACGAGAGCTTTCCTCCTTTGGCGAAAAGGGACGGAAGTCGCGCGGATCGGAGACTTGACTCATCGGACATGTTGCGCTCGCGTATTTTCCGCCCTCCGTAAAACTCCCTCCCACTCCCCATCACTGATCGCCCCCGAATACAAAGACAACCACCCTCCCCGAATCCCACAGCTCATATCCCATCCGCTCCAGGTATCTCCTCCACTCACCACATGTCCCTCCTCCAAGAAACCTCCCGGATACGCGCGCACGCACGAACTCTCGCCGAATTCATACGCCGCGGTGAGGGCAAGCTAGCTATTCTGACGGGGGCGGGGATATCGACCGATAGCGGCGTGCCGGATTATAGAGGGCCGACGGGCATTTATGTGCGGAATAAGGTGTGTTTTGCAGGAGGTGGGAAGGGGAGGTGGGGCGGGGACATTTTGAGGGTGGGGAGGGGAATGAGATGGGATGGGTTGGGGATGGCGAGGCTGGCAGCTGAGGTGTCTGGGGTGTCTGGGGCGAGGAAGGCCGAGATGCATGGTTGGTTCGCTCTGGCTCTGGGTGGGAGCGAGTTCCGCGCCGCAGGCGCAACTCTAGATCCAGCGAGCGAGGCGAGCAGTCATTGCGAGCGACAGCATGCGGTCGTGGATTCCAGACGATTGAAGCGATAGGACAGGACTCCTACGCGTCCGTTCGGGACATCTCTAGCAGGTTTCGCTTCGGACGGGACTTGCCAAACTCACTAAAATCTTATCACAGGACTACCGCCCCATCCGCTTCCAGGAGTTCATCTCCTCGCACCCCACCCGGCAACGCTACTGGAGCAGATCATACCTGGGCTACCCGCGCATCGTGAAAGCGCGGCCAAATACCGCACATTACGCCGTCGAGGCGTTGCGGAAGAAGGGGTGGGTGAGCGGGCTGATCACGCAGAATGTGGATGGGCTGCATTTGGGGGAGAAGATCGAGCTGCATGGGACGCTGGTATGGTACTTTTTGCGCGTGTGGACGTGTTTGCAATCGTTTCGTTGAAGATGTGAATTAACGAACCCCCGTCCACTTTGCTAGCACGAAGTCCACTGCCTATCCTGCCAGCACACAGTCCGGCGGTCCGAGTTCCAACAAACCGTCGCAGACATGAACCCAGAACTGGTAGAATGGGCGCGGCGGAATCCCAACGCGGAGAGCGGCGACGTGGCCAGCTCGACTGAAGTGAGACCGGATGGAGACGTCGAGACCTCGTGGGACTACTCGCGGTTCCATTATCCGGACTGCGAGGGGTGTGGGAAGGGGATGTACAAGCCCAGGTACGTTCGACCCCCTCCTGACCATCCCCCGTATCGTGAAACCTGAACTAACACCACATCCCATCACACAGCGTAGTCTTCTTTGGCGAAAACATCCGCCAGCAAATAAGAGACCAATCCTTCGACCTCATCGACGCATCCCGCGCCCTGCTCTGCATCGGCACATCGCTACAGGTCTACTCGGCATTTCGCCTCGCCCAGCGCGCTAAACTCGCCGGCCAGCCCTGCGCGACGCTATCGCTGGGAACATCGAGGGCGGATGAGCTGATGGATGCGAAGATACAGGATGGGTGTGGGGAGGTGCTGGAGGCTGTTTGTGGGGAGTTGGGAGCGAGTTAGAGATGGTGGTGGTGAGGAATGCGCACGGGCACACGGCGACGGTTTTTGGCAACCCTCAACACCGGGAGAGGCTTTTTTGGCATGTATCCCCGTCACCACAACGCCCCCCCATCATCTGACATAGAGTAGCTTGGTTATAGACCCTCACAGATTACAAAACTGGATCTTATCTTGTAGTTTACAATCCCGATTCAGCATTAGAACAACCCAAAATATTTTTATGTGACTATGACTATCTGCCTAGCGTAGAGGGGGAGGGGGAGGGGATACTAACGTAGTTTTCCCAAAAATTACAAGAACCAAAGTCATTTGATGAGCAAAGGTCGATGACAATGTACGCTGGGGAACAAAGAAAAAAAAATGTTCAGAATGAAAAACAACAAAAGCAAAATGAGAAAAACGGGGGGGAGGGGGGGCAAATATCAACAATGAAAAATGAATAACAGGCCCAAAGGGGGGAGTGGGGGACGAGGTCTGTGTGCTCCGGCCGCGACCAGTTCGTCGATGGGGTGTGAGTGGGAGGGTGTAATACGCCGCGTTTTAATTCCTCAAAGAGTCCTTCGAACTCTTCAACCTTAAGAGCTTGCCAAACTTCTTCCCCAGACTTCCTCCCTCCCTCGGCGGGTCCGGTCGAAACGGCGAGCTCGAGTCATCCCACGTATCCGAGCTCCCGCCCCTCGTCGGGCGTGCGCTCTCGTTGCTTCTGCGGCCTTTGAAGGTGTGGCGGAAGTCGAGGCAGTTGGGTTCGGTGGAGTCGCGCGGGGGTGGGTAGGAAGGGGAGCTGGGGTGGTGCAGGTCTTCGTCTTCTGCTAGGGGGGTGAGATGTTGGGGTGGGCGGCGCGGTTGGTGGCGTTGGTCGCGGAAGGCGGAGCCGTGAATGCGGAGGGTGGGTGGGTGTCGCATATTTGCGGGGCCGAGGTCGCTGTCTTCGGGGCTGTTGAGTTCGGTGTCGGAGTTGTCTGAGGGGGCGTATTCTGGTGTGATGAAGGCGGCGTTGTCCATGCGGTAGAGCCCCGTGGGGTCGGTTGGGGAGGTCTGTTGCTGGGTGTGGCGGTAAGTGGGGCGGTGCACGGAGGACAGGGCGGGGCGAGAGCGGCCGGTGGAGGAGGAGGAGCTGCCGCCTTTGTCGTGGTCGTCGTCGTCGTTGGAGGAGGAGTAGCGGTTGTAGTTTCGCTCTGGGCGTGGGTCTGTGTACTCGTATTCGCCTTCATCGTCGTCCAATGGCTCATCGCTTTCTCCCTCTTCTTCCTCCTCCTCTTCTTCCTCTTCTGAGTTTCCATCGAGCGCAGCGTTCAACGCGCGCCAGATCTCTTTCGTCGTGGCTTCTCTGCTTTCTGTATTATCCAGCCGTCCGCAAGCCTCCTCTAACGCGAGTCGCAACCTATCTTTCACGTCCTCGCGCCGTATGGTGCTTTCGTCAAAGCTCACTTTCTTAGTGAGACTCCCTGAATGCCCTGTCGAATGCTGGTTACCACGTCCGTGATGGTTGCCACTGCGACGGTTTTGCTGCTGTGGTTGCTTCTTGCGTGATCTACTTGGGTGTGATGGTGCGGGCATACTCGCCCCGCCCGCACCGCCACTGCTGCTATTGTTGCTATGCTGTTCCATATGTTTCAGCAATTCCAGCGACCCACGCACGATAGTGTCCGTCCGCTGCGACGCCCGATGTAACGGCACTTCGCCAATAGCCCCGCCCAGCGCGCCAGTGACCGAGTGCACGATGCGTTGCACTTTTCTTTCTGCGGCTGCCAGAGCCGCCTCTAGAGCCAACCGTTTGGCTTCCCATTCTGCTTCCCGCTCTGCCATGACGTAGAAAAACGCCTCCGAGGCCAACATCCGCACCGCTTCGTCCCGCATCGATAACTTGGATGAGGACGTGTTGGACGAGTCGGGAGAGTCTCCTTTCCCTTTTGCTCGTCTCCGCTTCTCCTGGCCTCGTGCGGCCAGCGTCACCGGTAATCTCCCCGCCCGCCGCCTAATCAACAGTCGAAAAGCGTCCCAGTCCCGCACATCTGCCAAAAACGCCGATAACGCCATAGTGTTGCCGGCCAGCCTGGTTGCCATATGCCCCGTCACATCCTGCTCTGGGTCTTTCGCCGCCGCTTCTGTAAACTCTTCGCCAAAGACACACCAGACGAATTCAGCGAAGCTGAGCTCTTCGGGTGATACGTCGTCCCAGAACGCTTTGAGGGTCGTCAGCGCTTCCCTCGTTTTGTCTGCCGACTCGGCGATATCTGCTGCGTCGTCGCCTACAGCCCACTCTACTCGTCGGTCCCCTTCGTACCCTGGCAGAGCCCCTCGTTTCGGCAGGGAGATGGTTATCTGCAGATAGTAGAACTTTTTCCGTCGTTTGGCAGGTTTCGGGGATGCTGTTGCTGTGGCTGATCGAAGAGCGGCAATGTTGCTGTTGACAGCTGACAATGGTGTTGACTGCGAGGACGACTCCTCTCCCGTCGTGCGAGGTGCCTCTTCCCTCGTTGGCTGCTGCTGTGAATGAGCGGGCGCATTATCTGGTTCTGCTGCCGACGCTGCCAGTGGTGAGCGGGGTGCATTCTCGCCGACGCCATTTGCGACTGCGCCGTCACGCAATGAAGGGAGATAACCTTCAACGTCTAAGCCCGAGTCCTCCTTTCCTGGGCCGGTCGCTGATGCCAAGGATATTTTGGAGTCTCGTTCGGTTTCTGCCATGGTTGAGGTTCCTATAAATATTGAGGTGTGACGATAGGCTATTTCGGCAGTTCCTGGCCGGGCGTACAGCGTTATGCGGGTGTTGGGCAGGGCTCGCCTGGAGACACGGGAGAGACTCCGAGAGGCGCGGACGGCGGGAGCGCTGCAACTCTCTCGTCGCTGGCTGTCGGGCTGACCTTCGACAGGCTCACAGCAGATACAGTACTAGTAGGAGAGTCAACGGGTAGGTGTACTGACTGGGACGCCCGTCACGACACTCCTGTTTACGTATGGTGTGTGTAGGTTACGAAAATGAAAAAAAGCGGGAAGCGCTCGGCGGTCGGTGGGCGCGGAAAGAGACGGCTGTCGAAGAAGCTTCTTGTCCTTGTCCCGACTCCCATGTCCATCCACACCATCATCATCCATGGGAGGGAAAAGGGACAACATTCAATATATTCCCTCGCACTTACCACCTGCCACAAGTCACAATAACAACATTACACTTGGTGAGAAGATCATCGCATCAATTATTACGGTCCTCTTCATCCCCATCATCATCGTACTATTGCGTCGCATTTGTCTCGCCCTCCCTTCAACCGGAAGCCAGACACATCTGTGTTCCCCCCCCCCCGAGTCCCAAAGTAGCCGATCCACCGCAGGGATTGACGACGAGTGCAGCACAGGAGGACGCCGCGGAACCGGTATCATCCTAGTGCGAGGCTTGGTGACACGAACGCTAAAGCGCGTGCGAAACACTTTAGATCACGTGACTTGCTTGTTTGAGGTCTGTCCGAAACCGACAAAGGGTCCAGAGATTCACGGGTGTCCGAAACTTGGGGTGGCTTTGGGTGTGGCTTGCGCGACATGACTCGTCGTGTTGAACGACAGAGACTGGGGCAAACCGAGGGGGGAGTGTGGGGGCAAGGCACGAGCGGACATGTTTTTTTTCTTCGATGCCGGATCCCCCCCCAGGGATCGCTCTCTGATTAGACGCAGTCCGCCCCAAACAACGCGTGGTCCTAAACCCAACATGATTAGGACGCCCAGCTTCTGGCTGCTTGTTTGGAGAGCGGAACAATGCTGTGCCGGTGGGACTCCTGGACTGGCTCAGCCGGCTGCTGGTGGCCGATCCGCAGAACCCCCAGAAGCATAAATACCACGGACTGCCTTCTCCCGCCCCCCTCCTCTCTAGACTCGGCTCCCATCACATCCCATCCCAGACCCCAAACCAAACCCCACCAACACACCCACATCGCCCACCATGGTTCAACAATACAAGGTCGCCGACATCACTCTCGCCGAGTTCGGTCGCAAAGAGATCGAGATCGCTGAGAACGAAATGAGCGGTCTCATGACCCTCAGGGAAAAGTACGGCAAGTCCAAGCCCCTGGCCGGTGCCCGTGTCGCTGGTTGCCTGCACATGACCATCCAGACCGCCGTCTTGATGGAGACCCTCATTGCCCTCGGCGCTGAGATCACGTGGACTTCCTGCAACATCTTCTCCACCCAAGATCACGCCGCTGCCGCCATGGCCGCTGCCGGTGAGTTCGGTTCTCGTTCGTGTTCTCTTGTTCTTCCCAGACTCTTTTTTCTCATCCCGCGCACGTTTCTTTCCTCAATTCGTAGGTATCCCCGTTTTCGCCTGGAAGGGTGAGACCGACGAGGAGTACGAGTGGTGCCTCGAACAACAGTTGAAGGCTTTCAAGAACGGCGCTGCCCCCAACATGATCTTGGACGACGGAGGTGACCTCACTGGTCTCATCCACGACAAGTACCCCGAGCTCCTCCCCGAGATCAAGGGTGTCTCGGAAGAGACCACCACCGGTGTCCACAACCTGTACCGCATGTTGAAGGAGAACAAGCTGAAGATCCCCGCCATCAACGTCAACGACTCCGTCACAAAGTCCAAGTTCGACAACTTGTACGGATGCCGTGAGTCTCTCATCGACGGTATCAAGCGTGCCACCGATGTCATGATTGCCGGAAAGATCGGTGTCGTTGCCGGTTACGGTGATGTTGGCAAGGGTTGCGCCGCCGCCCTTAAGGGTATGGGTGCCCGTGTCATTGTCACGGAGATCGACCCCATCAACGCTCTCCAGGCCGCTATGGAGGGTTACGAGGTGACCACCATGGAGGACGCTGTTGAGGAGGGTAACATCTTTGTCACCACCACCGGATGCCGTGACATTATCACCGGCGAGCACTTCCCCCGCATGAAGGACGACGCAATCGTTTGCAAGTGAGTATATGGATTTCCGCGTTTTGAACGATTCCCCATTTAAATACAGAAATCTAATCAAATATCCCTCTTTTCAGCATCGGTCACTTCGACATTGAGATTGACGTTGCATGGTTGAAGGCCAACGCCGTCAAGAAGGTCAACATCAAGCCCCAGGTCGACCGTTTCGAGCTCGCCTCTGGCCGTCACGTCATCCTCCTCGCCGAGGGACGTCTTGTCAACCTTGGATGCGCCACCGGACACCCTTCGTTCGTCATGTCCAACTCCTTCACCAACCAGGTCCTTGCCCAGATCGCTCTCTGGACCGACAACGCTTCCTACCCCATCGGTGTCCACCTTCTCCCCAAGAAGCTCGACGAGGAGGTCGCCGCCGCCCACCTTGACAAGCTTGGCGTGAAGCTCACCAAGATGAGCCCCAAGCAGGCCAGTTACCTTGGCATCCCCCACTCTGGCCCTTACAAGCCCGACCACTACCGTTACTAGAGTATCCATCCCCCCTCACTTATTCCACCACAATCCCCATGACCTTATAAAAGCGTAGAATTAGGACCGGTATCCTTCTTGTACATGTATATTATGTTCCCGTGGCTACTCAGCTGCAACAATTTTATTTAGTGACTGCCGGTTTTGCAAACACTGGGCCTCTTGATGAATTTTCAGTTTCTGGCGGTTGTGGCGGTTTGAGAGATGTCCAACTTTTCTCCTAATTGGCATGGTTCCGGACATGTCTGTCACCTGCGACTTTCTTCCGCACAGTTTCAGGAATGCTGAAGGCACTTCTTGCACACCAGTGTAGAGCCCCTCGATCCCGAACCCTGCGCATCTCCCCGCAATCCACTTCATTCTCCTTCACCTCTCACCAACTCCAAGGGAAGATGTCATCCTCAACCCCACCTCGCCGCTCCACCCGCACCCGTAAACCACCCCTCACCGATGATGCCCCCACAAAAACCATGTCCCAATCCATAACAACAACAACAAATAAGTTCACAAAACAATCTCCTAATGCATCCGTAACAGAAGCAGTAGCGGAACTGAAAGCGAAAGTGGTGGTGTTAGAGCAGGGCGACGCGGCGGGGGCCGAGACGGAGGCGGTGGTGGCGGAAAAAGTGGTGGTGAAGAGGAAGCGAGCGGCTGCAAAGGTCAAGACGGAGGTGGGTGTCAAGAAAGCGAAGGTGGAGGATAGCGACGGGGCGGAGGGAGGGGATGGCGAGGCCGCACCGACTAAAGCACGTGGAGGACGGCCATCGAAAGCGGTGCTGAAGAAAGAGGATACGCAGATGTTTGCCGAAGCTGAGGCGGTTGAAGAAGATGGAGGAGGAGGAGAAGACGAAGAAGAACCCGCGGCCGCTCCGAAAACAGCAAAACGCAAACCAGCCGCGCGGAAGACCAAAAAGGCCGTCCCTGACCCCGACGCCGACTCGGCCGAAGAGGACGAGAAACCAGCAGCAAGGAAGAAAGCAGCAAAGAAAAAGGACGAGGATGCGCCGATCGATGTCCCTGAAGAGTTTGATACGGCGGCGATGTGGGAGCGGGCGCATCGGTGTGGGAAGTATGTTGGGGCGCATGTTTCGGCTGCTGGGGGCGCCTGGAATGCGGTTGTTAAGAGTGTGGGGATTGGGTAGGTACAATGTTTTATTGGTTTCGGTGGGGGTGCTCGGGGAGTGGGGGTCCAATCTACCCAGTGCTTCGTGGCACTGTCCAGTAACATCGCCTCACCACACGCATCTTACCCACTCTCGCAAATCCCCCAGCGGCACCGCCTTCGCCCTCTTCGTCAAAAACCAACGCCGCTGGACCTCACCCCCCATCGCCGCCAACCAAATCACAGCCTTCAAAGCCGCCTGCACCGCCGCCAAACTCGACCCACGAAAACATCTCCTCCCACACGGTTCCTACCTGATCAACCTCGCCTCTGTGGACGCCGACAAGGCCACGCAGGCATTTGACGCGTTTGTGGATGAGTTGAAGAGGTGTGAGGAGTTGGGGATTGGGTTGTATAATTTCCAGTGAGTGCTTCAAGATTTTCTTCTTTTGTCTTTCCACCATGGTCCATTCATTCTTACGATTTACTCTTCAACCAGCCCCGGGGCAGCCCTAAAAGAACCGCGCGACGAAGCCATCGCGCGCATCGCCTCGCGCATCAACGCCGCGCACAAACAGACGGAATCGATCGTCATCGTAATTGAGAATATGGCGGGACAGGGCACCGTGATCGGAAACACGTTTGAGGATCTGAGGGATATCATCGCATTGGTGGAGGATAAAAGGAGGGTGGGGGTTTGTTTGGATACGTGCCATGCTTTTGCTGCTGGTATGTACATCCCGCGAGGTGTATGGCTTGGCCTTGGAGTGTGGTAAACCTGACCCACGCAATGTCCCTCCCCTCGCCCATCTCCCCCAGGCTACGACATCCGCACGCCCGAAACCTACGCCGCCACCCTCTCCACCTTCTCCACCACCGTGGGCCTCCCCTACCTGCGCGCGCTCCACCTCAACGACTCCAAAGAACCGCTTGGCAGCAAAAAGGACCGGCACGAGAATCTCGGCAAGGGCAAGATCGGGTGGGAGGCGTTCCGGTGCATCATGAACGACGACAGACTGAATGGGCTGCCGATGGTGCTCGAGACGCCGAGGGAGGACGGGCCTCAGGGGGATCTGGTGTATAGGAGGGAGGTGGAGTTGTTATATAGTCTGGTTGGGAAGGGGGTGGGTGAGGTGCCGGATGGGGTGTGATTGAAATGATGCTGGGACTTCCATCAACTTGTGGACACGTTGCAAACTGGGAACGGCCGCTTGCAACCGGTAGCCTCTCGCCACAGCCTCGAGCAGCTGCTTTCGCTCCTCTTTCGCTCCTCTTTCTAGGCCGAGACCTGGGTTGGTTGTTGACGATTGAGTGTGACTGGATCGAATGGGTGAATTCTGGATTCCGAACCGCCTTTCATATGCGCCGTGGTTTATTACACGGCATTTAGCCTTCCGGACATCACGACCCTGATCACGACCGGAGCGACAATCGGACACACGCGTGAGTCATGCATGTTGGACTCGCCAGCTGCATGTAGTGTACTCATTCAGAGCTGAGCCTCGTCGGCCCCCTCCTGCCAGTAGTCTGTAGTAGTTGCCACGGAGAGGGGTCAGTGACTTTCAAGGTGACACATTACCAGCTACCCCCGCGCGTAACTGCTCTTTTGGCCACCCACTGTAAGTTTTCTCTGCGAGGGAAAGAACCAGAACTTTTCGCAGATTTAATATCGCAATGAAAGCTATTACACATATGAGAGTCGCCTGGGACTGCCACGAACCCATTCGAGATCCAGGACGAGAAAAACCTGTAGTGACAACAGAAATCACCCTGAAAGACATCCCAAAGGAACCCAAAGTACAAAATGAACTTGAACAGACAACCTACTCCAAACCCATCTGGGATGCAATACTCCTTATATCAACATATGCCCCATCTTTTTTAATCTGCCACTCATAATGCACATCCTCCACCGGGACCAGCTCGTTCCCCCCCTGGTGCTTCACCAAATAGTGCTCAAGCATCTCACGATACTCCTTCTTCATCTTCCTTCCCCGAACGACACCTACGAGATGGTCCAGCGGGTTGCGATCGCTGCGATCAATCATGCGGACCTCTGTGCCGACAGGCAGGTAGCCGTCACCGAGCAATGCGCCCTCTGGGTGTTGAGTTGCGAGGGCTTTGAGGGCGGCTTCGTCGAGGGCGGTGCGGTTCATGTCCCTGAAGTCCATGCAGCAGACGTGGCATCATTCTTGGCGGTGCTGCTTACAGGCGATGAGGATAGCGCCGGTGCGGCTTGTGATTTCGATGATTTCGGGGGGAGCCATTGCGGCTTTGTGTATGGGGTCGAGTGGAAGCTTGAGCGATAAATGGGTTCTTCGGAGAGGACTGTAGATACGATGTATTGTGTGGCGTGAGGAAAAAAGGAAGAAGTTTTCCACGACGGCCGACCGACTGACAGCTTTATATACTGCTGCCAACGTGGCGCAACGTAGCGTCATGTCGCCGGGTCCTCAGCGGGTCCTCGGGGTGTACATTGTACACGAGAAGGACAATGCACAGCGATATCCCCGCCAGGAGCTGCTGGGGCGCTGCGTCCAGAAAGCTCACGCGTCCGCATATTCAAGGCGGTCCTGCTTGCAGCTGCTCTCACTTCGAAAGACTCCCACCGCACAAACCCCCCTGGCCTGTCCCGCTGTGCTCTCGCAGTAGTCTCGTCTCCGGATATCAGTGCTACCTTGCTCTACCATCCCCGACCGCTGGACGTTCGGCGAAACGCATTTTGCAGGGTTTCGATTGTCGTTCCGCTAAGGAGGGGCTTCGGTTCTCTTCCACTACTCAGGAAAGCAGCGAAGATGGCAACAGCACCACCAGATCCGACAAGGAAAGCCGAAGAAGAAGCATACGCCTTCCTCCGGCCTCACCTCCCGCCAATGTCCCCAGCCCCACACAATCAAGAACAACTCCCATTCCTAACCCTCACCTACGCCCAATCCCTCGACGGCTTCATAGCCGGTCCCCAAAAGAGGCCGCTAACCCTCTCCTCTCCAAACTCAATGACCCTCACCCACGCCCTCCGCGCCTCTCACGACGCCATCCTCGTCGGAGTCGACACCGTCATCAACGACGACCCCAGCCTTACCACCCGCCTTGTCCTCTCCGACGCGTCAGGCAACGAAGCGAGGCATCCACAACCCATCATTCTGGACAGCACCCTCCGCACACCCGTCTCTGCGAAACTCCTCAGCATCGATAGAGGCGACGCCCGTAAACCCCTCATTGTCACCACACGCGTGCATGACCCCGTCCGCCGACATGAACTGACCGAAAAGGGCGTGCAGATACTGGTTGTTGGGGATACCGAAGGCGGCCCCCGCGTGAGTATCCGCAACGCGCTAGCGGTGCTGGCGACTGGGTTCAATATCCGTAGTGTGATGGTGGAGGGTGGGGCGACCGTTATTGGGAGTCTGTTGACAAGCATGGATGTGGCCATTGATAAGCTTATCGTAACGGTCGCCCCTGTTGCTGTGGGGAATGGCGTGCATGCTATTGGGGCTCAGGAGACAATGGCAGCGGGTGGAGGATTGCTACCGAAGTTTTCGGACGTGCAGTGGAAGCAGTTTGGGCCGGATGCGGTTATGGTTGCCAAAGTCGAGAAATAGCGAGTTCCGAGGAGAGATTATACCGTCGAATTGTGGGTTAGCCTCACCCAACGCGATTTCGGCCGCCACGTACGGCATCCGCTGGCGAGCTACCCGGTCATGCTTCCCGACCTTGCAGTTCCACAAAGCTTGCACCCACATGTCCTTGCGCTCCCTGTGGAACTGGAACGCGCAAACCCCATTGGACAGCGCGGAGAGGAGTTCGACGACAGGCCGGTGCATTGCCTAGTTCAAGGCCGACTGGGATTTTCTCGCAGCATGTCTTAGTCGACAACAGCCCCGTTGGCGTGAAGGATGCAGGGACGTGTGCCGCACATGAGCCGGGGAATCGAGTTCTCTTTTATCGCACACCCCAATAATCCACTCGCCAAATGACTCGACCAAATGAAGCGCGTGGGTCAAAACTGTATTTTATGTGTATCTGGGGAATCGTTTCTCGGTCGTCCTTTCTCACCCCCCTCCTTCCCCGCGCCAACCCTTCACCAATCCCTCCCATTGCGCGCCACCCTCACACTCTTCCTAAGCACCCACGCATCCGGGGGCTGCACATTGTTCTTAATATAATAGTCCTTGACCATCGTCGCCTTTACAAACCCATGCCGCTCATAAAACCTCAACGCCTGCGTATTACTCGTCTGCACATGCAGCGCCAACTCCACCACCCCGGCATCCTTCCCCGCGGCTTCCTCCACCCTCCCCAACAACGCCGACCCAACCCTCAACCGCCGATACGGCGACAACACCCCCAACGTCATGATATACACCCGACAATGCCTGGGGTCGTGCCGCGGGTCGGTGGCGGGGTACAGCGGCTCCTTGCGGCAGGAGATGGCGCCGATGGGCAGCCGCTCGAGGAAGGCGAGGCAGCTGAGGTCGGCTGGGTGGACGTGAAGGACGTCGCGGTAGAATTTGTCGTTGTAGCGGACGGGGAAGAGGAGAGAGTTGAGTTGGCGGAGGCGGGTGATGTTGGATTCGGTTATGGGGTGGTATTGGATGTTTTGGAGGGTTGGGTGGGGGAGGGAGGGGTGGGCGCGTTGGTGCTGGCGTTTTTGTTCGTCTTGGTGGTCTTGGTGGCGCTCTTGTTCACTTTGTGGTTGTTGTTGCTGGTACGTTGGTTGCTGTGATGATAATCGCTGTCGTTCTTGATGAGGCGGAGGCGGCGACCATGGCTGTGACGGAATCTGTTGAGGCTGTTGCGTTTGTGGTAATGGTGGCGGCTTATAAACTGCTTGGGGCGTGACGGGAGGGTACTGGAAGGTTGTACCGTTGCTCGCACGAGTACCAATGCCATTCGATGCGAATGTATTCACCGTCGCGAACGGAGTCGACGGGGCGGCTATGGAGGCCGGTTCACCGTAATCAACAGCAGTCTGAACATTCCGCGCCGCATCGAGAGTGAGCGAAACCGCCACCATCTTCTCCCCACCCCCATCAATCGCCCCTGTACTTGTAATCACCCCCTCATGCCGATAGGCCCCACCCCCACGCGTCGCCGTTATCGCCTGCTGCTGCTGCTGTTGCTGATCACCCCCAGCCGACTGCTGACTCCGATTCAACCACGTCAACAGCGTCGTGCGCCCGGACCTCTGATGCGCCGCCGCGATCTCCGAGACGCTTTCCCGCACCGAGCTGCGGTGCTTGCGCGTGGCGGGCACTTTGGCGGCTGGGCTCGGACGCGTGGCACGGGGGATGCAGGATGGGGTAGGGTGGAGGACGTCCAGCGTTAATTGCCGTGTGCCGCCTGTGGTGGCGTGTGACGACGTCTTCCCGGATGAGTGTTGACCGGGTGGCGTCGGGATCGGAAGCTCCGCGTCCAGGGTTAGCATTCCCTGCTTCGTGTGTCCGGCCCCCACTGCGATTCGGACGGCCGCTACGAGACTAGAAATGGCTTTCCTGCTGACTCGCTCGATAACACCGAGTGCGGGATAGTGGAAGTTTCGCCGCGAGCCGTCGACTACACAGAAACTAACGTCACCTCCTGACACCGACGTCAAAACAGGGTAACCTGTGGCCTCAGTTTATGCAACTCCTCAAAACTGAGTGCCGATATGCAGTCCTGCCGAGCGTGATCGTCGTCGTCGTCGTTGTGTCCAGCTTGGGCCAACTGTGCTGGAGGGGCTGAAATCGGAAACTGAGCAGTGTCCCCGGATGTCAAGTTAAAAATACACTTTCGAGACCGTTGCAGTTGGGAGTCCGTAGGTTTATTGACAGAGCTTACTAGTGGTACAATGAGGGAGTGCACCACCACCACCTCACCACGCCCTGTGCAGTCTTGCAAGGTGTTGGAAGTTGAAGTTTGGCTGTACATGTAGCCTGTTCTCTCCTGTTCTCTCTGCGCGTTGGCGCGTCGCACTCGTGAAGGCGTGCATCGCTTTCGCCATCTGCGTCGCTGTTCGATGTGATGGGTATGGTCACCTTGGACAGCGCTATCATCTGTAACCATGTACATACATCCTGCATGTGCAGGGAGCGCAAGAACTTTCCGATGCATACAAAAATGGATTGCGGGGGCCGGCCTTTGTACTGTACATGATGAATGGCCATCGAAGAAGGCCAAGCACGTTTTGCAATGGATGTGACAGGTAACCCCACCTGCTGCCCTAAGAGCGCTTGGTGCGCTTTGATTCAGGGCGACTTGTGAGAGATGTGTTCCGCTTGTGGCGAAACATGAAGAAATCTGCAATTTGATGTGTGTTTCTCCCCATATGCGAAATATTCAGGGAAGACGTCCAATCCAAGCCACATCGCCAGTCTCGTAGCTCATTCCATGCAATCGTGGGTCCATGCCATCCATCCTTTGCCACCACAGAGCAAGGAAGAGAGAAGCGCCGATGGATATCTGTTCCCAGATTACATACAAGCAGACTTCCTTGGGAACTCTACTTTCCGAGTCTATGTTGAATCTATGGTTACAAAGGCTTCTCTAAGAACACATTGCAGTCCAAAGCGCCACCATTAGCCTCGCTCTCCAAATAAGGTCCAAACGGTCCCCTGTAAGAAAATCCCGCTCGCTGATACAGTCCAATAGCCTCGGTCTGCTGCGTCCCCGTCTCGCAACGTACGATCGGCACACCGTTTTCCTTCGCAGCTTCGAAAACTCGTTCAAGCAGTTTCTTCCCAAGCCCAAAACCCCTGTAGACCGGCCGGACGTACATGCGCTTGAGTTCGCCGTACTCGTTGTCGGGAAATATCTTGAGTCCCACGCATCCTGCGGCTTGCTCGTCGACTCGAATGACGAAGAACTTTACGCCGTCTTTTACGAGGGTGTGGACGTTGGCGCCATAGCGATTTTCGGCGGGGTAGAGGGAGGCGAGATGCTCTTCTAGCTCGTCGATGAGCGCTCGCGCGTCCGCTGTTGTGGGGCTTTCCTCTACGATTGTGATGTTGGTCATAGCTTGGGGGAAAAGTGAACGGGAACGCGAGGCCAGATTTTGCAGCTTTTTATTGGCATTGGCACAGGTAAGGCGCGGTTATCGCTGGCGCCAACTGCCTAAAACAACGAGAACGCACGACTTGGACGACAAATTGGAAGTGAATCATCTGATTTCAAGGACAGAGAAGATACTCTAGATGCCATGCACACTCTCACACTACTCATCCAAAGAACTCCCCGAAACGCCCTCGCCCAGCAGCCAATGAATAGCCCCATACCCTTCTCTTGGATCTCCCTCCGTGATGCACCTCGGAATGGCCCAGAGCAGTCTCGCAAAGGCCGTCTCGTCCCACGCATAGTCCTCACGCAAATGAAGCTTTTCCATGACCTCCATCAAAACCGACTGAACGCAGCGACCAACTCTGCGTATACCACCCCCCTCAACCCAGTCTTGTTCACAGCGTAACAAGAGATGGCCATCACAATCCAATTTCAAGTTAAGATTCTCGTCGTCGTCGTGTGTCCAAGTCACTTGCCCGTGGTAGCGGAATTTCAAGGATGCATCGTTTCGCTGGGAGAAAATTCACCGTCAGTGCAGTGCACTCTGGTGTGTGCATCAATCATGAAGCTGTTGGTTACCGTACCTTCAATCGGAAGTGCACGTCGCAAATGTAACCATTGATCCCGTAATCCGAATAGGCTGAGTAGGAGTGGGGCCCGTGACGTACGTCAATCGCGGTGATTTGCACCGATTGAGTACTAAAGGCCAGGGCGCCCGGTAGAGCCTTCTCCAAGGCGTCCTTACAGTCCTTGAACCGCGGTGGCGAATCATATTTCCGTTGAGGGTCAGCGTCGCTGTTGTTCAAGAGCTCAAACGCTCGAGGTAAGGTGTTCTTCATCTGAACACGGCCCTGCAATTGTGCAAGTTCGAAGAGCATCCCTTCGCGGACGGCTTCGAACCACGTTTCTTTGCGATGCTGTTCAAGGTCGTGTACGGCTGCGATTGTGGCCACTTCGTACGAGGTTCTCCCACCTCGGGTGCCTCGGGGGACGTACGGCACCGCAACACCATCAACATCCATGCTAAGCACCTCTCGAAAGACATCGAACGCCTCGAGTTTTTGAAACGGATCCTCTGTGAAGACCTTTCGAATCAAATCCCATACTTCAGTCGTCCCCAATCCAAACCGCTGTTGCATGGATTCGTCCAACGCCATCTTCCGATATCTCAGGCTGTCCGTCGGATGCTCCTTCAGCACCGACGCGATTTGCAGAATACCTTTCCCGTCGTCTTGATCAATCGATATGGACAGATAGTGGTCAACCTCTTGATATCTACGAATGTAGCCGCTTCCCTGCTCATATCTCAAAACAAGCGCTGTCGCGCCAGGTCGGGGGATCTGCAAAACGATGATGTCCTCAGCGGCAGACTCAGACTGCTCCAATTCGCGGGACCTTTTGTAAAGGCACGTCCATCCTTGAGGCAGCTCGGGGCTATATTTGGCGCCCTAAACGGAGAAAAACGTCAAACGCATAGCGTACGACGGGAACTACAAATGGATATATAAGTACTTCGAGACGGGCACGGATAGCCTCCAGTGACGGGGCTGGTGCAGACGCCTTCTCCACTGCCGTTTCTCCCGGAGAGGTGAGAATATCTTCCAATTGCTCACCCTCAGGAGAGTCGTCCGTGTCCGGGTCGCCCTCATTGAAAACCAGAACACCGTTCGCAAAGGCCGCCCACCCTGGTGCGGAAGACGTGCCAAAACTTTCCACTTCGTCCTCTTCCTCCGGTTCAGCGGACTCATAGTCGCCTTCCAACAGAAAATTGCGAAAAGTAGTGACTATTTTGAAAGGCTTGTAAGCCGCTCCTAACGATTGGAGTACTTTGGACGCTTGCAGGAGGCGCCCGCACGTCTCAAGCGGGAGCCATCCGAGTACGATGAGGAGAATTTCCTCAGGCAATGTTTCGAGCACGGGCATTTTGGCGTAACGGGTGGCGGGCTTTAAATACGGTTGACAATGTCTGGATACTGGGTGCACCCACTTCCAACCTCAAATCTCAGGGTCCACGGTACGCAATCGAAGGGAATCGGCTCGGCACATAGTAGGGCGGGGAATGGGCGGGGAAGCACATCGTGTTTGTCGCGTAGACTTCCCAGCTTCCCAACGCAAAGCTCAATACGCTCCATGTCTGTGGAGTGCACCACTGCCACCACATCATTGCCCCTTAGTTAGCCAAGATAGTTTGACTTTGCGATAAGCAAACATGGCTTCCAACGGCTCGTTGCGAAACGTCAAAGGAACAAGCGAAAATGGAACCCAGAAGTATGGTCTCTTCATTCGCGACACAAAGTCGGCCAAACCACAGGCGAAAACCGGAACGCAATTCTCTTTGGGCAAGAAGCTCTCTGTAGCCAAAGCCTTCAACGCCTCCGATTCCGACTCCGACTCGGACAAACGTACCGACCAAGGGATCACATCCTTTGGAGGGTCTTCTTCCTCTTCGGCCTCTGCAGCCGCAAAAGCAGCGCGGGATGAACAAAAACGTGTGAATTTGGAGTTGAGGGCGGTGCAGGCTAAAGGAGACAAGCGGGCTGAGGAGGCGCATAAGAAGGCTTTGCAACAGGATGCGAGTGTGTTTGATTATGACGGCGTATATGATAGCTTGAAGGAGAAGGAGATAGCTGTCAAGAAGGGAAGGGATAACCCTGATGGGGGGGCTATCAAAAAGGTGGGTTTACACCAATTCACAGTGGAAGTGGTGGGCATTAAACTGACGCATCCTCTTTTTCCACAGCCACGATACATGGAAGCTCTTATCAAGGCCTCCGCACAACGTAAGATCGACCTGGAGCGAGCCGAGCTCCGTAAGGTTCAGCGCGAACGCGAGGAGGAAGGCGAAGAGTTTGGCGACAAGGAAAAGTTTGTTACTGGCGCATATAAGCAACAGATGGCAGACCTGAAGAAGATCGAAGAGGAGGAGAAGCGGCGAGAGGCAATGGAAAAGGATGTCACAAAGGGTGGAGATTTGACAAGCTTCTATAGGGACATTCTGAATCAAAGGGATCCGACCCTGGTGGTGCCGAAAGCTAAGGAGGAGCAAGCTGTCGTGAAGATAGGGGATGGTAGTATAGCAGCCGACAGGGATACGAGTCATGATAGGAACCCAACCGAAGCGGATGATGAGGACGAAGCGGAAGCCCAACGGACGAAAGACGCAATCGCAAAAGGGTTGATCCAAGTCAACGACTCTAACGAAGTCGTCGACAAGCGCCAGCTTCTAGTCGGCGGCCTGAATGTCTCCTCCCGCTACATCAAGCGCCAGCAACAAGAAAAGGAAGAACGAGATCGCATCCAACGGGAGAGAGAAGCCCAAGAGCAACTCCGCCGCGCCGAGGAACAGAAGCGCGCACAGGAGCGCAATGCCTCCCGGGAGCAGCACGCGAGAGCACGCGAGATGGTCCTGCGCCAGCAGAGGGAAAAGGAGGACGAAAGCAAAAAGAGGAAGGAGATGGAGCGGGAGGAGTTGGAGAAGAAATTGGCGAGGAAGACTACTGAAGATACGGTCTCGGATGCTAGGGCGAGATACCTGGCGCGAAAGAAGGCGCAGCCCGTTCGCGAGGAATCAGATTCGGATTAGCGTAGGCTATGGGGGATATAGATTTAACGCTCTGACGGGGAGGTGTTCTCTTTTTGGTAAATGAACTTGTTTTTCACCGCATTGGTGAGAACGTCTTGCACAGTGATAGGGTCCACTTGCGCTCAGGCTCCTTACACTTCACTTACCTCAGCTGCTGGAAAACCCGTGAAAGGCGATTTATGCAAATGACCGGCATATTAAGGTTTCCGGTGTCGAAAATATGGCATCATGAAGAAACTTGCGGCACGCATCCAGCATTCCTCCGAAAATTACAGTAGCCCCACCCCTCTCGTCTATTTAGATGAGTTATAAAACAATGAGAAGGTATTTACAAGAAATTAATGCACAGGAAGGAATGAGAATGGGGCGGGTCACCAGCGTCAGACGTTACAGTAATCAAAGCGAGGAGACGTGCCAGGTCATGAGGTGTCCGTCGATATAGAGTTGACGGTAGGACCACCGAGCAAGTTTCGGAGCAGATCCCGTAATGGATCGAGGCTTGGCCAGCGTTGCGGAAAGAATTCCAAAAAGTATGTAAAAATGTTGATCTGCAGCAGGAGGGAAACTCATGAGAAACGTTGGAAGAAACGGCGATTCATCCCCAGTCTGAGAGGTACACTTACCCATTTGGTCAAGTATGGCGGCCATGCAGTAACTGCTGCCGGCGCTCGCTCGCGGAATGCCGATTTCCCAAACAGGGAGCTAAATTTTCATACGAGGAATGTTAGTCGATGGACCTCAAAATCAGCTTCATTTACATTCAACATACCTGAAGAGAAGCTGCGCGAGATGAGCGTAGTTCTCCGCCGCATGCTCACGCGTGCCGCAATACACGAGTTGATCCACAATGTAAATATATCGGAACAGGAGGTCGGGGTATTCCTGAAAATATGCGAACCGGGATCAATACAAACGCCAGGCTGCAATATGGGTGGTATTCACGTATCCTAAAACTTACTGCTGCGACTGGCGCGTCAGGCTCGGGTGGGTTGAAGAGATCAGAGGCGTACTGCAGGTCCCGGAGAAGCCGGACGATCTGGCTTTCCAATATCGCGTAAGAATGCCGTGAACCGGACGCAGACTGGGTTCGAAGGAAAAATAAGTACCACTGAACTGGGTATCGAGGTCAATGCAGCTAGACGAACCTGGAACTCGAGGAACTGTCCAAAACTGAGCTTCAGTACCACGAAGGTCTTCTCGCGTGGCCGGTTGCGATTATACACCGTAAAGTGCTCCACGATGTATTTCTCCTGCAATGGTTGCTTTCCATCAATGAATGTTTACACGGTTGCTCATTGGCCAGTTGATGCAGACTCACCCTCCGCAAATGCGAGATGTGCTTGAGTAATGCTTCCATATTGGGGACGACCCGCAAACTCACAAACTTCTGAGCTTCGATCCCAAATTGCAGTGTTTGCTTGTTGCGGCTTGGCGATATTGCGTTCGTTGAATTTGCCGAGTTCTGAACGACTGACTCCACTCTGGCGTCGCTCTCCTTTGCGTGGCTTTGCTCTGGTATGCATTCGACGGTGAAATACTGGCTGTCGTTCATAACGCAGCATTCCATGGGGTCTGTAAGTAGATTGGCAACTTCCAGCGTTCCTTCCAGAGGTAGCAGTTGAATGGACCACTGTTCATCCTCTCTACTTATCGCTTCCGTCGTCAAGTGCTTTCGACGCATGATCCCGCGGAATGTGAATGAGGTTTGCGACAGCAGCAGCTGAGGTTGGTAGCAAATGCAGCGCAGTGGAATAATCTTCTGGTAGTCCTTCACGAGTCGACAATTCACGTAAATCTCGATCGTCTTCTCGAAAGGAACATTCGCCGCGGCCAATGTCGTCGGGAAACGATTCTGCACTGCTGTTTCGTCGACTTCGGAGCGCCTCATGACCATCTCGATAGACGGCCGCAAACGTACGTAAATCCGGGCTTGTGATTCCGCCTCTATGATGATGCTTCGAAAGAGTTTTGCAGTCGTCCGAGAGAGGGAGAAGAGCAGGTCCGTGTCATCATCTGGCGAGAGACTGCTGTGGATGGTAAACTCGAGAGGCACTGCCTCTCTATTGCAGATAATCATGCTCCGCGCCACGTACTCGGTCTCGAAGTAAACTGGGTCCATGACGAAGGATGTGACGCTCGAGTCCGCGCCGTGGACGTACACGTCGAAAACGCGATTCGAGGCGGGCTCGACAGGCACCGCGCTGCTTACGTTGCCTGCATATGCTGTTGATGCAGCGGTACGCCGGACATTCTGTCGCGCAACGATTTCCGTGGATACGCGGACGGTTTTGATGTCAGCTGGATTGTCCAGGTTCTCGATGAATATGTACGTGGTATAGACGCCTCTTGTGTGCGTTGCTACGTTGACAGACACGGTGTGCGCTTCTCGATGTTTCTCTATACCGACCCCAACGCGTCCACCGCCCTCCAAGGTCCCTTCATTCCGGCTAAACGACAGCCACGATCGCTCCGCGTCATTCAGTATCCTGATCCTGTAGGATACCCTTTCTGATGATGGATTCTCCAGCGATAACTTCTTGACGGCTATAGGAGCCCCGAGGTCTTGTTGTCCAAAATCTAGCTCATAAAGTATATCGAGTTCGTGACCGCCTTTCGTCTCGGAAAGACGTTTGCAGCCTCGCAACGAAAGCACAGCATGGGAGCGTCGCACGTGAGGTACTGGAGAGGCGACGGTATCGATTTGATAGGACTTCGTCGAAACGGACACTGACCCCCGGTCTGTTTCCCTCAATGAAGAAGATGACATCGCATCAGAGAAGATATTGTCATCCTCCTCATCCAATGATGAGCTGGGATCCTCCATCGGGGTTCTTCCGGTGATGGTTGCGGTCAGCGGAGTTGACTCGGAAGCATCGTTGACGAAAAGGGTTTCGGCAATTTGATCTTCCTCCCCCTCTTCCGCCGGCAGCGGGGCGGATGTGTCCTCCACGATGGAAACATAAAGGACTTGTGCTCGCAAACTTCGAGACTTGACATCCGACACCAGAACGCGAATGTCATCGGAGACTCCTCCAATCTTCGGGTTCAACAGCTCGAATAATAGGGGAAAGCGGCCACCGGGGGGAACCTTTCCTGTCATGTTTTCACTTAGAGTGGGAGCTTTCAACACGCTCATTCCGTTGGGCAGCTCCAGGGGAAACTCGAAAGTGACTCGGAACTCGAGTTCAGACGTATTCGACAGGTTGGTGACATAGACAATCTCCTTCTGTGTCCGGGTTCGCTCTGCCAATCCTTGTTTGCCCGAAGCGTCATCCCCTCGTAAAATGTCCGTCGAGGACCGGCGCTCCGCCCATGGGTCTGCTTCGTTAGTTTCTGAAGCTTCTTCATCATCGCTATCGGACGCCATGAAGATACGGAATGTTATTTGCTCTTCCGACAACGTGAATGTCTGCCCTTCGACGATGGTCCCCATGATGGGAATATGCTCCGTGATTCGGGTGTCGTCGTTTCGCTCGTTGCCGTTCTCAGAACTGCGTAGTTTCGGGACAATCCAAAGATCTCCAAAGGGAACACCGTCCGGATTTGTGAGTGACAAGGTCTCCGGTGGCTGAGCAGGAAGCCTTGATTGTTCCTTGGCGTAAGCTCGGACCCTCACTTCGATCGAACCCTTGGGTGAGAGGGTTACGGAGCCGGTAAGCGGAGAATTCGAAAACCGGGAAAGGACATCCAGTCGCACAAAATCCGCGACGTTTACTGAAGCCGTGTATCCGATCTCGAACCTCGCCTCTTCATCAGCCGTGTTACAGATCGAGAACCACGTATCACACGGTAGGGCCGTTGGCAACTGCGGGTGGGTCAGTGGTGGAAGCTTCAAAGCACCACCCTCCAGACGATCAAAGCGAAGATCGAACACTGTGATGTGAACCTGAACATTGATCATCATCACATTCTGCTTGTTGTGAATATTGTTCACAGCGACTAGGAAGGTTTGCGGTCCCGCTGTTGAAGAGCTGAGCTGCCGCGCGTGCAGGACTCCTTCGACCCACTGAATGCCCCGCGATCCGATTGTATTTGCGCTTTCCAGCGACTTGTCCGCATTGTCCACTGAAGCTGAGAACTCGAAAGCCTCCATGGCCTGCACCTCATATTGTAAAGGGATTTCAGCCGTATTCTTGATGGAAAATCGGAACTTTGCAGAAGCCCAAGCATTGTGGTAGCCCACTTTGCCAAGATCGAGATTAGGTGGATCTATCTCCCCTTTCGAGACTCCATAATGTGCTCGGAGTTCAATTGCCTTGACGATGAGATTGTCGACCGCGTCCTGGAATAGAAGCATACCCCTGACTGCTGCTTTCTTTCCAGCGAGCAGGCTATCCAGTACGGAACCTGTATCGTCCTTGAACTTCGGCTCAGGAGTGGAAATGATCGCTGTCACCTTTTGCCCTGGAGCAAGATCTATGGCGGGCCCGCAGTTGCCGTCCTCGTCCTTCAGCTCCACGGAAGCGTCTGAGTTCGGGGTTCCGTTAGAATCATTGACGTGCGGGTCAAGTATCCATCTGAGAAAAATCTGAAGTGTGGACTTGGGTACTAGCCGTAGGTGCTTGTCGGATACGTTACGGAGTTCTACCGACTGCTCGCCGCTATCTGCAATTCGCACAGTGCTGCCATCGACGTCTCTCTGTAACGCTACGACTGGCCCAGGCGGGTCTTCAGTGGTCGGTGATGGAGGAACGGTGTACTTCTTACCGTCCCCCGCCCGGATGTCCACGTACGCGTTATCGAAGCGAAGAGACGGCAGCCGTTTTCGACCATCGATCTGCGCCGTTGGGGGTGGATGCGCGAGAGCTTTTGTGGAATGGAGTTCCAGCCAATTGATGTCCGCAAAAATCCTGACTTCGACTTCGATCCTCTGTGAAGAGTTGTTTGCATTGACGATCTCCAGAAACAGCGAGGTCAACCCATACTGCGTGCAATGTAGCTCGAATCCGACACATTCACGGGCTGAAGAAGTATCAGGCAGCTCTGCGTCTCGCTCGTTCCCACCCTGCCCGGTTTCCCGACCAGCCATGGCGCTCTGGATGTCACGTTTAGCATCAATTCTTCCGGTGTAAGGTTCCAGCTCCAAACCATCCGGGGCTTTAACGGAAAACTCTAGGGGCATTCTGCTCGACATATTGCAGACAAAGAAGGAGTCGACGTACACAGCACCGAGATTGCTGATGGTACCGAGGTCCACCAGGGTGGTGGAAACGCTCATGAGGGATTGTCCGATGATGGCGTTGAACTTCGCCGTGTATGTCATCAGTTGATATAACTCATCCGCTACAATGTGGGGCAACTCCACTTCCCCAGCAGAAGTAGATGGTTGTTGTGCCTCCTTGTAGGAAACTTCTTTCTTCTGAACCAGGAACTTTATGCCACCTACTAGCGTCCGGAAGTCTTCAGTTCCGCCAGCCGAAGGCTCGGTTTGAGAAGTATTCGCTCCAGACGTAGGTGTTTGCCCTTTGACACTGACTTGTCGCCGAGCAGAAGAGCCGCCAAAGTAGGGCTGGAGCGCGATGAACACGGTTTCGGTAGAGTGCGGGGCAATGCGAAGGTTTACCGCTGGCGACTCGGTCTCAACATCAGTGAAGATATAGCACTGCTGGGCAAGATTCGAGATTGCGCTGATGTAGAGTTCATCATCAGATACGTTTTCGATAGGAAAGGATAGGACTCGCGCGAATTTTCTCTTGGGATCCACGTAGCAATATCCGAAATCGAGCTCTACAGTTGATGCAGCCGGGTCGGGAAGCGAGGGAAAGCGCAGGTACGAGGAGGCCACAACGTAAAAGGAGAATGTGACTATAGTCCTTTCTCCGTTTCCTTCGCTTTGCACACTCAAGGAACATGATTGTCGCCCGAATGTGGTCGGTACAAAATGCATGTCTACTCGCCGCGTCTCTCCTCCTGAGAGCACCCCAAAGGACTCATAGCCTTGCAGAAGTCCATCTGCACCCGCATCGAGCTTGTAGGGAAGTGCGCCTGATCCTCGGTTCGTAAAGGTGAAGTAGCAGTCCTTCCGCTCATTGATTTTGACATTTCCCAGATCGATTATCGGGACCTCGATGAGCGGAATATTTGCAGCATCCACAGGTGACGTCACGACCCTCGCTGAGCTCGGAGGCGCCGCGAAGAGTTGCGAAGCGCCGACCGGTGATTGCAGAGGTGCTGCCGGCGCCTTTCCGCCACCCGAATGCACAGGTCTACTGATGAATAGCGGAGATGGCGATCGGCTGTCAGGTTGAGTTTCCGGGGTGTCCCGTATTGGCAAATACTCCGGATTTGGGCTTGCATCGCTCTGGCCTCGTTTCCCATCCCGCTTTTGAGGTAACTGGTCGAAGAAAGCAGCGGGGTCGAGATGCACCGTGGCACTGAAGTCGACTTCCTTGGTGATATCCATGTTCTTGTGCTCATGAACATAAAGCTTCCCAGATACATGTACAACACAATCCTTCGCGTCCGGCGCTTCATTCGTAATGAGCTTTGAAGCGATATATTCACTCCCACGTAACCCAGGCCCGTCGTTCAATTTCGAGTCGGATCCGTTCCTAACGAGGGGAGCATCTTCACCACCTTGCATTGCGCAGGCGGCGGGAGCGTCGGAGGAAATTGGTCGAAATCTCACGCTGATTGTTCTGATGGTGCGCGGCTCCAATGCAAAGACGATCCCATGATCAGTGCGTTTCACCTTGAACTGCAACAAAGACACGACGGGCGATGGTGTATCCGCAGGGGCGGCGTCTGTGCCAAGGTTGACTTGCGATGCTCTCCGACTAGGGTTCATACTAGATATCCCGCTACTGAGTTCCGGATCAATCAACTGCGTGAAGGCAGACTCCGAAGCTTTCGGAGTGGTGTCGCCGGTGGGGCCTTTTCCAGTGTCAGTCAACCCTTCAGCTCCAAGAGCACTTCCCTGCGATTTAGTGGAATCCTCATTGTAGTCATCGCCCACGATCCCGGCTCGCAACTTGTGGAGTTTGTCAAGAAGCTTTTTCACTTTGTCCTTGTGACCTTTCCTTTTCGCGATTTTCAGCTTCTGCTCCAGGTGCTCTATCTCCTCCTCCATCTCTTTTGAGAGCATCATCAACGGCCGCCGTCGTTTTATTGGTGCGCCATCAACCTGCATGTCGCCAGCTTCTTCTACATAATCATCTTCGTTGTCCACCAGATCGAAAATGAACGTTCCCGTACATTTCTTGAAATGAAGTTCAGCGGGATCGGCGCGGATTTCGAACATCCGGGTCTTTTTGAAACTTGTATTTGAGACAACCACGGTTTGCGCGGTCATGCACGTGTCATCAATCAAGCAGGGCCCGAAATCGATCGCGTCTGACTCGAGCATGAATGGTGCGGGTCTTCGAATAGTTGCTTTCACAGAGATGGAGAGATCGTTCGTGCGGTCTTGTACGTTCTCGATGGTCAACCGCTCATGAAAGGGTCCAGCCAAGGATGGGTCGAACATGAACTCCACTTCACGTTTGCCATGACCTCGCACGATTCCCATTCGACCGTCTCCAAGGATGAGATCTCCAGACGCGATTGAGCCAGATTTTCGGATAGCGTACAGAAGTGGTGCTTCCGAGTTGTTCCTGATGACGATCGTTTTTGTTCTGTGCTCGTTCTTCTCCATCACCCCAAAATTGATGTTCTTCTGGTTGAGCTCCATCATCGACCGTGAGAGCGACGACCGTAGCAGGAGTTCCCTGACCGGGATCATGTCTTGATCTCCCCGTAGAAGCTGTTCAAACTGGGGCTGCTCGATATCCCGATCGAATTCGATTAAGCGTATGAACACGCGGTAATCCACCTTCCGCGCTTTGGCCTGCGAAACAAGAGAATCGGATTGGTTTCCGGCGCGGGAATCATGTACCGAAGTTCACCCTAAGCTGCTATACCTGAATATATGGTTTACTCTCTCCATCCGGCATGAACAAGAGCAACAGTGGCATGTCGCTCTCAGGTGCAATCTCAAGTTGCGACAGAGGCGCTAGACGTCCATCTTTAATGGCACTCTCGATTTCACGATTGAGATGCAATCTGGTTCGTACATATCGCTCTTCGCCGGAAGCCTTTTGAAATGTTGGAGGCACCACGCCGCTGATGGCATCGAACATGCTGACCAACGTGTTGACTGACAACGTAGCAGATTCGGACCCCTCGTTAACCTTTGATCCAGAACGCTGGGTTCCTGTTTCAACATTCCGCAATGCTGCTTCCAGGGATTTCGAGAATCGCTCGCTATCAGGATCCATGTCCGGTTTGGCCGGTACCTCGCCAATACTGAGAGAATCCTTCGTTGGCAGACCCAATCGTGCGCTGAGACTTGGCCGGATATCGGCGCTTTCTTCTTCCTGACCACTGCCAGTCGCTTCCCGATACTGAGCACGCAGCTGCTTGAGTGCGCCCACCTGGTGTTGCACCGTCTTCCTTCGGGGTGATCGGCGTCCATCCTTGACAGAAAGAGTAGATGCCAGATCCAGATAGTCAGCAGAAGCGGTTTCGAAAATATCGGCCATTGACCGCATTTTTGGAGCGCCGGGAGCTATCTTCGTTGGGGCTGCCGTTGTCGCAGCTGTCGCAGCTGCAGATTCCACCCGCTGTAGTTTCCTGCGATCACTGATGGACTCCAATAAGCGTTCGCGACGTTCGGCTGTACTTTTTGCTAATGGCTCCATTGTAGGCGAGTTCGGAGCTCCGCGTCCATAGATCTTTATCTCATCCGGAGAGGATGATGTGATCTGTAGCACCAGCCGCTTTTTCGATATGTTTGCAATGGTCAGTGATCTAGCCACCGTCGAGTTGAGAATGACCTCTCCAAAATCGACGAAATTGGATGAGGTTGGTGTGAGGATCCGGTAAAACAAGGAATGGAATGTGACGCGGTTCTGATCAACATTCGTCGACCGAACCTCGACATGCTGATCATTCTCCCGGTTCAGCACATTCACCACCGTCAACTGCTTTCGGTACTCCGGATTTACTTTTCGCGGGTAGATGTCGACCTTTGCTTCAGTAGATTGCTTGGGCGGGATGAGGATCTCGTCGCGGAACGTGTTCAGTACTTTCGAAACGAAACGTAGCTCGACGCGGGCAGGTAAATCGGAGCAGTTCGTGATGAGAATAGGGGCAGACTTCAGAGTTCCCACATCAGTGTCTCCAAAATTGACGATCTTCGGATTGACGTCGATAAACGATGTGCAGGTACGAGCTTTGCACTGAATGGCCTTTCGCTCTTTCGCCAGGGTTCCATGATACGAATATGACAGAAGAAGGCGGAAATTCCGACGAACCAGACGACCTCCTCGGTGATCCGGAGAGGGAGCATCCTTCGCAGGACGGTAACAAACTTCAACAACCCGCTCTGTCCCAGGCCGGAGTTGAAGCTCCTCAATACGCCGATACTCTTCCCCACTATGCCCGACTCCATCTCCTTGTACGTAGTCGCCTTCTCCCGACCCTTCAGAGTCCCCGTCCTCATCAGCATGCGAGAACCCTGCTGCCGCCGATATCATCGCCGCCAAGTCCGTGGACGAAGACCCTCTGTTGGCGGCTTCCCCATGCTTCCATCCCAGTACGGAAGGGGATCCTGGTCTTGAGCTTGCAGCGCTTTGTGAAAACGATATCTCACTGTTCTCCGTAGCGCGTGTAAATGGATCGTCCTTCGTCTGGTCATTTGCAGGATTGCCAATGTCTCCACCTATTGACACCCCCTTTGCGGCGCTCTCGTAGCCTTGCTCGTCACTCTTCAATTGAAAAACAACGCCCTGGGCCTCAGACCCAAAAGCGATGTCTAGCGACTTTTCGGAAATGTTGCGCAAAACCAGCCTTTGCTTCGCCCACAAGCCTGTCAGACAATCGCCGAAATCCACCACATTCCCACTGCTGACAACCAAAGATTCCTCACGCAACGCTGAGCGGACCACTGCATGACACGCTGCTTCCACCGTGTTGCTAGAGTCGTTGGCGTTCTCAAGCTGAAATTCGTAGGAGTATTCGCCAACATCTCGAGGGCGAAATGTTAGCCGGAAGCGGCGATGAGAGTAGGCTGGAATCGGGCGCCCATCCAATGGCTCTCCAGTGTCGTAATCCGTCAGCTTCAGCCACGGTCTCTCTTGCTTCTTAGACAAATCAGCCATGTTCAGGATCCAAAAGAGCTCGATTTCCGACCGGTTTGATATGCTGAAGTCCTTGAAATACGTCTCCCCTACAACACAATCGTCGAATGAAATGCCGGTATCGCCAATATCCGTCCAGAGAACAGACCGGCATACGCGTGAACGGAACTTCACGCTGATTTGATGGTCAGGCGGTGCCTGTGTGGACAGCGCTACATTCTCATCCCCCTCCTTCTTCGACCCGGTGCCCGATCGTGACCTAGAACCGCTACCATTCGTGTCGTTCGATGAACTGATATGCTCCCTCGTTGTTTCGTTGATGGCACTTCCGTTTGAATCACTCGGTAACGCCGTCGCCAAACTCGCATCTTGCGATTTGTAAGCGAAAAAGAAGAGCAACCCATTGACCTCGAAAAAGTCATACGTTTCATCATCGTTCGCCACGTCTTCCAATTTCGCCTCTTTGTCAACGGACTGATCATCCTTATCTGCATTCCGCCGTCCCCGCCCTTGAGCATCTGGTAGGAAAGCTAGAATGATCTTCTGCGACTCCCCAGGCGCAATCTTCAATTCATCGATGTGGTTGACGTAGTTGAAAAGCTGGTTGAATTGATGGCCATGAAGCGTATTGTGCTCCGTCTGAAACACCCCAACAGCCGCTGCTTCTACAGTGTTCGTTGTCACGGGATTGAACGAGTTCGCTGCGGCCCATCGATGATCTTCTCCTTCGGCCGACACAGGGCTGGTCAGCCTCGCTCTCTGCTGTTGAAGCTCCCTATCAGTCGCAATATCCGACAACCCTGACTCGACGGAAGAGGAAAGAGACGCTGACGAGAGGTCCCGGTTGAGCGGATGCCGGAGGTCCCGTTCCGGCAAGTTTTCGTTGGTCAACTGGAATGCAATTTGGGACCCCAGGTTCGACCGCAATTTGATTGTAAGCGGGAATGCCGAGACGTTGCGAACTTCAAAGCGACGCAGTGCGTGAAGGCCGTTCAAGTAGACATTGTCCAAGACCAGCTTATTCGACAAATGCACAAGTTCGAGAAGCGCAGGTCCAGCCTGTCCTGCCCGGCTAGCAGCTGAACCCTCGGTGGCCATTGGCCTTTAGCAAGGTTTCCAGTTCCGCAAGTGATCTTTGAAGGCCGGAGAGGCGAAGGAAATGGACAAGCTTTTCAAGCTTGAAGACCAGAGAGTCGCATACCGCAACGGAAGTCGTCAGGCCGCTCACTGGTAGCAGCTGGGAAAAGCACTTTTGTTTTTTAAGAATATCATCAATGCATCGGAAGAAAGAAAGGCAATCGCAAAAAAACTGCCCCCGGCCAGCCCCAGCCACCACAATATTTGACGCGCAGACTCGTTGGCTAGCAACAACAAAATTACATTTACCCAAACGCACTGATTACATACAAAGGTCGAACAGTACGGAGGGAACAGAAACGACTATACACAAGGGGTCGTTTAGTTGATCTTAAGAAGCTCAACATCGAAGGTGAGGTCGGCCTTGGCGGGGATGCCTATGAGGGTGAGGTGGGGGTTCGTTAGGACTCATGGTATGCCCCACCGTCCAAGACAACCCTAGATGGATGAACATACCGGCAGGGTGGCCACGCTCGCCGTAAGCGTAATCGTAGGTGATGAAGAGCTTAGCCTGCTCTCCGAGGGACATCTGAGGCACACCCTCGTCCCATCCCTTGATGACCTGTCCAACACCAATCTGAAGAATAACCAAGCGGTAAATACAAGGAATGGTCATGCAACTTTGAATGAGCGATTTTGATCGTACCTTAGTTACGAAGGCACTTCCGCGGTCCCGGCTGCTGTCGAACTTCTTGCCGTCCTTGGTGAACTAGTAGAAGTTCGCACAATGTTAGCCTCCTCCAACAGCTATCACCCGCTCTAATCCCGGAGGGCGTAGGAGAAGGCCCATGCCAAGGCCGGGCAGTGCTTACCGTTCCGACGTAGTGCATGGTGACGGTGTCGCCCTAAAAGCGTTGATGATCATAGGGTTAGTTTATGTCGACTGAGATGCGCGGGCGCTCGGGTGAGATCTCACTTACAGCTTTGGGGAAGTTCTTGCCATCTCCGGCCTTGATGGTCTCCTTAGTGACACCCATGTTGATTCGTGAAGAGTGGAATTGACGGATAGACGTAAAGAGACTGCGGGACACTCGGTTCATTGCAAGTCAGTCGTTTGCCAACGAACATGTCCAGCAACTCTGGCCTCCACTAGTATGACGCAGCTCACCGGGATTAACTCGCGCACACGTGACCGGGAACGATTCAAATATTGCACACGGCGCCCAGGAGACCATCCGTCAGGACCCGACGGCAATGCATAGACTATATGCGTCCTATTGACGGCAGAGTTTGAGTGGGTTTTGCTACGGCCTGCTGCTCACTGACAGAGCGAGAGCAAGTCGGATGCAAGTTTTTATAGGATCTCGAGGATCGTCCTTCCCCCCGCAGTGAACCTTTCCTTCTAATGATGCATTTCGCTACGGGAACAAGCTGTACGTAATAGATGTTCTGACAGCACCATCAATAGCGACTATATTCTCAAGATCAACGGTGTGTATCATTCCGACTTGTCTGTGCATCTCAAGGACGGTATCAAGGTGATATCACAGGCGACTTCATTTCGTAAGCACGGTCGGAGTTTCTTACCCGTAAGCACTCCATTGGATTGTTGCTGGTGGGCACGTATAGTAGCGCTTAGCATTCCTGCATCGAACTCATCAATTCATCAATTCATCGAACTCAAGTTCCAAATGGCAACGCAATGTCCTACTACGCACCTACCCATCGTTCTATTCCGCTCAAAGGTCACCCCAACTTTCTCGAGCGCGACCGACGCATACCTTATCCGTACTGTCGCGGTCGCATCACCTCTCGAACGTCTATCGATCCACTCGTTCCCACCGACGCCGTCCTCTTCAATCATTGTCAGGCCTTTGCAGGGCTTCGTTTCCGCAATTTCGTCTCCCGTTTCGCGTTCTCTGGCTTCGATCGTCCATACATACAAGAAACTTTGTTCACCTCGTCTTCATCATCCATCTCGTCTTTCGCGTTCGTGGGCTGGTCGCATTCAAAGTTCCTTGGTCCGTGCTTCGCTGTCTGTCCTTTTCGGCTTCTCGTTCACTTTTTGCGCGCACGGTCCTCGTTCAATTACCTCTTCGTCGCCCAAATTTATGCCTCGATATCACTACGCGTTTCTTAACCCAAGATTTCAACACGGCGAGATTGACGAGCTCTACGCTTTTTCAGGACGACTAATGCCCCTCATGATGCAGAAAACGATCTCAATCACGCCGTCTTTCCAAATGCCAACCTCTTTCGCTGCTGTGGAGCAGCATGACCGTGTTCAGTTTCCACATCCTCCTTCACGGTCTTCCGCATTCGTCGCCTTCTTCAACTCTCATGTTCCCGCCCGCCCATTGGGAAATGGTGCACGGCATGGTCTCCTCCCACCATTCAAGAACCTAGTACTGCCGCCATCGGGGTTCCGAAAAATCTAGTGTCATCATCCTGAAGTGTCAAAATACCCGCTTCGGCCTTCCCATTAGGTAAGGAATACCTCTACATGTCGCTCTTGCGCCTTCATTCTTTGCCTTCTCAGCCTTCGCCACCCGGTAATCTGCTTTCCGCGCCATCGGGAACTACTGCAGGCCATGATCCTCCGGTATATGTAGGCGGCAACACGGTGAACCGCCTCCTACATCTGATGAACGACGACGCCCGCCAAACCGGTTCCAACACACAATGCCAATTTGCCATCAAACTCCGACAGATGCCAGCCATTCGCCTCGAGAACTACGTGAGACCTGATTCCTCCGGGATCAGGCAGCCTCTTCGGGCGTGCGGTCTTTGCCATCCAAGCTGTTGACGCGTAGGGTTGGATTTCCACGTGTTTGGGAAGTGCTGACGTGAGACGACGATGACGATGACAATCGCGTCGATCTCAGAAGCGAATTCAATAAACGGAGCCTTGGTAATGCGCGATCATGAAGGCGGAGATCCAAAGGACGGATTGTAAATATGGCGCCCGTCTTTTGGTGATTGCTCATCCAGACACCAGCCCACGGGCAAGAAAAGAGGAGGGAGAAAAGTTTTTTCTTCCCTCGCTTTGTCTGTCGTGTCTCTTTGAATTATATGCAGTCAGTGCGTCGCTTCTGGAAGGAGAAAGGCCCCCTCGGCGCGCGGAGTTTGAACACGAGCACAGTGCCCGGCTTGCTTGCTTGCTTGCTTTTGATTGACGATGCGTATCTTATCGCGCGGATTTCTTATTTAGCTTATTGCCCCTCAGGCAGGCTCCCTTGCGCTTGGTTCTGGCTGGAGCTTTCTCTTTTTCTCCCCCTCCCCTCCCATAAGGCCCGCTCCGCAGACAAGACTTCCCTCGTCCCTCTGTTTGCTGCTCTTGCTTTCCTTTTTCAACCCTCGTCGCCTTGCTGTTCTTGTCTCCTCCATACTCGACTCGAACTAAGGCCACGCTCTCAGGGTCTCTCGTCCTCTCTCTCAAGCATCCCCGCTTGCGACTGCCTGCCAAATACCCCACCTTCGGTTTTCAGCTGGAGAGACGGTCAGTACAACCCGTAGTACGACTTGACCACTTGCATACTACGACTCCGCTATGCCCCCAGTCGCCGCCATGGACTCTGCCCCGGAACAGGATTTCGACCAGGCAAAACGATCGCTCGAGTCGGTCGCTCGTATCAAGCAACTTCTGAACGACCTATACACCTGCGAAACCAGTGACGATTGTGTCGCCATTGCGGCGGACTTGGGTGAAGCCGTTCAAGCCGGCGGTCTGCACATGCTTCGCACTGCTGGTGTCCTCGACAACCTCTCTCGCGAAGCTCAGAACAAAAAGTCCGGTCTGGCGAGGGAAGGAGCCCTGCTCGGTCTTCACGGACTCGTCCGGGTCATAGGGCGACCCATCGAACCCCACTTTCTCCCTCTGCTTCCCATCCTCCTTGACAGCTATGCGGACAAGGGTCAACCCGTGAGAGAGGCCGCTGAGATGGCCGTCAACGCTCTCCTCGGCGTTGTATCACCGTACTCCACCCGCAACATCCTCCCTTACCTGTTCGAAGCCATGACGAGAAAGTGGCAAACGATGGTTGGGGCTCTGGAAGCATTGTCAAAGTTGGCTGCAACTGCACCGGACCAGATCGCTCTTGCCCTCCCTGAGATCATCCCCAACGTCACCGAGCGGTTGCACGACACCAAAGCCGAAGTGGAAAAAGCAGCAACAAAGTGTATGACAGATGTCTGCGCCGTCGCCAACAACCCCGACATTGCTCCTCACCTTCCCATGCTGGTGTCCTGCATGGCCAGGCCCACCGAAGTACCCGACTGTGTGCAGAAGCTTTCTGCTACCACTTTCGTTGCTGAAGTCACAGGACCGGCATTGGCCATCATGGTCCCCCTCCTCGTTCGTGCCTTGAACGAGCGATCCATGGCCGTCGTCCGCCCAACAACCGTCATCACCGACAATCTTTGCAAGTTGGTCAGGGATCCCGCGGAAGCTGGACAATTCTTACCCCAGCTATTGCCTGGTCTTGACAAGTTGATCGAGACGGCCGCCTTCCCTGAAATTCGTCAGCTTGCAACCGTCGCAAAGAACACGCTCATGCGTGCCGGAGGAGATGTAGCAGCGTCTGGTGCCGACTTGAAAGATTCGCTGACAATCGAGTCTGTGAACCAAGTCTTGGCCCGTCTCCGAGCGTACCTCGCCGAAGTCGCCCGCTGGAAGGACACCGACCCCTTCGCCGCCGTCTCCATCAACCACGTTGGTAGCGTGTTGCACGAACTTCTCGTTGCTGAGGATTACCACGACGAGGCATGGCAACAGAACTGCTCCCCGTACCTGGCCGCGTTTATCCCCAAGCCCCAAGCCGACGCTGTGCTCGGCAAGCTCGCGACGCACTACCGCCACGTCGAACACGAGCGTCGTCTGAGAGAGTCCGGTCTCGACAAGGAAGAGGGCGAGGAACTCTGCTCTTGCGATTTCTCCCTCGCCTACGGTGGAATGATGTTGCTGAACCACACCACCCTCCGTCTCATGCGCGGCCGTCGCTACGGTCTCTGCGGGCACAACGGCGCCGGCAAATCCACGCTCATGCGCGCCATCTCCAAGGGCAAGGTCGAGAACTTCCCACCCCAAGACCAGCTCCGCGCGGTCCTCGTCGAGCACTCCCTGCAGGGCGAGGACACCTCCCTGCCCGTGCTCGATTTCGTCGCTACTGACAAGCGTCTGGCAGGTATCTCTCGCGACGCGATTGAGAAGGCCCTCCGGGACGTGCAGTTCGACGACGAACGCATTGCGCAGCAGGTCGGGAGCCTCTCCGGAGGCTGGAAGATGAAGCTCGAGCTCGCCCGCGCGATCCTCATGAACGCCGACCTCCTCCTACTCGATGAGCCCACCAACCACCTGGACGTTGGCAACGTCGCGTGGCTGGTCAACTACCTCACCTCCCAGCCAAACCTCACGGTCCTGGTCGTCTCCCACGACTCTGGGTTCCTCGACAACGTGTGCACGGACATCATTCACTACGAGCGAAAGAAGTTGGTGTTCTATAAGGGCAACCTGTCGAAATTCGTGGAGCGGAGGCCGGAGGCGAAATCTTACTACACCCTCTCCACCGACAACGTCAAGTTCGCCTTTCCCCCGCCGGCCTTCTTGCAGGGAATCAACTCAAAGACCAAATCGATTCTGAAAATGACCGACGCGACGTACACCTACCCGGGAGCGCCCAAACCGTCCCTCAGCGGAGTGTCAGTCGGAGTCTCCCTCTCGTCCCGTGTGGCGATCATCGGGCCCAACGGTGCCGGCAAGTCCACGCTGATCAAGGTCCTCACCGGCGAAGCGATCCCCCAAGAAGGCCAAGTCTGGAAACACCCCAACCTCCGCGTCGGCTACGTCGCGCAACACGCCTTCCATCACCTCGACCAGCACTTGGAAAAGACACCGAACCAGTACATCCAATGGCGGTACCAAGGCGGTGAAGACCGCGAAGTGCTCGAGAAGGAGTCCCGAAAATTGACCGAGCAGGACGAGAAACAGATGGAGACACCTATCGACATTGACGGGTCTAAACGCAGGATCGAATACCTCATCGGCCGATCCAAGCTGAAGAAATCGTTCCAGTACGAGGTCAAATGGGTGGGTCTGATACCCAAACACAACACCTGGGTTCCCCGCGAGAAGCTGCTAGAGCTCGGGTTCCAGAAACTCGTGCAGGCGTTCGACGACCGTGAAGCCTCGCGCGAGGGGCAGGGGTACCGCGAGCTCTCCCCCAGTGTAATCCGCAAACACATCGAGGATGTCGGCCTAGACGGCGACATTGCAGACCATAACGCCATCTCCGGCCTGTCGGGGGGCCAGAAAGTTAAAGTCGTCATTGCGGCGGCGATGTGGAACAACCCGCACATGTTGGTCCTCGACGAACCCACCAACTACCTCGACCGCGACTCCCTCGGCGGGCTAGCCGTCGCCATCCGTGACTGGGGCGGCGCGGTCGTCATGATCTCCCACAACGAGGAGTTTGTCGGCGCGCTGTGCCCGGAGGTCTGGAACGTCGAAGCCGGTCGATTGACACGCAAGAACAAGAACGAAAATGGGATCAACGCGGACGCGTTTGAGGACCATGCGAAGGAGGAGGCTGCGATGAAGAAGATTGAGGCGAAGGTGGCGAGTAAGCCGAAGAAGAAGAAGATGACGAGGAATGATGTCAAGGCGAGGGAGGTTAGGAGGAGGGCGAGGCATATGAAGTGGTTGGTTGAAGGGGGGGTTAAGGAGCCTGATACTGGTGAGTAGCCCTTTTCGTCACTCGCAATGCCTTTTGTCACTTGGACCAGTACTGACCATTGCTTCCTCCTCGGCTCATTCTCCAACAGACTCCGATTAGAGCTAGCCGCCATCTAATTATTCTAGAATGGATAGAGAAGCATCAGCATTACGCACGCTATCGGGCTTGACTTTTTATTTTTTGCTGAGGGTGCCACACACATTGGGCCCCCGTGTAATTTTTGTTTGTGCCTCTTTCCCCTTTTTGTGATTTTCTTCACTTATGTCCTTTAAGCTATTTTTGTGTTTTATTTATGGCTGGTCGGTGATAATAGACGACGCTTGGCGCCATTTTACGTTTGATGCATGCTGGGTTGTATATGGCGGAGGGACTTTTCCCCGTGGGTGGCTGGGTATGGGGGGATCAGGCTATGAATCTATCTAATCCGGCGTTTGCGGAAAGCAGGTTGCGACGATGTACATGGGGCCCTGCTCAGCGCCGTTGGTCCCCGTTTCTCAAAACTTGACAGACTTGCTAAGCCTCGCAAACTCCCTCTTAACAAGACTCGTCCGCATCAGGTCTGCCAAGTCTTTTGCCAACTTTCGGTATCCCTGAGTACAAACACATGAGATCCGGAATGCCCCAAGCTTCAAGGCAAACGGGGTTAGTTGAGTCCATGCTCACCTTAGCAGAAAAATGCTGCCCATCACTTGTCCAGAACGATTTGTGTCGGAAATCGTAACTCAGTGCGTCGAGCGGTGGGCCGGGTTTCACTATTTCCTGATTACTACCCCCCCGCACCAAAAACAATCAGTACCCGCCTCCCAGCCACGTCCTCCCCCACCCGTATCCATGCACGAACCTCTGAATCCACAACCCCAATATCTCATTCCGCCTCATGTTGGCCTCAACGACCGCGTCGCCTTTGGGTTCATCGTTGTGGTTGGGTATCGTGCAGATCCAGACGTCTTTGCCCATGGTGGAGAGTGTGCGGCAGGTTGCGGCGATGTTGCGGACTGTGGACTCGGGGTCGAGGGTGGGGTTGCTGCGGGTGTGATGCGGTTTCTGGTCAGTGATTCTCTCGAAGGGTGGTGATGAAGTATGAGGGACGGTGAACGAACCGGTAGTCATTGGACCCGAGGAACACGATCACCACATCGGCGTCCGCGTATGTGGGGTCTTCAAACACCGCTTCGAACTTGGTGCGCCCGGCGTTGGGGGCTTTTGCGTTTTTCGGTAGCCTGGACCCATGCGTTAGTCGAAGCCCTCGCGCGAAAGGGCTTGCTGGGAAGGAATACATACCAATCCTCACTCGTCGTCCCCATCGCTCCGCGGTTATGAATCACCCATGATTGACGTAGATTGTAGCGTTCGCCTAGTAAGGCTCTTCGGAGGTGTCCCGCAATTCCTAGAGAACGGGGGCTGTTTGAGACACTCGTTGATTAAGATAGACAAGGCTACTTGACCGATCGAACCTGATGTTCCGGCGACAGATAGGTCGTCGCCGTAGCCAAAAGCGTGGTCATCCCCTGCAACCCATCATGGGCATCAGCATATGGCCATTAACATCCCACAGAACGCGCGATGGTTTCCGGACCTATTATCACTATTTTGTTCTTCAGCGCTGAATACGGTTTCGTTTGCGTGCCTGTTTTCGCATTCAACCACTAAAATCACATCCCATTGGTGAAACAGTTCAAAGGAAGACTTCTCCAAAACGCAGCACAATGCACATACATTGCTAAAGATAAGCCCATACAGGTATACACAACTCGTCAAGTAAGTGATAACAGCGGCTGCATACGCTTGGATAATGGGTAGTGGGTTGGTCCGTGCCAAAATCGACTGCCTGGGTGATGGAGGCCTCGGTTTGCGGGGCGAAGATTTCGAACGCGGGGAGGGGGTATCTGCTTCCCGTTTTGCGGAGGCTCTTGTTGGACGCTTGTGAGGGGTGGTCATGTTGCTGGGGGTGCGTGTCGGAGGGAGTGAGGTTGGGCGTGATCTCTGTAGTGACCTCCGAGGATGGGCATTGGGCAAGCCCCAGAGAACAGCTGTCGACATGTGCCTGCCGGAACCAGCGCCAGAACGCGTCGATAAAGTAAGTGATGTGGGTGATGAGCGCATGACGGAGTTTCTTCCAGCCCAGAAACGAAAGCACACCTTTGGACTGGACGACTTTCACAAACTGGGAATACTGGCTAATATACTACTTGCATAGTGCAGAGACAATGTCACCAGGAAAGACGCAGGATGGGAGGGTAATAGACTATCAAGAGCTGCAGCGGCATAACAAAGCAACCGACTGCTGGGTCGCTCTTCACGGCCAGGTTTACGATTTGACATCCTTTCTGGACGAACACCCGGTATGTTTCTGTGGCATATGCTGACCACCCTGGAAAGTAATACGTTAAGTAAAGCATTGAGGCAGGGCGGGCGACGTTTGATTCTTGCGCAAGCAGGTTCGTTCAAGAGCGTTGCACATTGCCAAGCAGACCGCGAAGTGTCGAGCGGAGATACATAGCCTCTGACCGCTTTACAAACAGGGACTGACGGAACCGAAGCCTTCGAGGAAGTTCACTCGAAGGATGTCATAAGTCGGACGTTGTCGCCGGAAACCCTCATTGGTGCTCTTGATCAGGAGACGGTTCCAGAGAAAGCCGTGAAGCTGCCCGGGTCGCAACCGAAAGGCACAATGGCCGAGGAGGGAAAACCGGACTTGGCTCGGGTGCTGAACATGTACGAGTTTGAGTACATTGCACGGAAGACGATGAAGAAGGGTGCTTGGAACTACTATTCATCTGGTAAGATGAGAGGTTCTCAGTGCATCATGGCTTGCTTTCGCCCGTTGACCCAAGGTTGTCGTCCAGGAACCGACGACGAAATCACATTGCGAGAAAACACGAGTGCCTTCCAACGGGTGTGGCTCATCCCCCGAGTCCTGGTAGACGTGTCCCGCATCAACTTCGAAACCACAATCCTCGGATACCCCTCCTCCGCTCCATTCTACATGACCGCAACGGCGCTAGGAAAACTGGGGCACATGGAGGGAGAACTGGCGTTGACACGCGCAGCGGGGAAATCCAAGATCATCCATATGCTTCCGACGCTATCGTCGTTCTCGTTGGATGAGATGACGGCGGTGCGAGGGCCGGATCAAGTCCAGTTCTTTCAGCTGTATGTGAACAAGGACAGGAAGATCACGGAGCGGATCGTCAAGCAGGCCGAGGCGAGGGGGTGTAAGGCTTTGTTCATCACTGTGGATGCGCCTGCATTAGGTACCTAGCCTGCGTCCCTTCGGGCACATCAGCGGTGAACCTAAGTTGTCACTCACACCTCATGTCTTTCCACCAGGCAACCGCGAAAAGGACATGCGCACAAAATTCGTCGACGACCGGCCCGCCGAAATGGAAGAAAAAGACGTAAAACGCTCCGAAGGCGCCGCGCGCGCCATTTCCACCTTCATCGACGACACCCTCTGCTGGGCCGACATCCCGTGGTTCAAACGCATCACACACCTCCCCATCGTCCTCAAAGGCATCCAATGCGCCGCCGACGCCGTCCTGGCCGCCCAACACGGCGTTGCGGGGATCGTGCTATCCAACCACGGCGGGCGGCAGTTGGAGACTGCCCGATCGGGGCTGGAGATCTTGCCGGAGGTCATGGCCGCCCTCAAAAGCTACTACGCAGACCACCCCGGGCCGGAGATGGAAGTCTACATCGACGGCGGGGTCCGGCGCGCAACCGACGTGATCAAAGCCCTCGCGATGGGCGCCAAAGCCGTGGGCATCGGTCGGCCGTTCCTGTACGCCATGAGCGCGTACGGGCAGCCAGGAGTCGAGAAGGCGATACAGCTGCTAAAGGATGAAATGAACATGGCGTTACGGTTGCTGGGGGCGCCGACGTTGGCGCATTTGAGACCTGATATGGTGGATGCGAGGAACTTGGGGTTGCATGTCGGACCGCCGATTAGGAATTACCTTTCGGAGGCGGTTTATGAGCCGTTGGCTTTTGGGAATCATAAACTGTGATTTAGCGCTTCGGGGATGTTGTGTGCGTAATAGCGCATGGGGGCCATAGTTTCTATTAGCATAGTCATCATTGTCGTATAGATGCAACACCGTATGTGGGAATACATTGAAAAATGGTGCAGAAAAATCGAGAACAGAAGACTGAAGCACATCCTGGACAGGAACGAACTTTCGAGATTGGGCATCGTCGATCGGAACTGCATTGGTATCGAGCTATTCCCCACAAAACACCTTGAATACGTACTTGGCAAACCAAAATTCACACCCGCCCTCATCCACCGGTCCCAACCCCCCGCCTCGCAACCATCGCCACAATCATCTCCACCTCCTCCTCCCTCAACCCCGTCCACAACCTCGCAGCCCACCCCTCACCCACCTCCCCGTCCCCGACCTCCGCCGTGTCCCTCCGCCCATCCAACCGCGCCAACACGATATCCAGGACACAAAACCCTAGTTTGGCCGATTCTCCCGTCTTCCATTTGAGTTCTGAGTGGAGAAGCCGTAACTCGGTTGAGCGGTTGGTGTCGAGGAGGATGTCGAGGACGGCGAGCCAGCCGGGGACTGACGGGGTGATGGAATTGGAGTCTAGGAGGTCTATGATGGGTTTGGTCGGTTTGGTGTGGACTTGACACGCTGCTTTCAGGACGTCGTTTGAGAACGCCGGGGTATGTGACACGCCGTTTGCGGCGCAGGTCGTGATCAGATTCTGGATGGAGTCCCAGGGTTGCTTCGTTGCCACGGCGCCTCGTAGTAGCGCCGTGTACATTTGTGAAAGTGTGGTGGCAGCTACGGGAAAGGGGATTTGTCGTCGGCGGCTCACGAGGTCAGTTGCGTCATCCATCCGCTCGGTGACTGCGAGCGCTTCGAAGAGGTTGCATATGGCTTCGTCCACCTTGTCCGCGGCGCCGCGAGGAGTGTCGGTGGGGGTTGAGGCTAACCGTGGGATGGCGGACTTTCGGGCTAGTGTGAGCGCAGTGTCATACGCTTTGTCGGCAATAGCAGCCGAAATGAGATCAGCGATGACGTCCAAAGCCACGAGTGAGCTCGTCTTTGTGGCGGCATCTTCGAAGACATTGTCCACTTCTTCCCATTTCGAAAGCTTCGCTAACATCCGTAGGATATGGTTGAGGGTCGAGGGTAGTGGCTCGATACCCCGTTCCACCATGTCCGCATACAGCTCCTGAGCTGTTGTTGCATCCCCGTGGGAGCAGCACAGCCCGATGACAGAGTCATAGATATCTGCTCCTGGAGAAACGACGGCCGCATGCGCGACATCTCCCTTCGTCGGGCGCTTCGGCGCAAGGCTTTGAAGATGTCTGAAGACCTGTAGTGCACCAGAAACATCGTCGGCGGCAACGATGGCTTTGATGACAACTCTCCAGATGGCATAGTCTGGTCGAGGCACAATGGCGCTGTTCGAGTTCAACATCTCATTGAGCATTTTCCGCGCCGCTTCGTGATTCCGGTTATTGGCGTGTGCGGCGACGCACAGTCGATAGCTACTTAGGTTGGGCACGATATCGAGAGACTGCTGCATATCCTGGAACAATCTGATGGCGGCGGTGTTTCGCTTTCGCCGGATAGAGCTCATCATCATCTGGTTGTAGATGGAAACGCTAGGGCTGAATCCCAACGCGCGCATTTCTCGAAACAAGCGCTCGCCCTCGGCATGACTCTCTTTCTCCAAGAAGCCGCGGATCAAGATAGTGTACGTTGTCGCATCCGGCTTCAGAGGGTGTTCTGCGGTAGGATCCCACGACTCTGGGGTCTTGAGCTTGTCCAGAACACCCAAAGCAGCTGCCATCTGGTTATTCCGCACATAGACCGATATGAGGCTGTTATAAGCTCGGATCGAAGGCCGCATTCCTTTGCGCCTCATCTCGAGGATGAGAGCATTTACTGTCGAGGAGTTGTTTCGGTCGTCGTGCAGCCGTATCAGGCGCTCGTACTCTTCGGAGCTTGCGGACGACGCCAGCTTTCGAACGATGGACGACATCACTGTCGCTTTAGAATCTGCGGCCGCATTGGTCTGGGTGCTGTCGAGTATGCGGAAAAGCTGATGATGGGCCATGGTAGACCACCTGACGTTGTCCAGGGTGCTTTCCATCAGTTTCGTGTAATCGTCCCACACCTCGTGGGTCGAGCCTTCTGTTGTTCTCAGCCTCTCCAAGAATCGCACCGTAAGTTCATCGTACATTTCCCTCTCATCGTCGTTTTCTAACGTCGGAAATCGTTTAACGGCCACAGAACTCGACTTTTGCCCTTGCGACCGCTCCAACGACGACGATCCCTTGGGTTGCTCTTTGGTTAAATCCGGTGCTTGGGTTTTGGGGGGCGCCGACCCTCCAAATGCGGAACGTAGCGAGAACAGCGTCCGTCTCCACTGATTTCGGTCTCTTTGGCGCAAGCGGGCAGCGGTGCACTTGGCGCATACAAAGCGCCGTGTTCCGGCGACTCCGCGGACGAAAGACATTGAAAAGAGACCCACAACCGCTTGACGTCTTGTACTCCAACCGGCTTGAATGCAAAAGTAGCGCCGTCGTTGGAAGTTCGAGTACCGTTGTCTGCGGAGTGCGTTTGGGGAGCTACTGTATGTACAGTAGATCGGTTACGAAGGCTTTGCAGGTGGGCAGGTGGGCGATTGAGCGTCTTGCGAAGATTGCACAGCCACCCATCCGCGAGAGAAAGCGGTGACACACAGGGTGACACATCGCTCGCTCGCTCGGGGACGCGCCCACTCCTCCCTCTCCCGCAACCCCCAGTCCAAGTAGCAGTCCAAGAAGTCTTCTTTTCCGCTGAAGATCCCCACAAGCGAGGTTCGAGATGCATGCTCGACTGGCGAAGCAATGCTGCTCCCGCCCTCGCCCGGGTTGCAGGCGCTATCATCCCGTGCAAGCAGGTTACCGAGAGCTACTCACGAACAGGGAGCCGCTGAGATACCGAGGTCCAGAAGGCGCCATTCCCGCTGCCGAGCAGCGCAAAACTTATTTGACAGACACGGAGCCCTCTTACTCTGCCTCTTACTTCTCGAACGCCATCGGCTCCGACGCGCCGTCGCCTGCAATAGCCGCCGTGCGGCAAACCCACATAGAGGATCATCAACAGGGCCCTCACAACGGCAGCACATCCGCCACAAAACGGCTGAAGGAGCGCATCACCAGCCAGATCACCGGGACTGCGCAGGCGCAACTGGCCGTGGAGGAGGAGGTCGATAACGGACAGCAGGCCACGGGAGATACCCGGATACCCACCCCGCGAGAGATCCGTGCATACTTGGACGAGTTTGTCATTGGGCAGGAGGATTTGAAGCGGACGCTTGCTGTAGCCTTGCGCAGTCATTATGCGAGGCTGCAGATCAATATGAAGCAGGCTCAGTCGGCGGATCCTCGCGAAGGTAAGACCTTCGAGGAAGTTTCGTATCATCACTGACCAGCGATGGTGCTGACCTCCGAGAATCCCATAGTAGAGCGATTCAATCCGCAGCCGAGTCATCTCCGTTCCGCGATGGACTCCGAGGAGCGGGTTCTGGTTGACAAGAGCAATGTGCTGCTCGTTGGTCCCACGGGGTCAGGTATGTTGAACCGCCCTTATCATACCCTATATCCACCCCGCCACACGCCTCACTCCCCACTTCTACTTACGTAGGCAAGACGCTCATCGTGCGTACGCTTGCAAAAGTCCTGGACGTCCCATTCTCAATGAATGACGCTACGCCGTTCACGCAGTCCGGATATGTCGGAGAGGATGTAGAAATCTGCATCTACCGATTACTGCAGAATGCCGAGTTTGACGTGAACCGGGCGCAGAAGGGGATCATCTTCGTCGATGAGATTGAGTGAGTGGAGTTACATCCAGCAATGATATTGACATTGAATATCACTGACATCTTTGCCCCTCCAGCAAAATCGCCCGCCGCTCCGACGCCGCCAACCCCAACCAACGCGACGTCTCCGGCGAAGGCGTGCAACAAGGCCTGCTCCGGATGCTCGAAGGCACGGTTGTCAACGTGACAGTGAAACCGGGGACAGCGGGCTCGAAGCGGAACTCGGCGCAGGGTGGGGATGTCTATTCGGTGGATACGTCGAATATATTGTTTGTGTGCTCGGGCGCGTTTGTAGGGCTGGATAGGATTGTGGATGAGAGGGTTGGGGCTAAGGGGGTATGTCGGGTGTATCAGCAGACTGGGATCTGATGAGAGACTTACGAAGCCTGGCGCCTTTCAACTCTAGTCGATTGGGTTTGATGCGCCTGTGAGGAGTCAGGCGTCTGACGCCAACGAACCTGCCAACAATGTTCTGCAACACGCGGAACCGGAAGATTTGATCCGCTACGGTCTGATTCCGGAATTCGTAGGTAACAAATCGAACCTCATATCTCAGTACCACTCCTCTTCCTCTCTTTGAATCCAAAGACTAATGCTGCATTCCAGGCAGGTTACCCGTCCTCGCCAGCGCCAAAGCCCTCGAAATCGAAGACCTCGTGCGCATCCTGGTGGAACCAAAGAACGCACTGACGAAGCAGCTGCAGCGGATCTTTGAGATGGACGACGTGAGTGACCCGCCGCCAAGTCTGTTACCGAGCACGATCCGTGCTGATTATTTCGTATGTTATGCCGTACAGATGGAAGTCCTATTCCACCCCGAAGCCCTCCGCAAAATCGCAGAAGTGGCCATCAAGAAGAAGACAGGCGCGCGCGGTCTACGCCGTATCACCGTAAGTCTTGGCCCACCCACCCAACCCCTTCAACAAACGATCACATACCCTGCCTGACCTTTGACCTTGATGGCCCCACAGGAACGCCTCCTCCAACACCCCCTCTACGAATACCCCGGCACCGACATCCGCTACGTCGTTGTCGACCCTCAATCAATCGAGACCTCCCGCCCAAGGGGGTTCACGCAGAAGGAGAGGGAGTTGGCGTATGAGGCTGCCGGGTTTGGGACTGTTATTCCTGCTGAGGGTCGGTCGGCGTCATCATCCTCGTCCGCCACGACACCGACACCCACGCCAACCCCGACGGCGAAAACAAGAAAGACCCGCGCGTCACTGGCGGATAGGGAAGGGGAGAAGGATAAAGTGGGGGGTTTGCCGTCGTTGCAGACTAGACCTTCGAAGGGGCAGGGCCATACGGCAACACCGAGTGTGCGGCCACCGGCGAATCCGGAGGGGTTTGATTCGACTATGTGATTCTGTATCTGTCCATTGAGAGGGGGGAGCATGTAAAGACAACTAGGTGGTTTTTTTGGAGGAGGAAGGGGAATGTATTTTGGGTACGCTGTGGCAGCATTCTATGATTCCCCTCCGCGTATGTGAGAAACGTGATGGTGGTGTGGGGTTGTGGGATTGGACAATAATCTGATTTTGGAAGCGCTCCCAAGCCCCACTTGACCGGATTTCGTGGATCTTCCTCAGTCAAATCCGGATGAAGATAACGACACGGGCGCCTCTCGCGGTGTTTCAGCATCTACCTCCTCTTGCCCTTCTCGCTCCTCACCCTGGTCCTTCCGCAACTGCTGGCGCTTCATTAAGACCACCAGTTCCCTCCCGTATTCACCCACAGGTGCGAAAAATGGCAGACTCCCATTAAATCAAACCCTCGTTTCGCAAAAATAGATATTGCAATATGTACAGTGGCGAGAAGGCCCAAGATCTCTATATATCTTTGTAGTTCTGTTTCTCCAACGCCGACCTGTCGTAGCAAGAAACAACGGTGAATTCCCAACCTCCAAAAGGCCCAACCAAAACACCCCACACAACCCATGAAACCCCACCGGGACATACCTGGTCTTCAAATGAAAAGCAATCTGCACCTTCTTCCTCACATGCGCCAAATACAGCCTCCACTCCTTCTCCTTCCTCTTCCTCCTCTTCCGATCCGGGTTGCGCTCGAACCGTTCCTGCGCGCGCACAGTTTCCCGCAGGCGGGACTCCTGAATCACGTCGCGCAGCCGGGCGTAGGCCTGGGTGGGGCGGTCGGGAATCGTGCGGATGGAGCGGCCTTGGCTGTCCTCGGCGGTTGTGTGGGGGCGGTAGGTGCGGCGTTGGGATAGGAGAGCGGGGGATGAAGTTGAGGTTGGGGGGAGCGGGCTGGGGTGGGATGGGGACTGGCGGAGTCTTTGTAGTATGTGGAGGGATCGTTGTTGTTGTTGTTGCTGTTGGGTGTGGGTGCGTAACGTGCTAGATCGCAGTACTGGGGTAGTTATGCGGTTTGCGATCACGGCCAGAACCTTCCCGGTGGACGGTGCTGCTGAGCACGCCCGAATGGCGATTTGCGGAAGGAAAGCCATTTGCGCTGCTGGAGACTGCCGTATGACTGGAAACAAAAGACTTATTTCGCAGTATGTGCACACTGCTGGGTGTCTTCGAGTCGAATGTCGTCTGGGTTCGAAATGGCGATAGGAATGGAAACCCGACATGGAAACTCGGACTCGCCTCTCAACTCGACGGGTGGCGCAGACGCCACAGGACGTGGCTTGGCAAATGACAGCACGCTGTCGAAACTAACATCCCATCGCCGATTCCATTCATTTACTGGGGGCTTCACACTTTATCGCCTTCTAACTTTCCGCCACCGCCATACTCGTAGTATTGTTATTCCATACATACGCCAAAACAAGGTTAAGACTCTTCTCTTTGATCCTATGGGGGGGACCGGCGGAGACTTATGCATAGCCTCCCGGCTTTGAGGTGATATTCTCCCACTGCCCTCCGTCTTTGTCTCGCTCTCGTCACTGACTTCCAGCTGCTTTGGGTAAATACAAAGTCTTTGACTCGCAAGTGGAAGCACTGCTCCATCATAACTGCAAGGGCTACCATAGAACGTCGACCACTGTAAGTCGGTAACCTCATGGGCGATATCGGAGTTGTGTGAATTCCCAGATGCTTAATTGCCCTTGAACTCACCTCAGGCATCTTGAAAGCCAAAGCAACCATGACGCAACCAGGAGTAGGGCAAATATATAAGATGGACGATTTCTTCCGGAAATACGAGCTCGGCTCGACTTTGGGAACGTGAGTTTGAACCGTCTGCTTCCCGCGTTACAACTCACGATGGCCTCCGCACGCGCTCATCTTGCTGCTCTTATCCAAATCAAAGAGGCGCGTTCAGCGAAGTCCGTCTAGGTGTCGAAAGAAACGGCGGCCGGAAATTTGCCGTAAAGATCGTCGACAAGTCCAAATGTAAAGGCAAGGAAGGCATGATCGACACCGAAGTCCGGATTCTGCAGAAAGTCCGCCACCAGAACATTATCCAGATGTTCGAGATGTACGAGAACGAGAACAAGCTGTGCCTGGTTATGGAACTCGTCACTGGCGGCGAGCTCTTTGATGATATTGTCAAACGTGGTCGATACACCGAGGTTGATTGTGCTAGGATAATTCATAAGATTTTGCTTGCATTGAACTATCTGCATGATTTGGGCATCGTTCACCGTGATTTGAAGGTATGGAACGCAGAACGGTGAGTCATGCGCTGTTGCAATGCTTCAATCCCCCTGACTTTCGATTGTTTGTGTAGCCCGAGAACCTTTTGCTCTCAGACAAATCAAAGCGTCCCAAGATCATGATCAGTGACTTTGGACTGTCGAAGATTTTCAACGACGAGGAAGTGATGAAGACGGCTTGTGGAACTCCGGGATACGTTGGTAAGTAGCTATTTCCGATTGCCCTTCCGATGTTCCCGACTGATCTTCGCCTCAATTTTAAAACAGCTCCGGAAGTACTAAGGCGCCAGGGTTATGGGCGCGAGGTGGACCTCTGGTCGTTGGGGGTCATCACATACATTCTGTGCGTAATTCTATGTGGAAAATTTCATTCCCTGCTATGATACTAATAGTGCGTTTTGGATGCAGGCTTTGTGGATACCCTCCTTTCTATGACCAGAACAACGTCGAGCTCTTCAAGCTGATCATGGCGGGCAACTTCAAGTTCGACAAGCCCTGGTGGGATCCCATCTCCGACACTGGTAAGCCACTCATCCCTCTCAACCACTAAAACTGACTTCCTCTCACTCGCGCAACAATTCCACACTCCCGCAGCCAAGCACTTTATCAGCCGACTGTTGGTCGTGAACCCGAAAGACCGTCAGACCGCCGCGGAGGCCTTAGAGCACCCGTTCATCGTGTCCAACTGCGGACCACCTCCCGAGAGGAAGCCGCAACAGGTGGAGGTGCCGGTGGCTCCGGAGGAGCCAACGCAGGGAGATAACCTCGCCCCCAACATTTCTTCGAACTTGAAGAAGGGATACAGCTCTCGTGGTGTTTCTTATAAGGTAAGTCTCTCATCCAACGAGAGGAACAATTCATCGTAAAATCTCCTTTTTCCAATAATCGTTGTTTCTTTCCCGCCCAGAACCTGGACGACAACGTCCGAGCAGCCCAAGAAGCCGCTCAAGACGACGAGCACCCCGGCACGCCCCTCGGCCAAGAAAAATCCGGCACGCACGACAGCGGCGTCGTCACCAGCCGCGAGTCGGTAAGCAGCGCTAAGAGCCAGAAGAGCGGTAAAGGCATCCTCGGCAGATGGTTCGGCAAGAGCAATAAGGTCTCCACGGCGGGTGGTGTCGACCGGCCGTAGGTGATGGGTGATGGCCCAGTGCCTTCTTCGGTCATTACTGGTCGGAAAGCCGGTTGTCGCTGGACTGATGCAACTTTTTGGTTTCCTTCCCCACTTTTGGACCCCGTTCTTGGACCACCCGCTGGACTTGGCTATGGATGCTGTTTTTGGCTAGTCTCTACCTTTTTTCTCGCATAATAAAAAGACACATTAGCTTCCGCCCCACTTTTGCTGTATGCATGCAAGGAAGAACAGGATCACTCAAGCTGGTCTCAAAATCGGGAGGAGACGAAGGACAATGAAGAGATTAAAATGGACGCAGATTAAAGTCCACGGGTCAAATGAGACCCTTTATCGGTTGTTTTGATCTCAAAAGCAGGAGGTCTATCTACTAGGCTGGAAACGGTAAGGGGAAACAGCAATAAAACATAGAAGCGCGATAACAAGAACCATCGAAAAGGGTTCGCAAGAGGGTAACTACGACGAGAAACGAAGCACGATATGAAGTCTGAAGACGAAAAAAGAAAAGGTAATATGAAGTGGAAAAATATTGATTTGTTACGCGAAACGAAGAGGAAAACAAAAGAGGCGGGCGGAAGTGCGCGTGCGAAGAACGATGGGGTCGGGAAAAGGGTGATGACAAGGGAACATGGGAGGAGGGGTATGAATAAAGAGGCGACTATCGAAGGAGGGAATGCACGAGGTACTTTTTGGCGGGGGTCATCGAAGCAGGCAAAACTTCCCAAAAAGTAGCGAACGTCCGCGAAAACAACTTCCCAAAACGTAAGGTCCTGTCAGGAAGCAAATGGAAACTCAACGAACAGTTCAGATCTTGGTCAAAGCGTCCAAGAACCCCTTCGTGACATCCGCAATGATAGTCCTGTCCGGCACACTCGCCGCAGTCCCATAGATCGCCGCAACGGCGCCCTGTCCGGCAGCCGGGTCGCGTCTGATCTCCATAATGGCTTCGTCGAGGTCCCGCAGGAGCTCTTCTGCTGAGTTGCGGGTGAGCATGGTGCAGGCGATGTGGATTGCGGGCGGGTTCTGCAGGACGTTGAGGTGCCAGTCTTTGCGGGAGAGAAGGTCGGCGACGGCGTAGGTGTTGATTGGGGCTTCGGCTTGGAAGGCGACGACGGAGAGGATGGGGTTGCCGACGATTTTGAGGCCGGAGATGTTCTTGATGCTGTAGAACGAGTTATGTGAGTCATTGTCAAGATTATGGTAGTGATACAACACATGAAATCAGACACCTACCCTTCTCGGATCCTACGAGCCGAGGTCATGATCTCTTTGGTACTCTTCACATAGCCAGATTCACCGAAATGCACCATGGCTGCCCAGCAGCCAGCGATCAAGGCGCCAGGCCTAGATCCAGCAATAGTTGGAGACGCGTAAATACCACCTAAGGGAAAGGTGAGATCGACTCTCAAATATCACAAGGGATGAACGTGCACACCCACCTGTCCACTCAGTAGCAACAAAGTACTGGTAGTCGCGGTAAGACTTATCCCTGTACATGATGACCGACGAACCCTTGGGCGCAAATCCGTATTTGTGAGTGTCGACAGAGATAGACGTCACGCCGTCCACCCGGAAATCGCAAGGGTGGTCGAGAGGGAAACCGGCTTTTTCAACGAAGGGGACAATGAAGCCTCCGAGACAGCAGTCGACGTGCATGCCGATGCCCGCCTTCTTGGCGAGAGCGGCGAGAGCGGGGATGTCGTCGATGATACCATGGGGGAAGTTGGGTGCTGAACCAGCGATCTACAGGATGGCGGAGCGAGTGAGGAATGATAGATGCGAAAAGAACGGAGAGGTAACGCGCGTGCTTACCAGGATAGTGTTACGGTTGATGGCGCGTCCGACCTTGGCAAGATCTACCTTGCCAGTGGTGGAATCGATCGGGATGTGGATGAGTTTGACTCCGAAGTAGCTTTCGCCTTTGTCGAATGCAGCGTGGATGGTAACGGGGACGACCCTGATGAGAGAGAACACGTTGATCAGACTGCTATCCTTTGATTAACGCGGGGACATCGGATAGTTCGGGTATCATGTCCATACATTTCAGGCTCCGTGACTCCGCGTTGATCTCTCGCCATGTCACGGTAGGCCTTGATAGCCATCAGCAAGCTCTCAGTTCCACCAGAGGTCACGCTTCCGCAACCAGAGTCAGGGGCATTGTACATTCGAAGGACCATTGAGACGACCTCGGCTTCCATTTGACGGATGCCGGGGAAGATTTCGGGGTGCAGTGGCTGAAAAGCGGGAAGCGCATGTTAGGTCCGACATCCAAGAGAAGTAAGGCGCATGTATGCTTACGTTGGTGATGGTGAAACGGGAAAAGGCATCTGTGATAAGTGCAGAAACATCCTCGCCGCCGTGGTAGATAGCGCCTGAGATCTTTCCGTCCCTCCAGTTGACATGTCCCATCTTCTGGTACCTCTCCAGTTCCGAGCGGACGGCTCCATCCGACAGGCCTTCGGCGGGCAGGGCACGGTAGACCTTTGTGCCTGGCTGGATGTTGACCATCTTCTTCTCGATTCCTTCAACATGTTTCGCTACCTCTTTCTTTACAAGGGAGTTGGCGCCTGGAATCACTTTCCGCGACAGAGTCAAGACATACTGGTGACAGGGAAGTGAAGGTCAAAGGATCAGCACCCAGGTGTATGCTACCACTCCTAAGAAGCCAATCTCTCCACCGCCTAGTATTCCGTCCGGACGCCAGCGCCAGCTTCTGTCCCCTCGCTCGTCAGCTCTCTGGCCCCATCGCGATGTCACACTTCGCGACGGCCTTCACCTATTCGAGCGCTAACATACCTGAAGAGCCCGTTTGAAGTATGCCTTGAAGGCACCCACGGGTCCCTTATACGAGATGTCCCGACCGACAGTTGTCAAGTAGCGGTAGAGCACGATGGCAAAGACGGCATTCTTGAGGTGCGCCACGGCAGGGCTGCCTGCGATGCGAGCCCATACGAGCTTCACGATGTCTGAGCTGGGTAGACCCGACATTGTTGGCGTTCCGTTCCGGGGACTGGCGAGTCTCTGTGGATGGAGGGAGTGTCCTGTGGAAGTACCGGACGATACAGTATGATAAGAGGCCAGTGTGTGATGATGAAAACAGAGCCTGTTCGAGGCTTGCTTAAATAGGCCTTCGAGGGGGGAAAAAGCCTTACGCGCAACTAGGAGGAGCGCGGCGTGGCGCGCCCTCGGTACTTGAATGTTGGGAGGAGGAGCTTTTGGACCGCGTTGTCTGGGAGGAGCTGCGATCGAATTTTTATACCCACTCAGATCGTCTGAAGAGGCGAAAAAACATGAATCATCTGCGTACGCACCGCACGTCCTACGGCCCACTCAGTGGCTTGCTGCCACCACTTCCGGTTCGACCGGGTTCAACTTGCGTGGACATGGAACGCAAGGTTTCGAGTCATGTGCGGGTACCGGTACCGAACTTAGAATCGGAACAACCGTCAACATCTCGCAGCTGCAAGCTGAAATGAGGGATTTGGGAATCGTTGTGGAGGGATTAAAGTCCGAAAATCCCTCATCTGCTTGATTCCGGTCTATACCCGTTCTTCGCAAGTGCTTTGATTGCGATATCCATCACCAGGGCTGCAACCTCTACTCTCAAATGCGTACCTCCTGTGTTGCGTATTCATTCTATGTGCACATTTTGGCGTGTGAAGGCAATCATCCTAATATACAATCTTGGCATGTCTGATCTATGAATTTGGGGGTTCCACGGTTCTTTGCGTCTCATGTTCCCCGACTGGCTGTCTTGTACTGCACACTCCTCCTTCCTCCTGCTTAATTTCATTCACCGATTGCATGATAGACCGACAGCAGATTCGCGCAATTGATGCCTTCCTTCTGCTTACTCGTGCTCGCAGCATCTATGTTTCCAGTGTCCAATAGCTCGTACTCCATCTGCTGCCACTGTGGTGTGTTATTGCAGCAATCATCGGGATCTGGTGGTTTTGTTTGGCCTTGCGGCGAGGGATATTGTGGCAGAAGAAGGAGAAAGGACGTCAGTGACAGGATGGCCAGGCGCGAGCGACTCGAGCGACCCGTCAAAAACAACTCGTGAAAGAACAACTGCCATGGGAACGCATGGAAGGTGGACAACGTCAGGTACTCAGGAAAAACGACAGGCTGACTACGCTTCTGGCTTGGTGCGATGTGGCGGCTCAGAGGTGATGCCGTCAGTACCCTGACATGCCTCCATAAAAGTAAATGGTGCATACCTCGTCAGAGGGCATTCTTTGTCAATTCCGTCACCGGCTCGGGTACGTAAAACATCTTGCAGCTTCAACTGTTACTTGCGGCGCTTGTGGCGCTAAACTTCGATGGTGGTGCAGGGCCCAGACGTACCTTTGTCTCACAGCGACTGGAAATATGGGACGAGGAGTTCGCTAAGTTTAAAGGCTTGTTACAAGGGTCGGGGAAGTCTATCAAGATCACCTTATCAGGCGGTTCAGCACCGGTCGTGGGAGAAGCGGGGAGAACTACCCCCTTCGAGGCAATACAAAGTGTGTAAGACGATGTGACTGCCTCGCCCTACTTGCTTTTAATTGACTTTTGCCCGCAGGTTCTGGGGCAAACTTTCAACCCGATCAATATGTGCTTGGGCTGGTGAACGGAGCAACACCTTGGGACCTCTCTCGGCCGTTGGAGAATGATTGCTTACTAGAGCTTATTCCCACCACCTCGGACTCTCCATTGGCTCGAAAAACAATATGGCATTCAGGTGCTCACTTACTTGGGTGGGCGATGGAAAAGAAGTTCGGCGACGATGTGCTTTTGTGCGATGGTCCAGCATTGTCCACTGGCGGCTTCTTCTACGATGCTCTGATCAGAAAGGAGCTGTCCGCCGGGTTCATAGCCGGCGAATCAATGGAGCAGAGGATTCAGCGGTTGACGCGGGCAGATGGGGCCATCTACAATGTGACACAGGACGATATGAAGGATCTAGAAGGAGACATGAAGGCATTCGGGAAGAAGAAATCCAGATTCACAAGACTGGTTGTCCCGCGGACTGTTGCAGAACGGTTGTTTCAAACGAACCCTTTCAAGCTCTACTTCCTGTCTCGGATACCAGAAGAAGCGCCCGTCACGTTATACCGATGCGGCGATTTCATCGACTTGTGTCGCGGACCACACGTGCCTCACACCGGATACCTGAGAGCGAACAAGCTGTTACGAACAGCCGGTGCTCAGTGGGAAACGGGGCATGCCGGGGCACACCAGCCGTTATCGCGGGTGTATGGAATCGCATTCCCGAACGCGGACGACTTGAAACATTGGCAACATGTGCAAGAAGAGGCTGCAAAACGAGATCACCGGCTGATTGGGAAGCAGCAGGGTCTCTTTATCATGAATCCAATGTCACCTGGGTCACCGTTCATGCTTCCACACGGGACGCGAATCATGCAGCGCCTGATGGACTTCCTGCGGGCTGAGTACAGACGTTATGGATATCAGGAGGTGATCACGCCTCTTCTCTTTAACAAGGAACTATGGGTGACGTCTGGGCATTGGGAGAACTACAAGGAGGACATGTTCGTCGTTAATGGCGGAAGTCATGACGGACATGGTGGGTGTTGTGGAAGTGACAAGGCGGACGATGCCGAGTCGGAGACACATGGGCTGAAACCAATGAATTGCCCGGGGCACTGCTTACTCTACGCCAGCTCCGCAAAATCGTATCGGGACCTACCCGTGCGTCTCGCCGAATTCAGTCCTGTGCATAGGTTCGCATCCCTCGAATTGGAGGTCATGACTTTTGGAAGATGATGCTGACCGTTTTGCGTTTGCAGAAATGAGGCATCTGGCGCCTTGACCGGCTTAACACGGGTCCGTAAGTTCCATCAAGATGACGCTCACATCTTCTGCCGTCCCGCTCAGATCGGCTCCGAGATATCGGCCACGTTATCATTCATTCATCGCGTCTACTCCATATTCCAATTTCCTTCATACCACCTCACTCTCGCTACGCGACCGACGGAGAACTTCATGGGTACCAAAGAGCAATGGGACAGCGCGGAGGCCCAGCTCCGCACCGCACTGAGCAACACGGGTCGAGAGTGGACCGTTAAGGAAGGCGATGGGGCATTCTACGGCCCCAAGATTGACATTATGGTCAAGGATGCGCTCGGACGCGCACATCAAACCGCGACGATCCAGCTCGATTTCCAGCTCCCGCAGAGGTTCCAGCTGAAATACCAGGCGGAAGATGGCGGCTTTGAGACGCCCGTAATTGTTCACCGCGCGATTTTGGGGTCTGTGGAGCGCATGATGGCGGTGCTGATTGAGCACTATGCGGGCAAATGGCCGTTCTGGTTGAGCCCGAGGCAGGCCATGGTTGTCCCAGTTGGGATGGATTTCGTCGATTATGCTAGGAAGGTTGCAGCGGAGCTCAGCGGGAAGGGCCTCCCACCACCCCCGGCATCGGGCCAGGACATAGATGCGAACGGAAAGCATCCTACTGCGTGCTGGCACGTTGACGTGGACGAAACGGATCACCTCCTTTCGAAGCGAATTCGAGAGGCGCAGACGGCACAATACAATTTCATGCTGGTTGTCGGTGCCAAGGAAAGAGACCTTGGGAAGGTCACGGTTCGACAACGCGACGGGAAGGATTTGGGGATGATGGATTTGCATCAAGTTAGGGAACTATTCACCCGCTTGGAGGCGAAATTTCTATGAATGAAATCTGCGCTAGGTCTAGTCGATAGATTATAGATAGAGCTTGCCGACTCTATACGATTCCGCCGTCGAATTGATATGCTTGCTGCGTCAGGATCCTTCGATTGAATGTACATATATATATGCTGGGGGGAACGCACATCGTTGGAACAGCGAAAAGGACAGGACAACGTGACGTCGCCGCGTCGAGCGTCGGGCCACTCTGTTTGCTTGCGTTCATCGCTCAGGCTTCATCATCGCTCGATGTAACCCCCAACGACATGGCGAACTGAGCTGCCAGCGCTCGTCTTTCACTATCGGATAAAGTCTTTCCGTGTTCTGATGGATATGTTCTTGTTCAGCCACTAGCGCAGAAAAGTCGCGATGGCACCGACTGAACGAGCGCATACTGACCTCTCAGCGTCTGCAACGTCCGTAGTGACCGCTCAAAATCGTCATCATCAACTTCCTCAGCATCCGACCCACCACCATCGGCACCCTCCATCATCGATAACAGCCGCCGTATACTATCCTCTGCCGCATTCGCAAGATTCGCCTTGTCTGCATTCGACGGTTCCATATCAGGCTCCCCAGACAGCGTTTGCTGCGCTGCCGACTCCGACGCACCAATTCCTGCCGACCCATTCGACGTCGGCTTCGCTGTGGTTGATTTCGTCCCCCGCACCATACCGTCCCACATATTGTTCTCCAACGCTTCCGCTATCCTATCTACTCCAACGCGCTCCGCCATGATCTCGTCTTCCGTGATCTCGTCAGTCGAGTCCCGCTCTTCTGGTAGAGATGGGTACAGATCAATGAACTCCATCCCGTGCTCTAGACAGAACTCTTCGTGGTTTTGGAGATGAACCGGCGTCTCTGCTGCGGTCCGGGTCGGCTCCGTGACTGTATTGGCGACGCACAACGCAACATTTGGCTGTACGTCGTCTAGGAACGTCGTCCAACTCCGAAGTGGCTCAAACGTTTCTGACTAAACACAGAGGAGCCCGGATATGATCTCAGAAAAAACCCTCCCAACTTTCATACCCTCCCAAATGAAGACGTCCCAAGTCCTCCTCGCACCTTGTCGCGGTCATACACATAAATGAAACCGTCCACCGCTTCCCCCAGTTCGCGCAATTCCGCGGAGTCGATTGCTGAAGCTCCGTCGGCGGTTGGTTCAAGGGTGTCCACCCATAAGACAATGTCCGCCGTGTAGTACTTTGTCGCTAGCGATAAGGGGACGCATTGCGGTGTTGTATCTGATATCGGCTGGCTGGTCGAGTCGAGAATTTTGCAAAGTTCTGAAAGGAGTTGGGAAGAATTGGTACTAGGCAAGGCAGAGGGCGAAAAATCGCAAAGATCATCGTCCCAGCTCACCTTGCACCAGTTGAAGTTTGCCGACACCTTTGTGGCCTACAACGAGTACCTTGTTCTTCAAGGTTATATTCTCTCCTTCCTCGGTCATAGCTGTGTTCTAAAACGTGCTCTTGTCAGTTTGCGATGCTGTGAGTGGGTCTGGTCTGCTGCTCGTCACATATCCAGTCCAGTATCCAGTCCAGTCCCAGCAGTCCCACGCGTTGGCAACAAGTTGACCCATTTCGGCTATTTCGGAGCAGAGTTCGGAGCTTTCGTCTTCGGCAATTCTCGGCTGTTGCAAACTCCGCACTTCACCCATCAGGTCGCCAAGAGACACTTTCCGACAGCACCGCAGAGTCCAGCGCTCACAGTTCGGAAGCCCCGTCCTCACAGTCGCACCGCGCTGCCACGTTTCCGCGAGATCTCCCATCTTTATATTTGGAAGTGCGAAAGCCTTTCCTCGTCGTAATACTGCGTAAGATACAGGAAGAACTGCTATAGAACTCATACAACTACGGCAATCGATTCGGCTTAGAGCAACATAGACAGCAACTCGCAAAGCGTCGCATCTTCGGAAACACTCGCTTGTCCCAGGTTATTTCCCGCCACACACACCCCCTCCCAAACTCCACCGGAGATGAGCAACGATCGCCCAAAACGAAAACTAGAGCCGCACATACATCTGCTCGCCGGCGGTGTCTCGGGTTTCGCCAGCTGCGTCCTGCTTCAGCCGCTCGACCTGATCAAAACGCGGCTGCAGCAGGATCTCGCGCAACGACAGTCCCTCCTCCGATCCTTCAGCCAGGGCGCCGGCGCCGCCCAAGTACTCAATCTTAAGAACTTGACGATATGGTCCACAACGCGGGATATCGTGCGGCAGGATTCCGTGTGGGCGCTATGGAGGGGGACGTGGCCGACGGTGCTGAGGAACGTGCCAGGGAGCGCGTTGTATTTTGTGATGTTGAATGAGATGAGGATAGGGTTGAGGAAGGTTGGGCAGACTTTTGGCGTCGTTTTACCCACTCCTACGAATGCCGCTTTGGGCCCGTCGACAGCGGGCACGACATCAGCGCATCCACTGACATCCCTGGCGAGGCCGCCATTACCATCGCCAGCGCCGTCCTCACCACCACAACCTTCCAACAGCAGCCGCACATTCAACGAATCGACCATCAACCTAATAGGCGGCGGCAGCGCGCGAGCCGCGGCCGGGTTCATACTCATGCCAATGACCGTCATCAAAGTCCGCTACGAAAGCAACCTATACAGCTACACGTCCGTCTGGCAAGCCACGCGCGACATCACCCACAAAGAGGGTATCCGCGGCCTATTCCGCGGGTCAGGGGCCACCATCCTTCGCGATGCGCCGTATGCGGGGCTCTACGTGCTCATTTACGAGCACTGCAAGACGTTCTTGAGGACGGCGGTGGATGGTGGAACATTGGGACTCTCCGGACTGGCTATCCCGCCGGCGGCGATAAATATGACGGCGGGGGTGATAGGCGGGGCGGTGGCGACGTTGATCACGAACCCGTTTGATGTGGTCAAGACGCAGATGCAGCTGAAGCCGAAGGAGTTCCGGACGATGGTGCAGAGTGCGTGGAAGATTGCGACGGAGGAGCGGTTTGCGGGATTTTTCGCGGGTGTGTTGCCGAGGTTGTTGAGGAAGTCGTTCAATTCGGCTATTGCGTGGACGATTTATGAGGAGGTTATTGGGTTCGTGTCGTTGAATAGTTGACATCTAGCGTAGTGTACTCGATCTTGCGACCTCGGCCGTGAGCTATTTGGCGTAATTTAGATTTACATAGATTCTCGCGGATGAATACATCAACGTGCGGAGAGCTACGTCGGTTTCCACAGGACTTCTGCGATCCGAGAACATTTGCAGATATTTCAGTTACACCTTGCCATGAATAAGATTCCGAGAAGATCGTATTTACAACGCGCATTCAATCGGCGGGAAACAAACAAGCGAAAAGGGAGGAATCCATATCGACACCCGCTTAGGGTTTGAGCTTTGAAGGCGCCGGCGAAGAAATGACATATGCTAGACAAGCCAAGGATCATAAAGACATGAACAGTCCATGATATAGATAGAGAGACATAGATCACTATGGTTTAATCTGCCTTGACCGCGATTCGACGCTTCTTTTCGGCTGGCTTTCCGGTGGCCTTCGTTTGACTTTGCGCGGCAAGGGCCATGACCCCTGCGAAAGCCGCCGCCGCTGCTGCCAGGTTGTTGTCTGATCCATCGGCGGACTGCGATGGGGCTTCGATGCCGCAGCCAGTAGCGGTGGTTCCCTCGTAGAACACCAAACCGTTCTGGTATAGGAGATAATGTAAGTTTTTCCGCACGTTGCGTTACTGGATTCGTAGAGTGTCTGCATACCTCCTCGTACAAATCCCTCAATCGCTTCTTCCCCGCCGAAGGGTCATCTTGCTGAGTAACCAGCTGTCGCAACCACTTGACCTCCATCTCGCACTCGCGCAAACGACGCTCCAACAATTGTGCCTTGTCAGTCATTTCGCGGGCGGTCTTTTCCAACGTCTGATCACGAATCTTCCTCTTTGCCCTGAATCGCGCGGAAGCCGCGGTGTTCCTCCTCCGCTTTTCCTGCTCGCTCTCGGTCTTCGGGTTATCACCGGAAACGGATTCGGCGGGAGCAGCAAATTGGGATTGTGATGGAACCGACGTCGTGGAGGAGGACTGCGGTGTAGCGACTGGTTCGTTCGGTAAATCGACCTTTTCGAGCGAGAACTGTGAAGCTGAAGGAGCTGGTGCAATCAGGACCGTCTTCGTTGCGGTTCCCGGAAGCTGCGCCGGGACCAATGGTGCTGGAGTCCACGCGAGACTGGCAGAAGCACTGTGCTGTACAATAGGCTCTGCAGCAGCTGCCGTTTCTGTAAGCTTCGCAGGTGCAACATTGGGGACGAACTGATCCAATGGGAACGCGATCGGCGTCTGTAGAGCGGCGTTTCGGGCGTTCAGCTGACCGAGGACATCAAGCATAGGGTTAAATTGCGATTGCTCGACGTTCAGAGTCGTGTATACGTCCTGTGAAGGCTGTGGTTGCACCGCTTGCGCGTGCGCTGGAGTATCCGCGTAAACATACTGAGGCTGTTCTTGCAATTGGTGCGGGAACAGGAAGGTCGTCTGAGGAGCTGGGGTATTCGGGGTCAGGAAATTGCGGAAATCTTGCACCGCGACGTTATCGAAAGGAATCTGGTCGGAATAGGTCCGCTGGGATTGACCGTTGAAGTCCGCTAGAAGTTGAAAATCAAAGTTGAGCGTTCATACTTTCGCCTATTCCCTCGAACTACCCCGGCGGATGTCTTTACGCACCAACACTCTGATAACCGCGCCCCGCAAGCGCTGCTGATTCGGCGTCAACATTGAAATCGGTGTTCAGCCATAAGTCAAGGTCGTTCTGTGAGAAGTCCAAGCCTGGCACTGACGGCGAGAAGTCAGGCACGTTCAACATGCGGATATAGTCGGAGTTCATGGTGGTGGTCGTTTCGCTGGAAAATTGGGAGGTTCGTTTGAATGCCGTGCTTCATCCACCGACCGACTTGGGGACGTGCGGTATCGATATGCCGTGAGTCCTGGTGACAATATGCTGATTCGTGTCGAGAAGAGTCGAGAAATGGGTGGAAAATCCCTGGTGATGTCAAGGGTTAAAATGTCGTTGTCGTCGGCTGTTGGCGGGACTTCCCGAGTTCCTGTGTGGAAAATGGGGAGATGGGGTCCATCACCGGCAGTGGCTCTGATCGATTCCCGCAGCCGTCGGTCGGAGCGTCGCCTGGTGCCTGTTTGCATGTGCGGGAGAGTGACACGACGCGCAGACAATGCATTGCTAATCCGCACATGAGCGTCGCACAAGGGAGCAGTAATCGGTGACTCACAAACTCTTGCAGCCAAGCCACTCGCCGCCAAGCCACTCACGTGAGAGCATTTGATGTTACACAAACTTTTGCCAAAATCCTTATAAAGACGCAGCGTCTGGCATCCCCTCTTTCAAAAATATCGACGATACTCATAAGGTAGGTCTCCCATACCTTCACGCACCACACAGCTAAATCCGCCTTCGATATGGCTTCGTATTCACCCAATCTCTCCCACGACAACAGGATCATATTATGCAGTTCATCGTACCTCGCTTTGTTTTCTAACAAAGCCGCACATATCACCAAGGATGATGAGACGAAGAGCCTCTACCCAACACGAAGTGGGAAGTGTTTTGAGGTCGGTTTATCTGGCCTCCGCTTCCGTTGAAGATTACGCCTCTGGGATATTCCAACCCAGTAGGAGGGGTAGTGGGTTCCGTCTGACTTGGTCTCGACGCAACACAGTTGGAATGCAGTACGAGCGTGCTTGTTCTATGAGGTCATAAAAAACCTTAGCCTTCGTCCGCTTCAGGTGCTCTTATTTTGAGCAACCGTTGGACGAACGCAAGGGTCTTTCTATGGCTTCATTGACCATCACACATATTAATCGTACGCCGCTGTTCGTTCATCGCACTTTTCTTGTACTTGTGTAAGACACCAAGTTAATAGGCGAAGCAAAAAGCGAAAGTGATGAGTCTATTTCACGACGGTCTACTGAGATCTGACCATGCTGTAACCGCCTGTATATTGGGCACTTCTCTGAACCGCTTTTTGCTTCGGGCAAATGCTTCTTTTTATCTTGCGCTGAACGTGCAGGTGCATGCCGAAATGATCTATCAATGCTTGACGGTCGGCTGTATCTGTACTATGCACTGTGCGTTTCAGAGGAGCGCGGTGTGCCTTCAAGTTCAGTCGGTCGTGATTATAGTCACGACCAAGGTGTGCATGTGGATGGTCGGCGTCTCAGATTTGAGAGACAAGAAAAGAGTGTGGCGTGTGGCAACGTTCTGTGTCGAGCGGATGGAATGCGGATGAGTAATGACGACCACGGGCGAGTTCCAGATGTCCAAATATCGCTCGGGAATGGTGGTCAATTGTGAAGCGTTGGGCGTATTGCTGGCCCATGAAATGGAAGGGCCGAGAAGGTTGTGAAGAAAACCCTCCTCGGAGTGTCTAGTCCGGCGCATTATCGCTGTGGGGTAAGATTCTCAGGGGCCTGTGCAAAAATGTAACATGGGCGTCGCTGCTCCATTTTCGCTGCAGCAAAATAACCGCTGCTGACGCGTGAACAGGTGAAGGGTATGCAAATCCATGTCGCCCGTGTGCAAAAATGTATAATGTGCGATCCAGCGAAACAAGCTCGTGAGGGGTATTCGCCGAATTCAGGTGCACAAGCCCTTCGCTCGCTACCTCTTCCCCAACGGCTATAAAAGCACGGGTGGGGTTGGCCAGCCCTCCTCATTTTCTTCATCACCCACACATCGATTCACAAGAAACAATCGTCCATATCACATCGATATACCAAACCGCAACCAAACCACAACCAAACCACAACCAAACCCACAACACCAACTCGCAAAATGTCTTCCACTGAACAAAAGCTCGGCGTGTGCGAATGCGGAGTCGGATGCGGCTGCGACGGCGCCCACGGAACCGCTTGCAAGTGCAACTCTGCCGAAGTCAAGGCCCAGGCCGCTAGCAAGAAGGCGAGCGCTCACTGCACGTGTGGATCGGAGTGCGTCTGCCCTGCTCAGAACGAGAAGTAGGTGTCCCTTTCCCCTCACTACATATACACATTTTTCTTTCTCGTCGAACTGGATTTTAACCGAACACTCCCACCCTTGTTTTCTAGGTGCAACTGCGGTGAACCCGAAAGGAAGGCTGCCCACCACTCATGCTCCTGCGGCGAGGCATGCAAGTGCCCTAAGGGTCAATGCAACTGCTAAACCATCAAAGATGCGTACATTCAAGCTCGGAGGTCATATCGGACTGAATCGGGAGCATCGGGAGCAAGCAAGCATTTACTCTAGCATGACGTTGGAGGAACAGCCTCGCAACGTCTGAAATATCCCATCATGCCGTGATTCGTGCCTATATCCTGTTCGATAGCTCTTGTTTTTTTGGGTCCCTGTATATATCCCGGTATAAGTTATGCAATCAAAATCGAAAAGAATTGCTACCGTATCGCCTCACAGCACAAAAATGTCCCTTCACAATGTCTTCTTCATTAGTACTGTATGGCTGAGACAGAGAGTTCGTCGGGTAGATACAAGGCCGTAAACGTTTTCTTTCCTGCCAGCTTTCTCCAGGGTAATATAAGGGGTTATCGATACAGTGCATAGCCTAAAGCGGTGGCCAAACTACAAATGTAGGCAGCAACACGCAACGGGCCAAGACGTCCCAACGCCGTCCATTTGATCGGGCCAAATGACCTGCACAACGAAGGTCGGGGACATATATACTGTATATACCGTGCCCGTGATACGTACGACCTGAACAGCACTGGGCATCCCATCCGAGGACTGGATATAGATAGTCGGATAGTAGTCATGAGAAGCTTCCATAATCGATCCATGTCCCGGAACAACCGGTTGCATAAAGTGGGGAGGTGTTCTTTCGTTCGGCGTGCGTGGAGGGCGAAGGTGATGTCATGAACGCGGAGCTGGCGGGGCGCAATCGATTCCCCAAGCCCGTTCACATGCATTTGAAGAAACTCCACAGCTGTGTCCCGTTCCTCTCCAAAAAAAACACACTTTCATCGACTCCATTTACGCTCCAGCAGAGACCTGATAACTTAAAGCGAACCCCTGGACCCAGGATACAGTAGGCATATCAGCATTAGATTCACATTTTGTCCCGCCGACCCGAAAATACTTCCACAATGACGACCACAAGCTTCGCACCCCACGCTCATAACGAAGCCATCATTGTGATGGGCGTCAGCGGCAGCGGCAAGTCGACCGTCGCGGAGGGTGTTGCGAAACGGTTGCGTGAGCTCAAAACGCCAGAGGGTCAGGCGCCGCTGGAGGTTGTGTGCTTGGATGGGGACGACTTTCATACCGAGGAGCATAAGAAGAAGATGGCTAGCGGGCATGTAAGTAGGAAGGACGGTGCAATGCATGGAGTGGGGCAGGGGTCAGAGGGGGGATACTGGGAGGGTCATTGCAGCGGGACGAATGGCTTGCTGGCATGGGGCATCAGCGATTCTCTGCTGAACGAATGGGTACTCTGAAAACAGGCGCTCACAGACGAGGACAGACAACCATGGTAAGAAAGCCTTCTTCTATATAGCCTCCTTATCCAAGTTTGCGACCCTGAACTCTTTCCGCCCTCTAGGCTGCAGACGCTAGTCGAAGAAGTCGACAAAGCCGCCTCCAAGCCCACGCCTGACCCCAAAATTATCCTCCTAGCCTGCTCCAGCCTCAAACGCCAATACCGCGACCTCCTCCGCCGCTGCCTCGTCGCGAACGGCGGTAAGATCGACCTACTCCGCTTCCTCTACCTCGACGCGCCCCGCGAGGAGTTGGTGCAAAGGCTGAAATCGAGACAGGGGCACTATTTCAAGGTGGATGGACTTGATAGCCAGCTGGAGACGCTGGAGAAGCCTGATCCGAAGGAGGAGACGGATGCGATATGGGTGGAGCATGTTGCGGAACACAAGGCGGAGGACGTTGTGCAGAAGTCCTTGGCCGCTTTGGGATTCCCAGCATCTGCGTAATCGGGATGGGCCAAGAGCTGATGCAGTTTTCCATAGTTTCTTACATGCGTGCCGGCGTATGACTGGGAACCTTCTTGCACAGTGAGCAGCAGTAAAGGTTTTGGGTACAGCAATGATATTTCGGGAGAAGTTCAAACGCGTACATAGGACCATTTTCTCTCACTTTGATTTACAACTACACACTTTTTCGCCTCAGATGTCGAAGCTGTACAACTCCATTGCGAAACTAAACTAAACTAAAACAGCCAATACGCCATTATGATAGCGGGCTACAGTACATCGATGGTTGGTATTGAAGGTATCAGGATTGCAGTCAAATGCAGACTGCAGGGTTGCTGTTCGGTTCACTTGATAAAGGACGAATTCCTCAAGTTTTGGCCCTAATTCAGGCGATCAATCGCACGGGAGAACACTTGGTGAGGACACACGTGCGGCGCGATGCAAATGCTCAGAAACGGCGTTGGTATGAGTAGTCTGATCTGCCTGTCAAAGTATGAGTAAGGATGACAGGCAAGGAAACGATAATCGGTGTGCCAAACCATTGTGTCTTATTCTCCTACCCTCATGCTTCTCAAAGCGCCTCAAATCCCGGTCTGCATGTTTGTGCTTGACGGGCTTGTCTGGCTTGTCGAACTTGTCGGGGTACACGTCCATTTCGCCGGCCTCGAAATATTCTTCCTCATCAAGATATTCCTCATCGAGCAACTCCTCGTCCTCGTCCTCGTCTTCGCCCTCGGCCTCGTCTTCGTCGTCGCCGTCGATTTTGAAACTTTCGAGGTTTTGGGTGAACTTGAAAACGACTTTTTGGTCCTCAATGGGTTGGTATTTGACGGGCTCATTTTGATCAGTGTTGTCCGTAGCCGGGGGAGGGGTATCGTCACGGTCCAAGACGAGGATGGGTTCCGAACCTTGTTTTTGAGTGCCGTTATTCTCAGGGTCGTTTTTGCCTTCGTTGAGCTCCTCCTCCTCAACATCTCCATTCCCGTCCTTTTCAGTCCCCGCCTCATCCCCAATGCTCTTCATATCGCCATCGCCGTCAGCAGTATGCAACATACGGTGAGTACCAGCGGCCTCAACGTTGCATTGCGCGACGGCGTCATCAGCAGCGCACCTTTCTTCCTCATCCTGCGCTTTCTTGTACGAGCTCATCACTTCCTTCAGGAGCGCATCGCACTCGTCCATGCACGCTTCGTACCGCTTGATGCGCTTGTGGGTTTCTTCCTCGACTTGTTCGAGTTTGCGCTTGTGAGATATTTGCGCTTGGGTCAGTTCATCTTTAAGCTTTTCGTTCGCGGTGCGGAGATCGTCGAGCTCGCTGGACTGCACGGCGAAGCGGTCTTTGAGCTTCTTAAACTCGGACGAGGTGTGTGTGAGTTGGTTGCGCGTGGACTTGAGGAGGGTTGATTGGGACTGGAATTGCGAGAGGAAGTTTGAAACGTTTTCCTTCACACGAGAGACTGAAGTGCTAAGCATTTTGAGGCGAGCCTAGACGAATTTATTATAGCGATATGAGAAACGGGTGAATGACATGTTTCACAGGGCGGCTCTTATCGTCATCTGTACCTCTTCGGCATCACCGCCGAAATCCGACAGCGCTGGGATCTTTTGGCTACTTGGGGTTTTCTCGAGTAGCAGCGGTTCGAGTTGCATATCTGCGCTTAGCGATATTCAATGGAGCAGTTGCGTGGATAGAGCTCCGTTTCTAGAAAAGAGAGAAAGACAGAGAGTTGCCAAAAATATGTCACGGTGGGTTCCCAGGAGGGAAGTTCGGAAAGTGGGGGGGGAGGCCCACCAGAGAAGGGATGTCGGAAACGGCGTGGAGAGGAGTGTGACGCATCGGAAGTGGAGACATGATGTAAAATGACAAAGAATTAAGGAAAAGGCTTTCTCTCCATGCTATAGTCGTCCCCCATCTCATGTCACTCAACAAATTCAGTCCATTGACAGCAGAAAACTGTCATTGAATCCGCCTGTCAAAATCTCTCCGCGGGAGCCACCTGAATCCAAGAAACCCGACATGATTGGCTGAGGTGGCAACATAAACTTTGTTTCGGATGATGGTGATAAGGGGATATGACCATTGCTATGGGAAAGGGAACCCGGTGCGTCGGGACGCGGCTCAGCGCGCATCCGGGACCGAACGACTTGACCAACTCGATCCAGTGATGATTCAAGTGTCTGATCCGGTTGTCTGGACGGTGGAACTGTGAATAGTTGTATATCAACCAGGGGCCACGAGCCCCATCATGAACCAGTGGCCTGCGTAATAACGCGGCGCATCCATCCAATAAAGCAAACCAAACGCGTTGCGAGTTGCGGCAAAGGAGCCGCACACGGGAGAGACGAAGCGAGCCACTCTCGTCACAGGACAGCAGGTCGCTTTCTTTGCTCGGGAGGACCCCCCCCCCCCCCCCCCCCCCCAGAACCCATCGCTTGCCAGCGCCGCCCAAGAACCCATAACCTTAGGTCCCGCGCAGAGAATTTGGGGTTTTGTTTCCTGCAACTCTTCCTAATCCCGAACGGAAATTTGAGCTGGTCTCGCTTGTCCAAAACGGTGCTTCTTCTTTCATTCACAAGTACGGCGGGCCCGTAGGCAAAAGCATCGGTTCGCTGCCCACTCTCAATTCGGTGACAATCTCACGACACCATTGGAACCAACAAACACAGCAACTTTCAACCATCAGTTAGTGGAGGGGTGCGCTTTCACGATACGGAACAGCAGGAGTTAGAATTGACGAGCGTGCAGAAGGAAAGCCTCACATGCGCTAACGTGGGATAAGGGTGGAAGGCATGGTTCAAGTACGAGGGATACCGAGGCGGCCGCCGCTACGGTGGCCGCTTGTAGTTCTCCTTGCGCTGCTTCTGCTATCGGCGGTGCTTCCGACCGCTGTCTTTGCGAAGAAGTCCGCAAAGTCACCGGCAGCTTTGGACAAGTCTTTACCTGCGAGTTCTGCGCCGACAACATCCTTGGCAGAACAGCTGCCCACCTCAACTTTTAGTCGCAACAAAAAATCCCGCGATCCTATCTCTTCGACTCTCGAGCCGAGCGAGGACCCCAAAACAGATGTGAAAACGATTTCGAAAGCGTCGAAGGAACCCACGAAGACATCTACAGCTGTTCTCACTTCTTTGCCAAGCAAAGACGTCTCGACTACTACTTCCGACACTTCGCCAACATCAACTGTACAGCCTGATACCAGTGCCTCGACATCTGAAGCACCCGTTCGCACTAAGAGTAAGAAGAGCAGGAGCATCCTTTCGACGACAACCTCAGAACAGTCCTCTGTGGCCACCAGCACAACGGAATCAGTTCGTCCCCAAAGCTCCGTCGCGGAACCTTCAAGTATCACCTCGGAGGTAATATCTGCTTCAACAATAACCGAAAAAGAAACAGTCCGTGCGACGGAGAAGAGTACCGTCGTCGAGAGCCTTTCCACGAGCCTCCCATCAACTGAGCCGCAACCGACAAAGGCGACCGAGGGTGTACCGTCAGATGTGACCCCTACATCACTGGCCTCCTCCACAGAAACCCCCTCTGCGTCATCAAGCTCACCCTCGGATGTGACGCCTACGTCTCTGGCGTCCTCAGCAGAAACCCCTTCTGCGTCATCTAGCTCACCAACGGATGTGACGCGAGAGCCGACGACTAGCACTAGCGTTGTAGAGACCATCTCGACTCTGCCGTCTGTCTCTGAACCTGTGAAGAGCACTCAGGGGATCTCCGATGTGCCCGGTACAACAACGGCAGCTCCGGAGGCCACAGAATCGAGTTCCGTTACGCCAGCCACCAGACCATCCACGGTGGTCAACCGAAGGAAGAAAAGGCCCGTTACACGCCGCCCTGAGACTTTGAGCACATTCGCTGAGCCCGAGGAAACGTCCGGCTTGACGGTGGCCACTGACGCAACGGAGATCACATCCGTCATCCCGGCTCCGACTGAAACCCCTGAGCAGCCTAGCCAATCCAATGAGCGGCAGACGCCAACGGAAACAACTCCTTCTCCTCCGTTGGAAAGCCCACAGCGGTCACAGGAAGAGCCGACACTGACACCGACACCGGACCCAACCCTGCCCCCAAACCCACCACTTCCGAGCATCACGGATCAGCCTCCCGCTCCATCTCCGGTACCACCGGCACAAACTCCCGTCCCCGTTCCGCCGAGTGAGCCACCAACTTCCGACGCACCTGCGCCAGGACCGGCACCAAAACCAACGAAGGTGCCGCCACAAATTCCATCCGAAGATCCGCCGAAGCCATCAGCGGACAGGTATGTATCTAGGTCATCATACCTCGCTTGCAGCCCTCATTTGCTCATCAATTTTACTCCCCGCGTTGTTGCTTTAACAGTCCGAAGCCAACTCAAGCCCAGCAGATTGTTTTACCAACGCCCTCGTCACGACCCAGTCCAATCAAAGCGTTGAACATTGAGACTGCGCCCATCATTCTCACACCTGCTAAGGACAACACTGCACCTTCAGCCGCCGTGATAGTCGGAGCCGCAGGGCCGTTTCCGGCCAGCGTCCCCACTACTCCGTTGCCTGGCCAAAACGATGCCGCGTCGGGTGCTCCCAATGGCGCTTCTGGTCCGACACCTCCTCTGGGCGCACAACCAGCCACAAACTCCCTGGACCAGGAGGCAGGAAAGCCTTCCACAGCTGTGATTGCTGGCGCCTCCGTTGCCGGCATCATGGTCGTTGTTGTCGCCGGGCTCGCCGTTGGTTATCGCATGCGTCCCAAGCCAAGCGGACCCGCCTTGGAGAGCGGTTTTGCAAGCCCACATGGTTTCGACGGTAAGCCGCCTTCCAGCGCCGGCGGCTCTATCCCTCGCGGCGCCGGCCCCGGTGTATTTGCTGGTTCGAACCACAGCCAAGAGCATATTGCGACGATACCGAGCAACTTCGATGTTGAGTGGAGCTTGAACGCGCTGTCCACGGGCTCGACGTTCAACCCGAAGTATCCCTCACCGCAGCGCAACGTGCAAGGTGAATTCGCCGACGAAGCGTTCCTCGGTGTGCCCACGCTTGCGCCGTACAGACCAACGCCCGGCGTACATAACACAGCGGCGGCCGCGAGCATTGGAATGCCGGCCCTCGCTGTAGCCCCCATTTCGCCAGTATGGAGCAGTGGGGCGTCCGAAGCCCCCGCGACATCGGAGCCGGTGTCCCTGGCGCGTTCACGCCAGTCCGCCGTGACAGTCGTCGACACTGAAAACGCCAACGAGTTCTTCACCGGGCACCACCACGCCATGCCCGAATACGACCCAGCGTTTCTGAACGCCGGCGCGCCCGCCTCAGCCGTCGGAGCCGGCTCAGGGATGCTGCTCAGCAAATCCCTCGATTCCGACCGCCACTTCGACTCCGGCAGCGAGATGAGCACCATCGACCGGCCCCAGATCATTACAACCCCTTACGCACTCGCCTCCCGCAATCCCTACACCTACGAGAACGACAGGTATCCCCGCGACTCGCAGAGCACCAACGGCGACTGGACGAACTCCACCTACTCCAACGACAACGACTCGGGCTACGACCCTGACACCGCCGACACGCAGGTCGGCACGCCCGTGACCTCCAGCGAGCGCCCGCATAGCCGCGTGCCGTACGCGTTCTCAGGCGCGCAAAGGACAAATGTCGTTGACATGCTCGGTGACAGCTCGAGTGAAGAATTTGACATCGACGACCAAGGACTCGCACCATCGTCGATGGACATGGCCGAAGAAGTCAAAAACGCGTACAAGAAGGTGTTCAGGCTGACCTACCAGTCCGCAGGCAGTTTCGAGAGCGACGGCGCGCCCGTCCTGGCGCCCCTGGATGGCATGGTCTAAATAACGGCGTAGTAGGGACACTTGAGACTTGTACATATTCGGCGTCTCTCTTCCCTTTCACTCCGACATGGACTGGTCTTCTATGAGATTAGGACAGTTTAGGTAGGGCTGTTCTACGTAGCTTTTAATTGTGTGCGTTTGGATGGGGGCACCTGTATCATTTTCTTTTCGCTTTGTGCGCCCTGCATTGACCCCGGACTTTTCTATTCACTGTCACGTATTGTATACTTTTTCCCCTTTCCTTCTATGCGAATTCATGGACTTTTCATTTCACTTTCAATCCTGATCATATTGTAATCTTTTCCATGAGCGATTCCGAGCGACTTCGGAGCCTCAAAAACAACTGGTTGTGCTCGATTCAGATGGGTTGGAACAGTTGTGTGCCAGAATTCAGGTGTCCGGAACTGGACTTCCTCTACGCCCAGACATTGGACGATGCGAGTTCCCCACGACACTTCCCAATTCGAACCCCAGCAACGATCTGCCCTCTCGACGTCCGGGAGGCCTTCCACAACGAAACACACCCGCAAATCGTCCCGACCAAGCATCACAAGATTGTTTTTGCAAGGTATTTTGTTGCTTTATATTATCGGCGACAAGGATTTGTGGTTTATAGGCCAGAAAAATCGAGGAAACTCTAGTGGTGCTCGGCGTGAGCGCGCTCTAAGAGTCCAGGGAAAACTCCCTCTTCCCTCTGCTCGTCCCACTTCTCAACCTGAGCGTAAGGGAAGAAGAGAGAAGTGATTGAGTATGATGATAAATCCGAACTGGAGTAATAGCCGTCCTTTGAGATGAAGAGAGTCTCCCTCTACCTCCAGTGCCAACTCCTAGTCTCCTCCGTCACCAGCGTGCGTAAAACACCCGTACTCGAACTCGGCCCCAGCATATTCCCACGACCGTTCCACCGGACCGTCCCACTATGGACAACAGCGTAAAGAAGAGAGACATAAGACTCACCCATTTCTCCGGGCACAAACTCCTGTACGCGCGCCTAAACTGATGGCAGGGCTGGTAGTCTTCACCCTTCGCCGCCGTGCACTTGAAGTAGTCGACATAATTTTGCCAGCAATTCTTGGTCTACCGATACAAGTTTGCGGAAGCCAATGGTTAGAACATGCTAGCCAGGGAGTCTGGTACACACGCAGGCGGGTTTGAGCGGTCCTCTCGCCAACACTCTCCCATCAGTTAGCTGCCCTCTCCAGCCTTGCCCAAGCTCGTCCCATAAACCCGGATCTCCTCCACATCAACACTCGTCTCGACTCTAACCTGGTTGGTGTTGGGGAACCGGGCATCGAAGCCAGCGGTCTTCAATTCGATTTTCGTCTCTGCTTCCTCAGACATTGTGCGGGACGGTATGGAGGTTGGGCGATGATTTGGCAAAGTGTCGAGCAACGCCGAAGTGGCAACTGCTGTCGGGCTTCGGTAGAATCCGGCGAACGTCATGCACGTGATCGTATTTTAAATACGCTAGCTCCAACGCGTTAGTCGCGCGTTCAACCTGGCAATTCGCAAACAGGTTTGGAAAAGATCGGTCCCATACTCCCCAGAGAAAAGCACACAATTCATCACAGATCAATGTTGCGAGACATGAGCGACGAAGGTAAGTCTTAATAGAGGTGGATGAACTCTAGGCGATGCGCACGCCACTAATTCCCACGTTGCAGATGTACCTCCACTGGAAGATATGACCGAGGAAGTCGCTCGGATGGAGAAGGTGCGACAACGATCAGCAGTACCCGAGCGAAGCGATCCTACGGCAAACGAGGAATTCTTGATCGAGGTTGCCAAGCCGGAGGTCGAGCACCTCGCATCACAGGTTAAACCAAAAACACAACAATCGAAAACACAACCGACCAAGACTGATGTATGTTTGCGATGATAAAGACATCAATAATATCATGTGGGGAATTGACATCATCGACCATATAGAAATCGTTCGGGGGGTTGAAGAAGGGATTCTTCTCCTCTTCACCACGGTCTGGAGCAAGCAGAGCGGCGGACCCTCCGCGACCGAATATTCCAGTCATCAAACCTAAGGCGCCTGCAGCAGATGGGTTGCGATTTGACGAGGTTCAGCAGGCGATGCGGAGTCAGATGTCTATGTTGGACAAGCAAGGTACGCTCTGAATGTAAAGGAACACTTTACCAGTTAGGATGTACTAATATGCAACTTGGTACAGAGTGGCTTACACCAGCGTTTCTTGAACGCATTGAGAAGTCGCCTCATCTCGCCCGCGCGTTAGCCGACCCGGCCTTCCAACAGGCTGCTGCGGAGATGTCAAAAAATCCTCAAGCAGCTTTCAAGAAATATGCAGTCCAACGGCCAGATCTGTTGCAGGCTTTGAGGGAGTTTGCAGGAATGTTGGGCGAGTCTTTGACGAGTATCGCTGAGACACAGGATGCGAGGCAGTAATGGAAAGGAGATCTCGGCATACAGCGGGTAATCTGTAGATAGTCAGAAGCGAGGTCGTTATTGAAGTAATGTAGGGGCTCCTTCCGGTTCTGGAGTAGGAATGAAGATGCATCAAGGCAGACATCGAGCTATTGCAGAGTGAAGAGTGGTTGGACCTCGAGACCGAAGCAATGCCAGGACACGGCGTTGAGCTGCTGAAATTAGGGGAGGCCTGACGCTGGGCCTGACGCGTTTGCCCAAATGACCGCGTCCAGGCCCCAGGGCTCCAACTTGGAAATTCATCATTTCCTGCTGGAGAACGACGTTGTCCGATTTCCGTCTTCCCAGGCTCATCCCCCTGCGCCGTATTATGCCTGAAAGCAAACAAAGAACATACCCGGCCTTCCCGCCACCGACGGAGCCAACGTCGCCAACGTGCGTCGTCAAGCGACTCTATTTATGCCGTCACGGACAAACAGAAGCGAATTCTAGCGGGATACTGCAGGGCTCCGGAATCAACCAGCCGCTGAACGACGAGGTATGCATTCCTCCCGTTTGAGACTTTTCTTCTCTCCGGTCCCGTCGCTAATGTATGTCGCAGGGTGAGCGCCAAGCAGAGCGTCTCCGGGAACGACTAGCGCCAGTCAAATGTGATCTTGTCGTTAGTTCAAAGTTGAAGGTATGTATCGCGACGTGCATCTTTGGGGACAGGAGGCTGTATACTAATTAGCGGAATCCGACAGAGGGCACAGCAAACCGCAGAGGCAGTGCTTAAGGAGCATAAGAACGTTCCATTCGAGGAGGTCGAGGAGCTGGCAGAGATATCCTGGGGCGACTGGGAAGGCGTGGTGAACCCAGGGATCACACAAATCCTCAAGGATTGGGAGCAAGGAGACTTCACGGCCAAAGTACCAAACGGCGAGAGTCCGCTGGAGGTCGAAGAGCGAGCTGTCCCAGCGATCTACAAGTTGGTCGACAGGCCGGAAAAGGACATCATTGTAGTCAGTGAGTTGCCTTGCTCGTGCAAACATTATCGTATCTGTACTGATCCTTACTCCCACCAGTACATGGTCGCCTACTTCGCATCATCATGTCGTCGATCTTCTACCAGTCCCTTGCCCACATGAGCACATTCGTCCACCACAACACCTGCATCAACATCGTAGATGTCCTTATAGAAACCGACCCATCGAAATGCCCCGACATCTCCGCTTCCGATCAACGAAGGGCATCTCTTGCACGATTGTCATCGCGGTCGTTTTCGGAAAACAAAGTCCTGGACGACAATGTAACAATCACAGAAGAGGAGACCAAGAACGTTTGTACGCCAAATGGGAACATCGACCATAGCGGAGGCTTAGCGTTGCACACAGGGATAGCACATCCGAAGAACATCACGTTTATACCAGTGCTGTTAGATAGCATTGACCACCTTGCATAGACAAAATAAAAGGAGACTCCTCAAGAAGGTAGATTCACGACATGGTACCTGCTAGAGTAATGTACTTCCTCGGTTTTTAGATGGGGAACTGTTGATTGCGCGCCCAGCAAAGCCCACAGATCAGCGGTAAGGTTCTGAGGCGCCTTCATACTTCTGTCCCGGACGATGTTGCATTATTCGGCACAGGATAGATGGGCACTCAGTTCCCATACAACCTCCTCTCGACGACTCACAAGGAAGTCGCATAGGGCTCGATGCACTCGACTAAGAGTGTTATCTACAAATTTCTGTGGTCTAGTATGCGCTTTCTAGAAGTGATGTCTATATCCAACCAAAAACAAATGGGATCGCAACCGAGCAAAAAGTGCCATGTTTATCTCCGTCGGCTGTAAAACAGCACATATGCACTGGAACGCATCGCAGTGCTCGGCCCGTCGGGACAAAGCGAAACGCTCGAATCGTTCTTGGAGTACCAGCGGCCATCGTCAATGTTCTTGACGTTTGCGGTATAATGTCCGCCGCCTGGAACTCCAAAGTGGTTTATAATCCCGAAGAGGTCATATACAGCGTTGGTGTCGTGACCTGCGATGTGCAAGGAAGATACGGTTGTCATGTTGAGTACACGGTAGGAAGTAGCCAACAAGGGGAGGTTGATGCACCAATCTCACCTTCCACGTCGCTCAGAAGGCCTCCTAGCCGTAGATTCTCTAGAGGGAATTCGACATTGGCTTCTATTTTCTCCTGCGTATCGTATGATATGTACTTGAAACGTTTCAGGTCTGCAGAACATCCGAGCAAAGAGTTAAAACCCCGCATGCCGCCTCGACCAAAATATGCCGCTCAACACCCCTAAACTTACGGAGCACCAGAATTTCTGGACATCGGTAAACTTTCAGAGTTTTGCTGGCAACCCTGCGTGCCTTACAGTTGGCGCAACTGTAAAGGTCCTCCAGAATCTCATCCGCGCCGAAGTCCGACAGGCAGTCTTGCAGGGTAGCAGATGATCCCTGTAATGCGGATTGTGAGACCGATATGTATTCGCCCATCATCGCGCGGAGCAACACGAACCTTTGGGATGGGGAGGGACAAGTCCCAGAAGGTGTCATATGTGACCGATCGGTGTCCGCAAGTGTGACATTCGACGCAGCTTTCAAGCTGGCCACCGAACAGATCAAAGATTGTGCTGTCATTTACAGCGTGATACTTGTTCCAAGCAAACCGGGCCTTCTCGGAGTCACTATGAACCATATCAGGTTATTCGGTCAATCAAGGAGATGGCTGGCGAAACAGGCCCGAGTGTTTTCTACCTGAGGCGTTCGGCATCATCATGACTGTAGTTCAGTCGGGGACGTCGCTTAACACGATTTAGATTTTCATGCAACCCGTCCAGGAGACACCGCAAGAGCTCTGGAATGCAGGTAAGGTCAGCGTGTCTGGACCGATCGCTTGGGCTGGCTTTTGCATGGCATGTCACCTCCTACCTTGAGCATCTTGTTGGCTGAATATCGTGATAAAAGGATTAGTACCTGTTCTTCAAACATAAACATTGGCATGTTACTACTCACTCATATTCGGCGAACTGCTCGTTGCGACGTGCCACCTGTCGCTTCACCGCTACGGGGTCCAGAATCCTTCTGTCCGAGGTTGTCATTGCTGCCTTAACTAGGTCGGCGAACGCTGCAAATCGTAACGTTGTCAGCTACACTCGTCCGACTCATGTCCGATGCTAAAAGGGATCATTCGGGAACTCACCTTCGGCTAGCCCGTTGTCTTGGGAGTTGGTTATGGACGCGGTGTACGTTGGGGAGAGGACATACCCCATCAGAAGCTCGGCCGAGAGCAGACACTGCAAGGCTGCGTTCATGTAACACTAGGACCTGCCGTTAGATTTCACTCATGGGGAATCGTGATGTTCTAGAGAAGCACACTTACGGTGTTTCCTAAATTTTTTAAACCAACTCGTCCCCTCGCCGGGGTCTCGCGCTTCAAAGCATACTAATAACCAGAGAGTCAGCAAGCACGCCCTCTCGGTCGATGTTTGGGCGCCTAAGGCACGATCTTACCTGTGCTGTGCACCCCCGCTTCTTTTTGATTGTTGTAAGTTTGCGTATGTCAAGTTCTGAAAAAGATCTCAGGGATCTCTGGGAAGCTGAAACGGTGCTTAACGTCGATTGCTGGGAGCCGAAGATAGAAGACTTCCGCCTCAAGCTAGGTGCTTTCGGTTTCTGAACTTCGACCGGCGGGGTTTTCGAGAATAATCGCGGCAGGTTCAATTCAAGCGACTTGCGGGACCCAGACGGTCTCTTCACCGGCGGATTTTGCTCTGAATCGCTCGACCGTCGGTTTATGCGGTCCAATATATTTTGTCTGATTGTGGCAACCCCACTCGCGCGCCGGGTCGAATTCCCTGGTCCTGAGGCGACATATGACGGCTTCGTCGGTTTTGTTGGCGCAGGCACTGGCGAAGAGCTGTTGTTGAGGGTTCCAGTGCTCCTGTAGACACTTTCCAACTCGCGCAACCTCCGGTTGGTGGTCTTGGGCGGTTCTCCCGGCCCCTCCTTCTTCTTCTTTGTAACGACTGTGGTGGTGTTATTCCGCGGCGTCGGTCGAGCAGTTCTGACGGTCCGAATCCGCTCGCTCGCCGGCGACTCCCCCAGAACCCGATACCGACCCTGTGCGGGGTTGACTGGTGGTGCTGACGGAACACTTGACGCGGACGCACGGGTAGGATGTAGGATCATCTTGATGATCGCCTTCAATCGCGCGAACATCAGAGAAGTGTTGGTCGTTGACGGGTGAGGTTCTTGCACAATGCCATTTGACAGTTCGGAGCTGCGCGCCCGCGATTACGAAACAACAATGCACCTCAAGTTTTCAGGGTGCTGCCAAAGGACACAAAGGGAAATGTTGTAGAGAAGTTTGAGATGCACAGCAATGTAGGGAACCTTTGTCGACCTGATCGTTACTCGAGGTGTTCGCTGAGATTTGAGTACAAAAATGCATAGGCTTGTCCCGGACTCTCTTTCTCTCTTTCGTGGCACATAGCTGCGAGAAACTTTCTAAATTCTAAATCTAAGTTAAGCTTCGTGGAAATTACGAAAGCGCCGGAATGATTTGTGAACATGGATAACGGTGTGAAGGCCGATTGTTGAAGAAGTCGCAGAGGGCAAACCCAACAAGAACCTACTATAGATGTTTTTTTCTCCAATATGTATTGCTACCCAAACAGTTGAGCCATCAGTGACTCTACAAATACTACTGCTGCCATCATGCTTGCAACCCATCCTCTCTTTCGACTGTTCTGTTGAAATTTGTGCGATAAACGCAGGCTGCACAGAATGATTTCGCTACTGATGTGCTTCGCCGCATGAATGTTGATCTAACGGCGTTCGGTTTCGTTCTGGCTCAAAGTTGCTCCAAAAAATGCACGAAATCAACAATTGCGATGATAGGACACGGTAAGGCGTAATGGTCGAGGTAGCAGGAGATGCAGATCGATTCCGAGAATAAAGACCCGTCTAGAAACCGTGAATCTTGATTTTGTCCTAAGCGTGGAAAAAATGTAACGGGGTGAGATTTCTGTGGACGAAGTTGTGAACAGATGGATGTTTACTTTGCTCGAAACTCACCTTCGAGACGATTTCCTGAGCGGCGAGGAATTGCTGGATTTTGAGACGGTGGTCACCTTGCAATTGGATAACTTCGCCTAAGTCTTCATCCTGCACGACTGTGCCGTTGCATGCGAACTCTTTCTTGAAAGCCTTGAGGACACGTTTCTGGTCGAGATCGGCGGGGAGCCCCTGCACCGTAGTCAGCGTTTTGCGACCGTTACGTTGTTGAACACGGATGTCTATAGAGAGTAACGTTGAAACATGAGCAACAGTCGTTGACATCCTTTTCAAAAAATTCAAGATTCGAGGTAGTAAAGCACACGATATGCACTTCTACTCAAGCAATTCCATGCTCTCAGAATCAAAAAACTTACGTATATATCCTGCTACTTTCAGATCAGCTTCCTCGCCCGTGTCTAGTGATTCGAAAGTGGATTGAAAGGAGCGGTCAGCGGAAGTTCAACCAAACTGAGACGTATTCTCGGGCCAAACAACAGGTGCGAGGACTTGGCAAGAACCGACGATGGGCCGCTAAGCTCCGGGAAAACCCCAATGCTGACGCAACTTCGCTCTGCCATGCCAGCTGGGTTGGGACGGAGTTGGTTCCACTCACCGGCGAACGGGTCATAGGACTTAAGATTGGCGATATCGGACATAAACCTGGTTTTTCCTTCCGTGCTAAGTACTGCGAGGTTGTGTTTCGGGGTGTGCGAAGTGCTGTTGCGGTGTGATTCGCCGCGGGTTGCAGAGGGAAAGTGCTTATTGGACTGAGCGAGTGAAGTCGGAGAAGGTGGGGAAAGAAGAGCCAGTCGTTGTTTGTTTCCCGCACTGGGATCGTTCAGCTCTCCCAGAATGCAGTGATTTGAACTGATTTCTAACATGCGTTATTGCCGGTCTGCATTATTCAAGCCACGTGACATACAGAATAAAACTCACGGCGCCGTCATATTCGTCGCACGCGTTATAGAGTCGCTTGGCCTTCCCTATGGACATTGGACGCATACATATTACCGGCTGAACATCGACATTGGACACTAGCAGCTCCCACCACAAGACGTTACAAAAGGGTATCAGGGCCTCTGGAGCCAGAGTGAAAGTCTTCAGTTGCACTTGGTGTCGAAACCGCAGTGGCCTCCCTGAAGTCCTCCCTTTGAATTCCGACAACTTTAGAGGGACTTCTAACGAACGCCGCGAAAGGGTCTCAAATTCCCGAGTAAAACGCTCTCTGGGCGGAGCACACCACAACTAAAGAACCTTTGGCTCCAGTGACCTGCCTCTCGGTGCAATGCTGGAAAGAGTCATGTCCGTGCCTGAGGAAATCTCCACTCGCAACTTTCCTGCCAACTCGTTTCACCCGACCACGACGATGTCCGGTGCCCAGCCCTTGCAGTCCGCTCTTCCACCGACACCTTCCGCTTTAGGGTTGGTGGACTTGGCAGAAGTTATAGCAAACGGCGCTCGTCTAGACTCACGTGCAAAGAACGAGGTAGTCTCGCCAGAAAACTTAGGAGGAATCACACATACCTATGAGACTGACATCAGGCCGCCTGAGCTTTCCTCCGGAGACATACTCTCTGGAACTTCGCAATTTCAACCGACGGAAGCTGCCTTGTATGCAGCAGCATTCGTCAGCTCCTATCCCGCGAACCACATGCCAGCTGGAGAGCAAACATACCTACCACCGGACGCCGAGCAAATTCTCGAGTTGAGAGACGGGATAGGGAAGTTCCAGGAGCACCCAGAACACGGTCATTTGATCACTGATTCGTCGTCGACAGTGACGGAGCAAGTCGATGATTTACCACGATTGGAAGATAATAGTGGGGATGATGATGGCATCAAACCAACACCCGAAGAGCAAAGGTTGATCGAGGCTGCGATTGCGGCGGCAAAGAGTTCCGGCGTTCCTAGGAAGGACATGAAGTTCATGTGCGAGACCTGTTCCCGGATCTTCACACGGCTGTATAATCTGAAGTCGCATATCCGCTCGCATCAAGGACTGCGACCGTTCAATTGTAAGACCTGCGATGCGTCTTTTACAAGGAATCATGATCTGAACAGGTACGTCCCACCTGGCATGCGAGGCCTGGTTATGGTCGAAGTGCAGAATCTAACAGTGTTTCCAATTGCTTGCGTCCGCGAGTAGACACCAGCGAACTCACGTCAACGAAAAGCCCTACACATGTCCCAACTGCAACAAGAACTTCTCTCGGAAGGTAGGTCACGACTACCCGCCGCTGCCATCAATGGGACACCTCACACATACCTTTATTCTCTAGGACGCACTACGGCGGCATCAACGGCAAGATGCAACCGGCAAAAAGAACGTTTGTATTCCTCAATTACAGTCAGCAATATCCGAGCAATCCTCCGTTCCGACTGCTTCAATACCGGAGCTCATCCCTGAACCTGAGCACATCCCACAACCAGACCTGAATTCACAATCCGAGCTCATCGAACAACCCGACATTCAGCCAATCACATCTATCGCCAGGCCCCATGGTGATCTTGAATCATCTTCCCCACTTTTGGTCACCTCACGCTCTGCATTGCCCGCTTATGGCACCTGGACAGCCTCTCCGCCGTCCCAACCTCCTCTGTTAATTCAACCCCGCGACGGCTTCTAGTTTCCTGCCTTTGTTGTTGATACCCCCTGTGCTTCTCAGCACATTCGCATCTCCCATTTTTCAATATCTTGTATATAGTAGACTTCGGTTCGAAAATGTCGTCGGCGTCGCAAAAAAGGATGTGCGGATCGATAAAGAGGTTGATGTGGGAGAAGCTGGTTCTGGAAGTGCCTGCTGGCGGAGTTGCACCGAGAATCTTGTCCCCCTTCGTGGGGAACTAGCATCCCTCGCTCGACAAACCGTGGTCATGCACATCGGTCAATCCACGAGCACATTTCATCTTCTCCAGTTACCCCATCTTTGCGAACCCCAAAGGCATTCTCAAGCAATAATCTTAAGTACAATAACCGCCTCTGCATTCAGTGAAGAGGCCATGGAAGGCCATGCACTCCGCTCGCATCCCTTCAGATTCACGGCCCAAGCTGCAACTAATGCCCCTCCTCCATATTCAGTACGGCCTTGCTAACCCCGCACATCCCCATCCTTCCATTGACTATCTACAAACGTCGCCGTCTCCCTAGCACTACGTACATCGAACTAGCAAACGACAACTCAAAATCAGCATCTTAGGATCCACCCCAAATCCGACAAACCATCTCAATCAACGCACCTTACGCCTATCGCGTGACCAAGTCCCGCCCCTCGCCATCCTACGGATTCAACGCGCACAGCAAAGTGATGTTATCTCCTTTTAGCAGTATCCTCCCTAGCTGCTTCCGCGTGTTCTTCTTTGTGGACACCTCCTCTGCGTCGTCAAGCACCAAACTCATGAACTCGTCGAATCCCTATACGACACGGATGCGAAAGCCATTTGTTAGCAAACGGACAACCTCAGTGTAAGAAATTCCAGGTTCTACGGTGCGACGCTCTTACAATGATTTGCCCTTCGATCCTGATATCCGTTTGTTCGTAAAGCCAGATTTGAACCCGTGATTTCTATATCGTGCAAATTCAGGCTTGGTTAAACGTGGATCCTCGAATCTCGTAAGCAGCAGGCCGGGGAATGTCCACCAGCGCCTGTTCCCCTCTTCCGCGAAAAGCAGCGTGGAGTTTCTTCTCCCACACAAACCTGTTGCAATAACCGGAAAATGAGGTTGATCGGCGCAACCATAATCTTCTGTACTTTAGTCGCCATGGGGGGCAGATATTGCGTTCAGCAGTCGATCACAGGTGAGGAAATGGTATGACAGGAGGCGAGACCCGATGCTATGGACGTCGAGGACGAGGGAGAGTGAAGCTTGGGGTTTGATAGTGGCACGGCTGGTGATGGCAGCTCGGGGCAGTTGTCCTAATATCAGGGAAACTGGACTCTCGACAACTTCAGCTGGCATCAGAGCTAGCAGAGCTGGCATGGGTATTTAATTTCGAACGTTCACGTGAGTTTCGCGTTAATATTTAAAACCGAGTGCGAACCGAGTCGATCTACGTAGAGCTATAGCTGTAGATGTCTGCCGGTGTGTGGGAGTAGATGACAGCCTAGTTAGCTGGGCGCATGGCTTATAAACTTGGTGCAAACTCAATGCTGCAGCGGACGTAGCAATGTACATACATATGATTGCCGTGTAAACGTCGAAGTTCGTAGCTTGAAAACCTCTCGGATCAGGATTTCATCCGTGGCCAGGACCTTGCTCAATGGGTCCGCGCTCCTCGCGCAACAGAGGCGACGCACTTATTCGACATGTTTCCAATCAATAAATCGCCTAACGTCTTCTCACCCATCCTCCCGAGTCCCGGCATTCTGGCGGATGTTCGCCAACGGAACCGCCTGTATTCCACTTTCGTCTTCCGACGCGCATGTCGACGCACGAGGCCAAGCCCCGCTTGTTTTTGACGCGACATTTTCCCTCGCTCACCTCGATTTGAAAAACAGCTCCTTCCCCGCTGCCCAAAACCTCACAGGAGCCAGCAACAGAAAGACAAAAGACGACCTAGCTCCCAATTAGCCCTGCGGAACTGGCTGCAACGATGACCTCGTATTCAGGAAAGTCTCTCGACTCCCACTGGCCTCAAACAAATGGCCCGCGATCCCGCTCCAATTCGGTCGGGGGATCTTATCCGGACACCATCGCCACTCAAACCATAATGGGCGTGTTTCAGGGCTCGGGGAGCCGCTCCCGCTCCCTATCCGCCCTTCACCAGCAGCAGAACTCCGGGAACAACTATAGCACCTCTTCGTCACCACAACATCCTTCCTCACCGCTCAGTGCAAATTCACCTCGTGGTGGGGAGCCCAGCGTTAATGCCAACTACATGAGCATCGCAGTCCCGAGCGAGACGGGGAAACCTTCCCCATGGCCTCATCCGGCATACGCAACAGTGCCCCCATGTCCGGAATTGGACGCGGGTGTATCAAGTGTTGATCAGAACAAGAGGAAGCTGCTGATAGCAACGGCGTTATGTTTCGTATTCTTTTTGATTGAGCTTGTGGCTGGATTATGGGCAGGTTAGTATATCGCTCGGCGCACTGGAGAATGGACTTGCCGTCGAAGGCGTAAGCCTCACCATTAGCTACTTCCCTTGTGTTTTAGGCTCTCTCGCCATCCTCAGCGACAGCTTCCACCTGCTGTCCGACATTGCTGGATTTGCCATCTCACTCACCGCATTATACCTATCACAGCAGCCCGCGACGAAGAGTATGTAACATGACTGTATATTCTTTGGGGTGCACAAGTGGCTGACGGTTTCCTTCTTACAGGACATTCTTACGGCTTCTATCGCGCAGAGATCATTGGAGCGATTCTATCAACATTCCTCATCTGGATCCTGACTGCATTCCTGGTATGGGAGGCCGTTGACCGCGTGCGCAACCCAGTACCTATCGACGGACCCATCATGTTTGCCACGGCGGCCGCTGGAGTGTGCATCAACATCGTTCTTGGTTTCACGTTGCACGGGAGTCATGATCATGGAGGCCATGGCCACTCGCATGGTGGACATTCGCACGGGCACTCACATAAGCATGGGAAGCATGAACATGCTCATGATGAAGAGAATGGCCATGACCACGACCATGACCATGATCACGACCACGACCACGACCATGACCATGAGGATGAGGAGACACCATTGAACGGCCACAAGGAGGCGCCGAAGAAAGCGGTACGTTTTTGCTACACTTTGGAAAGTTTCCAGTGATAGGGCATAAGGTAACATTGTTCGCACGGCATTCAGGCGATGAACATCAACGTACAATCAGCAGCTATCCACGTCATTGGTGATCTCCTCAGCTCCATCGGTGTCCTCATCGCCGCCACCATCATCTGGGTCAAGCCGGAAATGACAGTCGTTGACCCTATTTGCACATTCGTGTTCTCACTGTTCGTTCTGGCGACCACCATTCAGTTGATGTACAACAGTCTGACGGTTCTGATGGAAGGTGAGCCACTGGATGTTAGCGTCCACTGTGTGCGTCCTGTTACTTACGCGTCTCCGCTTTGTGACAGCTACACCCGAGGACATTGATCCCCACGCAGTCGCGACGGATCTCCGCAACATCGATGGAGTGGAGGACATCCATGATTTGCACATCTGGAACCTGACCCTGGGAAAAGTGAGTCATAACGTTCTCCGCGATCGGCGGTCCATTCGCTAACTCGCTACTTGCAGACATCACTCTCAGCCCACCTCCAGATCAAAACCCACTTCCCATCAACAAACCAAGAACTCACTCTCGCGCACTACCACGCCATCCTCGCCAAAGCACAGAACCTCTTATGTTTCAAATACGGCATCCACCACGCAACGGTCCAGCTAGAAGGAGTGGCATTACAGGACAGTCTGGATGTCATCGTGGAAGACTCGGAGCGGTCTTCGTCGTCGGAAGGGGGCGCGGAGGATGATGTTGTTGGGGAAGGATCCGATCGGGGGGAGGGGAAGCAGCATGCTGGATCGGGGACTGTGCCGCGGTTGCATTGTAACCCGATGATGTGTCGGACGAGCGATTAGTTTAGAAAAGCCGTGTCGGACCGAGTGCACTTGAGCTGACTCGTGGACGTATGTACGGTCTGGTTATCCCCCTTTCATCCGAGCCATTCGTGGTTTGGAAAGTAATTTATACACCATGCTGGTATTCTGAAACACGTTAGCGCTGAATTGCCCGCATCGGCACCACATCATACCACTTCACTCAAAAGACAATCAGATAATGAGCACTCATTGAATGATTCAACAGAATTTTGAAGGCCCTGCGCTTAAGAAGATGGAAGCAAGATGAAAGACCCTTATTGCAAATGGAAAAACAAAATCTTCAGCCAGCATGTGACTAGGGTATATATCCAAGAAGGATCCTGGACTGGCTACGCCGTGGTGTAACGTCGCTGGACGAGCGTTGTGGAAGGGGGAACGTCGGATCTGGACATGGAACATCAAAAGGTCGGTCCAAAGTGATGACAACGCGATTGCCTTCGGCTGCAATAAGTGTCACGTGCGCTTGGAATAAAACCTTCAGCGGCCGCTGGCCTTCCTTATATGATCTCACTTCTCTCCGACTCCGTTTCTCAGCCACTTTCATAAAACCTCCTTACGCACTCACACCCGTACCTCGAATACCTATACCTACCCGCTTTATCCCAATTCGATAACCAACAATGGACAAAATCAAGGAGGTACGCAGAGCGAGCTGTTACTACAACGTGCGATACCGCCCGCGCGAGGTCCTAGATCGCGACTAGCCGGAAATTCATCTTCGCACCGAGCGTGCCCGAAATGTATCTGTTGGGAACGCCACGAACCCTGACACTTCTTTCTCCTTGGTGCAGAAATTGGAGAAGCTCCGCATCGAGTCCGAGACACACCACGGACGGGCCGAAAAAGCCGAGAGCGAAGTGAAGGAGCTGAAGGCAGAGCTTGCGAAACGCGAAACCGAGGTGCAAAGCCTAAACAACAAAGTCACGTTGCTGCAAGAGAACCTGGATAGGACGGAAAAGCGTGTGGAGGAGGTTGGTAGTGCATCACTGCTACAATGCACATTCTGAGGCAAACGATGGAGGATGTTGATAGTGGGGTGATGTTCTCTGTAGATCAAGCTTAAGAAGTCCGAGGGTGACAGGGAGGAGTCGCAAGTGGAGGCTCTTCAGCGAAAGGTTCAGATGCTGGAACAGCAATTGGAGGACAAGGACAGGAATTGGAAGGAATCTACTGAAAAGTACGTACAGAAACCAACATCGTTCCGCACAATGAGTGAATCAAACCCCGCTAACACCGTCGAACTTCTCATCGTACATCAGGGCGCGCGGTTTGGAGCTTACCGCCGAACAAGCGGATCGCAAGGCGCAACAGCTTGAAAACGAGAAGACAACCTTAGAGAAGCGTTTGGACGAGATGACCCAGAAGTACAATGTAGTCAAGCAGGAACTCGACTCCACGCTCAAGGGATTGGAAGACCTTTAGACATGGCATCTTCCTTGAGTGGGGGCGAGGGTGAAGGGTTGCTAATGTACCGTAAAGATCTAGCTTTCTCGATACCCTAATGGAGAACTCACTTCGTTTTTGGGGAACATGCAGTACCCTTTGAACCTTGGAGCATCTCGCTTGTTCGCATGTGCCCTTTGCCTGTAGTGAACCGCTCTTTAGCGGGGCACCAATCACTCGGATGAATACCTGTAGGCTGATATCTCCATGTTTGGTGGCCTATTGCCCTTCCTTCCAATCCCGTTCCCCGTCTACGTTTGCAGTCTCGTCCTGAGAGGTTTGCGCGTGGGTTCAATGGATTGTGACGCGTCCGAAATCGAGGGAAAACGGAGAACGCATCCGGAGCATCCGGACAGCAAGTCTCACTGACAGACCGCAATCCCAGCATTTCCATTCGAACAGCCAATTCTGCTCGCAGCAGCACGGCGTCACTGTCTCAAGGTCACACTACAGTTTCACCAACCTCCCACAATGTCGATCAACTTTAACGACGGAGAGCAAATACTGTGCTTCCATGGACCTATGCTCTATGAGGCGAAGGTAAGAGGGCCGCGTGTGCTCCAGCTGCCTGGCATGCGTCCCTGTTTAACCACCACCCTCCTTTGCACGTCGGACAGGTCCTGAAAGCGGAAATATGGACAGGAAAGGCAGACCACGAGGACGGACCTTACTACTACATTCACTACAAGGGTTGGAAACAAAGGTGTTCTACCGGTCGCCTGCGAAAATGTCCCCCTTAGCAACGTGTTTGAAGAAGTACTTATTGCGCTTGCGATTGCACAGTTGGGACGAATGGGTACCAGAAGCGCGCATCCTCAAATACAATGCGGAGAATCTGGCACGACAAGCCGAACTCCACCAAACCCTAAACACGAAGAAAGCAAAAGACGCCAAAAAGTCGCAAGCAAAGGAGGAGTCGAAGGATACCAAAGGGCGGAAACGGCCACGGGAACACGATGCCGAGAAAGAAGACGATTTCCTCAAACGACCGGAAGTGAAGATCACCATACCGGACGCCTTGAAGTCGCAGTTGGTGGAGGATTGGGAGAATGTGACGAAGAATCATAGGCTGGTGAGGCTGCCTCGCGATGTGACGGTGGTGGATGTACTGGAACGGTATAAGGCATCGCTACAGAGTTCAAAGGGCAAGAGGGCGGCAAAAGAGAGGTACGGGGCACCATATGATCTTTAGACTGGCCCTCTCAGACGTGCGACGGCTGAGTCGCAGTTTTCGTCCCTTAGCGCACGTTTCGATGACTCCTTACAAGAGGTTCTGGACGGTATCCGCATCTACTTCGACCGATCGCTCGGCAATCTTCTACTCTACCGCTTCGAAAGGCAACAATACGTGGATTTGAAAAAAGGTCACCCCGATAAGCCTATGTCTGATCTCTACGGTGCAGAGCATCTGTTGCGCCTGTTTGGTAAGCTACCTGTTCGTGGGAGCAGACCGCGGTCCCATGTATCACTAAACCTGACCTCCTCTTAGTTCAATTCCCGGCCCTGATCGCACATTCCAACATGGAGACAGACGCCATCGCAGTACTCAAGGATCATCTCACACATATCTTAGAGTGAGTAATCGCATGGCTTTTCAGCTTCGCAATGCGCTCTGCTGACACATTCTCCACATTATCAGATTTTTGGAAGCCCATCAACAAGAACTTTTCCTTAAAGAGTATGATAACGCCAGTCCTGCGTACCTGGCGCAGATGAAGGCTGGTAGTTAGAACCTTGGTTCAAAGTCGATGTAGATACTCTTTGGTTGGATGCATACCAGGCGTAGGTAGTCGTCATGTTCAGCCCACCATGTTCTCAGGCAATTCGGTAGTCCGCTGAACTAGAGGTCGGACATACGAGTAGCAATGTACAAAGGCGAATGGTGGTGTGAAGAATGGCGGGTAGTTTATGTATTATACGTGTGGAACGAAGATAGTCGTGATCTAGGCAGATAAAGGTTCCTCTGTTGAACTTTTACGCCGCCCCATGAAATCCACTAGGCCAAAAAAACGAGCTCAAACTAGTCTGCATCGTGCGATCCCACTGTCCTCATGTCGGGGACTTCAACCCTGCCGAAATTCGCCTCACTGGCCGCCGGGCTTGCAACGAGCCAAGGTGCAGATTCGGGAACGAAGAAGAACCATGAGCGGCAGCTGCTGCAGCTGCTGCGGCCGCAGAAGTTCGTCGGACCGGTTGCGATCTGGCTGCCGCTGACCGAGTCTTCCGACTTGTATTCGCGAGTTGGTACGGCGACGGAAACGGGTTCGTTCGTGAGACCACCCTGCAAAGACAGACTGATGAGTGATACTCGGTGGGCAAGGCTGAGCAATGCTGGAGAAACTTACAGAATACCACGCGTCGGTAGTGTGTATCCCTTGATAAGCCCTTGCGCGATCAGCGCTACCACTATGCTCTCGACACACGCAATGTTTGTGCAATCCGTCGCCCCAGCGAATTGTGATGCCTGCATCAGTCGCATATAGTCGAGCTGCATGGGCGCTTCAGTTGGGTTTGCGTTCATCGATTGGCTGATGGAGAATCTGCGAGCATTCGTTTCGAGACATTAGCGTTCTGTGCTGTCTTGATTGTACGAGAAACAGCACCTGACTCACACAAGCCTGTACAGGTTTCGAAACATGATCATCCTCGCCCGCTGCTGAAGGATGGTGAACACGCCCAAACTACTGTAGTACTTGACATTGGCGATCACGATGCGATCGTACTCCGCGAAGTTGCCCTTTTTGTGAGCAGCGATCAGCGGTCCGAAGTGCTCCTCCAGATGGTACTTTGCTAGAAGCTGCGGCTTTGGCAACAGACCGCGGATGAGACGTGCTACGATGTAGAGGGGAATGATGCGTCTAGACGGCGTTGGCATGGTCAGCGAGAGGTCTTGACGACGAGAGATGGCCATAGTATGTGCTCACCGGCGATTGTCAAGGGAATTTTTGTGACAATGCTCCAACGCAAAGGACAGATGTTTTTCCGCCTAATACCGAAGCGTCAGGCCTCCGCGCCATATTCAACCACCTATCATTGTGAGGAAGCATACCGCCCGAAACTTGTGGTAGTAAATTTTCAACCTTCCGACCAGAAAGTGATACGTGACACGTTGGCTCATCGGATATATCGAGAGATCCAGCCGCCTCGAGTCGATCTGCCGGACGAGTTTCGTGCAGAGCTGCGATTCGCCCATGCGGACATAGAAGCGCAACGCGATGTTTGCGACTGTGAGCGCCGCGGATTTGGTTTCCTGAAACCCTGGTCTAGTACGCCGATCAGTTTCTTTCCGAAGCCCCGAAACTCGAATTCGTTCTGCTCACCGATCGACGAGAATCAACGACATGAGCCACGAAAACCGATTCTGCAGGTTGGTTGCTGTGGTTCGCCGCTTGCCAAGACTTTTCAGGTAATTGTCGCGCTCGAGGGCTAGATGTATCAGACCCTCGCAAAGTGTCTTCACGACCGGAACATGCCAGCTTTTCGAGAACACCGGGTTGCAGAATTGCCTGCGGTGTGCGATGTGTTGGGGGAGAGTGCCGGGCGTCAGAGTTTGCAAGTGTGACCGTTTTCGGCCCGGGTGTGAACTTCATACTTTGATAGCCCAGGAGCGCTCGCCCACCGCGCTTATTTCTCCCTCTCGACTACAATCCAGGAGCCATATCCCTGCGTCGACCGACCCTACTTACGCGAAGACACCTGCCGCGACATCATAGAAATCCCTCGGGTCCGGCGTCGTCAGATACGACAAGAAAGCCACTACGAAATTGTCGTACGGCGCTGGAATCCCCGCCGCCGCCACATCCTCGGCAAGGGCACCACTATCCACTACAACCGTACTATCCGCTGCCCCACTCGTCCCACCATCACTCGACGAAAGGAACTGTGAAAGGTCACTTTGTAGGGGTTCTACCCAGTCGGGGCCGAGTAATGGGTCTGTGAGGCTAGCGAGAAGGGCGCCGTTCTCGCTGTGTATTGCCGTGGCGACCTGGGAAAGGTATTGAGCGAGGAGGCCTGAGGGGCTGTTGCCGTATCCGTTTTGCGCATCCATTCCCGGCGAGTTTTTGCTTCCATACGCGAATGCCAAACTTGTATATGTAGTGGACGAGAAGCCATTTCAAGCCAATTTCCAAGGACGCTCTGAGGACGCTGCTTTGACGCGTTCTTGCCCTGTGAACACTGTTCCGCCATTCGGCTCCACTGCTCCCCACGAGCGCGAGACGACAGGATTCGGCAAAGCACACAAGTACTTTAGTTGCTTCCACGAGGATTGCACCTACTAGGAACTCCATATCTCTGCACCACCGATGGTCGCAACAATGGGGCTCGATTCGTGGACATCAGAGGAACTCGCGTCTGCCATCAGCGCGCTGGGTCCAGAATTTGAGGAAGTGTCCCAAACTTTCGCAGGTAATGTGATTTCTCGTCCACGGCATATGTTTTGAGCGCGGGTGTCTGTCCTTGACTGTATGTGATTGCAGATCGCCAAATAACGGGCAAGTTTCTGTACGGTGCGTCGCCTCAAGTCCTTTACGTAAAACTCAAAGGAGACCTCGGGGTCAAGGCGTTCGATGTCCGAACGAAGCTATTGGGCCAGATTGATAAATGGAAGACGGATACACAGGAAAATGGCGATGAGCAGGGTGATGGACTGGGTAGTGGGCAGGAATCAACCTTGGCGACCGACGTAAGAGAGGCGAAACCGCCAGATCTATCAGCCAAACGGGCACGGGAAGACCCGATCCCCAACCCAGGTCCGACAGCGAAATCCACAGAGTCTCCATCCCCAGTCCTTGTCTCATCCAGTACAACAAGCTTACCTGGCTCACCACCCAAAAAGCGCCGGATCACGCCAAAATTGATCGGCCCCGTGCGGACAAGGATCCATACCTTCGCTTCCACCACCCAACTCTCCGACTTCACCCAACGGAAGGAGGAAGCCTTGAATCAGGGCGTCGCTGGACCCGTTGGGTATCGAAATGAGTCTGAATTTGCGGATGGCGATCTGGTGGTCGAAGGAGAAGACAAAGCGCAGGTCGAGCTCGAAGAAGAGGTTGAAGAAATGATGAAGATGGAAGAGTTGGGGGAGTCGGGCAAGGGGAAGGGGAAGGGACGAGCCGTCAGCGAAGGAGAGTATGGTACTATGGAGGATCAAACCGCGGATATCAGAGATGAGGAGGAGAGGGCGGAAGATGGGGGTGAGGAAGGGGATGGGGAAGAGGGAGATGGGAGCATTGAGGAGGAAAGTGGGTCGGACGGAGAGGAGAAAGGAAACTCCGGCGATGATGGAGGTGATGGAGGTAGCGGAGGTGTACCGACTGCAGATGTAGCGAACCAAGGGAGCTCGTCGGCTGGGCAGAACGTGATCAATCTTGATAGCGATGACGAAGAGTACTACATAGCACGAGGTGCCCCAGACTAACCTAGCAGGAAGGTGTTCCGTAGCAAGGGGCGCGGGGAACGGGAGAGAGGTTCCAAGAACGGCAATTCATGCCGTGATGTAATGGACCGCGGCGTATTGTACGTAAGGAAAGCACTAAACTGTGGCCGCTATCTGTTTGCATGGCTCGACTATTTCATTTATTACATTTACGTCCAAACGCCAAAAACGGTTTACATGTGCTGTACTGGTATACGTACACCCTACACTGTACAGGGTATCAATCGGTTTCCGCTGACCGTGTCTCCTCGCAGGAAGTGCTGAAACCTTCCTTGCCGCATCTACAGCACATCATGCCACAGGGGCTCGCGGATTTCCACGTCATCTTTAGCTTCCTTGGCGTGAAGTATGTAGTAAACGTCTTTCGGTGGGTCCAATTCAAGTTTGTTTGCGCGTTCCCACCGTTCCATCCGAGAGAGTCCCACGCAAGGACCATACTTAAGAAGGAAAAGATATTGAATTTAGGTCACGTAGAGAAGAACAAAAGATCATTCCACTTACGGCATAGTTCAAGTCAAAGTCTTTCAAGTATTGGACAACGGCGGCCTTGTCCTGGAGCAGCGCTCGGATTTTCGCAGGAACTTCGACGACGGGTTCCGCAGCTACGTGATGCGAACATACTTTTAGCTATGCATATCCCTAGAGCTATATCTCGATTGCGCTACCCCGCCTTTGGCGGTTAGCCCTTACCTGCAACTTTCTCAGTCTCCGGCTTCTCTTCCGGCAACTCCTCTAACTCCACCCGCGCGACTTTCACATCCTTCTCCCGTTCCGCACTCAGCAGATCCACATCGGGTACCTCGTCACCTTCCGCAGACCGGGGCCTTTTCAGAGTTTGCTGCTTCTTTTTCTCAGTATGCTTCTTTCCTCCCCGACTACGGAAGTCTGTGAGTTTTCGTTGAGTGAAGGATTCGTTCAGTTTCTTTTCAGAGACTGCGTCGGCTTTGCCGCTGCCGGCGTCGTGTGCAGCGGCGCCTCCCCGGGCCTTCGTGGACCGGCTACGAGTTGCTCTGCCGCTCATGGTTGTTAGCGGCTTTGAATTTCCTGTTCGACTTTCGCTTCCCAAGATGAGTTGGGGGGGAAAATGGTTGGAGAGTCGAGTCGCGTTGAACGGCGTATTCCGGTGATAACTTCACCACTTACGCGGTCGCTTTCGCTCTTCGACATTTGACGTGGAACTCATCTGCAGCTCGGAAGCGACGGCGATAACAAAAAATGGTACGTTATTGTAAGCTATGTGCAAGGTTCCCGCATGTGGCTCACCGTTTTACCTATGTCTCTTTAGGCCGACCGCCAAAACCTCGTCCACAATGCTGCGCCCATAGCAGGCGTCGATCTGGAGGCCGGAGGGCAAATGAACACTGGCCAACAACAGCAGCAGCCGGAATCACAAAACATCTTCAAGCAATCCAGGTATGAAGATGCTTTGGGTATACGAATAACTCTACCTGTATTCACCTTCGCGTCCGACAGTCATCCAGTCGCCCTGATGTTCCATCTCGCCTTCCGAGTGGGCGCCATCGTAACCTACCTCCTGTGTTCATCGATAGTCAGCAGCGACGTTCTGTGCATCGTGCTGATAGTGCTCCTGCTTGCGTTTGATTTCTGGACGGTTAAGAATGTTACCGGACGATTGCTTGTGGGTTTGCGTTGGTGGAACGAGGTTAGGGAAGACGGAACGAGTGAATGGGTGTTTGAATCGCGAGAGGTAGGTGGGCCCTTGGTGATGAGCATCGCTGTGTCGCTTGCATGGCCGCGATCCGGCAAGAAGCATCATCTAAAACATCTATTTCCACATCTAGAATCGGCTTGTAAACGCGGTGGATTCGCGGGTGTTCTGGTTCACCCTGTACATAACGCCAGTGATCTGGATCCTGTTTGCGCTCCTGTGCCTCATCTACCTCAAGCTCTTATGGCTCGTGGTTACCATTGTCGCCGTCACCATGAACTCTGCGAACTTATTTGGGTACACGAAATGCGAAAAGGTACTTGGTTGCGCGTCCTTATGGAGGTTTTCGCACCGCTGATCTCAACGCACTCTCTATCCCACCAGAATGCGAAAGCAAAGGTAGCGAGTTACCTGGCGGGCCACTCGGGGGTGCAGAATATTGTGGGGAACATCATCGCCAACCGAATAGGAGGCTTCATTTGGGGAGGAACACCAGCGGCGGCTACGTGATGGGGACACGGGCCATATCGCGATATTGTATATATGAGTTGAAATTAAACTTCCTGATGGGGAAGGAACCTCTCCACGTAACCTTTGCGCCTTGCGGGGTGGACGTCATGGAATGGCGCTGTTTTCCAATGGACAGATGCCACAGCGGATTATAGGCTCGCTGGGAATGTCAGCGGCACCCGGGGAACTGTTTTCTTGATGTGTTCAGCGGATTACGTCAAAATGGACGGGGGGAATGGGCTCGGCATGCGTCTGCACCGCGTGCATGCCACCCAGTGGAGTACTCTGCGTCCGACCATGACAGCAGGCCAAACTCGTAGCACACTGCGTGTATTGAAAATGACTCACAAAAAAGAACACCTTCCACGAAAACAAAAATCCTACAGCAAATCTAAGCCCTCGCCGCCGACCGGCGTTGCTCTACTTCAATTCGACGGCGAATCCTTCCGTCGTCCTAACGAACTACCCATCTTCACTAGCGTTTCTAGATTATGCTCCGAGTTCTCCAACAGGTCTCCGTCGAACTCTATCACGTCGCGCTCGAAGAGCAGGATGATTGTTGAGCCTCCGAATGCGAAGTACCTGTAGTGAGAGTCCAAGTTATGAGGATCTTTATGTCCCTAAAGAACAACTATCATGTCGATATTGCCGACTTACCCATGCTCATCCATCCGCTTGACCTGCGTTCCTTCCTTCGATGTCAGAACGATGCTTCCGACCATCATGGCACCGATAGACACATATGCAAGCTTCCCGAACTCGGGACTATCCAAGTATGTGACGGCACGCACGTTTTCCGTGTAAACGTCAACGGTCGTCCTGATGGCCATTGGGTTGACGGTGAAGTAGGACCCGTCTATCCATTTCGTTGGGCCCACCGTGCAGTCGACTGGGAAGTGGAACCGATGGTAATCTGAAAATGGAGCCAATGAGAAGCTGGTTGTATCGAAAACAAATGACGGTTACTTGGATGTTACCTTGTGGAGCTAGCCGGAAGATCGCTACCGAGCCGCCATCGAATATTTTGGCCTGAACCAAACAGATCAACAACTGATATCGAATGACAAGGTAGAAGATAAAGCATTTTCAAACAAACCATTTCCTCGTCGGCAAGCAGATTGGGTATAGTAAACTCCCGCCCCTTGATCCACAGAGCTTTGGCCTTGTCAACACTCGTGAAGCAGTTGAGACGGCAATCGGCGGCGGACACGGCTACTCGTGGGTCTGGTGATGCCAGTGTCCGGACTCCAGGCTTGAGCTTCCGGTAGAAAAATTCGTTGAAGTTTTGGAAGCTGTCCATAGGCTCCATCACTATACCATGAATTCCCGTTAGAATGATGTCCAGACAATCAAGGTACGCGCCACCGGGGTTCACAAACCTTCATCGAGAGGAAGGTTGTGGAAAGCTACAAAGTGCTTGATAGCTTTCTTGCTCAGCGGATTGTTGAACTTCTTTCCTTGCTTCACACCTATGGTCGAAGAACCTAAGAAGCCATTCGCCTTGAGGATTTGCGGAAGACGCCACACTTACTCAAGTTCCGCAAAAGGTTTTTGATCAGGCGCCGCTCGACCGCTGTTGACTATAAGTTAGCTATCACAACGTATACACCCAGTTGCCATCCTGAACCGCACATACCACTCCGTCCGGATCGGAATTGATAAAGCAAACGTATACCGAGTCGCACATACGTCGGCATCCTCTCTTCCACCAATTGACCGGTGGTTCGGTCCTGTACAATGATATTTGCTGTGGGTTGCGCAAAGCGAATATAAGCCATGGGAACCATTTGCTCATTGGGGTTTTGGACGTACCATTATTCTTCCCAAGTCGGTATCCCCCATACGACACGTATGATACAATCTTGCTATACCACTTCCTCGTGGCATAGGCTTCCGTTAAGAACCCTCCCATGACAAAGTTGTCGACTTTGCCGAGATCTTCGTGCGCACATAACGCAACGTGGCTCACAACATCCAAATCGGCTTTCCGCCGGAATCTCTTCCTGCAGATGGGACACTCCCGGATCTGTATAATGTGCTCCGTTTCCGATCTGCCCGATTGCAAGCTCGACGCAGATTGCAGCAGTTCGTCCGATGTTTTGTGAGAAGGCGATTTGCTGGATTTGGCGGACTTGCTCCTCCTGAAGCTCTTAACCCTTCTGGCGCACACGATCTTGCCAGTGATCTGCCCTTCCAGCATCTCCACCAGCTCCTCGTACTCCAGCTCATCGTCCGGCCCTTTCCCCTTCTTGATGAAGAAAAGGTTGATAGACTCGTCGGAAAAGGTCGACCCGAGGGAATCTAGCATCGCCGTCAGTTGTACTTTATTAATCCGCCCAGCACCGTCGGTGTCGAACTGCTTGATGAGCGTCAGCCAGAAGTTTCTCCTCAGATCTGTTATAATGATCCCCATAGTTAGCCGGACGTCGCAAAGAGTATCCTACTAATGGCCCTCACCAGTATAGGGCGTGAACGTGTATTTCACTTTCAACGTGGCGGGAGCTGCCCCAGGCTGTCGTATGCAAAGCGATAAGTATTATCGCGCTGAGAAGTTCTCCAAGACGGTCTCCCGTCGTACCTTTGCCCGCTTCAACTGCAGAGTCAACGTCTCCTCGTATGTAGGCATATGTGATGGCACATTTGGAACCAGTGGGCTGGTCTTGCACTTTGCTACGAGATCTGCCATCTTGAGATCGGCCGTCCCAATATAATCGTTATTGCTGAATTTGTCGTAATCGTAAACGGCTAGATTGATCAACCATCCCAACGCCAATTCCGAGTGACGGACGTGGCTGGAGCACGAAGATGAAGTGTCAATAAGGAGAGCTGAAGAAAAGCGAGGTAATGACGCGAACTCACAGGAACACGCGCTCGTTCCACGCAGGGTTCAATGTATGCCGGAGAGTCCGTGTGCGGAAAGTTTTCCGCCTACATCAAATGTGAGATCCAACGCTCCGCAGAAGTCACCACTGCCTCGACATAGACCAACTTACCCGTAGCTGCAACGAACAACCGAGTCAGGCGGCAGCTAAGACAATGAATGGGAGACATTTGGCACTTACGAGATGACAACGAAAGGATCGCAATCGAACGAGGTTTTCGTAACGTTCGGGTCGTAAGGCAGATTCGTAGCCCCTACGACTGCAAGCAACGATAAATCACCGTGTTCGATCGAGCGAAATGACATCAGGTGCTACATACTATCCACGGTGAGAAGCCCCATTTGCGCATTGTGGTCAATCACGGTAGGTGTCCCTTCGTCGCTGGTATCCCCATTCGGCGCGTCTGAGCTTTCGGAAGCGCTGTCGTCGATAAGGGCATCTGCATCTGGTCCCTCGCCCTGTGGGGTTTCGGAGCCCACGAATTGATTGAAATAGAAATCTGCACGGAACATGGGAATCAGCGGACTTGTTGTAACGGGCCGGCTGATCCTGATCTCAACTCACCGTCCGCAGGATCATCACTTGTCATCAGCGTGGCTATTGATTGATGCCCGTCAGTTCACCGTCTCCACAGTCGGAATGTGATCAGAATGAATCCTTACCATGAACAGCATTGTGTTCCGAACTGTCGAACATCGCGAGTAGATCCTGGTCGATTTCTCCAACAAAGCCCAACTTCATGCTAGACAACGCAGAAGATTCGGTTGAACAAAACATGGGATGGAGGAAAGCGATGCTCAGCATGCCAACCTCAGTTCGCCGGTGACAATATCAGAAGCCTTTCTGCCGTGAACGGGATCCGCAAAGGGCTCATTTCTCGCGTCATCGTATGCATGATGGCCGACGAGGCGGAGAATATCGGCTACCTTGATGGATATTTGCCCGAGAAAATCTTTTCCGATAAGATCCTTGTCCCAGAGAGTCAAATCCAGGGAGGCTGTCAAATCTTGAGTAAGTCTAATCAAACCTCCATGCCTTCATCAAGCGACTCTGTTAGGTTATACCATCGAAAAGAACTGGCGTCAACACGCTGTCATGTGAGAGGATAACGACCTTTGGTCAGTCTCAATTGCGAAGGTTTTCAAAACGAACTTCTAGCTTGACGTGCACTCAGACACCTACAAATCGAATTCTTCATTCCATGTCGGATTCAGATTCTTCGATACGACTTTCGTCTTGCAAGTCTGCCCACCCAACTTCAGCACGACGAAAGGATCGCTCGTCCCTCTGTGGAGCAAAGAAGGTGGTATGTCAATAAGAAGTTAGGTATTTCGTGGCAATTGCCGCCGGCAGCTGCCGATAATGCGTTGCTGCGTGGACTGAAGGAGCTGCGTTTTCAAGAAGCATGCATCGAGGACTCACCGTCTATCCTTGGCAACCAAATCCCTTGCCGATATGACTTTAACTCGCAAAGTGAGCGACTTCATCGTGATTGTTGTCGCGGAGCTTCGAAGATGGAACGCCGGTGGAAATTGACCGTTTATTTCGCTTTCTTGTGCTGAACCGTCCGAGTGCCTCAGACGCTCCCTGTAGTGTACTGTCCCCGAATGTCAAGTGTGTGGAGAGTCGAGAAGGAATATGCTATGTCCAGGTTGCAACAATGCAGCCTGGGAACGTGGGCAGAACGTTGCGGGGGGGTTGGACGCAGGGTTGGACGGAGGCCGGGAATGATGGAAGTTGCGCCTGTTGCGCGCGCTTTCTGTGTGGCGGCGGTCATCTCGGTCATCGAATGGAGAGGCGTGGCTTTGGCTTTCGTCATTGCATGACTTCGGCAAGATAACTTCCCTTCTTTTCAAGCGCCCCGTCAAGGAACGTGGGTAATAGTATCTGCGGATGAAGTATATGTCTCTCCGAAGTATCGATGAAAGATGACTTGGCTGGACATGGGACGACGAGAGTAAGGCATCCACCACCTTTACTGGCCCGCGTATAGTACACAACCACGGCCCTAATCTTCCCCATCCGGACCTACGGCCGAGTGGATATCTGTCGCTACCGCTGTCAGGACTGTTTCGCACGTACTTGGGTTCAATTATGTACATGAACCGAACAGCGCATATCCTAAAGGTGGGGAGTGAGATATCTGTCTTCGAGCGTCTACACAAGATGTCTCCGGATGATATTGCCGAGGCTTGAGACAGAGGAAGTGTGGGACTCGAGCGTTCTAAAGCATCGATGTCATGAGCATCCTGTTTTCGGGAAACGCCCGGTGGATAGTGATTTTGATGCACTTCATGCGCAAGGTTTTCTGCTGGTTTCGTTCTCGTCTGTGGTGCTCATTTTCGCTGCCTCCGTGGCACTCCAAGTTGAGCCACGAGTTTGGCCAACGTGCCGTCAGGATCGTCGGACGGTTTGGTGGCGGGTTCGCCACCGAACTCTTCACAACGTAAATAATCAAAGTAATCCTTTCGAGAAGAGAATCCCCAATACCGCAACTGTGCAAGATCCGGAAGGGGCGCCGTGGGGTTGGTAAAGAGTTGCTGTGTGACTTGCGTGAACGTACACGCCGGTTTGATGTGTTGTTCCGACACAACTGTCGGTTGAGTGGTTTGCGCCGAAGGTGAGGTCATCCGTTTGTACATTCTTTCTCTAATCAGCGCCCGTCCTGTAAACACGAAGTTAGAAAACAACGAAGACACGGAAGTAACCGCAAGTCGACTCACCCAGGTAGGGCTTGTGTAGACGACATATGTTGAGAAACACACTGCAGCGGGCTCACCGCACGGGCTGTCGGTGGTTTTCAATGATGAAAGAAGAAGTACACAAGTAGTGAGATGGTGGGTGCGGAAATTGACATGGGGACGAACAGTCCGCACCCTCGAAGCATCCAAGGCAACGCGGACACGACGCCGGACGACTCCGTGGCTTGACCCTTGACAAATAACGCGTTTGGCCGGCATTCATCCGCGGTCCGGCGTCCGCCCATCTCGCGAACGCCAAACAAAGGTGTCTTCCCAGTCTTCCTTACTCCTTACTATTTCTCCGGCATCGTGCGTCCTCTCTGCATAACTTTGGGCATCATTGGGGGATAATGTGCGATTGACGTTGGAGGGCAATAATGATCTGCGCGTAAAAGCGCCATATCGAGTCAATATCGAGTCAAAGGTCGTGTGACGCGAACATCCCCTCATCCCTTCGAATGTCGCCAGCCCACTGCCCAGCCTCTCGGCGCTACTCAACACCCCCCCAAATAATACCTCCTCCAAGTTGCCTGCCTGGCCCACACCGCAGCACAGCAGTAGGCTACCGTCAGGCAGGCAACAAGAACCCGAAACGAGAGCAGCAGCGACGTGTGAAAGGGTCCTGTGGAGCTCAACTCGTTTCTCTAGGCGCCTTAACCACCTATCGTCCTCAACATGAAGGTGCGAGTCCTCCCTGCCCACTCGGACAGCGACGACTATGCGAGCGACACGAATACCGGCCTCTCTGCGCACTCGGGCGGCGGCGAACGATCCACACCAGCTCCGAGGATCCGTTCCGAAGGCGAATTTCAAGAATGGGTGAGGAGTTGGATTGCCCTGAGTAGGCTGTACAACTACCACGACATCCACGAGAGGCCAAAAAGAGCAATCGGGGCGAAGCGTCAAAGCCAGCGATCGTTATGGAGACAGCTGACAACGCGGAGACGAACCCCGCGGTATCGCTTGAAGTTGGGGGATATGCCCCCGGAGGTCCTACAGCAGGTGTGCTAGTGCTTTACATTCTTCTCGCGGTGAACATATTCTTAGACCGCATTCTATCAAAAGATCGCCTCATATCTTGGGAATCGCGACCTGGCCACTCTTCTACAAACCCCTTCGACGTACATATCAGCTATTGCACATACAGCCATTGCGAGCCGCCGTCACAGCATTACATGCCTAGCAAACCTTCATACATTCCTTGCTTATGGCGGACGGTTACCCATCTTCTACCGCACGGCAACGATGTTCCTTTTTGGACGACATTTCATTCGCTTAGTTCCTGAGGCGAAGAATCTTTTGGGGGTTTGGTACGCTGTTATACTCGCGTGGTTTTTGATCCTATTCTACACATTCCCGTTTTTGCGTAAGTGACGATGTTGTCTTGTCTCGTTATCATTCTGTGAAGATTCTAACTCCGAATGTCCGTAGTCGTCATTGCGATTTACATCGTTTTGGACGTTCTGACGCTAATGGTCCGCACCACTGCGTCGTTGATGCATCACACCTCCCCAATCACGACAACGAGCCACTTCCCAGCCTTCTTCAAAACGCCTACCACCATCACATATACCCAATTGGTCCGGGACCTCAGCTTCACCGGTGCCACGGATCCCCACACTCCGACAAGGGGTCTTCTGAACCCATGGGCTTCCCATTTATACCTCCTCACAAACTGCTGCCCGAACTTACGGCGCCTCCATCTTGTCGGGTGCTCGTTGGCCTGGTGGTTCCGGCTCGCTCCGTTGAGCAATTTGGAGGAACTGGTTTTGGAAGCCTGCGAACTCGACGAGACTGGCCTGGAGATCCTGGCAGAGAACTGCGGGAGCGAGCTCAGGAGGATCTCCTTTGTAGGAGGTGAAGTCCGGGGCGGCGATATTCCCGATGATGTTATTGCCAACAACGGCAACGGGATGCTTGGCATTCAAGTATCGGCCGGCGTCAACGGTCTTGCGAACAAACGATCCGAGCCTGTAATTTGCTTTCCCAAGCTCGAGAAGTTGTCGTTCTCCAGACACGCGGTCATCGACGCCGGCGGCCTGGATCTGTTCATGAAGCGGGCGCCTACCCTCACGAATCTGACCTATTCGACCGACTGTCGAGGCCTGCATACCCATTTGTCTGAGAAGTGGGGCGCGGAGATTGGTCAGGATGAACACCTGGTTGGAGATGTGCAAGGGCTGTCTATCGCTTTGGCTTCTCCTGCTTAGAAGGCGATTTCGTCGTTCCGTTTTGTGTTGTCTGTTTTTCCTGTACACATTTTTGTTTCTGTAGTCCTTGTCGTACTTGTCAAAGTGAAATACATAAGATTTTTGGGAAGCTTCGGGACACGGCAGTCATGGCGATGCCGCAAAGTATGTATGTTGGGAAACAAAAGTAGAAGCCGAGAAAATGGAAGCGTAGAGAATTGCTTCAGCGGAGTTGCTCTGCGCGTGAAATCACGCGTTGGGCAGGCGCGATAACTTCGTCCCGATAACCCCCGCAAGCCCCGGCTTCGGCTGTCGTCTCTGTCGTTTACCATCAGAACATCGTCAGAAGCCGCCCACCCCTATTCTTGGAAACGTCCTCGACGATCGAGGTATTCCCTGCTGTTAGAATAGTCTAGTCTAGACGTAAGAGACGCACATCACAGCAAGTAGACTAGGAAAGTTCAAGGGCTATTTCCCCGGCAGAAAACCATGACGGACCCAAATCAAACCGCCGACGATGCACACCAGCAAAACTCCAAAGGGAAAGGAAAGCGACAAGATACCACCACCCAACCAAAACCGCCACCAAGTTTCTTCGGGAAAGCCGCATTCACAGCCACCCAACAACTCTCGACTCTCCTCCCGTCGTCCAAAACCTCCCAGCAAGAAAGTCGGCCGGCTCCAGGGCTCTCCTCAGCATACACGGAAACAGCGACATACCTAAATCCCGCAGCTGGCGCATCATCATCCGCGAGTGCGAGCGGCGATGTCCTCGGATTGGGTCCACGGCACCACCTGCACCACTCTCGGACGGGGGAGACCATGTCCGAGGCAGAGCTTTTTGCGGGGCCGGGCGCGGTCGTGGATCGGTTCGGGCATGGGGCAGGACAACGACGGTTTGAGATCCCGATTGAGTCTGGCTTGGGGGATTTGCAAAGAGCGAGTCCAGCTGGGCAAGGACATGCCCGTCAGGCGCATGAGCAGGAACAAGACGGAGCAGAAGTCCTCGATTTCCTCCGCACGCCCGCATACACCGTCTCCGTCTACTCCGACCCACCCCTCCGGACACAGTCACTCGTCCCCGACACAATCAACCACGAGCAAGTCATCCGCGCGACGGTGCACGATGGGCAGGAAGCCGTGGCGTATTTGAGGGAACGGCGGTATGCGGAGGATGTATGGGGGATATATGAGGCTGTGACGGAGTTCCAGATTGCGAAGAAGGAGCTGGAGGCGTTGCAGGATGGTGGGGAGGGCGATGTGGCGATGTCGGAGGGTAGGTTAAAGACGGCGGTGGCGAGGTTGGATCTGTTGCGTAGGCATTTCGCCAACAACCAGTGAGCTGGAAGGCTGACAGGAGCGCTATGCGAATGAGAAGCCTTTGGGGTTACCACATCACATTTTTGGAGGGTGCAACACCGCTTCGGGATTTAGTAGCAGTCCAAATGAACTGCGTGAAGGCAAGAAAGCGCAAACTGCATTGTTGAGTTGATAGCATGCGAGGTTCGCAAGTAAGGATACTGCATGGCATCTGTTGCATTCTGTACATATACCCTAATATTACAAACTGGAGCCCAAAAACGAAACTATGTACCGAACTGTGTGTAAGACCTTGCCGTCCCAAAATTCTGGTATAGCCGTTACATCTCGCCAAATGCGAACATGCCTAGAACTACGCCATGCTGATTGTATGCTCAAAGAGATCTATGCCAGCCCGGGATCGGCATTCCACTACGCATTCGCCCATGGCATGTATCGCTCCTGGGACCGAAAAAAGATGAGGACACGCGGACTTCGGAAGACGCTACGATGTAACAATCACTCACAAAGAATTGATCAGCATTGATCTCATCAATACCCCCGACGAGTGGCTGCTGATCTTGATTCTCAGCCCTGACCACGACGAAATGCCGGAAGTTCAGGCTCCATATGTACTGTAGGCGCAACATCATTGCGTGCTCGGATTTAGCTAGATCCTCCTGCTTTTGAGACACAGGAGAAGGGAAATGAGGAAGCTTTTAGTCCTGTGCCGACATGCACTGAGTTCTTAGAAGTTGGACTTACCGAGTCAGCGAAGTATACATCATCAGGCGTCGCGAATCTCAGAAAGCGTTCATGCTCCAGCATCATGATGTGATGCCATGCCACCAACCTGCGGAAAGAGTTCTCATTACATTCAATCCTCGCGTCCTGTTCCTGATAGCATCTGCGCTACTACCGATCGTGCTGAAGGGCGGGTTCGATCCCATCTATTGGTTTTATCTTTTGCGCCACATCAGGGTGCAGCACACATCCCCACTCTCGGCCGGGCGTCGCCTGTGTTGCAAAGCCGTGAAACGCGTGATTGTTTTTGTGTACGCAAGAGCGACTGCATACGTACCGTCCTCGCAAGCTTTTTGAACCGTTCAAGGAACTTTGCTGCACCCGGGTGGCAGAGGGCTTCGTAGGTCAACGTGAGGATGCCACCTTTAGAGAATGGAACATCGATGAGACCTGTCGCTGGCATACCACCTTATGTGTAGACGTCAGCCTTACCTGCTGGGAACATAAGTATGGGTTTCTTGATGTTGGCCCCAGTGGAATGACCCCAGAGCACAAATTCCGTGGCTCCTAGTTTCAATTCGTTCAGATGCGGCAATAACGGAACGTGCTCGTGAAAGGAACGATGGCACTAGCACACGTGTGTGAGAAGAGCTGAACCGTCATGCGGGGAATGTCTGACCGTATCTCACCATCACAAAATCACAATTTTTCGGGTTGGCCACGCACTGCGCTCCCAACATGCGCAGGAGCCATGTGAGCTCCATTGTTGCACTTGCGTGAGGCCCGTAGACATGAACACGCTTGCCCTCAACCAGCCAATTTGTCTGAAGCGAAAGGAGTCTCGTGAGCTGAGCTGTGAAGCCAATCGGTGACACATGCTATCCGCACTTCTACTGGTTACCTTTTCAGGCAACTTCTGCACAAGCATTATATGGGTTTTGACGAAGTCTGAATATGCCAGCAGTGGGCTTATTGTCTTCAGCTCGATCTTGTTCCGTTGCAAAGTCAGGGTACGTGGCGATTTCGCTTTGTCGGCGATGACACAGAATAGCGGAAAGATCTCCGCATCCACTTCCTCCTCGCCCATCGTTCCAAGCTCAATAGTAGGCAGTACAAAGAGTGTAAACCTTCTGAGGGATATTACGCCAACCTTTGGGGGAGGTGCCTGTCAGACGAAACTGCGTGACATGGCGGGCCGCTGGAATGCAAGTCTCACCCGCTGTTTAGCCGATAGATAGCGAACAAGGGCTTGAACAGACTTGAGGGCGTCTGTACTTGGTTTCTCAAGCGTGAGCGCCGAGAATCCACAAGTTTTCCTTGCGGTAGTTGATATCAAGGACCCCTTCAGGTGGCTCAGCGGCACCATCTTCTTTAGGAACAAGGAAGGCGTAGTTCCACCAGATTGCACATCTTCCAGGAACGTCGTGACATTTGGTGACCGCTTGCTATCCTCCGCGAAGCCAACATTGGCAACAAATTGCTGTCGGCCCTTGCATAACCTGATCTCACCGTTACTCGAGCGTCCCCGATGCAACCTTGAAGGATATAGCCAAACTTACTGGTAAACGGCAGATGAGATGGTGGACTCATCCGTGTCTTTGACAGGCAGCTCAAGATCCGGCAAAGAGACGGCTTTCGCTGAAGTTGGTACGGGTGCGGCAAGATCCCTTTCAAGCGATCTCCGAGCGGGTGATGAAGATCTTCGGTCGAGCCTCGTATGTTTAGAACTATCAGCCCTTGGCTCTGGCTCTGGGCTTCCCCTCCGCTTCAATGCGATGTTGCTGCCCATGTCCGGTCGTATCGCTTGTCGGGACGCGGGGAACTCGTCTAAGGTGCTTCGTCGGGTTGGGACCACGCGGCGGTCGTTGGACGATTCCTTTGAATGCCCGATGGATCAGTGATTGGGCTTTGCTACTTTTCGAGTTCCTGATAGACAAACCTCGGCAATGGAACTGGCCCTCCCTCTTCTGTCGTCCGATCCTCCTCTGTCGTCCGATCCTCTTCTATCAACAGACCCGCCCGCACCTGGTCTTCCTTTGTCTCGTCTATCGTCCAACGCACTGGACGACGCACGGGGAGGGAGGGCTGGATGTCCTCGAAGACCGAAACCGGGAGCCCCGCCTCGTTTCTTTTTTCCCATGATATAACAGGCGGTTGAGTGCAGGGGAGTAGAGGCTCAATATGAAGAAGTGAGACGCTTCGCCGGAGCGCCGCCGTGAGAATGGCCGGATGGTCCGAGACAGCGCGTAGGGCGATGCTCACGAGATGCTCACAACGCTACCATGCGACAGCAAAGCTACGTAACTGCACAGGAAGCCGGATGGGCCGTAGGAATTGGTTTCTTTTCGTTTCGTGCAACGCACGACTTCCCAGGACAGAAAGCTTACAGTAGTTGAAGCCCCGTTTGTCCCGTTTGTCACTTCTGTCTCACGCGTGTTGTGCGAGACCACAGATTTTCCCCCCCTCCAACGACTGATCTTGACATGCTTCATCGCCTCGCTCTCACTTCCTTCAACGAGGCCAGAAGCGTCCTTCGAAGAAATCCCGCTTTCAGAAACCTATCTGTCTTCTCTGCGCCATCAGCAACCGTCCACACAGGGGCACTCTTCGTCCCGCGCGGCAGAAGCACGTCTCAGGCCCCAAGATCTTCCACCCCATTCCGACACTTCACAGCCAGTCCAACTCCCAAAATGTCAGACGAGACGACCGGTAAATCCACTGCCACCTCGTTCTTTGACCTGAAGGTGAACGACCAGTACGGCAAACCGTACGACCTGTCCGCCCTGCGCGGCAAAGTCACGGTCGTCGTCAACGTCGCTTCGAAGTGTGGCTTCACTCCCAATTACGGTTCGTTCGGTTGAATTGATAGTTTTATGTCGATTACTTTCAACAATCTAATACGAAACCATATCTAGGGGGTCTGGAGAAGCTGTATCAGGCGCACAAAGACAAAGGACTTGTGATCCTCGGATTCCCCTGCAACCAATTTGGCTCGCAGGCACCTGGCTCTGCTGAGGAGGAAGGTTCCTTCTGCCAGAGGAACTATGGTGTCTCCTTCCCCATCTTGGAAAAGGTGGAGGTGAATGGAGACAACGTGCATCCCGTGTACGTGTGGCTGAAGGAGCAGAAAGCAGGCCTCCTCGGATTGAGGAGGATCAAGTGGAGTAAGTATTACCTTGGATTCTTGGCCAGCGCCATAAGAATCAATCCCCTCTGACCACATACCACTCAGATTTCGAGAAGTTTGTGGTCGACAAGGATGGAAAGGTCGTAAATCGGTACGCGAGCACAACTACACCGGAGGCCATGGAGGCAGAGCTCGTCAAACTGCTCGGTTAAGGGGCGCGCATTAGCGCCTGGCGATGGTCTCTTCAAATCACGGGCATTTCATTTGTGTATCTGGCTATGTATATTAGGCTCATGCTCATGCTACCGGGATCATTGTACGCCTTAGATAATTTCAATATGTGTGTGCAATTGGTACAGACCCAAGTCACTTGGGCAGCAGCGCAATGTCAATGTCTCCTGCGATGTCTGGCGTCTTCCCTCCGATCGTCCCTCTTCCAAATGTGCCAAACGTTGTCCACGAGACCACCTTCTCGTTCGGCTCCAAGGTAGCCCAGCTGAGAGCGTTCACTTTCTTCAGGACTACCTCGATCTTTGTCGACAGAACCTCGTACTTGCTCCCTGCTGGATCGATTGGTTGTGACAACGCCGTGTTAAACGTTGACGTTTTGCCATCTTGGAACTTGATATTCATCCTCAGCTGTGACAACCATCGGGATCAGAGTCGTACCCTAGCATCTTGCCATTCAAAGAGCGCTGCCTACCTCGCTGCTCGTAAAAGTGATGCTGGTAGCTTCCTTATCGACCTTCTTGGCGAACACGGACAGGATGACTGTAGACGGAGTTTGGTACCAGTCATGACGGCACTGAATCTCCTGTGGTTGACTATTGTCCACGTCCGTAAATCGGTGCTTGGCCCGTTTGCAACCCTTGATCTTCAGGAATTCGTCGAACTCCAGCACTTTGCGACTACAGCACGACCATCCCTTTAGGAGGCAAGACATCGTTTGAGTATGGATGCCGTCTCCCGTACTCGTCCGGGAGAGCGTACCTTGCTACCCTCATGGAATATAGGCTGACCCGAGTGAAACACACACTCCTCCGTCCTAGATCCCTCCCCAGCCCAAGTCTTCCCACACGCGTTCCGCTTGCATTTCGTCCCCTCCGCCACTTTCGCATCGGGCGAGTCATGCAAGTCTTCCTCCTTCACTGCCGGTGCCGCGTCCGCCGGCGTCTTTGCTTTCGCTTGGAACGTCTCTGCAGCCGGGTTCGGCAGGGCGGTTCCGTTGGTTCCGTTGGTATAGGTCTCGACTCCTGTTTTGCCTACTGTCGTCGGTTTCGCAGCCTTTTCTACCGGAGCGGTCGGACTCGGCTCCTCGGGAGCGAGAGAGGTGTGGCGGCCTACTGAACATCCTGGGATCTGCATCTGGATCAGTACAAGGTCCCGACCTCCCTTTGTCTGTACAAATCGATCGTCACTCCTCACCTTGAGGAAGTCCTCAAAGTCTGCAACCTTTTTGGAACAGCAGGACCAGCTCTAAGTGCCGGAGTCGGTTAGTGACTGGCAGCAAACACTATCTGGCTATTGCGCGGGCCATACCTTCAAACCCTCGTGGAACACTGGCCCACCGGGGTGGTGCGTGCAGGACGTATCGGAGTTTGCGTCCTCCTTGAAATCCTGGCCACATCCTGTTGGAAGAGCCAGACATAGACGGTTAGTCTACACGCCAAGCAGAGAGACGAGGCACTAGCATCCTACAGTTGCTTGCTATGCCATATGAACCCTCCCTCATTCCCAACCCCTAATCACCCCTCAGACCGACTAGAAGCCCCACTCCCCTCCCTCCCATGCCCCCACCGTCCAAACTCCTCACATATCGAACAACTCCCGACGCTCGTGAAACGGGCTCCCGTGACATTACACCCAATTTACGTGCCTTTTCTTTTACAAACCGGCATGATAACGATACTAGTTTGGGCTTAGGGAGCTGCAGAGGCAGATTGATAATATTACGATCTTCCGGGAGACTTTCAATGAGAGCGATAGATCACTGTCGAAGGTCGAAGGTCGATGTTGTCACCTTGATCCATGGGATCGGCAAGTCCTAGCGTAAGCACGTGACCCAGCAGTGGAGTTTTCTGTTGGCACCGGTTGGCACTGGGTATAAAAAGAGGCGTCTGCTTAGTGGGGAGTCCCATCTGACCATTCACGCCATTCCGTTGAGACCTCACCACAAGGCGTGCGAAAGTGTTGCGGCAGGCTAAGCTCTTTGAGTAGTACTGAACGCATAGCTTCCCCCAACACCTACATATCCGCCCGAGTTCCCAGCAGGACCCGTGGATGGTTCTCAATGGTGAAAACAAACGAACAAAGAGCAGCGGAAAGACCCTCCAATGATGCCTTTTTTATCAAGCTCAACAGACCGAAAGAATGGGTCTAATTGACTTTATTTCTTGGGGATACCTACTTCTTCATCCTGAGGGGAGTCTTTTCTGCTGCTCGTGTGCTTTTGAGAATTGTTGTGCAAAGTGCCATGCACCGAAATGTAATGGTGCGCTGGAAGGTTTGCCCGGCTACTTGGCATGTGAATGGCAACGGAACCCTATATAGCCTGCGTTTTTGGACGTGCCGCACGGAGTCGCAATTGCGTAACTCCGTTTTGCCGATGTCCAGGATGCCCATTGGGGGTCGACTTTTCCGGTGTTGCTGTGTAACGACGGTTCCACCTCGCTCCTCCATGTGGCCGTAAGCCCCAGTTGCCTCGCCGTGTTTGCTCTGATTCCTGCATGTAAACTGTATATGTACGCCAAGCCTACCCTGCCCCTTGGAGCCCAGCGTCAAAATGTCCGTCTTCGAACTGCTCACGCCGCTGAACTGCGGGCTAGCAATCGTCTTCCTCTTCTTCCTCAAGAACCTCACCACGTCCAATGCTCGATCACCACCCCCATATGTGCCACCTGGTAAGGAGGTTCTCTTTCTATATCGTTGAGAGATATACAGTACTTACTGCTGGACGACAACAGAACCCATCGTCCTCAAAGACTTCACACCAAAAGACCTCCTAGCATTCGACGGCACCAACAACTCTAAGATATACATGGGCGTAGGCGGAAAAGTGTACGATGTCACGCGTGGGAAGGACTTTTACGGCCCGGGAGGTCCATATGCCAATTTCGCGGGTCATGATGCGTCCCGCGGGTTGGCTAAGCACCGGTTTGATGCGGAGATGTTGGCGGATTCGGAGGGTTTGATTGATAAGTTGGAGGATTTGGATGCTGAGGAGAGGGAGGCGCTGGCGGAGTGGGCGGCTATGTTTGCGTCAAAGTGAGTGCTGTGGGGTTATAGGCTTGGGTGTAGGTGTGGGTGTGGTCTGATGGCTCAACATCTTTTCTGTTTTGTTAGATACGATCTTGTGGGAAGTTTGGTGGAGAATGAGGGCGTCAAGACAGCATGAAAGCCGGATGTGCTGTCGCTGTATCCAGGCTTCTCCCCATTCGGCGTAATTCGATAGATGCGTTGGCATTGATTCACTCTTACATCCTTTCATTGCGAAAAATACCAATATGCTTGTGTACATAACCCAAACCCTACCATAAGAAGAGTCCGGCGCGGAACATCCACGTCGAGTTTCCCACTTGCGATCCACGCTGTCTGTCGACAGCAGATTCTATCTACTGCTATGAAGGCGCGAAACATCTATTCGAGGATCTTGGTGACGACACCGGTTCCAACCGTCTTCCCGCCCTCTCGCACGGTGAAACGAAGCCCCTCATCAATAGCGACCGAATATGAGAGCTCAACGAGCAGCTCCACGTTGTCTCCCGGCATGATCATCTTTCCCTCGTTCCTGTTGTTGCGGCCGGTCTCGGTGTCCGGCCACAGGAGCGACGCGGTCACGTCCATCGTGCGGGCGTAGAGTTGGGGCTTGTAGTTTTCTACGAATGGCGTGTGACGACCTCCTTCGTCCTTGGTGAGGATGTACATTTGTGTCAGGAACTTCTTGTGGGGGGTGATGGTGCCTGGCTTGGCGATGACTTGTCCTCGGCGGAGCTGGTCACGCTTCAGACCACGGAGAAGGAGACCGGCGTTGTCTCCTGCCTCAGCGCGCTCAAGTTCTGGGAGTAGAGAATTCATTCGTCATCAGCACAACCTCGGTCGCATACAGAAAACGATTCTCACGTACCTTTGTGGAACATCTCGACACCAGTGATGGTGGTCTTCAAAGTCTCTCCGTATCCAATAATCTCAACATCAGCTCCCTTGGTGATGAAGCCACGCTCGACGCTTCCGGTAGTCACAGTTCCACGACCAGCGATGGAGAAGACATCTATGGAGAGTCTAGCAATCAGTAACCCCCTCCTGGAACATGCCATATGCGACTGAAGCCGTACGCACCTTCAATGGGCATCAGAAAAGGCTTCTCCAAGTCACGGACGGGGGTGGGAATGTAGTCATCGACAGCCTGCATGAGCTTGAAGATAGCCTCCTTTCCGATTTCTGGCTCACGGTCCTCCAGAGCGCAAAGGGCGGATCCCATAATGATCGGCACTTCCTCTCCCTCGTATCCGTATTCTCCGAGAAGATCCCTCATCTCCATCTCGACCTAGCAGACGCGACTCTTCATCAGAGGCTGATCCCACCCATTCTGCGCCGAACGATTCCAGCTCACCAGTTCCAACATCTCCTTGTCGTCGACAGCATCGACCTTGTTGATGAAGACCACAAGCCTCGACACGCCGACTTGCTTAGCGAGCAACAAGTGCTCACGAGTTTGGGGCATCTGTCCGTCAGTAGCAGAGACGACGATGATAGCACCGTCCTACAAAAATGAAGATTGTTGGCTCCTCCGCCGCGTTGCTCTAAGATTCTTCACAAGAACCATACCATCTGTGCGGCTCCAGTAATCATGTTCTTGATGTAATCAGCGTGTCCGGGACAGTCGACGTGAGCATAGTGACGGGTGTCTGTCTCATATTCGACGTGGGTGGTGGAAATGGTGATACCACGAGCTCGCTCTTCCGGTGCCTTGTCGATGGAAGCGTAGTCCCTGAAGTCTGCTCCTCCCTTCTCGGCCAGAACTATTCAAAGTCCATTCAGGTCAGCCACGACCATGAACGCCTTTCCCAATCAATAATTCGAACGGACCTTTCGTGATCGCCGCGGTCAAGGTAGTCTTTCCGTGATCGACGTGTCCAATGGTTCCGATGTTAACGTGTGGTTTGGCACGTTGGAAAGTTGCCATAGAACGGACTGCCAAGCGCACAATCGCACAGGGTAAGTTTCCGGGATATAAGGCAGGCTTTATGAAACACACTTACGAAACAGTGATGGCCGAGCAAACGTGTGTGCCGGCGTTGCGCGTGCAGAGGAGGAGAGGATGGAGCGGGAGTTCTGGTAAAATGAACCTCTGGTGAGTTCAAGAAATCGTGCAAAAGGTCCCAAAAAGTCGCCCCACTTACGGTGTTGAGACATCTCCGTGCAGAGACAGCGGCTGCTGGGGATAGCGACCGAGCGGATCCGTTCGTCAGTATCCACGCCAAAATGGTGAAGTCCACAGATCACCGAACTGCGGAGAAAATGTTCACATACCACATGACACCCGTGTGCTGGCCGCCGCTCTCAGACGAGCGGCACGAACAAAGGAGACACCTGCGCGGCTAGACATGTTTGGCTAGGGGAGGGCTGTGAGCTGCGAACCGTTCGTGGGAAACGAAGTTGCAATTGCAAGGGGGGCTCGTCGTGCGAAGAAACGGAACTTCCGGGGTCGTTGCCTGGAAAATGCCGCGTCGCTGATTGGCTGCACGCTTACGTTAGCAAGAAGGAGTTGGCATTCGAGCCCTGAGGGTCCAGCAAGGTTCGCAAACGCAGCACATCTCCAAAGCAATCATGTCGAAGAAAGCTACCCCAAAGCAAGACCCTGCCGAAAAGCCCGAGGGCGCCGAGGATGTCGATGAGGAGCAGGAGCAGGGAGGAACTCGCGGCCAGGCGAACAAGGACATGAAGAACGTGTCCGGCTTCGACGACGAGGGCGGTGATAATGTGGACGAGGACAAGCTGGGGAAGGTAGCTTGGCATATGGAGAGCCGGTGCAGAGAACAGACGAAGCGGCGGCTAACTGGAGACGGTTGGGCAACTTGAATAGGCGATGAACTTCCTGACAGACGTCAACAACAAGCAAAAGGCACAAAAGACCTCGCGCGAAAAGGAGCTCGAAAAGGTGGTCGTTGCCAAGGAGGACATAGATGTAGTGGTATGTTCCCCATTAACCCTTCTCCCCTCTCTGGTCGCTGCTGATTGTTTATTTCCACATAGATGAACGAGTTCCAGATCCCCAGACTCCAGGCAGAGCGCGCATTACGGGAAAACCGAGGGAACCTGCCGGATACATTGAAGGCGCTTGTATCTGTAGCATGAATGCTGGGATCCCTGAGGGCTTAGGCGAACGGCTTATACTGGCGTAGGAGAGGGGAATACCGTCATTTTGGCAAAGTTACGAGATGTGTAGGACGGACGATCTGTGCACACTGCTTCAAGGGATCGCATTTTATCTGAATTCAACTACGTTACGTTTTCGAAGAAACTGAGCAGGTTGGATATGGCTCCCGATATCGGACTTCCCTCTGCAGTATCCCGCTCCGCCAACGCTCTCATAACAGCCACCCCTCCCTCATCAGCAAGCCTCCCAGCCACTTTCTCCGGCATAGACCCCTCGTGCGCTTTGCACAACCAATCCAACAACGTCACCGCCAGTACCGTATGACTCCCATTATTCACAACCAGATCAACCATCGCGTCCCAGATCAGATCTACCTCCTGTAACCGCTTCCCCCACCGCGAAATAAGCGTCAGGGCTCCCCATGCGTCTTTGCGTACATCATCATCTTCTTCAGCTCCACATAAGGATATCAACAGTGGAATGATACCCGCGCTTTCTGCTTGCCGTGCCAGGCGAAGTGAAAGCGTGCTTAGGGCGGCCACCACGCCACATGCAGCGAGACGGATACTGCTATCGCGGTGGGTGAGGAGCGGCGGTAGATGTGTCAAGACATACAACTCATGAACCCGGTTCTCAAACTGCGACGACGATGACTGCATCGCCAATTGCGTGAGCCGATGAAGGAGCGCAAGAGCACTGGATATCCGTCGTGTCGGAAAATCAGACGAGGCGGGATTGTAGCTGATCATAAGCAGCCGCGTCCAGGTTTTCGGCGTGAGAGTCAGAATCGGGGAGAGTGCGTCCAATCCTCCCTGATGTGGAACAGACAGGGCGACGTAGGAGGCGAGCCCGATGGCGGATGCTGTCGTGGATGGTGAGAGGGTTTGGCTTTCCAAAGCGGATACGATGGAGTCGAGGATGGCTTGTACAGTTTTTATGTCTTCGGAAAATCGCGTAAAGTGCGTGTAAACAATCGCCAATGCGTGTTCTGCTATTTCATCGACTTGCGTTTGGTATTCTGTGGGGTCCTTGTTGAGGATGGTTGAGTTGAGCTTCAGAGCTTCGATGTGCGCTGGCGTGATGAATGATGCAACATATTTCATCATTTTTGAAGTGGGCGGTGATGCCTCGTCCAAACAGCAGAAAAGAATTCGAAGCACCGACAAAGCCCCAGTAACGCTGAATATGGGAGCTTCCCGGTGTTGTTTGTCGCAAAAGATCCGAATGTCTTCAAGGACGCGTCTTTGAAGATGACACGCCTCCTGCTCCTCCCCATTCCACCCCAACGTCCGTTCGCAAACCCTTAGCAGCGCCTCGCTAGGGGACACCAACCACCCACCCGCCTCCTTTGCAACCTTACTCCACGCCTCCTCCCTCCAAACTCGTTGATAAACCCCTTCCCAAAAATCCCCCGCGACAAGCTCATCCCTCAATTCCTGATCAGGCAACAGCGCCAGCAACTGACAGAGCAGGATCGACTGCTTCGTTTCGAAGAAATCGAGGTTGTCGTCGCTTAGCATGCTGGAGAGGGCGTATTCGGATAGGGAGGGGTGGAGTTGTAGGACTTCTAACATGCCTAGAACCACGCGAGCGCCGGCATCGCTGTGTGCTAAGGTAGGGGTGCTTAGGATGTTCGATGCCCGGGCTACCACGTCTGTTGTTTGTGTGAAGAGATCACGGAAGGTATCGTGCCCTTGGCATAGGTGAACGGCTAGGAGGCAGAACTCGTCAAAGTGGTCATCGCCTACTTCCTCGAGTAACTCGGTCATCGTAGCTTGACCGCGCGCGGTATCATCCACTGGTCCAATCTGTCTATCGATCCTCTGCACAAAAGCGTCGCCAATCGTCTGGACCAACTGCCGGCGAAGCTGCACGCATCGATATCCGGTTTGAGCTGCGTCGCGGGTGTTGTTCGTCTCGCCGAGTTGCAGCGTGACGAGATTCAGCAGACCCAGGTAGATCGATGCAAAGCTCTCGACATCGGCTCCTTCGACCGTCCAAAGATCTATCAGATCAGCCATGATCCCCAGATTGAGAATGTCGTCTAAGTAGTCCGCTCGGACCGTCGCCGTGCAGGTGTTCATTAAACGAAGAACGGAATTGAACGTGTTCATTGACTTGGCCGCAATCAGGCCCGTTTGTTTGAGCAAGCGAAGAAGTTGTGGTAGGAACGTCTGGGCGATTAGGCGTAGAAGAGTCCATGCCATCGGGTACGGCGAGGGTGATGCCTGACTTTGTCTCGCGCCGCTCGACTTCGGAACGTGCATCAAAGCTTTCTCAGCTCCATCACCCTCTTCCGCCATCAGAAGCATCGATATCGTACTATTGTACGTCTGCAGCGTCTGCACAACAACCTTCCCCATCCCAGTCGCAACCCCCTCCCTTAGCATATTCGCAAGCCACCCCAGCAACGCCCTCAAAAACACCTGCATATTCCTCACAACATCCCCATCAGCGCCCCCAAACGGCACACGAAACGTATCCAGCATCCCCTCCGCGACAGCCAACGCGGTAAGCAGATCGGCGAGCCCTCCCTCACTCGCGCGAGCTTTCTGCACGTTCAGGCTCGTCATACCGCGTATCACCGCTTTTAGGAGCTCGTCGCTTGCTATGATGTCGCGGACGGACGTTGGCTCGGAGACGAGATCTAAGAGGGCGGTCCAGTCGACTTTTGGTGGCGGGCTTGCGGGGGTTGTCCTGAGCGGCGCGTCTATGCTGTGGTGGGATATAGAGGTGCCTGACGTGCGTCTGGAGAGACGGTCATCGTCTGCAAAGTGGGTTGGGAGGCCAGCATTCGATGGTCGTTCGCCCTTTGCTGGTTGTGAGACATGGTTTGGATGGCGGAGCGAGAGGGAGGTTGTTGAGGAGTGTCGGGACGATTCTGAGGTGATTGTATCCGCTGAAGAAGGCTGGCGCTTTCGGAGAAAGGTCCACTTGTCGTGGTGCTGCCCGCTTCTGAAGTGATCGTTTCCGGAAAGACCGGCCGTGAGCATTGTTTGGACGTAACGTATGAGGGCCGTTTGAAGATTGAACTTGACAATGGAACGCGAAGAGGAGCTGGACAGTGGAGAGGACACCAGCATCGTATATTCATCCATTTCGGGCGGTGGCTCGCACACCTCCAACATGCTGTTTGCATATTCCACCAGCGCTGCCATCCTTCTACCATTCTCACGAACAGCGCATCATATTCCTCATGTTGTCCAAACCATATTATATGAAAGTGCTCCAGCAACCGCGGTTGGCCACCACCAAACACCCGCAAAAGGATGAACCGGTAACCACCATATCGCCGCGATGTCGGGAAGCTGTATAAACGTTCTGCAAACCCTGCCAAAGCTTCGAAAGGATCGCTTCGATGATTGAAAATACAATCCTGATTATGGAAAAGCTGTACAACTAGGCGTCGGTAGTTTGAGATGAATGGGTCTTGGGCATGGAGAGTTTCGATGTGGTCCGTGATTTCGGGGCGGAAGGTGAAGAGTAGTTCAGACGTAACCATTCGTCCTGTAGAGTGCGCAGCGGACGGTTTCTGTCGAACTTCGTGCTCTTAAAGAGTATATCTTGCAACTCTGCGGCGCTCCTTCGTTCGAGGTCTTTGAGGTCCTGTTTGCTTGGTTGCGCCTGCATTGCTTTGGAAAAGCCTTACAAAATAACAATAAGGCATTTAATCGACGAAAATCAGTTGCCGGAAGCCCACTCACCGTGCGTGCTGCCGCTTGCTCTATTGATAACGGGAGTTTTGGTGCTAGCGAAGTATGTACAGTCAGTGGACATAAAGCTGTGTGCATGCCAGATTAAGTCAGTGTCTGACGCGCGTTGCGCGACATCAACTCATCATCCTTAATCTTGGGGCATTGCGAAACCTGACCTAAATGAATGGATCTAGATCTGAATTTCGCTAATACCTAGTTGTCCCCCCATTGGCTGCGATTACGGCTTCTTCGATTGATAGGCGGTTGGTGCAGTGGCACTCTCGTTCGCAAACCTCTTAATAGTGTTCCTCACAGTATTCCTGTGAACGTGCTCCTGCCTTGCAATTTCAGATGTCGTCTTGCCTGCTATATGGAGGGCAACTATGGCTGCCCTTTTTTGTGGTGTGAGAGGTTTCCCCATAGCTGAGGTGGTGAAGATGTTGGCGTGCATTTCGCCATCACGGCTTCGTCGCTGGCTTCAATACTCAAGCTTGCGGCTCCAAAACGCGCGGTGCGCTTTGTGAAACGGTCATTGAAATCCATATGGGGTGCACACAGCTTTTTGTCCACTGACTGTACGTTTTACTGAGGTTTGTTGGAGGGAGCGAAGAAGGGAGGAGCAGGAGCCTCAACCACGTGACGCCCTTGATTGGACGCCGCATCTGGTTCTGACATTGCCGCGGTTTCGGACATCGCACATTATACAGTAATAGTTCACGCCCACAGCTTCCGATGTCCATTGGAAGCGGCATACGGCATAACCTTCGATAGGGTAAATACAAAAAGCTAGAGTACTGTCGTTGGAGTCCCCCCGCCTCTACATCTACCAAGAGTGCGCCGTACCGTCCTTCAAGTGCTTAGCCATGCGCTGGAAGCACAGATCATATGCCTCATGCACTTCAGGGACCTTTACGCCAAGTTTGGCCAACGCGGTGGTCAGCTTTGTCGTGTCCAGCTCACAGTTACTCCTTCCCGCCTTGATGACCTTCGCCTGCTCCTCCAGCGAGAAGTTCTTCCATGCAAAGTTGGGGTCAACGTGCTTCTTGTACGCGGCGAGGACCTCGTTGTGGGAGATGGCGCCGGGGTTGGTGAAGTTGTACACGCCGGTGAGTTTCGCTTCGGCCATGGCGAGGGCGGCGGGGAGGAGGTCGTAGAGGATGGTGTTGGAGTTGGGGATGTCGACTACGCGCTCGTACCTGCAGAAACAAAGGTCGGGCGGATCAGAAAAGAATAGTTTCAGACGGTGACGTTCTGCATTCTGGAGACTTACTTGGTGATCTTGGTGACGAAGTTCCTGGGGTTGAGGTCGTCAGACACGGGCATACGGAGACGCAATGTGAGGACATTGGAGTATTGCTTGATGATCTATGTAGGAGACCGTGTCAGTACACAACTCGAAAACGCAGATCGCACAATCCCCTTGGCCACACTGCATTCCTCACCTTCTCGACAAGACCCTTGGTGTAAGAGTAGTACGATCCAGTGAAGTTTGGCTCATCCTCCTCAGTGAAGCCAACACCATGGAACTGGTGTTTCTCGTCGTAGGTGTAGATGCATCCGGTGGCAAAGTTGGTCATGTGGATCCCACGCAAGAACGTGGCGTCGGCGAGGTTGAGGGTTCCAATAACGTTGCTACGGATGGTGGCCTCTTTGTTGTCCTCGCACCTATAAATCGCACGACGATGTCAACACACAACCGACGGCGTAGTCGTCCAGTTCAGAAACCTCCATACTCACCAGTCCACATTGGGGCGGCCAGTCACACCAGCGCAGTTGTAGACTCGGGTGGGCTTGTATTCGTCGAGCTCCCTAAAGGAATTGGTCAGCCAATTGAAGGGGCCAATGGGACTACGGCAGAGGCCTTACTTCAACACAGCCTCCCTGTCCTCCAGACGGATGGTGACACCCTTGACTTCCTTGCCTTGCTTTTGGAGGAGCTCAGCGAGCAGACCGGCGATCCAGCCTTTGGCTCCGAAAATGAGGTGACGCTATAAATGAACCCAGAAGTGAGCTCAATAGCACCAAGAAGAGTACGGAGAAGCAGTGTAGCATACCTCTGTGTTTGTCATTTTGTTGCGTTTTGAGTATGGCAAAGAGGTAGTCTGAGGGCTGTGGTTGACTGTTGCGAGCGAACGAGTTGGACCGCAGCAGCTTGTCTCTCGGCCTGCCCTCCCTGCCTGGCTGCGGCGCTCTCGTCAAAGCAACAACGCGTTCTGCACGCGTCCCCAGCGTCCCCCAACGGTGGCAAGAAACAGGGTTATGGGCGGATTTCAAATGTGGATTGTAAATACTCCTCCCTTTCGCTTATTCCATTCAGGCAATCGCAAAAGCCTGATCAAACATCCCAAACATCTATTTACAGTAAGGCCAGGTCCCTCATACAGCCAAAGGTATCTGCTGCCCATGCCCAGCCTTCCCAAACAAAGAAGTCTCAGACCCCGGCGCCTCATCCAACAAGCGCGTAAACGTCGTCCTCGTCGCCACGTCCTGAGGCTCAATCTCAAGACAAAGACGCAGGCATTCAATGGCAGCGTTGCGCTGGTTCAGGGCGACTAGTGCCGTGCTCACTTCCCTGTGGATGGTGGGGGTGTGAATGAAATGGAACCGATGTTTTTACATGATGCCACACGGAGAGGTACCTGAGAACAACAGCATCCCGAACACCCAACCTTAGCGCCTGCGCAATACACTGATTCCCTTCATACTCGCGTCCACGACGCAGGTTGAGAAGCGCCAGGTACGCCCATACATCCGAATGACGGTTATTCAGCACATTCGCTTCCTGGAACAAAAAAAATCATAAATATAACCCCTACTTGCCCGTTTGGAAACGCATTCGCAAACACAAACTCTCACCGCCAAAGCATCCTCAGCCTCCTCCCACTCCTCCGCTGCAATACACGCCTTCCCCACGCCCAACCAAGACGCCGCGTTCGCGCTTGATGCGCAGGCGCGTAGATACATGCTCTTTGCGAGGCGGGCGATGGTTGATGCTTGCGCCGGGATGGGGGATGTGGTGTGTTTGTCTGAGGACTGAGGTGTGGTGTGGTGGGCGATTTGGTGATGGTATTGACGGAGGTAGAGGCTGCCGAGACGTGTGTAGACTAGCGCGATTGAAGCGGGTTCTGCAGGGAGAGGAGGCAGATGTCAGTTTTCACTGCATAGCATATGATGATGTGCGTCGTAATGGGTGACATACCTTGAGACAAAGTAAGAACCGTCTCGTAGCTCCCCTTCGCCGCGTCCCACTGCTTCTGCAGGTACTGGAAATGTCCTGTCCCAATCCAAAGAACAAAGCACACCGTAAATACCACCATCAATCCTCGCTGGTATCGAAAACGCGTCCTTACCCAACGCCGTCCATACATCCGGATCATCCTGCCGCACCTCCAACGCATCCACCAAATGCTCCTCAGCGAGTTTCTGGTTCCCGCGCTGGAGCTCGAGCTGGTGCAGGAGGAGGTGCGGTTTGATGCGTGAGGCGTTTGGTTGGAGGATCTCCTATGATTTTGGTGTCAGATCTTTGCTGGGGGGGTTTTTGGGGAAATGGAGCGGGAGATGGGGGGGCTTTTACCTGTGATAATGCCCGCTCGGCCATCTGCCCGGCTTGGCAGTGGATGAGGAATTCGGCGGCGGTGATGAAAGTGGATGGTGCGTCGGGTTGGCCTGCACGATTAACCGAAAAGTATAAGGACTCCCCTCTCGCCCATCTTCCCGCTATCCAAAACACATAAGAGATTAATCCTAGTCTCACCAGCAGTAGCCAGCTTATGCAACTTCTGCGCCTCAGTAATATGAATCTCCGACTCTTCTTCCTCGCCCAAAATATCATACAGCAATCCCTACAAATCAAAAGGTCAGAACACCCTACGCGACAACCCAAATGTCTTGGACGAGACCTCTTACCAAGATAGTAGACACCATAGCCAGTTTCGGCTGCAACTCGAGGGCGGTGACGAGGAACACGCGGGATTCTTCGAACCGTTCGTTGACGCAGCAGAAGGAGCCGTAGGCTAACAAGCTTTGAACAAAAAAAGTCAGTCTGATCCGTCCTTCATGAACAACCAATGAACAACCGCGGGAGGAAAAACAATACCTCGGAATATGCCTCTCATTCCTCCCCAGGATCTCCCTAAAACACTCCTCCCCCTTCCCCGGCATCCCCCGCCGCATACAAAAACAGCCATAATCAAACCTAGAAAAGAAAATATCAATCCCACTTCCCCCACCCCCACACCCACCCCCAATTGTTTTTCCAAATCAAAACCCACCAAGCCTGCGTACTGTCCTCAAACCTCACCACCCGCTCCTTATGCCACTTCTCAGCCCCCTCGGTCCATCCATCCGCCTCCGCGTCGGCTGCCCAGGTTTTCAGTAATTGGAACTCTTCGGCGGGTTTGCTGGTGGGGGAGGTGAAGGACTGCGGGGACTGGAACAGGGCGTTGATGACCGTGTGCATCTTCTCGGTGAGGTGCACGTAGAGCTCGGACATGAAGAGGTGGAGTTCGGAGGGGGTTGCGAAGGGGGATTTGCGTTTGAAGCGCTGGTGGGTCGTGGGAGTATGATAAGCGCCATGAGTGGGGTTTTGCTTTTTGCTCCTCCCCCCGTTGATGCAGTCAGAGGAATCACCTCACCTCCCGAACAACCTCAACCACCGCGCCTTTGACCCCCTCCTTGAACTCAAAATACGCGCCGCTACGATTCAGATGCCAGAAAAACTTCTTCCTTCTCTGTGCTTCATCCGCTTGGTCGTCGCCCGTGTCCTTATCCGCCCCCATCTGCGCCTCATACTCCCACACGAGCTTCCGAACCACTTTTTGTAGTTGCGCTGTGTAGTCCTCGTCGGCGCGGGCGGACCGTTTGGTGAAGAGGAGGTCGGCGGGGATCGTGCGGGGAGGGATGAAGTCGGAGACGTGTTTTGTTATCTGGGGGGGTGAGGGTGGTAGGGTTAGATACGATAGAGGGAGGGGGAGGCGGTGCAGGGCAGGGAGTGTACGGTACCGGCTGCAACTTCTTTTTGTCGAGGAGAGGTTTCTCCAACAACAGCTCCAAGCCCAACGTCGTTCCGAGCGTCTTGTAGAAGTTCGCACTAGCAGCTAAACCCATCCCAACCCATCAGCGGTACATCCCCCAGCAATACATCAACTGAGAAACAACCCTCCTCACAACTTACCCTCATCCCTCCTCTTCTTCCCCCCCGGGCCTGCCGTCGTCGTCCCTCCATGAGGCGGCACATCCAACCCAACACTACTCCCCTTAAACCCGTCCGCGGTCCCCGGCGTCGGCTGCACATCGGGGAGCACGACATCCACCGGCCACCGCCCGCGCACACCAATGACGCGCGGGAAGAGCAGGCAGGACAGGTCGAGGGTTGCGCGGCCGCGGTACTTGGCGCAGGAGGTGTCGGGGAGGTGGGCGAAACGGGGGTGGAGGGTTCGTGTGAACTGTTGGGTGATCATATAAGTTAGCTGGGTGTGTGTGGTGGGGGCCTTTGGGGTGGGGTTTTGTGTGTGGGGGGGGGGGGGGGGGGGGATGAAAATTGTTCCTCTTACCTCAACCTCAACAGCCTCCTTCCGCACAATCTTCTCCCGTAACCTCACCACCGCCTGCGGGGGCACCCAGATGGTATACGTCCCACACGCTCCCCACGACACTTTCTTGACTGGCTCGCCTATCACCGCGAGCGCCGGGGCGGGGGCGGTGGGGTCGGTGGTGTCCGCGGGTGGGAGGATGGATTCGGTGGTGTCTGCGGTGGGCTGCGGGTCGCCGGTGGTGGATGTGGGGGTTGGGATGGCGGCTGTGCTGGGTTTGGGGAGGAGGATGGGTTGTGGGGTTGTTTGGGATGGGTCTGGGGGGTGGTTTGCAATGAGGGGCTTTTAGCTCGATGGATCTTGGAAGATATGCGGGCAATGGAGTTTTCTTACCTGTGGCGATGGGTGAATCGGACATGACGAGGGTTCCACATGCGATTGATATCGGCCGCTCCTGGACACTCTCGGCCGGCAGGTAGAAATTCAGGGCGTAGGAGTAGATATCTACGGGTATTCGTAAGTCCACATGGCATACCCAATCCGCGCCCGTATCCCATCCCCGCGGCCTCCCCCACACTCACTGGAGTTCAAATCCTTCTCGTTTCCCTCCTTTGTACTCCATTCCTCGGGCACCGGCGCCACATCATTCACCTTCAAAGCCAAAAAAGTCCCCTGCTCCACCACCTCCGGCGCAATCAACGGCCTGCTAATCCCCACAACAATCTCGAAATCCGGTCCAATCCTCGCCGGGTCGTCCGCGTCTTTGCCGAGCAGACGGGTGTTGGTGTAAGTGATGGGTTGGGTTTGCTGGAAGGTGAGTGGAGGCGCTGGTGGGGGTGTGTCCGGGGTGGAGGGGTCGCGGGGGGTGTATTTGAGAAAGTGCGGGGCCATGCTGAGGGCGCAGTCGCCGAGGATGGCGGTTTTTTCTTTGGGAAGGGATTCGAAGAGGGTGAAGGAGAGCTTTTTGTTGAAGAAGGTGTCGATGAGGGCTTCATTCACATTGAATGTCTGTTCCCAAGTAAAGTCATATTGTGGGTTTGGGTTGTCCGGGACCACCGGCGACTATGGAAGATTGCTATTTGTGATAAGTTGGATGTTCCACATTGACTGATGGAATCGGATTGATCACCCCATCTGCCGGTTGCCTACTCACATCGACAAAATCAAAGTCCGCCAGCTGGATCCTTACAAACGAGCTGACTTTCTCTCCCTTGGCACCCTTGATGTTCCTCGCCGATGCAACCTTCACATTCAATGTTACTGTAGTATTTGTCCCTCCCCCCGCAGAAGGCTGCGCAAGAGCATTCATAGATCCATGCTCAGATTTGTTCACTAGATCACCACCGGCACCACTGGCTTTGGGTGCGGCGGTGGGAGGAAGGGAGGGCGTATGAGCATTGCTGATACTTTCTCGGCTGCCAGCGGTGCTCGGAGGCTTGTTGAGGCCACCAGCCGGATGGGATTGGGAGGACGGGGTTTGTGGTGTGATGGTGGCTGCCTGACTTTTTGGACGTGCGGCGGACATGGCGGGCGAACTGGACGACGAGCGAGAAAAGCAGAAGTTCTTGCTCTATTCGCTGCTAACGGACGAAGGATGCTTTCTTGGTGAGATTTTGCTAGATATTATCTGGACGTAAACCATTATTTTCCAAGCATGATGAATATCGTAGATGGGACAGGGGAGAGTGGGGAGAGGGGAGAGAACGAATGACAGGAGGTCGCGTGCTTACATAATGCATCGAGGGACTGCGCAACGCGTGCGATGGCTGCTCATCACCAGGTAGTTGCGTTAGTTACACGGTTCACGTTTTGAACAAGTTGGAATGGGGGGGGGTGGGTGGCGAGTCGCGACCACGAGGAACCAACCAGCGCGCGTTCCCTCGTTCGTTCGCAGCGACTCCGCGGGGGAATCGATTCAGAAGGGCGCCGGAATGGCCCCCCTTGCATTAGCCGCCCTAATCAAAAGCACAACTTCCACGAACACCGCAATGACCCCCCCCCCCCCATGGGCATCCCTTCCATCCCATGCAACCAACCCAGCGCACACAGACGCACTCGGTATCATATCATATGTTGAGAAGCTTTGTGCCCAGCATGCTATCCGCCCAGGGCCCCGTCTTCTTTTTTTATACCCAGCCCCCGCAGTTCCCAACTTCCCACTGAGAACTGAGGAAAACGGTCGTTCCGCGGAAAGGAAAACATAAAGGAGAGCTTGCGTTCGGACGGCTTGCGCTTCAGCACGGAGCGTCTGGGCAGGCAGGCATACCCCATCGTCCGTCTCTTGGATATATTCCCCCCGGTTTGAGCAACAATGTCCATTCCCGCAGAGGAGGGCAGGTGAGTTCTCTCGCACCGACAAAGTGAGCCGTGCGATCATCTCAGGATTTTAAAGTTCAAACCTCGTCTGGGAATTCCAGCTCCCCACCGCCCCCCACCAGCCCAACCCGCAAAACGCCCAACGGGCTACCCACCCCCTCCGCATCCTCCTCAACAATGGGCATAGAAAAGCAGCAGGTGGAACGCGCGGGCACCGCCGGCGGACGTCGACCCTCTGAACCCACCTCGCCATTGAAATACGCGTTAGCGGCCGCGCCTGCCGACACAGCCCGCAGGATCCTCCTCTCGGCTCTGAAAGCCTGGCTTACGGGCTACGCGACGGCGGCGGTGCCCAGCATCGTGGGGATCATCTTGAAATGTTTCCGGAAGGGTTTCAACAAGTTCGATTTGAGGGATACCGTCGTCAAAATCGTCCGAGTGCTTTTGGAGAAGAGTCCCCGCGCAAGGATGCCGTGGTTCTTTTTGGCGCTTATTGGGGGATTCAAGGCGTTGGATAGGGTTGCCGACATGCTTGTCAGATACATGTACGCCAGGAACGCCGTGAAAAGTGGGAAGGAGGTTACTATCGATGACGACAAGCATGATCTGGAGAACGGAGGGCTGGTGAAAGACGTCACATCAGCCAAAACAACAACTGTCCCGCCCGCCATAAAGATCATCAACCCGAGCTTTATCGCGGCAGCCATCTCTAGCGGGTTATCGCTGCTCATCATCCCTAAAGCGAAAAGGGCCGATTTTGCGATCGTCACCCTCGTGAGGGCGCTGGATTCGTTTGCGTCGTTCCAGAAGACTTGGATCACCGATGGGTTGAAGAAGCGGAAGGTGCCCCTGAGCCTGGTTGGAAATGCGGATTCGGCCATTTTCATCTTGGCTTGTGCTAGGATCATGTTTTGTTGGTTCTACACGTGAGTAGTGGGATTCTGAATACGGGGGGCAGCCATGCAGAGCGCCCTCATGAGCTTGCGGTACGTCATCTCCCAATACTGATCGTAGTGCTTCTATCGCCAGCCAAGAGGCCCTCCCCCGCGACTACACCAAATGGATCAGCAAAATGTCCCGCCTCGACGTCCGCCCGCTCGAAGCCGTCCGCCTCCTCTCCCGCGGCGAAATGGTCTACGGCCGCGACACGGGCCACGCCAACCTCCTCGGCGACTACGCCGTCTCCCTCGGCCTCCCCTTCGCCTCCGGCGACCCCGCCAACGGCCAAATCCCCTGCACAGTCGTCCACGGCGGCATCGAAGGCTGCATCCGCCACCTCTACCACGTCTGGTGGTTCGGCTTCTGGGACGCCCTGAGGATCTACATCCCCGTGCACCTCCTCCCCGCGCTCATTTTCCACCGCCACCGCTTCACCCACCCCACGAAGGCCGCGGAAACCATCTGGCGAATCGCGCTCGGCGCCGTCCGCTCAGCCACCTTCCTCGCCACCTTCATCGATTTCGTCTGGCTGCCCATCTGCGCCGTGCGGAATATCACAAACGACGACTCGTACCTCGGCCCCACGCTCGGCGCCATGCTCTCCGGAACATCCATCTTCATCGAGCGCAAGAGCAGGAGGAGGGAGATGATGCTGTATGTGGTCCCCAAGGCGATTGAGAGCGTGTGGTGGAGTTTGACAAAGTACGGGCCGGGGTGGAAGGTGCCGGGGGCCGAGGTGCCGTTGTTTGGGCTGGGGATGGGGTACTTGTTGTCGGCGTATGGGCATCATCCGAAGGCGCTGAGGCCCGCGGTTAGGGGCGTGTTGGGGTTCTTCTTGGTGTAGATTTCGTGTAGGTTTTTTGTGCGGTGAGGCATTGATGGGCCCTCTTTCATCTCATTTGTTTTTCCGAGGAAGTGGGGCATATTTTCGCGTAAGGCGTCGGGGGAGTGGGGAGGAGTTTTCGTTGGATTCGACCGGAGGAATATCTGTACAAATTTGGACAACTTTAATTTACACGGTTGCCGCTACATGTTTCTTGCCAAACGACCGGCGCTGTCTTCAGATGGCGATGCCAAGGTTTGCTCACTGATCAAAAGGCGTTGACAGGACCTGTGAAACGGGACGCACACGAGACCAACTTCCCGTCTCAGTCCGGGCACCATCAACGCTCAGCAAAAAGCAGAATGAGGCCAAAGGTTTTCCAAAAACATTCCATTTTTATGCATTTCGTTCGATACGCTGAGAAAGGAGCCCGAACATTATCAAAAAAGCAAAAAAAAAAGGCAGAGGGCGGGCGGGTATGAGTAGCCCTTTCCTCCCAACCCAACAAAAAAAACCAATCAAGCAAAGCCCAGCTTCTTGACTATCCCCCAAAGGAACGAAAAGATTCTAGCGCCCCCATCTCCCAAAAGTACAACGAGGAAGGGAGGGTTTAAAATGTGTGGGTGGGTGCGGCGAACATTGAAAATTTCCTCTAAATCTACTCCTCCTCCTCCAGCGCAAACGACGAAGCCGGCGGGTATCCCGCGCCTCTAAACTCCCACTCCTCGCCGCTGCCCGTCTTGACGACGCTGCGCACGACCTTGGCCGCTTTGATGTACAGCCCGTTCTTGGCCCCGAACGCGGCCTCCCACCCGCGCAGGGCTGCCACGACCTCCATCACGTGGACGTCGTCGTCGACGTGGGCGGGGGCGCCCGCGAGCGCGTACCATTCGCGCGCCATCAGCTGCGGGGTGTTGGGGAGGGTGGGCGAGCCCAGCGGGGAGGTGGAGAGGTTGGCGTTGGTTTCCCCGTCCTCGATCGAGTCGGCGTACACGGCCTCGAGGCGGTCGGGGTGGAGGGTGGGGCGGCCCTGGGAGACGTACAGGGCGAGGAAGGCGAGGAGGAAGCGGCGGAGGAGGTGGGCCTTGTCTTTCGCCTCGGGGATGTGGGGGAGGGTGTGGTTGAGCGAGGCGGCGGCGATCAGGGCGTGGGTTAAGGGAAAGTCGAGCTGTTGCGGGTAGGGGTGGCATGTGGTCGCGGACGAAAGGACGGTGGCGTCGACGAGCTCCTCCAGCGCGGATTGGACGCTCTGCTCGGTATCCTCGACCTTCCATTCCGCGACGAGTTCCGCGAGGTTGGCGCCGAGCTGGGAGGAGATGGCCTTGCGGACACGTTTGTGGTAGTCGATCGCGCCCCAGTTCTTCTGGATCTGGTCCGGGTCGAAGCGGGTGTCTTCGCGCGCATCTTGCAGGATCTCGATGATGTTCGCCGTTTCGTACTGGTCGGTGAGCACGGCGGGGAGAGTCTCGACGATCGGGGCGTAGGTGTACGACCAGAAGGCAAGACCTTGCGCCACGATCAGGGGTTGCTGGAATTCCAAGCCAAGACCGAGGTGGACGAGGGGGTGGAAGCAGTCGCCGCCGAGACCGGCGATGAGGGTCGGGAGGTAGGTGGAGACGGTGGGTTCGATGCCTTTGGCGTGGATCTCGGAGAGGAAGAAGGAGGCGTAGTCGGCGTAGTGGGATTGGCCTTTGCCGAGGAAGTCTTTCCAGTTGTTGGCGTTGATTTCGGTGATGGAGGGCCCGACGGGGGTGAGCATCTTGCTTTCCAGGTCGTAACGCTCTTTGAGAATGGTCTCGGAGGCTGTGCGGAGGTAAACGAAAATCCATATTATTAGCGTTATATGCAATATCGCATCGGGACCCATCCGTTCGTAGCAGAAACCGCACTCAAAAACTCACCATTGACCTTATAAAGCGACAAAAGCGAATGCGCAATATAATTCGGCTGGTAACTCTTCGTATGCTGGTTCAACACCTCCACATGATGGTTCTCAAAATCATCCTTAAGCAGTTTCTCAACCATGTTCCAGCGCGCCTCGTCGGCCTCCTGGTTGAACGCGGGCACGATGCGCGCCTTGGTGGGCACGGGGGTGGGCTTGCCATGCAGCAGGCCCTTCAAGGCTGAGAGCACGCTGGAGGGGGCTGAGAGGGGGGCGATTGCAGGCATCTTTGGCGACTTATTGTGAAGGTTATTGGGGGATGTGGTGGGTGAGGCGTGGTTGGAGAGGGTTGCCGAAACGTGGCTTTTTGGTTATATTTTGGTTGACGCGGGGTTCGAGTGAAGATGGATCTCCAGTCGAAGGGTTGGTGGGCAAAGAGAGATGTGCCCGTGGAGTTCGAGTGCGCTTTCGTGCTCTTGATGTTTGATCGTCGACTTGGGAGGACGACGACGAATGCAAGGGTGAGTAGGGTTGTTGATCTGGAATTGGGTTGCGTGGGGTGGAATAGATGTGGGGCTAGGGACAGATGAGAGTTTTGGAAGAGTTTTGGGTAGGCTGGTTGGAGTTTTTGCAATGAAAATATGCTGGAAAGAAGAATCGGGGAGGGATGGGAAGGACCCCCGTTTTATAGCATTTGGCGTCTGGAACGGGAGAAGCTGCAAGAAAGTGGAGGAACGCCCTGCTGCGTATCCTTGGACACCATATCGAGATGGTGCGCCTCCGTTGGGGCATTCTCAGCCGCATGGAATGTTTACGCGAGGGCATGCTGTGCAGTGGGGGGAGACGTGCACTGAAAGGTGCGCAATTGGGATGTGATGGCTGATTGCGCATTCGCTGCTCGGGGGCGGTGGGGGGGGAAGACTCGAGGACGGCATTATTGACAGGGCAAAAGGGTCTGCAGGCCTGGCCGCAAAACTTAACGCACAAGGGACCTCTGCCCTTGTGACCTCGCTCGCCATCACTCCGGCCAGGTAGTAATAGGGCTTCAAATTCATATTCCCGCCTCCAATGCCTCGGAAATGACTTGGGGGATTACACCAGGAACAATAATATGGAACCTGGAAGGAGGGCTTGTGCAATCCGTATAGTAAGTAACTTGGAACGAGGTGTCAATTGTGTCAAACCGCGTCCCTTCTGACCTCCTCCATTCGACCTTGTGCTACGCGACGGATCTCATTTACCCACAGGGTTTCCATTCCGGTGACTTACAACACTCAAACCCGCTGAAGGTTTTGAATTGACTGGCACATTGAATACTGATCGACCATGGATGCACTCAACCTGCGTATGTCTAACAACACCGTTTTGCGTTAAGCATGAAGTTCAATAACAAGAGATCGCCCAGAATCCTCATGCATGTTTATGCGAAAGAGATCGTCAAGGCGCTCTTCCGTAACCTCTTCTCGGTTCCCTCACGGCCGCCTAAAACGGCTTTATCCTTGGCTCCAGATGCAACGAGCTGAGCGGGCATCGGGGCAGTCACCGGGGGGATCGCAAATGCTTGGGGGCGGCGGGGGGGGATGAACCGGTTGGGGGGCGCGTGACATACTGACTGGGGTCAATTCCCGATGACACATCGCTAATTCCGCGCAAGCCACAGAACTCATAACGCGCGCACCCAAGTGCACTCCCCCATTGCTCTCACCCATCACTCTCACTTCAGACATCGGGGATTCGCCCCCGTCGCTCAAATGAACGCCTCATCCAGGAGTCGCATGCAGCCTCGTTTGAGTTTTGGCGGGGAGATTGGAGGCCAGCCGCATACATACTGTACATTTTGCACTGGTGCTGCGGATCGGTATGGAGGTCTCCGTTTTGGCGACATCCTCTGAGAGAAGTTGCGCTAAGTTGTCAAAAGCAACCTCAATTTGGATCTGAGACGGGCAGCACACTCATCAGCTTCAATGACGGGCATGGTAGTTTGGCGAAAGGTAATAGTGCTTGTAGCGACGGGTTGGGATATGAAAGGCGAGAAGTTCTGCTTCGCAAAGGGAAAGGCAACCGATACCGGCCGCCTTGATGATGCCATATGATACTTTGAGTATTAGGCTCTCAAGTTCAAGCTCCGCATTGCCTGCAATCGGATTCCATGGCCCAGATCCAGCCAGATCCAGTTCCATATATGCACAAGTTCGATCAATCGCCAGAAATTGACAAGTATGCTCAATACGTAGTGTCAATTTTACCCATTCGAGCAACGCTTTTTGGTTCACGTCGTTCAGACATCCAGATACGACATCCTCCGTCACCATCTTACCCAAATCCGATGCTGTTTCTCCAGCAGATGTATTTGACCCGCAAAGGATCCCTGACTGAGAATATATATATACATAGGGGCCAGAATCTTTTGTCCAGAAAAGGTTCTAAAATGCTGCTCAATATGGCTTGATGCGGTGAAACGCCCTGCGATGGATCTGGAAAGCACGGTTCTTTTGATGAACCTGAAATGGAGTCTTGGCCTGCCTTTGCCCCACATTTCACCCATGCAAGCCCTTGCCAGCACTTGCAGCGCCGGCCCTGGCGCCGGCCGGAGCGGCCAGGAAAGGGCAAGCGCGTCGCGACCATGATGTGGGAGATGTGGGTTTGGCGGAGGCTCGAAGGTGCAACGTGTGAACGAAACTTCCTTCTCGCAAGCAGCAGAATACGCACTCAACCCAACGAGCAGTTCGCTGCATCTCATCTATTCTGGAGAACGTTGGCGGACGTCTCATACGCAAGATGGTTGCACCAACAACTGTCCCGCCGCCTCCACTGCTGAAGACCTGTCTCGAGCGTCTCGCGCACGAAAGCAATTCGACGTTTAGGTCGTCCGAGCTGAAAGAAAGCGTCACTGCCGCCATCGCGAAATTCGACGCCGAGTTCGAGCAGAACGCAGAGAGTAATGGCGCTGCAATAGGGTAAGTAGGAGGTATGCGTTGTCTGTGACGTGGCCAGGCTTGCAACTGACTATGTGATCTCCCACCAGCGCCGATGGGTATTGGGCACCATTCAAGATCGCCTGTCACCACAACCAACCGCCACGTATAAGGGAGGCTGCGTTGGACTGCCTCCAAAAACTCATCGCCCACAACGTTCTGCGAGGTGCTCTCCCGCTGGACGCCGTCGTTGACCAGTCTCACACACGCATTCCGACTGACGATGGACAGGGCGTCCCTGGGACCGACAATGATCTCTCGCGACTGGACACTTCCTCCCCACTACCAGTGGTGACCGATGTGCCCAGTGATGCGTTACCGAATGATAGTGCTTCCAGTGGAGCGGCTCCGAGTCAGGCGGAACCTGAGCGACCAGCTCCTGCTCCTGCAGCCAACGGCACACCAGCAATAACAGCGCGCAGCACGTCGCTGTTGGCGACGGGCGTCGGCGATACCCCACATTACCCGCCCAATCCGTACCTCATTGATGAGATCATTCATACCGTCTGCACAACATTCAGCGGCTCTCAGGGAGACGACACTGTGCAGCTGCAAGTACTGAAAGTGTTACTGACTGCCGTCACGTCGACGGCATGTGAGGTTCATCAGGTGTCCCTCCTGAAAGTGATCCAGACGTGTTTCAACATTCACCTGAACTCCCGAGCGCCTGTGAACCAAATGACGGCTAAAGCTTCGCTGACGCAGATGGTGAACCTGATCTTCTCGAGGATGGAACGATACGCGGACGTCCTAGCGAGGAGTTTGGAGACGGGATCGATGGCCGAAATCGAGAAGTTGACGGGGCTTCATGATGCCGGGGCTGAGAAGACGGAGGCGTCCGATGTCATTGTGGAGGGTTCGGTACAGCCAGATGTTCTCAATGACAATGTCATGCCTCTTATCGAAGTGGACCTCAATGAAGGAGGGTCCAATAGCCTGGATGCTCCAGCGGAGCCGTCGACCGAGTCGAACACAGCAGAGGAACAGCATGGAGCTGCCAGCTCAGATGCAAACGAAAACACCCCAGCGGCTGATGGTTCGGCGTCTACCAATGGCAGCTCATCGGCGCCTCCTCCCACGATCGTAACCACAAAGCCCGATGGAACTTCTCAACAACTGGAAGCACCTCCACAACTTGCGCGGAGAGAGTCCACTGGTCCACAGCTGGAAGGAAACCCCTACGATCCCACCATCGCTTTCTACAGCGAGCTTCTGCGAAAGGATGTTTTCCTCGTGTTTCGCCTTCTCTGCCGACTTTCAGTCACATCCGAGAATTCACAGACTGTTTCGGCGACGTTCAACGCTGCCAACGTCAAGGAAGCCTCATCTATGAACGAAATCTCCCAGCAGTCCACCAAAGCGCGTCAACTCGCACTGGAGCTGATTATGTCCGTAATGAACAACTGTGGCCCGGTTTTCCAGTCCGACGATCTGTACGCTGGTTTGATCAAACAGAACTTGTGCCTGTCAATCTCGCGAAACGGTGTTACGACCAACCCACAACTCTTCGAGTTGAGTTTGTCCATCTTCCTGATGGTCATTCGATTCTTCCGGTCAAAGTTGAAATTGGAGATCGAGGCGTTGCTGAACACCATATACCTCCATATCCTGGAGATGAGCAACTCGACCTACAATCAGAAAAGGATGGTCTTACAGGCTCTCCTGAAGATCTGCGAAAACCCCCAGACACTCGCCGACTTCTACCTCAATTACGATTGTGACATATCGATGGTCTCCCTCTTTGAGCGGATCGTCAACGTATGCAGCAGAGTAGCGCAAGGCCGCGACACGAGCACACCCGTTGCAGCAACGGGGATCATGGGCTTTGCAGTCAGCGCCGCCGGTCTAGACTCAAAGGAACAGCTCGTGAAAGCCCAGGACAGGCGGTTGAAACTTCGTGGGCTGTGCTGTCTTGTGGCATTAGTGAACTCGCTGGCAGAATGGAGTAAGGATATCGCTCCTAGTCTGCCAATCATTTCGAGGATTAAGAAGAACATCGAGGTGGCCAAAGCGATGAAAACGGAATTGAAAGTGGAGCCCGCCGAAAAGAAGAGCGTGGATACCCCGCGATCTACGACGAGCGATGTGCCTACGAAGAGCTTCCTCGATGCGCTCGCAGCAACGAATCAAGCTAACCCGGTGCTGGTGTATAAGCATCCTTTGCATAATGTGTCTATGGAGCACGTGAGTAGCTGTGTTCTCTTGGTTGAAATTGCGCTGCCGGACTTGCTCACCCTCTGAAAAATAGAAACACCTGGCACAAGCCTTCTCAACTGGAAGTGCGACCTCTCTGGCAGCGACGCCGACAGAATGGAGTCCCGACGACAACGTCCAGATCGAGAATCTCGCGTCCCGCAAGCTGCAGATGCGGAACGCCATCAAGCAGTTCAACGTAAAGCCAACCAAAGGCGTCAAAGCACTTATCCGCGATGGTTTTGTCGAGGAAGATCCCATGTCGATTGCAAAGTTCTTGCGCACCACCGACGCTCTAACCAAAGCTGCCATAGGAGAGTACCTAGGCGAGGCAGACGCCTTCAACGTAGATGTCATGCACGCCTTCATCGACACTCTCGATTTTACGGAAATGGACTTTGTCCCCGCTTTACGGGCCTTCCTGCAGACTTTCCGCCTCCCCGGCGAAGCGCAGAAGATCGACCGGATCATGGAGAAATTTGCCGACAGATTCTACGAGAACAACCCGGACATGTTTGCCAAAGCCGACACGGCGTACACGCTCGCCTTCTCGGTCATCATGCTCAACACCGACTTGCACTCGCCCAGTATCAAGCACCGCATGACGCCCGAGGGATTCATCAAGAACAACCGCGGAATCAACGATGATGGGGACCTGCCTGACGAGCTGCTGACCCGGATCTACGAGCAGGTGTCGAAGAACGAGATCATTATGGAGGAGGAGCATGCCGGGCGGTTGGCGCAGATGGCAGTTGGATGGGGTGCGGGAGATTTGGACGATCGGCAGCGGATGGAATTGTACCGTAAGGAGATCTCGCAGGTGCAGAAGAAGAGTTTGGGGATGCTGAAACAGGGGATCAAAGGGAAGGATATGGCGCCGTTCAGGACGGCGTCGGGTGGGGAGCTTGCGAGGCCTATGTTTGGAATGGCGAGCTGGCCTTTGATGGCGGTCTTTAGTTTGGCGTTTGAAGGCGCGAATGATGATGAGGAGGCTGGCGACGAGAGCTCTGGAGCAGCAGGGCTGGGTGAACCGAAAGCCTCCGATTTGGCGTTGGAGGGGTTCTCCTTCTCGATACGCTTAGCGAGCATCTTCCGGATGGAGACGGAGCGAGACGCCTTTGTGACATCGCTGTCCAAGTTGACGGGCTTATCCCATATCCACGACATTCGGCCAAAGAATATCCGCGCCATCAAGACGCTGATTGTCATTGCCGATTACCTCGGGGAGTACTTAGAAGGCAGCTGGATGCAGGTGCTGAAAGCTATATCCCACCTCGAGCGCATGCAGATCATCCTGAATAGGAGCTCGTCATTCGATGGGAAGCGCAGTGGGGATTATGATCGGGACGGCGAAGGCGAAGAAGCGGGCGTTATCCCGTTCAGTGGCAAACCGTCCTCATCGAACGCGTACCGGACAATCGAAGACGTAACCAGCCAAGCCCGCCCCAATCCGGCAGTCGAGAAACTGATCGCCGAGTTCCACAACCAAGCTACCGTCGTAGCCGTAGACCGCATCTTCACCAACACTCTGAAACTCTCTGCAACCGCGATCATTCACTTCTTCCGTTGCCTCTGCTACGTCTCGATGGAAGAAGTCGGGTTGGATCCCGTCACCACCGCCCCCGGAGCGATCCCCAACCAGGCTGCGGGTGCAGGGACGGGCTCCTCGGCACCGAGGATGTACCTCTTGCAGAAGATTGTGGAGATTGCGTATTACAATATGCCGAGGATTCGGTTTGAATGGACGCAGATTTGGAGGATTTTGCAGCCGTACTTTAATACGGTGGCGTGTCATCCGAATTTCAATGTTGCTACGTTTGCGGTGGATTCGTTAAGGCAGCTGTCTATGAAGTTCCTCGAAAGGTGCGTTTAACGTGTATAATTAGTGCGGGAAGAAGCGTACAGCCATATTCTAACGTCCCTACATTGACTACAGGGAGGAACTAGGACACTGGACAGCCCAGAACGAGTTCCTCAAATCCTTCGAGTGGATCATCAAACACAACCCAGACCCGCGTATCAAAGAGCTCATCTTATCCAGCACCCGCCAAATGATCCAAGCCCGCGGGAAATCCCTCCGATCCGGCTGGAAATCCATCTTCGTAGTCCTCTCCAAGGCCGCGCAGAGCGGCGATGAAAAGATCCTGCGGCTGTCCGTTAGCGTCGTGCAGATGATCTTTTCCGGCTTCTTTGAGTGCGTCGTTGGGAACGCCGGCGCAGGGTTCGTGGACTTTGTCGCCTGCTTGGTGGAGATTTCGCTGGTTGAGGAGCCGTCGGGTGAGGAGGTTGCTGCGGGGGGTATCCAACTCCTGCAAGCGGTAGCGAAATGGCTTTCTGGGTGGAATGGGGACGTGAATGTTCCTGGCAGGAGGAAGCCGTCGTTTGCAGAGGCGGAGCTGAAACATGCCAATGTGCCCTTGACACCCGGCAATGCTCCCGCGGCGACACAACGGCACGCTGCGCAACCGTATTTCTCTGCAAATGGACTTGTCACCGAGGACCACTTCTTCTTGAAATGGTTCCCGGTCCTCTCGGCGTTCTCCAGGATCATCATTGACTCAGAGAGCGTCAACGTGCGCACGAAGGCAATGGACGGTTTGTTCGACACCCTCAAATCGGCCGGTGCAATATTCGAGGTCGGGTACTGGAAGAACATCCAACGCAGCGTTATCCTGCCCATCTTTGCGGAGCTCGGCCGTGGAAGCGATGACGACGACGACGACGACGACGAGACGCTGGGCGGCGAAAGGCCCACTCGGGTTTCGATCGCAAAGTCAACGTACAAGGATCCGGAGATGACAGCGATTTACATTCACGGGTTGCGTCTGTACATCGATCTGTTCACGCACTACTTTACGACGTTGACGGCGAACCCGGATCTTTTACGGAGCGTGTTTGATTTGTTGGTTGGGATGCTTACGAAGCGGGATGAGAAGCTTGCGACCACGGGCGGGATATGCCTGCATGGGTTCATACGCGACAACATGAGCTCCATCGACAATGATGTTATCTGGGGCGTCGTGTCTGAGGCTATTGAGAAGGCGTTCAGAGGCACATTGCCTGGTGAGCTGCTGTGTTGCGAGTATGAAGCGGCTTCGGCACAGTCGGCGACGCCCGCGCCGGTGAAGGAGAAGAGCGAGGTTGCCAAAATTGGGCTGCGGGCCGCGAGGGAGGCTGTAGGCGAGGGCAAGAAAGTCACGCTCGATACGCTCGACTTCGAGTATGTCTTGATCAAGTGTGTGACGCATTTGGAGCTGGTGCAGGGCGTTCGTGATCTGGTGTTTGGATCGGCAGTTGAGTCTTCACGGAGGGGAAGTCGGAGAGAATCGTTGGTGGGAACGAAAGCCATCCCTATCCCGGGGTCACTCGGTACCCCAGGAGCAAGTTCTGCAACATCGGCAACCTCGCCATCAGTAAATCAAACACCGACGCTGTCTCTCATCCCAGCACCATATCGGGCGCGCTGGGTAAAATGCCTTTACCGAAGCTACGCGGTCGCACGCGCGTTCAACGAAGAAACAGCGCTCCGGCAAGCCATCTACCGCAAAGGCCTCGTCCCACAAACGCCGCACCTGATCAAACAAGAAACCGTCAGTTTTGCGACCTACCTCCGCGTCCTCTTTGCGGTGTACAAACTCGACGACACGGCGCGGACGGAGGTTGGGCAGGAACTCGTCAAGGAGACGTTGGATGTGTTGACGCGGTACACGGAGTTTGTGGCGGATCAGGGGCGGCATCAGTTGCATCTGGGGTTGTGGAGCCCCGTGGTGGTGTTGGTGTTCAAGGAGCTGTTGTCGATGGATGAGTTGTGGGTTGGGCCTTTGCAGGATGGGCGAGGGTCCGCGCCTTCGGCAACGCATAACGGCGTGAATGGGACCAGCGGCAGTACGTCTGCTGGCGGAAACTTGATCGATTTACAACAGCAACCAACAACAACAACGGCATCATCGGTGGTTGACGAATGGCTACCAAAATCGTCCTCCCCACCCGCAACGCCAACATCATCGCCGCCACCGCCGCTCGTACAGAACGTCCCCGCGTACTTCCGGGTAGCAGTTAGGATCATGACGGTGGAACGGGCGGAGGTGCGGGCGGTGCTGCAGGAATTTTTGGAACGGGTTGGGGATGTGTACATCCGTGTCTGATGTGCGACACATTGGAGGATGGGGCAGAATAGGGTGTGTTACTTTCTGTATGTAGATAGCTCTGTTGGACGGATGCGCTTTTGTCTCTGTGCCTTCGATGGGGCCTTACTATCTCTTTTATATATACCTTTACTATCTCTCTTATACTCATATTCTCTTGTCCATGTTTGTATGTCATAAACCCATTTGCTATGGCTGTATAGTACATGGATCCTGCGGGAGTCCATCCGTCCGTGCTGTATCATTGAACAACGCGTTGAAAGAGGGGGATATCCGCAGGAGGAGATGGGTGAGTCATGCGCGTCACTTCCATCGCTTTTCGCAGCTGTGCCCGTCCTCATTCCGTCCGCATTCGCTGTCCTAATTCCTCGCCCACAACGGACCATCACCTACTGTATATGTATCTTTCGAGCGTCTGCCGACTCGGACTCCAGGCTTAACGACGAAAACCCCCTCGCTCCCTCACGCCCAGCAAACCTCCCACTTCTTTCATTCTCATACTTCGTTCACCCTCCTCGAGACGACAACACACCCCAGAGCAGAGCGAAACCACAGCGCAATGACACAGAACACAGAGCAGAAGAGGATTCCAGTAGGCATCCTGGGTGCCACCGGCACGGTCGGACAACGGTTTATCCAGTTGTTGGAGGGTCATCCCTATTTCTTTATCCAAGCCGTCGGTGCCTCCCCTAGATCAGCGGGCAAGCCATATTCACAAGCAGCCTCAAAGTCGTGGAAGCAGGCGACCCCCATACCCGACAAAGTGGGGTCGCTCATTGTGCAAAGTTGCGAACCTACGCATTTCAGCAACTGTCGAGTCATATTCTCCGGTTTAGACTCGGACGTTGCAGGGGACATCGAAACTGCTTTCCTGAAAGCCGATTTCGCCGTGTTCTCTAACGCAAAGAACCACCGAATGGACCCGATCGTGCCTCTCGTTGTGCCGCTCGTGAACCCATCGCATATGGATATCATCAAGCACCAACGATCCGTCCACGGTCTCCAACAAGGTTTCCTTGTCACAAACGCAAATTGCTCCACGACGGGACTTGTCGTCGCGTTGAAAGCCCTGCAGGATGCGTTCGGCCCCTTGTCAAAAGTCATCGTAACGACGATGCAGGCGATTTCGGGGGCAGGTTACCCCGGTGTGCCGAGTTTGGACATTCTGGGGAACGTTGTTCCTTACATCTCCGGAGAGGAAGATAAGCTCGAGACGGAGTGTTCGAAGATTCTGGGGAGTCTGAACTCTGACTTGACTGCATTCGAGGCGCCTCCGGAATTGAAAGTGTCTGCGAGCTGCAATCGTGTAGCAGTTATCGACGGGCACATGGAGAGCGTGACGGTGGAGTTTGTAAAGCGGCCGCCACCATCCATCGCCGACATCACCGCCGCCCTCGCATCGTACACATCAGACGCACAAAAGCACAAGGCACCCTCAGCGCCACAACACTCGATCGTTGTGATGAAAGAAGCGGATCGACCCCAGCCGCGGATGGATATCATGGTCGGGAACGGGAATGCGATTGCCGTCGGGCGCATTCGGGAATGTAATATCTTTGATGTCAAGTTCTCCTTGCTATCGCACAATACCATCCTGGGTGCGGCAGGCAGCAGCATCATGAACGCGGAAATTGCTGTTTCGAAAGGATTCATCGAGTGACCGCTGTGTGGCACGGAAGATGGTTAGATATCAAACATGTAGCTGCCCACAGCCAGACCATGTAAATTTCCACAACATCACTCAGTTCCGTTCATACAACATAGATCTATTTCGCTTTCGCAACCGTTTTCCCCCGTTCATACCCATGTCCATTTTGCTTATTCATGTCCGAACATTGGATGCCTGACAGTGACGCACACGCGTAAAACCCCCCTCGCTTTCGACGCGTTCGTGCAAAGTTCGAAGCTTTTTGCCGTGTCCAGGAGGGTTTCCAACAAATTGCGGTTCCTCTTCCGCAAAACAGCTCGTCCCTGCCCATAGGCCGCAACCTTGACCGAAGGACTAAGGTCGCCCAGCAACCACCAGTCATCAGCTCAAAGGTCAGATTTCCCCGATCGTAGGGTCAACCACGCGTCAATAGAAGTTTGCACGAGCGAAGCATAAGCAATGGCATTACGGAATTTCTTCGTGATACACAAGTCTGGACGGACCTACTTTGCCAAGAACTGTAAGTGCTTGTTGGAAAGGTGCACTGAAATTCGGAAAGATGTTTTAATTGCGCGTCATCTTCGGGAAAATAGTTCAAGGGGATGCTTTGGACCAAAGGTACGCGAAGCGGGCATTTCCATACGTCAACATCTGTTCTAGAGTAGACGGGCGTGCAACCAGTGCCGGGGCTGAATTTCATCGTCCGTCACAGTCTAGTTGTCGGCTTCTCGTCCTCAGTTTCGAACTTTGCGCGAACACTCCTGGGTGAGGACATCCGGGAAGTGGTGTCTGTGAAAGGGCGGATCTTGTACAAGGAATTTGGGGATGTGAGTTATTTGGTTTTCACAGAGCCGCGGGTGCAGCGCTTGCTAATGGGGTTTTGTGATGTCAGTTTGTCTTTATAGCGCATAGCGATCTTCAAACAGGAAGTTCGATCATTCAGGCGATTTTACGAGATGTTGGGGCGATGTGCGAGGTACGCCTTATATCCGGAGCAGGGTGGGTCGGAGGGAGAGGAAGGGTAAGCTATGGAGACTGACACCCCTCGATCTGAACAGTTCCTGTTCGGGAACCACGAATACTGGGACGAAGACTTCTTTGATCTAAAAGGCGCCCAGGATATCCTCTCGACCTATTTTGCGAAAATGACGCAGGATCCGAGCACGGTTGTTAGCGGGGTGAATATGGTAACTACACTGCAAAGAGTAGCATTCACGTACCCCTGGGGGCACACGTCTGGCTTACCGCCCGCCTCGAAATAGATATCGTTAGAGCTCGACATCACGGAGCGATTGGACAAGCTTTTGGCGTTTTTGGAAAGCCAGGAGGGGGTGTGCGGGAACGGCACGATGCTTATCCTCGGCGACTCAGTGCTGTATTCCCGGCTTGGCCTGCACGAAACCCGGATGGTAAGTGCATCTTCACCCACACCGACAACAGTCTTCATCCCACTCATAGACAATCACCCGTCCCTCGAAATCACAGATCCACCAATATCACAAATCCCGCCCCCTCGGGCACAACTCCGTCCGCTTCACCCCCGTCTACATCCACGGCGCCTGGCAAAATCTCTACCTCATCCGCCTCCAATCCTACGTCCTCGTCGTCCTCGCCTACATCGACAAAGCCTTCGCGCCCTTACAGAATCGCATCGAAGAGTTCCGCATCTCCTTCATCCAGTCCCGCCTCGAGATACCCACCGAGGAGCCACCGGTGCTGTTGCGACTGTTTGCGAAACGCGAGACCTTGGCGATGCTTTATCATAATATCAAGACGGGGTGCACGATCTTTCCGCAGCTGAGGCCGGGACCCGAGGTGCAGCAGAAGGAGATTCTGGCGAGTTTTTGGGGGCTTTTTTCGGATGCGAGGTTCGTATGATCTGTTTTTGCGTTCAATCTCAAATACGTGTCGATTGAGTTATTGTGCTCATATCATTGTTCTTGGGCTAACAGTTCGAGCCTCCGTGTACCTGGAGTTTCAGAGTTCGTCATCACAAGGGATCAGTACCGGTTCTATGCCAGGTAGGTTCCCAACTATTTTGAAGTGTCCAGCAAACACCGTTCTAACTGCGGCCACATCTTCGCCCCGCACATACAGATCGGAAGGCGTCCACAAACTATACATTCTCATGGCAACGGATTCCGTGTCGTCTGAAGTCGTTCCGAGTATCGCGGCTGATGTCTTGCGGAATCTACGTGCGTTTACGCCAGAACGATGATGATCTCCCTGGCTCCATTGCCATGTATTGTGAGATTGTATATAGATGTGTTCTTATGTGATGAGAAAGGCGAGCAAGTCCGAGTACGCTTTCTCTGCTGTGCACTCATGCTCCTGCTGTATGTCTGGGTGGTCAACCTCCCCGGAGGTGCGACGTAACATGAAACGGACATCCCATCTCAAAAACTAAAGGACCAATCTGAGCCACTAAGCACGGTAATGCATACATTTATTTGCCTCGAAACAACGAGGCTTCATATTTTACGTAACATGGGTGCGCGGAGGTATGTCTAAATTAAACGGGGGTATCTTGGAAACGCTGCGTTTAAGAATCTAAAAGTGAAATAAATCTCGACGGATTTGCGATGCTAGTGGTGTTTGTGTTCCCGTATATACACCGCGAAATATGTTGTACGCCTGATGAATGGTGTGGCAAGCGGTCTCGGTTCCCCCAAATCACGTCGATGCTGAGGAAGCAAAAAAAATTCGAGCCTATTTCCGCCTCCAGGCCACGTACTCGTCGAATAGGAGAGGCCCTGTGATGCAAACTTTGGGTTTAGTGGGGTTGAAACAAACAGCAAGTGCGATGATAGCGGGGTAACACTTACAGGCACTCGTCTCATCATATCCCGTCAGGTCATAACTGACTGTGACGGAGAATTCCCAAAAGCTCCTCCACTGATCCTTGTTCACTACCTTGACAGGGGCCATTTCATCGAGGAAGGCCAAGAAGGAAGGGATCAGCGGGAAATGCTCAGGTGGGCACACCAGCTTCCACATGCCTTTTGCTGCGTGAGGCACAGGGATGATGTCAGTGTCAGTCGGTCCATCTGCGACAGGTGCAATCTGCAAAGCTAAATTGTCTTACCAAGCTGGAGATGGGAGCGAGAATGTGACGGTTAAACCTTGTTCATTGCAGGTGGTCAAAGAACACACACTCACCTCTAAAGGAAGATTCTTTGAATCATTCTCTTTAGCAAAGACGAACGCAAACATATACAGCTCTTTAGAATCCGAAGGGCTGTCGAAAATGTTTCTGAACGCTGGCAGCTTGGCACGGAGCTTCTCCAAGGAATCAACCCTGTGCGCGTGGACAAAGTCAGGGATCGAGACCACAGTGGGATTCGAGACGTCAAGACTCACTCCAGTCTTGAGAACCCATCCACCCATTCGCTCCGAGTGAAGTAGCCCATGTTTTTCGCGTGCAGCTTCCATGCAATGACCAAGATCTCAATCTAGTGCAGATTCGGTGAGCTATCCAACCACGGGTTGATTCCCAACCTCATCGCCCGGACTTACGCTATCGGTCCCGATGCCTAGATCTTGACAGAGCTTCTCAATGCCCTCCGGCCCCACAACATCCTTGTCATCTGGATCCTCATACTGGTCGAACCACGCTTCACATCGCGCTGAGCTGTACTGTTTCGGATCCTGCAGAAGCACGGTTAGACGACGATGGTTCGAGAACTGGCCAATGAAGGGCAGAAATTCCTTGCACTTACTATCGTCGCTATCGCTGCCTTTGAGGCCCTACTCGTACGATAACAGTGAGTTCAGGCGCTTCACTGGGTGAGACACGATCCCTGACAACCTCCCCTCACCTAGCTCGAGTGGTTTTGGTAGCAGGTCCTTCCGTCTTGGCCTTTTTGCTGCGTGTGGCGGCGGCTGTGCTGGTGGCACTGCGCTTCTTTGGCGGCATAACTGCGTTGGAATCGTCGTGAGAAAGCTCCTGAGGAAGTATTTGCGGTTAGCTGAAAAGCTAGTGCCGCGAAGCTACCATGCGTAGGATTACGGCTGAACGCGGAAGGGTCGGCTGAGTGGTCGCCGGTACGGTCGGGAGGTCTCTCGTAGTAGGCGGAAGACACTGAAGGTCTGAATAGATAAGTAGTTGCTCGCACAGCTGGACCAAGCTCGAATACAAGGATTGGACTAGGAGGGCGAGAGCTTCGTAAACTTTTGACAGGATCCACAGCATGAGGTAAGACCAAGAAGCGCCGAGTCCAAGAGCTTTAAGAGGAGCGTGGCCTGCGGTCGGCAGCTGCGTCGATATCAACGGCGAGAGCCCAGCAAAAAGACTGTGTGGTCCCAGTGGCCCGATCACACGTCTTCTGAGTCGCCGGGTTCTTGAAGTTCGGGAGCGTGGGGAAAAAGGGCACATGCAGGCTTGCAGGCGGGGACGTCTTGACTAATCTCGGACGCGTTTTGCGTTGAGCTTCAGCTTCTCTCTCTGCCCGAGCGGCATACCGCAAGCGCAAAGCTCCAGACTTTGATTGCGTCTGCTGAGAAGCCATGCGCATGATTAGCCTCTTCTTTATGAATGTTGCAAGTACGACGAGATGAAATCTGTATTTTTTATTCGACCATTAACCTTATACAATCTCGTATCCTACTCAAAGTTCATATCTACAAGAACAAAAACACCTCCGACGTGTTCATACACGAGTGCCAATGATTCCAAGCTGTCCAATGTATCTCCCTCCCTATTTGGAGCTCTGGTATTTGGTGACGGCCCTGAAATTAAAGAAGCGTGAGCCTCAAAGCCGGCAAGGAAAAGATGAAATCAAACATACTTGGTTCCCTCAGAAACGGCGTGCTTTGCAAGCTCTCCAGGAAGAATCAGACGCACAGCGGTCTGAATCTCGCGGGACGAGATGGTGGAACGCTTGTTGTACGAGGCGAGCTTGGAGGCCTCTCCGGCAATACGCTCGAAGATATCGTTGACGAAAGAGTTCATGATGGACATTGCTTTGTTCGAGATTCCAGTGTCAGGGTGGACCTAGATGTCAAGAGGTGGGGTCAGCGAATGAAATGTAACCAAACAGGGTACCGAGTCCCGAAAACTGAAACAAACATGACCAGGGGACAGGAGTACCAACCTGCTTGAGAACCTTGTAGATGTAGGTGGAGTATGTCTCACGACGGATGGTCTTCCTCTTGCCACCGGTCTTCTTGTCACCAGAAGGGGTGCTTTTGGCAGGGGCCTTTCCGGCGGGCTATTGAGAGATTGGGAAAAGGAATAGCAGTAAGGAAATAAAGTGAATACATTATGAAGCTCAGCACAACGACGTACCTTCTTCTCGCCCTTGGCGGGAGCTGCGGAGGTAGAGGTTTCCTTGGGAGGCATAGTTGCGAGAGCGAAAGTAGTTTGCGAGAGGGAGGGTGAGTAGATTGGGGGTTGCGATGAGATGGGAAGAGGAGGAGAACGAGGGTAAGGTTTGAAGTTTGCTGCTTGCGCGAGAATCTGTCCGAACTTGGAAGGTTGGAAAGGGCGAAGCGTCTGAGGCGCAGAACAACAACGACAACGGCTGTTTACAATTCGTCGACTTTGCTGAACGCACATTACCTTACGGAGCTCAGCACATGCCACCACAGTGTCGCTCCCTCTGTTCATGAGTGGTTCAGCAGCAGGGCTCACACTGATATCGAAGCGTGGAACCGGACGCTCCTACGTGATATCGAGACTATTACAGGCATTTCAGCTGCACAGCAACCTCGGAAACGGTTATCACAAGTCCTCTCGAGTTTTACGCCATTATGTGCCTTTGGTCGGCCTCGCCCGTGGCAATCTCTGTCGGCAGCAGATTAGGCTGGCGAGTAGTGGACGGCGGGGTACGGAGGAGGAGGAAGAAGTGAAAGGCACGACTTCGAAAAACGATACCATGTCGCCCATGGATGGGAAACACGATCCACGGGAAACCTCATCCAGTCAATCAGCCGAGGAGATAGCGGCAAAAAATGGGCGAAAGAGATTTTTATGGGATCTCCAGACCTTAAAACGGACGACTGCGTACAAGCTGTCGCAACAGGTGTCGAAGGCGCAGACACAGGAACTGTTCAGCGCATATCACAAGTTGAAGGCGGACGGCGATTTCGAGCGCCACGGACCTTGGCGAGGCATATTGACAGCGAAGCACTACCGTACACTCCTGCGAATGTTGGCCGCATACCCGGAGATCATCCCCCCACGAGAGCTGACCGCAATCTTGTTGATCATGGTCAAGCAGGGCTTGCCCATATTTTCCTCCGATTGGGCTTTGCTGCTCACCGCGTACGCAAAAATAGGACAGGTCGCGGAAGCACAGACCATATTCGATCAATTGGATGAGAACCAAATCGACACGTTGTGCTTCAATGCCATGATCGAGGGACACACCAGTGCCGGAAACTTTGAGATTGCCGAGATGATTTACAAAAGGTTGAGCGAGTCGGGACATCCGATTACGACTAACACAACCTTATGCATGATCAAACTTCATCTGGTCTCCCAAAATTTGGAGGCCGCTAAAGTACACTGGGACCAGTTGCGCGAATCACTCACGGATCGCTCGTCGAAAAATTTCGGCAACGATATATTCACGTCCACCCGAGGCCTAGTTCGAACGTACACGGCAATCATTCGTTGGGCGTGTGCGAGAGATGCGGTGTCTCTCGGTCTTGAGTTCCTCAACACGATGATTTCCAGCAAAGTTCGCCCAACGCCGCAGATTTTCACCTGGTTGCTCGTCGGTTTCGCGACGATGCGAGCCAAATCCGCCGTCAAATCCGCCGATGAGCTCCATCGTCGCTTTCTCTTTCTTGAACTGACTCCGAACATCCGCTACCTGTCGGCCTTGATCAACGTCCATGCACTTCGCGGTAACATGTCCAGAATTGGGGTGCTACTGGAAGAGATGGCAGCCGTCGGAATACAACCGGATGTGCCCCTGTACAATATCTTGATACAAGCTTATGGGAAGCAGGGGAATTTCGCGAGCGCGCATCAATGTTACGAAAGTATGATAAGCAGCAACTTGGTTCCGGATCGCTGGACTTTCTCCACACTCATCAGCATGCATGCCGACAAAGGCGATACGGAGAGCGCCAGGCATTGGTTCGACCTGTCGCAGAAGTCCCTTGGACAGACGCGCCCGAGAGTAAAGGCACCGCAAGATACCGTTATGTACACTGCCTTGCTGATGGCATTCGGCCAAGCCGGGGATCTGGACTCCGCGCATGAAGTCCTAGCTGAGATGCGGTCAAGAGGATTGACACCCACCGCGGTCACATATGCGATCTTAATCAAGACGACGCTGCAGGCGGGACAGTTCACGGGAGCTACAGAATGGTTCCGAGCGATGGAAAAGGACTCTGTGGAGCCGAATGCACACATCTACGGGCTGTTTGTCACTGGCTGTTTAGAGAACAAGCGATGGCAGCAGGCTTATAGGTGGACGAAGCAGTTTAGCGAGACAAATCTACCATTGGATAGTCGGACGGCGGCCGTCTTGCTTCGGGCCACTATGCGATTTAAGGAACTTGATGCTGCGGTTCGCTTGAGGAAAGCGACCTCGGAGCAGCATGTTCAGGTGGATCCGGCGGTGCTTGGCAGTATGACGATCAAGTTTGCCCATGTGTGCATGAATGAGATCGAAGCGCGCGCGGCCGGGAAAACGATGATCACTAAAGATGATTACGATCAACGGAGAGGACCCGCACTCGTCAAAGTTGAGCGGGAACACCTCGTGGAGGATCCGAAATATCATGACGACCTCATACTCCTCTTCAAGGATTACCAAGCAGCTGCAAAGAAAAACCATGAAGTATCTAACACCAACGTATATGCGGCCGTCATCGATTACCTCACCCTACGCGGCCTGATGGGCCAAGCAAAAGCCGTCTTCCTCGACATGATCAAAAACGCATGTCGGATGCGTCTCGGGCCCGTACATGTCGGATCCTACGTGTGCGCGCGAATCGCGAGGCGCTTGGCCCCATCCGATTGGACGCTTGTCGGACGCTGGACATCGGAGGTGATGCTCTGGATGGACCGGCAGATCCATGCCCATCAATCCCGGACGAGAGCAGAGAAGGAGAATCGGACAGAGTCGCTGGAAAAGGATGCGGTGTTCAAACAGCAACAAACGGGCGTGAAATTCAACCACGAGGAGATTATGAGGATGCTGCTGGCGTGTGAGGTGTTTATGTATGGGCGGTATGGGATGCGGGATGTGACTGTGGTATTGTTAAGGGATCCGCGGTATGCCGACGCTTGGCGGGTTGTTGATCGAGCTGCGGCAAGGGTTAATCTGGATAATGAGAATAGGGTGAGCGAGGCGGGGGTTGCGGCGTATTGGGAGGCTGTTTGCGTTTTGCGGAGTGCTGGGTTGCGACAGAGGATGTTCGGAGAGGCGGCGGTACCGACGATTGATGAAGTCGACGAGGGGGTGAGGGATGGGGCGACGAAGGAGATGACCGAGGAGGCATCCGTGAATCCCGACAGTGAATTGAGTCCCACGCAGGCGACCGATTCCGAAGAGGCCCTATCGGCTATTGACCCTGCGACGCCAACGGCACCAACCCTAGATGAAAAACTGCCCATCATCGATCCCGGCTTCTCTCGCTTCTGCGGCGCCTTACTACGCCACTGCGAACTCCATCAGCTGTGGATTCTGAGGCGGAAGGTCATAATGTGGCTCGAGGCGCACGGCGTAGAAATCAGAACCCAACTCCCGGGGGGAGGGTTGTACCGGCCGATACGTAAATGACGCTGTACACAACAAATGGCGATGGTGGTGGTGTATGATAGAGATAGAGTGATGACGGATTTTGGTATTTGAGAAGTAGCACAATAGAGGCCTCAGGCGACCTTACATGCTTGATATTTACTACAAGTTGCCATCATCGGCGATGCCTCCGGCAGATGTACAATGATGTGGATGGCAGATAACCAGCACGGAAAATGGGATGGGGTGAAATCTAGACTACCGGTTACGGGAAAATGCGTCTGGTCTGCGGCCATTGCCAAACACCACCGAACGCACAATGGAGAGGAAATTCTTGGTGCTCAGGACGTCCCGATTGTGCACTCTCATCCGTAGTCGTAGTGGTCGTCTTCCAGGAATCTCAAATGGCGTCCAGTCTTCGTTGATACATTCGGGGTTGGGGCAACCCACCAATCCATGGACGTATTCCATTCTTCCCCTTCTAGCTTGCCACGGCCGACATGACAGCCGCCGTCGGATGTTTTTCTTCACACTGCCATGGCAGTCTGGGCCACGGACGACGTTCAATACTCATCCAGCAGGTAGCATGGAATGCCGTTTCTCGCAAAGAGTGTGCGGAATCTGATTTCCATGATGAGTTAGCATATTAAAATACATAAAAAACAACGATGGTCACTCACCCCTTGGTCTTTGATGACTCCTGAAAGCGCATTGTTTTTCCAGCGTCGCTCCAATCACCCAGGATGACCGAAAAATGCTTTCCATACCGGTGTTGCATGTTCTTAATGAGCTTGCTCTCAGACTTTTGCCGCAGTGAGAACGCCTTGAATCTGCAAGCGACGTGAATCTCATCCCGGTGTTATGGACGACGCGTCCATACCATGCGCTTACCTCATGACAGCATCCCAACAGTCAGTCAATGTCAATTCCCTGTCAAAACCTGACATCTGCCAAACCTCGCAGCCGCACGCAGCCGCGCTACCCCACACCTGCCACTGCCTTCATTTCTCCACGCAGCCGCACGTAGCCACACCTCCCAACACTCGGCGCTTACAAACCCTTCTCCATACTTCCCCACGTACCCGCCCACAGCCTCAGCGTAGCCACCCCATCCCCAGTCTTCTGTTTCTATGCTTCCCCACCCTTGGCGCTTCTCTTGGCTTCCCTCTCATTCCGTACCCTTCTGCTTCCCCACGCTTCCCCAGCCTTCCCAGAAAAACATAAATAGCCGCCTCCCCTGAGCTCCCCACTTCCTGATCCCCCAGCAGATCAACACCAGTTCTTCCTAGTCTTGTTCTAGTTCTTGTTTCGGTCTGAATACCATTACCTGTCAACAACCTGCACCACAAGTCGCCTCTATTTCCATCGGCTCCGCCCATTCATAACACCCGGTAAAACTCATCCAGGGCGAGATCTTGAATATGGATGTCAGCCCATGTTTACCCAAATTTGAAGACGATACATGATACATCATACCTGCATGTATGTGATCCACAATGAACGCTGAGAACGCCTCGATGTTCATGCTCTTGTGCGATGTAATCTGTGATTCCATCTCAGCAACGCCAGCATTGATCTTCCGCTCTGTCATGTCTCTCCGAAAGTACCACGACTTTGTCTTGACCGCCCGTTGATTGGATGTGTATCTGGTCTGGGGTGGTGCATTGTGAGAACGCTGCAACGGAATGTCGCCGCAATGGGGATGGTGGGCGGAGACGGGGGGCTGGGGGGCGGAGACAGGGTTGGCCTCGACACCGTCATGCAGGTCATCAACATGGGCCACGCGACGAGCGATATGACGCGCGACGGCGACAAGCAAACCAACCGCGGCCGCTCTCTCATTGGCAGCGTTCCCATCGACAGCTCCGTGCTCGTCCAACTCTATCAACGAACTCCTTGCCCAGATCCGCAAGGATTCTTGCCCAGATTCGTTGCCCGTGTGTGCAAACAGGGGAACCACCCCTTCCAAGTCAAAGTCCGCAAACACCTCCGCACCATCTTCCGCAAAGTAGAGGGTTGGGGGGGGGGGGGGGGGGGGGATGGTGGGGACAGCAGGGCAGTAGTAATCAACTGAAACTTACCAAAATGGCCGCTCCTTCTCAATATCTCGACAGAACAGGAGGTCACGCTTGCCCGGATCAATGCAGACGATGTTTGGAGCCTCCCGTAGTTTGGCGATGTGGTGCTCAAAATACAACTGCTTGACTTCTTCCCGCATTTGGGCCTTGCTGCGCTTCCGGGCCCGATGCCCATACTTGAGCCCTGGCTTCTTGAAGTGGATGGTAACGGAATACCCGTCGGTGCTAATTGACCCATCGAACTTGAGACCAAGCTTCTTTCGATGTTTGAAGACCTTGTCCTATAATCCGTCATTCAGCGACGTAATCTGATTGAAATAAGCACATAAGGATAGAGACTTACATTCACGTTGATAAACTGCCCCCACAGCTCCCGCTTGCGTTCATCAGTGAGTTTCCCCATGCGACGTCGGCCAACATCCAGGATATGAGTGCCTAGGATCAGCGTGTCGATCCGAACAGATGACCGGATTCGAGATTTGCGCAGTGGGATAGCGGAAAACAGCCGCATTCCACGGCGCTCATAGAGGCGTGAGAGCTCACAATAGGCACCTGTGGTGAGACAGGAGTGGACCATGATTAGACAAAAGAGGAAGCCAGGGGGAGGTGGGGGGGGGGGGGGCGAAGGGGGCGAGCGGTTACGTCGACGCCGTGGCGGTGGGCAAGAGCATCGGCCGTGCCCCGGGCCGCTGTGCGCGCACTGGGGGCGTCGTTGAGGCGGGGGAGGAAGGGGGGAGAAGGGGGGGGGCCGCAGGAGCCAAGCGTGCGGGCGCCCCAGGGGCGACAGCGCATCGCAAACCACGTTGGCCGGGGTCCGGGCAGGCAGCCACTCGGCCAGGTCGGCATACCAAGCGTGGCACTGCACAGCCACACACGAGCCTGGGGGGGGGGGTGAATATACAGGATGCAACTCACCTAAATATGGCATTGCATCCACCGCAAGGCTGTACGCAAGCGGCTCATCCTGGGGAGGACACAGAGCCCATAGCTCGTCGAGGACAGTCCGCTCAAGTCGTGTGAGGCGCGCAAACTCCTCTTCGGTTGGAAACTCTTCAAACGTCCCAAATTTTGTAAATTGACGGACCCGCTGATAATACTCTCTCCGCTGCGCTCGGTTGACTCTGGCTCTCCAGAGATGCAGTGCGACTTGCTTCAAACCAATCCTTTCGTTGATGTAGCGCAGAAGCATTTGCATGAAATGCTCTTGTACGTTGACTTTGAGGTTTGTGAGGATGCTCTGAGCCGTGTATGCTGCTGTCTGTTGGCAATTTTGCATGCGTATGGAGGCGAATCCGTGAACATCACAGTGGTCTTGAACCCATGGACGCAACTCTTGCGCGATGACCGGATTGCCGTTGTAGCCTGGATTGTTGAGCAGCTCAAACATCACACTGATGTGCTTGTCAGTGATGTCCGGGAAATCGTGCAGAGGATGATCAGCTGCGGTGGGCATTGTAGTCAGGACATTGTTGTATGGGAAATATACAGTGTAGTGTACGCCAAAAACTCACCAAGGTAGTACTTGAGGAAGAAGGTGGTGTGGCGCGCAAGGATGTGAACATTGCCGATGGATGTTGTCAGGCGCTCCCTTTGAACTTGATTCTGATGATTCTGATTATGGATTTGAGGAAGGGAAATCTTGGTGCAGGCATGTGTCTGCTGGCGGCGTCGTTGAACGGGTGGTGGTGGCGGGGGCTCATACGCCAGGGATCCACCCGGTGTGCTGGGAAAACGGAAAGGGATGGGAGCTGGGAGGTTCAACGGATGCTGCAGACCCCTGTCGACGAGTGAAAGCCCTCGATGCTGGTGCTGCCCATCGTCATCGCCGGAACTCTCGCTGACCATGTCTGCAATGGCTTTGGGCAAGTTGCGATGGATAGACGGTGGGAACTCAAATTGCGGGTGTGATTGCAATGGTGTCTGCACAGTTGGCAGACGTATGGGCAACCGCGGGGTAGCCGGAGCAACCTTCCTCCTCTTCCGCCGTGGTGTGGTTGCTCCAGTAAAGATGCCACACCACAGGTGCCCCTGGAGCGCCTGGTCTGATGACATGTTGGGTGTGCTGTGCCTTTTGCGTGCCTGCTAGAGATGAGGTGTATGCAGGTGATTGCCGTGATGGATTGCCGGGAAGGAAGGGGGTTGAAGGAGTAGAGTGGGGATCCCCACGTTTTTTACACGCGTGTAAAGGATGTGGGGCAGCTCTGGGGTTGATTGTGGAACTCGTTACTTTATTCCCCTTCACACATTGGGAGCCGCCGGAGGCGAGTGACGGCTATGGCAGCAAAGTACAGTATGTCAAGTTGGCAAGCGCTACACTGCGCTATATAGTAACCCTCCCTACGCAGCCCAACCACAGTGATTCGCAAAAGCCTAAGCTATGTAAATGTGGGAATCAATATGCACTTATAGGGAGATTGATGAATTGCACGCATTTTTTCACCCATAATCATCGGATCTCAGTAGAGATGGAGGTGGGCGGCGTGAAGTAATGAAGTCTTCTTCAGAAAGCAGTTCCATCATGGTTGTGGCTTCATCACCGGTGAGCGTAGTGCCGCTAGACCAACGTATTGCTAGAGCAACATATTGGATGCTGATGCCTTGGGGCTTGAATGCAGTGCTCAGGCTGAAAGAGTTGTCGCCTTTGTTCTCGACTATGACAGCGAAGCGATTGCGGAAGGCGCGAGAGCGTACCGCGAGTGCCCAAATCCAGGCTGCACCTCAAGCGATTGCAGGAGTCGAGAGCGTACCGCGAGTGCCCAAATCCAGGCTGCACCTCAAGCGATTGCAGGAGTCGAGAGCGTACCGCGAGACTGCCCCTATTCCGGGCTGCCCCAAGCGATTGCGGAAGGCGAGAGCAGGACGTTGAGCAACGTCGACGGCGAAAGGATGTACTGTACAGACAGGTTTGAATTACTGCCGGGGCAAGAATGAGAAGACTGGTTTTGGAGTCACCTTGTAAACAAAAAGCGAAACAGGAAGCTGACGTGACGGGTGTGCTGTAGGTGTGTAGTTCAAAGTTGAAAGATCTTGGCAATGGCGGCGGCAATGGCGGTGGCAATGGCGATGGCAATGGTGATGGCAATGGGGGTGACCATGGTGGCAATGGCGGTGAGCGGATGTGGAAGAACAGATGAAGAAAACCTGCGGCTATGGGACAGCGTAGTAACAAGGCTGGCCACGGCGGCGTTGCGAAGTGCAGGTCCAGGGCTGGCCAGAAGTGCAGTACCGTATATTGGGTACATTTTGACTGTTGGATGATGGTCAGAAGTGGTTAATTCCCAAATAAGGGAATTCTTCTGGTTCACTTGCCGCCGTGAAGGGTGGCCAGGGCTGGCCAGGGCACCGGATATTGCGCGCGTCGTGGATCAGTGTACCAGCGAAGGGTTTGGCCAGATGAAGTGGAAGGCTCTAATAAATTGGCCAGATGAAGTAGGGCTCCAAAGGCGCGCGTGAGAAATACACTTCATTTGGCCAGATGCTCTAATATTAATACACTTCACTGGCCAGATGAAGCGCGCGTGAGAAATACACACTCCCCAGCGGCAAATGTACCAGAAGGATTCCCTTATTTGGGAAGAATCCAGGGAGATGTAAAAGCAAGGAAATCGAAATCGGATGTGCCGCCGCAACCCCAAGACATGTCCCGCTGTCCCGGTCGCGCTGACACCCACACAAACCGACACACACAGACGGCCCTTGGCCAGAAGGCTCTAATAACGTTAGTAAGCTTGCCAGGGCTCCAAAGGCGTGCGTGAGAAATACAGTGCCGTTCATAAAGCAAGGCCGCTGTCAATTTGATTCACCGGCCCCCTGAACGCGCGTCTAGTATATCTAGTGAATCCTCCTCTAGCTGCTATGACGGCCGCTATACGCCGGGGCATGCTCGACACAAGGTTTTCTAGCACATCTAGCTCAATATCCTGAAATGTCTGCTGTGCAATGGCCTCTAGCTGCTCTAAAGTTGCGGGACGTTGTCTATAAATGCATTTCTTGAGCATGGACCACAGGTTTTCTATCGGATTCAAGTCTGGGCTGATTGCAGGCCAGTTTGCCAGTACCTCAATGCCGTGGAGATCAAAAAATCCTTCCCTGCAAGTTTTGCGATGGGGTGGAGCGTTATCCTGGGAAGAAACACTCTGAGCGTCACCGCCAATCCAAAAAGGAGAGAAACAAGGTACACACCTGCATGAAAACAAAACCACGCTGCTCACCCTGAATATCAGAGTAGAAGGGGATGAGATTCTCGGAGAGATATTCCTGGTATGCTTCCGAGTTGAGTCTAACCCTAACCCTAACCCTAACACTAGGGTTTTGAGGTTTGGAATTGCGAGATGGTAGGTCAAGAACCCTAACCCTAACCCTAACCCTAACCCTAAGTCAGAGCAGATGTGGTAAGAAGGTAAGAAGGAATCAGAGGGCAGCGACGCGAGGGGAAGGTAAGAAGGCTGGTAAGAAGGAATCAGAGGGAATATGGGGTCACGTGGGGGGACACGGACGTCGCGGACATGGATTAGAGTAAAGAATGAGGAAGGATGTACAGTCAGTGGACAAAAAGCTGTGTGCACCCCATATGGATTTCAATGACCGTTTCACAAAGCGCACCGCGCGTTTTGGAGCCGCAAGCTTGAGTATTGAAGCCAGCGACGAAGCCGTGATGGCGAAATGCACGCCAACATCTTCACCACCTCAGCTATGGGGAAACCTCTCACACCACAAAAAAGGGCAGCCATAGTTGCCCTCCATATAGCAGGCAAGACGACATCTGAAATTGCAAGGCAGGAGCACGTTCACAGGAATACTGTGAGGAACACTATTAAGAGGTTTGCGAACGAGAGTGCCACTGCACCAACCGCCTATCAATCGAAGAAGCCAACAGGAAGACCAGCTAAGTACCAGCCTTCTGACGATGATTTGGCTGCCTTCCGCAGTATTGTTGTTGCTGACAGTAGCACTCGGGAGAAAACACTAAAACAGATCACTTTTGAATTCACACAGCTCACCGGACTCCAGGTGTCTGCAAAAACAGTGCGTCGCTACCTACGGGACCTGCTCTATCTCACCTCGCGTTTCAAGGTCCGAAAGCCACTATTGACAGAGGACCATAAAGCAGCACGCCTTGCATTTGCACTGCAGCACCAAGACTGGACGGAAGCGGACTGGTCTCGTGTTTTCTGGACTGATGAGACGTCCTTTGAAATTGGCTGGGTACCTAAAATGCGGTGCTGGCGCTTACGAACTGAACGTTTTCATCCCAATTGCATCCAGGGCACCAGGAAGAGTGGACGAAAAACATTCATGTATTGGGGAGCATTCATTGGAAATGCAGTAGGTCCAATGAAAGAGATGCAGCGTGTTCAGCGAGAGGGTCAAAACCGTGGAGGGATTAACTCTCCTGCCTATGTGCAACATCTTACTGCTAACATGTTGCCGATGTGGCGGAATTTAGAGATTTTTCTTCCCAATCCTCTCTTCATGCAGGACAACGCCCCTATTCATACATCGGCTGAAACTCGACAGTTCTTTGATGAACACGGCATTGAGCTTCTTCCCTGGCCAGCGCAGAGTCCAGATCTCAATCCGATTGAGAATCTGTGGGCAATGCTCAAACGGAAGGTATCGAAAGCGAACCCTACCCCTGGAATGTTGGACAACGTTGTGCAAACTATATGGCCCACAATGCAGCCGCATCTTGATGCATTGACACGGTCAATGCCATCAAGAATGGCAGCCGTAATCGCAGCCAATGGGGGGACAACTAGGTATTAGCGAAATTCAGATCTAGATCCATTCATTTAGGTCAGGTTTCGCAATGCCCCAAGATTAAGGATGATGAGTTGATGTCGCGCAACGCGCGTCAGACACTGACTTAATCTGGCATGCACACAGCTTTATGTCCACTGACTGTACAGATGAAGTAGTGGGAGCCTACATTATGTGCTATCTACGGGCGCGATCTACAGTACATAAGTTTCACGCGTAAGCCGTTCAGGCATCTCCTCGAAGAAAAGACAAATGCTTCGAAGCGCAATCGGTCGACAATCGAGCGCGCTGGTGAGCGCACTCATTGCGCTATTGAAACCTTTCCCATCCCTCGACATCATAAATGTCCGCATGACTGCCGTTCTTGAACTCATCCTTCTCCAGAAGATGGAAGAGCACCCTCGACGACACCTCCGGCGCCACCAATTTCTTCTCCTCGTGCATGTTTATGAACACGGAACGCGTGGGCACGTCCGGCATCTCCTCCCTAATCGCCGTCTGCATGTCCGTATCCAGCGGACCCGGCGCATAATTCAGCACCCTCACATCCGGTTGTTCCGTGGCGATTGCTGAGTGCATCATATCCCGCGCGGCCTTCCCCACACAGTAGAGCGACCAGCAATCGAATGCTTGGATAGCGGCTAGGGATGAGATGTTGATTATGGATAGTTTGGTGCCGGATGATGCGAAATGACGCAGGAACGCTGCTGTCAGCACCATGGGCGCTGTTACGTTCAGGTGGAGGGCTGAGGTCATGTCTGCGGCTGTTAGGGTTGAGAAGCGGGCTAGTTTGCCGAGGGATCCGGCGTTGTTGAAGAGATATGCCTGTGAATAGTCCGTTGGTGGGCGAGGCAGTCCGCGCAGGACCTCGTCGGAGACAGCTTCGAGGTCGAGTCTGGAAAAGTCGGTGAGGATACTCTTTGCCGTCAATGCGACCCCTCCTTCTCCAGCCTTCGCTGTTCCCTCAGAACTTCGCTGCTGTTCGAGGATAAGGCTCTTTGTCGCCGCGAGACCTTGTTCATCGCGGGCGGTGATGACAAAGTCGGTGGGTTGCGAGCGGGCGAGTGGCGACTTTGCGAACTGTAGCGCCAGCGCGCCGCCGAAACCTCTAGAGGCGCCAGTGATGAGGACCAAGGTGCGGGACATGGTTGGACGGTGGTAGATGCTTAGAGCGGAGTCGATGGCGAGATGTTGGCAGGTCCAAAGGGAACCGTCTTGGGGAAGAAGACCGGCGGCGTGACCTCATCGCTCGGAGTCTCGGACATGGTCTGGTCCTTTTGGAAGCAAGTTGACAACTTGCGCACATACAGACCAAAGGAAACAACAAACACATATACATACGTTCACCGCCGATAGTGATGCTCGTCCATACCACCCCTCAGGCCGGAGTGCTCCATGCCGTTGCTTTGACCTCCGCGGGCCTCTTCGCTGGCGCCGCTTTGTACGTCACGGCTGTCGAGGTAAGTTTAGTGTGTCGCGCCATCTTGGCCGGTTGACATCTCCAATTGTCCTTGACTAACCGATCGCCTCCTTCTAGCATCCTGCTCGCTTCGCACTTTCTGCGGATATCGCTAGGGCTGCGTTCAAGGTGCGTCTATGAGCGATTGTCAATGGCGAATGACGCTGCATGGCAGGCGCGGTTGGGGATGATCTTGGCGTCCTCCACCGTTCAGTACCGTTCCGGTTCAAACCTTACACCTCTATACCCTTTCGCCGACATCAATTCCTTACAGCAAAGCTACCCTCGCGCAGCCAGACTCCAAGCAGCGCTCGCAACCATCGCTTCCGGTGCGAGCTTCGCAGTCGGCTACTTGTACAACTCGCAGCCCCACTACATCTCCGCCGCCGCCTTCCTCAGCATTCCCATCTACACCATCGGCTTGATGCTGCCTTTGAACAAACGGCTGCAGTTTGGCAGTGGGACTACAAAGGAGATTGTGACGACTACCAACACGGTGGCGGCTGATAGCAGCGTCTTTGCGGATTTCAGGAAGTGGGGATTGTTGCATCTGACCCGTGTAGTGGTGTCGGGGATTGGGTTTGGTGCGCTCGTGCTAGCCACACCGTATGCGATCGGTTCCATCTGATGTTGACGAAAGATTGGGATGAAGCGATTCCATGCATCGGGTTGTTGATCGCTGAACTAAATCCCAGGAATGTAACTTAATGGTACAGGTTTGCCAAAAGATCAATCTCGTGTTGAATAATATGTGAATATATATACATGAAGCCTGTGCGCCAAGTTCAGGACGACTCTTCCGCGATGCCGATATCAGTTCTCCTCACTATCACTGCTCTCCTTCTCAGCCTCTCCTTTTACTTCCGCCGCTTTATCGCCTGTGGCAGTAGGTTCGGCATCCTGCTTCGCTGGCGCACCGTCCCCGTCCACTGACGTCTCCGCCATCTTCTGTTTCTTGTCCTTTCCATTCTGATTCTTCTGCCTTTTCTTCCGCTTTTCGCGCTTCTTCGCCGTCCGCTCAGCGTCCTCTTTCTTTTGTTGCTCCAGCCTTTCGTGATACAATCGCTGTTCCTCCTCCTACAGTAACGAGTTAGCTCCATGCCCAGCAATGCTCTTCAACATCTGACAAAGCGATGAAGTACCCACCTCCTTCCCCTTCTCCGTCAACACCTTCTGCCGCTCATACTCCTTCCGCCTCAACGCCCTATATACGTGAAACTCCCCACTCCCCGCACCCGCGCTAGATCCCTGGATGTTCCTCACGAAGTCCCGCGGCGCTTTAACGGTCTTCTCCTTGCGTTCGGGTAACACGATCGGTTTGTCGACCCTGGCCATAAGACGCTCTATGCGCGCGGCTTGTGATTCGATGGTCGTGTGGAGACGGAACCGGGACCGTTCGCTGTCTTCGTCGTCGGTGCCGCTTGTGGTGCGCTTGCGTGATTGTGGTGGTGTTTCTGAGGCCATTTTTGCTGTGATCCCGAACGATTTACAACTTACAAGTAGGGCAAAGGTGGGAGATGCTTGCTGGGGCAATGTGAATTTAAATTCGGAGGAAGTCTGGGAGGAAGTTGAAGACGACGACGCGGGGCTTCTCCCAGGGCTTCTCCCCTTTCTCCCTGCTTCGCTGCACGTCCAACTCCGCTCGGCCTCACAGGGCTGTCCTCGCAACGCAAGCTTCCGAATTTCTCGCTCTTCTCTGCAGCGAAGACTCCCACTTTGCTATCCATATTCCCCTTACCGGGAAGGAAACAGTGAATTACATTCCCTTCCACAACGACGGAGTGTGGAGAAACAGCAGAATATCCAAGCACAATCCCTGCAAACCCAACAAACGAAACCAAATATGCCGGGCCTCGAACTCCCCGACTACAGCAGGACCAATATATGGCTAGCTGCCGCTGAGGACCGGAGTGATCTCGTCGAGGTAGATCTCCTTTTATTTTTTTTTACCACACGTCTGCCACTACTGACTTTGTTGTTTTCGCAGCACTTTTTGAAATACGGTGGACCAGACGGCACGCCTTTAGCACCGGATGTGAAGGACGAGAATGGATATACCCCACTGTAAGGATTTTATATTCAACTGCTGGGAGTTGCTCCTTGTACAGTCACCCATCCACCCTCCACTACCAGCCATGCAGCAGTCTCCTACTCCAACATCCAAATCATCAAAATGCTCGTCACCCAGTACAACGCCGACGTGAACGTGACCGACAACGACGGCGACACGCCGCTGCACGTGTGCGAGACTGTGGAGGCGGCGGAGTGTCTGAAAGAACTGGGCGCGGATATGACGAGGGAGAATGACGAGGGGAAGAAGGTGCGTTCCGGGAGAGGGGTAATGGATAGCGGGTGTTGGCTGCTGGGATGGTGGATGGGTTGCTTACAGGCTGGTGGTTTGCTTGTAGCCGATCGAAACGGCGTATGCCGAAGAACTTGATGACGTTGTTGAGTATTTGAAGCGTGAGTGCCATCATTCTCCAGCTCTGCCCGAAACATCTGGCGGATCACTGACTCACTGCAACTATCATTTCTCAGAATTCACACCAGACATCGAACTAGGCGAACGTGATTCTGCCACCCAGATCCCTCCGGAACTTCTGCATCTCTTTGCGAACGCTGTGGAGAATGGGACGCTGGAAGTTGAGGGTGCGATCGATGCGGATGCGAATGATGGGAGTGGGGATGAGGGGAAAGAGGGGGAGGAGCAGGATGAAGGGAGTGATGAGGAGAAGCAATCGTGAAGGAGTCAATTTGTGACAAATCGAGCGCCCGCTGTGAGCATACCGTACCGAAACGACGCTGGGCGGCACACATTTGCAGCCGCTTTGGCGCATGAGCTGCCGCTGCTCGTAGCATGACCCATGTTCGCTGCTCGAGTGTGCCTCCCGTTAGGGCGGCGGGGTACACGAGGTGTTCTTGGGACGCCTTTGCCATGAGCGCCACGATCGTCCGCGTCGGGAAGCCAATCGTCACGTAGTAATAGCCTCCCATGACCATAGTCGCCAATCCCGCAGTGGACGGAACGCAAGTACTCATAACCCGTTGCATTAGCGTAGATATCCGAGCTGGCACCACGCACGAATACCCCACTGTGCCGTTCACTATCGCAATGTAAATACGTAGAAGCGGCCAAGGATATGTTCACGACTGTATACACACTACATGCATCGCCTATTCTCCTACATACCCCAAAAAACGACGTTTTCACCCGCACGAGGTCCCGCAAGTAATCCCTTCCGGTACGCCTCACTTTGTCTGATTGACGTGCCCACATTTCTTACACGTTCGTAACTCTTCCGTTGCAAAGTAGCGCTCGATGACTGGTTTGAGCTGCGTGCCCAGATCTGTGCAGTAGAATGATTCCGAATAGACAATGGATTTACAGGTTTCGCAGTACCATTGCAATGTGTCTGATGGTTACGACGGATGAGATACGAGTGATATCCAAGACATAGAGGCCAGAAACAAAGGAGTAGACCTACCATTAGTACCCTCAGGCCTCTTCCTCTCAATCACAATCCCCACCGTCTTCTCAAACCTCACCGGATTATGCGGCGTATTCCCCGGCAACATAAACATATCCCCCTCCCCAATCTCCACATCCCTAAACACCTCCTCCCCACCATCCCCCTTCTCCACGACCTTGAGCACCATCGCGCCCTTGACCTGATAGAACCACTCCTCCGTCGGGTTGACGTGGTAGTCGGTGCGCTTGTTGGGTCCGCCGACGACCATGACGGTGAAGTCTTGCGTGTTGTAGAGGCAGTAGTTGTTGACGGGCGGTTGGAGGAGGTGGGATTGGGTGCGGAGGAAGGCCGGGAAGTTTATGGGTGGTGGGAGGGGCATCTTGAGGGTGGTGAGGGGTGTGACGTGTGGGAGGTGACGGACAAGTGCAGAAGAGATTGGATTGGACCGAGCGACCAAGCGAAGGCGGCTGAATATATATACGATTCAGGAAGGCGATTGACTGCCGTACCGAAGCGAAGTGAGCGTCAGGAGCGTCAGGGCGTCCTTTCCCTTGTATTTGTCAGGTGGTAGGAGGCCAAAATTGCACAAGTTCACAGCCCAGCATTTCGCGAGTTTCGAGTTCCGACGCGCGAGGTGCTTTCTGCTTGCTCCATTCCTGGCTCCATTCCTTCGACATTCGTAGGCAACACCGGGGAAGCCAGAAGTCTACTCATTGCCCACCCAATAGACATATACCCAGACATATCAAGCCGTCCCTCGCTGTTAGTTGACGGCGTGCTCTACCCCTGTGGATTACCATCAACGGACATACTCCCCCCACTTTTGGAGATCTAGCGCTATCTCGCTCGTACAAAACCGTAGCAGCTTGTATCCACCGACCATCGATAATCACACCACTGCATTTAGAGCTCTACAAGCAAAGCAGACACCAGTTCCCTGTCACTAGCCGCTCGTTTGAACAGTCTCAACCGGTGGCTTTTCCTATTTCCTTCGTCTTAACCGGGAACTTCGAAAAGCGGGGCAGTTCAGAATTTCTTGTCGAAAAACATTCCCTTCATACATACTACCGCGGCACGCTACACCACGATAATATCACAGCATGTTGAACCTCGATCCCACATCGCTAGCGTTTCCCGATGCGCAAGGGCCGCAGGTCTCGGTGCGGGAGGTGACGCCCACAACGATCACGTTTGTGCTGAGCAATACGGAGCTGGCCCTCGCTAATGCGTTGAGGAGGGTCATGATGGCGGAGGTATCGACGGTCGCTATTGATTTGGTGGATTTTGATACGAATACGGTGTGTATGGGTGGTGGGTGAGGGGTTGGTTGGACGAACTATGACGATTGCTAGGAAATTGAACGATTCCCAACCCATAACTCATCTTTTTTCCCAATGCATGCGTCCCGAAAATAGAGCGTGCTGGCAGACGAGTTCATCGCACACCGCCTCGGTCTTATCCCAATTGTCTCCACCCACGTCGACGAGCTCACCGAACGACACGAATGCAACTGCGTCTCACACTGCCAAGACTGCTCCGTTGAACTCACCCTCGACGTAACCTGCCAAAGCGAATCCTCTATCGGCGTCTATTCCTGCGACCTCCTCTCCAACCACCCCAGTTTTGAAACCTACCTCGAGCACCCAGGCGACAAGGGCATCCTCATCGCCAAACTGCGCAAGGGCCAATCCCTCCGTGTCCGCTGTATCGCACGCAGAGGTACCGCGAAAGAACACGCCAAATGGGGCGCATGTACCGGCGTCGCCTTCGAATACGACCCCCACAACCGGCTCCGACATACCACGTACTGGCACGAGGAGGACATCAAAAAGGAATGGCCCAAATCAGCTTACGCGGACGAGGAGCCTGAGCCGAAGGATGGTGACCCGTTCGACTACAATGCGAAACCGGAGCGGTTCTATTTTACGGTGGAGAGTACGGGTTCCTTACCACCGGCGGACATTGTGACGAGGGGGCTGGAGGTGCTGCAGAGGAAGCTAGCAACGGTGCATGATTCGTTGAGGAGGGTGGCGGAAAGTCAGGGGGAGACTGCGGTGCCGTTGGTGTACATGTGAAGGAAGGAGCAAGAGTGGAAGAGAGAGTCTTTGCGAAGAGGAAGAAGGTCGTAGTCTTGGCGTACATTGGATGGGCGCCGAAAGAGGAGTCTGTGGATAGGCGCACGAAACATCCCTCGGGAGGTTCCGCGATGCTCGTTTTCCAACGTCTTTCATGTACCTAGCTTGATATCTATTCATCTCTGTAATATATCATGCACATTTGCAGAGGGTCAGCAAGAAAGTCATGAACTTCGCAGGCCGCAAAGGGAAGGCTAAGTAGTGCAGTGTGTCGTACGAGTCGGACCAGCGGACGCGTAAAATGGAAGACGAGGCAGCCCTCTCACCCTGTGCTTCCCCATTGCTTCGCCCATGAGCGAACCTTCTCGATTTCGGGCCACTTCAGCACCCCTGGCATATCTGACTAGCTTCGCTCAAGTCTCTCGATACCTGGGCTCCACACAAACCGGCTCTCAGCGTGCCAGCCTACCAAATAACACTCTCAAGTGACCACAAAGAAAGCGAACGGGTGGGGCAGCCGGCGCTGACGAGGGACACCCTAATTGTATATTGTCGTGGTGGGTCACATTCCAGTGGAAGGTTTGGAGAGGACCACTTACGGATGCCGACAAACGATTAGCGTCGAAGCAATCCCGATAAGCAGCTGGTCGAGCGTCAGTGCATGACGGATAAAGTCGGCGCAAACCGGACCACAATGGCGGCGTGCTGCGATGCACCCTCTCCCGAAGAACTAAACGACGGCTCGATCGTCTGCGACTCCTGCGGTAAAGTTATCGGCACCGTCGAACTCCGTACAGAAGTTGCAGATACCCTCGAAGGAGAGCAAAGGAGCCGCTTTCTCCAAACCGTGCCCACAAATGGTGGTCTTCGAGGGTCGATGTTTCACAATGCTTCCTATGATTTCTTAAAGACCCGTAACATCGAGATGGAGGTGAAGGACCGGCTAACGAGGTTGAAATTGGGACAATATGCGGACGCCGTGTTGAAGATGTTCTGGGCTACGGAGAAGGCGATTTTGAGGTCTGGGAGGACGAAGGTTCGATACGGACCGCTTTCGGCTGCTTGTGTTTGGTTGAATGTTAGACGGTTTGGGCTCTCGACGGCGGTCGATGAAGTTATGGTAGGTCTTTTGGTTTTCATATCTGGCGCGGGATTTGTTACCGGACCCCCACTGAACCGGCTTCGTTTCCTTCACACTATAGGTTGCATTCGAGGTCACAGCACAGCACTTGAAAAGAGCGCTAAACCTCATACAGAAGCACACGCCAATCCCCGAAACATCCAGCCTCTACTATAACTTCGAAACTTATCTCGACAAAGTCTGTCACGGCATAGCAAAACGGGTCAAATCCCCCGAGCTGGAGCCCACCTTGCGAAAGCGCGCCCGCATTATACTCGATGTCGCCAGACGAGGGTGTTTCCACGAAGGCAAGAACCCGGCAATGCTGGCGGCCGCAGCTGCATGTCTAGCATACGAGGCGCACTTCCGGAAGAAGGCACCGCCAGGTATCCCGGAACATGCGGCCGGAATTCTTGCCCAGGAGCACCAACACGTGTCGTACCGTTACATTGAGCTGAAGGATATGTTGACGACCTGCGCCAAAGTGTTTCCGTTCTTTACGGACGAGATGCTGAAGCCGAAGATGTTTCATCGCTCGCTATCGGAAATCATCGACGTGCTGGGTGAAGAGGAACGCACTAGGACAGAGGAGGATGAAGCGAGAGTGCGTGATTCATCGGCTAGAACATCGTCTGGAACGCCAATGATCGAAACGCCACCAGTCGTCACTGTTGAGAGGATGAACAAAGCTCTCGTTCCGCCAACATTCGCCATCAACGCGCGGAAAACCGAGTATCTCACCCGCCGGATCAAGAAAGCCAAAATCCGCATCAATCAATTCTACTACTGTGAACTGAGTAGCTGCGGCGAGAGCTCGGCGGACGAAGATACCATCGAACCCGTCCCTCCGACCTTTCCCACTAGGATCCCGTCGCTTGCAGAGATGGACAGAGACGAGCGCGATCATACCGACAAGCGGATCGAACAGCTGCTCTTGGATGAATACTCTGATCAGCAGATCTTGTCTATGGGGCACCGCATCCATACGAATCGGCGCTATGACCCTACCTTGCCTCCGTCAGCCGATATTTTGAGTTCATCTGTCCTGCCCCAGCGGTCTGCCCTGCGCCAGCGGCCCGACGCAGCGGTTCCCATTACGCCTGATGCAAGTGCGAGCGAACATGAGGAAGAGGAGATGCTGCAAGTGCCTAGTCATACGGAAACAAGGCCTGCGAAAAGGAAAAGAGCGCGGCAGTCGAAGAAGGGATCGAAAGAAAATGTAGATCAGGTAGCACGGAAACGACGGCAATTGTCGAGGAAGGTGGGGGTAATGGAGGAGTTGAGAGCGTAGCCGCGTTAGTGAACGGGCACCCTGTATATACCCGCCGGAAGGCCACATACTATTAGTACATAATGATTTTGATGCTGGCACAGCAGCTATGACGGCGTTTAGTGGAATATGATCAACGGAAAGAAAGCCTGCCATTTCGAGGATGTCGGGCGCTCAGGCGGATGGGATGCCGTCAAAATTCCCTGAACGCGCTGTCGCATTCGGTAAAACGGGGGCCCTTGCGCAAATAATCGTCACTGATTGCGCATTTCTGTTGACTTTCTGAGGAGAGACGCAAGCCTCTAGTTGCAGAAAGACCCCTTGAATGAGTTGAACATTTCCCTCTTCGCACCTCTCCAAAGCAGTACCGCAGAACTATAAGTCTATAAGAGAGCACCCACCACAGATACAACAACTCTTCAACCTAGCCATACTCGTCCTATCACCGCCTTACCCACCACCACCACTCTTAACCAACCCACACCCTTCGAAAACAGAAGCAAGTATGACCCGAACCCATACGCACTCGAACGGCCCTAAAGCCGAGAGCCGCGACCACCACTTGACCCGTAAGGGCGCTGGTGGGGCGACTAAGAAGGGAGGGGCTGGGAAGGTACGTTGTTTCGGCAGTTCAGGGTGGTCTCTTCGGATTGGTTGTGGGACTTGAACGTGGGTTGCGAAGCTCTACTTGGGACGTCCTATATCCTATCTCGCATGTCCGCATCAATGTCTGACATTCCCCATCTCCATCTCCATCACCCCCGCAACATACGGCAGCACAACTGGGGCACGACCCTCGTCTCGGACGTGGACGAGATCCTCGCGCACGAGCACGGGGACAGGTTCGCGAGCGTGGCTGATAAGGACGAGTTGGAACATATCGCCGATCTCGAGGAGGCGTTGGATAAGAAGTACGAGGGGCGTGTGCAGGTTAGTACAGTTGGGACCGGGGAGGGGGGATGTGGACGTGGATGGGGCGCGTCGCTGCATTGTGTGCGCGATTTGGGGGTGTAGGGGGAAGGAAGTTGGGACTCTTGTCGTGTGGAATGGGGTTGATGCGGGAGGGCGGTGTGCATCAGGCTATGAGGGGGTTTCCGTCTACTACACCGTCGGGGCGGAAACGAATGAAACGGCGAGAGGCACTATAACTTGAGCACAACATTCCAACATCGGTAACCTGCCTCCTTCTCCTTCCCGACGACAGTCAACCAACGCCGAAGCGTTCGAAAAAGAACATGGCGTCAACGTCGATTCGGTCCGGGAGGCTGCGCGTGAGCATGTTCCTGTAAGTAGATCCGAACCACTCTTGTAGTCTAACCTCTGTTACCGCCCCCCCGCTTCCCATCTCACCGCCAACACCCCCACAGGCTTGAACAAAACCCCAAACCCGGTCCATGTGTGCAACCTGTCAAATGCGACCGCCTCATGTAGGGTTTAGCGTCAGATAGCATAGCACGGCCGGGCGGGGTTTATGGTCCAAAAACGCCTGAACGTTTCGGCTGTTTGGTTGGCTTTCTTTCTTTCCTTGTATTCCCCCGCGGTTTGTTTTAGGCACCCTGGGCAGTCTTTTGTTTGTTCATGTATACCTTTCTTTTGCGTGCATTGAATCTCAACAAACAAAACATCATGTGCAAACGGCATTTTCTCATGTCAAATGCCCAGGTCGAACAAAAGGTCATTGCATAACAGAAACAAAAATTTCGATTTTCCGCCAAAGTACAACAAGAGCAGTACATCGGAATACATCTGTACATGGCCCAGATCCCAAAGCACGTGGATGGCAAACAAGATGTCACCAACAATCGGAGAGGGGTGGGGTAGAGGGCACAAGGCAACGTTTTCTCAAAAACCAAGATGTTTACAAAAAGCAAATCCATACAATCCACCAATTTCGGGGAGGGGAGTACGTGTATAGATGCGGGGGGGGGGGGGTATTAGGGTAGGGTAGGGGCGTCGGATGGCACTTCTGATCCGAAAAAGCACACTCAACAACGAACGGTAAGGACAGCAGCCAAAGCGATGGTCTGCTTCACCATGTGTGCAGCGTGAGCGCGTGCAGCGGGGTCGGTGACGCGGTCGAGGGTGGGGATGGGTTGGAGTTCGCCGAGTTTGAGGGATTCGAAGGCTGCGCGGACGATATCTTGCGGGCGGAGGGTCGCAAAGCGGTGGGTACGGGATGGAGTGGTCGATGGGGTGGAAAGGGTGTGAGGGGTCGTGGTTTCTTCTTCGGTTGCGATTTGATATTCGAGGCTCGATATCTCATCTTCCGCATCCTCGGTGATTTGAGATGGTTCCGGGCTTTTCGGGGCTTCAACCGATTTGGGGGCTTCGATTGAAAGTTCCGGGGTTGCTTCCACAGCGTGCTCGTCCTTGCCAGCGTCCTTGTCAGCGATACGCTTGACAAGATCCAAAAACGACGTAGCGGCTTCTCGAGCCGCAGTTTCGTCATGCTCTTCATAGATCGACGGTCGCCTCGACGACGATAAAGCAGGTGCAGGAACGCGAACGGAATGTACTTGCAGTCGCTGGCTGACATGCCTGAAATCCTGCATGTGGTGGAAGGAGTTTGTGCCTGTAGATGCGGCGGCAGACGTAGCCGTGGTCGGATTGGTCGAGTCACGGTTGAAGTTCAGCAATCGACCCTGCTTCTCCCTGAACTCTTTCAATTCTCTCTTCAGGTCCTCATTTTCCTTGGCTTTTGCCTCCAACGAGCTCTTCAGACTTGTGTTCTCCTTCCGTAGCACCTCCACCTCATCCTCCAACTGGGTCACGTACTCCTTCCGTCGGACGCGGAAATTGCGAGCGGATAGCTTATTGCGGAGTTGACGCTTCTCTTTCGGCGTGATAGAGTCGTCAGCCTCGAGCTCCTCAACGAATTGACGGAGATCTTCCAAACTGTAGCCGATATTATCGAGGGAGAATTTGTCGGCGCGAGATTTCGTGCTCGTTGCGTCCGAGGCCTTCTTTTTGTTTGGTTTTAGGGGTTGCGCTGGCGCGTCAGGCGAGGAATCGCGACTGGCGGGGTGATCGACGCTTTCCATCCCCGGTGAGTCTTCCTTCTCGTAACAGAACTCGACCGTATCCGCAACTGCCTTCGGCTCCTGTTCCTGTTTCACATGTTTCACTGGCGACGGGCTGGCGACTCGACGTCGCTTTTTCTGGGATGGTCTCGTGCCAGTCGATCGTGATGGCGTCGGCGGCGTGACCGTATCGGGAATCGCTATCGGTTGCTGCTTTTGTGTTCTCCGGGATGCTCTCTCCTTTTTGATGATAGGGCGCTCCTCCTCTTCTTTCTCTTCTTCTTCGAGCACGTTATCAGCCACCGGAGGTGATATCCGTGACTGAGCCGTCGCGTCGGGCGCAAAGATTCTAGGATCCACGACTGCCGATTCCTGCTCTATATTCAATGACTCGTCAAACGTCTCCATCATGGGAAAGAACGGGAGTAAATCCATTCCCAACGCTGCTGAAGGTGGCTCATCGGCGTCGGTAAGGTTTCTCGAATCTGCGAAAGATGGGGACGGGTGGTGCGTATATGGGTCGGAGAGGTAACCCTCTTCGGGTGCCAGGAGCGGTTGCTCCTGCTGTCGTATTGTGACATCGCTGGCATCACCAGTGGCCGGGTCGGTTTCTAGGTTCAAATACTCCTGCATATCGAGTTCGAACTGATTCTGCGCGTCGGCTTCCGCGATCGCTAACTCCGCCGAGACAGGCTCATAGGTAGCCGTGCACGGGAAGACGTCAAAAGCGGAATCTTGATCGTTGTCGTGCATCGTGCTTGCAAGTCGTCGACGAGGTTGCCAATTGCTATGCTGCCCTCTGTTCCCACGGCCTCAGGTCTGAACGTGGGAGGGGCTGGAGTTCGTATCGGGATCGGGGGGAATGGCCTCTTGAACGTGCGCGGGATGCTGCGAAAACTGCGCCGATCTGGGAACGTTCCTATATGAGGCAAGAGAGAAACTGAACGGGGGGGGCGCCGGATATGGCGGCGGTAGTCAGGTGGGGGTGGGAGGGTGTGAGAGGGTGGGTATTGTTGGTTTGTGCTGAAGGACGGTGCTGGAGGGGAAAGGGGGGAAGCGGCTATGCTTATTGTATGTATATATGGCCTGCTCTCAAATCATTCTTCCGTCTCGCTCTGCCCGAGAGACCGAGAGACCACTGCGCCGCGCGTGGGTGTCGTGTCCCTCGCTTCGCTGCTGGGTTCGCTGCTTCCCTTGAGTCTGCAAAGTACTGTATGTACGTATGCAAGACCTCGAAGTCGGGAAGCGGCTCCAGACGAGGACAACAACCACCGCCCCTTCTATCTACCACTACAAGACAGAAAGAAGAGTGTCAATGGTGCGCCGTAAACTTGGCTCGAGAGGAGAAGAACGCAAAAGGGAAAACCGTCTAACGAAACGAAGCCTATTCGAGAGGCTTCAGTACACACTCACCCGAACTGCGCTGCGGAACTGGATTAGACCACCGTTTCTTCTGCGTCATGGGAACCTGGTCTTCATCGTCGACCTTGCCGATCAAGTTGTCGGGGGCTACAATCGAGTTCTATTCGCTACAATGGGTTTCACGGACGGCTCGACGGGTCCTGTACCTGTGGTCCTGCGGAAGCCTATTATATCATCCCATCGAGATGACCATTTCACCGGTAGTCACGCAATACTATCTCCAATTGAAAACGAATGTTCCTGTTCCAAAGCTATATGGAATCCTTGGGGACATTGCGGTCATGAAACGGGTGCCTGGCGAACCTCTTGCGAAAGCGTGGGCATCGATGCCTCTCTCGAGCAAAGGAGAAGTCGTTAAGCAACTAGCGAACATTCAAGCCCGGCTCCTGCGCATACGCCTGCGGACGATTGGACGCTTCCAATGGGATCCCAGTCTGTTCGCCTCCCAGCCGCAAACACCACGCTTCAAAGTGGGAACGGGAATATGTAGCGATCTCGGCCCTCAGAAATCAATCGGAGGCCTATTCAAGACGCTTATCGGAAGCTTGTCGGAAAAGTTAAATGAAAACAACCGAACGAAAGCTTTGCTCAGCAGAGTACGCAGTCGCGTCGCCTCAATTGTGAACGACAAAAACTGCAACCACAAGCGGAAGGGACTCGCCTTGGAGCACGATGACTTGGACCCGAGGAACATTATGGTGGACAAGGACCATGTCACTGGCATTCTTGATTGGGATGGAGCCACGGTTATCCCGAGAGAACTTGCCTCACCAGGCCTCCCCTGGTTACAAGGTACGTACGGAATGTCAGAGGCGGAAGAAAGGGAGATCGCAACATTGTTTAACATCTACGAGACAACTCTGGAGCGAGCTGGTGAGGGGGAGAAGGCCCTCAAGTTGCGCGAGGCAACTCGATACGATGCACCACCTGGTCTAAGTGATCTCTGGGTCCTGCTTTCCATCGAGAAGACGTTTGGTTGGGCCGAAGTGAGCGGCGTCTGTTTCGCTGATCAATTAGAACGTTGGCTGGGTAATGAATCAATGACACTACAGTGTCCAAAAGCTTCTCGTCTCAGAGGGGAAGGGAACGGTATTTTTCGCCGTCTGAGTGCCACAGAATATCAAAATCAAAACGAAAATCGGTAGTGCGTCTAGCACGGTTCTCGATATTGAGAAAGCGCCTCGCGAAGGCATCATAGAAGAGGGAAGAATCTCTACGATATATGCAGGGCAGTACATTCAGCTGAAACAGATGAAGATGGGTTGTCCGTTGGACATAAGCGTTTGCTTTCGGAAACGATGGAGAATACGGAGGGCAAACCGCTTATTGAGTGTCTTCGCCGAAACGCGGCCAGGTGGTATCGACGGAAACAGAAAGGAGCAAAGATCATCTTCGCCGGCTACAGCTGAGGAGCCGCTCAGGCGTTTTGCGCAGCCACCCTGCTGGGAACTCCAGTCCACTGTATTCAGTTAGTGGTCCACCGCAAGCGACTTCCTCACACGGCCGTTTCTGCTCAGGAAAGCTAGACGTTGTGCGGAACCTACGTTGACTTGTGTGGTTGCTCTGCTGGTATCCATCTCGTGTTTGTCTTATATTGTGTCCTTGACATAAATATAGATGCGAGAAATCATCTTGCTCTTGTTCTCACATATATTGCGATATAAAGATAATCGGTAGCTAATTCGACATCAACAAACCATCAACAACTATCATAATCATCATCAACAATCATCACTATGGTCCTCATTACAGATTCACTCAAGGAATGCCTTGGATATCTTCGTATCCGGCGAGAGGCCTGGAACCGGAAGGATGAGTCTCGGAAGAAGGAAGGAAAGGTATTTACGGGAAGATGACCCCATGGGACTCGCTCAGATCGTCAACTCTCAATACATCAAGGATGAACACTTGGAACACTTGGAACACTTGGCACTTCCACCGTATGAGATGGCCATGAAGCACTCTCCCATGGGTGAACGAGGGACACATGACGACGATAACGTACCGCTTGGGGTACTGCTTTCAACCATCAGGCAAAGGAGCTTCACCGTGTCGTTGCTTTCCCCCAATCCCAGTCTGATCGTGACTGGCCTCGCGCCTGGTGATGGCCCGCGCTTTGCAGAAGACGTCGTCGCAAGATTCCCTCGTGACATGAAGGTGCGTTACCGGTTGTATTCAGAGTCCGGGGCACAGAAGGAAGCTCATGACTTCCTCTTCGTTTTTGATCAAGCTGATGAAGACTTGACGTCCATGTATAAAGCCTATGCCGCGGTGCTCAGGTTTCCATCCGCATCTTGTTTCTCTATGTTAGTTCGTTGGACCGCTAAACGACATCCCGGATCGTGTCTGGTGGTTGACATCCGGGACAATTACGTCCCTCTTCAAGATAGGGTGTTATACTATGTGATACGGAAGTGATGGCGCCCCTACTATTGATTCAGTGCATCGAGTCCATCGAGTTCAGCGAATTTCATGGAGTTCATTATGTTAAGCAGGGTTATCAAGTTCATTCAGGATGAGACTTGCGAAGCCGCGCGGCAGGCTATAGAAGACTGAAGAGATGATGATCACCGCTGAGATGAAAACGATGAATGCAACGACGGTCATCCTGAGCAGGTCTGAAGTCTCGAAGCATGCGCGCTTTGTGTTTATAAGGCCAAGGAGCACCGTGTAGTTCTTATCGATAAGAATCGCGCGCATGACGGGCAATCCGAAAAAATAATATGTGTCTCAAGATAACTGTCACCTTTTTTCATCATTAAGAGAAACGCGCTGACGAGGAAACTAAAGTGTCGAAATCCTGTCGATCCATGAGTTCTTGCTTTTGCCCAGAACCTCTCCTGAGACCCCATTTCTGAGCATGGACCTGATATTATGCAAGTTTCCATTGATCCAGTAACGGATCGTTTGGCGTAAGTTTCAGCACTCCGTCAGTCTATCGATGGGGACTCATTCCTATCCGTTGCAGAATCTTGCGCTTCTTGATTCCCATGCAAAACTGTACCGCACATCTAAGGAGCGTATTCGAGGCAATCCCCATCGACTTCAGACACATCCATCCCTCGTTCCCCTGCCTTTTTACCTTCTCAACAACATGGCCCTTTGCACCAGGGAACTGATGGTCTCGTCCCTATGGGACGCCTCTGCGCGCTGACATACTCCGTGGTTTGTCTCGTACGACGACGTAATTCATGACTAAAGTTAACCTTCTAGTCACAGACCGGACATTGACATACATGTACGTACCATGACCGCTTTGCGATGCGTTGGAAAAAGGCAATAGTGGCGGTGAGGAGCATCTTAACCGGTTTCAGCAGCAGCGTGCATGGTAAAAGTAAGCAGTGCCGACAGTGTCATTCCACCTTGCCCGTAAAGCGTCCGTCACAACGCATAACAACACCCACCCCCTTTGCATGTTGCCCTTCAGCTTCTACCGCAACCATAACATACTTGGACGTAGGACAGACAGCCCCCTTTTCCCCCACCCCTTTTCCCTTGGGGTCAGTCAGGCCTTGCATTTACAGTGGTAGTCTATCCGGGCCTCACACGGAGGCAGCAGAAGTGACAAAGTTACATACAATAGAAGGCCGCTGTCGGAGTAAAACCCCCCCCCCTGTAAGAAAAGCACAACTTTTTTGATAGCTTCCAGAACAACAACATCGTAGGGCCTAATTTGTACACCACATACATACTTGAAGTGTCCGTCTCATTACACCGCAGTGTTGTAGATCACCCCCACACCTCATCCCTACCGCACGCACCATTGCATCACCCTTCACCAGGCCGTTCCTCCACCCCCCATTCAAAGGCCCCCGCAATGCACCAACGCGTCGATAGACTCAAAGACTCGCTCAAACGGCATGGCCTTCATTCACACCACCACCGCCGCCGGGCGGGTACAGACGATCTGCCAGGCGACCCGGCAGCCTCCACGAGTGGTAGCAGCCGGAACAGCTCCAAGTCCCGCACGCCGCCGAGGACGAGGACCGCGAGGCGGACGAGGGGATGGGGTGGTGGGGGTGGAGGTGGCTGGGGAGGGAATGAGGGTGGGTTTCATAGCTTGAATGGGGTTGCGGATGCTGAGGAGGTGTTGAGGAGGCAGCTTGCTTCGCTGGGGTTGGTTGTCAAGGTAGGAGCCGGATGATACAACGAGTGTGGGTGTGCGTGTGGGTGAAGAGTCCTAGGCTGCCCAAACGGCCTCGAGGTAGCCTTTGGCGGAGTTGAAGCCGCGGCTGCATGGCGGCTTTGGCATGCGAGCTTTGTGGAGCTGAAGGTTTTTTGGATATCACCTGGCATCCAGCCTTGTTTTCCTGACTGGGGAACTGACGTGCTACGCGGATGTTCTCTCTTGGTGCATTGTAAGGCCCTGATGGAGGGGTACCCCGCTGTGCCTCATCACTCAAGGCTCGTTGCGCCTATCCATTCTACTGCATCCATGTATCCGTGATACTAACGAATCGGCTCTCATTCATCATCCAGGACGTGGCAGGCGACGGCAACTGTCTCTTCCGAGCCCTATCCGACCAGTACGACGGCACACCCAACAGCCACTCTGCAGCTCGTAGGGATGTATGCGACCATCTGGTGGAGCACCGAGACACGTATGCTCCGTTTGTGGATGAGGACGGGGAGGGCAGCTTTGAGCAGCATGTTGGGCGGATGAGGCGGGATGGGTGCTATGGTATGTACTTTAGGGGATTCGTGGGTGGCGATGCGATTCATCCACTCTGGCTGGATCATCATACTGACCCACATCCCCTCGCAGGCGGCAACATGGAGGTGGTAGCGTTTGCAAGGGCAAAGTCTGTTGATGTAGCTGTGCATCAAGCTGGCGAACCTGTCTGGATCGTGTCGGGAGAGTCGATTGACAAACCCGCTGACGCAACACATTCGGATATGTTATCCGAAGCAGGTTCTTCGCCCTCATCTCAGACCGCCCAACATCGCAGACTATTGCACATCGCATACTACTCCTGGGAACACTACGCGTCCGTTCGTCCTGCTCCCACGGGCACAGCGCCGAGCCCCGAGTCAGCGAACGCCGCACTCGCCAACTTCCAAAGCATGCATCACTTCCAGACCCAGTCCTCACAGGCACAGCAACAAACACACCAGCAACCTCCCAACCAGATGGAAGCAACGATCATATCTGCGACCAATGTTTCTGATCTAGGCAAGATTAGAGCGCTCATGCAGCAGCTCGGCAACAACCCGAACGCCGTCATCGCGCAGTTGCAAGAGGAAGCTGCCGTCGCCGAAGCCGATGCTGCCGCGTCATCCCTCTCCCACCCCTTCGCATCGTCTGCAGTGAATATACCCGGCGCTGCAGCAGCACCATCCCCACTGGCGTCCACCGCCGCATCCTCCTTTACCACCCCGTCCAACTCCACATCCAACCGTAGCTCCTACCTCCACCCCAACAACTTCCACCTCTACAACAACACCCACTCCTCCACCCCCGGCTCATCCACCCCGCTCACATCCACACCCACCTCCACGGCCGCCACGCCCCCACCCACCCTCACACCGCCCCCCGAAGGCGAGCACAGTATACCCTCCTCCCCGCTCTCGTCCCACCGCCACCTGCAAAACCACCCGCACCTGGCCGCCGCGATCAAGCCGGTCGTGAGGCGGAGCAAGCGGGTGGGCAAGCGCATGCAGAAGCGGCTGCAGAAGGAGAGGAGGATGTATCGGAGGAAGAACGGCGCGCCTGAAGGGGAGGTGGGGCTCGGGCAAGGAAGTCCGTTGAGGGATGATGGGAGCGAGTTCTCGCACGGTGTGCCGGGAGCTGGGGGGGCACCGCCGAATGGGCTCGGGTTTTTGTCGGATAACATGAAGGTTATCCGGATATGAGTGCGTTGTTGAAGGGATGGTTGAGGAGCGTGACCTGGGTGCGATTGACACCACCACCAGACGGATGTAATGACTATGTGCGTGAGCCCCCCGGGTCTGGGTTGGCTTAGCTGTGTCTGGGAAAACGGCGGCCGTATTGCTGTTATGCGTTGGTACCTCATAGATTTGTGTGCCGGCTCCCCCTTTCCCCCCTTTTCCATTCCCCCACCATCCCCATTTCGATGATTAAGGGGGCGGAGAGCCCACTGATACATATGTACCCGTCGAGCGTCGTTCTCTGTGGTCGTGGCAAAGGGCGGGATATAACCCCAAACAAATACCATTTTGTCATTCGTCTCGAGTCATGTCACTTCGATAGTCATCCCTACGCCGCAATGCTACGTATCTACATAGAACCCGCAGCCACTGTTATGCAGTAGCCTTGTAGTGCTGTGGATTGTGTCTTCTATTCGCAAGCGTTTTTCTCTGTGAAACCCTGTGTCGACTGGCTCATGCCTTTTCCACGCGCCCCTTGACCTCCGTGATCCCCACCGGCTCCGACGCCTTCTCATCGTACTCGGCCCACTCCTCGCCTTCGCCTAATGGGATGTCCTTGAACGGGGTGCCGGATTCCGCGCCTTCTGCTTGCCAGCCGTCCTATTGGGTATCACGATATACGTCGCACGTTAGCAAGGGAGTTGGCGGAAAAAGAGGGGTGTGGAAGGGAGGTGGGTGAGTGAATCGTACCGCAACGCCAAAGTCTACCGGCTCCAATCCCCGAGATTCGATCTGTATTATAGGTGCGAATTTGCCGCTTGATTGAAGCTGGTAGGGTTTTAGGGTTTCTACGAGGATGTCTGCGGGAATGGAGATGAGATAAAGAGAAGTGCGAGAGTGTACATAACGTGAGTATGCTGGTCCCAGCGTATCCAACTTTGCAACCCAATCCACGGAATCTCGACTTTATTCCCATTCGAAGGTCCTCTTGATTCTCCTGCAATCTCTGGCCCAACCTTCCACATTCACAGCGCAATATCGAGAAACGTGACTCGATTCTCAGCTCCAACGCTTGCCCATGTCCTCTTTTAGGTCCAGCGATCTTCCCAATTTCCGCTTTCCAGATACTCACTCGCAGTCCCTTCATTCTTGCACGACTTGCACTTCATAACCAAGTTCGCCACTCCACGCGTGTTGGCTTGCTCCACCTCCTCCGAGGCGTTCACCACCACGAAGCCTTTGTGATCTTCCTGGCATTTCAAGCACTGTGGGATGGTATTAGCTCATTCTGACGAAAATCATCTTCGAAGAACGGGGGTATGACCGGCATACTTTGAACTTGATTTTCCAGTCGTATTCCTTGACGTCCTGGGGTTTGAGGTTGGTTACGTTCTCGAGGTCGGCTGAGATGGCCAATGTGTATTTCTGTGTGTGTTGGGGAAGATCGTTAACGTAAGCCGGGACGTCCGACACTCGTTTTGATAAGGCAGAAGGTTTGAGGGAATGCTTACGGGCATGGTGCTTGCTTGCGGGGTTCGTGTGCCTACTGTGGTTGACTTCGCTGGGAAACGGGGATGGCCAGCGGGAGGGAAAGAACGAGAAGAAGGAGGACTGCGAGACGCGCCCGCTTCCTCAAGGTGTCCTCAAGGCTCGTGCTCGTGGCGGCCTAGCAAAATGACAGGGCTCTCACACCGTCAGGCTCCTCGGTCTGAGTGGATCGAGTCCAGCGGATGATACCCAACCAATGAAGCCACTGTTTTCATCAAAGAAGAACATCTATTCCGATATGCATGGACGATACAAGTCACTTCTAGTATCATCATTCACAGATGCAACACAACGGAAGATAGTCTCCGCTGAGGACGGTATTCGACCAGTGAAAGATCTATGGAGAGTTGAAATGAACTGTCAGGAGGCAATTCAGCTTTCATTTGGGCAACAACTCGCCAATGGACAGACATGAACCCTGACCGGAATCACCAGACCGACCCAAACAACATCGCTCGCATGCTCCACCAGGCTCCCAAACGGGCCAAGCTCGCACGTTATGGCTGCTCCGAAGTGCAATGGCAAGCGCGCCGTGCTCAACTCCCGATGGTGAATAGTCCCCGCCGCAAACAGAGAGCGACGAAGACCACATCCTTGCGGGAGCAGCTTGGTGCCATGCAAAGCGCCTGCACGCGGATACCCAGTGGTCATGTTTCGGTGATGTTGGCCATCTGGCGATTATTCTTCTGGAGCTTAGATATTGAGAGCTATGGAGAAGATGGTTTCCCAGGTTTAATGCATGATCAACTCTGATAGAGTAGAAAAATGTCTTCAACTTAGGCGGATGAACTTCGCCGTGAATGCACCGGCCTGAGGAGCGCATCAAGCAGTATTGCACCCCTGTGAAGAAGACGAAGAATGCCATTCAAGGTACAAAAAGTATATATAGAGAACGACGGAACATGTCTTGGACATGCCCTTCTAAGAACCCAACGTGAAAGCGTTCAGATGCAAGCTTACTACTCTCAGGTACTCTGACCCACAAGCATCCTATCGTCAAGCCTGGACTATCAAAACTAGGCGATAAGTCCCGCTTTAGTGCAATGCAGGAAAGCCGTCAAACTGACACCCTGCGAAGACTGCTCAGTCGGAGACCCCCTACATGCCAGGGCGTCAGCCTGGACACACGGTGGGGTCAACTTCATTGCAGCCGAGGGGGCAGTGTTGAACCATGGAAAGATAGACGGTAGTGCTGTAGATCAGAGACCTTTGAGCACTGTTGGTATCGTGGAACGGGAGTCCGGAGGTTACCGTCTCCCGCTTGGACGACGGAAGCCGCAGCTCGCAGACGTGAAACGAAGAGCAAAAGACAAGGTTAGACTTGCGAAGAGTATAGAGCTCTGAAGCGAGTATTCCTGACCGTATTAAGCGGAGGGGATTGACAAAAAGGGTGAGACTTACGTCCGCTGAGTGCGGTGAGACGAGGCCAACCTAGGCAGAATCCGAGATCATAGCGGTACATCGTCGTCACTGGGAGCTTGACCGCGAACCCAGAGCCAAAGCTCCTCGCCACTGCAAGTCATGACCCCGCGCTCATAACCCCAGCTGATCACTATTGGAATCAAATCTGCGGTTGGGAAAGAACATTGGGAGCTAAGGGAGAGGGAACATTGCAGATATAATCGCGCCGTGCTATGGGACTGGGGCCCAGGTCCTAGTAGCAGGCGGTCCTCGATTGAAAATCAAAACTGTAACGCGTCTATGGCCCGTTACTTACCCGTATGGAGCCTTCACCGGCGGACTTATAGCCTTCACGCTCGGATTTACAGCCTTCTGGACCAGCCTTCCGTCGCTTCTATTAGAGCCGTGGCCAGCCTTGTTACTGCAGGTCTTCTTCACCAGTCCTTCCACACCCTCTCACCGCCATTGCCCCACCATTGCCATCACCATTGCCATCGCCATTGCCACCGCCATTGCCACCGCCATTGCCAAGATCTTCTTTGAACTTTGAACTACACACCTACAGCACACCCGTCAGCTTCCTGTTTTGCTTTTTGTGTTACAAGGTGACTCCAAAACCAGTCTTCTCATTCTTGCCCCGGAAGTAATTCAAACCTGTCTGTACAGTACATCCTTTCGCCGTCGCCGTCGCCATGCATCCGCTCCGCATTCTGATCTCATTGGACGTTCCGGCCTCAACTTCCGCGATCGATGGAGACAGCTTGGAATAGGGGCAGGCTCGCGATTCACTCTTCACGTCATGCTCGCTCCATACGGTCTCGACTCCCGCAATCGCTTGAGGTGCAGCCTGGATTTGGGCACTCGCGGTAAGCTCTCGACTTCCGCAATCGCTTGAGGTGCAGCCTGGATTTGGGCACTCGCGGTACGCTCTTTCAACTTCCCAATCGCTTTGCTGTCATAGTCGCTCCGCCGCCGGACACGTATGTACATTGCAGATATAATCGCGCTGTGTTATGGGACTGGCGCATCAACCGACGTGACTCACAGCTTTTCTTCACGTCCTCTCCGCAGCCAGCAGGCACACCTGAGGCACACCTAAGGCACATCAAGATCTCCTTCGCAATTGCCAAACTCCATCCTCTTTCCTCCCTCGCTTCCTCAATTGATCAACAAAAACAACGAACAATCACCATGCCCCAAAAACGCAAAGTCGACGAAGTGATAGACCTCGAAGCCGTGGGTTCCTCCATCTCCTCCCCCGCCATCATGTGCGCCATCTGCCTCGACGCCTTGCAGTGCCCGTTGGTCTTTAACAGCTGTAAGCACGTCCTGTGTTTTGAATGCATGCTCACCGACGAAACGAACAGTACATGTGTTCTCCCACGCTTCGGATTCTTGCTTGTTTTCGGTACATTTTCGTCTATGAAATGCCATATGCTATTGAAATGCCATATGTCGTGTTCTGATGCCGGTAGCGGAGGAGAAGGTGCTCGATCACCTGCGAGAGGCGATCTGCGCGGCCGCCGCCTTCGTTGAAGTAGAACATTGTCGGCGTCTTGTCGGTCATGTGGATTACATGAGCTGCTCACGACGACGTGCAAGTAAATTGCGTCGGACCTCTCCTCATCCATTGAACTCATGAACTACGTTCCTCGTCCAGAGCATAATCATAACAATTGACAGGATTCCCCTGGTCCGGCATATCGGTATGCTGTCAATCGTCCAATTGTTGGACGATTGACACTATCGTGACTCACCCGTAACCCTAACTCTAACCCTAACCCTACTTTGTAAACGTTGTATTCTCAATTGAATCAGGACTCTAACTCTAACCCTAACCCTAAATTGAATCAAGAAGTTCAGAGGGTCCTATTTATAAGGAGCGTCCGAGAGAGCGTTCCATCACGTGGGTTTCATCACATGAGCGTTGCGCAGGCTTCAATAAGTCTGATTAGGGCTGTAATCAACAAATTACGTCGCACAAAGTCACACAAGCGAATCGGATCGGAGTCTGCGTCACGCCTCTGCTGTCGGACCTTTGAGACTTCCGCCCCATGAAGACAAAAGTCAAGAGTCCTCAGCGCAAAACGCAGTCGCCCGGCCTGGGGTCTGTGGTATGCGAGTTTCTCCACACAATGGTGCCTCCATTCTTGAGGGTCAGGCGTAGGAGGGCTTGACCGTCACCGTCGTCACCTGGTCTGTTTTTTGTCCCTTGCCGGTGCACGGACTCGGATTGACATTATGGCGTCGAGCTAGGCCCTGAGCCTCGTTGCAAGAAAGTGGGCACCATTATGTTTTGCTTCCCAGATGCGATGCAGGCATAGTGGATTGGGTCCTCGCCATAAGCGGATTAACGGGTCACAGACGATGATGGATGTGACCCGTTGATGATGGTGAATCCTACATAAACTCGTAGGGTACAGCGTCCCCCAACCCTCATCAAAAGCATCTGCAGCATCCACATATCTTAATAGCAGCATACATAAGCACATACAGGCATGCACATCAAATCCGCCCTGGGCAGCCTAGCGCTCATGTCAGCGCTGACGGTTCAGACCGCCCTCACAGCTGATGTGTCAGCAAATAGAACTAGCCCGCATCTGTTCCCGACCTTCCACCTACGCCCCGCGCAACACTGGATCAATGATCCGTGTGGGCCGTACTACGATCCGGCGACAAAGGAGTATCATTTGTTTTATCAGTATAACCCTTACGATGTGGAATGGGGAAATGTGAGTATCAGAAACTCCATCTCGCCGCATTAACGTATCATCGACTAATTCCTTTGACTCAGATTACATGGGGTCATTTCTCCTCAAACGATCTCTCCACCTGGACCGACCGCGGCGTTGCCCTGACCCCGGGTCCCAGCGCCTTCGATGCGCTCCACGTCTTCTCCGGCTCCGCCGTCGCCAACGGCTACAAGGGCTACCCGACCATCTACTACACCGGTGTCAACTACGGCCCTATCAGCTGGAAGATCCCTTTCACGCGCGGCGCCGAGACGCAAGCAATAGCGTACACGACCGACCACGGCGCGACATGGACGAAAGTCGCATCGACGCCACTGTTGAGCGGCGCCGACGCACCGAAGGGTAACCTAACGGGCTGGCGCGACCCGTTCGTGTTCAAGTCCCCGGCTATCGATACGGCTACGGTGAACAACCGCAGCGACACCCATTATATGATCGTCTCCGGCGGAAAGCAGGAGAATGCCGAGCAGGAGGACGATTTCGGCCCGTCGTTGTTCCTGTACAAGAGCGATGACTTTGTCACCTGGAAGGACGCTGCGGCAGACCCGACCCCGTTCTTGCATTTCGGCGCAAATGCGACATGGAAGGACGCACCCGCCGAGCGGGCGGGATCGTTTGGGTACAATTTCGAGTTGACGAATCTCGAGTCTATCGCCGACGACTGGGGGAACCGGTGGAACATCATTGTTGCGGGTACCGAAGGCGGACGAAGTATCTTCGACCAGCATTTCCCCATGTGGATCGCGGGAGATATTACCGGCAGCCCCACGAATGGAACCATGGTGCCCAAGTTCGAGCCAACGTTGGCGGGCGTGGGCGACTGGGGGATCTACTACGCGCAGAACGGGTTCATCGACCCCGTATCCGGCAAATGGATCGTGTGGGGCTGGTCGAACGAGGATGATGGGCCGGCGCCGCATGTGGATCGCCAGCAGCGGGGTTGGGCAGGGATCCTGAGTGTGCCGCGGGAGCAGTTTGTTAAGACTGTTGGTGGGCTTGATGAGAGGACGGCCAAGGAGATTGACAACGGGTCGGGCATCTGGAGGGCGCAGCAGAATCCAAAGAACGCAAGTGACTGGAGGGTCGCTACATTGGGCGTTCGACCCGCAGAAGCATTCTCCACCCTTCGAGCAGACACCCTCATCGACATCAAACCGTCCAGCCCCCTCACAAACGGAGCCCTCCTCACAAACGGCAGAACACCCATCACAGCCACTGTGGCCGATGTTACCCTCCGCTTCCCCACACCTCCCACCGGCACCCAAAAAGCCGGCCTCACCATCCTCCGCTCCCCTGACAGCACCGAACAGACCCACATCTACTACGACGCGTCCACCCGCCAGATCATCGCCGACCGGTCCAACTCATCCACCCTCGCCAACGCAGGCAAGACGGTCATGGCCGGCGCGCTGGATCTCCTCCCCGGTGAGCCGCTGGATATGCGGATCCTGGTGGATGGATCGATTGTGGAGGTTTTTGTGAATGAGCGATTCGCGATGACCGTGCGTGTGTACCCCACGAGTGCTGAATCGGCGACGATGGCGTGGTATAGCGTAGGAGCGGCGCCGGCGGCGGAGGTGACGGTTGTGGGTGTCAAGTCGGCGTTTAGGGATGTGTCGGCGCCGGCGCCTGTAGTCAGCAGCGCGGGGGCGACGGGGAGGAATGGAGGGTCGGTTGGGGTTGTTGCGCGGTTTGTTGCTAGCTTCTTTGTCTGAGCTTCCATCAGCCGATTTGTCGGTTTGTAATTTGTAGATAGTTTACCTAGATTTTGCATGTAGGTGTTTTTGATTTCCCATATCCTTCTTGTCCGTGACTACATCATTGGAACTTTGATCTCCTGCTGCCTATGGTACAGAAGATTGGACACATGCCATGAAAGAGTTCTTCCTTCCAACACAGCCAGAACGAGGATTCCTGTTCAACTCCTTATACTGATTGATGTCCCAAGACTTTCCAAAATGCATGTCTAAAAGGCCAAAGAATGGCGGGGATAGAACTATCTCTCTAAATCTAAGCACGCCGGGAATATTTCGCATGCAGCACACGTACGCCTAACAGAGGAAACGGCCCAAAAAGATCTCTAGAACTAGAAGTACTTGGGGAAGGCAACCTTGGCCACGGCGCCAACGTCAGCGGCAATAAGTGCGTGTGTGGCCGTGGTGGGGTGCAGACCGTCCCAAAGCGCAAAGTCCTGCACATTCGGGCAGATCGTCATGGTGGTGAGGTCCAGACAACCGCCTTGAAGGTCGGTCTTCGGGTTCTTCACGAGCAACTGACCAGCAATGGCGGCAAAGGTGGCGACCATGTCGATGGCAACGACATTCGCCTTGGGCTTGGTCAACTTCAGAGTGGCCAGCGCAGCGCCCAGCCTGAGGTTGTGTTCCGCGAACGGGACGTAGGATGATGGGGGCAGGTTGAACACGATCAGGTCGTCGTAACCAGCGTCGATGAGCTTGTTGATTCCCTGCATGGTGAACGCAACGACATCTGCGGCGTTGACTGTTTTACCAAGCTCCGGGGCGTGGATGTAGTCGTTCCCGCCTGTCCAGACCGTGGCGACGGTCTTGTTGGGCTTGGCATCCTTGGAACGTCTCGAGAGGAACTGGTCGACCTGCTGGACGAAGCCGGGCATGGTGGGGTACCTGGTACCGTGCTCGATAGCTGGGTTCACATCGGTGTTGGATGTGGAGATGCCGAAGGCGAGGTCGACCAGGTTGGCGTTTGCGGTCTGAGCGAGGTATTCGGCCCAGACGGGGCCGTTGCTCCATCGGCCATTGGTGTAGTATGGGGATGGAGGCATCGTCTTGTTTGTGATCAGGTTGAAGGAATTTCCATTGTCGCTGAGCGAGTCACCGAAGGCGACGATGTTGAAGGAAGGCTTCTTGATGGCCGCCGCGAACGCTCCTGGGATGGACACCAGGGCGGCAAGAGCGATGAAGGGGGTGATCGTGAAGAGCATGGCTGCAAGTTACTTGTCTTTGATGGGAGACGTAGTAGGGTATCGTTGACTGAGGAGAAGAAGAGGGAGACGGCGACCATCGGGCATCTTTTATATCCCCAGCCGTCGACAGCGCGACCGTGGGTTCGGAGACGGCAGGACCACGACGGGCCCCCTCAGTGTATCTGCGTGTGTACCATATGTGTACTATGTGTCTACTATGTGTGTACTATGTGTGTACTATGTGTGTATTTGCAGTGTTCCTATATCGGTCTCCCAATTGGTCTCCCCATGGGTCAGTCTGTTCCCAAATCGAGCGCTTGGTGATCCGCGAGCGGCTTACTTGTCCGAAACACGAGAAGAACGACACCAGTCAAACAGGCCCAAAACGCGTCGCAGATCACCTAATCAGCCATCACGCGTGTTTGGTGGATTAGGAGGAGGGGCGGGTGGCTTACTCCGTCTCACATTTCATCCTCAACGCCATCGTAGGATCTACACAGCGGAGCTTGCAATTATCCCCCCACCGTCATACAGAAATGTCCTAGCAGCTAGATCATCTCGCGATGTGTCTCTCTATGTGTCCAATGGGCCCATAAGAAGGCGGATCTGCGAGTGGCTCTCCTTGGCCAAGGACCGCGAACCCTAATCCGGTGGTTTCCCTTTTCAACACGAGAGGCACCCTATATAGATCTAGATATGTGGCTTCCACTTTTGGAGCAGACCACCCAATGGTCCCCTGTGCCACTGCGGGTCTTATTTTTTGCCTCAGCTCCCGTGAGGCCCATAGGACGAATGGCTGACATCGTGCGGACTCCCGGACTGGAGGAGCATGAGGAAGCTTGCGATTGCCGAGTCGCACAATTAGCTCCGCCGTCCAGGAAGCTCTCCTTCTGCTCCTCACTTCGCACCGGCAACCTGCATTCGATGTTGCCGAAAATCAGACGTGATTTTTTCATCACCAGTTGCCCGAAGATCACACATGGTTTTTCGTAACTAGTAACTAGTGTAACTAGTTTGCTATACATAATACCCTTTATGCAAACCTCAATGCTGCCATTTCTTCAGTCGGAGGAAAACAAGCAGCACGATGACATCTTTCCCAACCGCCGACCACGTGTAAACGCCCAAATCGCGGAGCGTTGGTCCTCCCAGTTTGTTGCATACACCGCGTAGATCTTTCTATTCAACTTTTCAGTCGCCTGCGGGTTGCCTTTTCAGGGTTGTCGTTGAGCCAGAGACAGCAGGGCCTATTCAGGATTCGCATAACCTCCTGTCTCTGACTCAAAGAAAAATCTGACGAACGGTATCGGTGGGTCAACGTGTTAGCGGGCTCCAACCTCGGTGGATGGGAACTCGAACCCCCGCGTCTGCTATCGCTTCGACTGCGACTTTCTGATGGTTCTGTATATATCCCATGCCGCGCGTGTCGTTCAAAAAAGTCTTTATAAGGAGCTGGCAGGGATAGGTCTTCCGTGAGCTGGGGGAGATTGAGGAGGCTCTCAGTTTACAAGAATTCCTATGAACCATCGATGCCCCAATAATCACCATGACGTTAAGGTCTCCATCTTCTGTACCGCCCGACGTTGATATGGACTGCGTCGTCCAATACGCGTACTTATCAATCCTGTCGAGAGAACGGTATGAAATGAGAGTCAAGCGTAATTTTCCACCAAATAAATACGCGAAGTGAGAAACTCAGCATCTCACGGATGGGCTCATGCGTTCGGAGACTAACTCCTTTGCAGAGTACATCACGACACTGATATGTGTCAGCGAGGTTTCGTCAAGCACCGCGCTACTATCTTTCCTCGCTCAATTGAGCAGGGCTGCGTTCCTTGCAGTTTCACCGCAGTATAACGATCCCACTCCCCATCTACCAGCGGACTGTCCATGTTGTCTCTTTCCACCATCGATACGACATCGGGCTTGGGGGCATCGGGCATCCTTTGTACGAGCGAGGCGAGGATCGCCTCGTCGAACGCATTCACCCTTATCGTCACTACCGTGGAGCAGATAAAGTCCCCTATACAGATATACAGGACACACAGCAGTGAGAAACGGGTTAGAACTTATGCGGTTGTAGTCTACCGTTATCCGCTCCCGCCAACGTCCGCTCAAGGGTGGCGTTCTTACGCGTTCCCTCCGCGTTTAGTACAGCCTCTATTGCACTCCTGAGGATTGCGTTGTAGATGACGTCCGAGGCCTCACGAGCACTGGCTAGGTTAGAGAGAGCGACGGGGATGTCCAACAAGCTTAAAGCGAGCATGATCATGGATAAAAGTACGATCTGTGGATGTTTAAGCGAAATGCGTTCTCAACTCCGTGATGGTACAATAGATGCACAACAGCAAATCGGATATTGAAGGGCTTACCACCGCTTTATCTCCCGGAATCTGATCCTTATTGACCATCTGGCCGCCGAACCAAAATCCAAAGGCAAAGATCAAAAATAGGACCCCTTGAAAGGCGCCAATCGCAAATCCAGACGCAAATGCCTTCTTCTGGTCTGTCTTGGAGACGGTGCGCGAGGGTCTGCTGGTATCTTGTGGCGAACCGCTTTTGCATGGAAAAGGCAAAGATGGTGCGAACTCCGGATATAGCTTGCTCGGCTACCGACGATGCTACGGAATAGGCGTCGCTGCTCTGCTTGACCATCTTGGGAGTCTACTCGGACCATGATGTAGCCAGCGAGGAACAGCAGCGGCATCGTTGCCAACCTGAGGATGCATGTGGAGTGAGACAAGCCATGCTCGCCCGTGGTGTTCAGAGAGTTAACACCGTGCACACATGATCAAAGTCAGATTCCATCCAGCCTTGAAAGCAATGACAAGACTTGCAAAGACAGTTCCAACGATGGTAAAGAGGTTCCCGGTGCTTTCGCCAAGGCCGGCTCGGACAATGGGTATATCTTTGGCGAGGCGCGCACTCAGAGACTCTCCTTAGCCTGCAAGCCAAGTTCTCAGTAGGCTAAAACATGTGCGTGGAATCTTCATGCACTACTATAGTAGAAACTTACCAGACCGAACCAAGCTGAATCTTTGTGTAGCACATTCGTGAGGTATAGAACGGATATGCGCTAAAGCAAATGTCAGCGGGTGAGTAGGCAGGCGTACATAATAAAAGTGATCGCTGCTGAGTGACAGGCACCTTGATCTGACTCTCCGCGCTGAGCACCCATAGGGCGCGGCTGATGTAGGTCAAGAAGAGGAGCATGAAACCGAGAATCCCAAAGATGATCGACTTGTCGTATAGCTTATTATTGCCGTTCGCGCCTCCCATGAACCCGGAGAGGACATCACCCACCGTCTGGATGGCGAACGGGTTCACTGTCCCGATTGCCATGCTTGCGAAAGCGGCAACGCTGAAGCACACGATAAAGGACAATCAGACTCCACTTCAAATCATCGATGCATATCTAGATCATACTCACATGATCATGGAAACCTCTGTGGTATCGGCAAACTGCCAAGTCCAATGAACGAGACGGGCGGATTCGCAGGTGCCGGATTCGGGAGCAGCTGTACCTCCTTGGCAGCTTCGTCCCTATACCCCTCATCCGAATGAAGTGTCATCGGGAATCTCGACGAATGTGGGGTAGGTAGACTTGGCCGCGCATTTCAAAGTCTCGGTCAGTGTTCATCCCCGACTTGGGACTTCCCCAGCTATCCCGGCTGCTCTTTCATGGAGAACTGGGACGTGATGTGCTGGCTGAACATCTGCATAGGCGTCGAGGGAGGCAAACATGCTCATTGCTGATTTAGCTTGTAGGCGCCTTTCAAAGGGACGTGCTCTGTCAATGACACCATGGATATGCTACAAGCGGAACTCCTTTTGAGATTACTGACGGTAGACCAGTTGATGAGTATCGGACGGAAAACGAAAGAACAGGAAGGCCTATTGTTCGATATCTTGCTGTCGTTCTGAGTAGGAGTTTCCTTTCGTACTGGAAATGGTCAGGGCGGGAGAACGCGCTGTCGATTGTTCTTTGTCTGTGGCTGCGCAAAGCGGAGTTCCGCTCTCTGCTTGTTGGACCTTCTCCTCTTGCCATGATCGTCCGGACTGGGAAATGGAGGTCCGATTTTGGGAGTCCCATAGATCCACAAGCATGGACGCCCGCGGACTCGGGTCTTGGCATCCGATATTACTGAGGAGAGCTCCAATCTTTCGGAGATGGAGTACCAGCGGTTTGAGAGCTTTATGAACAATGTTCCAAAGGTTAACATGGCGACTCTCAGAGGCCGAGCACCAGGGTCGATTGGAGGCCGGTGGTGAGGAACACAAGGGAATCGAAAAGGAAGTCCGAGGTGTTTTCTGGGACCCAGTGTCGGACGATGTGGGGATATGACTGCGGCAGTGCGGCGCCAAGAGTGACCTCCTGATGGTTGAGGAAACCCAATGAGCTTGACAGATGTACGACAGACCTTATATCACCCCAAGCATACGGCCGCAAGACCGATGGTATATAAGAGCGATCGGTTTGCTCGCCCCAATGATTTCCGACATCCCACAACGTCATCGCGCTTACCGGTAACCGCTAACCTCCCGTTGTAAGCTACCATAAATTGGGGTCGGAACGTGTCTCGGTTTTACACTTCTTCACTTCGGTGTGTCAAATCACTGTCGAATTTTTTAATCGCCTTACATCCGCCAAAATGTCAAGCAACATTGATTGTATGGATGTCTCGTCTTACGAATTTATCGTTGGCTTCTGAGGCCCCTGCCTAACTAAGGTTTCCCTTCCACAGGGTCTAATACCTTCTTCGGCTACGAGCCTTCCGGTTGGGCACCATTCCTCGCCGCTGTAAGTTCGAGTGTGCTTGCCCTGCCGTTGTGAGATTCTCCAGCATCAATGGTCTCACGCCTAGATTTTCTATTTTTCCAGGGGCTTTTCTTGGTCTTGGGTTTGCTGCATGTCGTTCAAATGATACGGTTCAAAACCTACTACATGGGGTGGATCATCGCGGGGGCCTTCTGTGAGTTATATTTGAGCTTTGCGGTGGTCATATTGAAACACTTCGCTAACTTCCATCCCCTCCTGCTGACAGTCGAGACCATCGGTTACCTCATACGCCTGAAATCGAGAGCAGATCCCACGGTCATGAATATTTACGCAGCGCAAAACGGCTTGATCATCATTGCGCCGGTGTTCTTTGCTGCATCGGAGTACATTCTATTGAGCCGAATGTAAGCATGCCCCCCTCAATGCCTACTGTGCAGGCAAAGACATTGACGTCTGGCCATCCTTCGCTTCACAAGTATCAACCACGTCGGGGGACAGTTCTCCGTAATTCGACCATCACGCATAGCAAAGATCTTCGTCGGCATCGACATCGTCTCCTTTCTCGTACAAATAGCAGGAACCGGCCTTCTCGTGGGCACCAAGGATATCTCAATGCAAGACATAGGCCTGAAAATCATGTTGTTCGGTCTGATCCTCCAAGTTATCTCCTTCGCCGGTTTTCTCATCGTCGCGGTCCTTTTCCATCGCCGAGCGGCACACGTTCATGGACAATGGTCCAAGTTGATCAAAGCGCTGTACATCAGCTGCATCTTCATTCTCATTAGATCGATATATCGTGTGATCGAATTCGCCCAAGGATTCAAGTCTGATCTCGCACACAACGAGAGGCTCATGTATATCTTTGACATGGGCTTGATGGTGCTGGCTATCGCTGTGTTTATCATCGTGCACCCGGGCAAGGCACTGAATGGTGCATCGGCCGGTCAACCAGCAAAGACTGACGTTGAAACACCGATGGAGATGGGTCGAAAGCGCGATGATAACCACCACCGGGAGGGTCGCCGACATTGAAATCGTAGTTTCCATTCGAGGTTTGCACTAGCGACTTTTTGTAGCCTTTTTTCATCTTGTACTTTTGTAATGTTATATACGTCTTAACCATCGGCATTGAAGAACACGAGGCCCTCTGGGAGTGGCGATCGCACAATTGGATGACATTGACAGGTTTTGACAGTTGTGGCCACAATCGAGCGCGTCCGATGCGATTTCCCAGAAGGATGGCCAATTTCGAATCGTAAAAACCACTGGACATCGGATCTGAGACCAGAAAACAGCAAATGTGGGCGTCGCACATATCCATCGCCCCCGGACCGCTCGTCTCATGTCAAGAAGAGAGGCCGAAACCATTTGGTAAGATGAGATCGCCATCGACCTCCGCCGCAAGGGGTTGGTTGCAATAATCGGAGTCTCCGGCGGATTGCCAGTGGTGGAAAAACAGTGGGAGGGGGGGTTCGCGACGTGGCCACCGATGTGACTGTGCTCAGCTTGTGCGATCGAGCGATCCAAGGCGGTTTGCAACATGCAACATCCGAACGTGTTGCAACCATCCCATCCAATAATGCATACTGAACGCAGGGTCCCTGGTCCCGGGGGGTTGTCAAATATGATAAAAGGACGGCCGAAAGGTTGTGCATTCCCCTCGGGCTCAGCTTCACCATCGTCCAGTTCATTTTCGAAAATTCAAAGAGTCAATCAGCAAGGTGAGCGAGCACAGCCAGAAGAACAGGGCGGCGCTGGGTAGAGGAGTGTTGGAAACGATCAATTATTGTCCGGGAGGAAGCTTGCAACATGATTGAAAAACATCTCGCAGCCGAATCCCACGTCCGGCTTGTCGGTCATGCCACGGATCGTAGCAGGATAGATGCGGTGGTGGCGACAATGGAATGAGGGAGGGCCATGAGGCCGAACGCAAACATTTTCAAGAGCGCACAACTCATCTTGACCTCCCTAGAAAATCAACACGTATATCCGTAAGAAAACTCGCGACAGACTAGGATCCGGAACAATTTACACGAGGACCAGCGTCGCCCAAAATCCCAGTCGAACGAAGACGCGCCACATCTCGCAAGCGAAAGTTTCCCACACATCAGCGTTCAACCCTTAACCGAATGGACCGATTATCCTCTCCAAGTCATGCGCCGGTGGCGAATGTCATCTCGGAAACGTCCGAACCTGTTGGAAATGACATCAAGGTCGTCGCAAAATCGGCCGGCAATAGTGTTCTAAGTTTCGCTAAAATAGCCTTAGCCACCCTCTCCCCAACCCGGTACTTGATCTCCGCCGCTCAAAAGGCATGCCTGAACACATTACGACGCACGAGAGTTGGGCGTCTGACGATCACGGCAAGAGACGGAACGGTACACACATTCGGCAGCGACTCTCATCTGAGCAACGCGACATCACCGATAGAAGCATCGCTGATCGTCCGGAACGATAACTTTTGGCTTCGGATAGCGCTTTTCGGCGCCCTCGGGTTCGGCGAAGCGTACATGTATGACGAAATCACGGTTCCGACAGACCTGGCGTCGTTGATGATTCTCCTGACACAGAATCGAGATGCCTACGCGGAGATGAACCTGCTCCCAGCCGGTCTCAACGCGGCGTTGAACAACCTGCTCCTCTCGCGTATCCCCAACACCATCCTTAATGCCGTCAGCAACATTCAAGCGCATTACGACCTCGGGAACGACATGTTTACGTCGTTTTTGGACCCCACCATCATGTACTCCTGTCCAATATGGAAGACCGTGCCAACGGGCACCGAGTCTTTGCGAAAAGACGGACCCGAGGAAGACCCAGAAGACACCCTGGAACAGGCGCAATATCGGAAGGTCCACGCCATGCTCGATATGGCGCACATCAAACCAGGCCATCACATCCTCGAGTTTGGAACTGGGTGGGGAACCCTCGCGATCGAAGCTGTTCGCCGATATCCCGGCAGCAAGGTGGTTTCTCTGACCCTTAGCAAAGAGCAAAAGATTCTCGCAGAGGACCGTATCGCCGCCGCCGGCTTGTCGAATTCCATTACAGTGCTTCTCTGCGATTACCGCAATCTGAAGCCGACGGACTACCTCCCAGCGGGCAAGACTACATTCGACCGCATCGTCTCCATCGAAATGCTCGAAGCCGTTGGACCGGAGAACCTGCCTGTCTTCTTCGCCAAATGCAACGAATACCTTGACCCCAAACATGGTGTTTTGGCACTGCAAGTCATCACCATGCCCGATGCCCGTTACGAAGCGTATTTGCGGAAAACGGATTTCATTCAAAAGCACATCTTCCCCGGAGGACATTGTCCTTCCGTGTCCGCCATTGTCGCCGCGGCGTACAAGGGCACGCGGGGCAACCTGATCCTAGACGACCTCGACAACATCGGCCCGCACTACGCGCAAGCCCTCCGCATCTGGCGCCACAGGTTCCTCGAGAACTTCGACAGCGTCGCAGCGTCTGCAGAGAACCGAGATGCACCCTACGACGCCACGTTCAAGCGGAAATGGGAGTTTTACTTTGCGTTCTGTGAAGCTGGATTCGCGACGCGCACACTGGGCGATATTCAGGTCCGATTCACGAGATGCGAGAACGTAGACTTGTTAGAAGGGATTCCCCTCTGACCGCGCACGGGGGACTACCACCGTTGTACACATGTAGAGCCCGCGGCACTGCTACGGATTGACTAGAAACGTCCCACCATATGGAACAGGACTGGCCGGAGTTTCTTGCCACCTTATTTCGAATCTTATATCATTTGGCTTTCCTTTCTGACACGCTGCGCGAAACGTGAGATACGTGTTTCCGGCTTCAACCTGGCATCGTTTGCTTCGCCTTCTTGTTCATCTCTTGGTTAACGTGCATGGGCTCGACTTTTACGTACCCAAGCTTCAACCCTGAAAAACCTTATCGTTCTTCCAAAGTTGATCTTTGAGTATCTTCTTTCGATGTACCTCCTTGTCCCCCATTGTCCGTTTGTATCACAACCATCTTCCGCATAGACTCCAATTGATTGACCTTCTTGCGTTTCCGGTGTCCCTTGAGGTATGAAGTTTGAACTTCCGAAAAGTGGTCGCGTCTTCCCTCGTGGGACTGCTCTCGTCTCGAACGCTTTTCCGTCCCCTCCTCGTCTGTTGGAATTATAAACCGATTTTGAAGAAACTCTTGCACCAGTCACCCAAGCGAAAAACTCTTCCCAGCGCAATTACCACCGCCATGACGCCGTCACCCATCAACACCGCTGCCACAACCACGCCAAGCCGCCCAATCCCATCCCCATCCACCGCCGCACGCATCCCCCTCCCAGCCCCCGAAGCAGTCCTACAGGACCTCATCTCACTTTCTCACACCGTCACCGCCAACCACAACGAACCTCCTGCCAGTACTGAGCTCTCACCTGCGTCGACCTTCTTGACCAAGGCGTCCCTGGAAACGGACCCCGAAGCCATTGTGCAAAGCTTGATTTCCTTGCAGCGCAGCGTGACGGTGGAGGCGCCGGCTGCGTTGGATGCGGCGGGGGGGTTGGCTGATAGGTCGGATGGCCTCATTGTGGAAGTTTTGAGGAATTGTGCGCAATGAGCGGTGTGGAGGGAAGTTCGGTTTCCTGGACACTTCAAAGAATAGAGTCCCGGCTTCGGTATTGCGGGCGATGCACATGCGGGAATCAATCAAGCATAACAAGCATTGGGCAAAGCAGGCCGGAAATTGGACGCTTGCGGCCTGTGTCGCAGTTTGGCGACATCGCGATGATCCATCTCCACAAAATCAAGGACTAAGCCTCGGTTCCTGCACAGAAGACCATGGTCTGGACATCTATTGTCACCTTGGGATCGAGTGGAAATTGATATCGCAATCGGTGGCCATGTGCAGTATCCGGTCTTCACGGATTCGGCTTCCCAGATGATGGATTCCCAAGGTGAATCAAGGCTCTACTTTAATGTGATCCGGCGCCACCCGATGCCTATGGTGCGTGCGGCACAGCTGCGACGCACGGGAGCTGCCTCTCGCGAGACCGGCGTTTGAATACCAGCGGCCGAGCAAAGATATGTAATGCCTCCCGGAACCCCCTTCGACGGTTTAGGCTCCCCATGGATATAGACGGACTTTTGAAAACGACGTCCCCAACGTCGATGGAAGTCCAAAATTCCTTATATTAACAATGACAAACGCTCTATTTCTAATGCGATCACAACTTGTCCCAGTGCGCACATGTCCAGCATGCACTCTCTGATACACCAGTTTCCAAAAGAACATCACGTTCGCAGTCCTTCCAGAACCTCCATACAAAGTTCCATGGCCCACCCCATCGACGCATCCGGCGGCACCGCGCACGCCATGAGCGTCAGGGGAATATGATCGTCATGGAGTTCGGAATGGAAGCTCAACCTCTTGCGAATTTGGTCGAGTCCCGATCTCTCCAAGAGCGATATTGGGGCGGAGGAAGGGTCTCGAGCGTCGAAGCAGTTGAAGGAGATGAATCCAGACGCACGCTCTTCGACGGTGGTCGTTTCGCAGGCGAGGTGGAATTCGAGGCCCTCTGTCTGTGGTATGATCGACAGACGATGTCAGCGAATGGGAAGAGCTCGATCTAAACTGCTGCATCTTGCAAGATCTTCAGGTACGCACCTTCAGCTCAAATCGCCCTTCCACGCTGTCATGCTTCCCAGCATACCGAATGAACCACGGGTCCAAATCAGGAGTCTGCTGGTGGGTTCCCTGCATCCATTCATATCCAGTGGTTTTAAGACGCTCCAGGTCAAATGGCACACCTGCTTCTCCACATCTGGCGGCCACTGATTGAATAGTTCTTTGAACATCGCGGCATCGCTGCTTGGCGGTCGAGACGAGATCTTGGATGCATGCATGGGAGACATGCGGGATTGCTTCTCGTAGCAAGTCGATGGAGGAAAAGTCCTGAACTAGGATTTCGTCGTGCTATGTTACGCCAGTGATTGAGCTGTTAGAACCTTTTCTACCCCGAGCGACGTCCAACGGACTCGGACGAAACTTACTTCAAAGACGACGCGCTCCGTGGAAAGGGCGATATCAGAGCTGCCCTCTTCGCTCCGTTCAAGATACCGCAACGACCCAACACTCCCAATTTCCTCCCACCCACTCAACTCCAGCAACTCATCCCAGACACCCCCCATCGTCCAGTCATCCCGCCCCACGAGTTTCACTAGGTTGAAATGCTCCGCCAGTCTCTCGATGACCGCCTTGGCCCGGGTGGCGCGGTACTGGGAGATGTGATAAAGCTCGATTTGTGGATTCCAGGTAGTGGTGGATTCCAGATGCAGCAGCTTTGCGAGCGGTGGTGTCACGTCCATGTATAGGTGTGCGCTTTGAACCATTTTGGATCCTGAGCGTGCAGGCATTCGGTCGCACCAGGATATCAGGTGGATCGTCTCGGTTTGACGGGGTTGACCCGCATTAGGGGGGAGAGGGATGGGGAGGCACAGAAGTTGCTTGGCTTGTTTGCACAGCTGTCCCTTCCATGTCGTCTGAATTTGGCTTCGCAAAGAATCTGTCTGTATACGGGCGGAGCGTGAGCCATGCGATGGATTTCCGCATACATGTAAATAACACCTCCGATAACGCTACCTTGCTCCCCTCGCCCTCCTCCATATCCGCATCCAACCCCCCAATAGCGCCCAAAAGCGATCGACTCAAGCGCAAATCCAGCCGCGTCCACACATGCGCACTGAGGAACCGTCGCCGGACAATCGACTCCATCCGTGACTTCACATATTCGTTGAGCCGTTTGTTCGCCAGCCCAAGAAATGCAATGTCGCGCAAAGAAAGGTATGACGTGACCGCATCTGTGAGTTCGAATGGGAGACGTTGCATGGTGGCGGCTTGTGAAGACGTCACCGTCAAGTTCTCTCTTTTTGTCGGGTGGTTTTGGAAGGTTGGGAGGGTCAGTGGGTTACTGGGGGATGTTCAGGTTTGTACCACGGGTTCAGGCACGTTGCTTCTGTGGGTCTGCACTTGGCGCGCTCAACGCGTTGAATAATGTCAGCAGCGATAGCCACTGCCCGGAAAGGACATCATGTTGGCATTGTTAGTGGGGGGAGGGAAGGGGAACTGGGGAGGGAAGGGTGCTTGTGGGAAATAAGGATTCCTGTGCATTTGGTTACGCGTCGGAGTATGGGAACGCGCATGTCGTAAGCAACGTTTTGTTCAAACAGACGGCGCCTACGCTCCCTCTTCAGCCTTCCAGCCGCGCCGCCCCCTCAACTGTTCTTTGCTTTCCAGGAAGTCCCTTTGCAGCTTTCTCCGTCCAAGGCAAGAGGACGTTAAAGCGTTCTTCTTGGCTGTGGTGGGGGACGGGGACGGGGACGGGGACAAGGACAAGGACGAGGACGAGGACGAGGGACGGAGGACTGACGGAGACGTCCATACAACGAAGTCCGACTTTACTGCCATCAAATATCCCATAGTTCACACAGACTCTCGAATACATATATGACAAAGAAGCGAGGTAAAAACGCTATATAAATAGTGAAAAAAAACTCGTCATGAAAACGGGAATCCATATGCTACGCTTTGACCGGATCTCCAATCCAGAAGTGGCTTCAACATCTGAGTCAGCACGTTTTGTTGACGTGGAGATTCTCCTCGATGGGCCGCAGGTGTTTGAGCTCGTAAGCAACCCGCTCCACCTTCTCCATCACGCGGAGAAGATTGAGGCCAGCAATCCCGCTCACTTCCTCGTCGGAGAAGCCACGTCGCAGAAGTTCGGCGATCAGGGCGGGGTACTAAGCGGATCATTCAGTCTTGTCAGAGAGAACCTCCTAGGCCAGTGCCCTACGACACCGAGCTCACCTTCGTTACGTCCTCGAGGCCCTTGGGGACCACATCAATACCATCGAAATCGCTTCCAAGCCCGATATGTGTCGGACCAGCGATCTTGGCGATATGTGAAATGTGGTCTGCTACTGCTTCGAGGGTGGATTCGGCCGCGCAGGAGACGAAGCGGGGGTAGAAATTGACCTATTTTGCAGGTGAACAGAAGACGATCGTGTAAGATCGGACAGGCTGCGAGGAGGTACTTTCGGAAGGCATCTGCATACCATGATAATGCCATCGTTCTCGCGAAGCTGCTCGAGGATTTCATCGGGCTAGTGCACGGCATTCGTTAGTCGCCCAGCCGCCCAAGATCACATCATAGATGACATGATACTCACCACGTTGCGGGGAATCCGGCACAAGGCGTACGCCGAGCTATGCGAAAAGATAATCGGCGCCTTCGTAATCCTCAAAGTATCCCGCATGGTATCATGCGAGACATGGCTCAAATCCACCATCAGTCCGAGCCGGTTCATCTCCAAAATCACTTTCTCTCCATAAGCCGTCAGCCCGTTATGTATTGGCTCGCCAGTGCATGAGTCAGCCCAAGCGGTGTGACACACATGCGTCAGCGTCATGTAGCGTACTCCGAGATCGTAGAACAAGCGCAGGGCTCCCAGGGAGCCATCGATCTGGTGGCCACCTTCGAGACCGATGAGGGAAGCGATACGTTTGTGTTTGTGGATGCGGCGGATGTCGTGAGAAGTGCGTGCGAATTCCAGATGCTACGGGACAACGCATGAGACTTTATTCCCACGGCATTCGCGTCGAGCGAGATATCTCTGATTTCACCTGCGGATAAGCGTTTACTATCCTATGTATCAAATCGATTTGTTCCTGCAAAGCCCGTTCTTCAGCACTCCCATAGGCAAAACGAACCCCATATTGATTCGGCAGGCCTACCAAGGTATACCGCACATCATCTGTACGCTTTGTATAATCCGCATTGCAAGGCACGAATCCACTCCAAAACTGGGCTCCCACCCTGCCCACCTTCATACGCGTCAGATCTGTACCAAAGCATCGTCAGCGTCGTCCACAGAATTATCCCGGACAGCCAGAGAGAGAAGCGCATCCCACCAGTGGCGTAGTCGGTCGTCAGATTGGTCAAATTCAGATTATCAATTTTTCCCTCATTCACAAACTGTAACCGTATCGGCAAATCGTTGTGCCTGCGCGCGAGAGCGTCGAAACCAGATCAGCACCCCTCCGGCCCCATGTCCACCAACCTCCACATCCGCCAACTCACCCATCAACCAACGGCACCTTCCTCAATATCTTCTCCGCCCTCCCCACATAATCTTCAACCTCCAAAACCTCGTCATCCACCTCCTGCAGCACATATCCGCTCGACTGGCCGGCCCCCGTTCCCCACTGACAATGCGCGAATAGAATGAGGACGAGTAATGAGGCGAGGAGGAACGCGACTTTGACGGGGTTGGCTTCGTTGCGTGGTGCGGGTCGGGTGAGGGACAGGTAGCCCCCGGAAGGGTTGGGTTTTGGCATGGCGATGTGGACGGAGTTTGGGCGCATGGTAGGGTTTGATACCCGGGCAGGAAGTGGAGGGGATGAAAGGAACCTCGACACCTGTAAAGGTAGAATCAGTCCGACAACCAAGTCCCAGGAGAGTTTGTAGCAAAGGAAGGAACGACCGTGCTTGACGATGCTTCAGGTTTTTGGGGGGTCAATGCTGCGAGCTCCACACCCGATATCCCGCAAACTTGAGATTCAGATCATTCATTCAGACACGAAGGCCTTTTGACGCGTCCCGCTGCCTCCCGCCACCAACGGGTCATTCCGTCAATAGCTGTCGTTTCCCCTCATCTCTCAACCATAGCGGATATCTGCCCTTGCCGTTGACTTCTTTGATTGTTCTCGGCATATCTACATTACTGGGCGGATTTCAGTTTCTATCGCTCCAATGCCGAAAAAAGACTGAGGAACAAACGTCGGTCTGCTCGAGTCCCCACACAGAAACTACTCCGCGCCACTTAACGACGCCATATGGATGAAACCCAGTCAATGTAAGAAAAAAAATGTATGCAACAAAGGCGCACAGCCACTATGCACAAAAGACTTTGATAATGGGAGAGAGAAAGCAGTAGCCCAATAAGGGACGAAAAAAAGGGATGGTCGCGAAAAACATGTGAAGCGCGGATATCGCAAACAAACGATGATTGATATATGGCGAAACGAGGTAAGGTAAGATACGTGATGACTAAAAAACAGCAGTGAATGTTCTTCCACGTCCACATGGCGAAGGATCGGTGTTGAAAGGTATTGGTAAGGTACAGCCGCGACAGAAAAGGGTTCTGAGAATGGGGCAGCTTGTGGGATGGGTGGGTGATGTGCGAGATCATCCCTGCGGGGGAGAAATAGGTGGTCGTGGTTAGACTTCATTGCATCGTCGGGATTATTGCTAACTCAGGCTGTAATATGCCAGCGACTTACAAAGATCTTGATGGCCTTCTCGAATGAGCCGAGACGCGCTCTTCCAGATCGGTCCAAGTGATCCACTCCTAGTGACCATTCCTCATTGCGCGGCAGCTCGGACAACAGATCATCTGCAACCGAGGTGAAGACATCAATCAGGGCCTCATCCTTGAATCGCCCACACCCAACCATGAGTGCAAGTCAAAGCATACCATCATCAACAGCCCGTGTCGTTCCCCTCGCGTTAACAAGGACAAACTTGGCTTTCGCAAAGTCCTTTTCGTTCATGCCCAGGCGTGCCTGCAGGCGTTCACGGGTCGCGGAGAAGGGTTCGGCGGGGATGATAGGGAGCCAAAGTGGTATGCCGAATCCGCGGGAGAGCTCCTTGGTGAAGTGGAAGACTTGGATGGGGTGTGCGTTGATTTCATCAGCCAGGATTTCCTGCAATCAGAGAAAAACATTGTTAGATGCCAGCGATAACAGTCGTTCACCGGAAGCCCGTCCACACTAACCTCGACATAGATGTCGGTGGAATCACGGATAGTGTCGATGTGATCCGTGTCGTTGTAGAGCTTCAGCAGCCTACCGTCACGTGCAATCTCGTAGATACGGTAGCGAGGTGGTTGTAGAGACACCTGGTTTGCTGCATCTTCATCCACGGTGATGGTGCCATCGTGGATCTTCTCCGCAACTTGTACGCCAATGTCCGCGACCTTCCCTGTCTTTGGCAGTAGGAAGTCAAATGGTCCCTAAAAGAATGGAGGTCATAATAAGCCAAGATCTCTTCCAAGTCTCCGCAAGTGGGGGTGGCCTCGAAACGTACCTGCTCCCGGTTCTTCTTGTCGACCCACCAAACCTTCATGAAGCGCTTGTTCTCAAGTTCCTTCACCTGCACGCCCAGCACCTCATAGACCACAATACCAGCGTCCAGCCCCGGATGGATGGCCTCCAGAACCGGCACCCCCTTGGGCCCAAAGCCCATATCTAATATCCAGTTCGGGCTGTACTTGATCGGCAAGGGCCTGTACGCTCCATTGTGCGGAATGACTGACAGCAGTCGGATCTTCTCAGATTCGGCTCCCGTGCGTTGCGCGATGATCTCCTGGATCTCCGGGTATGTGGTCCTCCGAGACAAGACGATCTGCAGCGCCTCCGAGTCGTCACGCTCGCGACCACGGAGTCGGAAGCTCATTGTAACGCGGTTCTTCATCCTGGTGTAGTAATCCAAGGCGTCTTTTAACGAGGGGTCCTGGATGGCCTCCGTCTCTTCCGGAGTGAGTTCGCGCTGAATGACGAGAATGTCTCCGTCGCCGATTTCCGCGGTGTGGAAGGTGAGTTTCAGCTTCAGGGTGTCGATCATCTCGGGTTTGACCTCCTCGTAAACCTTGATAGGGGTGCTCGGTGCCAGACCAGCAGCTTCCACCAGAGTAGGGATGATTTCCCCGATTTTCGTGTCCTTGTCATCGACGTACAGACGACCGATGTAATGCAGATTGGCGGTGACGGGATCGTACTCTTTTAACCAGAGGGTGAGCCCCTTGTCAGTGCCGGATCCGGGCTCCTTATTGCGAATGGGACTGATCTTCGGCTGGTCGGGTGGGGGGTAGTTGCCCGAGGACGAGTACCAATGGAGCGGGCGGCCTTTGATGCTCTCAATGTAGAACCGGATCTCGTTATTCGACTTGCCCATTTTGTTGAGCGCCTGTTCCATTGTCCATTCGTTAGAGTCTACGGTGTTGATTGCGTCCGGTCGCAGTGTCTTGTTCTGTCGGGCGACCATGTTCCACACGCGGAACTCTTCGGGCTGTAAACCGAGCTGGTGACACAGGTCCGCCTTGAATTGGCCGAGCTTCTGCGTTCTCAGCACCTTTTGAGCGTTGACGCCCGCGGGATAGTTGAAGTTGAAGAGGTCGAAGCCGTGATGTGTAGCAACGTCCTCGTCTTGAATGATGCGCACCGTGACGTAAAGGTATGCCTCTTCCTGTTCCTTCCTCTCGCGCTCAGCATTGATCTTTTCCTCCGTGAGCCGCTTCTGCAAGTGTAGCGGAATATCCTCTGGTGTCACTGGCGCCAGAACAGTGGGGCGATCGCCATCGCGAATGTACACCAACATGTACGCATTGGTGAACCGCTTCAGCTTCAAACCCTGGCGGTTGGCGGACTGGAATTCCCCGCCAAAGTTCTCGTCAAAGACTTCCCTCTTGGACGCAGGGGTGACTCTATCGTCGTCGAACTTGTACCACTTCTCGTCCAATCCCGGGCGAAGGAATGCCTGGTAGTGTCCGCCGTGAAGATCTCCGCTATGCACAAGTACGCCGTGCAGATGGTATTTCTGAGAGACAGTCTGCGGAACACTAGGGTCCAGGTACCCGTCAAGCTCGATTTCGGTCGGGTATTCATGTCTGTCGTTGATCTTCACCATGGCGTCCCGCTGGAAGTCGTACTCGAAGCGTTTCAGTTGCAAGTGCAACACTGGTGGCAATGCCGTGAAAATGACACCCTTCTTTGCATCTTGAAGCCCGTAGCCTTCCGCTTGGTATTTGTTGTCGCCATCCAGAGTCTCCACGGCTACGTAATCGTTGAAGGATTCGATTAGGTTCTTGCATCCCTTGACGTTCAGTTGGATATCTGCGGGTGACACCTAGGATTAGAGATACATTCGTCGCAAAATAAGCGGAATCTTCATGCGTACCGTAGAAATCTTCCATCCTCGAAGACTCATAGGGAACGTTGATACACGTAATGAAACTTTTCATCTTCCCAACAAACAATCTCGATATCGCTCCTTCAGCTTTCGTGCCTTTCATTTTGCTCTCCAGGTTGTCCTGCAAGACACGGTTAAACTCTTGTACATCGTGCTGCGCGAACGAGTCCAGCGCATCCCATCCGAAGGACTTGGTTAACTCCGTTGTCCCTACAAATTGGTCAAGTTAAGATCATCGGTTCCTTCATAGATTGCTGACTTCCGTTGAATGCTCACCGACGGCATCCGGGGAAGCTTGCAGGTTGTAGAAAATGCGTTGGAGAGCTAGTACAATGGACTTTTGTGGATCTTCGTTCTCGCTCGGGATTTGGAATGTTGCCTAGAGTCGAAAGCACATTAATGAAAGTGATGATGGACAGCTGAGTTTCGATTTGCCCGTACCTTTCTGAAATAGTTCGTAAAGTATAATGACTGCAGAACCGAGTTCATGTAGCACGTGGCACCCTGGTTCTTCAACCCCACGAATCCGGTCTCTTTGCGGGAATCCCATCTGGACGTCCATTCTTATATGAGTGGCGTCACCGTTGTTCTGTTTCAACATCCGCACGTACCGGTCGAACTTGTGCCACAATACACCCAGGTCGTCATGGTATATCCTGACCCACACCACAATGTTGAGCTCCTCCCTGTCGATTATCGCTGGCATTTCCTCCGACCCTCGGTATAACTTCGCGATGGTGGTCATTACACTGAATCCCCAATCAACCGATTGAGAATCGAATCTGTGTTGTGCATCTGTGGAGGGTATAAATAATCAGGTCCCGCATCGCCAAGGTGGGCCTCTTCGCAGATGATCGGCTTACCTTGGTGGACGATCCGGCTCTCATCCCTGGGATTTATGAGCGCTACGGCGAACCTCGCGCAAACGTGCCAGTCGGAGTCCTGGGGTTGTTCAGAGGCATCCAAGGACTCCAGAAAGACAGAAACTGTGTCTCTAGTCCTGTTCCCTGACGGGAATAGAAGAAGTCTCCTGGAAAAAGATCGACGTCACTTTCTGACGATCCCGACCAATCCAAAATATCGCCGACTTGGACGCGTACCATCTATAACCCCCCAATTCGAAAACCGGGCTATGCGTCTTTTCCCCCTGGCTCCTCAACTGGGCATAATCCTGAATATTCCACGTGAAAGTAAAATTGGCTACTTCTGTGAGGCTCGGATCCGGAGGCAGCACGGTGTCGATGCTAATCCGTGGCACTGGCTCTATTCGACGCAGACCATACGATATCAGTTGACCGCTTCGGCTCTCAATTATCCAGGTCTCGATGGATGATTACCATGAGGAACTTCATCCACCGGCGGAGAGTCAGTGTCCATGAGATCAACTGTTGTAAGGCCATTGTCCCCTGGCGGAGTCAGGTCATCGTACGGAGGGCTCATCGGAGCATCTAGATGGAAACCATTCTGTTGCGGTTCCTGTTCGCCCATCACCGTCACAGCTCAGCATCTTTTCGAAAAGGCAAACAGTCGCTCCAGTGGAGATCATACCATTGCGGGTAACTGTAGTGCGGCAAGCGCTGGAGCCACTTTAAGCAAGCTGATACTCAGAGTTGGTCTGATAAACGGAGTAACGGAATGGGTTAGTTTGCGAAAGTGGGTCGACATTGCTATACATTGACCCCGATCGCTTTCAGTGGCGAAGTGCTGAAGAACCGAATTTCGCTTGTCCAACCCGCAACAGGCCACCGTCGCAACGCACACTGGTCTGAAGAAGCATACAAGCGCCACCTTCCCTCCCTTCGTCAATGGGAAGCTTCGCTTGATTTGAGCCTCGGTGCAATTGATGAAAGAATTTCCCCGTCCAGCTCGGAGCCCAACCACAATTTCTCTCGAAAAGATGGGGCACTGAAACAAAACCTTCCGGGAAATTACCTGGTCTATCTAGAGTGTACCCCTGCCAGTGTTTACGGTTTGAGAGTGTACGCACTTGGGCCTTCTACTTGACAAGAATTAGGAGCGATCTTGTAGGAAGCAAGCGGTTTGCCGTTGTTCAAGCGCCCCCCCACCTGCGAGCTGTGATGATGGCCTCGCTGTCTTTCCCGGGCGGCCGGCCAGTCATCCATTGCCATTTCCAACCAGCCGTCATTTCATGCTGCACCACAGTCTCGGATCCCGGGTCTGAGCACAGAAATGTGCGTGTGGCGCATTTGCACCAATCAACAACACGTGGCTTTCCCCAGTTAAATTCGGTTTATCTGTTGTCTTGCTTTTCAGATTGAGGACAACATCATTGGTGCGTCGACACACTTGCCATGGCAGATTTTTTGTCTACAGTACAATGGGGGGGCGCTAGGGCCGTGAGACCCGGTGTGGTGGCGAATACCTTACTATGGAATTACGGTGCAGGACGGCGGGGTGTCTGCCATTTTGCGGCGCGAGCTTCCAAGAGTACTGCCCAGTTTCGCGGCAGCGTAGTAACGCTGAGTCAGCGCAAAACGCGAAACTCAGAAGGCCCCATTCCCAAATCGGCGCCGCCCGAAGCTTCCTTCTGATTGCAAGGAAAAGAAATGCTGGCATTTCATCCAAGCTTCCGAACGGTGTTACAGTATTATGAAGAAAATTTCACATGGACGCTTAAATTCCTAGCACATGCGAGCCCAGGCTTTCGGCATGGCGATTATGGAAAGTATTGGTGAATCGGAGCCCAATCGCAACTGAACAGGGTGGCTTCCATATTTTGCCGGGAGGCCCCGAAAGCAACGCCCTCCTGCGGTGCCGTCGATTGTGGCTTCCCCAGGCCAAAATTGCATCAGTGGCCGGGGTAAGCAACGCTACAGGTTCCTGTTTCAGTACGAAGCCGACTTCTAATTTTAGATATCCATATCTGCGCGCGCGGTTTTTTTTTAACCTTCCTTCGCGTGGCGCCGCTGTGGTGCTTGTTGTTCTTAAAATGCTGCCGGGATGTCAGCGGCATCGGCTCTGCTGTCTGTCTCTCGCCGGTCGATACAAAATCGAGGGACTCGTCGTCGTAACACCTTTCCTCGCTCCTACAAGCTGAATTTTTCATTGCGATGGACAAGAAGCACGTTCTGGTTACCGGTGGGGCGGGTTACATAGGGTCGCATACCGTCTTGGAGTTGCTGCAGGTATGCCTGAAGAACCTTTCTCCCGCTGTCGAATTTACACGTCTTGCCCGGGGGCATCGCTCACCGAGAAATGTGGTTTTTGTTCGTAGACTGGATATGAAGTGGTTGTGCTAGATACCCTCAGCAACTCCAGCATCGAAAGCCTGAAAAATGTATGCAAGCTGACGCAGTCGCGCGTATACTTCTACCAAGGCGACCTAGCCGATGCGGAAATACTAGACGCCATCTTTCGGAATCACCCAATATGGGCCGTGATACATTTCGCCGCCCTCAAATCCGCCCCCGAATCCGTCGCCCGACCGCTCGACTACTACCGCGTCAACGTCGACGGGTCCGTATCGCTGCTGGAAGCGATGACGCGGCATCACGTCCACCGCCTCGTGTTTTCCTCCACCGCCGCCGTCTACGGGAAACCAGACCCGAACACGACGCTGATCGACGAATCTCACCCAACGCGGCCGGAGAACCCTTACGGCCGCTCGAAACGGATGGTGGAGACGATCATCGAAGACACGACGCGCGCGGTCCGCCCACTGGGGTCCGTCGTCCTCCGGTATTTCAACCCCGTCGGAGCGCATGAATCCGGGTTGATCGGCGAAGACCCGAAAGGCCGGCCGGGCAACCTCATGCCCCTCTTACTTCAAGTGATGACACAATCCCGCAAGCATCTTGAGATCACCGGCACAGACTGGCCGACTCCAGACGGCTCCGGCATGCGCGACTTCATCCACGTGGTGGATCTCGCCAAGGGCCACGTCAAGGCGCTCGAACACGCCGACCGGCTGTGCATGGCCAACGGCGGCTTCGATACGTTGAATATGGGCACAGGGGCGGGGACGACGGTGCTGCAGATGATCCGCTGCATGGAGTCGTTGACAAACTCGACCATCCCGTATGTCAAGGGCCCGCGGCGGGTGGGCGATGTGGCTGCCGTTGTTGCGGATCCACACCGGGCGCAGAAGATTTTGAAGTGGAAGGCGACAAGGGGGTTGGAGATGATGTGTGCGGACGCGTGGCGATTCAGGCAGATGAACCCAGAGGGATACGTCTCGACCATCAACATGCCCAGCGCCGACTCGCTGACCTCGCCGCGTGCTTCGATACCGGGCAACTACGTGTTTGTGTCGGAGTCGTTGACGCCCACCGAGGGGAGTCCGCTGGTTAGGAGGGCTGTATCGCTGAAGGCTAACCGGCCGCCGAACGAGCCGGTCAAGACCACTAATCGAATTATTCTGTCTGGGATGAGCGGCGAGCCGCCGTTTTTGCTGCAGGACAGGGATCAATTCAGCCATCCACGAGGGGTGCCGATCGCTTTGACACCCGTGTCCACGTCGCTTCAGTAGAGGAGAGTTTAGAGACACGGTCGCTTGCAACTGTAGAGACCATCTAGTCGAGCTAGCTTCCTTGAACTTGGGCGGAGTAGTAGCGGGATGCTTTCATTAGCTGTTAGGCCTAGTCATAGCTCTAGAGTTAGCGCTTGGTCCGCTTCTTTCGCACCATGTTAGCGGGAGAGCTCCTGCATGGATTTGATTTTGCTCAGCGGGACTTTTTGTTTTCGGGACGTTATTTACGTATTTAGTGGAATTCTGGATGTCGATTATGAGAACCGAGGTGTCGCAAATGAAGAGGTCATTCACATCTGTATTTCTCATTCGATGGACTGCTCCCAGTAATACCACCGCACAAAGCACCGCGCGCAGGAGCGAACTCGTCGAACGACTTCCATGTTGCATGGCTGCGTGGTCTGCAGGCCATTGCGGGTAGCACGGGTAGCCTACTCCAGATAGCTGCCAACTACACGGGCGGAATATCATGTATAGTTCAGCTCAGACAAGTATATATTTCCCGACGTGGTACAGTAGATATACAGATTGCACTCAGGCGTAATACTGAAAATGAAAGCCAATGAGTACGACTCTAAAATCAAGCCAAGGCAGAAGTTATACCAAACCGCATACCTGAAGCGACGTTTTCTTCTTAGCCTGCACCTCCTGAATACCCTCCATAAAGTCCTCATGCGTAATCTCGCTCGCCCCTCTCCTCAACGCAATCATTCCGGCCTCAACACAAACGGCTTTACACTGCGCCCCATTGAACTCGTCACAGGTCCTCGCAAGCTCAACGAAGTTGACGTCCTTGGAGACTGTCATTTTACGCGAATGGATCTGCATGATGTTTGCTCGTCCTTCTTCGTTTGGCAGTGGGAACTCGATTTTGCGGTCGAGACGGCCGGAACGGAGAAGGGCGGGGTCGAGGATGTCGATACGGTTCGTCGCGGCGATGACCTGTGGATATGAAATGGGTGTCTATATGTAAGAAGAAGCCAACTCTTAACAAATTATCGATCGCACCTTGATACTCTGATCACTGCTGAAACCATCCAACTGGTTGAGGAGCTCCAACATAGTACGTTGGACTTCACGGTCTCCGGACTTTTCACTATCGAAACGTTTTGTGCCCACGGCGTCGATTTCATCGATGAAGATGATAGCTGGGGATTTCTCCTTTGCAAGGTCGAAGGCGTCGCGAACAAGCTTGGCTCCATCACCGATGAACATCTGTAGAGTAGGGGTCAAAGATATGATCGCATTGGAAACGTCCAAAGGGTGCGATTGACTTACCTGAACGAGTTGTGGGCCAGCAAGTTTCAGGAAAGTTGAATTTGTTTGTGCGGCACATGCTCTTGCCAACAGCGTCTTTCCTGTTCCAGGCTGATATACATCGTATGAGAACGAGGGTCAATTCAAGCTAATCATGTCACCTTTTTACGTACCGGGCCATACATGAGACATCCTAGAGAGACAAATGGCACAGATGAGTAACCAAGATAGATGATGGCAGTGTGTTGGGGAAGTCACCCATACCTTTTGGCGGCTTGATCCCAAGGTTCTGAAACCGTTCCTTATGCGTCATGGGCAAGATAATCGCTTCCACAATCTCTTCGATCTGCTTGTCCAGACCACCGACATCGTTGAACTCTTCAGTAGGCTTCTCGTCAACTTCCATGGCTTTGACACGCGAATCATATCTGTTCATCGATGTCAGCAAGGGATGAAAGACAGATCCCCCGCAATGCGCCTGGTACGCTTACTCGGCAGGAAGCATATCCAGAATCAGGTAGCTGTCTTTATTGACTCCCACGAGGTCCGCAGGCTTCAGTTTGTTGGAGTCGACCAGACCAACCATCGGCAGGAAAATCGTCTGGCGGGTTGATGTCTTTACTACTGCACATTTGCCCTTGCGGTGCGCGTCGAGATCGACGTTAGCTCCGTCCTCCTCCGGCTCTTCGTCTGGGTTCATATCCAGAATCTATATGTGGTGATTGAAGGACATGTTAGGGCCGTTGAGTCCCACCGTACGACGTTCTCCTGATAGTGACGGTCATACCTCAACGACATTGGCCACCAAATACGGAAGCTGTTTATTCAGCTTAACCTTCTCCTTGTTGTCCTTGATCCGCTCCTTCATCGCAGTCTGCTCGTGCGAGATACGCATTTGCTCGCTTTTCATTACCTATGAGTTCCAGAAGGGTTGTCAGCATGTGATTCCTAAGAACGCGTAGGGATCTGCAGCAATTCGTCGTTGCGAAAGCAAGTGCCAGAGCGATTCGACTCCGGAAAGAGAGTCCTCATTGGTGAAGCTAACCTTGATATCATTCTCAAGCAGCCTGGTCCGATTTGCTATTTCGTCTGTGCTGGCTTTAAGGATTTCCTGCCCAATGATGTCCTCCTCCTGCTCCACGTTCTTCGACAAGTCTTCTAGTGTCGCCATCTTGGGGTCCTTTGACTAACAATGCAGGTTACCGGTTATAAGTGTAGTGTCGCAACGAGTGGTAACTGAGTGTATATGAGGAGTTATGCTAGCAGCCGGCGATGATTCTGGGAAGCTGGAAGTGGGGAAAAGCCAAGATGTCGTTCAAGTTGCTCCCGAGGGCAGCCAGAGGGAAAGGCTGGAAGCGATTGCGTGTCGCGTTTCCCCTTGTCCGCTTTTGGACCAGCTTTTGGACTGCGTTTTGAACTTTTGACTGAGCGAAGATCGAGAACTTCCCTGGGCGTCGGATTCAACAGCTTGACGTCCCTGCCGCTCAAGTCTAGGTTTGTATTTGAAGCACCCAGCCGTATACGTATGGCCTCCCCTAACTCTTCGTCTCGTCCTGCAATAGACTGTCCGCCGTGGCCGCAATTTCCGAGCGAGTCTCTGGTACTTGATGGGCGTGGGAAAATTGTCCGACAATTCTGGAGAAGCAGGCTAATCGCCCGACCTCTTTTTAACTCAAGACCGGGCAAGTCAGCAACATGAACGTATTCACCAGCACTCGAGTCCGTCAGATGCTCCGCTACGCAGGATGGGGCGCCCAAGGCGGGTGCCTAATGTTGCTGATTCAGCAGTACGTCGCCGAGGTCACAATGGTAGGTCGCATTGAAGGACTTCACTGGAGCAACCACCCCGGAAGAAGACCCTTATACATATACAGCCCTTTACTAGTCAATAGGACCCTCCATGCTCCCGACATTTAACGTAGCCGGCGACTTGGTGGTGGTGGAACACGTGTCACAATACTTTCGGGCCTTGACGCTAGGCGATGTTGTTGTATGCGTGTCCCCATACGACCCAAGGAGATCTATATGCAAGCGAGTCTTGGGTTTGGTACGTCTTAAAGGTTCGGCGTCTGGTGAGGTGGATTTCCAGCTTCTGATCCATCGTTCCTTGCAGCCGGGTGACCATGTCTGCGTAGACCCGACAGTACCAGAACGCAAATACCTCACGGTCCGTCTCAAGTCTCAATCCTTCACTTGATTCCGCCGTCCCTCATCTGCCAAACACTTCATGCAGGTCCCAAAAGGCCACATATGGATCCAAGGTGACAATTACAACAATTCAACGGACTCGAGGAAGTACGGGCCGGTCCCAATGGGTTTGTTAAGGGGGAGGGTGCTGTGCAAGGTTGTTGAGCCGTCATTGAGTAGTCAAAATTTCTGCAAACGGTTGCTCATTTTTAAGGTTCACAGGTGTGGCCGGATTGGGAATGGATGAAAAGCGGGGTGCAGGAGGTTTACTCGAGTGCCGTTGCGCGGTGATATGGTGGATGGCAATCACAAGGAAGGCGATCTTGACTGGACATTCCTCGATGAAAGGGTGGATGAAAACGGTTGAAGGTTGGACGATTGAGCCACAGACTAGATATTCCGAGATGAAAGCAGCTTCCATGGTCGCAAGATGGAACATGTCAGACAACACAACGCCGCCCCAGTTCATCTTCTCGGCAGAGCGGACGGAGGCATGCCATCTCATACTACATACCTACACTGCTAGGAGTTAGGATAGGGGCCACTTATCGTTGGGCCAGAAGGTTGACGGCGAGACATACGCCGGAATACACTTACATTTTCGCAGGCTCTTTATCAAGATTGTCCCACGTGCAATTTCCTCTCCGGCCTGGTGCCCTGCTTGTTCCCGGCGTCGGGGATCTGGAAGGGCGGAACTTGCATAGGAAGAACGGTTTCCAGTTCATGTCGATGGAAGATCAGCGTCACACCTCGATTGTTCAGGATTTCCACGGATCGGGCCCACGAGAAACTGGCCGGGAAAGAGTGCTTTCTAAAGGAGAACAGTGACTATCATCACTTACACATTGCTCATGCAGACCCAGAGAAGTTCGATGCCCTCTACACCACGCTTTCCGCCCATCCTCACCGCTTTCGATGGATCAAGAATTTCACCGTGGGAAAACAGGAGGAGGATATGCCTTTGGACAACCGGACAGAATGGACACCACTGCAGCATGAGAAAGTGTGATGCTTGACGATCATGCAGCACGGGGTTCATAACAGATTTGCAAAAATGAGGAGAACACATTCAGTGGTATATTGCGAACGGCGTACCGTTCTCAAAACGCAAGGTGAATGCGGAGGGTATCGACGCACTCGAACTACGCAACTACTTGGGTATCCATACATCGGGTCAAAAAGAAAAAGGAGAAAACTGTAAAGGATACGCCAGGGAACTCTAAATGCACATGCCAGACAGACGCCAAATCCAGCAGGCCTACTGTCCATTCGAATCTAATCTAGTGATGTAAACGGCCGCACACAGGCGACCCGACCGCCTAAACCTCCTTCGCGTCCCAGGTTCCTTTGACGTGTGTCACGGGCATCAACTTAGACGGCGCGGGGGCTTGAGTTTGCATTGGGTGAGGGAACGCCAGCACGGGCTCATGTTCTGCAAGATCCAAATGCCGGAGATGGCCCTCGGTCCGGGCCCACTGGCCCCACTCCTTGCTATGAGACGACCCACTCCAATCACTGCTGGTAATGAACCTCCCCGCATCGAACTTGCGTTCCAACCGTGACGATTTCTGCAAGACGCTCATGACTCCCGTCTTGTTGTTGTGGAAGGGGCGGGCGGCGGCGGCGGCAGAGGCGGAGGACGTTCGTGTGACGAGCGCATACACCACCAAAACGATCCCGAAACCGAGCAGCATCACCAGCGCGACACCGAACCGCAGATCATACGAAAACTCGACTCGGGACTCTAACACCGCCACGCACAACGGACAGGATCCGATCGCCATGCTCATGCTGCCGTTACCTGCCGCATTCGGCACGCCCCGCATCGACACGAGGAAGGTGTCCGCCCACGTGTCGCGGACCATCGCGCTGAACTTGTTGAGGTCAAGCGCATCCGTTTCGTCCTGCAAGGCCGCGTTACTCGTGCGTGCGTTGATCGTAAAGATTTGTTCCCTGTCCAATTTGTCTGCGTGGATCCGCTTCCACATGACCCACGGGGACGAAGCCACGATCGCTCCCAATGGGTTCATGTCATCTGGTCCCAGGTTCCCGTAATAATGCATCGCGTCCCCGCTCTTGTCCTCGACCAAACTGACGTTGCGGTAGTACATGTAGGTAGCGTTAAAGGGAGTGTCATCGCGAGACAGCTTCGACGGGAGGTAGTCGAGCGTGATGTTCTTGTATTTTGTGCACCGTGCGTCCTCGCACGTTAGTTTGGGCTTAGCGAGGCCCACCTCGACCCCCATCGCACACAGAGCGATCTTGGTGACCTCGACGAGATCGCCTCTGATTGGCATATCGTAAGTGAAGGTGTTAACGACACATACACCGTCCAAAGGATTGCGCACTCTTGGCGAACCCGTATGGAGCGCCTGAATGCGGTTGTCGCATTCGAACAAGGCATTGGTAATGGGCAGTGAGCCGAAAGTCCCATTGAAGGTAGCATTAGTCTGATGTGTCAAGACGGCAGAATCCATTTCTATCGGGGGGTCCATGTTGTTGTAGGTCGTCCAAATGAACTCTTGTTCTAGAACTCTGAAGTTCGGGACTTTATGGTTGTTGGGGTCTGCCACGCGTTCCTGCAGGACCGCGCGAGTCTCTTCCAAAATTTGGACCACGGCTGGGTCTCCGCTTGGTTTGGCAACCCGGAGAAACCTCTTTTCCTTTTCCGGCTCGCGCTGGATCCAAAGCCCAGTGAGATTGGTTTCCTGAAAGAAATGTATGCGTCAGGCGATGCGTTCCCCAAACGCATTCGCAGCAAAGTGAACAGCAATCGAACACAACAGATGTTGGCTGCCCAACTTACAAAACGTATTGCGGCGATTTGAGAGTCCACGCACGAGTAAGTTGGACGAATCACCGTCGCCGGGGCGCCATACAGGATTTCGGAAACGTTCCCTTGGAACCCGTCTCGGATCTCGACTGCGGGAATAGCGATGACTCCCTGCGCATCCGGCAATTTGAGTATACCGTCGACGATCACCGAGTCTGCATTCTTCAGCATTCGCGCTTTCAAGTTGGGGGCCACAGACTTCGTACCGAGGATGCCTGTTTTTTTGTAGACTGCGCGGTATGTGTATCCATTCAGAGGGTGATCCCACCGCCATGGGTCGGTCAAATCCTCGTAATCTTGGTACGTACAGCCCATGGCGGTGATGTTTAGTCGGCAGCCCGTAGGTGCGCCCACTGTGATATTGTTGATCGTGACATTGTCAGTATGCCGATCGAACAACGAGATGCTGCTATATCCATTCGACAAGAAAACACTCGAGTTAGATCCTTCCTTGGCGTCGACAAGGCGAGTGCGTACGACAGTCCCAACGCCGAGCTGCGCGAGGGTCGACAAGAGCGGGACGAAAGCTACGGTCAATGCGGTGATCAGGATGAACAGCTGGATAGCGTTCCGATGGGCTCGCCAAGTCGACAAGGCCCGAAAGCCGATGGAGGCTGGGGAGTTCTGACTTGCACTGAGAACTGCCACCAGAGAGAGTTGAGTGGCCGAGACCCTTGCGTCGGTAATGTAGACGGTGAGGGCGGTCACGGCAGCCAGGCAGACCGCCCATCCAATGACCGTCACGGCGGCTTGAACTATGGTGGCACTTTTTTGACACAAAAAAGAAAACGAGGTTATAGCCGCACTTGGTTTCAAGAACCGGCCAAGAACCGGTCTTACCCTACACCGGCTGAAACGTCCAGGACTACGATGGTAAAAGACATTACGACGTACACAGATCAATCAGCAAACCGTCCGCCACAGCCTGAGTTCTCAAAGCTTGGGGGACAGCCCAACCCCCGTTTTATACTGTTTTCGAAGGCCCGCAGAACAAGATTACAGACTTTTTCCACGGTCAAAGTTTTCGTACAGGCCGATCACAGTGCGAAATATTTGGTGAACACATCCTGAACAATTTGTGCCTGGTGAAGCCTCTGTGCGCCAACTGAAAATTGGAACCTCCAACTATGTTCCCACGAGCTATTTTGTACACAAAGCTTGATGAAGGTCATCTTAAAGTTCGCCTCGGCTCTCGTCGCCCTCTCGAACTCGTTTTCGGTCCCAACTTCTCCACAGAATGTCCGCCGCGTCTTGTGGCGCGGTTTGCTCTCGCAGCTCTTCCTCACAATCTGAGAGGTCTCCTTCGCAAATGCCAAGCTTTCTGCACGTAATGCGCTATTGCCGTCTGGCAGTAGGAGGGCCATGATCAGAAATCATCGTTTCTGACGTTCCTGTACTCGGAGTTGATCACCGCCCTTGTGTTTGAAAACACATTTCCCAATGTCCTCTGGGTGGGACGCGCGAATTTTCTGTGATCCTAACCCTAACCCTAACCTGCTGAGATTTGGACCGGCAAAGACTCAACTTCAAAGTGGCACCACCATCTTCAACCGGCAGAGAACCTGCCCCATCTTGACCACTCTTCAGCGGACTCACGTTCACGACCTCCCCGGGCGAATCTAGTGCAGCTTTACCGACGTCGACTCCCTTCACCATGTCAATCAGGGAGTCCATCGGCACCCTGTTTTACGTCATTTTACTGCTGATCAATGCGGTCGCAATCTTGCACGAGGAGCGGTTTCTTGCTAGAAGTAAGTATTGGAGGAAGCGGACTGAAGGAGCTTGACTACGACCGTCCTAGTGTGAGAACCCGAGCGGTAGCGAGCCCATGTCGCCGGAGTGTGAGTGAAGCGAGGGGCAAGGATGCTTGAGGATGGCGAATGTGAGCGAGCCGAGGTCGCTCTTGCGACCTATAGCGAGAAAATCTTTTGCGTCACTTGAGCCCAGCATCTTAGCGGCGAGCATGAGCGAGCAGGGCTATTCATCATTCTACCATCCACGTCTCGTGCATCGATTGGTCACCTCACGCCGCTCCTTGGCAAAGGTGCTAACGAATTTACGTTCCCTTTCCTCTTGCTATCGTACAGTCGGTTTAGCCCACTCCTCATCACAAGCACAGTTCGGAGACCAAACGCAAACAGTCAAGTATAAGATCATAAATCTCATTTCTGCTATCAGGACTTTATTGCGATGTAGGTTTTTCCGAATGCCAAATGACACCATGCCTCTTCTTTTCAATCACATACTAATGGATTCCGATCCTAGTCCCTCTGGTCGCGATAAACATCGTCATAATTGTCTACGAGCTCATCTTCGGCTCCATAAGCTAATCAGGAGTGCATCAGCAAATCACCCAGCAGCGCTCGAATTGCTCGAATATTGTGTATATACAGAGGGGGGAAATGGCAGTGTGCCACATATCTATAGGATCTTTTTGGAGGTGGAAGAGCCGCACGACGTTACGATTGCCCATCATTTCCTTCTAGCGATAAATTAGACGGTGGTAGGAACGACGGAAATGTCCTTGGCGAGTCGGTGTCGCTGTGCCCAATACCATCGAATTCGACCACGTGGTCCCCGCTCTCGCTGTCGCCATCCTCACCGCCACTGCTGTCGTCGTCATCGTCACTTGATGTGCCCGACGAGTCTTCCCTGTCGCTCGGTATATACGCCTTTAGATCCATCTCGGCGGCTGTGATGGCGCCTTCGAATAGGTAGTGATGTGGTACGTGGCCTTGGCGGTATTGAGGGGTGGAGCTGATCGTGGATGACTCTGTTTGCCCAGTTTCTGGGGTCCGTGGTGGATTTGCGGCCGGCTGCAGTTGGATCTTTGGATGCTCGAGCTTCCAATCAAGCATGGAGCAGAGCTGGGCGCAGATGTTGTCGCAGTAACCAAGGAGTTGGACGTCAAAGCCGGCCATGTGCGGGAGGGATTCCATGTTGATGAGGACTTGGGGGACGTGGTGGGGGATTTTGTCTGTATGGTTGCGGAAAAATTAGATCAAAATGTTATCCCCTCTTCAGAATCTGCACATTACCTTGTTCTTACCTTTTACATCAGCAACCGGCGAAACTTTCAACGAGGATCCCATCACGATGAGCAGATCTACTTTCTCTCTATCTTGTGCAAACAGCCGATCAAACTCGTCTGGTAGCATCTCGCCGAAAAAGGTGATCCCTGGCTTCATGATCCCGTCCTTTTCTTCGGGGCATTTGGGACACATCGGAACTGTCTGGAGTTTTCAAGGAGTTCAGTACACTTCTCCTTGTGACGAAGTGTAGGCTGCCCGCTCACCGACCTGGTTGAATATATCCTCCTTCAGAGCTGTCCCGTCCGTGGTATAACCGCAAACTATGCATTTTGCAGTTGCAAACGATCCTGCAAGAGTTGACTTGTGTTAGTCGTCCGAAAACATATACGGGGCATTCTACAGGCGCCAAAGACGGTACCATACCATGACATTGCACAACTCGCTCTATCCCGGCCAACTGCTCTATCGTATCGATGTTCTGCGTGTAATTCCGCAGCAGTTTCCCCTTCTCTTCCAATAGCTTGATGAACATATGTGATGGGGACGGACGGAAGTTGCTGGGGTATATTTCCTGTGCATGCATTGAGGAGTTAGCCTATTAATCAATAACAAAGATGACCTGCAATTAGCATACAAACCTTCGCAAAGGTATAGAAGGTTTTCGGTTGAATGCGAAAGTATTGTATATCGAACATTTGCTGCTCCGATGGGGTACCCTGTAAGACTCTGTGCCCATTGACAAGGCGGTAGTAGCGACATCTATCCCACCTGTGGGTCATCCAAGTCAAACTCATCAAGCCGGGAATAGATGCCATTCTTCGATCGAAAGTCTGGGATGCCGCAGCTCACTGAGACCTGTAGATCGGGTGAGAGGACTGCCAGACTGGCACACACAAGCTCCCAGAGTGTGGAGTATGATACGTACCCCTGCACCGGTGAGGACTACGATATTCTTGCAGGTCATTAACAGCTCGACCACTTGCTCGATTGTGTTAATGTCTTGTCGTTTGGGTCTTTTGGCGATCTGAAGGAGGACGATGCAAGATGTTGTTAGGCATCTAGGAAAGGAACAGATCGTGATGTAGATCTGGTACCTTCTTCATCATCACCGCCTTGAGCAGCGGTAAAAGGTCATCGGGGTCTGCGGTCTTCAGCGCTTCAGGCTGCAAACGCGTAATAGATGTCGACATCAATGATCAGCTTCACTCCATAACGCATGCAAAAGTGGGGTGCTTACAAGCTCGTAGTCAAATACTTTGAAGAGTTCGTTGAACGGGAGTGCTCCGAATTTGTCTAGCCATTCCCAGAAGTCTGTTTGCATATGAAGACGCCGAGGTTAGATGAAAACGTGGTGGTCGAACATCAGGGGCCGCATCCCGTGCTTGGATCCGGCATCCCCGTGAGACTCGCCCACATCCACGCTGCCATCGGTGGGCACCTACCCAGATGCCTAGCCTCATCCTGCATAATCTGTCTCGTCTTCTCACTCAACGTAAACTCCACCGTCGCCGATCCTCCAACCGCCACGCCCGCACCCACGTCCGCAGCCCCCGCCGCACCAATGCCATCGCCACCCTTTGCATTCGACGCGTCGGCAGAAGTCGCAGGTGTTTTTCGTGGTTCGGTGATCTCTGCTGCATGACTGTGATGGTTGTTCCCGGTTGGATGGGAACTGTGGTGATCCCCGACAAGTTGACGCTCGGCTGTGACGGTGTCGACTTCGTGACCGTGTCCCGTGTGTTCGACTGCGACTTTAACGTGGGGCAGGACGTCGCTTCCTAGCTCTAGTTCGTTTGGGGTTGCGTCTACGTGGACCTACGAAACGAACACGCAGAGGTTAGCGGCAGGAATGCGCAGAAAGGTGAGGAATCGCACCAGGCACACCTCCTCGTCGCTCGCAGGTGCCCCCGTTTTGACTCTCTTCGCGGGCGGCAGCCCGCGGTCTTCTTCGTCAGCCATAACAGAGGAAGCTGCGGACTGTTACAGGAAGGGCAATTGATACAACTTGGCAAGCCAGATCAGATTGACTTTGGTTTTGGTACCCGGCGCCGACCAAACTACGGATGTGCAACCGGACTCAGCGGAGTGAATGACGCAAGCGGACTGGGGTACTATCTGAATAAGCTTCGTTCTGAGCTACATCCGCAAACGTTGCCGAGATGGCTGTTTTTCTGAGGTTGAAAGAGCCCATCCCGTCAATTTGAACGTTGTTGCCGTCAATCTGATGACTCACGCTTCTTCCTTCCCTGGAAAGACACCGCTCACACCGCTCACATGAAAATGGACATCTCATATGGCTGGATTCGGATATCTGCAAGGATGTTTTGTCAAGGATTACCGGCGAATATGGTCGCAGAATATCAAACGGAGTTTTCCATCTGGTCTTAGGACTCAAAAGTCTGGTGAAAACACTTCCCCAAGACGCCGGTGTGGCTCGCCGACGATGTGCATTCTCTAGGGATGGCAGATATTCGCCGGTCGGCATCAACCCCTGGTCATCGCTCCAACCTTTCCTTTTGCCCGTCCGCCGCATCTTAACGATCCATTGATGCCCTCAGAAACACCACCACAGACTCGGACGGGCCGACCTACAAAGCGGCATTGTTCTCTACCCTCACGGCAAACTCCAGAAGCCATCTGTACACTCCCGGAACTAGCCTCACTCTCCGAGGTGCCCGACTTAAAATCAATATGTGTAGAGCAACGGGCTCTCTGACACTTCATCTGAGTCGGGATCCTACACAGGGAGACATGACCAGATGTGGCTGTCTGGCAGCGACGCCCTTTATGATATCTGCCCGCAGTGAACTTCCCTCAAATAACTATCAATATCAGATCCAACGGGGAAAACGACTGTGTCGGAGTAAGCGTTGTGGCTTCATGCCCATCGGTCGCCACCCAGGCGAGGGAACCGGGCGGCTTGCTTTTCTTTTGGGCTGCTGCCCGTAATACGATTAAACAGCAGCCGCAATCTCCAATGACGCGCTCCCATCATTTCGCACACCTTGCCAGCCTTGCCCAGCCGCCACCTTGCCTCAGTTTCCGCTTTTCCTCCAAGCTGAGACATTGCAGACAACTCAAGAAGGAACAGACCTACGCTATCAGTTGGTCTACAGAAGAACAAGAAACCATGACTTCCGCGGATCCAGGACATATAGGTAACGCGCGCGACTGTTTATCACGATGACTGACTGGATGGGCATTGAACTTTTCCTTTCGCCAAATTCACAGATAACTTGACTAAGGGGCAGGAGGAGGTAAGGAGTCGGCTAGGTACAGTCGAACGAGCGGCCGCTTCCGTTTGTAAAGCCGTTTGCAGGGCCGGTAACCTTGTGCACGTATAGGCACTCCGTCAATTCTGGGTCTCGTTATTTGACTCCATATCATCGTCCCCTGACCCCGAGCGGCTAACGGAGGAGCTGTGGCTAGCCTGTGCGGAAGACCGGCCGTGCACGCTCATGCTCCGGTACCTGCGAGCGAGGAAATGGGACGTGGCCAAGGCCGTTGCGCAAACGGTTGCGACACTGAAGTGGAGGGTGGAATTCGGAGTGAGCAAAGTTTTGGCGCTGGGAGAGCGAGCGTGTGATGTTAAGGAGTTGGAGAGTGGCAAGACGTACTTTCAGGGAAGGGATAAGGAGGGGCGGCCTTGCTGGTAAGTGGACTGAAGGCGGGCCGGAGCTATATATACTTGGACAACAACCCTAACCTTAACCTTCCCCCAGCTACGTCCACGCAGCCCTCCACGACAAAACAATAACCGACCGTGCCCTCGGCAAAAACCTGACCGTCCTCACCTTGGAAACCGGCCGGTTCCTCCTTGAGCCGCCTCAAGAAATGGCCACCATCGTGTTCGACATGACTAACTTTGGACTCAAGAATATGGATTACGAGTTTGTCAAGTTCCTGCTGCAGTGCATGCAGGATTTCTACCCCGAGTCGCTTGGAAAGGCTCTTGTCGTCAACGCGCCGTGGGTGTTCAACGGCTGTTGGGCGATTATCAAACCGTGGCTGGATCCGGTGGTCGTGTCAAAGATCCATTTTGTGAAGGTGGACGAGTTGCCCAAGCATATTGATGTTGCGCATTTGCCGGAGAAATTGGGAGGGAAAGCGAAGGATTACGCGTACGTTCCACCAAGCGAAGCCGATGAGGCGGAATACCAGAGGCTAAGGGCAGATAAGGATGGGGAAGCGAAAGCGTGGACTGCGTTTAGGAACGCATATACGAAGTTCGACAAAGTGACGCTGCAGTGGGCGAAAGGTGATGCGGGGAAGTTGGAGGAAAAGCCGGAAGCCGAGAAAGAGCTGAAGTTGACGTACAATGAGCTGTCTCCGTATATCAGGTTGGTCGTGATAATTTCCCAGGTTCCCATATATAGGGTTGACGAACTGATACTGACCATCTGACATAGGACAAGAACCATCGTTCACCGCCGCGGTTTGCTAAACGACCCTGCGTTCCCACCTCATGCGTAATCTCACTCCCCTTATTTCGAGTCACCTCATTTCAGGCGTTACTTTTTAGAATGCAGACTTCACCCTAGAGCCTCCCCCCCCCCCCCCCCCCCCCCGTCCCCACCTGAAGCTACAGTAGACGTCGTACTAGCATCTGTATATTTTGGTCTTAATGATCCACGTTAATGATAGATAACTCACGTCTGCTGATCGTGGGGTACGTGTGCATGCCATATGTATTTTCTGTCCCAGTAAAAACATACAGATTACGCTGCATCTAAATCATAGCTGTGGTATCACCCTTTCTTCCCGTCTCATGACTTTACACCTCCAGAGGTAGACGTGTCTTTCGTTTTGCTGGGGGTTCATGACGGTACTTCAGCTGCAAAGTGGGGCTGTGTGGTCATTCTGTCGTTGAAGTACGTCTAGCCAACCTGACACCAACAGCAGCGGTAACCCATCCCCTCCAGCTCGCCAATGACTTTCCAAGCCCCATCTAGTGGTGTCCATGCCCCCCAATCCTCTTCTCCCTCTCCTCCATCCACCTCTGCCATTTCTCATTCTCCTCCCTCCCAGGCCCACTCGTCTGATACCACTTATCGTACGCCACGTACACCGCAAAGGCCGCCGTCGCCATGCCCAGGCCGGGGACCATGGCTTTGACCCGGTTGGCGCGGGAGAAGTAGTCGTTGTAGCGCCATGCGTCGCGTTTGGCCCACGGGTCGGGCTTGCGGGCGCCGCCGTCGAGGAAGGGCGGGTTCGGGCGGAAGGCTTTGAAGGGGAAGTAGGCGAACTCCGGGGCCGGGTACTTGAAGGCCGCGCCGGTGGGAGGAGGGGGGATGGGTTTGGCGGGTGGAGACATGATGTCGGGTTTTTGTTCGATGCGGAGCTGATCCAGTTGAGACGTCGGCGACCGAATTGGGGTTTGGCTAGGGCGCCCTCCTGCGGCGGGTTGATTCCCTGTTGGTGAGAATGTCAGGTTTCTCTCCCTTTGCAGGTGTGCGACTGGGTGAAGCCCTTGACCTCTTTCAATGTACTCACGGTGGATATCGATGAGAGAGAGAGTAGTTTTGCTGCTAAAATGCGGGTCTTGCACAAGTTGCAGGTGGTTGCTTTCAGGCTTTCGGTCCTCGCCGCGCTCCTGAAAATCACCCTGACCAGTTTCTGACGGGTCTCCAACACCGACCTTGACCCATCTCGCCTGCACGACCAGCCCGATTTAGATACCCCGCTTGTCTCGAGAATGCCTCCCAAGCGGTCGTCTTCCAAGGCCCCTCCTGCAAAGCCCAAAAGCTCCTCGACAGCTGGGTCCAAGCGAGCCGCCGCTTCCTCTTCAAACATCGCATCTTCCAGTAAGAAACGCTCCTCCACCGGCGCTGTCACCGCAACCCATATCAAGGAGTACCCCGCCACCTTTCAATGCAAATCAGGCTACATCCTCTGGGGCCATCTTCACACAGTCTGGACAGGAGCCACCTCCACCCGTACGGACTCGATGCTAGCCGAGCCAGAATACGCGGAGGGCGGGACCATCGCCTCCGCGCTCCACCAGTACCGCACGCAAGCCCGTCGCGGGACATGGCTAGTCGAACGCCTCTTCATGGACGGTGTTCACATGGGATGCATCGCGCACCACGAAGACGTGTCTGCGAAGGAACTTCTGCTGGGTTCTGCGATGCTCGGCGAGTCCCGCTGGCCAGAACAGCAGATTCAGAGAGTGGGCAGGTATGACTGGTCGGCTGCGTATGACGGAGTCGCGACAACCGAGATGGTTCAGAGATTGAAGGAGAACGGCGCCCCTGGCCCTTCAAAGCGCCGTCGTCGTCGGAGTGACGATGATGACGACGACGAGGATGATGCGCTGGTGGAGTACCTGGACTGCCTGCGATCCAGGTGCTGTATCCTTCTCGACGCGGACCGCTTTGGGGATTTTAAAACCATGATCAGGAATAAACCGAGACAACTGACGCAGGATGGCGTCTGCGTGTTTGGCGAGGGGGAAAGCAACGTTGGCGTGGTTTACAAGCCGGTGGATAGCGAGTATGAGTTTGCCTGGATGTGTTACGCGGAGGATGGAGAGGAAATGGTTGGGTTCGTCTATGATGCAGCGTACACGCTGTTGGAGAATTTTGATGAGGATATGTCTGTGGAGGACACGGTGGTCATCAAGCAGGACGGGATAGCAGTGGAGTGAGGCTTTCGCTGCCAGTTTTCTGGTATCAACGACATCAGCATTTAGTGACGTGCAGAGGCTATCGGAAAGCGGACCGGCGGGCCGGCTGCTTATAAGTGGAGGCGAAGAGTCGCTTCCGCGCTCGCCTCTTCCCTCGGCGACAGCCGACCGTCGTCGTAAGGCCCTCAATATTATCCCCCAAAAAATTATATTTCGTTGCTTTGGGGTCCTTGATACAAGCACTGTGGTGTAGAAGATCGTCCATATGATGCTACACAGCAGCGGCCCATGTATGAGGGTAAACGTAGAATGTTAAGAAGGGACCAAGAAGACGACGGTGAGAAGCTTTGAGGATAGTTTTGAGGATAGGATGTTTCAAAGATAGTTGAGTTAGTCCCTTTGCGAACTCCCGTCATTTGGCCCACGGAGTGCCCCAGTGGGCATGGGCCATGGGCCATGGGCGAAGCATAAGTTGTAGCCCAAAAGCGTAGGACAGCGGTGTAATGTCTAGCGCCAAACTTCCATGACTGTGAAAAGCAAGTCACACTTCTCACAGTAATAAAGGAAGGCTTGCGTTCTCAACTTCTCATGTGAGATGGCGAACGCGCGCGTGCCCCGCCGCGGTTTGTCACTCTGTGGCAGCATTTTTTCTCGCTATGGCAAACTGGCGGCCCCATACATAAGGACTACCTCCTTCCCCGCTGTTCAGTGCGTCCCCATCCAAGTGTCATTGTCAAAGTAGAACGGTGTTGACTAGACCCCCAGCCAAAATGACCGTCAAACAGGTTCAAGCCAGCACACTCGTGTTGCCCATTATCGACCTGAGGGCTTTCTTATCCGACCCCGAGTCCGCGGAGGCCAAAGCAGAATGCGAGAAGGTGAATATGAACGGTCCAGCTTAGTGCTCAAACAAATCCAGCGGCAGAAGCCCGTACTGCGCGGCGACGAATCCTGTCGCAACTCTATCTCCCGACACTAACAAACCCAACGTTTCCTCCAGGCCGCCGAAGCACTGACAAAGTACTCGGCGCTAGCCGTCCGCGACCCTCGCGTCTCCGAAGACGAAAACCGGAAGTTCCTCGACACCATGGAAGACTACTTTGCTCAACCATACGACGCAAAGCTGCCTGACGCTCGCCCCGATTTTGGCTACCAAGTCGGTGTGACGCCCGAGAACACCGAGAAGCCGAGGTGTGGTCGTGATGAGTCGTGTAATGCGATGGTGGCGCAGATGGCGGAGGAGAACAAGCCGCTACCGTACGATGGAACGGACCCCAAATGGCGATTTGTGAGTGCGATTTGACGCATTTGGGAATCGGGCTGGTATGTGGAGGGAAGGCTAAAATGGCACGTTTCAACAGTTCTGGAGGATTGGCGAGGCTCCCAAGGAGACCCAGTTCCAACGTCTGAACGCCAGCCCTGTGATGCCTGCTGGTATGTCGAGATAACGGAACGCTCTATGCCATTAGGAGTCAAGCTGACCTCTTTGGTTCCCCCAAACCAGCCTTCCCGCAATGGGAGACCGTCATGAACACCTGGGGATACCTTATGCACGACGCCGTCAGTGTCCTGGCCGAGATGCTTGCGATCGGATTTGGGCTTCCACGGAAGACATTCGTGGACATGGCAAAGTATGGGCCGCATCTCCTGGCTCCTACTGGAAGCGACTTGGAGAAATACGGCAAGGTCGGAACAGTATTGGCTGGTTTCCACACGTAAGTGAGGCTTAACGATAGGCCGATAGGCCCCACAGTTGGAGTTCGCTGAAAGAGCGCACTAACGTTCACATTCTTCTAGGGATCTCAACTTCCTCACCATTCACGGCAAATCCCGCTTCCCCGGTCTTCACGTGTGGACCCGTGAAGGCCAGAAGCTTCTTGCCAAAGTGCCGGATGGCTGTCTCCTTGTGCAGGCAGGCAAGCAGATGCAATGGTTGACTGGTGGACACGTGACGGCCGGCTTCCACGAAGTCTGCGTTGTTGAGGATACACTTAAGGTAAGACGGGAAAACTCCCCGCAACGGACATCCATTCAATGACGGTACTCATTCATTTTCCGCCCCAGTCGATTGAGCGCCAAAAAGCACAAAACCGCCCACTCTGGCGTATCTCCTCGACGCTATTCTACCACATTGCATCCGACAATGTCCTGCGACCTCTCGGTGGCTTTGCGACCCCACAGGCGTTGAAACAGTATCCCGACATTTTGGCGGGCAAGCAGGTGCAAGCCGAGCTGGGATTCATTAGCTTGATGGATGAGAAGACGGTATAGAAGTTTGCACCGCAGCGGCGTGCTTTGAGAGACGCCGTTTTTCTGGGACCGTGGAAGGCTCGAGTATATAGAAACTTGCATTGTTTGTCTTAGCATAGTTTGGCTTCGTAATTCGAGAGCGTAGGTAGTACGAAGTTCCACAATTTATCGTAGGTTCGCTGTTTCCGCACATACTGTATGATGGTGTTTCGCCAATGCGGCCCATGCTGCATACGTGCCAAACCGTTCGGACCTCCTTGACCCCGTCCGAAAACGCGTCTCCAAATGCGGTCTACAAGAAATCTTCCCCCTGAGGACATTTTCCCCGACCATCGCCACAGATTTACAAATGGCTGAACAATTACCCGAACAGCTGGTCGCCTGGGCCTGCGAGTTCGACACTACGGCTGGCGGGCTGGGAGTAGGCAGGTCACAAGGGAAAGGTCTCAAGATAGCAGAAAGGTGCGATATGGACGAGTTGATGAGACCGAGTCTATTGGCTTACTATTTTAATTATCTCCTCCGGGAATGCAGCCTATGTAAGCATCAGCTGCTCCCTATTTGCCAGTATCTGACGAAGCATGTAGTGACACAGAGGTAAGGGGAAGAGTTTGCTCGTTTTTGTTCGTACTTCGTAGTAAGTATATGCTCATGCGCTCTCGTGCAATCACAGTCGGGCGGATCACGTTCGCAGGACGCTGCGGAGGTAAACCCCTTGTGCAACTTCAGATTACATATCGACCAGGGACTCACAAGGGCAACCTACAGGGCAGCAGCAAATGACGAAGCATACGCTGCATCCAGCAAGCTCCGCACGGCAACAACAGCCAGGGAGAAAGCCGAGGCAGAGAGGAAGGCGCTTCAAGACAGGATCTTGTCCTTACGCCACGCTGTTGCTGCTCGGGAGGAGAAACGCAGGCAGCTCATGGAAGATTGTGAAACTATGGCGCACGATGTTGCATTGGCTTGTGAGTCTTGCTTCATTGTTGAAAACCAGGGTGATTTATGTGTTCGGGTTTTAACCAGCGTTTGATTCGGATAGCAACCACGGCATCCGACGCAAAGCGCAGTCTCCTCCAACGAAAGCAAAAGCTCCACATCCTCCAAGCCTACGCCAAAAGCACCCTAAGCGTCATCCAAGTTATCAAACGATACAGCGAGATGGCCAAAACCGCCGCCCCGCGTGATATCCTCGTCCAAGGCGGTACTGCGAAACGCGCCACCAACAACCACACCACATCAGCAGTAGACCTGATCCGCATCCGAGATATGTGCGCCAAACTCGAGGAATCGATCAAAGCGTCTTTGTCACGGCAGGATATGCTCTCTGGCCTGGAACTGGCTGTTGAGACCGAGAGCGTGGCGCAGCTTGCACCGGAGGCGGTTCTGCAGGCGTTGATGGGACAGTCGCGGGCGGAGAGAGATGCTCTGTTGAGTGGTGATGTGAGGAGGGCGGAGGAGGCGGATCCGTTCGGGACGAATGAAGCTTGCCATGCGCAGTGGAATGTGATCCTGCAGGAGGAAGCTGGGCGGCATGTTGCGCGGTACGAGGAGACGAAAGCGTTGACTGCCGAAGCTGAAATGAACGAGAAACAGATTGCAGAACTGGTGAAGTCCTTGAGTAGCGCTCCAAACGCCGTGTCACCCGAAACAGCCGAAGGGAAAGCGACGATGGCCGGAAGCAAAGCTCTTCTCTCCAACCTCCAATCCATAATCGCCTCCACGAAAACTGACCTCGCTACCCTCCAATCCCTTTGGCACTCCGCCGTACAATCCCACACCCGCCACGACCAACTCACGAAAGACCTAGAAAACCGGCATTTTGAAGCCATCCGCCTGCAAAAAGCGTGTCAGAGCGCGCAGAAGGGCGTAACGATGCGGATCACGGAGATCCAGCAGTATTCTGCGGCGAAGATACCGGCGTTGGAGGAGAGCGTGGAGAGTTTGGCGAGGAGGGCGGTGGGGAGGGTGGTGGAGGAGTGTAGGGGGTTTGAGGGGTGTCCCGGGCGGCAGAGTGCTGTTGCGAAGGTTTTGAGGTTTGTGAATTTTGTTTGCATTGGTGTCAAGCGTCGGGTGGAAGGAACTGATTCGGATACCATCCGTCCGAAGTTCATCGCGGCTATTCACGAAGAACGGGATTCGCACAATGGTGTCCCTTTTCCGACAGGTAAGATGAGAAAAGCTAACCCTGCTTCCAGCATACGACCCGATCTCAACAGCTCGTTGTTTCGATATCTACAGAGTCCAGACACGACCATATCGCGATTAGCGGTGATGGTGGATGAAGGTACCGTGCGAGGAAGCAGAAGCCCAATTTTTCGGTGCAATGGACGTGACGGACTGATGAATCCCTATGACAGACACTATCAATGGGATTGTTCATCAGCTTACTCTCGACGTTGGGCAGAAGGCCGGGAGTCAAGGTACCGCTACTCACTGCTTATGAAATGTGCGATTGTACCAGGCTCTACCTTACTACCATTCCCAGTCCGAACCCACCTCGAGACCATCAACGAACCCACAGATCCAGCTATCACCTCGTCACAGGCCCTCGCAGACGCCATAGCCAACCTCTCTTGTAAGCATGACCCCCTCTCGCCCAACCATCCTCAGCGCATCCTGCTAATCAACTTCCACCCCACAGCGTACGCCGCAAAACTGAACGAAGCCTACAAAACCGAGATGCTACCCCGGGCGCGAATGATCTTAACGGAAGCGGACGCGTCGATTGAGATTCATCGGCAGGTTGCGCAGTTGCGGCAGGACAGGTTTGTGGAATTTAAGGGATAGAGTTCAACGGTGAGGTGTGGTATTGATGGCTTGATTTTGCAGAGAGCGGTTTCGGGAGGTTATGTCGAATGCTTGACTGTGCCGCGGATGAGTGCGTTAGAGAGTAGGCATGTGCGTTTACGGCGTTTGAGTGCGGCGTAACCTCTTTTGAAGATGTAGCGGACTTACCGTGGACATGGAGCACGCGGTGTGCAATAAGACTCTATGGATTGTTGTCAGGGTCTGATGACGGACCCGACATCTCCCATCATCGACTTCTATCCCACCGAGCTCGAATTGGATATGAACGGAAAGAAAGCCGATTGGGAAGCCGTCGTGAAGATTCCGTTCATCGACGAGAAGAGGCTCCTCGCTGCGTTGGGAGCGAGAGAGAACTAGCTGACTAGGGAAGATAGCGCTTGGCAAAAATACTGGTATCAGAAGAGGCCCGAAGGTAGACAGCCCGGGCAACTTTGCGTATATACATACCAGGTCCCGCGTGGGAGCGTTTCACGACGCGACAAGCTGCTCAAAGCTGAGGGATCGTCGGCGTGCGTCAAGCTTCTCAAGGACACAGTTGATCCAGGATACCGTAAGAGTAATTCATCGACTTCTTCGCAAGCTCGTGTGGCTAAAAAATCGGACGGGTGGCATGAGATTTCGGGATATGAAAGTCTGGCTGCGAGGCTGATTTTGATCAAATGTATGTCTAATCAAGATCCATGCAAAAGGGTATGAAAGTTCCACGCATTCGCCATCAAATAAAAAAATCGCATCTATGTTGTTTCAGCAAGCCTAATGTCTACTCCAATTATGAACGACTGCCTACATCTCTGAAGACTCTACAAACGCTCGATAACGATAGATGAGGCAGCACCTCCACCATTGCACACTCCCGTAACACCAAGCTGTCCGGGTTTGAGGAGGTGCACCAGAGACACCAAGATACGGGAACCAGACGATCCAATGGGGTGACCAAGCGAGACACCACCACCAGCGATGTTGACCTTCGATGGGTCCAACTGCAAGATCTGCTCGTTGGCGCGGATGACCACACTGAAGGCCTCGTTGATCTCAAAGAGGCTGATATCGTCTTTGGAGAGGTTGGCGCGCTTGAGAGCGATGGGGATGGATAGGGAGGGCGCGATGGTGAATTTCTTGGGTGATGTGGCGGCGTCGCCGAAGGAGAGGATCCGCGCGAGGGGTTTGATGCCGAGCGCTTCGGCTTTTGCGCGGGACATGAGGACGAGGGCAGAGGCGCCGTCGTTCAATGTGGAGGCGTTGGCGGCGGTCACGGATCCTCCTTTCAAGAAAGGACTCTTCAGCGACGACACCTTGTCGAACTTGATGTTCTTGTATTCCTCATCCTCGGCAATGATCTTGTCGCCCTTCTTGTCACGGATGGTGACTGGAACGACCTCATTCTTGAAGAGACCGTTCTTCCACGCTTCGGCAGCACGCTTGTATGAGGTCACGGCATGCTCGTCCTGCGCCTCCCGCGAAATCTTGTATTCCACAGCGGTCTCCTCCGCGCAAGTCCCCATGTGAATCTGGTTGGAAACATCCCACAATCCATCCTTGATGATAGAGTCCGTCGCTTGTTGGTGACCGAAAGAGGCGTTACGAGGGAAGTAGTAAGGGGCGTTGGACATGCTCTCCATCCCACCGGCTACCATAACGTCGCGTGCTCCCATCGCAATGTTCTGGTAGGCAAAGATGACGGCCTTCGCTCCGGAAGCGCAGACCTTGTTGATGGTAGTCGCCTCAGTGCTTTCCGGGCATCCGGCGGCGAAGGCAGCCTGACGCGCAGGGGCCTGGCCAAGGTTGGCTGAGACGACATTTCCCATGTAAACTTCCTCAATGTCAGAGGGCTTCAGACCGGCCTTCTCAATGGCACCGCGAATAGCTGGAGATAGCAATGAGTAAGGAAATGCCCGGGTTGGAATAGCCTGCAGCAGTTTCATGCGACAACTTACCAGTTCCACCAAGTTGGACCGCCGACAACTTCGACAAGGACTTGCCGAACGAACCGACGGGAGTTCGTGCAGCGGACACGATGACAACCTCATTGAGACCGCCGGCGGTGGCGAAACCGCGAGCGGCGACGGCCGGCCTGAAAAGGGAACGAGCAGCGGGACGGAGGAACATTATTGCTATAGCTGTGAGGTATAGGTGACAATAAGCCGGCTGAAGTCCTGTCTAATCGAGTCGAAGTCGAGAGGTCGAGGTTGACGAATTCAACTCGAAAGCGGGGCGAGTCGGGAAAAGGTCAAACACGCGCGGATCACGCGGCCAAACAACTTTGCGAACGAACACAGGGACGCTTTGCCGCTGAGAGCACATCAACCGGCATCAACCAGTTACGCCCGGCAGACCCTCTATCTACTATCACAGCAGGGGACTGGCCAACGCAGTGCGTGTGTGCGTGTGTGGTATGGCTATGTTTCAACGGCAGTTTCGGGTTTGAAAGAAACGGTCTATTGAGTGCAATGTTATGATGTCCACCAGCTTTCGGACACCGCGTTACAATGGACTGAACTTGCATAAGCGGGGTGCGAAAGGATGGCCGGCAATAGTACTACCGTCGGAAGGGCTGGTGGTGCAAAAGGGAGGAGCAGCACGAGTAGCACGACGACAAGTAGCACCTCGAAACGGAGAAAGATAAACTCCAGGAATTCTTGTCCCCCACGTCCTAACCAAAAAACGTTAGATGGGTACTTTGGTTTCGCCACCCCGTCTGCAACTGGAAGTCCCTCCGAAAGCACCATCCCTTCCCCGATTGATGTTGAAGAATCGCCTGCTCCGTCCGTCGTACCCGAAGAAAATGTGGAGAACGACGATGGTGAAGAGGTGGACGACGAGACAGACTCGGTGCCTTGGTGGGCCAATAGGAAACCATACTACCAGCGAGTGTTTGAAGAAGCCATCGCGGTAGTTATGGAAGGAGAGGCGCATCTGCTGTGCGAAGAGGAGCAGAGGATAATCGCCGTCTACACCGCCCTGAATGGTCAGTAGTGTGCAGTGAGATGGACACGAAGACCACCCAAATAACATCTGATGGCTTTATGATATCAGTTGAGGCACAAAAGCTCTTCGTCAGGCTGTTCTCCCGAGACCGCAAATGGATTCGGCTCAGCAATCTGAAGTACCGTGAGATTGATCTAGGTGTTGCCTATGAAAGACTATCCATCGAGGCACCCGAGCTTGCTGAATATGGTTCGTCCGCTGACACAATCCACTACCTTGACAACACATCTTGACCGCTCTCATGTCCCTCAGAACCAGAAGGCCTACAGGTCATGTTGGAAATCCTCACCGGAGCCGAACTCAAGACCCTTGTGAAGGAGAGTCAAATCGCATCCCCAGGGGCCAGCCAGACCAAGGCCGCGTGTGTCACCGCCATCCTTGCTCATACGACGGGTCAGGCTCTGCTGATTGGAGACCCACTCAGGCGTATGACTAAACGTGTCAGGGAAGCTCTCGGTAAAGTGTTCATGTGCGAATGCTGCCCGCTCGTGCCCCTCTGACTTCGACGAACGACTCCCTTCGCAGGACCTGTCCTTAGGTTGACAGAACCAATTGTGGATCTCTTCGAGCGCATCATGGTGATCCACTTCAGGTCGTTGGACTTGCTCGAGCGGCCCATGACGGCTGGCATCCTGTCGGAAGTGGAGAAGTGGGTGTTCCCTACTTATACCGTGGATCGGAACAATGACATATTCAAGACGCGAGAGGATGCTGTTGCTTGTATGTGTCGCATCACCCATGGTTCATAAGCGCTCGGTGCTCTTTCCTTTGAGCTGACCAGCGTCGTTCACATATGCGCAGATTACGAGGCATTGGTCCTGCAAAGCAAAATCGAGAAGATGGCTGAGAACAGACAGTCAGCAGAGACACTCGAGTTTCTGCCGTCCGTGGAGCAGCGTTGGACGGAAATTGCCGGGACTGAAACCCCTCTGGAAGGATCTCAGTACTTCCTACAGCAGTTTACTGCCGGTACGTTCCACTGGTGTTACCGACGTATTCCTGCGTTTCTTCTAACCTTCGTCCCTATCATCCTTTGAACAGGACGAGTTCACACTCGGATCCTTACAATGTACGCCCTGGACATCCTCCCCTTCATCAAACAACACGAAAAAGCGATAAGCATCCTCCACTCCCTCCTCTTCCAAAGCACATACGGCCGCGGCTCCCGAGGCAAATGGTGGGACCAACTCTCCCACCTCACCCTCAACTACGGCGGCCCGACAGCAGAACAGCGACAGGAGTACGCCCTCGAGTACTGCGTGGAAGCCGTGCGGGATCCGTTGGTCAAGGGCGGCTACTTGGTCAAGATCCGACGACGGCTGGAGAGGATTGCGAGGAAGGTCTGGGACCGGACGTTTGGCGCGGACGGTGGGAGTGAGAATAGTCCGTGTGATGGGGTACAGCCGAAGAAGCGGGCAAAGAAGGGAAAGCATGCGAAGATGATGAATGGGTGGGAGGAGATCATACCGGGGGATATCAGAAACAGACTGGTGGATTTGACGGTCAAGGAACCGACGCTGGTGGTCGTGGAGGGCAATAAAGTGGATGGAGGCGCGACGGGATTGAAGTCTCGCTGGATCGAGAGCGTGCCGCCGGAAGATCTCCAAGCACAGACAGAGGTGGACGGCAAGTCCCAATCCCCAGAATCCGCTCTAATGACAGTCGAAGAAGTTGCCATCCGCCACTACGCCCTCGCTGGGTACTCCGGCCAACACCTCGAAAACGCCCTCCTCCAACACCTCTTCGGCCTTCTCTTCCACTCAATCCTCTACACCCCCGTCCCGAACGTCTTCCAAACCCGGTTCCAGATCTTCCCCCTCGATCTCTACACCGATGCATTCGCCGACCCCTCCGGCCCGCGTGCCGCCGCCCTCGCCAGCCGGTGCGAGGAGATTGCGGGGTGGACGTCGGAGGAGTTGGTGGAGGAAGTTATGAGGATTGATGGGGAGTTGAGGGGGAGGAAGGTTAGGGCTGTGGGTGTGGCTTGGAATGCGGTGGCGGATCCGGAGGTGTTGGAGAGTTTGGTGGGGTGTATGCGGCCGGAGGCAGTTGCGGCGGTTATGAGGGGGATGGCGGACGGGTATAGGGAACATACCGGGGGGTTGCCCGATCTTGTTGTTTGGAGGGAGGATGAGGTGGAGGCGGATGAGGCTACTATGGGAAATTACGAAGCGAGCAGTGGGCAGATGGATGGTGCGAGTGCCTCCAAACGACAACCAGCAAGGAGGGAGCGGAGCGGAGTCATCAAGCTCGTGGAAGTCAAAGGACCCGGCGACCGCCTTAGCGAGAAACAAATTATGTGGATGGACGTGCTAGCTGCGAGTGGGTGGGATGTGGAGCTGTGTAAAGTGGTGGATGCAGCTACGGTGAAGCGGACTCGAGGGAAGCAGGCTAGATGATGCATTTACATAGGCATGCTTGGGTGCGGATTCCAATTGTTCATAGACATTCTACATAGGCGTCGTTCTTTCTATAACCCTTTTTGTTTACACGATTCTGTATTGCACGTTACATCTGTTCGCAGATTTTGTATATGGAAAGGCAGCTTTGTGATCGGCGAACAAAAGCCTGTGCGGTATCTCGTCAAAAGTTTATCGGGTATTGCAGCTCGCATTGCATACTATGGTAGCCACCAAAGCATTGACGATACTCGGAACCGGCACATGTGGCAAGGAAGTCGGTACTGTACATATCTGCGTCGTCGTCATCGTGCCGATACAACCTGGAGAAGCAAGCAGCGATGTCGGTTTTCACCCGGCAGATGTAATCCGTAGAGTCACAGCGGCTATGGTAACTCGTTCATCGCTGGAACTGTCATTATCGATCTTCAAAGTCCCAGGACCCGCTGTGAAGTTAGAAGAAGAGAGAGAAAGCCGAAATGTAAGCTTTTCGTTCACTGATGCACTTCTCGAAATTGGCCCCGTCACAAACAGAGGTCCTCTTCGCGCTGGTAGTAGTCTCGCTCGCTTGGTGTTCCCTTTCCAGCGACCCTCCTATCCGCACCACAGCCCCCGTACCTAAATATCATCCTTCAGCGATCCGTACCATGTGAGGACGGCTCGTCCCTTTATCAGCGCGGTCAAATGACTCCGTGATGATATCGTGGGTTTCGATGTCTACAGGAGCGTGCATTGTCAGCTTGTCGCCACAAAAGGACAATCCACGTCGTTATTGCTGCGAAACCACTTACCAGCTGTGAAGATTGCCTCCCCGAAGCGGTAGCACTATGTGTCGATCGAGACCCAGAGGGCGCGGAGGAAGAGGAAGACGAAGCGGAGGCGGATGCGAAGGATGGTTGTGCTGTGGATGGTTGAGCGCCGAGAGGGGAACCGGAAGATCGGGCAAAGTTGCTACGTGGCGACGAGCTGCAACCGGATGCTGCTCGTGCGAAGGACCGTCGGGCCCCGGAGGCTGCTGCTTTGAACGCCATTCCTGGACTAGGTGTGCGACGCTGCTTGCGCTGGTTGTCCGATTTCGGAATCACGGTCGTGGGAATAGCGAGTTGGCGAGTCTCCGATATCTCCAAGACCAGACGCGAAGCCACTTGCGCCACATTCCGATCATATAGTCGAGAAATAGTCGAGCAACATTGAAGTTACCTACCGCAATTACCTCTCAGGAAAAGGCATCCAACTCTAGCCGACATGGTTCTTGTCGTCAACAGACAGCAAGTGCTGAAGCTGTACAAGGAGCTTCTTATCTCCGCGAAGTAAGCGTTGAATATATCAATTTTTCTTAGTGCACATGTCCTGACCATAAGTCTTATACACTTGCAGGCTTCTCAAATACACCGACAAGGACTATTACAAGAGGAGGGTACAAGAAGCTTTTCGGGAGAATCAAAATGTGGCAGATCCGGCGGGGCAGGAACGACTGTATCTGGTCAGTTGGGTTGACAAAGTGTTTGGATGTTTTTTGGTATCTCGCTGACTGAACGTGTCTTGTTCTCAGAGAGGAACCTTTATTCTCGAGAACAAAATGGGCGGTCTGCTTTGAAAATGCTTGGTCCCGTGGTGGTCGCTTGCCTCAACGTGGTGGGGGTCGTCCGGGCACAGAGATATAGCCTCCCACTGGAAATTTGGCATGCGGCACCCACGTCGGCTCCAGCACCAGCTTCACCTGGCTTCCGAAAGTCAGCGCTAGCAAACATCGACAGCTTGATCAGTAAACGCCTCCAACGACCGGGTAGTGCACGGCTGCGGACCTGATATGTTAGCAGTTTGCGTTGCCGACAGTTGCACTGCGCACGTTCGGGTATCATATCATTACGCGCGGCACCCGTGGGTCCACCGATTGCACGGCAACCACCTGTCAACTTCGTCCTGGATATGGATCTCCCCTCGCAAATTGGGCGTTCGCAGGTTGCATGGGACAAACGGAGGAGAAGAACGCTGTGGCCCGGAGAGCGCGCTGCGGGACGAACATACAGTATCATGGCTACCGTTCTCCCCGCATCACAGCGTAGAGAGGGGGGAAAGGATCCGATATGTTCGGCTTAGCCCTCTATTATAGGCAGCGACGACCTCCGAACAATCAACGGAGTTGCAAAGGGGTATATGTATGTATATAGTTTGTTCACGCGTCAGACTTGCACTTGGGACGCGTCGGGAACTGCTATTTTTGGGCGCTCCCACAACAATGCCCCTTTTCGACCTTGCAATGGCAATAAACCTTCTTGCAAACATCCGTTTTCGAGGCTCGGCCCACGGACTCCGCCGCCGCCGGTTTTGCAACTTTGCACGAGCCTGCCGACAGCAAAATTCTGGTCGCTCTTTCTTGAAATATAACGGCCCCTCTGCTGCGCCCCGATATCCTGCCCGCAGCATTTCCCCACCGTTTTTTTCTTGAGGAATCGCTAAGAAGATCATGATGGAAGATACGCTTCAACCTATCCCGCCAAGCGTTATGGTCTCTGCTGCAAGCGCCGAACTCGACCTGGCACTCACACCCGACCCGTTTGAGCATCTTAATGAAGATGAGTTGAGGGCACGATTAAGGGAGTGCCTTTCGTTGCTGCAGGACCGCGAATATGGTGGGAAAAATTGTCCGTCCTTAGGCCCATGCCATGAAACTCACATTCCGCTGACTCTACTTCACTTGCCTTAGATCTACGAACCGCAGCAGAAGTCGGCCAGCAGCTCCTCGAAGCGCACTCCCACCTCCGGGAAGCCTACGAAGCCTACATCACCCGCAACCCCGAACGGCCTAAGCTCAACGCAACACTCACCAAATCCAACTCCACGCCCGAATTCCTCACCAACTCCAACGAAAACTTCATCGTGTCCACAGAGTCAATTCAGAACTACGGCCCCGGAAACCAATCAGTGCAATTCGCGAAGCCCGAGTTCCCAAAGCCCGATATCAACTCATGGACGGCGTCAGAGGAGAACGTGCACGGTTCCTCGCCGCTGGGCTCGTTGCCGAGTCTTAAGAAACGGTACAGGTCCGAGCGGGATATGTGGAAAACATCAATGGAGTACCTCTCCGGGCCATCGGTCATGAGATCGGTGGAATATCTCGCGGGGCTGAAGTCACAGTTCTCGTCGTCGATCCCGCTTGCGGCGAAGCGGGGGAGCAAAGATCGTGACGCGTTTTTGAAGAGTGGGAGCTCGATGGGGAGTGTTGGGCTGGAAACGTCGGAGTATGTTTCGACGCTGGAACGGACCAATTTGGAATATCAGACGCAGGTCGCGAGCCTGACTGCTGAGTTGAAGGAGAGCAAGCAGGCGCAGGTGCGGGAGATGGAACGCAATGCGCGGCATCTGGAGGAAGTGCGGAGCGAGCTTGCCCGTGTGACGGAACAGGTCGAAACGCTGGCGGAGGATAAGCGGCGGCTGACGCGTGAGATTAGAGAAAACAAAAAAGAACAACTCTCCACCGAGTTGGAAGACCAGGAAGCCATCACGCAACTCGCGAAAAAGCTGCGCGACACGGAAGAGCGAAGCGAGAAACTCGCGCAAGAGAAACACACTCTCGAACGGCAAGCAGAAAGCACCGCCCAAGAAATGCTGCAGCTCCGCGACCAACTCGCCTCCTTCGACACCATGTTACGCGAAAGCCGACTGCAGCGGGAGGCCTGCGAACGACAAGAGGACCACATTCAAGAACTCCAAGAGCAACTCGAGGAAGCGCGTAACCAGTACGTGACGAACGTGAGCAGCTTCGAGGCGCAGTTGAAAACCGCCAACTCGAATCCGACGTTGCTTAGCCATGGTAGCCTCCATGACCTTCTCTTGGACGCCGAGATCCAGGAGGCGAACCATGTCCCATTGGGGAACGCGAAAAATCGACGCCTAAAGCCAAAGTCGCGGTCGCATCATTCATCAAGACTCAGCAACGAGGTGACGAACGACACGGACGACTCGCAGGACATCCATTCTAGAATATCCTCCACCGAGTCTAGCACCCAAACCGAGACAGACGCCCCACCCGCGCAGATTGATGCCAGCAGCCAGGTAGACGAGACATTAGGTAGCGTTGTGGCCGCCCAAACACCGCAGGGAAGCGGATCGCTGCTCTTTTCGTTGCTGTGGGGGTTTGTGAGACGGTTTTGGGGGGGACGACAGCCGCCTGATCGGATTTATGAGCGGCAGTCGCTTTGGAATTATGCTGTGGGGGGTAGTATGCTTGGATGTATATAGGATGTTTTTGGACACATCCCCAGATTCAATAGAAACTTTCCGCGCTGTATATGTTAGGCGCTGGCTCTGGGAAACTCTTTCTCAATGTGTTGTCCATTGACAGATCTGGATATGCCAGGAACCCATAGGTTAGCGTTGATTGCTTCAGTTCATTTAACATGTCCCTCCCATCCATATCCCTTCCAAGAAGACTTTGGAAATTGGCGGACCAAGCCCGCGCGCCAAAAGCGTGTACAAACAAAAGACTAGGATTGAGGTTCATCAAATACAAAACAGTGTCAAATTCCACAGTCGGAGGAGGATATATGGAGAGAGATCATTTAAAAAAGGGGCTCTTCTATTTCGGGGCGCCGGTGCTGGCACCTAGGCCGTGTGCACAGCTACCGGAGGAGCCCCGGCAGTCGCGTTGGGGCCGTACAATCGGTTGAACTGGGAGTAAACGTTTGGGTAAGAAAATCGATCGCGCGATGGCTCTGGGTCCAAGTAGAAACTCATTATTTGACGCAATCTACTAACCTTCTCCATATCCTCCTGTGGGTATCCCTCGACCGTTCCATCGTTCCAAGGACCTTGGTCGGCGTGGTCGCAACCGCCAGGGCACTCGCATGTACCACCAAAGAACTTTGGCAGGCTGGATTCATCGATAGTCTCCAACAGCGAGGACTTGTACCGGCTTCCGAGGATGCTGATTTTGCTAACGGTCACTTCGTCGAGGAACCCCTTCACGACGGACCAGACTCCCGTGAACAACATCGGGGCGTTTATGATGTACATCTTGCCGAGCATTTCCGGGTAGTGATTTTGCGCGATGCCGGATACCTGCTTGACGAGGTTGGCGACGCTAGGGAACTGCATCAGGGACACGCCCTTCAGGTCGAGGATGGTGCAGCTCTGCTCAATGTACTTTCCGTACTTCTTGGAGCACGCAGGAAGACGGTACTGCACGAGCTTCTCGTACTCGTACACGTGGTTCTTCAACATCCGGTCTATGTTTGTCACTTGGAAGAGCTGGTTCACATCCACCCCTCCCAGCAGCTCCACGTAGATGGGACGTCCCGCCTTGTCCGTCTTGTGGTAGAACCGAGGATAGTACTTCTTCACGACAGGGTATTCGGGGAATTCGAACGTTTTTAGGATCTCGTCTGTGCCGAACTCCTTCCTCCAGTTTTGGTAATCTATCCACATCTTCTTCGAGGCGGGGAGCTGGAACTTGCGGGCGCGGAGGAACCGCAGGAGGACGTGGTCATCGTGCTTTGCGGGATCGTAGAACCCTTCTGCCCCAAGCTCTTCTTTGAATTGCTTCAGAGCAGTCTCTTGCTCTGGCTTCAGATTGCCGACTCGGCCGGACAGATTTTCCGTAGACATTGTGAGTGTTGGCAGCTTACGACTGCAGCCGGGGAAACACGGATGTGCGAGTCAGTAAAGGTCAAATTGGCAAAGCTCAGGCGAAGAGAATCCGAGACCATTCTCCCACGGGCGTCCAGATCCTCAGACTCAGTTGCACACAGTCCTCTGGTCCATGTTCCCACGCCGACCTTCAATCTCCCCGCGCGTCTGAATAGCCCGTCTTCATCTCCCTCAGCCAACCGCGTTCAGCAAGGGCTTACCTGGTTGGGAAAGATTTGAAGGACTGTAGACAGCTTTTGCTTCCGACTGACAATAAGGACTCGAGCGAGATCCGGAGACAGTTCCTGCGAAATTTTGTGGTTCTTGTTGTTGAAACACCGCAGCCGGTTTCTGGGAGAGCTTTGAAGTGGGCGCGGCTGTGGGTTCAAAGGGTAGCGGTCGACGCATGCGCGCATGAGACAATCGGCAGGCGAAACTGGAGAACACGGGTTACGGCAGGACTTGGGCGAAATCTTCTGGCAACGTGCAGGAGCAAAAGCCTGTCTCGAACAGAGATCTTTTTACAGCCATTGGCATTCGGGTTGACTTTTCGCGAGGAAGGCCGGCGCAGAGGTGACGAACTGGAAGCGGACCGAGAGACAGCAACGAAGCAATGTCCTCAGCAACAGCGTCAAGGCTGGGCTTCCGCCATGGTGCCCTCAGCCTGAAGCCTACGACAGCATTCAACACCGTGTGCCAAAGGCTGCCAACAACAGCTTCCTTCCACTCCTCGGCATCCCTTTCAGACCGTGTACCCGCACTCCAGGTCCGCATCTCCCGCAAAGCATGGCGCAAAAACCAAAAGAAGATTGAGGACCTGCGCCGCCGTCTGGGAGACAACTACGCTGTAATCGGCCGCGACAAACGACGCTCTCCCTACACACAAACCAACAGCTCTACTCGCCCAACGCAAGCTCCCTATGTCCCTCCACCAGATCCAAAGATCTTGCCGTTCTTCGCTGTACCAGGAAAGACGAACGTTGCACCGATTGTGTCTGGTGACTTTAAAAAGACGTTGGCGGCTGTGAAGGAATTGCGGGCGAAAGCGAGCGAGGAGCAGAGCGTGAACGAGGCGATGGCAGAGAAGACGCAAGGATCCATTCGTGACTTGAAGATGGCTGCCGTGGAGGATGATGGAGTGTCGAAAGTGCTGGAGGTGCCTCTGGGTGCAATCCCATACGCAAAGGAGAAGGCGCCGTTGCGTGGGTTCGAACTTCCTGCCGATGTCGCTGAACTTCCGACACCGGCGACGTCTGGCCCTGGATATGGGTTCTCACTGACGCCATCGGAGGCCCAGCTACTGTTCTTGCAAACACCTGATATTGTAGCTGCAGGGACACATGGGCGGGCGCCGTCGGAGCGGGATATCGGCCCGAAAGCGCAAGCTGAGATGGTTAGGAGGATCGTCAGCTTGGAGAATGCAAACAAGCCACAGATGAACAAGTATAATGTGGATCGGTGCGTTCAGCTGTTCGGAAGGGCCCCGCATGATACCGGTAGCCCGGAGGTGCAAGGTAAGAATGTGCATGTCCAACATCTCGTCGCTCAGGGGTATTGAATTCTCATCCCTTTTGATTTCGCGTAGCCGCCGTCTTCACTGTACGCATTAAATCGATGCAAGATCATTTGGACGCCAACAAGAAAGACAAGTCCACCAAACGTCAACTGGAGAAGTGGATATCGCGGAGAGTAAAGATTCTGAAGTATTTGAGGCGAACTGTAAGTGCTGTTTGTATGCTGGTTTGTATGCTGGCAAGTCTACACTTCGACGCATAATACTGAAAGATTCCTTCCAACAGAACCTTCCCAAGTTTGTGGAGACTTGTCGCGCGATAGGAGTGGAGCCTGAGACCATCCGTGTCTAGTCATCCATGAAGGACCTCGGATGTTGATTACCCACGCCCCACATTCCCTTGATGGAGCCCAGCCGTGTGCCGTTGTACATGATATATATCATCGCAATCTAGATATCAATATCGAGGAACTGGACGTACCACTGGCTGTCTGGGTTGGAATACTGAGGACGCCGCACGGGAGGCGCTGTATTGAGAGCGCCGCATTCCATGAACCTTACGAGCATCCCAGCGTTCATGGCTCAAATTAAGAGTAGGGCAGAAATGGCGATCCCAATCCGGTGATGCTAATGTCCCTGAGAGCATGCTGCTTCCCTACGTCCGCCCTCCTCCTGATGCTCGGACCTTCCCTGCATCCTCACTTCCGAAAAGTCGAGCCATAAGGCTTCCCCACCGGAGGGGAAGTTCGACGCATTCGATATCCCACGTTCAAGCAATCTCCGCAGATATCATGCCGTGGAAACACAACCACCTCGTTCTCCTCCCTCTCCTCCCTCCTCATTCCTTCCCTTTCCCTCGCTCCTTCGCTCAAGGGCCGACCCTCTGACTTTCGAAACTTTCGCAAACACCCGCATAGAAACACAAAGAGTCGTACAAGTGAAGACTTTCGAAGACGTTCCAATAATGTATTGAGACCGTCAAGAACAGTTTAGTGAGCACGACGGGACTCGGCAATGACAGCGGACATCTCCTCGACCTTTCTCTTGGCACGGCCGAAGGTTCCGAGCTAGGAAGGACAAAACACAATTGCGAGTCAATTGTCGGTTATGCACGGCCATCTCTTCCACCTTTCCTGAACGTTTCGAAAACGTGATATCCCATCTCTGCCCCCTCAAATCTCCCAATGACGGCAACACTCACCCTCCTCTTAGCGAGCTTCCTCGCTCGCTTGTCGGCAGAGTTCTTCAGCAACTCCATGATACGCTTTTCGTAAGGGGCGTATCCGGTAACTTCCCGGACAAGGTCGCGGACGAACTTTGTGCGCTTGGCCAACGTCTATAAATGAAATCCCGACAATAAGCAACACGGAGACATATCCAGGTTTTGTTAAAAAGGAACCCGGGAACCGTGGAGGATCTCGCTGCAGTCTTCGGCAACAGCCTGGGACTTCAACAAATGTGCCCCAACTTGTCGCTAACTTACCCCCTTGCGGTTGACGGGCTTGGCCTTGAGCTCGCGCCTGGTGGTGACGTGGCCCTTGTTGAGGCCGGTGGCGATGCCGGACTTCTGTGTAGGAGCCATTGTATATGCCGATGTTCCGGTGTAAATTTCGAGAGAGATGGACCACCGTTTGGCTTAGGGAATTGCGCTGTTCAATCCAGAAGCCGAATAAAATAGGAGTCACGATCCAGGCCGATCACGTGATTGGTTGCAACGCGAAGCTTGGGTACTCGCCAGTGGGGAATGCAGGCAGCATTCGAAATAGGAGCACGAATTGCGTGCGCCAGTATAAGATATAGGAAGAGGTCAGGTCCGTTCAAAAATCAAGAGCCTGAGGAAGAGAGAGAGAGAAGCAAAGTGTATCAACGAGGTATCAGTGATCTACCGCGGAAAGAAAGGATCGCCAACGAGAAGTTTCAACGATGTTGCGCAACAAAGCTTTCATTCGAAAGACCAAGCGAGGAACTGTCGTGAAGATCGTTAAGGAGCATTGTATGTTCCCTGGTGCTCTGGAATAGTCTGAATGCCGTGGCCGAAAACCTTATCCCCTTTTGCTTGTAGACTTGCGAGATGACATCTATTGCGGAGCAACGACGTGTGCTGTGTGTGATCAGTCAGACCCGGTCCTCGACTCTCCGCGAAGTACTAGCAAGTTCAACGCTCCCCATTTTATAGTCCCCGATACAAATGTTCTGTTCCATCAGGTATGGCATAGAGACTGCTTCATTTCCTTGCATACGCTTCGCCTCACAGGCTCACATTTGTTTCATCCCGCGCAAACAGATTGATGTGATGGAGCACAAAGCTTTCACAAATGTGATCATACTGCAAACCGTACTGGACGAGTTACGGCATAGGAGTATGCCAGTGTACGCCCGTGTTCGCACCTTAATAGCCGACCCAGCACGCCGATTCTACGTGTTTTCGAACGAACATAATCGCGAGACCTACATAGAGAAGAAGAAGGATGAGTCGCCGAATGACAGGAATGATAGAGGTACTTTACTAGGTAGATAGCGGTGGGAAGCTCTGAACAAGACTAAATGATGGTCCTTTGCAGCGATCCGGACGGCAGTGGCGTGGTATTCCGTACATTTGCGAGGGAAGCCAGCAACGGTGTTGGTCACGGATGATGCGGATAACCGACGGAAAGCGTTGGCGGAGAAGCTTCCTGCCTTCTCAGTCCGCGATTACGTCTCCTCATTGACGGAGTTTCCCGAACTGGTGGATATGGTCGCAACTGTGAACGAGGAAAATGTGGACGAAGAGGACAAATGGTCTTACGCCGAGGTGAGCACAAGTTCTTTAGCATGCAAGATGCGTCAACGAGGGAGCTCATTCACCGTTTTACAGCATCTGTCCCAGTCACAAATCCAGGCGGGCTTGCGCTCAGGCGCCTTCCTTCAGGGAAAGATCGGTATCAGTCAAAACAACTTCCTTGAAGGGAGCATCTTTGCGGAAGTGGATAAGGAGGAGAAGACCGTCATCATTTTGGGAAGGGAACACCTGAATAGGGCCATCCACGGCGATATCGTCGCGGTACAACTGCTTCCGCGCGAGCAATGGAAAGCACCCGTAGGGGTCATCCTCGACGAGGAGCAAATCGATAAGGAAGATGATGAGGATGTTCAGGCGGAGGATGCAAAAGCAGATGACGCTATGGATGTCGACGGTGCGGCAGCGGACCGTGTGCCCATGGCGAAGGTCGTTGGGATCATCAAGCGGAATTGGCGCCCACTCTGCGGAACGATCGAAAAGGCGTCAGTGCGATCATCCGGGGGTGTGTCAACACAGCAGGCCGTATTCTTCTGGGCCATGGACAAGAAGATTCCCAAGATCAGGATCCGGACGCGGCAGGCTGACGAGCTGGTTGGACGAAGAATCATTGTGACCATTGATGGCTGGGCAAAAAATTCGCGATACCCGTCGGGACACTACGTGCGGACGCTGGGAGATGTCGGAGACAGGGCTACCGAAACGGAGGTTGTGTTGCTGGAGCACGATGTGCCTTTCGCGCCATTCTCGGCGCAGGTGCTGAGCTTCTTGCCGTTGGAAGGCGAAGACTGGATCGTGCGTGATGAGCATATGGCAGGGAGGGAAGATTTCCGCCACATGGATATCTGCAGTATTGATCCGCCCGGATGCACAGATATTGACGATGCTCTTCATTGCCGACCACTTCCGAACGGCAATATGGAGGTCGGTGTGCACATTGCCGACGTCAGTCACTTTGTGAGGCCTGACAATGCTATGGATATGGAAGCAAGAAGGCGTGGTACGACAGTCTACCTCGTCAACAAGCGTATTGACATGTTACCGGGTCTTCTCGGGACCAATCTCTGCTCTCTTCGCTCGAACGTGGATCGTCTCGCCTTCAGTTGTCTATGGGAAATGACCCCAGATGCAAAGGTTCTTAACGTGCGTTTCACCAAGAGTGTCATCCGTTCCAAAGCATCTCTTACCTACGATGAAGCGCAAGCACGCCTTGATGACTCTACACTCACCGACCCGGTGAGCACTGGTATCAAGCTCCTCAACAAGCTCGCGAAGAAGCTTCGCGCTAAGCGTTTGGCAGCTGGTGCCATCACCCTCGCCTCGCCCGAAGTTCGTTTCAAGCTCGAGGAAGACCAACAGGACCCCGTCGACGTCGAGATGAAGGAGCTCAAAGACACCAACGCCCTTGTCGAGGAGTTCATGTTGCTAGCTAACATCTGGGTAGCTCAGAAAGTTTACGAGGCTTTCCCGGAGAGCTCCATGCTTAGAAGGCATCCAAAACCACCTGCCAGCAACTTCGAAGGCTTGCAGAAGGCCGTCGGCGAGCTCGGGATCACCCTCAATGTCGACACCAGCAAAGATTTAGCAGAATCTCTCGACCGCGCTGTAGTCCCAAGTGACCCCTATGTTAATCAACTCATCCGTATTCTCACCACGCGGTGCATGATGCAGGCTGTGTATTTCTGCTCGGGGACCGTACCGGAACAGGATTTCTGGCATTATGGTCTTGCCAGCCACATCTACACGCATTTCACATCGCCTATTCGCCGTTATGCGGATTTAATTGTTCATCGGTTGCTTGCTGTGGCGATCGGGTATGAGAAGTCGTATGCCTCGGAGTTGGTGGATAAGATGAAGTTGAAGGATCTGAGTGATGGTGAGCCCCGATTTCTCCCAACTGCGACAGGGTCTCTGATATATTGTAATGCTCACTATCTTCTGCTCACGCAGTTCTGAACTACCGTCATCGCCAAGCACAACAAGCATCCCGCTCCTCGGTGGAGCTCTTCACAAACTTATTCTTCAAAGACAAAACCGTCCGCGAAGAAGCCTACGTCATCCGGGTCATGAAAAACGGTTTCTCAGTTCTGATACCCAAATACGGCATCGAAGGTTACGTCTACGCATCTCCAGACGACACATCATCACCGTCCACCGACGTCAACAAGAACAACAAGCGACAGCGGGACGCGGCGCCGGTTGTCAGCCCGTTCGTGTATGACGCGGAGCGGAATAGGCTGATTGCGGGAGAGGTCGAGATTAAGCTGTTTGCGAAGGTGAAGGTTTTGGTGTTTGTGGAGGAGGCGGGAGGCGCTGCGAGAAGGAGCAGGCTTTGTGTGAAGCTGTTGGAGCCGTTTGTGGAGGGTGTGAGTGTACGGGAGGTGGCGCGGTGAGATGTAGGTGATGAGGCAGGTCACGTTTCACTCCTCCCAGTATTGGACAATCGTTTAGGGAAGTTAGTAGCTTTTTCTGAAGTAGGTCAATTTCGATCCGATGTACTCTGGTATTTTGTACAGTAGACAGGAGACCTATTTAATGAGATGTGGCCGCCGCGGATGCCTACTTCAGTACCTACGATGCGCCTGCGCCTGGCCATGATCTCTATGCCCGTGTCGATAAGGATCATCTTGTCTTCGGTCCCTATCCCTATTCCTATCGCCATCCCCGTTACGGCCTCGGTCATTCCCGCCATTCCGACTATAAGGAGAGAACCGATTATTGTGGGCAGAAGACTGGTATCGTCCGTCGTTGTTCCTGTCTCGTCCATAGGGTGTATCTGGTGGTGGCCTCCTGCTTGCCTGAAGATCGCAACGCTGTTAATGATCTGCTCATGCGCGTGGGAGACAAAGCTCTGCACCCGTACCTGCGGAATTGGCAGCTTCCATTCCTGTAAACATCTCCGTCTTATACCCTCTTGATCGTATTCGGGCCTTGCTTTATCATTGGCGTATTTATAGAGTTCTTCCAACGCTTCCTTTTGCCACATCGTTAACCTAGGGAAGATATGATGCATTCATTCGCCTCGCTCAACGGTATACCCAATGGTATGGGTGGGCTCCAAACCTACCTCATATTTTGCGACTTAATCGGCCCGATGAGACCCTTCTCTTTCATCACGATCTCTGGATCGACAATATGTACAACCTCCGTAAGCCCATTCTTGATCTTCTCTTCGCGGGGCAAGAACCCAGGTTGCTGCGTCGCGTGGCTCGAAATGATCGGTTTGGCAGCGTCGTCCCCTTTCAGCTCATTGAACTTATCGTTCACACCAAATAGGTGCTGCAAGACTTGCGCGTTAGGTTTCGCGCGTAGCGACCGGCATACGATGTAGCGCTCAGAATTGGCCGGACGGCTGGTGAAAGGCTTCACTATGGCGATCTTCTCGAACATTCGGTACAGGATATATACAAGCTCAACCATAAACGGCGTATACAGATCGAAAACCTTGAAAAGAAAATCGCCGTGTTCCCGCAGGACAGAAAGCCCAATGAGGACTTGACACAGCAGGATCTGACGTGAGTGATCTTCCTGGTTCCACTCGTCTCCTGTCACGTTGAAGCCCCCATCGCATGTGACCAAATCTACGCCTTCGGTTTGAGACCCAGCTTCAACAAGATCGACAAAAGCCTTGATATTTGCAGTTCGATAAACGTCCCCGGTTTGGTCTGCTCCGTAAAACGGCTGGAACCGATTGGGCACATCGATCGCAGGATCCATCTTCTCCAGAGCAAAATCCTGTTCGCCTTTCAGCGTCATGCCCCATCCTTTCGCCTGCAAACCCATCTGCTTCGTCCGCCATAGTATGTACTCCGTGAACCCTCCTGGTCCCGAACATAGATCCACAAAGCGGAACTCCCCGTTCGCACATCGCTCCCGCGCCCGATCCAAAAATTGGCACAGTGCGTCCAGGTTGGCCATCTTGACGGCCGACCGGTTCACGAAAATTGATCTTCCCACGAGCTCGTACGGGTTTGCGCGGGATCGGGCATAGTGCAATGCTTGCGGCGTTAGGTCGTGGACTTTGACTTTTGTCTCGTAGAGCTGGTTCACAATCTCTTTCATGCAGAACAAGCTGTAGTCCAATTCCTTAACCTAAAGTAGCACCAGGATTCAGTGCCTGATAACACTGAGCTCCCGCATATGCATAAACCTACCGGTTCGACAGTGCAAGCCAAAACGTCCACCCATGTCGTGTCATCCAATGGCAGTGCACAGGTGAGCCATTGCACAGCTTGTTGATGAGGTATCGTTATGTCATCCCGGTAGACTGGCGTCGGTGGTCGTTCCACCTGTCTGGAAGCGTCGCGGCCATCTCTCCCACCTCTGCCATCCCTTGCATCATCCCGCTTCCCGCCACAGCTTCGGTGCTCACGGGGCGGGGTTAGGCGCGGCAGAGGAACCGGAGACACTAGCGGGGTTGCAAGGTATTTTGGGTCACTCAGATAAAGGTCCTGTGTTTCCGCCATCTCTGATAGCTCTGGATCGGTGAACCTCCTTGTGCTTTAACTGGCTATCCTTGTGTAGCGAAAGGGGTCTGGATCTGGACCAGCGTTCTAAGACCGACACAGCAGGCTCCACACCCGCACGTCGTCACTGCACCTGTATCCGACAGTTTGGGTGGTCTAAGGCGTTAGACTTGAAATCTACTGGGCTCTGCCCGCGCAAGTTCGAAGCAGCAACAAATAGCGCAAAAGGCGATGGGTGTTCACAGCGCTGCAACCTATCAGTTAGCCCACTCGCCTCACACATAAGCATCCCGCAACTTTCATAGCTGGTCCCATTTCTGAGAGGTCACTTGTCCACACAGTTGAACAGGCTGTTGCTCAATCCACATACCTTGCTTCACTCGGTGTGGTAGGCGGGGAAAAGATGTTATATCATATATTGGGCTGTCGGTCGAGCGCAGCGAGCCGGCTTCTAAAGTATAAGAAAAACTACAAGGAAGTCGCATGACTGGGGAATAAACTAGCTAAGAGTTAGGGTTTCGGTTGGGATTAGGGTTCGGGGATTAGGGTTCGGGGGTTAGGGTTGCGGCGTCGACTCCACACCGCACCACAGCGTTATCCGCAAAGGCCGGGCGGAAGTGATGCCGGCGAGAACTCGGCCGCTTTAGAAGCAGGCACGTTCTCGGTGGAGGTGTCAGGTCGGGCGGGCTGAGGACGAGAGCTTTACAGTTTGGTAGTAGCTTGCTTACAGGTGTCGGTTACTTGCTTATACGGGTCCGTCGCTGGCTTGCTTGCGAGAGTGGTGTTCTTCAAGTGGTTTCAAGTGCGCTTTTTCGTCTCCGCTTTCTCGTCTGAGCGGTGTGGAGGCGATTCTGTCAGCTAGTCCCAGCGTTTTTCGACAGCTCCAGGACGGGGGTATATGTAGAATGCTTACCGCAAAATCGCCTTGTGAGGTGGCCAATATAATGGAGTGCCGGGAGGCGCCGCGGAAGACTCTGCTTTGGGGAAGGAAGTTGAGAGGTTGAGAGGGTGTCAAGGGTAACTTTCAGAATATCAACAAGAGTGTGGGGTCACGTAAGGGCGGTGGTTATGACATTCTGTCGAATTACTGCCAGGGTTGCACCTTTATATAAGAGGTTCTGAGCAGCTGCGTGTGTCAGTCTTGAATATCGAAAACTGATGTGCTATGCACGCGCAGGTTTGAATCCTGCTGGTGTCGTTTTGTCTGTAGTTAGTGTGAAGCTTCCTTTTGCTGCCACTTGCGCATGTACGCCATGCTATATATAATGGGAATTGCTAACGACGCTACTATATCCACGCTACAACAAAGGTATGCTGTATCTACTACAGACGCTGAGGAGGTCTCGTATCATGATTCGACTGCCAGGAGGTCTTTAAGGAGGGGGACCTCATGCAATAGGTGATAGGGGTTGTGCTCATAGTAGATAGCATAGCTTTGTTGGTCTTAGAAAAGTGCGTTGGAGTGTTGTGTGCGTTGGACTGTCCGGCACTCACTTGCCCGGCTTCACGCAGCGCGGGAAGTACCGGGTCGAGTATGATACGGGGCTTTTGGCACGAGTATTTGCACAACCTTGAAACCCCACGGCGAGGACGAGCAGGCTGAGCAAAAGGCGTATGACGGCGTAGAGGTTTTCTGAGTCCCGTTCTGTGGCGCTCTGCGTCACATGTATGTAGACACCAGCCGACAGTCTTGAACTGATGTGCATAGGGACGTATCTTGCTCTCGTCGTTTTGTCCGTTGTTGGTGTCAACAAGCTAGCTCAGCTAGCAAAGTAACATTCCGATAACCGTGTACATAAAACTAGGACCTAAAGCTATCATCACTTGCGCATGGACGTCAAGGTGTCCATGGCCATCACTTGCGCATGGGCGTATAGATGTCTACATTCTATGATCTAAAAGACATCAGCGCTTAAATCGAGTATCGCGCACAAAAAAGACGGCGACATTCTATGATCTAAAAGACATCAGCGCTTAAATCGAGTATCGCGCACAAAAAAGACGGCGACAAGCATGGCAACGGCTGCCAGGGCCGCTCCGAGAATGAAAGCGCCTCGGTATCCCCGGAGTCGATCGGGATTAGGCCCGTGATAGTCGCCAACTTGAACTTCCACTGTTGCCTACGGGCCGAAGAGCAGCAAATATGAGTGGGAGTTCAACGGAAGAAGGTCGCTCAATAGGAGAGAAAGACTCCGGAAACACCAAACCAGAAAGGTACACCGCAAGGGAACTTACCGCCAGTCCAACTCCGATGCTTAGCGAGTACAAAACGGCGGTTGAAACCATGCTCCCTGCAACTCCTTGAAGTTCCGGTGCAACAGCGTTCGAAGCCATAATCGAAGCGCTAGCAAAACTGAGATCCGGGCCGAAGACAACAAGGCATAGCAAGATGAAGACGGCTGCCCAGTAAGACTGTTCAATAGGAACGAAGATCATCCCGAAGCACCCGATGAAAAAGGCGGTCATCGATACCCCAAATACATATTGGGCCGGGACGCGAGGCAGAAATGCACCAACGCAGAAAGTAGCGACGGCCCCACCAATCATAAGTGGCACAAGCTCGGCTGCAACGGTCAGCGGCGTCAGATTGCGAAAGTTGAGCAAACTAAGGGAGAGGAAAGATTAGGGTTCGCACTCTTTCTCCGGGAAACTGTCCGTTTAAACGAGACAATGCCAGGCGGCGTCGCAGGATTCAAGACTTACAAAGTTGTAGTGTACCAGAGAAAGATACTGAAACTAGCCCAGCCGAAGCACATGCAGATGATGATGGGAGTGAAACCCGATGCCTTCCAGATCTTCATAGGCAAGATCGGCTTCGACGCCTTGCTTTCCGCGTACACAAAGAGCGCACCCGATAGGACGCCCATGATGAGAAGAATGTAAATATACGGCGTGTCCCAACCTTTTGCGGGTGCGTCACTGAAACGGTCGATTAGATTGCATTCGGAAGGTGCGTGAACGAAGACGTGAAGATGGGACTTACTTGATAGCATAAGAGATCAAGATGAGGCAAGTGAGGCCGAGGATCGCGCCGGCCCAGTCGAAATCTCTATCCGACGGGTCTCCCCGGCTCGACTCGGCTGGAACGTTGAAAAATGTAGATCCGGCGACCGCGAGGCACATGAACCCCCATACATAGAAGGTCCACCTCCAGGTGGTGTACGTTGCGAAGATGGCGCCAACAACGCCGCCGAAGAGGTATCCACACGGCGCAAGGAAACCCAGAATTGCAAAGGCAATGTTCTTGCGCGGCGAGATGCCGTACGTGATCCCGAGGAGGGCCATTGAACTTGGACCCAAAGCGGCCGCTCCGATGCCCGCCATTGCACGCGATGTGATGAACATGCTTTCAGACTTGGACGCGCCGCAAATGAATGTCCATAATGCCATCCATAGCCAGCCAGCGATGTACACCTGCTTGTGGCCGAGCATGTCACCGATCCGGCCGGCGATCAAGACCAGTGCTCCTCCTGTCAGTCTGTACAAGTATGTTACTAAACGGCCGTCGGAGTATGTAAATGTGTGCTAACTTACGAGAATGCGGCCATGAACCAGGCGAGAGAAGCAACATCAGATGTGCCGACTCCAGCAGCGATCTGGTTCAGTGTAAAGGTCGTGTTCCCCAGCGCCCCTACTGTAAGGAGTTGGGATGCGGCGATGCAAGCAATGAATTGTGCTTCGTGGAGCCCATTCCGAAAAACGGCAGGCCGGCTACCATCTGCTCCTTGCGATGGGGATTTTCCTCCCGATTCCACGTCAGAAAGTCGATATGGAAGTTCGGACAGGTTCTTCTGCGCTTGTGACATGGTCGTGAGATTTGCAGGAGGCGAAGTGGTAGGACGAGATCAAGGTGGGTCAGCAGATGGAGGACGTCCCTAGAGCTTTGATGTCCTCTTTATAGGGCCTCGCTTCGCACGCCCCCGTCCAATCCCAGCATCTCCGAAGCAGACAGTTCCGACATAGTTCCGAAATAGGTCCGATCCCGAAGGAAAAAGAGGAATCAAATCTTAGGGCAATCATGATGGGGTTCGGAGTTGCAGCCCCGGTGATGCAGTGGGCATTTGTCACAAAAGCTGCAAAAAGAAACTACCGACCCCGACAGCGTTCCGAGTGCGGTCAGTCGGGCGCATGGGCGTGAGCTTTGACGCGTTAGCGCTGGGGGGCTGGGACGCGTTCTGTCTTCTGACAAGACATCTATACGACATGCTTGTCCACGAAGTGCGACCGGCCAGACGCCCACGACCAAGAGTGTTCAAGAAATTGGGAGGCTTTTGAGGTTTTTGTCGTTCAGACTGAGGCAGATGTATGCCAAAGCCCTCTCGTCCTTCCTCTCCATCGACTCCTCCTCCTCCCCTTCAGCCCCCTTTCCCTGCAAGCCAACTCCGGAGAGTTCGGACTCCGGAGAGCCTATGATGATGAGAAAGCATCGGAGCTTCGGAGGCCCGAAGAAGGCAAATGCCGAACACAAGTGCTGGATGCACATCTACGGGGAAATGTGGAAACGCATTCGATGACGGAAAGTGTATGTATATTACCCCCAACGCTGAAACGGCAGCCACTAGTAACAACAGAACCTGATATGCCCAGCTTGGATGGAAGATACGATACGCACTCTATTTTGGCCAGTTGGATCCAATTGTGTCATGAAAATATAAAGGGTCGAGAACTTTCCTTGCCAGTTGCCAACGAGTATAGCTGGATGTGACGGAAAAAAAAAGCGTCAAAATCGGTTCTCGACTCACGTGGTCTGGCTCGATTATAGAATAAATTCGCTCCGCTGTCATTTTGGCTTCGTCGGGGACTTCTCATTCGGATGTAGTGCACACAGCACACTCTGCACATCGCCTCTATCACTGATCGTCCGTCCCCGCGCTGTGTATGAACCAGTGCGTCAAAAAGCAACACTCAATCACCTCTACTTGTTGATTTTCCAGGACTTTGAACGTACGAGGAACCACGAGCGGTGACATTCTGACGAAGGACCCGGGCTTACGAGAATCGATGTCGGGGAATACCAGGGTTTCATTAACGCCAAAATCTCTCAATAACAGGAAACTATGGCTGAAGAAGAAGTGACACTCCACGCTTCTGGCGAGGATGAGGCGGGGCTTGAGGGCGGAGAGGAGCTCGACAAGGTGCGTAGTAGGAACCGAGGTCAATTCGGACACACCCGATAACGGAGAGTTGTCTGTAGTCTCCACGGATGCTGCAGTTTCACGAGACGAGCAAGCTCTCAACCAAGTCTCTGATGCATTTATAGGAAGTACTTGCGATGCAAGCTCGCATTCAAGAAATGGAAGCAGAGGCACGAAAGCTACAGGAAATGCAAGCACAAGTGGATAAGGACATGGGATCGGCCAATGGGGAGGGTATGTCACAACCGTTGGAGCATCATGTCCGCAGAAACTTATATAACATCTATTCTATCGCAGAAAGCAAAGAAGACGTCGATAGTCGATCGATTTACATCGGGAATGTAAGATTAGAACCGATCCCTCCTTCATCTCTCATTGCAAGTATCTTACAATCCTTGTTACAGGTCGACTACAGCGCGACACCAGAAGATATCCAAGCGCACTTCCAATCTTGTGGGACAATCAACCGTGTGACGATCCTATGTGATAAGTGGACAGGACATCCTAAAGGGTACTTGTTTGAATTGCGCACGCTGTTGGAATCCCAGAATCATTAAAGATGCTTACCCCATAACGTCATAGTTATGCATACGTTGAGTTCGCTGACCCGGCCATCGTAACGAACGCCCTTGTGCTGAACGACTCGCTCTTCAAGGGAAGGCCCATCAAGGTAAGACGGGACATACTAGAAGAGCCGTTTGTCTCTCGTTATGCTGATCTTCTTCCTGCACAAGGTTACCGCGAAGCGAACGAATGTTCCAGGGATGCTCCGCGGTCGCGGTCGCGGTGGATTCAGAGGCGGTGGGTATAGAGGTTTCCGGGGTGGACACGGTACATTCCGAGGGCGGCCAGGCTACAGGTAAGGATGTGACCATATCTCCCGGAGCCCCTTGCTACAGTTTCGATTTTTGATTTCATTCTTTCGTTTCCTTCAGGGGCCGTCGAGGGCACTTCGCACCTTATTAGTGTCATCTTTTAGAAGAATGAGCTGTTACCGATGCGTCTCTACGCATCTTGCAACGAAATAACCATGATTCCACTGTATATCTTCAACGCGTAATTTGGCCACTCTTAGGCTCATAAGTCGAAGCACTCTTGCAGCTCAAAACCAATGCCACTAAGCTAGCAGAATCTTCCATCGCACGGTCATATCTACTTAGTCTATCTATATTGGCCCCCAATTGATTTAAAGAAACGAGTTTGGTACAGTAACTTCTCGTTTATTTCAACACCGTTGACCCTTGAAATAAGCGAAAGTTGAAATATCTGAAATCCTCCTCATACTAAGGGTATACAAACAGGTGCGCAACTAAAACGTACGCTAAGCTCGGTGAACAGGCACTCCCTAGGCTAACCCCATAACCTCCAACCCTTCCTCACTAAGAATCTGGCGAGCAATGAACTCTTCAGTGTGCTCAAGCCTCATGCTCTCAGTGTTGTCAAAGTCAATGTTACCCGAACCCTAACCCTAACCCTAACCCTCTGATCGTTGAAATAAGCGAAAGTTGAAGGAACCGGAATTGAAATAAACGAGAAGTTACTGTAGTGCGAAAACCCGGAAAACTGCTCGCGCGCATAGTGCGATGTCGACTCAAGTGGCTAACGCGTTGCGACCAGACCTCGACAGGTTCGTTTTTCCGTCCAAGCGATCCAAAACTCGCAACCGCGTGTGGGTTAATCCCCCCCTCAAGCGGCGTAGTAGTCTCTCAAGCGTGCAAACATGGCTGCGTCGCTACCACCTGCCCTGCAGGCTTTATTGCGTGCTCGTCTCCTCGTATTGGGGCAACAGACAGTGAGACCAACGGTTCGGATGATACCACGGTTCAGGCCAGCGCTCCGCCAATATGAGACGTCGGCGGCAAACTCTCCCGGCGTAGCTTACGTGAGTAAATCGTTCGCCGAGAGTGGCTTGGGAGCCTTAACTGACTCTGACACTCTCTTAGCAGGCAAGCGATACGGGAGCTCATGTTCGGAAGGTAGCACGGAATGCGGATAGCACGGAAGCCCTGGAAGCCTTGAGGCACCACTTGCAAAGAAATGACGCAGAGAGAGTCTTCTCCGCATACCGGAATCTGAGGGCTGACACTGGATCGACGGGCTTGAGTCAGCTTAGCACGGAAGACTACTCGTCCATATGGCAGGCCTTCCATGAAGCGAGAGAACGATCGATGGAGCTGCATGCGAACGACTACAAAGACTTGATGGAAGACATGCGAGCAATGCGTTTGGCGCCAAACGAAATGCAGTACAATGCATACATTATTGCGTGCAGGGAAGACGGATTGCTGGATGAATGCCTGGAGGGTTGGCAACGAATGAAAGCGGAGGGACTCCAGCCATCGTTCAATGCGTATAAGAGCATCTTGGCTTGTATCCGAGATGCAGTTCAGGCCCGTGAGGTGCTGAAGACTGTTGTAGCTGATGCCGGTTTCCCTGTTACCACGTTGGAACGGTGTGCGCTTGTCGAATGTCCCAAGGAAGCTGGATCAGGAGTGGGGGTTACTGCGGGCACGGATAACCGCGGACTTTTGCCTGATGTAGAGATGATCTCACAGGTGATGACCACTGCGATCGGAGCCGGGGAAGCCAATATTGCCGCGCAGGCATATGCCCTGGCCGCCGAGATAGGAATCAAAGTGGATGGTATCACGGTCGCCAACTATTTTGACTTCCTGGCAGCGCAAAGCATCAGAGTTGGCACGGTGGTCGACAAAAACCTTGTGAGGCTGAGCTTACAAGTCTTTCAGTCCGTATTTACACGTGGGATCAAGCTCAACAGTAGACAAGCTTTGGACGTCCTCATCAACGGGCTGGTCACCACCAGAGACCTTCCGTCAGCGCTACATGTCGCCCGATCTGCCGCAGCATCGGGTTACGCTCTACTCCCAAGCACGTATTCCCGATTGATTCACGCACAAGTCAAAGCGAACAGTCTTAGCGGTGCCTTGACCGTATACCGGGACTTGATGCTTGCAGGGTCCGTTCCGAACGAGGACACATACCGATACCTCTTCCAAGCACTGAGCCGTGTGTCATTTAGCCTCAGCACCTTGACGACGATGAAATCATTATATGCCGACATGCAGATTGTGGGTGTTCAGGGCTCACCGCCGATCGTCGAAGCACTTCTTACGACGTGTTCGATACACGCGGACGTACCCACCGGGCGGAAGTTGGCGGATGACTTCAAAGTTCGGCCGTTGTTCACGAAGACATCCTTTCATGCATTGCTCCAATTGGCCGCGTCCGATGAGGATCCTGTGTGGATCCGAGATTTGCATGCGGCTATGCTTCGACGAGGGATGCAGCTTCATGGCCCAACGCTCACGATGGTTGTGGATGCAATGGCTCGAACGGACATAGCAGCTGCCAATGAGTTTGTTCGACAACTCCTGGATGAGCAGACCCTCTCGACGCCAGTTGCCGAGGCTTTCATCCGACGAGCCTTAGTATCTGAAACGCCGTCATTAGCGGCGGACATTTACCACCTGCTACTTCAAGCTGACCTGCAAATAGCACGCGATCTGCAATGGAGCTTACTCCCACATCTCGTGAGAGCTGGAACAGTAGCCACGGGCGTGGCAATATACAACTCGCTACGGGACGAGCCGAGGTCATTGACGTCAGATGTCTACAACAGTCTGATGGGTGCCCTGCTCTCGCAAGGCTCACTTATAGATGCGACGAAGGTATTCCGCGACATGTTGGACTTCAAGATACAACTGCAGGACAACGAATGCATCGCGTTCCTACAAGCCCACTTGGACATCCAACGCCCAAGCGCAGCGAAGGATTTCGCGATGGATATCGCCGATAGGAGTTTCATGACTAAAGAAGTGTATGACTTCCTCATGGAGTACTTCATGTCGCTGGGCCGTGTGAACGACATTCTCGATGTCCTTGTCGCAACGAAAGGGATTGGGCTCGATTCGGGTCGAGTACTCGGCGTCACCCAACTTGGGGAGCGCACCTATCCCCTTATCCGGTTTTATTTGCAGGGATGGGCTCTTCCCTTCAATCAAGTGAAGGCCACCATCCCAACCGAACTGGAAGAGTTGCTGCAGCGGACGCGTGAGGTCATGGAAACCATCCCCGGAGCACGCCCGGAAGATTTTGCTGGAATGGACAGACTGCTAGCGCAGGCCTGGCGCTGCCGGTTGTTACACTACCACGGCCTGATCGAGAAGGCACTCGAGACTCCGGAAAGGGAGGGCGTCCGGCAAGCCATACGTTATTTGAAAGAGATGCAGGAGGAGCTTCCTCCATCCGACGAGATGGCGCCGCACTTCGCAATGGTCATCAGGAGGCTGATTGAACGAGGCAATCCCTTTCAGGCCTTTGGGCAATACCAAAAAATGCGAGCCTTCGGTATCAAAAACAACGACGAGACCCTCGGTTTAGCCATCAAATCTTTTCTACGGAGAAAGCGATTGGATGACGCCTACAACCTGTATCTTACAGAAGCCACAGCGCGATATCCGGCGCCAGAAGGCGCCGCGATGCTGCGGGAGGCACTGCGGAAAGATGACCAGAGTGGCAAAGCTAAGCAAGTCGGAGATAGATTGTACCGGTTGCAAGGGAAAGGAGAACCAGCGGTGGAACCGTTCTGGCAGAAAGTCATAAATATAGAGAAGGAATAGAAGATAGACTCCGAACGGCTGCGAAGTAGATTGTCTATAATATACGCCAAATAGTACATCTACAGAAGCTAGTTCGAAACCAACCAATCACGAAAGTGGGCCCCTAAACGGGCCCGACTCCTGCTGCTCAACCGAAGCACGCGCTCTTTGCCTCAGCCCGGCCCATAGCGGGGCGAAGTCCACCTGCGGATGCGTACCAGGATGCAAACCTCTCGTGGCCGCCTGCTCCGTTAATGCCCTGCTCGCATCAACCATCCCTATCCGTGAGTAAATCCCCGCCATCAAATCATAAACTGGTCGATCAGTCCACCGTCGAACCTCCATGGCCTCAAAAATGACCTTGGCAGATTGAATATCCAACAAAGAGGAGTAACCCCGCAACATGATAAGCCCGGTGGCGGCATCGAACGGTACACCAGCGGATTCCAGCATGGCGAGAGCGTCGTCCAGCTTATGTATCTGACCCTGGGCTATGGCCAGGTTCTTGCAGTCTGGCCAAGACGGCGGATTGTCTTTCCTCGGGATCAAATGTATGATGGACTGCCACGCTAATGCAGGATCCCGCGTTTCTGCCCCCAAAGTGAGGCCTGCTTCCCGTGCGGGTCTCGTGCTAGCGATACGCGCAAAACGTTGCCAGAATTTGTGCGCGAATTTGGTATACTCCGAGCCCCCGCGTGCAAGCAGTTTCAGGGCTTCCCAGACACTCGTAGGAAAGCCAGGTTCGGTGTTGTGTCGTGTGACGACGTTGGTTATTGCGAGCGCAATCGCGTACAAGTCACCGGGGTGTCGTAGAACCAAGAACTTAATGATTTCGAAGTTGGCATCGCGTCGTAATTTGCGCAACTCTTCAGTGGGTCCACGGATTTTCATCAGATGCTCATGGTGCATATTCAGGTCGTCTCGCATGCCGGCGCGGGCGTATGCTTTGATGAACGCCCAATGTGTCAAGGGAAGGATTTGATTTTTCGGTATGCCTCTCCTCTCAAAGGTTTTGATCGCAGCTGGCAAATCTCCCGACAACGCTAGCCCGGCGGCGAGATAGCAATGACCAGCATCCACGAAGACTGTGGGAGCATTTCGCGTCTCCAGTTCCCGAAGGAGAACACCTAATCTCTGCGGCATGCCGCCTCTAGCGAGAATGTCCATGAAATACATGATTGCCTTGGCTGACTGCATGCCCCTTTTTCGCATCATCTTCAACAATGCACCGGCGTGAGAAAGGGAGACTGAAGGGTCCCGATGACGAATGTAACTCAAGACTTTCACCCGAATCATGAAGTCTTCTTCGCTCATTTGTAGAAGCTTGCTCCCATCGTCCAGTCTTCCATTTCGATACCAGGCTGTTAGCACATAGGTGAACTTCGGCGGAAATGGCGGCTGGCCGTTTGGAACGCTCATGTAAAGCAGCTCTCTAAGGTCGGAATCTAATGCCTCCCATTTCGTATCAGCGACCCCGGCGAGGGAAGGTCGAGTAACTCCGGCGTAAACCTCGACAGGGTCAGAAGGGCGCCAATCCGGAACCTTTCCTGACTTTTTGGATCGATTTTCATGCCTGCTGTTTTTCGGTTTCGCCTCCGCCGCTGCTGAATTAGGCCGGGAATCTAGAAATTGCATCCGGTGATCATTTTGCGTCTGCTTGCTGGCTTCCACCAGTAGTTTCAAATGTTCATTGATGATTGAAGCTGCGTCTGTATTCGCTACTTCTTCGGCATCAGCAGGGGTTTTCGGGTCGAAAGCTTCATCGGATCGTGAGGAGCTGTCGAGCTTAAGTCCCGCCTTCGGCGAAGATTGCGCAATGCTGACAGTTGCATCATCCTTCAATCCCGATCCAACTCCTTCGCGTACATGTCCATTTGCCCGGGTTTCCTCCTTCGCAGCCGCTTCCGTCTGTGGTTCGTCTGCACCCGAGTCGCCCGGACTTCTCACCTTCGAAGTCGAAAGCCTCGCGCAATTTGAGTTGATCTTAGAAAAGGGTCGTATCCGCGGGCTGGTAGATTTCGCCCCCCAGAACTGTAATCCAACCACTCGGCGCAAGTGAGCCTCGAACAGGCGCAAGGTTGAAACGCAAGGTGTGGCTCCGCGGTGCATTCAGGGGACGGTTTCCGGACTGCGTTGCGTCCTTTGCCGCTCTGGGCGTTCCTGCTACCAGACGTATCGATATGGTTAGGAAGTCTAGGAGGGCTGTTACCCAGCAGCGGTCCTGAATATTCGCCCAGGGTTCCGGCGAGACGTGCTTTTCGCGTGTGAACGAGCAGCAAGATGTCGCCCATGGCCTATGAGGAAGGTCGTGAGGAGAAACGCGAGGTGCTCTCTTCCGCGCTTTCCGCGTTGCGAAGATTGGCTTTGGACTGCATTTGCTTTTGTTTTGGCATTATGCACTGCTCTAAAAGCAGCCAAATAAGGACATACGGCCGCGGTTGGTGGCTTGTTGTATCGGCTAACCCAGAGCCTACTAGAGCTCGACAGGTTGTTATGGACATCGGACTGGATTTCTGGGCCACGATCCCAAGATACGAAGTCGTACGAGTTTTACAAAGTTGTCTTTATATTCCTTGATTGGTACCCAACGACCAACTCTTCGTGTTTGCGCTGCCCCCGCTGTGCCCTGCACATTGCATGTCTGCAGAGCATCGCAGCATGAGAGAGTCACAGTGTTTCAAAATGTGGGTATTAAGGCGCTTATATTACATTGCTCTGCTCCGAGTCCTTAAAAAGTGCCTGGGCGAACACCACTGAACACGGGACGGAACCGCTTGCTGGCAGGGCGGGTAACTGGAAACGGATAGAGTTAACAACCGAAAGCACAATCTCAACGACCACACTCAGCGCAACTTACCCCTGTGAGGCAAGGGGAACTTCAGCTTAGGGTCCAAGATCTGCTTGATGTAAGCACGACGAACGTCAGCGGCCTTGACTTCAGCGACCTTAATGATCTGAATGGAGCTGAAGCGGGCACGGTGACGGGCGGCCATATCTTGGTCTACGAAAATGAAGGTTTGATGAGCATGCAGCCCTTTCCTTACTTCCCCAGTTGAATCAAAGCAGAAATAATGAGAAATTACAACGTACAGCACGAAGCGACAGCGTCCGTGCGGGTAAGCTCACGGTACTCCTTGTACATGTTGTGAGTTCCAGAGCGGGAGTCGTAACGGATCCAGATACCGAAGTTTTTGACCGTCAAAGGCTTCTTCTCGAAGATCTGCACAAGAGCCGTCGGCGAGTCAGCGACGGATTCTAGTTGATCTGGGGTCTCCTAGGCCGTAGTCCCAATTTCCCAATTCCATTACGCTCCACTCGTAGTCGGCTCCGAATTTCGCTTTCCCTCCTCCTCGTCTTCTCCCAACGCAGCCATGCTGCCCCTGAAATATTACCTGGTTGACGGAAACAATCTCACCAGAGGCCCTCTTAACCTTGTTGACCTGCTTCAGGAAGTACCAGAATCGTGACTTGGCGACAACCTCATTGGGAGCGAAAAGGCGCATGCGGTACAACTTGGGCACCGGCTCTTTCTCAGTTGGCACACGACGGCCAACGACCTGGTATTCGTTGAGTCTGCCCATTTTGTGCGATTCTGCAGGAGCAAAAAAAAAGGTCAGCGATTCCCCATGGCATGAAGCATTTTCTGAAATTCCTCCCCCTTACCCTAACTGAAAAGTCGTAAGAGATCAACAAGGACACAGAACGATTTGTTAGCGGCTGCTCCACTGCCAACAAGAGACCGCAATTAGTTCCCTTCCAACATACTACATACCTCTGTGGCTGGAGAGTAGATATGAATCTTTGGCTGTTTTCCGAGACGGCCAGCGGCGTGTTGCCCCTTTCCCCAGCTGTGATCGAAAAATCGCCACACGGAACTCGACAGTGCGTGGCGTCAGTGGCGCAGCGTGGCGATTCGTCTGGAGAAATCACGTGCCCATGAAGCTTAGACCAGGGACAACGACCATGTTCAAACTGAAGAAGCTGATCACGATGGATACGTATTTTTTCAGGTATACCCCTGTATACCAGGGGGAAACGGATCATCAGGAGGAAGGAAGGGGCTTGGTATGTGAGCTCAAAGTCAGTAGAGAAATCGCCAGGCGAAAAAAGGAGGAATTATCGAACGGGATGTGTGTGAGGATCGACTCGACGCGAGCAGCACGAGTTCCTGTTGCATAAGCAGCTCTGCTTGATTGAGCTTTTGCCCCGAATCTCTCACATAGGGTACAAAAAGACTCGACCCCCTCGTCCCCGGTTCTTGTTTCCCTCCCATGGATTCTTTTCCGGCAGGTATGTTAGGTTCCCATATCGACGTACTGTACGCCATGCTTTCAAGCCCCCAAGTTGTACAGTACAAGGTATGTGTCGCACAGTAAGTCAAAGATGTCCGACTCATTCGGGCGATGTCGCGTGGGCCTCGCCATGGCTCATCTACTCAAATCCTTCTTCACTGATGCTCGACAATCCGTTGCCCCAATAACAAAAATGAGTTCAAAGAAGGACGCACAACGATCCTGAACCGTCACTTTCGGAGGGGCGCGTCACATCGCTCCTGATGTCAACAGGAACAGGAATAGGAACAGTAACGATGACGAGGATAAGATCGAGACAAAGGATGTGAACGAGAACAGGGACAGGAACGGGAACCGGAACGAGAATGGGAAAAAAGAAGGACGAGGACGGGAATAAGCAGTTGGTCTTTTCATGCATATCGAAAAGGGACGCGAATTTCTCAAAGTCGAGCTATGTGGCGCCGGCGGGGAATCGGCCCGGGTCGGGCCAGGGACCAGATGGGCAACAAGTCGGATCCATGCCATGCATGAGAGGAGGTCAACCGGGAAGTTTTTTCACGCGCTACACAAATAAACGGCGCAACCGGATGGCGACTGAAGCGTTCTTTTCTTGATGTGAGTCCAGGGTCGCTTTTGCAGGCGAGTTCTTGAAGTATCGCTTCCATCTCATATCCGAGCTGCTTCTGGATGTGGAGGGTTGAAGGAGAAGAATGAATTACAGCAGTAAACTACTGCATGGAATCATAACAATGATTAATTCAAGGATTGCATTGATATCTGCTTTTATGATTAGCCGTCGATACCACAATGAAAGGCCAAGAGAAATTATTATTTACAATATGCGACTGATAGCCAACATCAACAGGAAGTAGGGGTGGGATGATATTGCGTAAGTGAGAAAGAAATTCAACGCCCTTGAAAATACGTCAGCAGGCCAAGACATTTTCCTTGGGACAGAAAAGCGCTTCCCCGTGTCCAAAACACGCATAGGAGCAACAATGAGAAGGAAGAACTACATAAACAGATTTTGTGGGGATGAAAAAACAAAAAGGAGGGGTGTGAACACTGCCATGGGTATCGGATGCCGGTCGAGAAAAACGTCCCTGCTGCATCGGCGCATTGATCGCGCCACTCAAATGTTTCGGGCTTGATGGGAAGCTTTACGCCAAGATTTATGTCGCAAGCAGAGCGCCCGGCACCTGTTCGTCCCCGCTCGTCATGGCCTGCGCTTGAGCTTCGGCCTGCTTTGCGACGATTTGCGCGACGTAAGGGTGCATCAGTAGAGCGTCGGCGGTGGGACGCATGACCGGGTCGGGGTCGAGCATTGATCGGACGAGATCGAGGAGGGCGGGTGAGAGCTCTTGCCCGAAATTGATCTCGGTGAGATCACCTTGTCGGAGTTTGTGCCAGTATGGCCCGTTCTCGGGGAGGATGACGTTTGCCGCAATTTCGAGAATGATAAGCCCGAGACTAATTCAAATGAGATATATCATTTAGTTATCAGTTGGCCGGACCATCAGGAAGGACGTATGTTCCATCAACTCACCTGAATATATCTGCGGCTTTTCCAAAGCTGGGATCACGAAGGATCTCCGGTGCGATGTACGTGCGATCGCCCTCCCTGTCGTCGTGTCGCGACTGAAGAGTCCGCGCGATGTCAGAGTCTCTTCACAATCGTCCCACATACTCCTCTATGCGCACGTACCACAGGAGCTTTAGCAGCAAGCCCAAAATCGCCAATCTTCAGCGACCCATTGTTCGTTATGAAGATATTGCCCGGCTTCAGATCGAGATGCACGAGGTTGAGATCATGTATGTGTTTTACGCCCTGTGCCGTGAACGCGTTAGTTTTGACCCGAGTATTGCATCCAAGAATTCGGACTCACCGAAGCGATCTCCGCAAGAATGTGCCAAATGCGGTATTCTTCCAGCGAGGAATCCCGGCAATGGTCCTCCAGATAGGTATAGAGACTACATAATGGAGTTCCATAAGAAATTTGCAAAGTGGTGGCGTGTTTTCAAAGTAACTCTGAAACCGTACCTTCCGCAATCGCAGAGCTCCATTTGCAAATAAAGATACCCGAACTGAACCCAGGAGGCGACGAGGCACACGCAATGGGGATGCACACCGACTTGCCACAAGATTTCAACTTCTCCCAATTTGTTCAACCTGTGATGATTGTCGTGAGATCTCACAAGACCTCTCCAACAACTAAAAATTTGGTACTTACCCATCCTTATAGCCGCTGAAAGCATGCAATGTCTTCTTCACAGCATAAAAATGCCCCGTGGTCTTTTCCTGCACTTTGTATGCCTCTGCGAATGATCCTCGCCCCAAGCGCTCAACAACTCGAAAGTTCGCGTCTAAATAGTCCGGATATGAGCCACTGTATCGGATCGGGTCTGGTGATGGCGCTGCAAATAGGGAAGCATTCTTTACTTAATACCAGGCTAAGTATCTCAAAATGCACAAAAGCGACTCCAGCACTCACGTCGTCCATTCCTCGCTTGCAGTTGCAAAAAGTATTGCGGGTTCAAAAAGAGTGGGTACGGCGTTACAAGATGATTGTAGCCAGACGAGTTATGTCGCACGTTAAACATCGGCCGTGGTGGAGGCGCGGCAGTCGTCGGAGTGTGGACATCGGAGTCAAGGTCCATCATATCCAGACCATCGTTCGGCCGCAAGCTATTGTTGGAGGCTTCCTGGCTTCCCGCTGAGGTAGGCAAGCTCTGTGCGAAAGGCGAGAATTGGGAATCTAACAAAGGGCCTGTCGTCGAAGCTCGCGAAGGAGGTTGATTCTCAGAGTTTTTCGGTTTCCTTCCAAATTGCGGGAAGCTGACGCGTCTTTCCTCCCCGAAGCTGCGAGTTGATGGTATGCCCAGTCGCGGCGGGGGAGAGTCCATGGCGTGAGATTGTGAAGTTTGGGGTATACATTGGAAACCAGAATTCCTCGACGATATATGTGCAGGGGATTCTGGCGATCCAGCTATTTCTCTTTGAGACTGCTGCTGCTGGTGTTTGATCGCTATTGGTGATGTCGAATCGTCGCCGACCCGTCGGAAACCTCTCACGGGGGCTGCCGACGAGCTATCGCCATTACGATGCAGCTTCTTCGAGTTTTTGATGGGAGATTCCTGCAGCGGACTCCTCAAATGTTTCGATTTGACGGAGCTGACAGGGAATCGGGTGGGCGTTTGAGGGTGCAGATGCGTAGGCGTGGGCGCCTCATATGGCCGCGAAAAAGCTGATGAAAAGTTCGTCGAATGCGAGGGAGTTCCTACAGGCAACGCCATTGCCTCATGAAATATATCTGTCCTCCTCGCACCCGAAGGATGAGTCGGGAAATGATGCGCCTTCTTCAGAGGCGTTTCTGGCATCGGTTTCGGAGTCTCCGGTGGTCGTGGACGATTCCTCTTCGATATCAAGCCGGTCGAATGAAACGCTGCTGGGTTTGGTTTCACCAGCTTTGTTTGAGGAGTAAAGAATGTAGAGCCGATCTGATCGGCAGCCAAAATGTCAGGTTCCGAAAATATCGACGCGGTCCTTCCGTGGGAAAAGTGATTGTGGTGGAATGGGGTAGCGTTGAAACTGTGTTCTGCGGGCGTGCGGGGTTGAGCGGATGGCGTACCACCCAAGGAAAACGGTGAGGAGTCTGTAAGAGTCTGTGTGAGAAACCCGAAAGGAACAACTGCACGATCTAGAATACTATCAACCCTTACCTGGCTGATGCAACGAAGCTGGAGATTCAAAGGCCCGTTGTGTGATATTTGGTTGAGGTGAATCCGAAGGTTCTAGATCCGTGTCCATCGATTCTGAAAGTGATGATAGATTGAACGATGACCGTACAAGGCGTACCGGTCGCGGAAGTGATGATGGACGTTGTTGCTGTTGCAAACTCGGCGATGATATGAACGGACTCGCCGTCCCATGATTTGAAAGTTCGTGCAGCTCACTACTTTGAGACCTTGCCTTCAGGCGCTGCGGTGGATCGGGTATTCGAAACGCTCCTGAGAACAATGATGGCCCAGGACTAGAGGCAGGAGCATTGGCAGACGGGGAAAATAAGGCTGGGACATATTTCTGCCCGTTCGCTAAAGGTGGGGTAGGGGCCGCTGGTGATTGTGCTACCGAGGCCGCCATGTCGGAGCTGCCGGCCAAGTCCCGCGACTGGTCCCCGTTCGCGGCGGCGGCGACGGTAGCAGCGGTGGCGGCGCCAGTTTGAAGTCGTCCTAACGTCGTTGAAGCTTGTTCGGGAGCTCAACAGAGCCTAGGTGGGAAGATCAGCCAACCCGATCAGCTACCCACTCGAAATCCACTCTGCGACGACGGAGTGACAGCAGTCGTCTCCCCTACTCACCCCTCTTCTTTGTGAGCCCAGAACGAATATCCGTGGTTAATACTTTGGCAATCGGGCCTATAGTCGGGCGATGGGGAAATACCACGCAGGAGTGCCTTTCGCGTTTCCTATCTACGTGTCCCCCAAATTCTCCAGTCCCTGGAGCAACTGCTAGCGCTCTATTCCTGATGGCGTGTTCGGCGGTTTCCGGGCCGTTTGGACAGCAAGATGACCTCTTGTAAACCGTGGATTCCAGGGTGAGATCAACCCCTTGGCGAATGTCGCGCACCGCAAGACAACCGAAACGTGGCTGGGTGAGTCCAAAAAGGTGACTGACTATTATCTACTGCGAGCTTGTTCTCCGACGTTGATCTGCACAGTGCTCTCGTGAGTGGTCTGGGAAATGTCTGCGCATTGGGAGCGTCCTGCGTGGCAATTGTGGGACGGGCGTGTTGCGATTCAGGGAAACGGCAACAACAGGCTGCTGCCGATATGCGCACACCCCCTCTCGCAAATCGTACTTTGGCACGTGTTGCACGTTATCAGTCGATGGAATCCCACATATGGGCAAGCCTTACTCAAGCCTTGCACAGAGAAGGAGTCGTCTCGATACGTACTGTACATACGAAAGGAGGTGATAACCGGGAGGGGTACGTGTGCATCCTCGGAACTATTGATATTCCTCAATGGAACGGCTGCGAAGGCGATGTTCATTTTTTCGTTGACAGCTACTTAATAGGAGCTGAAGAAGCGTTTCGGTGCTGTTTATGAAGCCGAAACTGACCGCTTCATAACCTATGAGACGCGGAGGACATCAATAAGCTTTGCAATAGGGCAATTGCAAAGCTTCTGATCATGTGCGGAGTGTCTAAAGGTCCTTTCAATTCAATGAGATGTTAAACAACTAAAACTATGCGATACAGTGTCTCTGGAAAGGGAACAAGAAGAGGAGTTCTCTAATCATATACAGGTCTTCATTATCTAGGTATAATGCAGCGCAGAACGTGGATATGTACGAAGGAAATATGGGATGCAGACAAAACTAGAGGGACATCACAATCCCGCCAGCGGGAGTTTTGCGAGGCTACTTGCGGTGATGCCGCAATGCAATACGCAAGGCGAACTACGCCGTGAATCAGACAGATCTAGTTGCCGGTGCCCTGGAACTTGTAACGACCGCTACGACGACCAGTGAGTGTCCATGTGACACCCTTGATGACCTTGTTCTTGTCTCGGGAGTAGTTGTTGGTAAGCTGCTCCCATCGCTTGACGTGGATGTCGATGGAGCCGGGAGACCTGACCCATGCGTGGTCGAATGCGTCCGTGATGAAGAGCTTCATCTTTTTGCCGTTCTGTGGATTGGTCACCTCAGCTTCCAGGCCACAGTACGCTGTGGCGTACTGTACCCATTTCTTGTTTTGCCCAGGGTTATTCCACTTGTATTTCGCGTTGGTCCACTCGGTCATTTGCGAGATGTCCTGTTTGTTTGATACGGAAAAAAAAACGTGAGACATCTTGCCTCTTCGACCAACAATAAGTGCGAGAGTCATACCGGTGCAAACCCAGGGGTCCAGTCATTGTATGGATATCCACACCAGCTTTTTCCGTTGGTGTCGTCGTTCCCGTGGTTCGCTCTGAACCAAGAACCGATGCCCGTGTTCTTTTTCCCCCAAAACGCCGACGGACCACGGCTGAACAGTTTCGCGATGCCACTGCGGGTATCGGGCTTTGTGAAGGTGTCGTCATCGTATACATCGTACTCAGAGTCGTAGTCGGCATCAGAAAGCGGCGCCCACTGTGTAGCATTTGCGTTGGGGATGGTTGCGTTTGGGTTGAGAACGGTCGCTTCCTCGAATGCATCTTCCGAAAGAGGAGCGACGGTGGCATTTGCGACGGGAACAATGGTGATGTCAGCTACAGGTGCCGCTGTGGCGACGGAGATGAGGGGTAGTGCGACAAGCACCAACTTGGAAACGATAGAGGCGACCATGCTGAACAGTGTCGGTAGCAGAGTTGGTGAGGTGATTCGAACGGGATAAGTCGAACTGGATATAGAGAGCCGGTCTAGTCGTTGGTATGGAGAGGCCGGAAGTGTCCTGCACTGTTGCGATCTATTCTATGCAGCCCTGTGAGACGTCCAGCGTCGTTGCAGTTCCGAGGTATATACGCAGACTGTGAGCCCGATGCACGAAATGCTGATTCGGCTGGGGTATTTCAACGATTCCAGTGTTCAACAGCCTGTTTTTTGGTTTTTCGCCACTGTGCCAGACGTCAGCCTCCCGGCGTTGATACCAGTTGATCGCACACCCCCAAACCATCCGAATGCGGCCCAGGTCCGACGACTCTTTCAGCCATGATTAATTGAAGGATGCAAATTTGCGAAATGAGCAGCGGCGTGGATGGGCATCGGCAGCCATTGGCCAGTCACAGCTCGCCGTAATGCCAAAACCTTAAAATTGTGGTGGGCTGGGACCTCCGACATCAACTCTCGGTATCAACTTCCACCCATCGGATTGCTTTTGAGTGTGAAAGGAAAAGTGAGGCGAAATGGCGGTACGCGCACGAATTGGCCAGAGACCAAGCAAATTTGTGTGTACTGTGTAATATGTAGACCGCGTCACACGAGGCCGACTCAGGCTTCCATGGAACTCAGAACATTTCGAGCAAGTGCCAAGCCCCAACAAAACTCCGACGAAGCCGAATTCTCCTGTTGCGTGCGATCGCCGCTCGCTGCTCCGCCAGCGGAGCTGCCGAGGCTAATGAAGCGTATCCACGACCATTCCAAATCCCTATCCAAATGCACGGCGAGCCACTTCCACGGACTCAGCCGAGGATTGGGATGGTCGAGGGCTGAATCTGGAACTGGCCGGTTGCACTGAACGCATAGCGCATAGAACTTTGATGCAGTATGTTTTCCTGTTTGCTCCCCGGGATGCGACTGATTGAAATCCCCATTTCATTTGTGTCGTTTTCCATCCTTGCACGAGGATGCGGAGCGGATGCCTCACATGTTGTTGGTGCAGCGGTTTCGGTCAAGAAACTTTGAGACTTGCTGGTGCAGAACATGGGATGCCAAGGTGATATGGAGACCAATGGTTGAAACCACAACCCTCTTCCATGTTACTATACTTTTCGATCATATTCCGTCAACGATTGTTCGTGCCATTTGAGAGAAAGAAAAGACCCAAGTTTTGTAACGAAGAGGTACACTGGAATCCACGGTGCTGCCCCGTCCACTCGCGTAGTCTGCAAGGCGCAAACAGAGGCTCGAGAACCCCCCAATAAAAAGCAGCGCCATGGCAACGGCCCGCGGCATCGGAGGAACCAGCTGTCTGGCTGACATGGGAAAAGAACAACAACTGTCCAGGACATAGACCTGTCATGGATGTGCACCAGTACGTCGCCAGATGACACCTAGATATCCGGCAAAGACATAGATGCAAACCATGGAAAGTTATACCGACGGTCCGAGAGCTACTTTCCAGCGGGGCTGCAGTTCGGTCAGTTCTGTCAACACTCGACACTGAGCGTCTTTCCGTCTTGTCTGACGCGTTGAGGCACTAATGGCAACTCTGGGTTACGGGAAGAACTTGCCGATCTATAGTCCGCAACTCTCGACAACTGTCTGCTATTCTGTCCGTATGCACGTAGAGGGGAGGTCCGCCGTCCACCGAGTTCCGCCCAAGGCATGCTCCAAGCGATCGGCGCCATGTTACCCCCCATAGAAGCAGAGGGTATCCCTAGCAGAGTCAAAGAGCGGCTTGGAAAGTTGAGGTCTCGCATATGTGCAATATGGTAGTTGCTGTCTTTAGCTGGTCTCGTTCGTAATGATTTGCCAAGACCAACAATCTCACACACCCTGCGGCCTGCTCGTGGCGCTGAATGCTCCTGCAACGTCGACTGTCCAGCTGTATTCCTTAGGAAATGCTTCGGTGTGCGTCGAAAGAAAAAGTCGGTCAATTTTTCACAGTATATACAGTATAGAGTGGCACGCTGTCGAAATTTTGGCGGAGTTGACAGTGACGACGGATGGCAGAAAGTCTCCGAGTTTCTGCGTCACGGTGCCTGCGGAAAACATGTAACAAGCTTAGCTGTAACCCGTTTAAGGACGACGAGATGCTTCTACCAGGCCGCTTTCGGAGATGGCACCGATATGCGATCCTTGCAAACGGATCAGATGTCCAGTCGTCCGACGCTGGGGCTCCTCATTTTCTTCCCGATACCCCGTCCCAGTAGCTTACAGCTAGCTTGCACAGATGACGAGCACGAAAGAACTGCCCGGCTCTCCAGACCATTCATCCTCTCCATCGACTGAGCAGAAGCCTGTTCTCGACGCCTCGACTGCTGGAGGAGTAGGGCAAGAGGATACCCATGACCCTCCCGAGGCAGCCGGCACGGCAACCCCACCCCAACCACCTACCAAACCCACCCCCTCCGAAGATACAAAGCCAGCGCCCACGCCCCCAACCAAGAAAGAAAAACCCGTCCCCATTCCCCCGACACTACCACAAGACCCCCGCGACCTCCACTTCTCAGTCCGCCCTTACGCCGGGGCGGCGTTCGGGAATATTTCAGGGCCGGATAGCGGGCAGACGGGGACTCCCAGACGGGGACGGTCGAGGCCTACTAGTGGGGTTGGTGGGCAAACTGGAGATGAGAGGGGGCATGGAGCGAAGCCGCAGAAGGTTGAGGGGAAACGGGAAGCGACGGGTGCGGGGGAGGTGAATGATGCTGCCGTCAAGCGGGATTCTGGGAACAAAGGAGGGATCGCACGGCCACTACCAGTACCCAAACCGAAACCGTTCACACATGCACACGGACCATCACCCCCCTCAAAACCAAGGATCACAACCAGCAATGTGTTTGGCAGACTGCCCCCACCCTCTATACCCCGCCACTGCATCCGCCCCGCGCCAAATATACCCCTCCCACCCCTACGAACTCGTAAAGGATGCGTTGGGGTGTGCAATCTACGCAGAATGGGTCGATCGGTGAATGATGATCGGATGAGGGCGTTTGGACTGACGAAGGCGGGAACGACGGCGTGGGAGAGTGGGAGGAGGGTTATTGTGTATCCGGTGGAGAATGGACAAGGTGCGGAGTTGCGAGATCTTTTCCAGAGGGAGTTTTGGATGATATTGATTGGTGAGGGCCAATAGCACGGTATACTCATGCGGAAGCGGTGAGACATGACCCGCAGCCGGAGAGGGTCAAACCGCCGGTCCCACCGATACATTCTGAGTACGCGCATTCGTTCGCGCAGGTTTTGCAGTTGGATCGTACTGCTTGGCGAAACACGCAGTACGTTCAATCTCACATCTTCGTGATATCAGTTGCAACGACTAAATCAGAGTTCTTTTCCCTCATAGACACCCCGCACGGAACCCACCAGCGTTCCTACAACTAAACTACGCACCAGGCCCGCCCGTCCCACGGCCGACACGGTTCGGATGCAACACTGAGTGGGGACATGACTCGTTCGTGACTGTGCAAGCGGCGCCGCAATCGACTTATTTTATGCCTGAGAAGGTATTTGTGGGATTCTTGGATATTGAGAACATCTTGGCTGATATCCAAATTACGCATTACGTGTAGGAACGGCTTGAACGCACAAAGTTCCTCGAGCACGGTCATCAGCGCACCCAGGCGCTGAGAAGAGTTCCGGGAATTAGGCTGGAGACGGAAACAACGACCTAATGAGGATTCATCGCTCTTCGGTTGATGGTCGGGGAAGGTCCGGGGAAACTGGGGGATCTCTCACGTATCTAGATCGCAGTTGTCGGTTCCTGAATGTACTCAGCGCTGGGAGATTCAGACGCAGTTGACGACTTTGTCGAAATGCATTCATGCCATCCGCTCATACGAGGAGAAGCGCCGTGCTCAAAACTTAAACGCTACGCTGAACTCCAGAGTTATGTGGTTGTCCTCCTCTCGTCCCGTACCAAAAGAAAGTCTCTTCCTATCAAAGCTAGCGATCCGCTTCATCCCTCATCGTTCGCTTTCGCCAGCGATCTTTGCCCCGGTGTCAGTCTTGTTCGGGCTGAGAAAGTCGTCAATGTGCGAACTTTGTGGGTCCCGTTTTGGGTGTTGTTCTGGCCGAACTGAGCTGGCAGTCGGGCTTCCCAAAGTCACCGTCCGTCATCCCAAAGTCACCGTTAGCATCGCCGCGACGGTCCAACTCCAGGAATCTTACAAGCGACCTCGTCCAAGAGCCCTGGGTCTTCTACGCCGCAAGTACAGTACTTGCCCCTCATCGTTCTACGTAGTTGAGCCCGGAGTTTGTGTTGCAGCTTTGGAGTTTCTGAGTACTGTACTATGTGGAAGTTCCGAGTTCTTCTGCCCACTTCCACATGTGTCTGTCATGACGTGACCCCGCGTCTTTCCGGACCCCAGATTCGCGCCCATGACGCTGCTCCAAGCCAGGCTCCAAGCTGCTGCAAGTGATGTGAACTGCTCGACTTGCTGCTGCTGTTGCGGGGAAAAGCCCTCTTTCTTTCGACATTCCCACGCCACCGTTCCTGATCAGTAAGGCCGTTTGAGGCTGCTGCATCCAATAGCATAACTCGCCTCTTCCTCCTCTCCTTCACTCAAAGACCTTCGCTCTTCAATCACGCATCATGACGGAAACCTCAACCTCCACAGCCCAGTCTGAGCCGGCGCGCCTGGTCGTCATCTCCAACCGACTGCCTGTTACCATCAAGGCTACAGGGGACCAGAAATGGGACTTCAGTATGAGCTCGGGAGGGCTCGTGTCTGCGCTGTCGGGGCTCGCAAAGGAAATGAAGTTTACTTGGATCGGTTGGCCTGGTGAGTACTCCGAGCGGAGCGAGGAGGATGCTTGAGGTTCGCAAGTCATGCGAGCCGCGAGCGAAGAGAGCAATGGTAGTGGTCTGCCACGAGCGAAGCGCGAGCGGAGCGAGCCACATTGCGCCAAAGGCGCAATACTACACCAACTACGGTCCTTAGCGAGCTACGGTCCGCCCACGGAACTCAACATCCTCGTCGCGAGCGGAACGAGCAGGGTATCGTTTGTTGATGGTTAATGGTTGATGGGTTGATGGATGTTAGTCGATGGCTAATGGTTGACACTACCTTTCACTTTCTCAGGGTTGGACGTTCCAAAGGACCAACAAGCAGCGATGAAGTCTCAGTTATCTGAGCAGCACTCCTGCGCCCCAGTGTTTATCAGCGACGAGGTGGCTGACATGCACTACAATGGGTTTTCGAACAGGTGCGTCATTGTTTCCTCGCTTCTTTCTCGATGGTTTATGATATTCTGACGCCTCTCTCATCGAAAACAGCATCCTATGGCCTCTCTTTCACTACCATCCCGGAGAAATCAACTTCAACGAGGAGCACTGGAACGCCTACCAGCAAGTGAATCGAGCGTTCGCGGACGCCGTAGCAGAGCAAACGAAAGAAGGAGATATCATTTGGGTACAGGATTACCATTTGATGCTCCTGCCAACAATGTTGCGGGACATACTGTCGGAGAGGAACATCAAGAATGTCAAGATCGGTTTCTTCTTGCACACACCTTTCCCATCTAGCGAGATCTACAGGTATGGACGGCGGCATTTGCTTCCAGCGCACATGCACTCGGAAGCCGTATCTGAATACTCTTCAAACAGGATTCTTCCCGTGAGGAAACAAGTGCTTCTTGGTGTACTAAACTGCGATCTGATTGGATTCCACACATACGATTACGCGCGACACTTTTTGAGCTCGTGTACCCGAATTTTGGGACTTCACACGATGCCGAATGGAGTGGAGTTTGAGGGACGGATTGTGCACGTGGGCACATTCCCCATCGGAATTGACACGGAGAAGTTTGCAGAGGTGTGAATGACAATCAGCGCATCTTAAGACTAGGGCGGAAACTTATCAGATTCCCCATTTTCCTGCGCAGGGTTTGAAAACGGAAAAGATCGTAAAGCGTATCGCTCAACTGCGTGAGAAGTTCAAGGGAGTCAAGCTGATCGTGGGTGTGGATCGTCTGGACTACATCAAAGGTGTTCCACAAAAGCTGCATGCGCTAGAGATGTTCCTATCTCAGCACCCCGAATTTGTCGAGAAGGTGATTACTTTGCTTTCGTGGGGTAGGCACATCAGAAGCAGCGACCTAACCTATAAATGTCCAGGTCGTACTCGTACAAGTGGCCGTACCATCTCGCCAAGACGTCGAAGAGTACCAGAACCTGCAGCGAGTCGTCAACGAGCTCGTCGGACGCATCAACGGGATATATGGAACGGTCGACTACGCCCCCATCCACTTCATGCATCGCTCTGTGCCGTTCGATGAGCTCGTGTCGCTGTACGCGGTTGCGGATGCGTGTCTTGTTTCGTCTACGCGTGATGGGATGAATTTGGTCTCGTATGAGTATATTGTGTCCCAGCAGGAGCGTCATGGCGTGCTCATTTTGAGTGAGTTTGCGGGTGCGGCGCAGTCGCTGAACGGTAAGGGTTAATTTTGCGCTTCAATGGAATGGGTAGTGACTGCGGTAGCTCATCCGGCCGACATTACAGGTTCTATCATTGTGAATCCTTGGAGCACGGAAGAACTCTCCCAAGCTATCCACGACGCTGTGACGATGCCCGACGACCTCAGGAAAGCGAATCACCAAAAGTTGTACAGATATGTGACAAAGTACACCGCTGCATATTGGGGATTGACTTTTGTGAAAGAACTACAAGTATGTGAAACGAAGCCTTCTGCAATGGTTTTCCCAGTGATCCAGGACTAACATGTGCTCTTGCTCAGCGTGTGACGCTACTGAATGCGCCGCAAAACCTCCCGAAGCTGCCGTATGACATGGTAGTGACGAAGTTCAAGAAGTCCAACAAGAAGAAGGTGGGTTCCACGTGCGTGCGCGCGAGAGAGGGCCATGGGCTAATTTTTGCCCTTCCTCCAGATCATCTTCTTAGACTATGATGGGACTCTGACAACAACTCACAAGCTACCCGAGTTTGCAAAACCCTCATCGGCAGTCCTTGACTCTCTGAAACGGTTATGTTCCATGCCCGATGTATACGTGTACATCCTATCAGGACGATCAAGAATGCACTTGGACCTATGGTTCGCAGAGACCGGCGTAGGTCTCTCCGCCGAGCACGGCTGCTTCTACCGCCACCCCCAAAAGCTCGGCGAGAACTTCGCCGACCCCGACGGCGAAAACGGCACAGACGGCGACACAAACGATTCAGTAGACGGCGCCGAAATCTTCCGACGGAGGACGAACAATGGGTGGTTGGCCCTCGTTGACCAGATCGACTCGTCATGGCGGGACACGATCCGGCCACTTTTTCAACACTACACTGAGCGGACTCCTGGAAGTTTTATTGAGGAGAAGGAGATCAATCTGACGTGGCATTACAGGAACGCTGACCCGGAGTTTGGGGGGTGGCAGTCGGCGGAGCTGCAGGTCAACCTTGAGAAGATTTTGAGTCATATGCCGGTTTCGGTGAGTAACCTTCGCGACATGACGCCCGTACACGCACTTACACCTCCGTCCCCGCCCAGATCATCCTCGGCAACAAAACCCTCGAACTCCGTCCCTCAATGGTCGACAAAGCCACCGCAGCTCGCGCCATCTTCCGCGACCTGGGCGGCGAGCGCGACTGCGACTACTGCCTCTGCGTCGGCGACGGCAAGACCGACGAGGTCGTCTTCCAGCTGCTGCAGCACGATTTCGAAAGTCATCAGGATCACCTCGTCACGGCGACCGTGGGGAAGAAACAGACCGAGGCGGCGTACTATGTCGAGACCGTGAAGGAGGTGGAGAGGTTGATTAGCCAGCTTGCGAACTGTCGATGAGATCATGATGCCATCCGGGTGGGAAATAGACCTGTATTTGATTTCCCCATTTCTACCATATCATTTTGTAATTTTTGTATTATTGCACATTGAATAGATCTTGAAAATTTGACCTTACACTTCTGTGAGGACCTTTTCTCTGACAGTAGTTTGCCGATCGATTCTTTATTTACAACATCCCTCCTACATCCCCATGGCGACGCAACGAAGAGCCGGGCAGCAAACGACAGATACCGCTTCGTCATATTACAGATCTTCCGGGCGTAATATCGCAGCGGTACTTGCATACATAATCTCATCACTCGCACTGTTCCCACTCCTCCTCCGCCCACTCTCCACATCATCCCCCCTCTCATCCTCCGACTCCCCTTCACTAATCGCATCATGCTCATCCTCCTCCTCATCGCTCTGAAACGGTCTCCTCCCACCCTCCTCATGATCATGCACCCCAAACTGCGTTTTCAATGGGCTAAATCTCCCCGCCGGCGACTTGCCGGCCCCCCCACCCAACGGCGACGCCCCAACACTAACCCTCCTACTCGACGTGCTCCCCCTCCTCGTCGGCGACTTGCCCAAATCAACATCAACCATACTGATCGTGTCCTGATCAAACACGTCCCCGAATTCCTCCAGCGCCCGTCGCGCACGCCGCTCTTTGCGTCGCTTCCGGTGGCGTCGGACCTCCGCGGGCGCTTCGGTGATGTCCCGCAGGATGTGCATCGGGCTCAGCGCGTCCAATAATGCCGGCAATACCCGCGTGCGTAGTTTCACGGGCCCTTGTACACCTCCACCCCCACCCGCGGTAGCATTCATAGCCGCCACACTCCCCGCTGCCAAAATCGGCGAACTCACAACACTCCCCCTTCTCGACACCTGTGTCGCGCTGAACTCGGTATACGGGAACGCCTTGATGTGCAGCGCGGCGGCGACGAGCATCTCGATGCAGACGAGGAAGGATTTGATCATGTCCGCTTCGTCTTCGGTGTCGTAGTAGATGCTGGTGGATTTGAGATACCCGAGGGAGATGAGACCGTCGAGGACGAGGCCTTGCCAGAAGGTGAAGAAAACTATGAATTTTACGGCTATGATCTGTGAGATGAGAAAAAGATCAATGTTGGGCGGGTGTGATGGGTGATGAGTAATGCAGCATTGATGGGGACGAACCTTCCATAAAGGTCGCCATTCCTGCACGTCGTCTTTGATGACGATGTAGAACGTGAACAGCCCATACATGGCGAACGTGCTACTGATCATGTTGGCGTATGTTATCCAGAACTCTCCGTGTGCTGGTGAGCCCGAGTTGGGGCACAGAACCCCAAATTGGGACATGATCATCGCCAGGATGGTCGTTAGCGGTCTGCAAAACAGGAAAATGTCAGATCTCACAACGCCCCACCACTCCCATACCACAGTCGCCCGAACCCCACGCATCAACCTACCTAACAACAACATACTGCAACACCAACCACCTCGTATTCAACAAGAACGCATACCCCGCCGGATTATACCAAAAACAACAAAACGGCACCGGATACTTCATCGGTCTCTTCCCCTGCATCCGCGCATGCTGTGCGTCCAGGTTCGGGCCGAGGTAGTTCAAGAGTAACGTGTAGAAGCTGTAGAGCACGAAGGCCTCGTAGGAGTCCCGCACGACTTCGATGTAAGGCGTGTACCAGTAGAACCGGAAGGAGAGGCAGGAGGCGAAGGCGTAGACTGGGACCATTCTGGCGGAGGTGGGGTGTTAGATGGTGGTTGCAAGGGTGGGGATGACGGATCGGGACGCACTTACAGAAGGATACGCACGATCCATCGTTGATACTGCGGCTGGAAGTAGTGCTGAAAATGCCGAAACTGCCCATAGAAAAAGTGGATCAACAAAACCGTAACTACATCAGACGCCGAGACGTTAACAGGTGGAACTCACACAAAGCCAAAAACTCGCAACAGTAGCCAAAAGCGACAACGCCACCGTCACATTGAACATAAACACCACATTATGGAAGTCCGGACTCGTTGGATCGAAGTTGGGGCCTTTTAGCGGTCCGCATTCGTCTTCTTCGGCTATTGTTTCGTTTGTGGGTGTAGTGGTGTTGGGGCTGGTGTCGTCGCGGACTTGGATGTGGGAAAGGGGGTTCCAGTGGGCCATTTTAAGAGTGTGCCCACAACTGATATTGATGCGCTCGGTTGCAAGAACGACGAATAAGCTACGACGCCTATGTACCACTGAAAACGACGTATGTATACGGACCTCCAATGGTGGAGTGACGACTGCGAACAAACCTTGTCCCAAAATCGGGATTCCGACGCAAGCCACCCGAGGCAAGGGAAATCGACAGCGCGTTATCATGTCAAATGCCCGTCGGCACTGACAGAAAATACTGCTTCAATTGGAAGGGATACATCAATTGATAAAGCATCTGCATACACATCCCGATAGACACAGTTCGCAATTGACGAGAAGATATCTCATACAGTACAAGCAGTACGATGAGGCAATGAGCATCCTCGCCATTAACTAATAATGTACTCTTTACTTTCTCTACACTTTATTTGGGGCGTAATAACAGGAATACTTCACATTCCTCCAACACATCATGGTTGTATATCAACCCGCTAATGCCGATATCATTGCAAAGGTAACCGCGTTCTTCAACTACGTAGACAAGGATGGGGATGGACTCATCAAACCTTCCGTGCTGAAGGCGGCCATAGCAGCCCCAGATCCGAGAACGATATATGTGTACAATAGACCTTGTTTATTATTAGACTTTTCGGACCGGACAAAACTATCTGTATATGAGCGGTCGACATGACGTGTCTGAACCAGACCTTAAAGGACAACGCCGAGAGTTCGTTGCAAGTTCGCCACAAGCTCGCCACAATGGAGTTAAGGTTCATTATCTACTCTCCGCTCAACGCCCTGCCTTACGAAGTCTATCAGCACATCACAGACTGGGGTGAAAAAGAGATAAAGGAAAGGGAAGCTAGGGTTATCTGTTATTTATTCACTCGAGAAGAAAAATGGAGAGAGCTTACGAAGCAACCTCCGAACGGAGTCCATTCGCAAGCGAGCCTCCATTCCACACAATCCTTGCAAGGGCATTTTGATGTCTCCCCCATTGAATGTTCGATACCAGTCGCTCGACGAGAGGGACCGTGAGCGGTTCACTGACTAGGGAGTCCTTCAACGCGCGAGCTGCGACCTCGATGAAGACGTCGATCTTGGGAACTTGTAGACAGTGTGGTGGCACCGAACAGCTGTGGCTGCTGGTACAATATCGTCAGAAACGTTTCCTGCTGCTCTGAAACGAGGTTTGTTGCTGCAAATGTTCCGACTCCACGCACAGCCAGGAATCTTCTTGTTTCGTAGACCTGGGTTGCCGAAAAAACATGCTATAAGACCCCAGGTGAGCAACCTGCTTTTACCCTCAACTGCGGTGAAACCGGCCCGTCCCTCCTACAGTCTAGTCTCGTTTATTTCAATTCCGGTTCCTTCAACTTTCGCTTATTTCAAGGGAATTTCAAGGGAATAGTATACCCGTGATATTGGGAGGATTTCAAATATTTCAACTTTCGCTTATTTCGCTGTTGAAATGAACTAGACTGTACTGTACCTCAATTTCCGAGTGCTAGCTGTCTTCCTACGGTCGCACCACACTCGACTCGACTACCTGGGGACGCCGTGTGGGCCTTGCGCTACGCTGGTTTGTCTAAGGATTTGCTCAGTTGATAGACAGACACCAGACCAGTGCTGAGGGCTCCGCATACCAGCTTCTTGTCCGGCCCCCCTGGTCTCTCGTCTCCACAACCTCCCTCGACGTATTCTTCCCCCAATTTCGCCCTCCGCACCACACAGTGCCACCTCCCGCGCATATGTGCCACCACACTGTCTTTTGGGGTGCATTTTCAAACGGCCATATAAATACATTTCACATACATATCCAAAATCTATAGAAAATAGCATACTTTACTGTGTACTCTATGGAAACCATTCCCCCACCTTCTGCTACAAATCTACTAATCTACTAACGCGCGGGGTCGACAAGAGGTCCCGCCGGCTACTTGATCCACATCCGCAAAAGTCCAGCTTCGGCGAGAAAAGATGAGGAATGGGTGGATGCCGAACTATGCTGCCTGTCGCAACTTCCGTTTTCTCGTCCTATGCTCTCTGTTCCCGATGCCGTGGGCATTCACATAGACGCTTCTCGGGGTAAACTGGGGCCCCGCGTCGGATCATGAAGTGGCGCCATAGACCGTAGTATTCTGGGCCCCACTTGAGGGCGTAGCGCTGGTAGTACTCCATGTCTTTGAGGTCGCTGCAGAACCCGTGCTCGAGCAAGTACTTGATGCCAGTGTAACGATTCTCCTCTTGCCCGAACGTGTCAAGCTGCTTATGGAGGTTTGTAAAGTCGACGGTTTCCGGGTCCTGTTCGTCGTCGCATTCTTCCTCCTCGTCAAATTCCCCTTCTTCAGACGATTCCACCATCTCTTGTTCTTGTTCTTGCTCTTCATGTTGGATTTCCAAGTTCACGCCGTCTTCGCCTTCGTCATGGAGGGTCTCGAGGTTGTTGCCGACTTCGCCCTCGTCTGCATCGTCCAAATAACTTTCCGATGTGAGCCCTTCTTCATTCTCGTCATCATCGTTATCGTCATCGACAGGTTCGCCAAGGAACGCACCAAATGAAGACCCGATCAATTCGTCCAACGAAGACCTGATCAATTCGTCCAACCGACGGTTGAGCTTGGCCTGGTGGGCTTGCGCCTCGTCCTGGGGCATGTGAAGAGCCCCGGCGACCTGAACGTTGAATCCATAGTTGAGGAACTTCTCCTTGTAATCCGCCAGGTCGTGAAGAGGGTTAACGGGGCGGCCTTCGAACCACCACACGAACAAATGATCGAAAGGTGTGTTGTCGTCAGCGAGCGCACCTAGTTCCAGCAGGAGATCCGGGGCTGCAAAACCATCTTTGCCGTCCCGTTCAATGTTGATCATAGCCGAAGACATTGGAGTAATTGTCCCGCCGTTTTCGAGGGTATGGCGGTGATTGACATTTGCCCCGCACTCTTTTACGAGGTACCGGATGACCTCGCAGTTCCACACCCGAGCAGCGAAAATCAATGCAGTGTTGGCAAGATCGGGAAACTTCGATACCGCGGGATGTTCCAGGATAGGCCTGATTATATCTATGCTATTGACAGCGGCAAACAACGCCATGTCCTTGTACTCCCCCAAAGCGCAGTTTTTATCCAATAGATAAGTCAACAAAGTCGGAGGAGGCGATTGGAGCTCCGGCCGGAGAGGGTACGTACAATGTGCAGGGTGGGCGGCTGCCGAAGTCGCCATGAAAAGCACCTCGCCACTCTCATCTGGCTTTGTTTGGTCAATGAGAAAGTCGATCATGTTACGATCTCCCCAAGCAGCGGCGTAGCTTAAGGGCAGACCCAGGCCATGCGTATCCGACCGCGGGCTCTGAGCTTTGATCGGCGGAATGGCGCCATGGTCTATGATCAAGTGCTTGGCCAATCCGAAGAGCCCATACCGACAGGCAACACGGAGCGCCTCGTTGTCGTTGACGGTAACATCAACCTTGTGCTTCTTCAAAAGCACGTTGACCACTCCCGACCACCCGAGCGCCATACTGGCGGACAGAAGGGTTCCACGAACAGTCACATGAATGAATGGCTTGGTGATGATCGCCAGGTTTGGAATATCCGCAAGCAGGAATGCTTCAACTAGGTCCTCCACTTGCAACCATGATACAGCAGGGCGAATGTCCTCTAGCGTCCAGCCGGTGATTTCGAGGTTAACGGCGAGGAAAGGAATTGAGAGTGCATAGGTTCGCTTCCTCTCCTCATCAGAGTATGCCCAGTTCAGCTTCATCAGCCAGCTGAAGTAGTCTGATCGAATACCGAGGTCCGACTCCTTCTGGATTTCGCTCTTGTACATTCGTCCCGTCAATCTGATTATCTGGATCAAAAAAGCCTGGGATCCGTAAGCCGGTGGCGTCCTGGATAATCCCGTAGCACTCCGTTCCTGATAAACTTTGGCTTGGGCTTGCAGTGTATCGGGGCGGTTCGAAGGCTTCCATCTTTCGGGCACCACATCGATCCTATCGAACTCCCGGTAAAGGCTGGAGTCGAGGTCAAAGATATATTCTGAATCGATCTGACGATGGGAAAGTGCCTGCACGGAAAGGGAAAGAAAGGAAGGTCATCAAGTGTCCAGGTTTGTCCGAGAACTGCGAAGGGACTGATGCGCTTCAGCCTACCTTGAACCGTTCAATTATATACTGCAACGGAATAGAAATGAGAGTTCCAGGATCCGCCCAGTCGGCCCTCAAGGCAAACTTTGCGTTGGCCTGCTCCATGAGACAGGCTAGCACGGCATACGGCGTTCGACCAACCAGTGCCCATTCCCTACTTGCGGAAGTGAGGGTGGAGAAGTCTGATAAGGTTGGCAGGCGAGACAAGATCTCCAGCATAACATGCTGAGGAAGAGTGTTCATTTCGGGGATCCTAGCGAGGGTGTGTGCTTCGGATGTGGCCACTGGCTGGGCTGGTTGGTGGGGGGCGGGCTGCGGAGGGAGTAGCGAAGAGGCTGGAGCCCACTATATCTAGGTACGCCTGCTGAACTGCCCCTGCCGCCATGCTCCGCCACTGTACGCCAATGTCTGCCAATGCGCTCGCGGGCGGGATGAGAGGTAATAGTCAGTGGGCAAAAGCTGTCTGCTCCCTCTCTAACCTTATTTGAAGTTCTTTCGCGCGGACTGTATGTATATGTAACCCTAACCCTAAAGTTACCGGCACGTGCCGCCTCTCCTAACGCAAGCCTCACGGCTCGGTCCCAGTGAAAAGCCTAGCAAGGGCCCTAGCGGTTGCCGGGAGCACCGTTTCTATCTATCCTGAGAAAGGAACCACTCCCAACTGCTACATCAACCTCGCCGGTTATGAAGAGGACAGGCCTCCTGTGCAACCCCATGACACAGAAGTCTCACAACTCGGATTTTACAAGTGCAAACACAAGAAGAAGTGGATGCACCGTCACAAGCAACCCACACGCCGTCACACAGTTGCGACCTGGAGGATGAGGACCATCCGGATGATGAGCAGTAGGTCCTGACCTCAAGGAGTTGGTAGCTGGTGGCCAGACAAGAAGGATTTGAGACTGCAAGCGGCATGAAGATCTAGATCTAGAGCCCATCATGGTGGACAGAGACATCCAAGGAGGCGCCAAATTTTGCTACCTCCTCTACACATATGCTCGATGTAACGGGTGCAGATCAGACAGGAACCGTTGGCCTTGGGAGCCCAATCCGTATCCCCTCTGGTTGAATGTGCCCACCCCCCCCCCCCCCGCGCCGCCAATAGCATCCTTCTTCCCCTCGTAAGTCCTCCTTAGTTCACCATCATCCCCATTGGTTTGTAGTGGCCGAATAGCGAGGGTTACCGAGAGACTGCAGTACTGGTGTGCTGAGACGCGAGCCATGTATGAACGGGATTACACCAGCAGAGAAGACAAAAGACTACGAGCGAGAGACTTGAAACATATAGAACCAAGAATATACACAGCAATAGAATCGATCAACAGTCCACGGTTCAGAACCTCATGTGCAAGTATGAGACTTCCTGCATGGCGTTCAACAGCGAGTGTCCCGCGACATGCAAGGTGGGTCTGGCCTTCGACCGCACACATGACGGAGCAGGGTCAGGGCCAGAAAAGAGCGGATGGCCGAGCGAAAGCCAGCGCCGCTTTGGCCGTGGAACCGGCCCTATTCTGCGCTCGGAATATTCCTGGGAGCCAGTGAGTGTTCTGACTGTTCCTCCTGGGCGTGAGGTTCCGACGCGCGTAACTGAGAGGGCACTTCTCAACGGCAGAAACGAGCGGAGCCCATTTCACAACTGGTCCACCCCCGGGGCATTGAGAAGAGGAATGTCAATGTCGCTGCAGCAGGTATCCCTCTCCCCGCAAGTGCATATATCTCTTCAAGCCCGACTCCCTCGCTACGCATTTCCTTCCATGTCGACCAGGCCCCACCGGTCATAACACTCCGCCGCTGAATTCCTCCGTCTCAACTTGCGACAGCCATGTCGTTTACAAACCTACTCTGGACGAGTGCTCAGCCGATTATTAAGATGCTCATCATCGCTGGTATGTATGTTCCTGTCACCGAGAACACCCCTTTTGCCAATGCTGATCCATGTTGTGTGAAAACCAGCGGGAGGAGCGACGCTGTTCAAAACGGGGGCGATAAATCCCGCGGGGCTCAAAGTGCTGTCGAAGGTAGGATGCGATGTTGATAGATGGTATGATAACCCAGTAGCTGACGACCACGTCCGCAGGTCAACATCTATCTCCTCGCACCCCCACTCCTGTTTGTCAAGATCGTAGCGGGGATCACAGTGAACGATCTCCCAAAACTAGGGTGCGCCAAACCTCCTCCATCCTACCCAATCCGCATCCAGCGAATCTCACTCTCCATCGCAGCATCATAGTCCTCGTAGCCCTCATCTACCTCCTCCTCGGCCTCCTCGCCGGGCTGCTCATCCGGCGTTGCACACGGACCACGCCCACCTTCAACTACGCCGTCATCGCCTGTGCGACTTGGGGAAATTGGGGGGATGTATGTATGTGCCGTCGGTAGCTTCCCTCTCGAACAACGGACGACTGATGGGCTTCTGATAGATCCCGCTAGCGGTGATCCTCTCCCTCGGCGCCCTCCCACCCTTCTCCGCCGGCGACGACACAAAAGGCGTCGCATACGCCTCGATCTTTGTTGCAGTGTTCTATTTCACGCTCTGGGGGGCCGGGTACAAGCTTTTCCAGATGGATTATGCGGGGGATGACAAGAAGTTGGATCTGGAGATGGAGGTGGATTTGGAGGGTGGCAGTGTGGGTACGGTAGGGGATAAGACTGACGAGATGCCGGAGGAGGGGATGGGGGATGCACGAGAGTCTGCGCCGGCGGCGGCGAGCGTGACGGCGCCCAGTGTCCGGTCAACAGCGATGTCAACGCAACGGAGCAGCTCGAAACGCAACAACACACCCACCGCCCGGCGAATCGTCCATCGGCTCGGTCGCGTGTACCACACCTACAGCTCCCTGTTCAACGTGCCGAACGTGACACTCTTACTGAGTCTGGTGATTGCGCTTGCGCCGCCGCTGAAATCGCTGTTTGTGAGGACGGACGGGGGTGAACCGCCGTTGGGGTTCTTGTTTCGGACACTGGATTTTTTGGCCGGTGGGACTGTCCCAATGGTGAGACCGGGGAATCCGGAGTGACCGCATCGTCGTTCCCCCCATTTTCGGGCCTGCTCATAACCTCCCTTCACCCCTTCCCTCGACGATACAGAGCCTAGTATCCCTCGGCGGCGGCCTAGCCCAACTCTCGTTCCGCCAAACCTCCCTCCCGAGCTGCCTCTCTCTCGTCACCTTCAAACTCCTCCTCCAACCCGTCTTCGGTCTCGGTCTCTCCCTGCTGCTCACCCACACTCTGCAGTGGGTGGACATGCACGACAAGATCTTCCGCTTCGTGCTGCTGTTCATGTCGTGCACGCCGACAGCCTCGACAACAATCTTACTGACGCAGTTCTATTCGCCGACGGGGGAGAGCGTAGAGATTGGGAGTACGTTGTTTGTGATGTATGTGGCGAGTTGTGTGACGATGACCGGGTTCATTGCGTTGTTTATTCATCTGGTTGGGTGAGAGGGTGAGAGGGACGGAGGGTTTCAGTCATAGGGACGAAGGGGCTTTCGTCGCCGTGATACGAACATGCATGGCTTTGGTTTTGGGGTTCTAGAACTAGTTTTGTAAATAGCATTTTAGACGCTTATAATCGACCCCCCCCCCCCCCCCTGAATAGGTCAACGAGGACCCGAATGCACCTGCATCGCTGCGTATCAGCAAACAGTTTCGCCCCGGGTGCAGGCGAGCAAAAGATGTTTCCGGTGTGCGGGCTCACCCAGACCATCGCATTCCATTCCGCGTCACCCTGCGAATGAAAGCTCCGAGTCTCCCGACTCCCAGCCACAACCTGAAGCGGTTCGGTTGACCCACACAGGCGGGTGCCAAAAGGACGCCACGATATCGGGAGTTCGCTCGTTCCGGAAAGCTACCTGCTTGGGGCGGACGGTCTTCAATGCCTCTCGTCTCGTCTGCTATCTATTACGCGTCCCCGACTGATGAGGTCGCCGAGGATGAACCCCCCGCTCGCGCTGTGAGCCCCCGGGAGCCGCCGGGTAAACCACAGCCCGCCCCCGCCTGGTGAGTTGGCAAGGCAAGGGTTGTTTTGGTTCCCCCCGTCCGCTCGTGTCCGCGGCGAGGAGGGCGTTCGCTCTGCACACTTGACCGGCCGGGAGCCCTCCGCTTCCGCTGCCGGGGGGGTGTGACACACGCGTCAAGTCTGCACCTCCCTTCTTACGCGTGCGGGGGGGGGAACAGAACAGAACAGAACAGGACACCCTGCTATGATAGCTGCGGGTATATATAAGAACAGCAACATGCCCAGTTTCGCTTGACATCCCACTCGCAGATTACCCCTCTACCCCCTCGTTTCAGACCCCCACCATGTCGTTCATCGCCACCACAGCCGTCGGTCTCCTCCTGGCCTTCCTCCTCCACCGCTTCCTCTCCCCGTCGTCCTCCTCCAAGGGCCCGACGGTCCCCGGCCCCGCCCCGCTGCCGTTCATCGGCAACTACCACCAGATCTACCCGTACATCAAGAGGCGGCAGGGGCGGCAGTTTTCGATGCGGATGTTTGGGCAGTATGGGAGGATCTATGGTGTGAGGTTCTTTGGGAATGCGGTGGTGGTTGTCGGGGATGCGGCGGTTGCGAAGAGGGTGTTGACGGATAAGGAGGGGTTTTATAGGGATAACATGGTGAGTATCGGAAGGGGAGCGACCAGCGAGTACATTCACTGGCGAGCGAAGCCCAGCCTCAGCAGGGTTGGGATCTTTGCGCGCGAGCGAGCAGGGGTGTCATTCATCCAACCGACGTCAAGCGAACATGAGTTTGCTCGTCCAACCACCTACCCGCTTCGCTTCACCCACCATAAGGGGAGAGACTCTAACCAACCCCTTGTCCCGCGTGAATCCACAGTTCCAAAAGATGCACAAGGGCATCGCGCACTACGCGCTCTTCACGCTCCCGTCGGGCGACGTGTGGCACAAGCACCGCAAGTTCATGCAGCCGTCGTTCGGCCCGACGCACATCCACAACACGGCGGTGATCGCCAACGCCATTGCCAACGCGCTGTCCGACACCTGGGCAGCGTACCCCGCGGGGCACGCGTTCAACGTCAACTACCATTTCGCGTGCCTGACGCTGGACGTGATCGGGCGGTTGGCGTTCTCGTACGAGTTCAAGATGGTGGAGACGCTCGCGGACCCCACGCACACGTCGTCGGCGTCGCTCCTGCACGTCTTTGAGGAGATCGTGACGACCATGTCTGCGCGGTACGGCGCGCCGGAGGTCACGTGGCCGGTCCTGGGGATCTCGACCCGGAACATCCAGGGGCAAGTGTCGCGGGTCCGGTCGATCATCCTCGATGTTGTGAAGCAAAAGACGAGTCTGATTCGGGATGGGCGGTATAGCCCGCGCGAGGGCGTGCCGCTGGATATGCTGGACCGGCTGATCCAGGCGACGACGGGGCAGGCGCGCGTGCAGTTCTCGACGGAGGAGATGGTGGATGAGGTGTATGCGATCTTTGGGGCGGGGTCGGAGACGACTCAGAACACGTTGACCTTTTGCGTGCTGACGCTCGCTCAACATCCGGAATGCCACGACAAGGTCGCTGAAGAGCTCGACGCTGTTCTCGGGGCTTCCGGTGAAGTCACGTACGAGTCCCTCGCGCGCCTCACGTACCTCTCCGCCTTTATCCGCGAAACCATGCGCCAGTATCCTGTGGCGGGGGCGGTCGCGCGCAAAGCGGCAAACGACGTTGAGATTCTGGGGTACCATATCCCGAAAGACACGCGGGTGATTGTCAATATCCGGTACATCCAGAACGATAGTCAGTACTGGAGTAAAGGGGATGCGGAGTTGTTTAGGCCTGAGCGGTGGTTGAATGATGAAGTGAATGCGGATTCGCCGTGCTTTTTGCCGTTCGGGGATGGGCCGATGAAGTAAGTTGTTGTTGTTGTTGTTGGGGACATTTGATATTGCCTTGTCCTGTGATGATACCGTCACGCTAACGTACTCCCCATATGTATCCCACCTCCAGCTGCATCGGGCAAAAGATCGCGCTAGCCGAACTCAGGACGGTGGTGGCGGTGCTCGCGCGGAAATGGAGGTTTGAACTGGTGGCGGGCCAAGAAGTGGAGCCTGTTGAGACGATCACGACGGGGTTGAAGGACGGGTTGTTTGTTCGAGTTACGCCGAGGGTCTAGTGTGAGAACAGCAGTGTGAAGTACAGACTCGACATAATGGCATGTGCGCTAATGTACGTACAGTACGTACGAATGGGCGACGCGTGAGTGAGTCATCCATCGCGTCATCCGCTCGCCCACCAGAGAGAGACTCGCCGCCCACCAGAAGGAGAAGGCGTGTCCGGCCTCCAACAAGTGGGAAAGGAAGTAGGGATAGTCATAAGAGAGTCTCTCCACGACCGCCCCCCGCCCCCCCCATCACACCCCACGCCAGCTATTCCCACAACCACCCACTCACAATGCCCTCCTCAGCTGCACTACAACCCTCCCAACCCGTCGCCCTCACCACAGAACAACTAACCGCATACCTCGCCCGTCTACGGCTCCCTCCCACCACATCCCTCCTCCTGCCGCCGGACTTGCCAACCCTCTCCCTCCTCCACAAAGCTCACTACTTCTCTATCCCTTTCGAGACCCTCTCCCTTCACTTTGACCCCCACGGCGGCGTTGAGACTGGAAGAGATCATACGCGCCCGCCTATATCTCCGAACCTAAACGATATCTATGATAAGATTGTGATAAGGAGGAGGGGAGGTTATTGTATTGAACATAATACTCTCTTTATTGCGGCATTGCGGAAACTGGGGTTTAACGTTAGGCCTGCACTCGCCAGGGCCGTGAGGGATGGGAAGTGGTAGGTATACAATACGGCGAGCGAAGCGAGCACCACATTGCGCCTTTGCAAAAGACTCCCCCTCACCCCCGCTCAACCTTCTCATCGCGAAACCAAACCCCCCCTGTTATTTAGGTTCGGCATCTCCCACTTCATCGGTCTCGTCCACATCCCCACCCCCACCGACCCAACACCCACCGGTCCCACCCCCTCATCCATCCACCTCATCGACGTCGGCTACGGCTACCGCGGCCCCGTCCTCCCGCTCCCGCTCTCCGGCCTCCCGCAATCCCACCCATCCCAGGGCACGAACCGCATCACACTCCACACCTCCACCACATCCTACCCCGGGTGTGAGGACGATGTGTTTGCGGCTCCCGGTGAGTGGGGCGTTCCTGATCTGTATGTGATGGAACATCGGGCGAACAAAAGTGGCGCAGAATGGACACAGCAATACGCCTTCTACACAACCCCCGTGACACGCACAGATATCGAAATGTCAAACTGGTACAGCTGCACGCACCCAGCGGCGGTGTGGGTGCGGGGATGTACTGTCAAGATGCATGATGAGCGGGAGGGGGCCACGGTGTTCTATGAGGGGGCCTTGAAGAGGTACGATGCTCGGGGGGAGGTTGTGGAGAGTAGGGAGGTTGCGAGAGCGGAGTGGAGGAAGCTTGTTGAGGGTGAGTTTGGGGTGCGGTTCTGAGCGGGGGGATATATGGATAGACCTTTCTCGCTTTTTGCGATAGAGACAGGGCGGCGTTACGTCGGGCGTATGATGGGACGGACAAACCGCCAATGGACTCTGGTTGTGTGGACACTTAGAATAGAGCCCCTTCCATCGTGTACTCATTCCCCATCCCCCATGTATGCGCCTCTCACGGACCCAAATACATATGTACACACTAAATCTACATACATCACGACGCGGATTGGGGGTGCATATATAGCGGACCCAGTGATGCGATATGCGGAGGGTTTCCCCTTCCGATGCACCCCCTCCTCCTCCTCACCCTCCCCTTCCTCCTCCGTCATCCACCCCTGCCGTCTCCCCGCCGTAACACCGCCGGCCCCTGGTGAACTCGCTGCGTGGTGAGACCCGGCGCCACCGGTATTCCTGCCCGCACGCGACGCGGGTGAGTTCAACCCCCCGGCGCCGACGAGACCGGGGATGCCCGTTTTTCGTCTCGCAAGCGCGAGATAATCGCCCGACAGCATCTCCCGTTTCTGCGGTGGCGGGTCGGCGGGGGTGCTCCCAGCGTCCGTCGCGTTTCCTCCGGTGGTAGCGACGGCGAGGTCGGCAAGCGCGAACGGGGATCTCGTAAACAGCGGTGACAAGGGCGTCGCTATCCAATCAACCGCTTCCACACCGCGCCCTTTCTACGGCCATCCGACGACCATCCGAATCGTTTTACGCCTCCCTGACGGAGGCCACGACATGCAGTAGACCAGTGCGCGGACGTCCTCGAAGGCCGGGTTGTTTCAGCTTTCCACGTCCTCTGCGACTTCAACAGCTTATATAGTCACGCATTGTCTCAGCATTACGCGTGAACTAGCCTCTCAGACGAGGGAGGTTTCGGGTTAGAGCAGTCCGAATAGAATGATCGATTGCCTTTGAGAGTAAGAAGCGTAGCATTAGCTACATGTCCTTGTATGCGTCGTTCTTGCTCTTCGGAAATGACAAGCCGTCGCCGGGGCGCGCTGTCAAAGAGCCCCCCGTCAACGGCAATCGCGTCTCATTCCCCAGCGCGGGTTCAAACCGTTCTTCCTTTTTTCCCGTTCCTGTTCCGGCGAGTGCGATCATCCCCCATCGATACACCGATAGAAGCACCCATCATATGTAGATTCTGGAGTTGCCTAAGAAGAGGGACGAGCGATAAAGCGAGTCGAGCGGCATCGATGCAGCAGGAGCGCACAAGACGCATCCATACAGTACTGTACCAGTACTGTACGTCCCCCGCCAATCTTCCGATTTGTGGCTTCTTGTGTATGAGATTCGCGCCACGTTTGGAACGTTTTCACGAGAATCAAAGGCCCCCACTGATGAGACCTCGAGAGTGCAGCATCAACTACGTACAGTATCCAACGAGCAATGGAGAATGGTTGTGGAGTCGTTCCGCTTTGTGAGGGAGATTCCATCGATGGAGTCACGTGCCTCCTCTGGCTGGATTTAATCCCTCGCGTGTGATCTCGGCTGGCGCGTGACGTATACAGACCTAGAGTCTAGAGTGAGACAGAATGCTGCCAACTGACCACGGAGAGAGGGGGGGGGGGGGGGGGGGGGGGAGGCGGAGGAGGAGGTGACCATGAGCGAGTGCTGCGGCTGTCCCGGCACAGCAAAAGCAACCCGTCGTGGATGGATTCGTAGGCGAGCGATGAAAAGATGGAAAAAGTCATGTCTGATGTGGGGTCGAAGCCCACCAAAGAGTAAACCCCAGAGCGGCCGTGCGCGCCAGTCTGTGCGTGTGTTCCGTGTACATTTCCCATACAGCTGGCTGGGTGTTCAGGGATTAGGCTTTTGATTTTGATGAAGATCTGAAATCGATGCAAACATCTACTGTAGATACAGTAATAGGGAAACGGCCGGAAACACTAACGATCGTCCGGAGCAAATCCGTCCGGCTGAGTCAGTGTGGGCCATGAGTTTGAGAGTGTTGTGGAAGGCTGGAAACCGTTGTGCGTCGGAGAAAGGAGGAGCGAGCGAGACGAAAAAGGAGGAGCAGCAAGAGTCATCGCAGGTGACAACCTCCTCACACATATAAAGCAGGCCTCTCCACGCGTGGCCTCTCCTCCCCCTCCCTCTCGTCTCCCACTCCTCACACTCCGAACCAAAACACACTCTTCGTCGTCGCTCGCCGTTCATCGATTCATTGCTGCTGGCTCCCGCTTGGCGTTGACTGACAGGTAAGACCGTGCACCTCAGAACTGAGTGCCCCCAATCCGTTTAGATACTCCACGCCACCAGTCGGGGTTTGAGCAGCGCCAGCAGCCCACGCCGCAAGCAAACCGTACGTCGGAGAGGAGGAAAACGGGCACCGGCGCCAAGGGTCCCTGTCACCAGGTCTCGGAAACCAGCGAATACGCAACAAGCTTAACCCTGTTTGTCGCCCCTGGCAACCCCGGTCTCTCCTCCGGTTTCTCCATCCCCTCCGCTTGCTTACAAACATCGGTATTCGGCCGCTGGCGTCACGGTCCCCCCTTCTCCGGCCTTTCTTTTTTTGATGTGGGAGACCATGTGGCCGCGCCTTTGGGTTGATGCTTCTGCCAAGCCGGATGGGACTCCGATCCTATAATCATGGCTCGCGCGATCTCTCATCCAATCTTTCCCACTTTCTCTCTCTTGTACGATTCTTCTCGAGAACAGATTTGAGGTCGCATACCATCTACCATCGCACACTCGGAATACCCGAAAGCAAGTGAGGTATGTGTACATCGCCGGTCCAACCCGTCAATGTGGTTTCCACCCATTTATCCTTCTTATGGACGCGTTCAGAACTCGAAACTTCCCACGGAACCAGAGTCAAGAAATACATCAGCAACGATGGACTCGACATCGACAAAGACGCCCTGGCAGGTCGCGCAGCCGTTCGTGACGGGCGGATTGGGCGGGATGATTGCCACGGCGGTGATTCAGCCCGTGGATATGATCAAAGTTAGGATGCAGTTGGCTGGCGAGGGTGTCAAGGTGAGGCACGGGGGGAGAAAGGGGGAGAGGATGCACAGCGGTGCAGTGTTTTCATAGAAGATCGTTTCTCTCGGAAATCAGCGGTTATGCTAAAACCCGCGCCCCCCCCCCCCCCCCCCCAGAACGTCAAAGCCCACCCCTTCCGCGTCGCCGGCGACATCATCCGCCAAGAATCCTTTCGCTCACTCTACAACGGCCTCTCCGCCGGCCTCCTCCGCCAAGCGACCTACACCACGGCCCGCATGGGCCTCTTCAACACCTTCCTCGCTAAAGCCCGCGAGTACAACGGCGCCAACCAACCCGTCACCTTCCTCCAACGCTCGCTCGCGGGACTCGCCGCCGGCGGCCTCGGGGCCATCGTCGGCACACCCGCGGACCTCGCGTTGGTGCGCATGCAGAGCGATGGGACGTTGCCGGTTGCGAAACGGAGCAATTACACGGGCGTGACGAACGCGTTGGTGCGTATCACCCGCGAAGAGGGCGTGCTTGCGTTGTGGAACGGCGCCGGCCCGACCGTCGCGCGCGCCATGGCGCTCAACCTCGGCATGCTGACGTCCTACTCGCACACCAAACACGAGCTGGACAGGATCATCGGGCCCGGCCCGGGGGCCAATTTCGGCGCGTCCGCTGTGGCGGGGTTCTTTGCGTCGGCGTTGTCGCTGCCGTTTGATTTCATCAAGACGAGGTTGCAGAAACAGAGGCCGGATGCTGAGGGGAGGTTGCCGTATAAGGGATCGATTGATTGTGCGATCAAGGTGGTGAAGAACGAGGGGCCGTGGGTGTTTTATAGGGTATGTCTGTCTGTTTTGGCCTCCGTCCCCTCCACGCACTGTTTCCAAATGATCAACTCACCATGATTTCCTTGTTTTTGTTTTCGTAGACCTTCCCGGTGTACTACCTCCGCATCGCCCCACACGCCATGCTCACCCTCCTCGTCGCCGACGGGCTCACGTCCATGGCGCAGACGTTCATGAACAACCAACCGACAACATCCTCTACACCCTCTTCGCCCGCGCGTCAAAAACTTGCTTGAACGAAAACATCAAAAATACTCCCCCTTTCGGAAAATCAATCCGCTAGCTCGTTTTCGAAAGACACCTTGTATTCTGTTCCAAACGTACCCCGCCCTCCCCCCTTTTTCAATGTGGTTTGCCCCTTTTGATTTTATTGTCCATTGTTCAGTGCTCGTTACCGCAACCACCACCACCATCTGTACAGGCCCCCCCTCCCCCCTACGCGGCTTCTCTTGAGCGGAACTCTGCCGTTTCATGCTCCTCAAAAGAGGATGAACACAACCCCACACCTCTTTCTATGATATCCTATCCCCCCTGACTATGGGGAGAAGAATGTGTACAATTACGGTTGCCTTTGGAACAAAGAGAATGTATGAAGTGAAGAGCAACGGATAGTGCACGACCGTTTCTCGTCGACGTGGATCGGGGCGGATGGGGAGTGCGGAGTCGAAAGACCATTCAGACCGGAAAATGGGCCTGCGACCACCCAACCAATGCGGTACCGTGTATGAGGACTTTCGTAGACCGGGAAATGAGCGAGCAGCCTACTGACTTGGAGCCCTTGCGTTCTCCGCTCTGCGTACAGTGCTCCGTTGACCTGCCCCCTTGCCCCTCTCGACGGCGAAAAAACACCACGCGCTACAGTAACTAGAACCGGCATCTCTCCTTTCTGCCGGAGCAACATGGTGGACCCGTACCCCCTTCGGTTCTCCTTTACGACAAGCCCCATGAGCCGCTTTGGCTTCGAAGCGCTTGCCTTTCTCCTTTGCTCTCCTCGCATTTTGGTCGTCCGTGGCCTCGCCTTTTCCCTCGTGACCCGCTCCTTCTTCTTCCGATAAGCGCGAAACGGTTGCCCACACCCACAAAGTTATACCCGCCAGCGGAACGCGTTTACGTACTGTCCGTACCTTATTTTGACGGTGTCTCGTTCGCCGTTAATTTCGCGTCGGACTAGGGCCTATTCTGCCGATCAGCAGTGGGACATCGCCAAGCCAGCTCGAGCTGGGGCACGAAACGCTACGGAAGAGGAAACGGAAGGAGCTCCGAACAGTTGGCGTTCCACGGTACCTTTTCGCCGTGGAAACGTTTCTCCATGTGTGTGTGGGGCATTAAGTCTGCAAAAACAACCAAAGGGCTTATAGTGATGTTGATACATCTCCGTTTTTGCTCTAAACATGCAGAAGGCGATGGGCACGAAAACGTCGACTAGATACAGTGCGTGAATGCTTTTGCAGCTGGACAAAGTACTGGTGTGTGTGTGTCTCATCAAACCTGATAAAGGTCAAAAACCATGGCCAAAAAGTCGAAAAGAGAAAGCGACGCGAGCAGGATTTGAACCTGCGCCCGCAGAGCGGAGTAGATTTCTAGTCTACCGCCTTAGACCACTCGGCCATCGCGTCCTGTTATTTTCGATGGCTTTACGCAAGACCCATTGTATCACTTGTCCTGAATTCGAAGGAATCCCTGGATTTCGAAAGTTCTGAAACGCCACGCGACTCCTTCGTTTGAACTGCAGAACCGGGCTCCAACGCGCCTTCCGAAGTCCGGGGTGTCGTTGACTGAGACTGACATCACCAGAAAGTCATGAAACGCAAGCCATCCCCGCCGTCAAACGCCACGTCCCCTTGCCTTCCAATTACCCCCATCAATCAGAGACTGATGATTCATCACTGCTCAATGTTACGGTACAATGCGAGGCGAGGCTCCAATTGAGAGCTACCTGCAAGCGTTGTCGAGAGCGTTGTACCATGTAGCCTCATATGGGAGCGCCGGGGAAGCCTCATCAAAATGCCATACCGCGAGCACAAGATGCTACTCTTTGTGAACGAGGTGAGAAGGCGGGCCGTGCATGAATAACGGGAGAAAGAGAGCCGGGGCCCACGACGACGGTTGGGGGTGGGGGCGGGGGGAAGAAGAATGCGATTGTGTTTGTGGGGATGAGGTCAAGTTTGAGCTTAATTCGAACTTGGGACCGATGAACTCGCCCAATACATCGAACGGGCTGCCCGTTACGGTTTCCTGCCTTGCCCGTCCTCGTTTCCACCATATTCATATTGCATATTGTTAGTGAGAGTTCGTACAGGCTGTGCTCCGACGGGTGCTGTTGTTGTTGTTCAAGTTGAGCCCGAGTGTTGTGGCTCCCTAAAAATAAAACGTGGCGCGTCCGTGGGAAAACCTACTTGAGAGAATCGAAGGCTCTTCCCTCCCCAACACAATTCCCGACTGTGGCGGAAAGCTGCAGCGTTTGGAAATCCTCTAATTTACAACCACCAACGTATAGTTTCCATAGTTCACCCAGCTACAACTGTTTGAGTAGACTTTTATCCCCCGTCTCCTCGCCTGTATTATCTCTTCCCTTCGATCGGCAGTTGCATCGGCCTTTGCACAGTCCTGGTCGTGGCTGAGCACCACCCTTCCGTCTGTCCTCGGGACGGCTGACGACTAGTCACAACTTTGTATCAGCGCCATAGCGAGCTATGCAACAGGGCGAACGGTCTGGTCTTGGGACAAACACAGGGCGAATAATGGACGGCTCAAGGTAAGCCATGCTCAGCCATATCTTTTTTTTTCGGGTGGGAACAATGCACGCGTGGGAAAATCGTGCATGCGTTATGTGAGAGGGCCCGTATGGGGGAGCACAGCGCTCTCCCTTGCCCTTGTTGGTTGCCCTTTTTGGGTTGCTCTGCCGCGACAAGTGTATCATTCTCAACTTCTTTCCATTGGCGCCTCAGGTCATTGCTAGATACCTCGAATAACGTGAATAGAATGGGCGATAGTATATTCTCTAGTAAACAAATGGGTAGCACCGGCTATTACATCGAGTCGCTGCGGGATGCGAGCAGCAACGACAAGGAAGATATGAATATGGGTACAGAACAGCAAGGCGGTAACTTATCGATTCCGGGTGGTAGGGCGCCAGGCGCATATGGACGACCACGCGCGGAAACCTTCTCGTTCTTTCCATCGAAAATGGTCTCGGACCCAGCACAGATGTCGACACCAAGCCGAACTGCGAAAAGCGCTGCGCCGATGAGCATACGAAACAGGTCGGGATCCCTATCTCTTCCGAGATCTAACATCTCAGGCGCGTTTGGACCATCTCTGTTCGCTACATCTTGGCAGCCGGCCAGTATCCTCGCCACTTTGGGAGAGCGTACATTGGTCGGGCACTCTGACTATGCTAGCAGTGCGGGCGGAGAAGACGAGACAACGGCAGTTGCGCGAACCTTAGATTACCTTGGATTGGACGACCCAGTCTTGGATGGATCAAGGAACGGCTACGTTGGTCGTGACATCGGAAACACTGTCTCATCTTTCAACCGAGCAAGGTCCTACTCCGTGGCCGTCGGCGAGAAGATGCTTTTGCCTTCGGCTATGGCGGCGGCTTCATCCGGTTATCGGCCAAGGGCCACGTCTATCGCATTCATGGAGACGACGGTCGATAGCGATATCGAGGCCATCAGGCGCAGTCTTGCGCGTGGCGACCTGGAACTGGAGATGGAAAGCCCGGCTTCTGATCTGAATGTGGATGGGGCGCTGGTAAACAATCATCCGTCTCCTCAGATCACGTTCGCGAATGCGCTCTCTGACCATTAAATATCCCACTTTTCCTTAGTACAACATCGGACATAGCCCCCAAGATTATGCACCTTACGGCATCGACAGGGCTCTGAGCGAATCGCCTCTTCGTCAAAACGTCGATCTCCCTCACGCTCACCAAGTCCCAACCCGCTCCCTCTGGATAGGCAATATCGACCCCACCCTTTCCCCATCCGACCTGTTGACATTGTTCTCTCCATTCGGGCCCATCGAGTCACTTCGTATTCTACCTGACAAAGAGTGCGCTTTCGTCAACTACGTGCGCATGGAAGACGCGGTCGCTGCAAGGGATGAGATGCAAGGCGGACGTGTTGGCAACTGTGTTGTTCGTATTGGATATGGCAAGGCGGAAGCGATTAATGACACGCAGGGGATGCAGCCGACAAAATCTTTGTGTATGTGTGCATTTTGGCTCCGGGTATCGATGGTCCTTTTACTCATCCTTATGGTTTCTTACATAGGGGTCGGCAATATCGCTCCGTCTATGGATCCAGCTGAGCTTGAGGCGATGTTTGCTGTCTTTGGTCCCGTCGAGTCTGCCCGCGTCCTGGTGAGTAGAGTCTTCGCATTCGGCCCTCTCTTTGGCAGCAAATACTGAACGTCGAGTCAATTCACTACAGACACACAAGAACTGTGGGTTCGTAAACTTCGTCCGACTCGAAGACGCCATGGAAGCACGCCGCCGTATGAACGGAAACGATGTCGGAGGCGCCGTTATCAAGATCGGCTACGCCAAGGTTCCGCCCAAAGGCTCCGAGCCACTCGGTTTCGGTCCATCAAGCGCAACCCATATTTTCCACGGCACATCCCCCACCCGCGACCGACCCAACTCGTCCGCTGGCAGGATGCCCTCCTACCAACCAGCGCCCGGTTATGTGCTTGGAACGACGCTCCAGCAGAACTACGCATCCAACCGCAACTCAACGGGTAACCATTCGGTGTCGTCTGCGCAAGGGTATCCGCATGATGTGCGGCACAGTTCCACGTCACCGCTTTCGGGACGGTTTAGCACGGCTGGGCAGAATGGGAATGGGGCTTATTTGAAGGATTCTTCTGTCACTTTGGGGTCGAGGTCGCCGGTTAGGAAGAACTCGGTGGGCGGGGAGGAAGCCTTGGATAGTCTGTGGAAGGATGTTGCGAGTTCAGGTAAGGGTGACTTGTTGCGAACGGCTTCTGATCATTGCGTTCCACGGTTTTCTGATATCGATCTTTTCAACCTTTGCAGAGACATATGCGCAAGCGATACCACCTGTCCCGGAACCGAAAGCTAACCGACGGGTCGATCAGATGCGTTTGCGCGAACTGCGGAAACGATTGGAGGGACATCCGAGTGTCAAGGATGTTGAGTCTTACTTCAATGAGGTTGTGGATGATACCGTGGACCTCTGTACAGGTACGTGCGTGCTTGTGCTTATCAACATCAATGAATGAGTGATGACTAACGTGTAGGATTGCAGACTACATCGGAAACGTGGTGATCCAGAAGCTCATCGAAAAAACCTCCGACGCACACCGCCTCCGTCTCATCGAAGCCATCGCGCCACATATGCCCGCAATCGGGATCCACAAGAACGGCACCTGGGTGGTCCAAAAGATCATCGACTACGCCAAAACCGGCGCTCAAATCGAAGCCATCGTCAACGCGCTCAAAGCGTTTACGCCACCATTACTCCTCGACCAATTTGGAAACTACGTCGTTCAGTGCTGTTTACCGCTCGGAACCTTGCGAAACCAGTTTGTCTTCAACGCCATGCATGCCAAGTGTATTGAGATTGGGCAGGGCCGCTTTGGAGCCCGTGCTATGAGGGCGTGTCTGGAGAGTCAGTTTACGACGAAACGGCAGCAGAAGTTTGTCGCAGAGGCGATTGTGCATAATGTCATTCAGCTCGTGACGAACCCGAATGGGGCGATTCTCGTCACGTGGTTGTTGGATGCTAGCGGGTTGCCGGGGAGGTACTCGGCTATGGCGCCGAAGCTCGCTATGCATATTATTGCCCTGTGTACGCACAAACTGGCTAGTGCTACGATCTTGAAGCTTGGTGAGTGAGGGAGAGGGTTTACTGATGGAGTAACTTCACCTAGCTATATACTGATCTGTTGATGTGAACTACCTCATAGTTACTCAACGAGTCGAACCGGAAGCCCGCGAGCACGTAGTGCAAGAAATCTTCTACCGCGAAGACCCCGGTAGCCCACACCCTTCAAACCTGCAACAGATCCTCTCCGACCAAATCCACGGCGTATCGGTGATCCAGAAAATCCTCGCTTCCGGCTGCACTTCCGCCGACGAGAAGACACGCTTCGCCGACTGCGTGCGAAACGTGCTTGCGACCATGCCGGAGGTGCGCGAGAGTCAGATGGGCTACAAGCGGCTGCTTGATGAGCTGATGGTCATTCCGTCCAACCTTCCTCCGGATGCCGGTGTGGCTGCGAACCTTGGGCGGGCTGCGGGTGGTGCCGCTGGTTACAGCGTGAAGACGTACAACGTGTCTCGACCCCAGGACGATGAAGTCGTGAGTCCCCTTGTACCACAGACGGGCGGAGGCGGATATCCGTTCGGACAAGTCGCGCCTTCAGCGTCCACCGCTACTTCCAGCAATGGGCACGGTCACCACCAACAACACCACCATCACCACCCTGCCCCCTCGACGCCCTCCCACGGCTGGTACTCCAGCCCGTCCCAACTGCCCACACCCAGCAACTCCCCCCAACCCGGGATGTACGGCATGCCCCTTTCGCCCTACGGCAACATCTACGGCGGCGGACCCTTCCAACAACCCTTCGGCGGCGGACCAGCTTACATGAATAGCTACCCACCCAGCCCCGCCCACCCCTCCACCCACCAACAACATTTCGGGATCATACCCCACCCCATGCAGATGAACGGCGAGATGCCCCCGCCGCCACCCTCCCAGCCCAGGTTCTATTCCTCCCCATCGCAACACCAACACCAACAACATCAAACGCATCCAGGGTCGCCAGCCCCTGCGGACTTGTCCGCTGGCGATTCGGAGCATTTGGACATGTGAACATCGAAGAAAATTGGTGGCGAACAAAGGGACACCGTCCGTGTGTGTACACTCCCCGAACGCCTCCCCTCCATATCTATCAACCACGCCCTCTCGATTACGTTTTGCTCTCCCCCATCATCTCCGTGGGCCATTTTTGTTATGTATTGTCTGTCTGTTACTGCTATGCACCCCCCGGTCTTTTTAGTTTAGGTTTTTAGCGCTCATCTCTCGCTCCATATGTATTTGGGATAGTCAGGCTAGAGAAGGGAAATAGGGGGGTGGGGAGTGCATGTTTTCCCCCTCTTTTCCCTGCACACATCCACCCAATTCATTTATTTTTTGTTTTGAAGAGATATCATCATACAGTATGCATTATACCTTGCGGCAGTGTGTACATGTGAGTTTTGGTGGTTGTTCGGTTTTCAATGAAATGAGCTATCTTTGATCGAAATGAGAACCTCCCGGGAGGGGAGATTGGTGCAAAGATCATATGCCTGCGTGTATCAGTACTTGGTTGGCAGCCTGCGGTAGCCTGTTGTGTGTTATAGGACAAGGGTACCTCTGCATCACAAACAAAAACATGTAGGTCCCACCGCAATCGAGTGCCAAATCGGGTGCCTAAATATGTGTTCATTGATAAGTTCACGAACACTGGTTGGTGGGAGGAGGAGCTCCTCTGGCACGATGGGGGTGGCCAATTGGAAATCTATTCAAGTAGGGGGCCGAGAACGGAGCCGAGAAGGTTGCGACCATGGCCCGTGCCAGCAACAACTTTGATCACGTCCGCTGCACATCGCTGCCACATGGCTTTCAAACCCTAAGCGATCTGAAGGAACAGCTCCCTGAGCTTAGCTAGGAAGTTTAGCGCCGACGTTCGCAAACTAGTATGAACGAATGCATGTGCCGTATACGTACGTACCTAGGATTGGCGCAACATAGAGAGAATCAGCTTTCACATGTACTGTGCATATATGCATTTCTAACACGTCCGGAAAAACTAATGCTCAGATGAAAGACAGGCGAAAACGCGAAACTGACGCGTCGCCTTTTTGCAACTGTTGGGAAGAGTCCGTCCAGAAGCATTTTACTTCTTGGTTGCGCGTTTTCTGGGAAGGGCAAAATAGATATATATTGCCTGCATTCGATGTGCATTCCGTTATTCCGATGAATGCCGGTTATCGAAGTACAACGGTGCCAGATATTTTGGAAGCAGCAAAGCGAGGAAGTGCTTGGGGTTCTCCTCCTTTCACCTTGTCGATCGCAATGGGGGCTTTGCTTCGCCAAGGCCGTTTGTCTTGATCATGTTCCCTCATCTCGGACTCGTCCTGGGACAGGGCAGAGGCTCCTGTCCTCTCTCCCTCCACATGCTTCGAAGTTAAATGGATGCAGGCGCTTTTGCAAAGTATCAGACACCTATCTTTAGAACCTTTCCAGAAACGCGAAACATACGCGTGCGGTATTTTGCCGTATGTTGAGGTTTCTTGGCGTCCATTCTTTTTCCTGAACTTCCAGCAAACCTTCATTCCCTCTTCTACACTGAACAAACGCTCACAGACATCCTGGACGAGAGACGGACAGGTAAAGGTGGGAACACGAAACCGACGCCTGCGCTTTTCCTGGACTCCTTGTATCACGAGTTGTCCAAACGGTCAGCACCGCGCTGTGTCCTTCCAAAGTGTTCCAGGCGCTACTCCAAGTCGGCTTTCTGGGGACATGAGTATGGGTTATAGGAAGAAATGCAGCGTGTATCCCCTTTTCGTTGGCACGAGCGATATCATCCACCCATAAGGCGAAACCAGCGCGTGCGCCGTTTCCTCTACGCCTGAACTTTTCATCCCACTCACGCGTTGTCGGAACTTTCCACTATTTGTCCTGCATCATATACATCATATACATCATCTACATCATCATACATCATTTGCATCATATACAGTACACAAGCAGTTGTGTCCGGTAAAACACATGAAGCAAAATACTCGAATATATTAGATTCATGTGCGCTGACCCAAAACGCGAAACTGACGCCGGCCTCTAGCCGAATCACGCGTGTTTTTAGCTTAACGCCGTTGTCCGAATATTCCAGTTCCTCTCTCCTTACTCCACATCCTCGTCATTATGCAGGTCGAACCGTGGGAGGGCAGGCCCACCAGTGCACTATCCGTCTTTTTGACCTCAAGTGACGGTACAAAAAAAAACCGGGAAACTGAACGCGTCTGCATTTCTCGCGTTTAACTTTCTCTTGCTCCTCCTAATTCCGTACATGTACACACTTACTGGGCAAGAAGGTGGGACTGGCATTTGCGTCTCTTTTTTCTTTCTGGGACACAAAGCTCACCTGTGCAAAACGTGAACGTAACGCGTCGACCTCTTGCAAAATCACCCCGCCCTGGCCGGAAATCTCGTCATTTTTTCTAGAGTCGATGCGGCGCCGTGGTTATTGATATACGGACGGAGGGGAGAGGTCAAACCTCCATCTGTGCGTTCTCTTTTTCAATTATCTGTGACCAAGACGCGAAACTGAGCATTTCGTCAGGGCCTAGGAGACTTGTTTGTTTCGAGCTGCGCGTTGTCCGAACGCCCAGGTCCTCGCTTCTTATTCTGGACACTCCTTCATGGATTGATCGCTCGGAGGTGGGAACAGAGTATTCGTACCTGTTTTGCTGGGACACGAGCGGTGGGAAAGATGAAAGATGAAACTAACGCGTTTCAACTTCTTCACATGCCTCTGGAGCAACGGGTGAAGCGCACCACGAGCGTCTATTCCCTGATCAGAAAGCATCCATCTTTGGGAAAACTTCTCATGGAGAATACCCTTGAACGAAGTTGGAACTTGGGCCGTGCACAAAACGCGAAGCTGATGCGTGTGTGCTTAAGCCCCAAGGCTGTTTTTCTTGACGTTAGACTAATCATACCGTTTGGGGAAGGGTGCGATGGGAGGGAAATCTTGCATATGTCGCTGACCGAAGAGGACGAAGTACTATCTGGAGTTGCAGCGAAAACTGACGCGTGCTGACATAACTTGATGTGTTTGCGTCGACGCGTTGTCCGAAAGTAACAACCATCCACGGCCCTTTCTATTTCGCGGCGTTCCAACAGCCGTGTTTTACTGAAATGCACTATCAGAGGTATATACTTGTTTTGTGGTCTATTCAGAGGTCTATGCCGAGAGCTGAGCACCACTCTGCCCCCTTTTCGTGTTCTGGGCGCTAGATGAGCCTTATGGGAGTGAGGAGTGAGGCAGGAGGTACCTTTTCATAATGCAGATGTGGAAACGGCAAGCCCGACCTGGGCTCATCGTTTTTCTCAACTCGTACATCACCCGAGCATCACCGGCAAAGAATGGGGAACACCATTCCGTACCTTGTTTGCTGGGCACGATCAAAAGTTCTTATTGTTAAAGGTGATCTCAGGCGTGGGTGAAAAGTCTGATCTCATCTTTGACGAGGTGTGCGAACTCGCACAGGTAATGATACTGCTTCCATCTTCAATAACCCTTCCATCTTCAAAGCAAAGACCGGGACCTTCAGTCTGACCGCTGGTCCGACCTCAAAGGCGTCAAGCAAAGGCGTCAAGCGAACAATGCAAAGGTCCTGGAGGATGGTGGGTGTATGTGACACGCCAAGGACAGGCATCCCAGATCAGCAGGCGCATGTGCAGAGAAAGGATGTATACACCGTTCTCAGACCTCACATCTAAGCTTTGAAAGCTCAAGTTTAGACGCCAGAAGACACCATGATACGTAGGTACCGCAAGTAATAATGATCGCAAACGGACCGCCACCAAGGTAGCAGCACCATGTATCTATGTAGCATAGAGACATGGTGCTGCTACCTAAGCAAGACACAGACGCCGCAAAGAGAACGGAGAAGACGCAGCACGTCCGCGCAGACTATATGCCGCCATGGAGGTTCAGACCCCGAGGTTGATAGCAGAGCCGCGGGGGGGGGGGGGGGGGGGGAGGGGGGGGGGGGGGGGTAGAGGAGTGCTCATAGGCGGCGCGTATGACGAAGTGAAGGGCAGATTACACCTTGGTCACGTCGTCCCAGGTGACTCGCCCGGAGCCTGGTGCACCCAAATCCGCCACAATCCTCTTCGACCGGAAGCCGCCGTCTTGGTCGATCATCATGAACATCCCGTCCTCGCCGGTGGTGAGGGCGCCGAAGACTCTCCGGTTGGGGCGTCCAGCATCCCGACGAGCGGGTGGGTGCGCCAAGCAATAGTCAAACCGAGTGCGGGCTGTACTGTAGGGTGTGGTAGACGAGGGCTTCTAAGCTTCCACTCGCTGCCACTCGCTGCCACGAAGGACCAGAGACGGAAATACATAGCTCCGCCAGGCTGTAATATGTATGCTCGGTAACGTCGGTAACAAAAGACCCTTCGTTAATTATTACCCGGCATCCGGGCCGCATACCCCCTTTCCCTGTAAATCGTTGCTACGCATAATGGCAGGAGAGCGCCTATGCACAATCCCACATCGGGGCTTGCCCCTGGCTTGCCCCTGGCTTGCCCCTGGCTTGCCCCTTCTCACCGACGTTTTGCTATTTGCAAATTCACACCCAAAATGCCGCATGACTGACATCCCTTTACATGAGGAGATGTGTAATGAAGAGTATACAGTTCGCGTCTGCCGTTCCGGTGTGCAGATTTGAGCGGAAAATGATGGTGAGAAGGAGAGTGCACACCGCCGCAATGCGTCCTGAGACTGACGTTCGAGATGGAGGCAGAGAGGCTGTTCAGGGTCTGCGTTGCCCACGGTGAGATGAGTCGAGTGGAGGATGAGATAAGAGCGCGCCAGTCGTCCTGATGACCTTTTTGATTGAGACCTAACTCTACGTGCTCTACATACACCGCCTCGAGCAACGACTGGACTGTAAATGCTACATACGCCGCTAAAGAGTTAAGCCTCCCCAAGCTACCGCTACTGCTACGTTTCTGATATGCACATCAACACGTAAGATGCAACTTATTCATGGGTGAAGTTGGCCTTGCGCTTGCCAGCGAACGCCGCCATGCCTTCCTTTTGGTCTTTCTGTTAAACGCGTGGGATGAGAAGCATGCAGAGTTGGGTATTAGTGACCGGGTTAGAGGGTTGAAATGGAAAGCAATGAGAAGCGACGAAAACGCACCGTGGCAAACAGGGCGTGGAACATGCGACGCTCGAAGAGGAGTCCTTGGGCCAGGGGAACCTCGAAAGCTGCGTGATATGGAAGAACCAAAAATGTTACTTGGAGGATACCAGAACAGACTGCGATGCAGAAAGACTTACAGGAGTCGATACACTCAACAGCAGCCAACACACTCGGCAACGAATACCCCGCAATCGTCTCCGCATTCTTGATCGCAGACTCCAACAGCTGTTCAGCGGGGTACACTTTCGCGACCAGGCCAGCAGACTCGGCCTCGGCGGCGGACATCATGTCGCCGGTGAGACACATGTGCATGGCTTTGGCCTTGCCGACCGCTTGCGTGAAGCGTTGGGTGCCGCCGGCGCCGGGAATCACGCCGAGCTTGATCTCGGGTTGCCCGAATTTGGCTTTGTCGCCGGCGTAGATGATGTCGCACTGTTGTGTGGGGGAAGGAGGATATTAGGGAGGGCGGGGAACCTTTGGGATAGCCGCAAAAAGGCTTACCATCATTGCGAGCTCACAACCTCCTCCGAGCTATATGTAGGGGTTTCACAAACGTTGGCGTCAGCTCTTCCATCACAATCTACCCCACATAGTTCCCCAACATCAGAAAACGTACAGCAAACCCGTTAACAGCAGCAATAATCGGCTTTCGAATCTTCGTCACACCCGTCCAGTCCTCGATGAAATTATTCTTGAAGTTGTCCACAAAGTTCAGCCTGCTCATCTCCTTGATATCCGCACCCGCTTGAAAAAAGGCAAATTCATATTCAATCCTCCACTCCCACCCATGCAACAAGGTCTCCTCAAACCCCCACACGCAAAGAAAACCAACCAGCAAAACTCTTCTCGCTTCCTGTGATCACCATAGCGCCAATGTTGGCATCAGCATCATACGCTTTCAACGCAGCATTCAGCTCCGTCATCAGCGGCGTGCAGAGCGCGTTGAGGGCTTTGGGGCGGTTGAGGGTGACGATGGCGACGCGGCCTCTGGTCTCTGTTTTGATGTGCTCGTATGAGTCTGTTGGGGGAGGTGGAAGGGATGATGAGTGAGATGACTGGGGAAGGGATGGTTTTGGCCGGTGACACCTACTCAGAGAACGGGAGGAGGCGGAGAATGCCCTCCGCTGGGCTACGGCGGAGCGGAGGGGCCTGGCGTACATGCAGCGTGCGGCGGAGAACATGGTTGTGGTGGTGAGGAGTGTGGTGCTGTGAATGCGTGAGAAAATCGAGGGTTGCCGATGGGCCTTGGAAGTCCTGCGAACGTTCCCGATGTTGGGAAGTCACGCTGGCCTTCCTTCCCGCTTCAACGCGCACGCGTTCGTGTTCTTTCTGCCCCAAAAGGCGAGGAACACTCCGCCCACACGAGCGCTTGTGAGTTTTGAACGTTCTTCCATCACACACACGAGCGGGTGATGGAGTTATGTGGTGGGGTGGACAGTGGGCAAAAAGTTGCTCTGGGGATGTCGTTGATGATACGGGTCGCTCGCAAAGGGAGAATCAAAAAATTGGATCCAGTTGTGCGCATTATACTAATAAACAACTTTCAAAATAAACAGCTGGAATACAACAAGACGCGATGGCCGAGTGGTCTAAGGCGGTAGACTAGAAATCTACTCCGCTCTGCGGGCGCAGGTTCAAATCCTGCTCGCGTCGCTCTCTCTTTTCGACTTTTCGCCCATCATTTTCGTCTTTCTCCTCTTGACCTTGTGACGTTATGTGAAAGCCGAAGCCTTTTAGTTTCTTTTTTCCCTAAGAACTCACTGCTGGGCCACAGCAAAACGCTACCCGGAACTATACAGTGGAGGCATAAACATCGGTTTACAACACCCTTGACCATTTTCTGAGGTGTATGGAGCGCCTTCTGCCCTGTCTCTTCATGCTGGCTTTGAGAGTTATCGACATTCCCCTTTTGCAAAGTCGCCCGCGCGAAAGAGCTAACTATCGTTTGTGCACTATTTTTATGACTCGGCCATACGCTGTCTCTTTACGAAATTTGAAGTATAGGCTGGGCTGGCTATGGCCCCTCGTCTGTCACATCTACTCGCTGGCCTTCACCTTTGCCGCAGCCCTTTTGAGCAAGCGATTAGCCTGCCTAAACTCCCTCGCCCTATCCGAACTCGACGCAAAGTTGATCGTCCAACCCATAGACTTTATGCGTTTCGGGACCAGCCACCTCGGGTCGTCCTTGCAGTGATAAAACACGCCGTAACTCCAATTCTCGTCATCAGCCCAGTAGCTGTCGAGGAGTGCTTGGTCGGCTTGGAGTTTTTGGTGGATATCGGTCGGGGAGAGGGATGCAATGAAGGTGTCGGTGTCCTTGACGAGATCGTCTCGTTCGTGAGGGGTTAGTTCGGCGAGACCGGCGTTTGCGCTGTCGGTAGCAGGGGGGATGTTTGCGGGAGCCATCTTTGTGGAATGTGGGATTCGATATGCGTTGTTATTCCGTTGAGCGACGAAGTGTATGCAGGGTCGGATGCAGCAAACTCAGGTTTGGAGGGGAATTGAGCGATGGGAGGGAATCAAAGACACGGCGACGATATACTGTATATCACATCTTCTGAGCAGCAGCCTCCGAGAGAAGGAGAGGAATGATTTGGTTGCGACGAGCGACGTGGAGGTCAACGGGGCGAGCTGACGCGTGACATCCAAAAGAGCCAAGAGGACAGTGAGCCAGCAGTCACGGGACTTTCGATAATGCTCCACGTGACTCCTGGCGCATTTTGGCTTCAAGATCTTTTTGTTCATCCAACGTTCTTCCCTGCATCTCGTACCCAGCAATTGAACCAAACATGGCGGCGACGAAGACTCTCGCCAAGCGCACGCCAAAGGCAAGGACTACCGGTGCAGCAGCCGCTAAGGTTACAGCCGCTACCTCCTCGGCGAAATCACCAGCCAAGGCGACAAAAAGGACTAAGTCCGTCGCCGTGCAGGAAGTCGAGGTTTCGGACGAGGAGTCTGACGAGGCCGAAGATTTGGGGGAGGAAGAAGGCGACGAGCTGGATACGGATGGGAGAGACGGAGGCGAGGAGGAGGAGCATATTGCCTCTGATTCGGACGGTGAGGAGGAGGAGGAGGATGTTGTTGAGGGTGACGATGTAGGCCCCGACGACGACGATACATTACCACGGGCCCGCAAAGGTAACTGTCCCTTCCACCTCAAACCATCCCATCCCCATACTCTTGTCTTCCCCTCCCAAAACTTCAAACCCACGGTGGTCGGGCTTGATGAGGTGTCCCGTTCGCGGTGACTCTCGACAAGGCCGACCAAAGTTTTTCGCTCTGGGCTCCCCTCGGGGAGCAATGCGTTGCGTAAATGGTTAAACGTGGAACAACAAAAGTCAGTGAGCGCCTGGTTTATTGCGCGCCTCCTCTTTCTGCTGATCGCAGGCTTGGAGGCGTGTTGCTTGACGATCGTACATCTTTTCCGCCTATCCCAAATCTTTGCTCTTTTGACGTGAAAGGAAGTTATCGGTATGATTGCTCATCACACTCTCCTTTTGTGCCTTGCTTTCGAAAGTTGAATTGCTCGATGAGCCGGACCTATCGCCTGCGGTCCGGGCATTAGTGCAAAAGGATGTGAATGAGCTAGGGACGCTGATCAAAGACTTTAAGGATAAGCTTGTGGAGCTGCGTATGCGATTGGCGACTACTGTCGAAAGGTGCGTAGACCCTATCATGCACTCTACCGCTTATTTGCGCGCATCAGAAGCTCATATATCGTTTTCCACCACCCACAAAAGTGCACATGCAGGAGACATCCGAACGCATAACGGCGTCAGCTTACTGGAAATCAAAGTTCACTCTATGCTCAGCTACCTCACCAACCTCGCCTTCTACCTCCTTCTCAAGCTGCACGGCCGGCCCGTCTCCGGCCACCCCGTCATCGACGAACTAGTCGAGCTCCGCATCGTCATGGAAAAGATCAAGCCTCTCGAACAAAAACTCAAATACCAGATCGACAAACTCGTCAAGGCCGCATCAATGCAGGACGACAACAAGGAAGCCAAAGATGCCGACGGCAAAAGCCTCGCCGCCGCCGTCACCGACCCCCTTAACTTCAAGCCCAACCCGAGCGCCATGCTCTCCGCCGGCGTAGAGCACGACACAGCCGATAGGGACGCCGACACCACAGGTGGAGTCTACCGCCCCCCCAAACTCGCACCCATGCCCTACGACGACTCCCAGCGCACCAAGACCGGCCGTCTTACCCAACAGGCGAAGGAGAAAGCATCCCGATCGCGTCTCCTCCGCGACCTGAGATCGCAGTATGATGACCGGCCGGAGGAGCAAACCGCCCAGGGGACCGGGTACGGCGCCAGCGAAGTCGGCGCTAGCAAAGAGGATGAGAAGTGGGCCGAACGTGAACGGTTTGAGGAGGAGAACTTTGTGCGTTTGAATTTGACGAGGGAGGATAAGAAGCTGCAGAAGGCGATCGAGACGCAGGGGGCACGGTTACGGTTTAACGACGAGTTCCAGGTAAATTACCTTCCCCCCAATCTGTCCCCATTTCATTTCATGTCTGACGAATTACCTCTCCCCCCTCCCACCAGGCCCTAGAAGAAGACTTCGCCTCCCTCCGCTCCGTCCACCGCGCCGTCGAAGAATCCGACACCCTAACCCACGGCACGGGCCACCTCGCCCGTAAATCCCAACGCGCCGCCGACCTCTCCACGCGGGGCACCCAGCTCTCGGAAAATGGAAAGAAACGCAAGTATGGAGACGCGGCGGAGTTGTTGGCTGCTGCGAGCAATGTGAAACGCACACGAGAGGCGGGGGGCGTGGGAGGGGAGTTTGGGGAGGAGGTCAGGAAGAGGAAACGGGCGTTGGGGAGGATTGGGAAGAGGGGGAAGGGGGGAAAGAAGTAGGGAGGGGAGACAGATCGACATACCAACACAAATTTTGTAATTTATTCGCATTCATACACATTTCATGTCATTCACGGGCCATTGCATTCTCTTACATCCACCGCGCGAGGGTGTCGCCCGTCCCCTGTTCTCAATTGCGGACCATTCGTAAAGGCATGGATGTCGCATCATCATGATGCATGCCTATTCGTTGGTTTGACACGCTGACGTTTTCGTCCGACATGAGCGGAGTTAGAGCAGCCCGTCTTCTTTACACATGTTTTCAAAAGTCAAGACAAAGATGACTTCATTTCCCAACCTGTGGTGGTACTTCCGTTACGTACCATTCCAGACACACAAAGCCTTTTGCGGAGACTTCGCATTCGACTTTCTGATGATTCCGGCATGAGAAGAGCCGGCATTGAAAGAGCTCCTTTTAATGTGGTACATGCTGACTTTTAGCTCAAGGGACTTTTGCCTACCATTAGAAAGAACGAATGACGCACTATGCTGGGTATTGCAAAGCAAAAAGGAAGCGGGGCTTTCAACATACGCCTCCCGTAAACCATGCAAGCTGCGGAGTACATAGCAGACAAAGAAGAAGACTATGCTCCCGTAGTAATCTGAAACCCCATACCCGCCAATTTGCTCGTCACGACGGTCAACACCGCTTCAAATGTGTCAGCCCCGCCATTACAAGACCCGTACTCGAGATGCTGGCTAAGCCCACTGAGCGTCTTGAACGATGCTGATGGGCCAGTTCAGCCGTTGACGCGCGGATGGATTTATCGGGGCATTTGTAGATTGGGGCGTCGTGCACGGGAGAGTTCAGATGGTCGGCCAGCGCCTGGGCGGAGGTGAATTGACCGCGGGTGGAAGGGCATTTGGGGCAGATGTGGCGGTGGAGTTCGATGATTTCGTCTTCGTTGTCGGCAGTCTCCGCCGGCAAAGACGCAACGCGGGGCGGGTGGACCGCTAGAAGTATTGTCTCGTGGGTGATCATCCTTTGGGTGTCGGCGGCCATCACGAATTTTCTGATGCGCTCCCGGTCGACGCCCATCCGGCTAGCGCACCACCCGTTGCTTTCGAGATGCATGATCAGGCCTGATGGACCGCCCGGAAAACCTTTGTGGCAGCGTGGGCATTGGAGGGAGGGTGTTAGCGGTCTGTGGCGGGGGGAGCTGCAGTGTTGGATGAAGGCGGTGGAGTCTAGAAATTGCTGGTTGCAGATCGGGCACCGGAAGATGGAATGGGCTGGAGAATCTTGGTTGTGCTGCTGACGGGCGCGCTGGGAGGGGAAGGTTTTGCAGCAGAGGACGCAGCCCAAGCCGCCTACACGGGATGGCATAGTGTGGGTCAAAGATCGGAAGGGGTGAGCGAGTTCGCCAGTTGACGGGGACTATCTTCAGACGAACCGAAGCGGGCCTCCCCTGCCCTTTATACCTGTCACCACAACTTTCGAAAACCTCACGCATCTCCGAAAATGTGCTGTCTGCGGATGAGCTCGGAAGAACGGGTCTTGGTAATCCCTCAGCGAACACCCTCGTGCTGCAATAACACGTACCTGAATGAAATAATAGCCCCGCAATCTTGGTCACTGGTTGTCCGAACGGAGTTTGAATTGACAGCATCCGCGCACACGTAACCCGATGCTACAGTATTATAATACCTTTGACGCCTGACAGAACACCAGCTGGAACTTGACACGTAAGGACGTCTCGCGATTCGCGAAAAAGAAGTCAATAACAGTTTCTATTCGCAAAAACGTACACAGAAAACTATACTACTCGGATTCATCTCATTCGCATTGGAGGAGCATTGACCCCGTCTCACACTCCATCTTGCTTTGCGACTTTAATGCCAGACAATCCATGAAGGATACGTCGTCGTGATGTCATTTGCATATTTGCGATATCGGCTTCTAAATCCTCTATATGGGCGGTACCACCAAAGTCCCCACATGAAAGTAATATAAGATCTAAACGGAGACCAATGCCTAGAATCCGCGCTCCGCCCATGGTTTCCCGATACGCCTGAAGCGGGACTGCTTCGCGTGATTGTGCAAAAAGTCAAGGGTTGCGAAATTGCATTTGCGCCGATGGGGAGGCTGCGACAATGTTCCGTACGCCCGTTCAGAGGCGCCTGCGTCCTCTCCGTGCCGTGAGGAGAATTATGGCGGTCATAGATGCTCAGTTCCCTTCCCTCCCTCGCTCGCGTTCTCTGGGATTTCAAGGGTCTCCTTCATCCGCGACATCCATGCTTTTCCCAAATGTGGTTTTGCTGTGCGCTGGATGCATATTGTAGGCCGCATATATCACAGCCTCATGTCCAGATGGTCAACCTCTGCTGGGTATCCGGCACTGATTATGTAAGGTTCGGCTTTCATGGACGTACGAATGATGCGCGTCGAGAATCAGATCAAACCTCTCCCAGATCATTTTCCTGACGTACTGAGACCAGCGCGTTCTCTGCTCGCCTAGCCGCGGAGGACCTCCCTTGCGCTTTTCTGCAAAGCGGTGACCGCATGCTGCTTTTCATAAGTCGGGCACCCTGTCTCTGATTTGGATCCTCGTTCCTGTACAAAACACACCTCCCGATGGGCCTGATATCTCACTCAGATGCAGCCGGTCGGCGATACCCGAGACAAACCAGATACCCTTCCGCACTCCTACTCCTGCTCGCCTCCGGTTTCTCGTACGCGACTTTCGCAAAGCGGGTTTCAAGCAATGCCTTCAAATCTGAAAACACAACCGCGTTAATCTACATATACACATCCCCAGCGTGACAAAGGAGTTTCCTGAAACTTTTACTTACCAGCATCCCCACTCCCCTGAATAAACTTACACACAAACGCACCCCCACTCTTCAACACGCCCTCGCTCTCCGCCACGCTCAGCGCCAGCTCGCACAGGCTAATAACACGCAACACGTCGGCAGTGCGCGAGCCTGTGAACGGGTGGGCCATGTCGGAGAGGACTACGTCGAATGCAGGAGTTTTGAGCGATGTGGGAGTCTCGGTCGGATTGATGATGGAGTGGATGCGGGCGAGCACCTTTGGGTCGGTCATGTCGCCCTGGATGATGTCGACGCCGGCGATGGGGTCGGTGGGGAGGAGGTCGATGGAGACTACTTTGCCCGTTTTGCTGGGGTGAGCGGTCTCTGTAGCGGTATCACCCTCCTTTTCGAGATTCTCTGATGGTTTTCTCCCCCGCCCACCACCGCCGACGAATTTAACGGCAACCTGCGCCCATCCACCGGGGCATCCGCCCAAATCCAACACATTCATCCCCCGCTTCATCAAGCCGAATCGTTTCTGGATCCCTTCCAGCTTGTATGCTGCTCTGGAGCGGTACCCGTCCTGCGCGCGTTGCTTGACGAAGGTGTCGCGGGATTGGCGGGCGTGCCATTGTTTTGGGCTGGAGCGTAAGAATAGGGGAAAACCTGGTGAGCTTTGTCGCCTCATATGTGGACTGGGAGAAAAAGACTTCATACCTCGTGACAGACGTCCGCACAGACCCCAACGCGGGTGGCCATTGTTGCACTATGCATAAGGGCGACTCCCTCCGTTGGCTTCCCGCACCTCCTCCACGATAAAGCCGAAGCGAGGGCTGACCGTTGGTGCATGTAGAAGGGTGTGCTGTTGAGGGAGTGTGAAGACGTCGCTGAGCGTTGGGACTGCTGAAACGGGTTAAGACTTTCGCCCACGGCGCCGATGTGCGAACGAGGGGGCGAGGCGCTGAGATGGTAGTGAGAGCGGAGAGCATTGTTTATGTTTCGCTCGTGATCGTTGTCGATGTCGCCGTCTGTTATGGCCTCTGTCGCCTGGTCCATCGCCCTTCGCAGTGGCAAGTGTGACTTTTGGAGGTGTGAAAAAAGGCCGGTCGCGTTCGGTCGTTCTTCTCAGAGTTCTCCCCCAACAGCAATTACCAAATTCGAGAACGTTAACGAGAGAGGAAGGTCTGAGGAAGGGGAAGACAGCGGGCCACGTCTTGCATATATATCAGTCCTTCCGTTCAAGCTCACCTCTCTCCATAAATGGCGAGTTCAACGACGCCGCGGCGCACGCACTACGAGACGCTGCAACTGCCGCCCTCCGCGTCCGCCGACGATATTAAACGGCAGTACCAGAAACTGGCCTTGGAGGTACGTCTGCACCCTTCTTCTTATGTCAAGCGGAGTTCCAACCAACTCACTCTCCCCTCTTCTTTCCAGTATCACCCCGACAAAGCACCGCCAACCTTCTCGCCCGCCGCCCTCACCCAACGCACGCACGCTTTCCGCACCATCCACGCCGCCTACGCAACTCTACGCGACCCGGCTCTGCGTGACGCCTACGACGACAGACTGCGTTCTGGAGCAGCATCCACGGGAGATGGGATTGTGCATAGCGAGGTGGATCTGGATGATATGGAGTATTATGAGGAAGGGGATGGGGGTGATGACGGTGATCGGGATGGGAATGTAGCGGGCAGTGGTGGAGCGTTCATATGGCCGTGCCGCTGTGGCGGGCGATACATTGTGCGCGAGCAGGAATTGGAGGAGGGCGTGGATGAAGTGATGTGTTCGACGTGCTCGTAAGTTCGAGAGTGTTTTAATGGGAAGCAACATTTGCGGCGTATTCTCGCCGTGGGTTTGAATGCGTTGTACTCAAACTTCGTCCATACAGGCTTCGAATCCGTGTGCTATACCGAGTGGTCGACGACGCGGACGATGACGACAATGGAGCCGAAGTCAATGGAAGCGCCAGGCCTTGAGCTCAACGATACCTTCGTGATTGGATTGAGTTCATCCATTGGCCGCGAGAACGGTGGCCGGAGGAGAGATCCTCTCAACATCGCATGCCAACAACTCCCCATGTCGAGCAACCCGCCGCAAGGGGATGGTCTCCAGAGTGGTCTCTTGGCCGCTTATCATTCCGGGATCAGATCCAGAGATGTTCCCGAAGGACAACCATAGCGAGGAGAGGCTTTCTACGCCAACAAGATACGCTTTAGGGACCAGCCTCAACGCCCTCAATCGCACGCCGACCCCGATGGCCAGTTGCGTCACGGCGGCACCCATACCCGATGCGTCATCACATAAGACCGCACCGTCTGGCTTATTCTCGGCGCCAAGAAAGACACACATGGCCGAAATGGGACGTCTGGGGTGCACGTTCGCCGGTCCGTCGGTCCGGGCATCGACACACAAATAGTGTCAATCCGGCACCTGTGGGAGGAAGCGCAGCTGGGCCCACTGAACTTACACATCACGCTGAAAGGATACAGTACACACGGGCCAACACAATGTAGGGGCGTAGAGGCAGATAAGCCTTAGTCAAGGGCGAGCAGCTTGACGTACTCATGTAGACGACGCTCGGTGAAGGGGGTATGCAACGTTCGTTACGATCACATATGCCGGGTATATATCTGTTCAATCGAGCTGCGGTTTAAGCATGACCCCGGACGAGGTCGGGCCGGATGTATTTTGCGCTGACAGGAATTTGTAACAGGCTTTCGGCGCCGTTGGATATCTGTACATGAAACGCAATCCCATACATCCAACCCAGAAGTCTCGCCTCCCACGCAGCCTCAAACAACCATCTTCCTAAAATCCTCCAACCCAATCACCCCATCCCCATCCGCATCAAACCGCGCCAACAGCGCCGCCACGTCGCCTTTATGCGCCATCCCGTACGGGCTGAGGGCCGCGGCTAGTTTTCGGAGACACGATTCGGTGAGGGCGGGTGGTGAGGACGGGGTTTCCGTGTGTGGTTCGAACCACTGCAAAAAGTTCGAGTCAGTAACAGATCAGGGGGGAGAAATCATCCATGTAAGGCAGACGTACATGAAAAGCCTCATCAAAGCCCCCACTCGGTACCTTCCCAATCACCAGACTCCCCAACCGTTCCCTCGTCATCTCCTCCTTCCCCGTCCCCGTCAACTTCACCGCCTTCGCTTTCATCCCATCCGCTTTATCCACCTTCACCCCACCTCCGCCCCGTGACGGCGGCGGCGCCTCCGCCCTCTCCACCGCTACAGGTAATCCAGGCGTGCTCGTGCTCACGGTCCGCGCCTCCTTCCGCCCCCCAGCGGGCGTCGCGGGGTTGTTGTTGAGTCCGAAAGAAGCGAGCCCCCCACCGCCCCCCGCATCGCCATGCACGATCCCGAAAAACACATCCACAAATCGGCTCACATCCTCCCTTCTCACGCGTTTCCCATCCTTGCTCATCGCGTCAAACGCCATGTCGACGTCGTCGCGGGAGATGGGTTGGGTGCGGGTTGTTACTGTTGATATAGGGCGCGGTGCGGGTTTGTCGGAGGTGGGCAGGTCCGGTGTGGAGGCGTCGATTTTGGAGGAGCCTTTTTTGAATTGGGATGGGCGGCGGGCGGAGGGGGGCCGGAGGGAGTCGGTGGGGAGGGTATCGGAGGTTGGCCGAGAGTCGCCTTGGGGGGGTTTGAGGGGGATGCGGTAGCCCATGTTTTTTGGTTTGGATGTTGTGGATTGACGTGCGGAGTAAATCGTAGGTTTTGTGTTGATGTGTGTGATACTCGCTGTCGATGCACGCTTCAAATTCCAAAAGAATATAGCCAGAGACGAATATCCCACCCGAAATACAACCCGTAGGGGAAAAGGTTAAGCTTATGCCATGTTAGGTGGCTTCGAACCAAAAAGCCATATCCTGTCGAAATACTGTCAATACATGCCTGGTGTTTTTCTGCTTTACGCTCAGACATTTCTCCTTCCCACATCTGCTCACAGTACCAAACGTCTCCCCAATCCATCATCTACCTGTCAAACACAAAAAAAAATCCCCTCGCATAGTATTAAAAGCCCTCAAATCAAATACAGCTTCATATCATCATCGCAAAGCCTCCTCAAGAGTGATTAAAGTAAGTGAAAAATATAAAAAAGCATAGAAAGGAATACGAAGAAAACCGTGCGACAACAGCCAGGCGATCCGAAGGACCGCGCGCGATGTTTGAACTCCGGGGGAGGTTTATGTACACATTATGGGGTAACCGGGAGGTGTGAGGGTGAAGAGCGAGGCGAGGAAGGGGTGAAGGAAATACGGTAGGATACATACACATACAACCGGAGTGAACTGGCACTCGCTCATCGACAGAAAGACAGCCGTTCAGGCGGGGGAAGGGCACACGAGTCCATTGTCTTGCTAATAAGACGGTACCGGCGACGCGCTCGCTTCCGCCCCTGATCCCTGCGCCGCGGACGGTGAATGCACCACATTCCGATCCGACGGGCTCGCATCGACGCCAGTCGGTGAAGAGACGGGTATGCTGATCGCCGTCGGTGGTGCTGTCGCTTGATTTGGGATGGGAGCGTGATGTTGTTGCTGATCGGAGTACGTTGGGGGTATCTGTGGTGGCGGGACATGCGTTACTGCCATTTGTCGCTGTTGAGTGAATTGCTGCTGCTGTGGTGGTGGCTGGACCGGCAGGGCATAAATCTTCTGATGTATTTGTTGCTGTTGGGCCATTCGTAAATCATCGGGGATCGCATGCGGATGTTGTTGACGGAGATGTAAAGCGGCTTGGTGCGGGATATGTTGTTGTTGCGGGTGGTGATGGACACGCTGCTGTAAGTTTTCGAGCTGCATCATCAGCGAGCGGTTCCCGAATTCGAGGTGGCGGATGTAGCCAACGGCGTTGTGGAGGATGACGGATTTGCTGATTCCGACGGCGTTGGCGCTGTTGCTTGCACTGGCGCTTTGTGTGCCGGGGATTAAGTCTGCGAGGGCTTTGAATCCGGATCTGGAAATTGCGACAACAAGTCAGTTCCTATCCCACCAAACTCCGAGAGGGAGATTCCAGCATCATAATCCCCACAACGTACCTAATAAGCGTCCTCCGCTTCTGCTCCGACAAGATATGATTCGTCCGCTTCTCCTGCTCAGTCAGCAACTCCCTCCCATTCCGCTTCTTCCCATCCTTCCCCTCTGCTTCCTGCCCATCCGCGTCCTCTCTCGAGAACGCCGCCGTGGCATTCTGTTTCCCACCCCTTCCCCCCGTTCTCAATCCCGCCACTTTTTTCCGGGCTGGTCCGCCAGGCGCGTCGCTGCCGCTCCGTCTCCTGTTGTTTCCGTTGGTGGCGGAGCTGGGGGTATCTGCCTGCTTGGTTTCCGCTGCTGACCCGACGGACGCCCTTTTTGATGCCGGAACGGCTGGTTTTTGATCGACCTGCATTTGAGGCTGGGCTTTCTCGGCGGCAGTGGCTGCTCCAGACGGCTTCCCAGCTGCTGTTTCGCGCGTTGCTGGTGATGATTTCCCAGGCTCCGTTTGGCTTTCCGGACGTCTCGCGTCCGTGACCGATAACCCACCAGGGGCAGAAACTGGTGATAGATACTGGCCAAACTCGATGGGACGCGAGGTTTCCATTCGCTGTTGTTGCTGAACTTGCTGTAGCTGCTGCGTTTGATGCTGTGTCACCATCGGTTGCTGCTGCTGCTGTATTTGTATTTGCTGCGTCTGATGGGGTTGCTGCTGATACTGGAATGTCGGATTTATGGGGTGGTAATAAGGAGGGGTATTTTTCAGCGCCGTAAATGGATTACTGTTCGGATCTTCATGTACGGAGAGCGGTATGTTCCAATTCCGTCCGTGAGCGGGATGCCCGATGGGGATAGCGATAGGTACAGTTGATTGCGATCGATCCCAATATCCCGTCTCTCCAGGTTGCGCCTGATGTTGCTGCATGTGGAAAGGGAGCATGGCTACTTCGCTCTGGAAACCCTGCGGTGGTAAGGGCTTTTGGAAGAACATACCACCATCCTGTGATTGCGGCTGGCCGACCGAATTGTGCAGCGGAATCGCAAGTGAGTGCAATGGATACTGTTGCGAAACAAGCGGTATCCCCACTGACGGCGGTAAAGTCTGCTGTGGCATCTGTTGCTGTGCTGCCGGTGCGGCAACCGGCTCATCAAGAAAGAACCCGTCCAAGAACTCAGAAAAGTACTTCTGCTCATCGTCGTTCAGCAACGTGGGAGCGTCTCCGGCCGGGTCAAGCGGCAGAGCCGATGGCGAGAATGGGAATGGCATGGAGAACCCTACTGCCCCGTCCTCGGGTAACGTGGGGACCGCCACCGCCGAGGATGACGAGGAGGACGTCGTGTAGGTTCCAAAGGCGGCCGGTGTGAACATTGTAGTGTTCACCGAGCCGTCGGAAAGCTGACCAGCAGGGTCGATGGTGGGCTGGTAAAGAACTCCGGTCTCTTCAAAGCGTCCAGGATGAAAGGCTCGAGCGTCTGATATCGTCAACGACCAACTAGGCAAGGGGTTTTACTGGGACTGGGAAGTAAGCGGTTGACAACCGCCAACGCTGTGCTGGTTGCTGAGCGAATGCTGAGAGAGCCACCGAAAGTCAGTTGGGAATCGAAGTGCCGGTCGAACGTCAACCGCGACGTTCAGTACGATGTTTCTGCGTATGCCGGACGATGTATTCTGCTACAGCGGTGAAGTAAGGACTGTCGCTAGCGGCGACTCCGGTAATGTCTTACGTAGAATGAGGTTCAGGTGGCTGTAATCACGGAGTCGAATGACTGATTTCGGCAGAAGCGTTTTGACCGCGAGACCCTTCCTCAGACTGACTCCTATGCTGCTTGCTGCCCCTGCGTTGAGTTCGCTGGTGGTGTGTTGGGGAGGCCCTTGACGAATGTCGCTGTTGCTGTGGTGTGATATGATACTCTTCTCGTCGTCCCTCTGGCAGTTTCTCCACGCCAATAATGTTCGAGTAGAAGGGACGTGAGGGGCGGCTCTTCTGTGGGAGGGTCCCTCGCACGCAGCTGACTACTAGCACTCCCTACTTTACACACACAGAACGACTCGGATAGAAGGAGAGGACGAGAGGACCCTTTGCGTCGACGGCCGGCTCTCAAGAGAACAAAGGTGCGGTTTGGGCGCTGAGAGAATAGGACGACCGGTCGGTCTAAATTATGGCTGGTAAAACCAATCACCAGGAAAATAAATCACTAACAAAATGTGACGAGACATACACCCACATTCCCCCCAGTAATAACACTGCGTATAAGAAGCAGAACAACGTGGAGATTAAATGCCACCGTGGCGTATGTGTATTTTCCTGTCCAGCCAACGGGTACTTTGATATGCGGGCGGATGGTTGTATCCGCGAACAATCCAGCGTCATGATACACCCTCAGGGTATGTACAGTCTGCCATGACATGATACTCGGATTCTGGACTCCAGGAGCCTTGGACATGGGGACTCGGGAGGTCATTTTCTCGAGGGGGCCGACTGTGCGTACGACCGTCGACCGGGGGCGATAATCAGTGATCGGCCACAACCGCCACTGGGCGGCGCGCACGAAGGAGACGGGCAAAGTCACCTGGTGGGCCATTTTCTGGCATTTTTGCGTTGCCGTGAATCAGGAATCCGCTCGATCCCATTTATAAACTTTGCATTACGGCCGTCGCCCGATCCCGGTCCAAAGGTCAGGAGGGACGATCTGTGTCGCCGTCGTGCAAGCTCATCAACTTTGATGAATCGTACAAATCACATCAGGGGCACATCCGACCAGCATTAGAGGGCGACCATTCACATGCATTGTGAACCCATTGCATGTGAAGTGTTACTTCCTGCAACACATCCTTGGAATTGTTGGTCAAGAGTCAAGACATGTGAGGGACGTCGACGACGACCATGGTTCAGCGCATCCATTGTTCAAGGCTTAATCCAAAACCTGTCTCTGATTCCACACCCACGGCTCAAGCCGTCCATCGTCGAAGACGATCCCCACCGTCTTACCCCACACTCCGTTGACCGTGACCATCGACTTTTGGTGCAAGACCCATGCCCGGCGTCGCCGGCAGGTCCGGCTGCATGCGCATGGGAAAACGGCACATGCATGGCAATGAACGTTGTTGAGTCCGTCCAGAGCATGTCATTGCGACGTCGTTTCTCACCAAAAACCATTTGCGCGGAAGGTGGATCCGTCCTTCGTTATCATGGAAATCTCAGCGTGCTCAGCATGGGAGGTTATCTGCAGCAGGAATCCTGTGGGTGACCGTGTCCTCAGCTGATGTCTGTACGTAGGAGGTTGCTTCCGCTCTCGCTTCCAGATGTCGGCTCACCTCCCCCACATCTTGCGTTGCAAAACACTGCGACTCGCGAGCACCGCGCAAAACAAGTCAAAAGCAACAGGCCACCCTCCCATACTCCAATGACCAATCTCTCGTGAAAAATTGTTGGTTGAGAATATGGACGCCGCCGCCGGGCGCCTCCGAAAAGATCCTTCCACTGCTGATACGCATCAATCAATCAATCGGAGCTCCGCCCGCCGCCGCAACAAATTGTGGCATGTTTGACTCATTCGCCACACGTGCATGCCACCTGTCAATTTGAAGGAGAAACGGAGGGGGTTGGAGACCTGGTTGCTGGATCGTTCGGATACTGCGCACCGTGGGACTGTCGCGTGGATTCCGAAAGTCCGAATGCGTTTTATTCGCTTTGTTGACAAGTCACGTGCAGCTGCATGCCGAGTTGTTTTGTACGCATCCTTTTTCATAAGCGGCAAACCTCACGCGTTTTCGACGCGTTTTTGGCACACCAGCAACTTTTTGACGACGTTTCTCGTCAAACTCGGAAAGCACTCTCAGAACCTTCACCCAGTTCGCCCCTTCCTCAGCTGAATTCTAAAGTCACTCCTCACAGCGTTTCGTTGTTCGTCGTCAGCATGGAAAGGACAATATGAGGCGCGGTATATATTGAGCTACCCACTGTGCAATGCATCTTCCAATTAAGCATTTCTAAAGGACGTGTCGGGGGACGAGACGATGGGGCTTTCAACGTCTATTTCGGTTGCTGGACAGTGAAAGTTGCAGGGAGTGAAGGGAAGAAGAATAAACCTGTGGCTGATTGTGCTTGCTCTTGTAACATACCTTGCTGACGGACAGCAACCCTTCCTTGAGGCTGCAAGGCCCTTTCCGTATCTTATCCACGTATTCTTGGAGCTGACATTGCCCAACGGTCCCGTTATCCATCCTCGTCAATAACAAACGTGAAATGGTTCATGTTAGTGTGTGCCTACGGAGACTATCCTCGACATGCCCCTACTCCATCGTTGCATTGGGGATGTCCTCCCACCCAAGGGTTTGTATCTCTGCTGCGGGCATCAGTCGATGTCCACCTATTCCAGGACTTTCTTCGTCTTCCGCAGCCTTAGTAGAATCCGCCAAAGCGGCCATAGGCCTCCTCCACAACCATCCGTGAGACAGCGCATTGCTGCCTCTCCGTTACCGGATTTCGCACACCGCAGAGGGGTAGCAGCGCTTTCTCTCTCCGCAACATTGTCCGTACTCGAAAAGGCTGCTATTCGTCGATGCGTCTATTCAGGGATACTTCTGATCGTGCATCCCCGCCCGTAGACGCACTCCCCACGCTTTGTAGACCGTGTGCGGGAGAAACCTGGTTTACTGGCATGTGGCCATTGGGTCTCTCCAGCGTGGCTCGCAGATTTGAGCTAAGCCCGCGAAAACGGCGCAGTGCTTCGTTTTCCTGAGCTTTGGGGCGCGACATGCTCGCCTCCCTTTTCCTAATGATTGCCGTTCCAAGCGGGGTAGTAAATGACCCCCGTACCTCGGTAACATCTTGTCCACATCGTTATAACCCAATCATGCTTCCCTCATGTGTCGCAGAAGTTCCGTCTCGTCCGACGCATCCACGCACAAACCGCCGTCGTTCTTCAGTATCATCTCGCGCCAGCTTTCGAGGCAGCAGAGCAGGTTTTTTCCAACCCAGCCATTTTGTCGCCCCGTCTCATAGTCTTCGATTGGCTCGCGCTTTGTTGGCCGTCACACAACGATACCGGGATCTGAACGGAAAAAGGGAGCGGCACGAAGTTGGCTGGAGGAGTGAACGCGGTCATGGCGACAAGGAAGCCCAAGCGCTTGTCTGAACATTGCCTATGGTGGTTTTCCTCCAAGCCACAGTGGTTGGTGCAGCACCAATATGCACCAGCCGGTAAAAGTGGTCGTAAACTTGTTCGACATCGTCGACCCCCACTGCCGCACGGACATTCTTCCAAATTCACTATGTGAGCTCTATAGAAGAGCTTGGGCTTTCAGAACAGAGGAAAATTTCTGTCCTGTCCGAGAGGGACAGCGTATGGCGGAGCGCTCGATATGCTGTCAAAAGGTTTGGCCACCTGTGAACCGGCGGTGCAACGGTTTCGTCGGGACAGCTATAGCCCCCGCTATCTTCTCCGCGCAGATGAACTCTACCGCGCAAAGCTGTCCTCGTTGTCTTCCGGACGAACAGAAACATGACACGGCCTGGTCGCGAGCTCACTTCGCTGCGGTTCGAGAAACTTTTTCAGTCTATTCTTCAACGCACCCGGGGGTTCATTTGCGTTGACGACAACAGGAAGAAAAACCACCTCATTGCTGGTCTCTTGCAGGCTAGATCACTTGCATCAGGCAATCATGCGATCCTTGCGGCGTACTTCGTGGTGCACGAATCTCCTTCGCATTTCCCAAATCAATCCGGACATCCCGGAGACGGTCAGGCCTCTGTCCCCCAGTCCTTGTTGTTCCCTCAGACGACGGCAGTTTATCTCGTGGAATTTGGCATCCTTCATCTGTATACGTTCTCCCGGCGCGAATTGCGTCCACGTCCCGCCGGCGCTGAGTTCACGCGCTCCGCCTTTTTTCGCGTGTTTCAGCCAAACTGTGTCGCAGAAGGGATATTTGGTTCGCTGGCCCCAAACGTTCTCCCGTTTTCGATGGCATACCGCTTCATCGTCATGTGACCAATCGTATCTTGGGGACTGTCCAATGTCCCGTCGGGCGCATCCAAGTGTTTCTCAATCAGTTTTTGAGCAACCCAATTTGGCGGTGTTGGGGTGTGGTCGCGGTTTGCGGCCCGGTTTCCTCGACCCACATCGTGTCGCCGGCCTACAGGCAGTTGGAACAACGAAACATGTGGCGGACGCGCGCGCGGCTTTTCCAGTGAATTCCGTTTCATGTACATATGTCGCGTTACAGAAGGCACATGCATGCACTCGGCAATATGGCGTTCAAACTCTCCATGCCCGACATCCATCTCGCATTTGCGCCTGTCCTGGCGTCGTGGTCGGTTCAGTAGTAGCGAGTTATACCGGCGTGACGACACCCCAGAAACATATGTTTCTCTTCCTCGCTGCACAGAAGCGTTAGGTGAGGTGGGACACCAGCCCGATAGAACCACCGCTCCGATTACGATGCGAATCGTTAGCTGCTGTTTGGGAGCAAAAAACCTGCGGGTGGAATCTCTCGATCGGTATAAGTAAGCAACTTCGGTGCGTCAGGTATCGTACATAGTTTTCCGTCACGGCCTTCGCCAACGTTTTGTGGAGCGAACAAGTCTCCCCAGCCCGACAATCTCGCGCCGCTTCAGTTATATCCCACGCCATCTTCTTCCGTATATAAGCGCCGATGTTTTCGCTCAAAATAACGCACTACGACGTGATCAAGCACCAGCCTCTCAATGAAATGTCATATTACGTCCGATAGGAAGTTCCGGATGATAATGTGGTCGGGAGACTCGCTCGTCTACGTCCAGAGATCCTTTCTCCAAACGGCTGGAATGATTTTCGGAACGTGACCTTCTCCCTCTTCCCTCATTCCAGAATCAGTGTGTCCGAAAGCCGTCGTTGGATGAACTGGCATGGGCCCAACGAGGCAGGCGGGTGGGTGATATATAGATCCGGATGCAAGGGGGTCCTTTGGCGAGATTGGGGCCAGTTCCGAACTTGTAGATTATATCTTGTACCGTACCTTTACGTTGTGCGGGGTTGTGGGATCTTTGAGAGCAGGGGACAAGTCCTTTAACGCGTCGTTCGGCCTTGCTGGCATCTGTGTTGGCCTCACGTCAACTCCAAGGTCCCCTTGGTCCCTCCACATCTCCCAGCGCCGGCACGAGACAACCGTCCCAGAGCTCATCCACCTCTCCATTCCCGAAATCTGACCCAAAATCGAGATTCAAGAAAAAGCATCCCCAATCCCACCGGCCAAGTCCATAACCCAAAAATGTTCGAAAAAAAATGACATGACATTTAACCCAAACGTTGTTTCAACAAGTGACTGTACACTTCACATATAGTGGGTGGGTGTGAGGGGGGTGAACAAGACAAAAGGAGAGCTACTAAAGGTCCTCTAATGAATCCCCGCGGGGTATGTACATTGTACATGTAGACCGTTCGATATGTGTATTTCCGACGAGCCGAGTGAGGGAGAATCGCTCGTCTGAGCATGGATGGATGAGTATTCGTGTGAGTTCTTCATTTGGGAGTCGTCGGGTCCTCATCTTTGGCGGCCTGGGAGAACTGGCTTGCGAGGGATTTTGGTTTGATTCTGGAAATGACGGAGAAAAGAAGGGTGACAGTGATGATTAGTACGAGCAGGTTGATATCACCAACCCCAGTAGTTCGTCCGTCGGTGATGCTGGATCCAACGGTGTATATGATGGCATCCTTATCGCCAGGGCTCGCGAAGGAAGTACTTGGCGGGAGCCTCAATGACCGCATTCCTTCAAGTTTCTTCAACCGCTTCCGACTCAACTCATATACGACTTCGTTTCCGAGGCGCAACCACCGCAACATATCCTTTCAAGCTCGTGTTCCCCTTCCTCAAAATGACCCGCCATCCTCAGCAATCTCACACCCAACGACCCAATACCCCTCGCCCTATCCCCAAAACGGAATCCTCCCGAACTACAACGTACTTGGTCAACAAGTGGTTCCGCTTCGCCTCAACCTTCTTGGTAGCCGGCGACATGAGGTTATCCGTTGGGCTTCTGAACTGGCTCCTTGAAATCACAAAACGCATCGCGTGGGAAACTCAGTACAATTCCAAAAGCACCCTTGGCCTCTCTCCCTCTTCAAAACAAGATAGCTTCTTTTACATACCCGGACTTCTGGAACTTCCCCAGCGGATGCTTCGCCGAAAACAGCGGTTTCTGAGCAGCGGCGGACTGGTGTTGTTGTTGGTGGGTTTGGGATGCGTCTGCTTGGGCCTGGGTTGTGGGTTGGTCGGTGGTGGGGGTGGCGTCGAAGAGGGGGTTTGCGTCTGTTCCGGAGAGCATTGTTGTAGGATGTTGTGGGTGAGCGTGCGAGTGGGTTGTGTGTTGAGTGCGGGCGGTGAGAATGTAGATCGGGTGCGAGATGGGTGGGTGTTGGTGGTTGTTGTTGTGCGGAAGTCTGGGCAGTGTGAGATCGGACTTGTTCCCGCTTTCCCGCTTGCACAGAGAGACGCGCGCGTGAGAGGGCGCTCATTCTTGTCCGAAGCACATCCATCCCTCGTTCTGCTGGAACGACAACATCCATACTGCATACATACATCAGGCCTATAGATCACATTATATAAACACGCCTTACAGTCTCTCTCAGAGCGCTATCCTGCATTCTGAAAGTCTGATGTCCTGGTATATCGTTCAAGTAATGCAATGTGAAAGCAGGCTCTCCGCCAGCCATCGCCCTCATCCATCCCCCCCCACATCGCTTCGCTTCTCATCCACGGCCCTGCTAATACCAAAAATACTACATGGTCTCCTCCATAACACTCCTCCACTCTCTAGGAAACAGCACACTCGCCCCCGTCCTAGCCTTCTGCACAACTCTCAACTCAAACGGCCCCTCCTCAAGCACATCCCGTTCGCGCTCCCAGCTAAACAGCGCGCCGTCCGTGGTCGACAGGAACGGGTTGAGTTCAATCACATAGATCTTGCCCGTGTCTGCAATGGCAAAGTCGACGATGCAGTCCGGGAGGGCGCTCTCGATCTTCGGTCGGATTTTTTCAGTGTAGAATATGCGGATCCGGTCGGCGATGGAGTCCTTTTGATCGAGGAGCCGCGGCGAAAACATGTTATAGTTGTACTGACAGAGTGCATTGAGCTCACCCTTGCGAACAAACCCACGAAACTCCATATCAGGGTCGATATCCGCCCACTCGCGGACGAGGATACGGGTGTCCCATTGTGCAGGGTCCGGGTACTTGAGGGCCAATAACATGTCCTGAAAAATGCGTTCTGAGACGACAAAGGAGTGCAGGGCTGCGCGGGGGGTGGGGTAGCAGAGCAGAGCGCGGGAGGCGGTGAGGAGGGCGGTTATGCGGGTGTTTTCGTCTGGAGGGGAAGTATCACCAGGCTCTCTTGTTTTTTCTAGCGCCGCACGATAGAGCAAGCGGAGCCGGGCGGGGGCGAGGGCGGAGTCCTTGGCGCTTCGGCTGGACATTTTCATAAACACGCCTGCGGTCGAGCTGTGCGCGGCTTGGATTTCATGGATAAGCTTCTCAAGCCGTGGTCCAAGCTCCCTCTCCAGCACATCCACGGCCTCAGTCACCGCCGGCGCATCCACATCCCTCCCCGCAGCTTCATACGCGCGATACCCCTCAACGAGCACCCTCGCGTTCTCAACAGTGAGGGTCAACGTCACGGTTCGGAAGGTATGCTCACCGAGCGCGGGACCCCAGTTCTCGAAGTTGCAGGAACGGACGGTGGTGTTGTAGGACTCGGTTGTGTTTTCGATGACGGTGGAGTCGAAGCGGGGGGCGGAGGCGTCGTGCGCTGGCACGGAGGATTTGCGGAGCTTCATGGATTGGAGGGCGGATGGGGTAGCCATTGTGGGGAGATAGAGATGCCGGAAGCTTGCCTACCGGACATGTACAGTATCCTATGCATTGTCCATATACAGCATATCTTTATGTGATGGCAGCTTGGTCGCCCGACCGACAGCACCTGTCAAAGAGTCGTGACGCTAACCCTAACCCCTCTCTTGCCTTCCCCTTTCCCAAGCCGCTCCCAAATGTCAACCCCCACGGAATGGCTTTGTTGACACAGACACATTCCCGCCACCTTGCATACGTACGAGAAGCCGTAGTACTTCGACGACAAGTCTGTGGAAACACCGCCCTTGTAACTATCGTGCACGCAGAGCTACTTCCGGGATTTATAGACCCCCTCAACTGAACGAAGAGTCCGCGCGAGCGAAACGATTTCGAGGGACCGCTTTTGGATAGAACATCTCTCGATTGTAGCGGGGAAGCGGAGAGGAGTTACGGAACTACCGGACGTACTTGGAGATTGTTAGTAGGAACGCTTTCGACCTGGGGATTCCCTTACGTGACAAATCAGCATAGGAGCAGATGGCGGAGAATGGCAAGGCGGCTGGGTCGCCACCTGGCGGAGTAGGTGTAGGGACTGGACGAGGAGGAGGGGCCGAAGCAGTGGCGCGGCCGGCGGCAGGGTCTGAAGCCGGGTCAGGACCGGCAGTGAAGCCAGCACCGCCTGCTCAAGCAGGGCAGGCTTCACCACCAGGAGGAGGAGGAGCACGAGCCGGAGTCCAGATCCAAGCGGCAGCAGCAGCAGCCGCCGCATCAGCAGCAAACAAAGCCGTAACAGCGCTCGCAAACGGCAGCATCGGCAGCGGGGCCCGGCCACCACCCAACCAAGCGCACCTCCACGGCGACGGCCGCATGCACAAAACGTACACCCCAGACGAACAAGCCGCCATCGCCGCCGAGCTCAAATTCCAGGCCGAGCACGCCGGCCACGAGTCCCAGCATGCCACCATGGGCATGATCCTCCTCGCCACCCTCGTCGGCTCGCAGATCCTTTTCGCCCTCTGGCGCAAACACCACCTCCGCTCCTTCCAGGCCGCCACCCTCCTCGGCCTGTGGCTTGTTCCTGCCGGAATGTCCCTGCAGGGCGGATACACCCGCTTCCTCGTGATATGGGGGATATTCTCCGTCATCAACTCGCTGATTGTCTGGCGCGCCCATGAGACCCCGTTACGCTCCACGACCCCAAGATGGGTGTATAAATGGTACACCCTCATGTACAACATCTGGTACGCGGTCGGGATGCTCGGGTACATCCTCGTCCTCCTCTCCTTCGTAAGTCTCGTTTCGTCCCTCTCATTTGGTCTGCAACGATGCTGATACTCCCCTTCTTTCCCGATTTGAATTCACCAGTTCCACGTTCCCCTAATCCTCCACCTCGTCCAACAAATCGACCAAGAAGTCCGCGTCTTCGAATTCGGAATCATCACCCTCTTCTACGGCCTCTACTTCGGCACCCTCTCCCGCGATTTCGTCGCCCGCCTTGCCGACCGCATGGCCCTCACCGTCGGATACTACTCGCGCACCGGTCTCCCCGCAAAACACCTGCGCTCAAACATGTGCGCCATCTGCGGGGCTTCCACCACGTTCCCCTCGGACCCAACCACCACCCCGCCGTCGGTCCACACGTTGAACTGCGGACATAAGTACCATGAGAGCTGTATAAGAGGCTGGACGATCATCGGCAAGAAGGATGTATGTCCGTACTGCAAGGAGAAAGTGGATCTCAAAGACTTTAGACGTAATCCGTGGGATACCACCCAGCAGGTGTATCTGAACCTGTTGGATGCGTTGCGGTACTTGTTGGTGTGGAACCCGATTGTGTTTCTGGTGATTAATGTGGTGTTTAGGTTGTTTGATTTGAAGTAGGCCCTGTGAGGTGGAACGGGGGCCAGCATCGAAGCTGTCGGCGCCGTCTTTTTTTTGCGGTGTACTTGTATTTATGCATATTTCAAACCGAGTATATATCACGATGGCGTCTACAACCTTCTTGGGATTATCAAACCCCCTCTATATTACCTGTTGCGTTGGAATTTCAAGAGCGCGGGCCATTCGGGAACCCATAAACTCTCCCAGGCCCAGACGGGTTTGTGAAATGCGTGCCCACGCCATATCTAATAGCACTTTCGTTCTTAACACGCGACGCACAGGCACGAAGATAGCTTGGCGGCATCATGAACTGTCTTTGGCCCGGTTTTGTTTTTTGGACCATTTACGCTACTTGCGTCGTGCGATGCGCACGCATTGCCTCCACATTCCTGTCCGCGCTTCATTGTCTTAGTGAAAACATACTGTACAGTACAAAATCGCACGAAAATGACAGCGCGACACGGCTTACTCAGCACCGGAACGCGCTTTCCAACTCCCGAAATCCAACCCCTTCGCCCCTCGCCACCCCTGTCTGTCTCCTTCCACTTGTATGCATCCCATCCCCCTCTCCTTTTGTGCAGTCCACCCCCGTCCGTCCTCCCGTACCAACCTGTCTTTTTCTCCTTTCGCTCATGCCATGTAAATCATCCGGGCGGGGGGGATACGGAGATAGTTCGGTCAACTTCGCCTACTTCTCCCATAGGTAGGGTGAACTAAGAGTAGGTAGGTGTTTCCTCACCCTGCTTCTGTGCGCGGCTAATAAAATCTGCGCGGCAGGCATCCAGCTCGTTGAGCCCGAACGAATATTCTTTCAGCGAGCAGCATGCAGGTCCGCCAAGGGCAGCGTTCCACCCGGCTTTTGTATGAGCATGAGCGGAACGGGCGGTGAGGTGAACGCACGGGGATGTGCACAGATGAAGGAGGGAGGACAGAGGCGTGCGGCGAGGAAAAGGAACGGGGAGAGCTTTGGACTTTCACAGTGTTTGGTTTTGCGCTAACACAACTCCGTTTGTTTTTTCCCTCGGACTCGCAACGCCGGTGTCATTTTCTTTCACCATCCCCATCTCCTGTCCTTTCGCGCATCCGTCTCGCAGGCGAAGTGAGATACCCATAAGTCGAGTCCAAAAAACGATTTTCACATCTGACCGGACGTGGGTCTTGTTATCTCGCAAAACGGAAGCAGAACAAAAAATTACTGCAGAGAAACATGCGAGTAGAGGATCCTTCTCTTACGACCTGGACGGGGTGTGGTGCAGTCCTGGCTTTGTCTCTGCTCACCCCCGGCGTTGAAGGTGCATGTCCCACATCATAGCTCCATCACTGAACCACCATGGTCCGAAATAGTTCGCCCCTTTTCTTGCAGCCCACGGCGATCTGCCATGAACCCCGCACGGGTACTTCATCAAACACCAGCTCCAGCAGGCGGGTACAAAGTGCTGCTCGCGCAACGCCGCGGGGATCATGCAGACGGGCCTGGAGGCGCGCGCGATACACCAAGCTGCTCCAATGGGGCCTCCAAGACCATCGCAGTTGGGACATGCCCCGCCTCAAAAAGCCGTACGCGGCATTGCAGAACACGACCTGCGTGCAGATGCCCCGAGCCACCAGAGGCCCCTTTTGGATCTCCAACGAGGCTCATCCGGCGGAAGCCTCACCGACGCGCAACCGGGTATCCCGCTGCGGCTGGACATTGGGGTTATTGACGTCGATACCTGCCCGTCGATCCCGAATGCGCCGGTGCTGTGAGCATGCGAATGCGACGGGGGTACTATTCGGGCTAAAAGGGGTGGGGAGTGGGGCGGGGCGAGTTATCGGGGCGGCGCGGGATGCTAAGAATCTCGGGAGGAGGGGTGTGGCCCGACGAATGTGAATGGGGCTGGTGGAGTTTTCGACTTGTTCGACCACCCTTTCAAGAATGCCCGCTTGCTGTCAATCGGCGTGCACACTGTCAGTGGGGGAAACGACGCGTCTGATTGGCTGTAATCACCCGCTGCGCCACGCGAAGTGGAATGGTCAACCTGCGTCCATCTCCGACTCAGGACTGCGAGCGGCCGTCTTTCCGCCGGCTCCTTCCCTTCATCCCATCCATGAACCCCCGTTGTTGGGTGTGCAAAAGATATCCACCGCTGCCTCTGTCGTTGTCGTAGAAGTGCTGTTGTGCTATCGGGTGGATGCGACGGATTGAAATCAAGGTGATAGGGAACACAGAGTGTGAGATATCCGGAGCGCGTCCCGGTGGCTTTCCATCTTCTCCGCACGGCTTGTTTGCTGCTGCATTCGGACAGCCGCAACTGTCTGCAAATTATATATAGGAGCGACTCCCCTTCTCCCGTCGTTCTCAAAAACCAAAGGATTACATAGCGTCGTATCAGTGTTGTGATTGATACCTGCTGGTGCTGTCAAGACTCGCTCCCCCTTGTGTCGGCGACCCAAAAAGGAAGCTTTCACTCCCTTTCTGAGCCCTTCCTCCGTCCGCGAAACACAACCATGGCAAACCCCGACGCACCGCTAGGCGCAGCCGCCGCCGGGCCGTCGACAGTGTTGGACGTCGTGGAACCTCCCTCGCCGTCCGCTCCGAGTCCGCAACACGAAAAAAAGAAGTTCCTACGTCTGTTTGCCCTCGCCGATGGCGTATCGCATACGAGTTTCGCAGTGTACCTCCTAGCCGCCATGATGGGGATCTGTTTGTTTGTTTTCATCAACGCCTCGCAGGTAACACTTGCCCGCGTGGCACATATTCTCCGCTATCCCAATCTAACAACATCTCCACCCTCCCAGGGCTTCGTCCTCAGCCAAATCCTCCATCTCCCCTCCAGCACCCTCGGCAACGCCACCGGCACCCTCACATTCTCCGACGAGCTCCTCTCCCTCCCGCTCGTCCTCCTCTGGGGTCTCTTATCCGACCGCGTCGGCCGGCGCACCGTCTACGGCCTCGGGTTCGCATTCATGTCCGTCGGGCTCGCGCTTTTCACCTACGCGCGGGACCTCTACCCCGACCTCCTCCTCTACCGACTGGTGTTTGCGGTGGGTGGGGCGGCGGGCAGCAGTATGATGACGGCGGTGTTGGCGGATTATGCGGCGGATGAGGATAGGGGGAAGGTCAGCGGGCTTGTGGGGCTGTTGAGTGGGGTTGGGGCGCTGGTGGCGTTGTTTGGGTTTTTGAGGGTGCCGGCGGGGTTTGGGGACGGGGAGAGGGGGTTGAGGGTTACGTATTGGATTGTGGCGGGGGTTGCGGGCGCGTTTGCGGGGGGTTTGTGGGTTTTCTTGAGGGGTGGGGTTGGGCATGGCGCGAAGGACGACGTTGCGGAGCGACGAGAGGAGGGACCACCCGTTTCGCCGCAGAGAAGCGAGAACTCGTTGACGTCGGATACGGACCGACCGTTGCTGTCGCAGACGCCGGCGCCGGATATGCAGCGGAAGAAAAGTGTGTGGCAGCTGGCAAAGGAAGGCGTTCTGGCCGCTCGCGACTCGCGCATATTACTGGTACGTATCACACCGCCCTACTTTCCCCCACCCTTCTCCTCCCACCCCCTACTCTTCTGATTCCCACCGTCCACAGGGCTACGCAGGCAGTTTCCTCGCCCGCGGCGACACCATCATCCTCACCCTCTTCCTCCCCCTCTGGGTCTACAAACACTACCTCGACACCGATCTCTGCCTCCCCACCCCTTCCAGCCCCTCCGACCCCCCCTTCGACCCGCACGACCCAGACCTCAAACTCCACTGCCGCCCCGCCTACCTCAAATCCTCCGCCCTCTCCGGCATCGCCCAAACACTCGCCCTCCTCGGCGCCCCCTTGTTCGGCACACTCTCCGACACACTCTACCGCCCCATCCCGCTCCTCCTCTCCGGGCTGCTCGGCCTCCTCGGCTATGGGTTGCTGGTCCTCCCCGCCATCACCCCGACATCCGCCATCGCGTATATCCCGATGCTGATGATCGGTCTAGCGGAGATCGGGGTCGTGGTGGGGTCGTTGGCGTTGGTCACGGCGACCGCGTATGTGCCGCGGGATGTGAGGGGCTCCGTGGCGGGTGTGTCGAGTTTTTGTGGGGCGGTGGGGATTTTGGTGAATACGAAGCTGAGCGGGGTGTTGTTTGATGGGTGGAGTTCGAGGGCGCCGTTTGTGGTTATGGCAGTTGCGCATGTGCTCTTTGTCGGGGTTGCGGGGTGGGTTGTTGGGAGAGATTGGTGGGAGGCAAGGGGGCACGTGCGGCGGAGGGATGAGGGTGTTCTTGGGGGCGATGGGCATGTTGATGAGCGGACGCAGGATGTCCCGAGGGATGCTGCCGGTTCAGGACCCCCAGCTTCTGTCATGGCAATCATGAAACATAGGTTCAACACCCGGCCGATGCAAAAGAAGCAGTAAAGGAATAATAACTGAAGTGAAGACTCTTTGTATCTTAGATATCAGGGCTTTGCTGCCCCATCTTTGTAGCATATCATTCATGTAGATAGTAGAAACATCGCAGTGGCATTCTGTATATATTGGCAAACCGTGGTATAAATACCGCAACGTCTTCTAAACCGTCGGAGGTTGCAATGACGTTTGGGAGGCTGTGAAAACGCAGGTCACCCCGGAAGGCGTGTGCTTTGTACTTGGGGTGGGGACGGTGACAACCGGAAGCGAGCGCGTTCAGGCATCCGCACTCTTTTTTTTTTTTCCCCATCTTGATGAGACCTGTGTGATACACCGGATATTGGAGCTCAATGTGCCCAAATTGTCCCGGACAAATGACCATCAGCAGGAAGCAAAACGAGAGACTCATATTCAACTGGGGATCGGTCCAGATGTATGTATCTAAAGTCTATATATTTCGTTCGTTCTACTTCTTCCCTCTCGCCTTCTGGATGGGGTTTTGTTTCGTTTCTTCTAGTTTGATCTTGAGCTCGAGCTGCTTCGTTTCCTCTAGCTTGATCTTTGAATCGAGCTCCTTTAACTTTAGGGCGAGGTCCGCAGAAGATCGTCGTGAGGAGGAGGGCGAGTTAGGGGAGGGTGCTGCGGACGACTTTTCGGACGTGACATTCACCGGTGTGGCCTGGCCGAGGACTTGGCCGCCCCCGCCACACCGGTGAATGTCAGGGCAGCGTCGAGCCCCTTCTCATACGTAGCATTGCGTGCTAAAGTTGTGAGTGTCCCTGTGGCAGTCGCAGCGACCGTGCGAGCCCCTGACAACAAAGACTGGGGATCGGTTACAGCCATATCGTCAACCAATATGGCCCCGCTGTGGTTGACGATATGGCTGTAACCGATCCCCGGAGTACGGAGAGACCGCATGGATGTGGGTGTCGGGAGAATGACGCATGCGTATGGCAATCGAGTCGGAAGGCCGGCATTCTTCATCCACTCGATGGCTTCGTCGTCCAATAGTATGCGGCATTGGTCCCGTGTTGATTCGAGAACCTTCACGATAGCTAAGAGCGCCGTGTTGACCGCAGGGTCTATTGGTTTCCATTGGATAATAATGTAGGTTTTATCGCTATCGCGCATTAATGCATGCACTACTTTGACAGCGATTCGCGCGGCGTGGAGTTTCGCTTTGAGGCCCGAGGGTGATGTTGTCCAGCGCTACGATTCGGAGGCCCGCGTCGGGAGGTGGAGGGTAGGCCGAGGCTAGGAATTGGAGGGGTTGGAGAAGTTCGCTTGATTCCGTGATGATCCGACCCGAGCTGCGCAAGAAGTCTACGACATTCATCTGCGGCTCGTACTCGGGGGGACGGTCCATATCCGTAATATCGATGGACGTAGGGGGCGTTTGGCTGACGGTTGAAGAAGGGCTGGGAGAGGAAGACATGATGAAAAGTGGTTGATGTTGCTGTGGAAGATGTGATGGTGCTGTTGATGAGACGATGTAACGATCGTTCGACTTACATCTTTCATGGCCGGGATTCGGGTACCACGTTCTATATTTATGCTTCATTTTGAGATCAATCATGTCCATTCATGCAAGGACGTTTTAGTAAAGGGCGCGATTTCGAATGGCGTTACTGCTGTATAATGGGTTACCGAATTGGTAAACTTCGCTTCCCGGTACAGCAACCGGTACGAAAAAGGGGCTTCAAGTTGATGAAAGAGCGAGTCCGTTGGAAAGTATCAATTCCCTGCTATCAGTATCAAGTCTGTCTAACAGGTGTGTAACCCCTCTGTACTCACTGGTATGGAGTCTCGTAATCGCTGCCTGCGTCGAAGGTCAACTTCGAGCTGCTACGCTGAGCGTATGTCCATCCCTTCTCAACCCGCCGCCGGATGCGGTCCACGACCTCTTCTCGAAGGCTCTTCAGCAAGGAGAGGTCTCTAGCACGCGCATAGTCCACGAGGTCGACCCTCAGCAACGTTTCCGCATGCCCAAGAAAGCCGCGACGGACTCGTTCGTCCAGGGACGACTGACGTGCGCCTTCGAGCTGTTTGTCGCGCTGATGATGGCGCGGAGGTGGGTGGTGGTGGCTGTAGAATCTGCGATGAGCCACACATTCCTTGCGTTTGCTTATAAGCACCACTTGGCAGTACCCCCTGTTCCCTTCACCTCATCTGACTTCTGGAAATCGGTCCAGATGCCCAACAGATACTTCATCTGCTCCCGGGTGCCCCACTCCCCATGGGCGAGCTTCGCCTTAACGAAGCCGTCGCGGGATTGCCGGCCGCTCCGGAGCTCCAGGGATACCCTGTCGAACAGGGCCCACATCCTGTCCCAGGTTCGGGGGGACACCTTCCCGTATATGTCGCCAACAAGGTCTAGGACCTATCCGCCGCAAATCAGTACATCATGGCCTTCCCTATGAACCACCCCAACGAATGCAGTGCCGTACCGTATCGATCGCCCCATTGAGTCTCCGATTGGAGATTGCCGACTGGTTGTGAATGCGGCGTGGTCTGCCAATCTGGGAGTCACCCACCTTGACCTTCACCGACGAGTTGCTTATATTGCCACTCAGGACGACCGAGCGTCCGCTGGTGTTGTTGACGCGGGCACCACCCTTCGGTCTGCTGTTGATGGTCGACGACATTTTGTCGATTGCTTGGGGGTATGTTCAACGGCGACCCACAAGGACTGGCAAACGCAGGGCGCTCGGACGGGCATATACCACCACCGCCAGGCATCGCCGACGCCAGCCAGGGTGGGTCTGGTGGGTGGGTGTAGAAGCAAGCAACGCGCAGCCGCCAACTGTACAACACGGCCAAACGTGGGAAACTTCTTCTACATCATCCATTGGGAAAGGCCCAAGATCGGGCAATCCTAGCTCCACGGAACGACGATGCCATGCAGTCAATGCTGCGATGCTGGAATGCCCGCTGTATAGTAGAGGTTTTATTGTAGTTCCCAAATAAATCATTTGTTGATTGTGCTCCCTTTTGCTGCTGCGTAGCAGCAGGCACCAGCCGTAGTTCGTCCATATCGACCACAAACTCCGCAACCCCGTCAAAAAACTGTCAAAAAGTATCGCAACGCTAGCCCACTTCAAACTTTAAAGCGTACAACGATTCCTCGTAAGTGGAAGCTACGTCTGATAAAAGTCCTACACCTATTATGAGAAACTATCTACGACTTGACTGCACCCTGGTTCTGATGGCAGAAATGGTCGCCGGATCCACCCCAGGAAAGCTATGGACGTTGATGTACACCTGCGTCGCGAAGAGGGAAGAGGTGAGCTGTTGCAGATTGACTTGTTGACGCCGAACGGGATTCAGGGAACGTACCCGGAGAAGATCCGCCGTCGGCACCGCTTCTACATCCAATGCCTGGGACTCGTCTTCCTCATCATGATCAGGGCGCCGCTCCCACATCCCTTGGAGCACCTGCGGGTATCTGCCCGCATACATCCGGATAATTTCTATCGCCGCCGCCGTCCTGATGGATGCAGAGTCAATCAGCGCCTCGAAGCCCCCCGGATACAACTCCTGAATCTGCGCTCAATGATGCAGACGCCGTGACGAACCTTTGTGCCTTCAAAGATGCTACGAGCAAATGATCGATGCGGTCGCAATCCACCAAGTAACTTACGAATCCAGCGAGATGTTTCGTTGACAGGAGGAGCTCGTATGCGCCTGACTCGTTGATTTGGTCGTAAATTGCGCGAATGACCCAGGTCTGCAATCACGGAAGTCAATGCGTGGAACTCCCATCGTGGCTTTCAACCATGGAGTGGGTTTATGGCATACCCACCTTCCCAATCCACGTATCCGTCGCGGCATACTCAATTCTCTGCACCGGAACGATTCCAGACTGCTCCCCTCTGCCTGAAATGCAGTCAAGCGCTTGCATGAGCTCGGAGTGATCCAGGCGTGACACGCATTTCTACAGACGCAGGGTGTCAGTCAGCCATTCACAAATCATGGGCTTTCAAAGTATCATACCTTGATAGCGCCAAAAAGGTTACTAGTAGGAGGCAGTGCAGCAATCCCCCGCAACGCATTCAGCAACTCGCTGAACGTAGCAGGCGTTTTCATCGCCAGCTGATCAAAGTGGTTCACGAACGCATCGAGATTGATTTCGGGCAGGAAAGGGCACTTCTGGAGGAGGGTCAGGACTCGGTCGTACATCGCTGGTGTTGACTCTGCACAGTACACAAACGGCAATGAGGATACTAGCCAACCGCTCCGTGGTGTGAGAAGTAGATCAATATCGTACCTTTGTCCTCCGTCAACAACCTCAAACATCCCAGCAAAACGCCATTCCAAATCTTTGGTAACGACCTCATCTGGCCCAACTTCGGTACAGACGTCAAATGCTCCAACATGCCAAGCAAGTAGCGATACTGTGGGGCAGAAGCAGATTATCATCAGGATTGAATTCTGTTTCTTTCCTGCAACAAAGGCAGTCACATAGACCGCTTACCAGTTTCTTATCCAATAGCCGATGCAGCGCGCTCTCCCACAAAGTAAGGTCGTACACATGGTAATCCAAGCATATATTGCAAATGAGTTGCACAATCTGAACCCGAAAAACACCTTTCACCGTAAGAATTGGCCCCCAGTGTATTGTTCACAAGCACTTCCACAAAGCATACCTTCAGCTCGTCCTTTTGATTAACCCACAACGACCGGACAAACGCCTCCTTATCGCACTTCTCAAATTCTCGCAAGGATTGTGCGATGCGAAGTTCTTCAAAATCGGCGAGGTAGAGGAGCATTTGCATGTACTTCCTGAAGATGACGGAGGTCGTTGGTGAGAGTGGGAATGACTAAGATCGAGCGAGAAGCAACACCTGTAAAGGGTGACTTACTTGATGTCCTCATAACCGTCTTTTGCAAGTTCTTTTGGACTGGCGAGTTGGAACAGAACGCTTAGCGCCCTGACCCGGTTCAAAGTGAGAATCTTGGACGTGGGCTGGCAGCAACAGAGCGAGAAGAGAAAACCACCATGAGATTGCTCATTGCCTATCCAGAAACTGCTTCCATATTCTGCGCAACACCGACATTGATAAACGCATACCTGACTAACAAAATTGAGCAGGTACTGCGTTCCTGATTGTACAGAAAGCGACCTCAGCAGGTACAGCAAACGCATCTGAAGCGCGATCTCCTCTCTCGAATTGAGGATGTTGTTGATCTGCACCCGCATGGAGGGAAGGTACATTTCCCGTTCTTCGTCGCTGATGGGGACTTCGGCTGATAGCCATTTCTAAGAAAGATGCGTTTGAGTATTCAGCGCTAATCTACGGATGTATCTTCCATAGGCCAAGATTAATCCAAATACCCCGATCAGCCACGTCCTGAACTCGTTAGGATTGAGCCCGGTGCGCTTGGCAATGTCGTTGACGACTCCATGCAGGTCAAGGTCATCTGCATAGTGGAGGAGCGGTGTGTCAGCGTGGTTCTTCAAACCAACCACCCATCACACGCTCCCATATCAGAAGACACTCACTCTTAGGATCCAACGCAGCTTCGCTCTTATTCCAGTACAACGTATGCATGAGATTTGTCATGGAGTCCTGCACAGATATGTACTGCTGCATATCCGCCATCCCTAGCGTGCGCAGCTGATGCTCTGTTTCGGTGACGATCAGGACTTGGCGGATCTGTGCGGAGCGTTTATCCTCAGATTTGGCAACGCCTTCTGGTATTTTGTCCGCGGATTGCTGAAAGAAAGCCAGTGGTCAAGCGGCAGGCGAAAATCAACTGCTGAGTACATTATACCTGCTCCTTGGCCTCCATCCTCTCCGTCCGCATCAGCGCCATCCGATACGAGCTAATCCGATCATGCCCACAGGGAAACCGCCTCGCCACCTCGAGAAGTGTCTCGACGGCCACAGCATCATCAGCAATATGCGTGAGCAGCCGCTTCACATCCGCGAACCGCAATTGCGGGCTGTTCGCTGTCCACGTTGCATCCGCCTCCGGTGAGCTCCGCCCGCTCGACAATTTACCACTCGTCCCGACCGTCGACGGCGGCCGCGAGTCAAACAGGTTCTCGATGGCGACCACGTAGAATTTGTCCAGCTCCAGGTCGAGCATCCTTCTTAGCGGCCGCAGACGCGGGATAGACTCCTCCGTCATCTCGGGTCCCAGGACAGACCAAGGGTCGATCGTCAGCGCGTGGTACGGCAGCCGCTGCGAGCTCTTGGGATACTTCTTTCGAAGCACATCATAAGCATCTAGCTCCAACGTTGTGATAGATCCCGTGATAACGCGGTCAGCTTCGACGAGTTCCTCGAACGCCGGTGGTTTCAGTCTCACGTAGTCGAAGAGCACATTGACGACCTCCTTGCACGATTTAGCGAGCTGTGCGTCCGGTTTGACACGCAGGATCTGCGTCGCGATAAATAACAGCCGTTCGTAGTCATACGGCGATACGCGCGGCAAGCATTCCTTTGTCAAGGTCGCAAGCATCCGATCCTTGTTCACCGCATCGTCCACGATCCCCGCCACCCTCGATTGATAGTCCGAATCCTCATCCGTGGTCAGCAACAGCCCCTTGACATACTCCATGATAACAAAATCGTCCTCGATATCGTAGCTCCTCGCAAACTCCAAACACGTAAGGATGTCAAATCCGGTGCGGACGAGCAACTGGGGCACGACACGCCGCTGGTGGCCTCCGGTCTCAGTACGGTATCTGAAGGTGTCCTTATCGAACGGGATTCCCAATAGCCGTAACTGGTGCCACCATTTCGCGTTTGCCGCGAGGTCTTCACAGCTGATTCGGAACGTACGTTGCTTCCACGCGGCAGCGACGGCAATACCGATGCCAGCGATCCGGAGCACACGGGCGTATTCTTGTCCTGTGGTGCTCATCCCGGCCTTGTAGGCTTCAAATGCTTGTTTGAGCGGCATGGATACCAGACATCCCACAGCCAGCCTCTGGTCAATCTTCCGCGTACTCATCACCGCAGCCAGCAGCCTACCCAGCGTTTCAGTGTGAAATCCAATGACGCTTTTCCACGCCGACGCCTCCCTCGGCCCTCCCGCTCTCAGAATCGCTTCCTTGGCGCGCTGGAGCACACGCAGAACAGTTTGCAGGCTCTTGTTGTTGACGAGATACTCGGCCAGCAAGCGACCTGAATGGGCGGGATGGCCGCGCTCGGCCTCCTTTTTGCCTTTTGCTGACTGCTCATCTTCCCCGACCTGCAGGCCTAGGATAGCGTTCTGGTCTTTGACAGCGGACGCGTCCAAGACGAATGAGGAGACGAGATCCATCGCTGTTTCGGTGGACAGCACCAAACTCGCCTCGCGAAAATTCTCATCAAAGAACGAAGATGCGAACCTATCGCCGATGTTCGCGAGTTCCATCTCTGTTCGCGCGGGCACCTCCTGGGGCTTCACCCGTCTTTCGCTGCTATCCCTTGACGCAGACGACGGCGAAGATGCCGAAGCCGAGGAGCCGCCGATTCCCACCGACCCACCAAACACATTAGATCCCTCCCCAGCCCCGAACAAACCACCCCTAAAGGCCTCAAACTCACTCGCCACAAGCGCCTCATAATCGCCGGCATCACACTGCGTGAAAACCGTGTGCTGCAGCTCAAAGTTCTTGAAATCGTCCAGCGCATCCTCCACATCCTCTTCCCCGCACGTGCAGAACGCCTGTGCGCTAAGCTGCACGATGCGGCTGGTCAGCCGGCAGTGCGTCTTAAACGCTTTGGCGTCGCGATACACCTGTTTGTTGCTCGCGGCGTACTGCGTCAACAGTCGCGCGACGCGTTGGAGCGTGCGAGCGGTCTCTTCGTTGGGTGATTTGTCGAAGAGCTCTTTGCAGAGTACGAGTGATGATTTGAAGTCGCCGTTGCGGGCGGCTTCTTCAGCAAGGATTCCGCGCAGTTTGGAGCGCTCGAAGCCGAGGACGTAGGCGAGGCGGTAGAGTGCTGTCTGCGAGCTGTCCGATTTGTCGTCCGCGGGCTGCGGCGATTCTTCGCCGTCAAAATTCCACGCTTTCCCCTTCCCCTTACTGGACCGCGCTCGAACGGGCGCCTTCTCTGGTTCCGCATTCCCGACATACCTATAAACCTTTTTCGCGAAAGTCGCAAGAATCTTCCTCCGCTCCAGCTCATCGCTATACGCCCGCAACGACATCATAACGCCAAACTCAGTAAACAAATGCTTCATATGCTGCAGCATCCGCAGCGCGTCGTCGTATCCGCAAATCTCGGGATCCGCAGCTGCCAAAACAAGTGCATTCCGAGCGCCGTGTGTCCCGACAGCAGTGCTCGACACGGACCCCGAGGTAGCCGACGCGACGTTCTCCGTACTCTGCAAGTTGGCCAGCTCCTCCTGCATTGAGACAATCAACTCCGCTAAAGCAACAGACGCGTCGATCGCCCATGCGAAATCGCGCTTCGCGTCTTCGCCCGCCTCGTCGGTGGCCTGCTGATGGGCAGCGGCGTCCTCCAGGACTTTGGAGAAATGCGTCGCGACTTCCTTGGCGACTCCGATTTGTTCGACGATATCCAGCCGCACGTCCAGTTCCAATTCTAGTCCATCATCACTTGGCCCGCCGGATGCGGTCGAGGGATCTTCGTGCCCTGTTTGGAGAAGCCTGTTGGCTCGCTCGATAAAGCCGTGCTCGTATAGGTTTCGAAGGCGGATGCGGTAGGCTTGAAGTACACTTATATGGTGGTAGGCGCTCACAACCTACGGCAATCACAAAAAATTCAATGTTCCTCCGAAACTGAAGATTACCTCCAAATATTACCTGCATCACATCGTCCATCGCATGCATCACGTCCATCCGCCCAAGAATGCGTGGCAAGAGACCTTTAAGTCGAAAGCATCAGCTAACCGCGACACTTCCCTTCGAAGAAGCACCTAGGCCAGCCGCCCCTAACCTTTCGCAAGCACCTTATCCGAGATATTGAAAGATCCAATCCCATACGACACCAACATCCGCTTCAACTTCAACAACCGGTACTGTTCGCGCAGCTCCTCTCGTCGTCTCATCACGGGGTATTTTAACGTCTGCAGAAAAAACATGTGAGCGTTTGCGGAAACTGACTGCGAAAGGCCCATCAAGAGAAAACGCACAGCCAAAAACACCTCCCCGACATCACTACCCCATGGTACCGGCGTCCTTTTCATCAACTCCATCACCACATCGGCCTTCACATCCACATCGACCACGTATAGCAACACACACAGCACCCGCGCCTGCCACGAGCTATCCGCCATTGCGCGGGACCCCGCAGCAGCCGCGATAGATCCGTCCATAAGGTCGACGCAGTACTCCGCCAGCAACTCGTCGAATGCCAGGTTGTTGCGCTCGACATAGCACCGGAAATGTTTTTCGATGGCGCCGCCGAGGAGTTCGGGGGCGGCGACGCGGTCGAGAAGGTCCTTTGCAATGTCACTGGTGGAGAGGCGACTGTAGTCGTTGAGTGAGATGTAGAGATCGTGTTTGTCCCACAGATAGACCAAGTCGTCGAGTTGCTGTTTCAGCCCGTTCGCCCAAACTTTTCCGCTGCTGCTTTCTGACCCAAAGGTTGAAAGGCCGCTGGTTTGGGCAAAGAGAATGGCGTTCTCAACGTAGTAAGCCGGTGTGGCGGGTGTGAAAAGTTGGTGGTCGCGAGCTGTGGTGGTGGGGTCTTTGCTGGCGTCCGTGACTTGGTCACACATACCGGGGAGGGCTACGCTGTCTAGTAGGCGAACAACCTCCAAGGCGCCGTGGGGTCGCTTCTCTCGTGCCTCGACGACTCGAGCTCTATGCTCGATCCATATCGCCAGCTTATGGCGATCGCCGGTCCGCTGAATGATCGGGAGGACGTCCATCTTCAGCCATGGCACATAGTCTTCTAGGGATGCGTGCTCGGGGATGTCCGATACAATGTCGTGAATGTGCGGCAGCAATTCCTCGTCTACCGAGATCATGTCAGCTCAACAACCACAGCGGAACGTACGCCAAATGTCCTTCTCACCCAAATAGTGCCTCTTCCAAACAGCAACCGCCAACCTCAAATCCCCGCTCCTCAGCATCTCCCTCATCTCCATCACAAAGTCCACCGTCCTCATCGCCTGCCACTCCTGCGCATTAAACCCATCCGCATCACGGAGAAGCCGGGGATCCCACCCCGCTCCCGCGCCATGTCCAAACGCGCCTCCATATCTGTTCATCCTCTCGAACGAGATCAGTTGATACGTGCCGATCCGCCTGATTGCCCGATGTAGGGCTAGGACTTTGTCGGTCGATATGTCTGATCCTTTAGTGGTTTCGTTAATGAGAACTCGCGCGAAGGTGAGGATGCTGTAGGTCGACCTGAATGTCGGGAGCGTGATCTGCAGGCAGTAATCGATCGCGAACTCTTCATCCTATGGGCAAGATGTTTCATGACGTCTTTACATAGCGAAGGGACGAACTGGGCGAGTGACCTACCTCTACGCTCCGCAGCTCATCCATCAAAGTCTGTGCGAAATGGTCGGCCCCCTTAGACTCAAGCAGGGCATGCAGATCAACATTTCGAGCCATTTGATCTAGTTTGGCCTTGAGAACGTACTGCAAGAGCATTGCCACGTCAGCGACAAGTCCGCCATACCAGAATCACCATCCAAAGTACCTGCACATCCAACCCGAAGTCCAGCGCAAACACTTCCGCTTCCTCAAACCGCCGACTCTGAAGAAGCTGCTCAAACCGATGATAGGGAACCGTCTCTTGCAAGGTGCGTATATAAAACTTTGCGGACCTTCGCCAGCGTATTCCATCAGCTCCTCTGCCATGCCACTATTTTCGTAGACTTGCACCCACCCATCCTCATTCGACAAAGCCTCCACGAATCGAAACCCAGACCCGTCATCCACCGCACTGGCTTCCCGCGAGAACAGCCACGAAGCTTCGGACACACGCAGTTCCTGCATCACGGTGAATGATGGCAATCGGATGATTTGGACGACTCGGCCTCCTTTCGCATTTGTGAGAGCTATGATGGTCGAATCGGGCATATCGATGGCGTTGGAATCGTGAAAAACAAAATCGACGAGGTTGGTGTTGTCGTAGTGGTACAGTTTGAACAGACTGTTTATGTCCATCAGGTTCAGCATCCACTGGAGAGCATTATCCGATAATAACTTACCCATGAGAATCCCAGATCGACAGCCTGCCGCTATCATCAAGCATGATCAACCGCCGCCCGGAACGATCCGCCTCGGCTTGAACAACCGTGCGGCCTTTCAACAAGAGTTTGACGGCGTCCACTTTCATCGTCTTCTGCGTAACTCGGGACCTCTGCCATACCGAGAGGGGCTGTTCGCCTGCAAAAGCAGTCTTTGTGTTCAGAGGGGTGCGAATGATGTATTGTTAAGGGCGAAGTGGATACTCACCGCTGCCCACGACGATCAAGCGCTCGGCTCCTTTGTGATCCCACACGGTTACCATGTCGCGTACACTCGTTAGGCCCGTCCCGTCGTTCAGGTCCACTCGTTCCATGGTTATGGCTTCGTACAGCTTTATCCACGCGCAATCACGTCAGTACAGACTTCCATGCCCAAACGAATGGTGGGATGCCACGTACCTCTTTCGCCCTCTCGAGGTCATTCGCGCAAATCGCGGCATCCAGCCCTTTCGTATCAATGTTGGAGAAGCGGAGGAGTTGCATGTCGCGTAGAACAACGAGAAGCTGATCGGCGCCTTTCCTATCGATGTACCCGGATACACCACTTTAACCTGTAAATTCACAGCTCTCCAACATGACACAACGGCTCAATTAACTCTCCTACCCCTTGGCAGCAACAAAGCCGACCCACACAAACGTCGGCGGGCCCTCATCCTCCACCGCTCCCAAAAAGACATCCCTAGAGAAAACGACCGAAGACGTGCCGAGATGCACGAAACGAAGGGTGCCGAGTCTGTCCGCAACTACTATGAACGATTCGTCCCGACTGAAGGCCGTGCGTTCCACTAGACAGTCTGCCCAAGTCTCAATTCAGTCTGCGTTCCGTCTTCTGAGTCCGAAATGACATGCCCCTCAGAGCAAGAGAAACTAACCCAACGCAATGGTAGCTCGATGCTCGGAGCAACCAGCGTCAATCAAAAATACAGTATCTGCAACCGACACGCATAACCCGTCCGGCCCGTGGATCGCCGTGCATCGCAGCGACTACTCAGGGATGTTTCATCGCCACATGAGTAAATCATGTTCCGGTCTCCCTCCATGTGACACGCATTACATATATCAAACACACCTCCTCCGCATTGATCCAAGCCAGCGTCTCCACTTTGTGCACCGTCGTCTTCGCCAATCCGGTACCCTTGCCTCTGGAGCTCTGGAAACCCTGCGTAACGTCCTCGCATAACCTGTCGTCGTCCACTCCCTCCTTTCCCACGAAATGCACGACGAGTCCACTATCCGCGTGGGAGTCGCTAGTCTGCTTCTGTCCTCTGCGAATAAGGTCCGTCTGAGCCTCCTCCTCAACGTCCTCGGTGTCGTAATTTGCCAGCATTATCGCGGGAGTGCGCGTGGGAAAATGCAGTTAGTATTCCAGTCCCCGAAGGTTTATAGGAACACCGAACCGCACGCGAGGTGTCAAGGGTCGTCTCAGTAGGAAGGGGTTCCAGGAGTGCTGCCGGACAAGACACCGCCTTGGGAGTATGGATTCACGGTAGCTGATTGCTGGTGATTGAAGTAACTGATGTTTTAGCGAGCCGAGGATGACGAAGGATGAAGGAACGCATTCGGACACGAGACTTTCGGTCATTCGGACATGCATCGGGACGCGTGCGCTCCCACAAACCCCGACGAACTGCACGCAAGTGGCGACGTGTATGGATCGGAGTGATGTGATACATGTACAGAAATGGCACTGGGATGTGTCGCTCAGAAAAGTTGCGATGTGCCAATTCGCAACATCGATGTCCACATAGTCGTTTCAGCAGTATTTCGCTGAACTGGTTCTGGACTCCTCAATGTCTAGCGGACTTCATGGAGTCCTCGGAATAGCCAATATTATAGGTCTTTCAATTTGGTCCATGGCTAGATGTCCGAATGATGCGACTCCCTCCACCCACCCGCCACCCGCCGCCGGAACCACGACGTTCCCTGGGACATCAGACCAACGGGTACTTTCTCGAATCGCAGGCACCTCTTGATTCCACGCACTGCATCACTCGTGATCTCGCAATTCCATTTGACAGAAATCATATGTCATGGCTGGTAAGCATGTTCCAAGACGCTAGAAAGAGCCATGTGACTACAACAGCATCTTTGTACGTAGCGATCCCACGTTAAAAAAAGAATGCGTCCTCCAATGACACATAACACAAGAACTGGTATAGTGTCTCTTCACAGCTGCCTTCATCCGAGGTCATCTGTCCACTGCCTCGCCCGTTGCCGCCCAGCACCACCAGACGACCTCCCACTGCCTGAAAAGACCTCCGTCCGGCACAGGCATGCCGTCCTCACTGTTTTCGTGCGTCTCAGCGAAAGGTACGGGTGTGTTTAAGGGATCGCCGACCGAGTTCTCGTGCATGGCCCACACCGAGAGACGAGGATCCCCATTGTCTTTGCTCCAAAAAAAAAAATTCCAAAGAAAGCCCCCTAACTCCCACCCCACTACGCCTCGTCTCTCGTCCCCCTTTCACTCCCCCGCCGCGGCATGGGCGGCGTCGCATCAACACCACCCCCCTTCTCCTCATCACTACTCCCATCGTGCAGAAACTCCGATTTGCGCGTCTGTCGGCTGATATTGGCCGTGCCCGTGCCGGCCGTCTCGCTACCTCTCGTTCGACAACCCGTCTCGCTGGTGCGGTAGGATTTGTCTTCTATTTCGTTTTTCCGTAAACTACACGACAACCAAAAAAAAAAAGACATACCACCCCATTACTACTGCGCCCGAACGGGAACGAGGACTTCTTGATGTGCCGCACATGACATACCCATAACACATTATCGCAAAAACAGGCGTCAACAACGTCGGGAGGATGAGGATCCAACAGCTGCCGACGATGATCGAGTACGGCAGGAAAGATTGGATCTCGATGCGGTACAGCCCGAATGTGCATAATGTGACGCAGTAGGCGACGTCCAGCATGAAGAGGGCTGTGAGGGTTACGATCGTCTGGATGGGGATATAACAAAGAAGAAGGGGTGGTTTCGGGTCAAAGTCAGGTGTAAATGGAAGAACGTGAGGTGGATGAATCCAAGCTTGCTTACAGTAACAATCGACCGCCTAAACTTGGCCTCATTCGCATTCTTCACGGTATCCCTATGCGAGTTCGTCATGCTCGTCATTACGCGCTCGGTCTCCAGCAGCGCCATCATCAGCTGCCCGCCGAAATACACAAGCACTATCCCGATAAGGACCAGAGAGACCGTCCACGAGAAGCAGAACAGGCGGAAGAACGCCCATGCCCTGTCTGGGCGCAGGGTGTCGCGCGAGTGCCCGTCGAGGGTCGCGGCGGTGGGGATGATGATGGTTGGCAAGCCGACGAGGAGGATGAGTATCCAGTTGAGGACTTGGGGGGAGGGGAGGCGGACTCGGACGGTGATGTTGCCGACGAGGCGTTGCCGGGGGATGGCGAAGACTCTGGGTGGTTTGTGAGGAGGATTTTAACACCTAGTCCTCCGAGTTGTTCTGCCAATAAGATTTCACACGTACATGCCGACTGTGAAAACTACAACTGCATCATAGAAAAGCACGAAGGAAAAAACTTGCTGCCAGGAAACCATTCAATGCCGCCTATGTGTAAATGGGAACTCCGCAGAAAGTCCAACGATCCAAATCACTTACAAAAAACTCAGTAGCAGCCTCACTCCCAAACCCCGTCGGCGACAGACATATCACCGTCGAATACATCGCCCTGCCAAATATCCCAACCGTCGCAACGACCAAGAACCCCTCGACAGCACGCGGGCGCAGCGCCCCGCCGGAGAACTCAAGGATCCGGTGGCCCTTTCTCCACAGCGGGACCACTTTGCCGTTGCAGGCCCACAAACCCATCGCGGCGAGGATGAAGCACCAGACGGAGTGGATGGCATAGATCGCTTGCCAAATTTCAGCATTTTTACTAGAGACAGGGAGATAATGATCTTGCGGATTAATGTGCGAGTTCCTCATGCAATTAATCGAATAGGTCCCCTTACCAATCTCGGATGTGCACGCGCCATTCACACCAGTCGGAGTTGAACCACTGTGAGGGTCCATAACGTTAGGCATCTGCGAAACCCTGAGAACATAAATGGAGGTCGGCAGCGGTTTCAAGTTACCCCTTCTATGATCTCTGCCTGCCGTTGAGCTAACGTGTCCTGCATCCTGGACAATCAATGCGTACGCGATATATGACAAGATCCTACAAAATGAGGGCGGGGAGCCGAATATCTCTCAAGTATGTTTCCCCCCAACCGGTGAAATTCTGTCCAACAAATAGGCGGCCGGCGAGAGTTCCGGTTGCAACTGTTGGTAATGCTGGGCCGTCCAGCCTCGAGCTAAAGTCAGGATGGTCTGGATGGTGCGCAACTTGGGTTGTTGACGGTCGGTGACGTGATAAAGGCCCCGTTACAAGCTCCGAACAAAGGAGTTTTAAGCGCTTTGAGTAGCTTTGAGGAATTCGTTCCGAGATTGCGGCACGGTGCTGTTGGGAAGATGCTGTCTATTTTCGGGAAGGTTTGAAAGGCAGTTTGAAAGGTTTAAAGACCGCAATAACGCAGCCACCTGCGTGACTCCTCTGAATTCATGGGGTCAAGGCAATCCACTGCGACCGCATAGCAACGGAAAGCCCGTCAAAAGGTGAATTGGAAAGGGAGACGTGGATCTTGATGAGGGGGGGATCTCGAGGAATGACACCGTGGGTGGACCCCAATACATGTGCGCTGATGGACTGGGAGGAGGACATGTTGAGATAATACGCGGAAGAGACGAGTTGTACGACGGTAGGCGAGGATAGCCCGTTCCGTCTTGGCGAGTCGCTTGGATGTGCCCGTTCATTGGGTTACATTCCTTCGACAACTCCGCACGTCGGGCAACTTATCACGACGTTCAAGAGCCGCTTGACATGATTGGCGACGATGATAACCGCTCAGCATGCACCTAAATTCTGTCCCTGCGCTCGCATGCAGGTGCATGCTCGGCAGAGTCTGCCGTCACATACCGGAGGGTTGATCGGGATGTCATTGAGGTGGAAGGTATATTGGCGCGTGGATATGACAGCTTTGAGTGGGCGGAGGGAAGACTTTGAACAGGAGATGAACGGGGACAAAGGATAGTTGAAGTTAAAGACGACGTTAACCAATGCCGAGTGCGAACAAACCGGTGTGGCTAGGGTGCAGTTTCGATAGTGTGTTGTCCGGCAGCACGCTCCCGACGAAAGCGGCGACTCATGAAGAGGGATGGACGAGAGACGCACTTGCTCCGCAGACAACAGCGCATCGCTCAAACCATTATACGGAACAAGGGTGGATGAGTCGGCCACTCCACGTATATTTGGCCAACGTATAGGGTGCCGGGCAACACCAACCATCCGGCGCAACGAGGATGTTGGCGCTCTCGATTCTAGCCATTTTTGCAGCGCTTTTCTCCATATAAGCTTTTGGAGTCTGGATCCTCTCAGCTCGTTCAGGTTTCTTATGGATTGTTCGTCACCGATGTTATAGGGGTCACTTCCTGTAGGATTTGCACGCGTTCATGTGGCTATGAGAGAAACGGCGGCGCCACATACCGCGCAAATAAGGCCATTTCCCACGGGCTTTCGCAAGACGTCAAAACAACAAGCAACAGGCCTTTCCCCGCCGCACTCATCTCACCGTCTTTCCCATCATCAAAAGGCATATCGCTCCGTGAGAGACTCCTATCCCCGTCTGTCAAGCGATACGTTAGCAGGTATGTCTCATCAATGTTGGCATCTTCCCACGCTCCGGCAATCTCATCTCGTGTTTGGTCGCTGCTGTCTAACCGTTTGCCCCCTACTTACGCCTATCCCATTTCTCCATCGACAGTTTTCAGACCTAGAAGGGAACGCAAGAGTCGGTTGAAATGTGTGGAATCTTTGGTTACTTGAACTACTTGGTAAGACTTCGCACAGCGCCTTTTGAAACCGTTGGAATCTTGCGCCATCGCGGGAATTCCCCCAACCTTCTACCTGTTACTCACACTCAAACTCACTCTCCGGTCACCGTCAGGTTGAGAAAGACCGTCGCTTCATTGTCGACACGCTCTTGACCGGTCTCTCCCGTCTCGAGTACCGCGGCTATGATTCGGCCGGTATAGCCGTCGACGGCGATGTCGAGGACACCGTGAACGTGTTCCGCCAGGTCGGCAAGGTCAACGCACTTCGTAAGAAGATCAACGAAGACAAAAGCATCGACTTTGAGAAGACTTTCGTGGCCCACACTTCTATGGCTCACACCCGATGGGCGACTCACGGTCAACCTAGCGAGAGGAACTCCCACCCTCACCGTAGTGACCCTAAGAACGAGTTTTTGGTCGTGCATAACGGTATCATCACGAACTACAAGGTGAGTGATGCCATTGCTTTCAGCGAAAGGCTACGTTTGCATCGATATGCTCCCAGACCTCAGCTAATCTGACCGCGCACTTCATTATAGGAATTGAGGACTGTCTTGGAAAAGAAGGGATACGTGTTCGAGTCTGACACTGACACGGAATGTATCGCAAAGCTCGCAAAGTACCTGTTCGACTCGCAAAAGGGAAGCAAGCCACTCACATTCACTGCTCTGACGAAGGCTGTCATCAAAGAGCTCGAGGGAGCATTTGCACTGTTGCTGAAATCTACCCACTACCCGCACGAAATCGTCGCCACCCGTCGTGGATCCCCGCTCCTCATTGGTGTCAAGACCGAGAAGAAGCTCAAGGTAGACTTTGTGGACGTTGAGTTTGGTGTTGGAGACGCACGGAACCAGGACAAGCTTGCGGAGGACAGCGAGAACTTGTTGACGCCCGCGGACCCCACCCACCCCAAAATCCACAGGAGCCAGTCGCGTGCATTCCTGAGCGAAGATGGCATGCCTCAGCCGATCGAATACTTCTTGGCATCCGACCCTTCGGCTATTGTGGAGCACACCAAGCGTGTGTTGTACCTCGAAGACGACGACATTGCGCACATCAACGAGGGGGAATTGCACATCCACCGTCTCCGTCGTGACGACGGTATCTCCGCTATTCGGTCCATCCAGACACTGGAGATGGAGATTGCAGAAATCATGAAGGGATCCTTCAACCACTTTATGCAAAAGGAGATTTACGAGCAGCCCGAGTCGGTGGTTAACACTATGCGTGGTCGTGTCAACTTCGACGACCACACCGTCAATCTGGGAGGTTTGAAGGCGTACTTGTCGACCATCAGGAGGTGCAGGAGGATTGTGTTTGTAGCTTGCGGAACGAGTTTCCACAGTTGCATTGCGGTGAGTGAAAAACGAAATGAATTTTTTCCGTTCGACAAGACTCTTGCTGAACACCCGTAATTGACTTCATGCCAGACCCGCGCCATTTTCGAAGAGTTGACCGAGATTCCTATTAGCGTCGAGCTAGCCAGCGACTTCCTTGACCGCCGCACGCCCATCTTCCGTGACGACGTGTGCGTATTCGTGTCTCAATCCGGCGAAACGGCCGACACGATCCTCGCTCTTCGCTACTGCCTCGAACGCGGGGCGCTCTGCGTCGGCGTCACCAACACGGTCGGCTCCTCCATCTCCCGCGAGACGCACTGCGGTGTCCACCTGAACGCCGGCCCCGAAATCGGTGTCGCTTCCACCAAGGCGTACACATCGCAGTTCATCGCACTGGTGATGATGGCGCTGCAACTCTCTGAAGACCGCATCTCCATGACCGAGCGCCGCAAGCTCATCATCGACGAGCTTCACGAGCTTCCCCGCTACATTAAAGAGACCCTCGCCCTAGACCAAGAACTGCAAACCCTCGCGCGGGACGTCCTGCACAAGGAGAAGTCTCTTCTCATCATGGGCCGCGGGGCACAAAACGCCACTTGCCTCGAAGGCGCGCTCAAGATCAAGGAAATCTCGTACATGCACTCTGAGGGCATCCTCGCCGGCGAGCTCAAACACGGGCCCTTGGCGCTGATCGACGAGAACATGCCTGTGATCCTCATCATGACGCGGGACTCGCTGTACCCGAAAGTGCAGTCTGCGCTGCAGCAGGTGACGGCGCGTAAAGGCGCGCCGATTATTATTTGCAACAAGGAGGACACGGGGATCAGTGATCAGTACCGCACGATCCGAGTGCCGTCGACGGTGGATGCCCTGCAGGGGATTATTACGGTTGTGCCGTTGCAGCTGTTGTCGTACCATTTGGCGGTGCTGAATGGGGTTGATGTGGATTTCCCGAGGAACTTGGCTAAGAGTGTGACTGTTGAGTAGATGTTGGTGTGTTTGTGGAACAGGGAGACGGACAGACGGCAGTTGTTGTGGTGGCTTGCTGGGTGGGTGGAAATGAGAAAGGTTTTTGCAGCAGCCCCGTGGATTACATGAAAGAACCCCATCACGTTCCTTTTCCTTTCTATGCATTGCAAAGCTTTGAGTTCTGTGGAACCTTCTTAAATCTGTGTGTAGTTTTTCCAATACACTTATTTTTTGTTTTGATCCTTCAAGATGTGAAGCATACTTCAATTCTCCTACACGTTCTCGATAGTACCGATATGACCCTGGAAGAGGCCATTTCAGGAAAGGGGATGAGGGACGCGATTCACGGACTGACAGGAGGAAGGACAGGAGGAAGGAGCCGCAAGCCCCAGAAGCCTCGTCCCTCGAAAGCCCTTCCTCATCTTGCGGGTCCCTGCACTCACTCAGCCCTGCCACTTTCTTTCTCACTCCAGCGAGCAGCCGCAACCGGCATAAAAGCAGCACAGCACAAGCCACTGCAGACGTTGTCTTCCATCTTCCCATCTCCATACCTCGTGATCTCCTCTCCATTTACCAACCATCGACCATCAAAGATGTCCCCATCAAAACTCACCACCACCACCAACCTCACCCCAGTCCCCACCTCCCGCGTCCTCTCCCTCCTCCCCACCTCCCTCGGCAACACCATCGCCTGGTCCTCCGATCTCCTCACCTCGGGCGCCCTTCTTGTCGTCGGGAAGTTGTTGCCCGCGCTGCCGAAGAATGAGACGGATATGACGGGGAAGGTTGTTGTCGTTACGGGGGGGAATAGCGGTATGTGGTTCAGATAAAGCTTCATCAATGAGTTGAGATGAAGTCCGGATCGACTGGATGATTGATTCCGCGATGTGTAGGAATCGGACTCCAGATCGCGACCGACCTCGCCCGCCTCGGCGCAACCGTCATCCTCGCCTGCCGCAACCTCTCCAAAGCCGCCACCGCCATCGACCAAATCCTCTCCCTTGTCCCCACCGCCAAAGGCCGGGTCAGCGCACGCGAGCTCGACACTTCCCTCAAATCCTCCGTGCAGAACTTTGTAAAGCAATGGGACCTGGGGAAAATCGACGTACTGGTCAACAACGCCGGGATCGCCTCCTCTGACGCCGAGTTCACGAAAGAAGGGTTGGAAACAATGTACGCGACCAACTTCCTCGGCTCGTTCCTACTCACCTTTTTGTTGGACGCCCACCTGGCCCCCGACGCCCGCGTGGTGTTCACATCTAGCACGGGGCAGTACGGCGGCTCATTCGCCCCCGATTTCGCATTACAGTCCACCCCCAACGTCGCGGAACCGGGCTTCCACCACCCGAAATTCACACTCCCCGTCGTCGGCACCGTTGTCGCCAGGAAGGCGCCGGAGACGAGGTACTCGAACACGAAGCTGATGCAGGTCGTGTTTGCTAAACTTCTCCAGAGACGATACGACGCCGCTTTCGCCAAGGATAAGAATGCGGGCAAACGTACAGCCCACGCGTTCACCCCCGGGTTTACCTTCACACCCATTTTCTCCAAGGTCACAAAAACCAGTATCTTCACCGACCCGCTGTTCGAGACGCTGAAGGCTACCACGCGCCTTGCGACGGATGTCAGTGTGGGTGCGGCTACCGGAGTGTGGTTGGCGAGTACGCGGGATGAGAGTGTGTGGGGTGAGGGGGGAGGGTATTGGGATCGAATGACCAGGCGCGTGAGTGGGGCGGATGTGATGCCGGAGGAGACGTTGGAGAAATTTTGGAGCAGGTGGGCTAGTGATGCGGGGGTGGAGTGGCGGTAGGGGACGTGCGGGGGGAGTGGGTTTTGGCTACTATAGTCTACTTTAGTCACTTTTCAGTGCGTGGTGTATTACCGCCCCCGTCGTTACCTCGTATTTTCTACATATCTTCCAATACATGTGCATTGAACGAATATGCAGCGCGCTGGGAACATGGCCTTGAATCTCTCACGTTTAAAGTGAGGAGTGAGGAGTTGTCATTAGGCCTTTCCAACAGGCATTTGCACGGACCCCTCGGTGCCGGAAACCCCGCGACACTGCACATCGCGTCCCTCCATTGCCTCGGACGACACTGCTGATGCACCGGTTTGGGTGTCATGAGTTCCGGTCTTCATCGAAGCCGTGATAGACTGGAGTGAAGTAAGCAACAGCCAAAACAAACACTACCAGGATTGATGAGAACGCGGTCCTTGAGGAAAAGGCAGTTCATTGATTGGAATATTTGCGACAGAGCCTACCCCACGTACCCGCCATACATGTAGTAAGGTTGTGTTGAGCTAGGTCCGCATTGAAAAAAAGGAAAGAAGGTGGAGGAGGTTTTGACGGGTATGAGTCATCTGACGCGTTACGTGAGCTCAATTGAGGCCCCAGTTTCGCGGTTTCCGTTCGCTTCTGGAAACACGGATTCCTCGAGCGCATAAAAAGGCTGCGAACCCCATGCTATCCCCCCATTAACAAACAACAGACAACTTAGATTAGAGGCAGCGAGCTACGGTAGCCATTATGGACATTGACCTCCTCAACATCTATGTCGCCGACAAGCGCCTCCGCCGCCAAGTCCACCCCACCGAAGACCTCTTCATCTGGAACTATACGGAGATAACGCAGCTGCAGAAGCTCTGGGACCCCATAACCACCCAATGCCGTGCGCTAGTCACCAACACCGACGGAACGATCATCGCGCGCTCGTTCCCCAAATTCTTCAACGAGAACGAACAACTCTACGAAGCCACGGAGGAGTTCACGGTCCAGGAAAAGGTGGACGGAAGTCTGGGGATACTGTTCCACTACCGTGATCGCTGGATCATGGCGAGTCGAGGGAGCTTTACGAGTCCGCAGGTGGCTGGTTTTACGAGTCAGACGGTGTGTCGGTATCCGAGACGGCCATTTGGGGCTGGGGGTGAAGGTGAGCTGTGCGGATTGCTAAGGGTGGTTGGGGACGCCTGACTGTTATGATCTCGATGACAGAGGCGGAAGCGAAGAAGAGAAGACAGAGCGAGAGTGATAGGCGACAAGAGATTGTATTGGCGAACAAGAAACAAGGACTAGAACAGGAGATGAGAAGAACTGGTGTTGATCTGCTGGGGAGGAAGGGAATGGACAAAGAGAGGCCGGCTATTTATAGATAGACAACCCAGCAGATCAAAGAACAACAACAACAAGAGGGGACTGGGGGGGCGTCAGCTAGACTCCTAGAGCGGGCGTGGCGAGCGTAGAGAGCATTGCTATAGCTGCTGGCTATGGAGAAGTAGTGGGGGCTGTGGAGAAGCCGTGGGGGGATTAGCCAAATGAGAGGAGAGAGGAGGAGTGGCGATATTGCGGGAGGATTGGCAAAATGAGAGGAGAGAGGGGAGTGGCATTGACATTGACACTGACCTTGACACTGACATTGACACTGACATTGACATTGGTGTATGACATTGGCGGCTGTCAGTCTGCTGTCATGAGGTAAGCTTATGGTATGGGCGCGTCTGTAACGTCAGAGGAAACGTAGGCGATATTGGGCCCTTCCGAGAGGGCTGAAAGCAGTGTATTGTAGTGAAGAAAAAAGTAAGAAGCTCTTCGCAGCGGCCGCTCAACTGATAGCTTTATATATGGGCTGCCAGTGGGGCTTGCGTGCCTTCAGTGGGGCTTGGCGCCTTATGTAATGTATCACCGAGAGCTTGGGTGGCCAGCCCAGGTCTCGGATCAAGTAGAAGTAAAGAGATATAATATGAAATACAAGTGAAGATGAGATATCCCCAACACCTCCCTCAGATCCTGAGGAGGGCGCCGAATAAATAAGAGGTGAACTACGAGGGATATGTGAAGAAAGGGAGAGCTCATGTTCATTTTAAAGTGTTGACGCACTTGTTCATTTTATAGTGTTGACGCACTGTGTGATGTGTGTGTTTGAGGCAAAGGCGTCCCTAAGCCGATGTCGTGTGTGATGTGTGTGTGTAAGGTCGGTTCTTGCGTCGCCGCGCGTGATGTGATGTAGTTTACGTCGCTATTGTCAGCGGTGTGATTGATAGTGAGCGGTTCTTGCGGCGTCGCGCATGTGATGTGATATGAGATGCTCTATGCTGTTCGTCTCCGTATCCACAAAGATTGTGGATGAGCTTTTCGCCATCGTTTGTAGGCAGGTGTGTAGCGAAGTGCGGATTCACGTTCCCAAGTAGGGTCAGGATAACCGAGCCATTTGTAATGAGGTGCTGCAGGTGTCACCTTAGTGCGGGGAAGCGCGTAGGGCATGAGATCACGTGTAGCATAGATTATATTCGGGTTCTACGCTCTGGGGTGACTCCCGAGGGAAGAAAAGCCTTCGGGCGGCGCCCCGGGAGGTAGAAACTCTAGAATTCTTTCAATACATCAAGCGGAGACAGAGCTAGCCTCTGGCAACGGACCTAGCAATATTACATGGTAGCACCACCCTTCAAGATCTCTCCGGCAACCTACGATGAGCAATTCTCAGGCGGGTGCTAATACCGCCGTCAGCTATGCGATAGTTAACAATGACCGCTTAGAGCTTGACCCATTTGAACACCCGCATCAAAGGGTGCAACGGCTCGACGGAGACCAACCCCATGGCAACGGCCCCGCAGAGCGTAACCGCCCCTTGCACAGGCGCAGGGGGTCACCTCCGTGGTCGCCACCTGAAAGGAGGCACTCCCGCTCACGCTCACCCCGTCGACGTCAAAGGCCGGACCCCCGACGCCGGAATCGGACGCCAGAGCAATACAGGCGCGGACGACAAGGTCGCAGGAGCATCTCCCCACCCCGTCGAAGGAGCCGCTCAGCAAGCCGCTACGGCAGCCCCCCGGCGAGGACCCGAAGCCGCTCCCCCATGCGGCGCAGGAGCCGTACCCCAGCCCGACAGGAGAACGGACAGGCAACAATCCTCCAAATCCTAGCCCAGCTGGCCAACACCAACGCCCCACTCCAGCAGCGATTCGAGCGCCTGGAGAGGGACCGCCCAGATGACAGCCCCTTCGCTGGCGTACGAGTTAGCCGCGAGGACCATTTGGCGGCTAGCGAAGAGCGTAAGCGCAAGGCGGCCGCCGAGAAGGAGTTCCGTACCACCTTGGCTAAGATGCTGACCAAGTTCGATGGTAAGGCTAACGGTAAAGACATGGTCGCCAAACTGGACGAGTTTGTCGACGCCCACCTACGCTATCTGGAAGCCACCGAATTCAGAACGGAGGACGGGGACGTGAAACACTTTGTAGCCCACTTGTCGGCAGACGCCGCTGAGTGGTGGAAGCTCGAGGCTCGCTCCGGAGAGCCTCCGCCACCCGGGAACGGTTCCTGAAGGCACTCAGGTGCAGGTTCTACCCCGCCAACCTCCGTAATTCGGTCGAGGCGAAACTGGCCGCCCTGAAGTTCAAAGACAGCATGCCAGACTACGTTTGGGCCTTCAACGCACTGACCACACAGATTGCTATCCTCCCCAAAAAGTAACATCTCATGCCGCGACAGGAATGTGAGTACTTCCTGAACGGGCTGACCTTCCACCAGGTCGGACGTCGCATCCGTGAGCAGTGGTTACCAGTTCATCCTACAACAGGGCAATGAGGACGAAGACATCCCCATCAAGACCCTCCAGGAAGCCGCCCAGAGGGCCTTCCGCATCAGGGGTTATGCCGACGGGATCGCCCGCATTTTGGAAGACGGCAAACAGATCCAACCCGCTACGGCCACTCCGGCCCAGGCTCGCGACAAGCGCGATACGCCCCGCACCTTCAACTCCAACCGAGTACCCCTTGGGAAGGAGAGGAAAACTCAGCGAGGCGAATGTCACACTTGCGGCAGCAAGGACCACTACGCCCGAGCGTGCCCTAAGAACCCGGACCGACTCAAGATCTCGGCGGGGCCCAACGAGGCCTTCGATGATGACAACGACAAGTTCCATTCGGCCGCGGAGGAGCCCCCGAGCCCCGCATACTCCGTCAACAGTCAGGATTTTCGCTTCAGGGCCTGACCGTCTGCAGCGCCTCAGCGTCCAGACAACCCGAGGGACCTACTGGACCCCGACTGCAGGACACCATTCCGGAATACCGCTCTGGGCCCATCATCGACAAGCACACGTTCATGGTCCATGGACGTGTCGGCGGCATCTTCTGCTGCATCCTCATAGACACTGGTTGCAATACCATGGTCATCAGCCACTCATTTGCCCAACGCCATGATCTTAACACGTACGACTGTCCCACGCCCCTCGAGGTGCGCTGGGGTGACAAAGCCGGATCATACGGCGCCACGCGGATGATTTGTGCCGACCTCTCCGTCTTCACGGAGGAACGAATACCTCATAAGACCCCTCCGGTCCCGTTCGTTGTGGCCCCGATCCGCGCGGATGTTATCCTAGGGCTACCCTACATCCTGGACCTTGACCTCATACACTTATGGTGCGACAATGGGTTCCCGGCGCTTCAATTCGAGGCTAACGCAACCGTACTAACTTTCTGGACTAAACCCACCACCCGCCAATGGCAACAACCCAGCGCTTGCGCGGCCCGGTTACTCGAACCTCATACGGGCCGTCGCCCCCGCCGTTTCTACCCAAAGCGCGCGGCCTTAAATGAGGAGAGCTTCCTCACGGCCAAACAATCCAAGCGAGCGATCAAGAGGGAGAAGACCACCGAGGTCTATACCGCATGGGTCTCACGCACGGACACGGAGGTGGACCTGGCCACAGACGACGCCCTTGCGGACGTCGCCAAAGCCGAGGCTAACTTCGTTCGCACGGTCGAGGCGAAGAAACGTGCAATCCTGGCGGACCGAAAGGCAACGGCCACCCCTCCGGATACCACCCCGGAGGATCCACTCGCGTCGGTCGTTGCCGACCACCCTCTTCGCCCGACGTTGGAACAGTTTACAGATACCCTCTTTTCCGAACAGACCGGCCTCCCGCCGGACCGCGGCGACGACAACTTCAGCATCAATCTGAAGCCCGGCTCCAAGCCTTCCATGCTCCCACTCCGCCACTTGGCCCCTGATGAACTCGACGAGTTACGGCAGCAACTCGAGCGCCTATCATCCCGCGGGTGGATCTCCCACTCTAAGAGCCCCTGGGGGGCACCCGTGCTGTTTGCCCCGAAGAAAGACGGTGGTCTCTGTTGCTGCATCGACTACCGGGCCCTCAACAAGATGACCCATAAGGACGCCACGCCCCTCCCGAACCTCAACGAGCTTCGGGACCGCCTCGTCGGCATGAAGGTCTTCACCGCTATCGACATCCGCGATGCCTACCACTGCATCCTCATTCGGGAGGAAGACCGTGAGAAGACTGCCTTCCGGACGCGCTTCGGCCACTTCCAGTACAATGTTGAGGTAGGCAGGGATATATAGATGTATTATGGGTAAAGAAGAAAAGAGAAAGCCGGCGCAGTCGCGCGCGAATATGTACAAGTAGAAAAATCCAACAACAAGTCATGTGACCAAGGGATATAAACTAGCTACTGGGTTAGGGTTACCGCGTTACCGCAGGGAGCTAGGGTTGCGGGAATATGACTCGGCTCCCCACCACACCACATTCCGGGAATATGACTTGGCTCCCCACCACACCACAACGTATTACCCTTCGGGCTGACAAACGCGCCCGCAACGTTCCAACGCCTCACGAACAAACTCCTGGGCAACAAGTACGATTCATACCTCATCTCTTACCTCGATGACATCCTTATTTTCAGCCCCAACATGGACTCACACAGCAAAGGTGTCCCTAAGCCGACGTCGTGTGTGATGTGTGTGTGTAAGGTCGGTTCTTGCGTCGCCGCGCGTGATGTGATGTAGTTTATGTCGCTATTGTCAGCGATGTGATTGATAGTGAGCGGTTCTTGCGGCGTCGCGTGTGATGTGATATGAGATGCTCTATGCTGTTCGTCTCTGTATTCTTCGATTGGTGGAGGAGGTTGTGGAACTGCACGTTGCGGATATTGCTCTTTGCGATGTGGTCGTAAAATATCGACGTGAAAGACGGGCCAGATGCCGCTGATCCTTGATGGTGATAAACCGAGTTCGTAGGTATCAGGATGTGCTCCCAGTGCGATGATTTTGAATGGTCCAATC